AACAATGTCTAAGGTCAGGGTTTTTAAAGCTTTCTATAGACTTTTTACTGATAAGCACACCGCGTCTCTTCTAAACGGCTGGGAAATAGTGCTCTGAACGTCATTTTGATGATAATGGCCGTTCCCAAGCAAATTCTTCATGTTTAGGAACAAAAACAAAAACTTGTTTTACCAGCCAAAATTTATGGGGGGGGGGAATATATTACAAAAAAGTAAAAACAAGTGTAACATGACTTCCACTTTCTAAACTAGCATGTCTAATTTACTGGTTGTACATAGGCCACATGCCACATAGCTATCCTGAGTATAGTATAATTCTAAGTTAGTACTTACACTGGGGGTGCTATTCTTTTTCACAAATTGAGTGAAAATAAAGTTTGCTTGGGAATGGCCGTTGTTATCCTTATTGTAGTAAGAGTAAAAAAAAAAAAAAAAAAAAAAAAAAAGGATATTTCGCAAAGTAAACAGTGGGTTTATTTTACGCTTTCCCTCCGGAGAGATGTTGTGCCGAACGTTACACCTTAGATACAGCCAAAGTGAACGTAGTCACAGCCTAGGATCGGAAACCTTTTGGCTGTCCTAAAAGATCACATGCTGTAGTGGCTGTCCAAACTCTTTTCTCTAGAAATCAAAATAAATATTAAAACTTTTGAAAGTGTCTACTCCTTTGCCAACATGAACACCCAAGGTCACCAAAAAAATCACTACCAGTTTTATTAAAAACTTTCCCCTCGAAAAACAAGTTGGGACACTAATTGTCAACGTCAAAAGAACAATTGCAAATATAATTGCCCTTATTATATTAAAGTAAGAACCTCCAAAAATGAGGGGGGGGGAGGGGCATTTCTCATACTCAATCTATCAAGAATGAACCTTTACGAGTTCAGTACAGAAAATATTATATTTAGCAGTAATGGAAACAAAAAAAAGCTCGCGTCTGACTATGTTACAGGGCATTGCAAGTATCCCAAAACCCAAGAATAGAGCGTTCCTCTTTTTTTTTTTCTCTCAGTAGCTGAATTCTCAAGACTACTCACGGGTTTTAAAAAAAGAATGCACCCGGTTTTTTCTTTTATGAAGCAATCAACCATCAAGTTCTCATGGTAACCGCACTGGAAAGCAATCGATCAAGGTTAAGCCTAGTGGCAGCCATGAATTATAGAGAAACATAAATTTCAAATATAAACAAGGTTCGATTGTTTGCTGTTGAAGTTTAAAAAAAAAGGAAACCCAATTCGGCTGTATTTTATGTAGCTGCTACAATGATCAAGGACGCAAAAAACAAGAGGACTTTAAAGACCCTGTTTTTCTCTCTTGATAATCAGACTGATAGTACCGTAAAGAAAAAAGAAGAAAAAAAAAAGCTTGATTTACAAAGGACATGATAGACGATGTAAAGGCAACGATACTCTCTTTCCCCCCAGTATTTATACACATAAACTCTGTATTCGGTGATGAATACATGTGTCAAATGAAATGAATTCCTAACATTGTCACGAATGATTTTTCTTTTTTGTGTGATACACAAATTGGTTTACATCGGATAGTCTGACTATTAACATCCTTGTAGTTATTTTATGTTAATTTACCATTCTCATATACTACTTCACCACCAAATACTCGTGTATATTTGTCTTTTCCCCCATCCACTAAATTGAAAGCGATCCGTTTTTATTATTCTTACATTACGTTAAATTAATACCGAATCCATCGGTCATAATCACCAAGTGATCTTTGAAGAGATAAATAAACTTCTAGATAACATGTTAAAATAAATTCATGCCATTTTCCACGAGTATATATATACAAAAGTCCAATATTCTGCTTCAGCCATACGTATGCTTTAGTAATAAACTGATGTATGGGTAGCTCTCATGTTATGGGGTTTACATCCAGGAGTGAGACGAATCTTTGATTAAGACGGCGTCATAAAAGAATAAGTATCACAATCACATTTAACACAAAAAATAACTCACCTCAAATGATTTATATATTGACAACCTACTAGTGTGTATATGCCTGTTGATCACACATAATTCAAGTATAAATGTGTCATAGAGGTGCTACGACCAAAGTTTTGCAGGAACTTCATCTAGATTTAATTTGAACTCCTTCAAATCCTTCTTTGCTTTGCTTATGTTATTATTCTGTAGCTGCTCCTCCATTGTTGATGTGTGCTGTCTCTGTCTTTTAAGCACTGCCCATCATGCGTAGTGGGGTGGTTCAATACAAAAGAGAGGGAAAATTTGTGTCGATTCAATACATAATAGTGAAAGTCGTTATCTGTGGAAACGGAAAAGGTATTGGAGCGTTTTATTTCCCTTGTTGGTTTTGTCTTTTGTTAGACTTACGCTTGTTGAATGTCTTCTTGGTGAAAGAATAAAAATAAGCATCTAAAAATTTCTCGAAAAACTGAAAAGGTGGAATGTACGACGTGAGGTGTAGCTGGAGCCATTTCACGTCATCAAGTCGGACATGCGTATTTATCGGACACAGCATATAAAGGCTAGAAATTGAACGTTGCGTTTCCTTCTATTTTTGTACACTGCGCAAAAAACGGTTAACGAATGACCATCACCCCAAGAGGGCGTACCAGATCTGTTTACGAACAGCATTAGTGTACGTTAGCAGTTTTCGTTTCTATAATAGACAGCCAGGTGTCTTAACGCGGCAAAGTCGTTCTGCTTTAGACATTTCTGGGTATAACAAAGATTTTTCAACAGCTGAAAAAAAAAAAAAAAACCGCACCTCTTTTTTTTTTCTCTCCCCACAATCTCGCAAGAAAAAGTGTAGGAAGCTTTCCATTTTTATGCCACCTTTAAAATCAGGTTAAACAGGTAATTATGCAGGCATGAGGGCTCGCTTTTATTTTTGTTTTAATTTTGCTTTTAGCTTTCCAGTTTGAAACATGTTATACCGTTTATCAGGTATTTGACCTTCATTTTAATAAATGTTCGGCCTGCTGATTTAGACTAGTGGATTAACAACGTGATAATAAACCAGCAACTGGAAATCGAGATCAGGAAACTTATAACTGCAACAGACGGCCGACAAATTCTCATGATACATACCATCATCTTTGGGAAAGGATCGCCAAACGACAGTTTGGAATTATAGGCAATTGCTGTAGGCTGTCTATAGACGATAAAGATAATGATAAAATGTTATTGAGGATTATGAAAGAATTGAATGCTGAACTTCACTTTACGAGGTAATTATTTGCAACAAGAAGTACAATAGGTGTAATCGGACAAAGGAGAGCCAGAGAGACAAGATTAGAAAGTATTGGTGAGATCAAAAAAACAGCAAATCCACGAAAAGAAAAGCAGAAGGTGGATACGATATCAAATTAACACGAGAAGCATAACACGAGAGGGCAAATGAATACGACGCCTAAAGAAAGAATATTTAGTGGATAAGGGTGTAATATACAAGGAAATAGAGGTATGTTTCGGCTTGATGATATGAGGATGACAAGAAATAAGAAAATAAGGTGCTGAAAAGTAATGGAGGTACCAATAAAAATAATATATATGGATACTACTGTATACAGTTTGAGGGATTGATGCGGGAGAATATAAAAAGGATATTGGCCAAAATGGTGTAATCTCGAGAGTGTGAATTATGTTAAAAATTTCCTCACAGGGTGTGCTGTAAAAAAATGGCAACAGATGTAAATCGGTACATAAAGAACGAAGAATTTGTTTGTTTTCTTTTCTCTGTTTGGTTAACTTAAACTGTGCTTGAGGCAAGGGAGGGAATCTTTGAATTGAAAGCACAAAAGCTCTAATAGCTTAATGTTATGACAGTTACTGTTCTTAATACAAGCAATTTTGACAGGAGGTCAGCAAGCATATTGGTAAAAAAAGTTAGAGGCATTTAATAGCGCCTACATAAGACTTTACGATATGATGAATGCTTTCGTATTCTGTAGGTTTCTTTTCTTTTTATAGAATTTCCCTCCGTCAATGACCAACCAATGTTAAGGTCAAGGTTTTGCAGCTTTTCGTAGACTTTCTATGTTGAACACACTGAGTCTCTTCTAAAAACGGCTGGAAAAAAATTGCTTAAAACGTCATATTTAATTGATGTTGGTTATCCTCTAGCAAGAGTAAAAAAAAAGATATTTCGCAAAGTAAACAGTGGGCTTATTTTACGCCCTCCCTCCGGGGAGATGTTGTGCTGGAATTTACACCTTAGATACAGCCAAAGTGAGCGTAGTCACAGCCTAGGATCGGAAACCTATTGGCTGTTCCTAAGAGATCACATGCTGTAGTGGCTGTCCCTTAATTGCCTTACACTCTGTAAAAATAAAACAAACTCTTTTCTCTAGAAAGCAAAATAAATATTGAAACTTTTGAAAGTGTCTACTCTTTTGCCGACATGAACACCCAATACCACCAAAGAAATCAATACCAATTTTACTAAAAACTTTCCCCTCGAAAACAAGTTTGGGACACTAATTGTCAACGTCAAAAGGACAATTTCAAATACAATTGCCCTTATTATATTAAAGTAAGAACCGCCGAAAATGGAAGGGGGGGGTTCTCATACACAACCTATCGAGAATGAATGTTTACGAGCTTAGTACAGAAAATATTCTTTTGAGCAGTAATGGAAACAAAAAAAAAAACTCGCGTCTGACTATGTAACAGGGTATTGAGCAGGAATTTAAAGGTATCACAAAACCTAAAAGAACAAAACTTTGGGGGAGGGGTTTCATGAGTCTGACAAAATAGGTTTAAAAGACTTATCTCAACTATGACTGACTGACATAATCCGACAGGTAGCATATAAGAATTTTATATTTGGTATATTTACCGTGCGTGTAACAGGGCCTCTTGAAAAAATCCAACTCTTTGGGATAGCCAAAAGGTACCCGATCCTAAATGACCCAGAAATTTAAAAGTGGCTGTATGTGGAAATGGATGTAATGATCCCGTAAAGAAAGACCATAATGAGATGTCAATAACAATAACATTCATCCTTAAACTGTGTATATCTTGTAGCACACTGTTCAGGGGAAATTGTAGTTCTTAATAAAGGTAGCTGTGGCACCTCATTGTGGCTAATGTAACCTTCACATATTTTCATATTAATGTTATTTTTTAAATGAGTATGCCTTATACTTGTATGAAGGATGATATGAGATCAAGACTGTACATAAAGTAAATGATCAGTTTTTAATGTAAAGTATCGATAAGAGATATATTTAGGATTATCAAATTGAGGATTTAAGAAGTGTAGATCGAGTCATATATTAAGTATATAGCCTCAATCACGACACTGTACCTGCGTCTATCATTGTGCCTGATTTTTTCTTTTTAGTATTTCGGGTCTGTGATGGACGGTCTGATGTAAATGATGAACTTATTTTAAAGGGAGAAATGGTCACTTTACCTTCATACAGCTAGACATAAAAAGAGTGTCTGAGCACATGCTAAAAAAGCTATTGGTGATCTAATAAAAAACATTATATACTAATAACGCATTAGTATACGCATATAAAAAAAAGTAAGTGGTTATAAAATTGATAACAAACTCAAGAGATTTGTTCAACGAGTAAAACCTTGCTTATTTAGGGGAAATGAGTTACGCAACCCAGCCTTTTCACGCTTGAAGATTGTATTCAGATCTTTTACTCTTTACTGCCCTTCTTGTAATTGCAACCCAGCCTTTTTCTGCCCCCCACCCCCCTCAGATTTTTTTTTATTCCTTACTGCCCTTCTTTTCATTGCAATCCAGCCTTTTCCCGGTCCCCAGATTTTTTTACTCTTTTGAGAGTCGCGTATCGAGCGAGGGAATGCAGTTTGCCCAGTCGGGTGGTTTGGCATGACTTTTAAAATTTGAATAGCCTCAGGCAAACAAAATCTGTTTTGTCTACTACTTACTTCCCTATATGTTTGTTATTTACGTTTATCACTAACTTTCTGCACAATGTAGCCTTTTTTTTTTTAGCATACTCAATACATATAGTATCTTGTTGTATGAATTTTACTATTATTAATACTTTTTTAGGCATATACGTCCTTTTGATGACTAACAATAATGAAGATAAAGTCCCTGAGAATAAATCCGGCACAATCCACATTACCAGCATTTTTACACTTTGGCAAAAGGTATTAATTTTTGTAACTGCCATGTGTCATTAAAGGGACTAAAATTATCAATAAAAATAAATTAGTTATACAACCTGCTTTTTTTTTTTTCACTTCAAATATTGAACCACTGTAACACAGTTGGCATGTTTAAATATGCGATTGATAAAAAAAGCAAGTGCGAAGTAAAAGGATCAATTTTGCAATGCGTTCACATTTTTCTTTTTTTTTTTTGTTTCGATTTTTTTTTAAAAAAAAAAAACAAAAGGCCGACAAGGACAAGTGTTGTATACACAAATATCCCGTAGTGTATACAAGCATTATTTTGTGAGTTACTTTAGCGAAGAAATTCAAAATAGCTATTTTGTGTCACCTTACGTACACGCAACATCTGCATTAAAAAATGATAAAAAACAACTTCTAAATAATACCACAGCTTACATTGCACGCATGGTCCACACATGCTTACTGCGATATGTTTACTTAAAACACATGAGAGTGTAAAACATGTTTGATGCGAGCTCTTACACTATGGCGGAAAATTAGGTAACATTTTGTTTAAGTACTTCTCAAGCACACAAATAAATTTTTAAACGTTCAAACTAAGGTCTTTTTTCGTTGTTGTAGAAAAAAAATGGACTTTTTAATTATTCTATTAGGAAAAATGTAGCCTTTAACAACAACAACAAAAAAAAGACCTTAGTTTGGACCGTACGCTTACGGCTGGGGCTCCTTTTATCCAATCAAATCACTTGATTTGAGTTAACGGAGTTGTATTGGGCGAATCAAATCACTTGATTTGAGTTAAATGAGATTAAATAAACTGATTTTCTTTCTTTTTATCTCTTTTTTGAAGTTTCAAATTGTTCCTGACACAATTGAAAAGAACATTATGAATAATCTCAACCCCAGCTCTGATGTCGAAAAAATAGGAGGGGAAGGAAGTTTCCCGAGAATTAAACAGAAACGTGGTCGTCCATCAGGTGGAAAGACTGAAAAAAAGCCTGAAGTTGTGTACGGAAGACCGAGAAAGCAAATCAAGAACCATTCGTCAATGTTGAATTTCACAATGCAGGCGAAAGCAGTAAGACGACGTTCTTGATTTTTATATAAGCTTTACTGTTGAGTCATTCATATTTTTTTTTTTTTTTTTTTTTTAGTCTTCGAACACTATTCACAATGAGCAGGAACACCAACAAACGAGTGTTGAAGAGATCGTCGACAATAATGTTGACACAACAGTCGATGAATCTGTACCTGAAGAGAGTTTAAGTAATTCTGTAGTAGTTGAGCTTGAAGAAAATCATTCCTCTTTAGTCGACCAAGAAGAGGTGGTTGCCACTGAAATTTCAACTTTTGAAAGTAGCGTTAACGATGAGAACGAAGACGAAGTTAATATTGATGAATTTCCCAACATCGATAACCAAACTGCGGATTCGTTGGATGAAGATAAGGGAAATGATAATGAGTGGGGAGCAGACGATGAAGACGATACAGAAGAACTAGACGAAAACGAATTCATCACTGTTGACAATGATGCAGCTTCTATCCTTGAAGAAAGGTACGTCAATAAGTATCTTGCTGAGTTACAGGAGAGATTGAAGGGGAAAAGACCAGAAGAGTATCAGAATGGCACTTTTTGGGTTCACCGAAAGAATCCATACTTTATGCTTGATAGCAATAACAAAGACCCGGGATACCTCTATACACCTAGAGTGTTTTTATGGTTCCCTCATCATTTAGTAAGAGATTTAACGTGTCCGACTTGTGAAGCAAAAATAGGTGTAAAGGGATTCAATAAGAAGCCTAGAGCCAGGAGGATTATCGATTTAAATGAGTGCGATCCTAAATGAGAAGTTTCTTTTTATGTCATTTCTAATGTGTTTAATAATTTTTAACTGTTTTTACCTGATGACTACAAGATACAAGTGTCGTAACAAGGATGTTAAGCACACATTTGATGGGTGTAACCCAGCTTTGATCCGACAACTTCCACTTCATTTACAAGCTGAATTTCCAGCTGTCCTTAGTCATCGATCTGGCCTTTCTAAAATGCTTTGCAAACTGATGAGACCACTCTTTCAACATGGGATCGGACCTCATCGTATGTCTAAAGTCCTTCGCGTGATGCACACTGAGAAATATGACGAATTGCAGCTTCAATACTACACAACCCTTGATCATTATGCCCAAAGTCCTTCCGTATTATCTATGCTCCAGTCAAGACAATATCCTGAGTTTTCTCAATTCAAAGACAAGATGCAATATAATGGCTATGTTCCTTCTGCTAATTACATTAGCTATGTATACAGCTCCTTGATAGCGAAGGTTCGTCCTTTCATGGATCAACTTATGTCGTTTGTAGACGACACTGTTTTAAAAGGGGATCATTCTTTCAAGATCATTGATCACTTGGCGAAAATCAATGGGGTTTCAACGTTTTCTTGCCTCTACACTGTTTTAAATGAACATGAAGAGATCCGTTTACAAGTCTTGGCACAAAGCAAAAAAAAATGGATCATCTAACTAGCACCTCAATTTCTCCAGATGATGGATACTTACAAAAAGCTTAATATGAAAGAGCCTGAGCTTTTTTATACAGATGATGTCATTGGAGACCAAGGATTCTTAAAACAGGTGATGCCATCCTTAACCAAAGACGTTGTACCTATTCCCAAATGTACAAATGTACAACAGCAACAACAACAAAACCCATTTCTTTCACTTCCTATTATTACCCTGCCAGAAACTTCAAAGATCAGAGTTTTAAGATCTGAAGTAGAGATCAATGAGGCTTATATCGAAATATTTGGAAATACTGATGAGTATAGTAATGAAATTTTTGTTGGTTTTGATTGTGAATGGATGATGTCCACAAGTGGAGTATCCTTAATGCAGATGTGCTACCAAAATGAAATTGTTTTGTTCCGTGTACATGACTTTGATACGAATACGGTTCCTCGTGAGCTATCTAAGGTTCTTAGCTGTTCCAAGATTGTGAAATTAGGGAGAAATGTTAAGGCAGACTGTACAAGAGTGAAGCGTGTATTTGGTGTTGTGGTATCAAACCACGTAGATCTTGGGCCATTTTGCTACAACCGCGACTTAGTTAATAACTCTCGTCCCCGACTTGATGTTCTTTGTGGAAGCATTTTATCTTTGCAACTATCTAAGATATCTATCATTCGTTGTGGTGACTAGGAAAGAGATGATTTGACAAGTGAGCAAATAAGCTATGCAGCATTAGATGCTTGGGTCGCTTTAAAGATTTTTGAAAAGGCTAACGAAGAACCAGCTGTAAACGAAAAGGTTACGAAAAAGTCACAAAAAGGTACTTTTGTTGCAGTTTATAACCAAACATCCGCAAGAGTGATGCCTTCTGCCTATGGATTCATTGAGGATAATGAAGGATCCATTGAAGCTCATCTGAAAGATACCAGGCTTGTAAAGGTCGATGATGTTCAAGTGCTTTCCATGCTTCTTGAAAGTCATCAAGAAAACGGCAATCATGAAGCAAGAACTTTAAGTGATTTGGGTGATCCTCCTTTTGTATTAAGAATCAGCAACCACTGTTTGAGAACGGCCTCAAAAAAACAATACGACCTTAAAATGCAGCAAGATTTGTCAAAAGTATCTCCTATTCCATCAGAGTCAGACACCATCCATCCGAATACGTCTCTTGACTCAGGGAATGTACATGTACCATCAAGAATCCTGAAAGATGTTTTTCATGTAATGCAAATGATACGTGTTTCCTTAAAACATGGCATGGCCAAAGAGTTTTCTCGTTGCTTTAGAGATGCTATGTTTGTTGTTGATCTTGGTGATAAAAGATTAGTGAGCCAATATCTTGAATCAATAGGAACTGATTGGGAGAGCTATATGGTGAAAACCCCGGACTTTGTTTTGGAGCGTGTACGAAGATATATACCACCACCCGAAGAGTTGTAAAAATCTGTCTCAATGCTTTTCATGCATTACGGTCCTGCAAAGTGCGTATTGAGCGGGAAGCCTTTGTTCAATGAAGACGCATGGAGCGCTTCTAAGCATGTTTTGGAGGAGATATGACTTGGTCACGTTTCAGACGTATTAAATGGTCCCGTATTATATACAGAAAAGGGGTTCGACAAGAATGGATTGATGAAGTATAGGTGTAGCAGAGGTACTAGTTCTGTAGAAGGCTCTGTACATATGAACATCATAAGAAAATTTGCATCATACAATGCAGGTCCTCGTTCAGCTGATATGGTTCTTGCTGACTATCTTCTTTATCACAACACCGATGTAAGAGAATTTCAGAGTATACTTATATATAAGCTCAATTGACCTAATACGTATTATACTAAATTACAATTTATGAATTTTTAGGTTGGCTCAAGAAATCGCTACGGAAAAGTGCATAAAGGTCACTACAGTCCCTGGTTATATCAATCAATCAATACTATTAGAATCAAGCTGGGTCATACACCTATTGACAGCTACTTTACGAATAGACTCGGTAGTACTTTTGAATAGTTAGTGTAATTAGTATCATATTGCGAATAAATTCCTATTAGTTCAACACAGTACCAGCTCCCTCATATGTCAAACTGAAATCAGATTTCATAATCGTTCCTGGATTGGTCGAGTAGCTGCTGAAGCTTCTAGTTTCTCATAAATTTATTTGAGTAATCCAATCAAGGAGCCTGTCATTGAATGGATAAACAATAATGCATTAGAAGTGAAGGATATGGGTCACCTAGCTCCTTGTATATTTAGCAACAAGCTATATTTCATACGCAGCTGATTTCTAAATCTAATTCTACCATTTCCCAGTTTGCGGGTAAACAGTCAATTTGATCTGCGTAGATAAAATCTTGAAGTAATAATTGAATATAAAAAGGACCTCTATTTTTATCATGAAGAACTCCCCAACATATAATAAAGGATTATAGAGTCTCATTTCTTTACTTGTTTTATTTTCATTTCCCCTTTCTATTCTCAATTATCACAGCTATTATAAGTGTATGATAACGTTATTGCTTTTATCTTTTTCTTTTCCTTATTTTATTTACTCAAGAAAAAAAAATTGACCCATCAAAGTAACGAAATTAACGAAAATATCTGTAGTGAATTAGGAAATTATAAATATCCATAATTTAGATATGGATATGGTGGAACAAGATAAAAGATATCAATCAATTTCACTATCTCTGACATTTAACGCTATTCTATATCTACAAATAATGTTCTTAATCAATACCCTTCTTATTTTCCCTATTGTGAATGGATCGTACATATATTAAGTTCCGTAATTCACCAAGGCTATATTTTCCCGCCTGATCCGTCCATTTGGACGGATTTTTAGTAGATGTTTACCCATTTAATAAAAAAAAACACACGGATTAACTGCATAAATTACGGTGGTGTATATTTTCAAATTAGCTCTCCCTTTCGGCTTATTCAACTAAATAAAAAACTTTCATTTATACATTAATCATTAAATACGTTCATTCGTTAAAAAAAAACTCGTTTGCAGTTTTTAAAGTTGATTATTTATTTTATTAAAAAGAATGAAAGTAAGATTTCTTTATATTTTAATACTTGAAGATGAATTCTGATACGTATAAAGACTAAAACGTGAATGATCCAGAAAGTAAAAGATGTACGGCACAGCAAACATGCATGCAATTACTCTGTATGTAAAGCGGCGCATTTTTTTTAACAAAAAAAGGGGCATTGTGATTAGTTGTGGAGTGAAAACTCATAAATAAAATTCCTTAGTTTCTTTTACAGACAGAGCTACTGCTACAATGATAATCGTAGAAGTCCGAAGTCTGAAAGGACATTCAGAAAAAAGAACAGAAATAAACGGAAATTTCTTAATTATTCCAACAACACAGCAAAATAAACTGCAAGCAGAGCTTTGATACACCAGTCTGTGTTGATAGAAAGGAGTGTTAATTAAAGGAAGAAACTTCAGAAATAAGGTATACCAGTTGCATGTTCACCCGAAACAAGAACGAATACAAGTTACTATTTTTTTAAGAAGTGAATAGAAAGAGAAAAGAGGAAAGAAAAAAAAAAACTCTGCTTAAATGCGTATTTTTTTATATCAAAGACGATCTAACATTACGCTAATGAGATAAATCAAAAACACAGGTGACTAACTGGTATGCGAGTAAACTGCTATTCTTCTTGGATTATGCTTTTGATGAAACTTCCAATTTTTAAGCAGTACTTCAAGTCATGAAGAGACATTGCGCTGCCTCGTATTGCTCTTGCATTCCAACTGCTATACCCGCTACGAAAACAATGAAAAAAAAAGAGTTGTTATTAACATTGCAGACATTTTCACAACTGTAGGATTGTTGAAAATGGTGACACATTTAGCGAATAGAAAGAACGTAACATACCAAGACTCTTGTTTTTTGTTATTGTCAATTCACCATCAACTAGCTTTGATGAAGACATAAAAAGAACAGCTTGAAAAATTCCCAATCTTTGCTAGCTAACCATCCATAGACGGATACATAACCACCTTGATTAATGGGATGGACAAACTTTAGTGTTGGATGCTCCGTTTGGTTATTTGTTTTTACGCAAATAAGTGATTTAATACTCATAGACGAATGCTTATCCAGTTAAGATACTTAAGATGGATCAGGCGATTTTTTTTGGTTTTAGGGTGCTCCGTTTTTTTTTTTTTTTTTTTTCTGAAATAAGTATTCGCCCATAGACGGATGGCTCGTCTGCTGCAGGAAAATGGAACGGATAAAGACGTTAAGAGTTTTGTGCTACGTTTGTGTTACATTATTTATTTAGCCCAAAATGAACGGATACTCGCTCACGTGCGGTTATACGCCCAGATTTGAACGTAAATGGTTGTGATTACACTGTAAATGGTGCTTAAAATAAAAGAGCAAAGCCCGTAAGTTAGTCAACCTAATTATTCATTTGTATATCCTATCGACGTGTATCTTTTTCTTTGGACATACTCATATTTGGAAGGAATTCAAATAACGGATGAACCCGTAGTTGAAGATTTAAAGGTAAAAAGTAATAGAGATATATTATTTCTACGTTCCATGTATTTTAACTGCAAAATTTAAAATGCTAAATGTTCATGGTCAGGAAGTTAGTAAAGAACTGCTTTATTATTCAGGGAAATTTGCAAAGCTGATGGATCAAAAAGGAGGGCAGAAAATTACACTGCGATATTGATGAACTGTAAAATCGTTCTTATGTTAATTCTTCAGGTGTAGTCAGTAAATAATATTTTTATTGATTGCAAGACATTGAACGGCATCTTCTTTATATCTTCTAAACACAATAGAAATGCTGGCATTGAGGACAAGTATAAGGTCGAAGAAGGGGTTGATATGAATAAACTTGATCAGTTTAAAGTTGAAAAGTTAAGGAAAAATCTACTAGGTAACTTGCTATAACATATATAAATTGACATTTAACCTTTAGTAAGTAGTTCTTAACCTCCTTGCTTGCAAAATCGTCTTTTGCAGATTTTTGGTACTTCCCTCACTGGAAGTACAGGTTCTTTTTATGTATTTAATTTCGTATAATATCTTTTGTCCATGTTGATTAAAATTTGTAGAAAAATTAAATAAGAAAGGATAGTTTTCACAGGAATAACCTGTAACTGAGACCATAGCTTGTTAAGAACATGATACGTATGTACTTAAGTGCCTCTACTTGCTTGTGTTGTGACCCGACAGTAACAAATGAAACACCGCTATGTTTCGGCTTGGGATGTGTCATCCGTCCTACACACGCGAGGGGAATTTAACCTTTTTGTTTAATCCTTCATACTTTTTTTTAAACAACATGGCAAAGCAACCAAGGTCACCTGCCGAACTTGAGAAATTGAGCATTATACCTGTGGATCCTAATATTTCTATTCGACTTTATTTTCGTTCAGCCGATTTATTATTTAAACAAGCACACATTTATAAGCTGGAACATGACTGGGAGCATGCTTATGTGCTGTACATGAAATTCACCAAGTAAGCTTTTTATGTTTTAAAAAAAAATCAGACTTGTCTAATCTATTGTTTTAAATAAAAGCTTAGGTATAAGTGAATTACCCAAACATCCAGCTTATAAGAATGCAGAGAATAAGAAAAGCCTGAAGCAATTGAATAGAGTAAATTACCCACCTCCAAAAAAAAAAAAAGTCTTGGCATAAATTTAACATGAACACAATATTAGAATTGCTTGGAGGCCTTGGAGGCTCTAGAGCAGATGAAGCCAGTATTAGAGGAAGCATACGCTTCGCATGTAAAAAAAATAGAGCAAGCAGAAGAGGCTAAAAAAGCTTCGTCCATCTCCAATCAGACAACACAATGGCGATTGCAACAGCGCCCCGTCGAAACCGTTTCTAAAGATTGGAACTTACAAGACGCTTTAAAGGGTGTTGCTGGGGTGAGAACTGAATATAGCGAAGTGACAAAGTAAACCTTAAAAAAAAAAAAATTACCATTCGACTTTTCTTGATATTAATTGTATAAAAAGGTCTCCAACCACTGGCACTGGCTATCAAAAGGCCGAGTATCCTAGCTTGTCATTACATAATCAGAGTGATGGGTACAGTGGTTTAGTTGTCATATTATAAATTTATATATTATACTAATTCTATATTAGATATGTTTACCAAGCTCAGCTCCCTACTTCAGTACAATCTCCACCACAACTTCCACCTAAAATTCGTCAGCAACCTACATTACCGCCAAAAATACCAATTAACCGAGATATCAATTCACCAGAGTTACCGCCTAAAATCAAATTGCATGAGGATAAAGAGATACATCGATCAGGACCCACAACAGATGGTAAAGTTGATGAGAATTCTAGTGTGATAGATAGTTAACACCTTTTTATTTTATTTTTTTTAAAAAAAAAAAAAAAAGCTTCGACCGAAAGAGGTGAGCCACTTCGAAAGCTTTTATTACCGAAGCGATTACATGCAAGGTTTGTCGGGATTGCCGATCGTAACACTCGTAATAAGATTGAGACATGTGGTATTTTGGCTGGAACACTGGTATGGATCATATTACTTATTTATGACATTGGTGTATACTAACTTGAATTTTTTAACAAGAAAAATAATATATTAAAGATCACAACATTAATTATACCCAAACAGACAGGGACTCCAGATACATGTACCACAGAGAACGAAGAGGATTTATTTGATATTCAAGACAAGCACGACTTATTGACTTTTGGTTGGATCCATGTAAGTTTCCCCCCTTTTTTTGTGTGTGTGTCTATATTTATGCGAATGTTTAATCTATCTATTCAGACACATCCAACGCAATCCTGTTTCTTAAGCTCAGTGGATTTACACACACATTGTTCTTATCAACTTATGCTACCTGAAGCAATTGCTATTGTTTGTGCTCCTTCTCAGACACCCAAGTAAGAAAACGAGGCTATTTTTGATGACTTTTTAAACTAATCTCTTTTTATTTCTATAGTTTTGGTATTTTTAGATTGACAGATCCACCAGGACTAGATATTATTAGTAATTGTAAAGCGACACCGGCTTTTCATCCTCATCCTGACTTGCCTATTTACACTGTAAGTTTAAGTATTGTCTTTCCTTGAAGGCTACTGTTACTTAATGCTTTTTTTTTTTTTTTTTTTACTTGTGATATAGGCTGCTGAAGGGGACGGTCATGTTGGAATAGCAGATTATGACTTTACTGTCTTGGACCTGCGAGATAATAAATAAATAACATTATATCGCAACAGTTTTGTCTTACTTTTGGTAAGTCTGTGATGATAAAGTTTGGTATAATTGATGGGAGGGGAAAAAAAAAAGTTTGTTTTGTTCTACGTTCCGTATAAATTTGATTGGAAAGCGAATCTCCCAAGATAGAATATACTTTTCAGTTTAATTCTTACAATGGTGATTGATTGCGTAAAAAAAAAATGGCTTTAAAATGGCTTATTTATGCGTAGTTATCTGCGCAACTGTCTCTCTCTAAAATAGTTTCCAAACCGTGTGATAACAACCACATTAGATATTAGTAACATCTCTTTTTTAAAGTTGTCGAAACGAACACAAGCGCTGGTTACTTTTGTGTTACTTCTTGCTTCATAGAAAAAAAAAAAAAAAAAAAAAAGATAAATTGTCATGCTTGACTGGTGAGCCAAAAAATTATCTTCATTTATAACAGCTTATGTATGTTTATTGATAAATCTAGTCATTTCTGTATCAATCACAAGAGGTTGCCTCATTTACTCTACCGTACACATAACAAAGTAAGCAAAAATTATCTTCCATGATCACGGGGGAAAAAAAAAAAAAAAATTCTATGTGCGAGACTCTATTGACATTGAATCAACTTTTTTACCACTGACACTATAGGTATCCCAATGAAGAGACCATCGATTATTTAAGAGAGGAGGTTTAAACTCCAACAAGACGTAATGAAAGTCTAATGATTTCGATTCATACATGGCCCAATCGGTCACCTGATCAAAATCCAAATCCCCTCCACCGCCTCCAATAATAGCATAATGAACTCCATTGCGTTCCCCACGTTCATAATTATGTTGATGACCCGAGATAACGATATCAACTTTACCTTCTTCAAAGATGGGGACGTAACGATCCTTGATAAAGGCTCCCCATTTACTCTGTCCCTGTTGAAACCAAGCTTCTGGATCCCAATATTCCAAAAAGGGAGGCACATGGACTACGACCACACGGAATTGAGCTTGTTTGAATTCGTCGGATTGGATTTCATGCTTGAGCCAGGTATCCTGTAGCTCCCAATCGATGTTGCTGTCCAGAACGATAAAACGAAGAGCTCCGTTCGCCATGGAGAATGCAAACCAAGGGTGACCGTTGATCCCGTGACTACGTGTATAAGTATATTCACCTCGCATGTCATAATCATGGTTACCATGGGCGTAGATCAAGGGTGTGGTTTGACCTAATCCATGCGCTGCTAAGGGACCAGCGAAATCCGTCTGCCATTGTCTGAGTGAAGGATAGTTTTGGATGGCATCCCCCGCATGAATTAAAAACTGTGGTTTGGGTGATCGTTTTCTGATCTGACGCAGTAAAGATGAAAAGGTCAACATACCAAATTGATTATCTGCTATCGCTGCCATACGAATAGGTTCTGTATCCAGGGTGGTATACCATTGAAATGCATGTTTCGCTAATACTTTTCGCTTTTTTTGTGTACTTTCGCTGCCTTCCTTGGGTGTGGTTTCAATCCTGTAATTCACGGTGCCTCCCCTTTCGATGGGACCCAACGTGGCTTTATAGACAGTGTGGTGAGGATCCAGGACTTTGGGCTCGATGGCCTCCAATGTGATCTTTTCGTCCCCTGGTTGCCAGTAAGTGAGTGACATGGCCTTATTTGACATGCCACAATTCATTTCCCAAACGACTTGAACGTGGCGGGTATCTTGTACAAATAACATGGGTTCCTTTCGTAACAGACCACAAGCGACATAACCACGATCGAACATGGTGCTATCCATCTTGATCTTGAGAAAAGTCCAGTAAACGGCAATCATGTTACGTAGACAAAAGAGTGCTAATAAAAGTAAGCAAACTAAAAAGAGAATTTGCTTTTGATGATGTCGAAACCATCTCGTTATTTGACTTTTTTTGGGTAAAAAACTGGTCTTGTTGAGTTCGACGGTTTCGTTATGACTGTAAGGGTATGGTGAAGTGAGTTGTTTATACTGAAAGGACACCGAAGAGTAAGGTTCGCTAAAGTCTGCATTCGGGTACATGCTCATGCTTTCATTTATTCGGAAAAAGCTTAAAAAAAAAAAAAAAAAAATTATGTGTTACTCTATTCCCAAATATATAAATGAAACCCTCATTTCATAGTCACAAGCAAGATCAAAAGTCAAGCTAGAAACTATATAAAAAATCCCTCCATTAAAAAAAGTGTGTTTTACTCCTCAGTTATTATTATTGTAGTCAGAGGTAAAATAACGAATGGACAGAGCCTAATGTTAAATCGAACCTAAATGCTACTATTAACCATCAGGTACTGTAACACTGTTGTGCTTTCGGCGACTGAATTTTCTCTCACCATCCCTAACCCCCAAGATGGATGATCTCCCCCGGTGTTATAGGTGACTATTGTTGCGGTTTAAGCACACTAGATGCAGTCCCGAGCGTGATGGCGGGGGGGAGAGGGGAGGGGGGGGGGGTGAAAGGAGGGAGAGGATATTAGGTAAAGTGTGTATGTGCGTGATTTTCTTCCGAGATCTACGACCGTGTTTCATTCTACCTTATGTAAGATACATTTGTTGGTAAATAACATCAGTATCACGTAATTGTTTCTGTTTAAATGAGCTGATAGTATCTAGTTCAGACTAATTGCTGGGAATGAACACATGATGGGTGTACCACATGTCAAGGATACGGGTGCTTATTTTCTTGTGTATAAATTCACGTTAAATGGCGTATGTGTGTGTGTGTGTGTGTATGGAGGGAGGGGTGAAGTTGGATGAGCGTAAGTTATTTTTTTTTATTGGGTTATAGCCGACATCCACCCATACGACAACAACAACAACAACAAAAAGAAAGGGGTGGGGGACGGGGGAGGGGAGAATCAATTTTTTATGCAACTTCAGTTTGATTGCATGATCGGAAACGGAGAATGGGACAAAGTAAAAAGAAAAAAAAGGCTGTTTGATGTCACCTTTTTTATTACTGAAAAAATAAGAAGAAAAAAGTGTTTTTGTTCTATTCAAGAGTGTGCTTTTTAATATTTAGTTGAAGTTGACGCGAAAAATAAAAATTTAGGGAATGGGCACTTTTGTTCTCATATTTACTAAAAAAGGGAGTGTGCATATCAGGGAAAAATTGTATGCACATTGGTGGTACGAAATTAATAAAATTGTATTTTGGAACTGTAGAAACTTTTTTTTTTTTTATTATTTTTTGGCTGTAGAAAATGATTTTTTTTTTTTTTTTGGTGTGATGTTTATCCCGGAAAGTATTAAGAAAAAGAAGGGGAGGGGTCAGAGAGATGAAAATATGTATAAAAAGGTATATAGTAAAATAAAAAGAGAGTATAATAGGAGAAGAAAAAAAAAAGGGGGGTTGTAGTGTGTGTGTGTGTGTGTGTGTGTGTGGAAATTATAATAAAAAGTCATCTTCTGTAGGCGTGTCATCTTTTGAAGGTGTTGGTTCTTGTTGAACAATGGGATCTAAAGGTAAATCTGTAGTCTGAATCAGTAATAATTCGCCATTTTCAACAGGAGGGGCATCAGCAGCAGTATCAGCAGCAGTAGCATCAGTATCAGTAGTACCAGCGGAAATGGGTTCTTCCTTCTTTGTAAGATGTGCTGATAAATCCTTATTCATACCAAAACTATTGATACGATCCTGATCGAATATCTTTTTTAACTTTTCATCACACAAAATAAACCGTCTATCAGCAGGATCCTGAAGATCATTTCCTTTAATATATTTCCACAACTTTTGCACTAGCTCAGGTCTCGATAACTATTATTTTTCAATATTCAGTAAAATCATCCCCCACACACACAAACACATCTCATCTCTCTCTCTCACCTCTTTGTCGCCGTCCATCAGCTCCGACAACGCTGCACTCAGAATCAGTGGTTTATTCAATCCTGTCTTTCTTTTGGGTTTCGGTGGTGCATTCGGGTCAATCACTTTAGGAACCTTCTTCTTTTTGGCCTTGGGTTTCTTCTTTTGCACTTGTAACGTATCCAGTACAAGTTCATTCCCTCCTCCTCCTCCTCCTCCTCCTTCTCCTCCCACTCCTCCTCCACCTGTAGGACTCTTTCGTTTATTGTTATTATTACTATTTACCACCACAGGTTTATTTGGGTTGATCAGATTCGCTTGATTCAGATAATACATTTTTGATAAATTGGCTTCCTGTTGCTGCAACGTTTGGTTGTAATGCGCCATAGGGCTGTAGTTGGATATATAAGACGGCTGTGAATTCGTGCTACTTGCAGTACTACCATTGCTATTAAATCGTTGAAGTAATATCTGATGTTGTTGTTGTTGTTGGTGATGCTGTTGTTGTTGTTGCTGGTGATGTTGTTGTTGATGATGATGATTCTGTTGTTGTTGTTGTTGGTGATGTTGTTGTTGCTGTTGGTGGAGGAGATGTTGCTGCTGATGGTTCATTTGGGGATGCTGTTGGTATGAATGTTGTTGCTGCGGTGATGTAGCAGGGTACACGGGTAAATATTGCTGCTGCTGATGCTGCTGTTGTTGTTGTTGTTGTTGTTGATGTTGTTGATGCTGCTGATGCTGCTGCTGCTGATGATGATGCTGCTGCTGCTGTTGCTGCAACTGATGTAGATGCTGTTGATAATAAGCATTCGGTGAATAGGTTGGCTGATAGTGTTGGCCATCTTGTAAGGGTATGGATGGAGAAGGATAGAGGGTTGTGAAATCGAGATTATCTAGGAACGACGAGGATTGAGAATCACTTGCGTTGCTATGCGTGCTATTGTTATTACTATGGTTGATGGGAAACATGGTATTGTCTGTCAATTTAACTCCATAATTAGCGGTTGTAGCTGTTGTGGTTGCTGTAATTGTAGGTGAACTGGGAAAAGTAGTATGCAAATCTGTTTGAATAAGGAAGAGGGATAATCCAAAATAAAAAAAAAAGGGGATCTTTTGTAAATAAATAATAATAAAAAAAAAAAAAAAAAAGACATACACGGTTTCCCCGTCTTCTCCGCTTTTGTGCTCACACCCACCCCCCCTTTTTTTTTAAAAAAAAAAAAAAAATATTAAAATACTTGCCTTGTATAACTGAATTTCTATCCATCTTTTTTTTTTCTTTTCTTCTGCTCAGTGCTGATTAAAAAAAAGTTTCGCTCCAATGAAAATGCAAAAAAAAAAAAAAAAGAAAAAAAAAAATTTAAAAAAAGGCAGTAATGTTTAGAAAAAAGAAAAAAAGAAAGAGAAAAGAGAAATATAAAAAAAAATTATGGGGTGTTGCAAAAAAAAAAAAAAAAAAAAAAAAAAAAAGGAATCCAGTCGTTTAAAAAAAAAAAAAAAGTGTGACTTTGTATATGAGATCAAGGGACTTCGTTAGTTTATTAAAGGTAAAAGGCCATTTCAAAGGTATTTTTTTGCATGGAATAAGCGGGACGATTTCCCCTTAAAATCATGATGTCAGCAGCCTTCTTTCTTTTTCTTTACCTGGACACAGGGTTCAATCATAAATAGGTCTTGTTCAATGTAAAATGCTGCTGCTGCTGTTCCCCCCCTCTCTTCTTCCATCTATCAAATAAAAACTACAAGCATTGGAACAGTTATGCTTTGCCAGCAATACACTTTGTATCTCTCTTCTCACCCCCCACCGCTAATGCATAATGCCACACTTGTATCTCATGTTAAACAATAGAGTCCCTTATACCATAGACTTTTTATTTTTATTTTACATTTCATGAATTAGTGTACACACAGACGTCAGTTAAAAAAAGTAACCTTTTCTTTTTTTTTAATTTATTAAACGGCCGTCAAAATAATGAGACGTTCTTTTCTTTTTTTTTTTTTCTTCTTCTTCTTCTTTTTCATCAGCAAAGATTAAAAAGGGAAGACATGTCGCATAATTTACATCCTCCGGGGTCACCTTTATCACCACTGTCCCCACCTTCACCTTTAGCAAACGACCAACGTACGATTTACAATGTGATTTATTCTGCCGACAATCCTTCTTCGTTTTACGGTAGTCCTGCTCACCTCGTCAAGACTGGCGGTTGTCCTCATCTATGTCAGTTAAAGCAAAGGATCAAGGAAGGTAAAAGTGAGAACCTTTTGGAAAATTATCGAGCCTTGGTTCGTTATTCCATTGGTTGGCATAAGAGTAGAGATAGGAAGCGTAAATCCAAACAGGTAAAAAAAATAAAAGCAGCAACCAACAAAAAAAAAAAAAAAACTTATCTTTTTTTTTAAAACGCAGCAGCAACAACAACAGCTTCCGTTACCTCAATGCAGTACTTGCTCCGACCCACTCTCTCGTTTACATGCGTGTCTGCATTGCATCTATATCGGATGCTGGAAAAAGGGACACATCAAAGAGCATCAACAGGAAAAGAAGCATACATTTGGTTAGACTTAGATCATTATTTATACATATATAATCACCACCAACCTCACCCTTCCCCCCTTTCTTTTGTTTGTCTCTTGTAGCCATGGATTTTGATCGACACACTTTATTTTGCTACGAATGTAACGACTATATCTACGACGCCGAAATCGATGAAAAGATCGTTCGCGGTGAACTTCTTTACAGTACGTTATTTGATATAGATATAAGAAATTTTTTAACGTCGTGTCATTTAGAATCTAGAAAGAAGAAACGTATTCAGTATACACCATGGGAACCAACAAATGGAGATGCAACAGCATTGACCCGTCATGCATCCATCTCATCCTGTCAAGGCATTCGCGGACTTTGTAATATGGGAAACACCTGCTTTATGAACGTCATCCTTCAAAGTCTGGTTCACAATCCTTTATTAAAAGCTTATTTTCTCAGTGATCGACATAACCCCAAACATTGTCAAAAGGAGTTTTGCATGTGCTGTGAAATGGATAACCTCTTTGCGCAGGTATAAGGCATCTACTTTTTTTGTCGTATTCCCCCACCCCCCTTTTTTTTTTTTGCTAACGAACTTAAAAAACGCTTTCATAGTTTTACTCGGAGGATAAGAAGCCGTATGGTCCATGTCGATTCTTACAGTCAATGTGGATGAGTTTAAAGGAACTAGCAGGGTATGCACAACAAGATGCGCACGAATTCTTTATCAGCGCATTAAATAATATTCATGCTGGATGTGATGGTCAGAAATTATCGAATTGTGACTGTATTATTCATACGACGTTTGCAGGATTGTTACAATCCAATGTCACATGTCTGCGTTGTAGAAATGTCACCACCACCTGTGATCCCATGCTGGATATCAGTCTGGGCCTGAGACCTGTGGAGAAAAAGAAGAAGAACAATCATACCAAGGTTTTACCCAATGGCAGAAGAGTGAGTCTGGATGACCCTATTCGGTCCAATAAACAGGGTAATACCTTGTTGGATTGTCTGGATCGATATACACAACCCGAGAAATTAGGTCCTAATGAATACAGCTGTAGTAAATGCGGCAATACCTTCCAGGTTAGTTCAAACTTTTTTTTATATATATTTAATAACAAAATGCTGTTTCCCCCCCCCCGCTCATCTTTTTTTATATATATTGTGCTTATGTGTAGGAAGCGACAAAGCAATTGTCTATTAAACGTATACCTCCCGTGCTTAGTATCCAACTCAAGGTAAAACAACGCAGTTAACTATATGCCTTATAAAACAAACGAATTGACCACCCCATTCATATAGCGATTTGAACACGGTACCTCATCCACCAACAAGATTGAAACCAAGATCAAGTTTCCTGCTGAACTTGATTTGACACCCTACACTGCGAATAAAAAGAAGGACGCAGATAATGTATATACACTTTTCGCCGTTGTCAATCATCAGGGCAAGATGGACACGGGCCATTACACAATGTTTGCTAAACATAGAAACGAGGTAACAAACCCTGCCCACACACACATCTCCCCCCCCCCTTTTTTTTCTGTCTAATCATCTTTTTATAAGTGGTTTCGATTTGACGATCATCATGTCACTGTAGCCTATCAAAAGGACGTTCTCGATAGTAAAGCGTAAGGTCTTTTTTAAAGTGAAGATGGTTGTTTGCATCACTCATGGTTACTCTTTTTTATTAGTTACATGTGCTTTTACATTAAAAAGTCCTTGGAGTATAGCCATGTTACACCTACCTTAAACACCTTTCGAATCAAATTCAACCAAAACCCGGATCCGAATGGACAATAAAAAGAAAGGGGGAGGAAAGATCGGCCCCGAGAAAAAAAAGGTTCTGCAACTAGACCCGTAGATGTTACACATATTTTTTTTTTAGTGACTTTTTTATATAAAATAAAATAAAAAATTCTGTCCCCCTTTTCTCTTTTTTCTTCATCATCTGAATCATTAAACAATGGCCGTCATTTCAACTTTGGTGACATCACTCCCTTCTCTTAGTCATCTTGCACTCTATGCTTTTCTCGCTTTAGGTGTTTCTGTTATTCTTAACATCTTGAACCAACTGGTAAAAAAAAAAAAAAAAAACATGTCAACTTGTCAGTTGTTTAAAACCACTTTTTTTAAATGTGCACTAGTTTGGTCCCAAGAACACCAAAGCACCACCTGTAGTCTTTTCTTGGATTCCATTTATGGGAAATGCCGTTGAATTTGGCGTGTAAGTGTCTATATATTTTTAGTATGAAGGTTTGGCCCAATGAACTAAAAACAATAGATAAATATAGATCACCCATCAAGTTTTTACAGTCATGTCAAAAAAAGTACGGTGATGTCTTTACGTTTTATATGGTGGGACGACGTGTGACGGTCCTGTTGGGAGCGGATGGTAATCAATTTGTGTTCAATTCAAAGCAAAACCTGTCTTCTGCAGCCGAAGCCTATAACCATATGACCAAGTATGTATTTGGACCTGAAGTGGTGTATGATGCTCCTCATAGTGTCTTTTTGGAGCAAAAGCGATTTATCAAGGCGGGTTTAAATTCCGACTGTTTCCGTCAACATGTGCCCATGATTGTGGATGAAGTGGTAGATTTCTTTAAGGATTTCAAAAAACCTTCAGGTACATTTGATGCCTATCATACTTTTGGTTCCTTGATTATCTGTACCGCCTCACGTTGTTTGATGGGTAAAGAAATTCGTGCCAACTTGGATAAGAGTGTAGCTCAATTGTATTACGATTTGGATCAGGGTTTCCAACCCATTAATTTCATCTTTCCCAACTTGCCTTTACCTTCTTACCGTAAACGAGATGCAGCATGTAAAAAGATGGCGGAGGTGTACTCGGGTATTATTCAACGTAGAAGAAGAGAGAACGATAACACCAACTCGGATTTACTTCAGGCTTTGATGGATGCCAATTACAAGGATGGATCTCCTTTACCTGATCATCATATTGCAGGTATGATGATTGCTGTCTTATTCGGTGGACAACATACCTCGGCCACCACAACCGCTTGGACACTTTTGGAATTAGCAGCACGTCCTGATCTGATGCGTGCTTTACGTGAAGAACAAATCGCTAAATTAGGTTCTTTAAAGACCGATCTTACCTTTGAAAATGTCAAGGAATTAACCTTATTGGAAAACTGTGTACGTGAGACTTTACGTCTTCATCCTCCCATCTTTCAAATGATGCGTAAGGTCATTGCCGACAGCGTTACTTTTGAAAAGACGGGTCATGAGATTCCCAAGGGTAATTTCTTGTGTGCTGTCCCCGGTGTCACTCAAGTAGATGAAACTTATTTCAATGACCCACTCACGTATAACCCTATGCGTTGGGTGGATTTGACAGATCCCGTGCATGCTATGGAGGCAGGTGATGATGCTAACGTGGATTATGGTTTTGGTGCTGTTGGTATCTCTTCCAAGAGTCCCTTCTTACCATTTGGTGCTGGTCGTCATCGTTGTATCGGTGAACAATTTGGTTACCTTCAAATCAAGACCATCATTGCCACCATGATTCGTCTCTTTGATCTTGAATTAGAAGAAGGTAAATCTGTACCCAAGTCAGATTATACTTCTATGGTTGTCGTGCCTGAAAAACCTGCCAACATCAAGTATACTTGGAGAGAATAATAGACCCCCCTTTTTTTCTTTTTCTTTTTTTACTGTTTTACTCTGTTTTATATATCTACTTATTAATTACTGTGGACTCATCCCCCATCAACATCCTTTTCCCCCAATAAACTAAATTCTACAGCTTCCTCCTTCAAGTTTTGTTTCCTCCCAAAAGACACATGTTTTCTAGTTCGTGTCTTGTAACAAACTCGTCCTTGATGTAAGACTTCTAGTTTCTGTTTATCGTCAATAGAGGGGATGGACTCTTTTTTTTTTACTTGTATGATTGCGCTTCAAGGGTCTCTCATTCAACAACGAATCATAATTACAACTCTAGTTCGCCTAGACCAAAGACTAAATATAAATTTCAATGCAACTGTTTAAAAAAAAGAAAATTCAGTCGGAGTAACAAACTGAATTTATTATTTACGACGTCGCATAATACTATTTTATCCCGTTTTGGGGTTGAACAGTTATATGTAGGGATTGTAACAGGATAGCGAAAGAGACAGTGACGAGACTTAGGATGATACTGAACCTAAGAAATCCCATGAAACAGCGATAGAGACCCCGCACAGTGAATACGATGATGGAGAAGAGTGCGTAGAGGACGAGTGTGGCGAGGACGACAGGGACAATCTCGTTCTCTTGTGGATGGACGGGCATGATGGTGTTTAAGACGGTAAGGTAGGTTCGTACAATGGCTGGACTGTGGTTGTAAATTACGGATAAAAGATGGGAGACGATTTCAAAGAGTTGTGTAGGTGGAGGTGCATGGACTTGAGCTCCCACTTGATCATAAAAATAAATATACCATTTTGAAAGTACTTCTGCAACAATCATGTCCATTTTTAAATAAATAATTTAATATATATATATATGTGTGTATGTGTGTTCTTCAAAAGAAAAAAAAAAAAGAAAGGGAGAAAAAAAAACAAGAAAGTGTGTGTGTGTGTGTGTGTGTGTGTGTGTGATTTTTTTTTTTTTTTAGAAAGTATGACAAAAAAACCAATTTTTTTTTTGACCCGGGTGTAGATTTATTCTTGCTTAATTTGAAAGAGTTTGACATGTGTGCCATTCCAAGGTCCACACTCCTTCATAGAAGAAACGTAATTCTGACCCCACATCATACTACGAAACCAAATCACTAAGGCTTCTCCCCATTGAAACTTTCGCATAAACATCACCTGTTCCCCCGCCGCCGCTGGTGGGTAATTATGTAACTTTAAAAATTGCATTAATTCATCCAACGTCACATTAGCATCTTTGCATTTTTCTTCCACCTGCGGTAACAAGTCTCGGATCAATTCCAATAGAACATGCAATGGTAATTTCTCTTTCCAAAATGCCATCCAAGATTCCGTAGGTTGGAAACCTTCGGTTGATTTCACGGGTTCTTCTTTGTTCATTTCTCCTGCAGTGTCATCCTCGCTCGTTTGAGTGGTCATCGTCTCGGTTGTCTCTTTGGTCTCTGTCTCTCCTGCTACTTCGGCTTTCTCTTCGATAGCTGCATCCTCTGTCTCAGCTGTATCCTTTGCTACGGATCCTTCCCCACTTGTTGTCATTGCATCTGTTTTTACTGATGTATCCTCGGCTGCTGCTGCTGCTGCTGCTGATGCTGCATCGACTGGCTTGTCCTCGGCTAATACTTCTGTTACCACTGACTTGTCCTCGTCTACTGACTCTTTTACCACTGACTTGTCCTCGGCTACTGACTCTGTTACGTTGGATGCATCCTCAGCTGTGACTAGGGGTGCATCTACTGATGTGACCTTGGCTGTGGCTAAAGATGAGGATGCATCGACTGACGTATCCTCGGGTTGATCCACTGTAGTTGAACCTTCCTCGTCCCTGATTTCCTTCATTTTACGCACTTTTTCCACTTGGACCAGCGCATCATCAAAGGTCATGGCCTGTAATTTCTCAAAATCCGCATGATGTAGCACGACAGAGTAAATCAAGTTTGAATTCTCCTGTGGAGTATGGCGAATGATATTATTGAAGGTTTCCAAAAGATAAGCGACTAGTTGGAAATTGTATTCATCGGCAAATAAAAAGGTAGGGGAAGACATGGATTGGAAAAGACTCATGAGTTTAGAGACGGTGGTAACACCCAGGTTGATGCAGTAAGGTGAAATATTGGCGATGGTCAAGATGAGAGCCGGGTACAAGCTAGAGAGTCTTCCCTGTGTGGTGGCTATCAAATGAAAAATGGACTAGGAGGGAAAAAAAAAAAAAAGTTAATATTTCTTTTTGGTGTGGGGATCTCTCCCACATCCTGTAGAAAAGTTTTTTCCTTCTTCTTACAATGATTAAAAAGTCTGCATAAGTGCCATGAAATGCATACAGTCGAATAGTGGAGGGTAAGGAGGAATGCGTGGTAAAAGGTTTGTTGAGTTTTTCACTGAATTCCTTATTAAAAGATAAGGTTTGAAGCATAAATGCGCACATACGCACCAACCCTATTTGAGCTGTTTTTTTTAGGTTGCATATAAACATTGTGTTGTTAAAGTTAGTTTTTATAAAGAATGCATGATTTTATCACTTACATAATTTATCCTTGTTTTCCACTGCATGAAAAACTAAAGCTACGGTTAAATCAAGTACACGATCAGTTTCTACCAAATACTTTGTAAATCTCTATAGACCTCGATTGTCAGTATCATTTTTTCTCTTTCGCCCCCCCCCCTTCATAATCCCTTTTTTTTTCATTTACAGTATTTGTCTCGATCAGTCGCCAACACATCATCATGACATCAATATAACATCCTACACGCTTAGTTGAACCCGGTAAATAAGTATTGACAGCTGTCATTGGATTAATCAACAATCGATGAATGCCGTTCATCAAGAACTCAAAGTCCTTCTTTCGATGAAGTTTTGACATGTAATGTCTAAAGGCGTTTTCTTCATTGGGATAATGACCATCCTCCATCGAAGGTGTGAATACCTCTAATTCCACACTGGTTTTGGGTAGAGTGGATGGTTGTACGGTATCGATGGTGATCGTACCTTCTTCTCCCTGCTGATGCTGATGCTGACGTAATATATCCGCTGCTTGACGCGGGGATCGATAATCCAGCAAGATGAGTAAAGTGGTCAAACAAAAGGAGACCAATTGCTCTCGTGGACCACCGACGACCACATGATTGTAAGGAACCCAGCCCGTGGGATCGTAATTACACACGGTATTGAGTAGACTACATAAAGTCACCAACACAATTTTGCGTTCAGTCTGTACGGCTACAAAACGAAGCCAAGGATCTTCTCGTACCAGTAATTGAGACGGTAAGACGTACATGGATTTGGATAAGAGTACGGCTAATAATCGAAGCACTTCGGTACGGTTGGATTCGTTGTCCTTGTAAGTGGAAATGGGGATCGAGGAACCAACACCGTTTTCCCAAATGGCATAGACGATTTTGGATTCCTTTGTGGCGAATGAAATAGGTAATGTGAACCCCGCTAAAAACAAAGACTGAATCGTCACTACGAAGGTAAAAAAAAAAAAAAAAGGGTTTAGTTGCGTGGCGGGTAGGACAAGGTTCTTCTAATGTTTTTACATGTTAAGAGTAATTCACCACGACATGGTAGCATGTCATATTCAGGCTTGGTATCGGCTGTGGCCTCCACATTCGTGGTGGTGGGTTTTTCGACTTGACGTGGAGTCCAAAAGAAACTTTCTTCCCATGGTGTGTCTGTTTCAAACACAAAGGGCATTATGCGAGTCATGACACGACAGCAATTCAACAAGTGATTTATCGAATGTTGTTCTGAAGGGAAATGACTTGATTCTAAAATAGCTTGCATTTTTTCTAGGACCTTTTTGAAATAATAATAAAAAAAAATGTTAGTTCACTTCTTCTTGGCCCACTTTTTGTGTGTGTGTGTGTGTGTGTTCTGCTTTATTACTTTGTCTATTAAAATTTCAAAGTTTTCTCGAGCGGTATCTCGCGTGCGTCGAATATCATTGGCACCAATCAAGGAAAAGATATCATCAACGGATTCAGGCAAATTCCAAAACTAGGGTACAAGGTTAATCTAACTTTATCAGTCTAAAAAAGAGACTTTTGATTGTTGTCTTTCTCTCTCTATTTTACCAGTTCCCAAAAATCATTCTCTGTTACTGAAATAGTCTATACAATAAGAAACGTGTTATAGAGAGTATATCACAACTGAGGAAAAAAATAGGTGTGTGTGTTGGTATACCTTGTCTTCGTATAAACGAAATACGCTTTTTCGGAACGTTAGTTTACTATCTGTGGCTCCCATATCAGATAAAGAAAGAAAAAGAGAGAGAGAGAGAGAAAAAAATAGAAAGCGCTACTTATAAAAATAAAAATAAAAAACGTCACTTGTGAAACAAGTGATAAAATGCATGTATACACCTATTTAACAAAGAAGTATGACATTATATCACTCTTTCTTTCTCCCCTATTTTCATTAAAAAGAAAAAAAAAATGCTTAAACAAGACAGCAAAAATAAAGGAATGGAAACCAAGCAAGTTGTTCCGATTGATCCCATGTCCTTGAGCACCAAAGCACGAAGACGTATGCGTACTTCACGTGAAGAAACTGCTATTCTGGAAGACTTTTATAATAAGAATCCTAACCCTAGTAACGGTGAAAAGGCAGAGATTGCTAATACTGTCAAGATGGGACCAAGAAACGTTCATTTCTGGTACTTGATCTAAACTACATTCAACCCACCACTATCTAATACATCTTGGTTTAGGTTTCAAAATCGAAGAGCCAAAGATAACAAGAGACGTAAAATGATTAGGTTAAGACAACAAGGTCTCTCTTTTTTTTTTTTGGTATAAGCATGTCATTTTATCACTGATATATAGATATGTATATTTTAGCGCAACAACAATGCCCCAATGGTCAATTCACTTATCAAGAATTACCCAATGTTACAAAGGGTAAAGACAAATTAAATTTACCTCCCATTTCTGCATTCATGTCATCCCCGCAACAACAACAACAACAACAACAACAACAACAGCGTTGGTCTGGTCTATCCGTTCCTTTTTATTTTCACCATGCCAAGTTTGGTATTGCTGACTGTATGGTTCAATGGTCCAAGGGAAATGAAGACCCCTATTAAATTTTTTAATTTAGGAGCCATTGACTCTTTTTTGTTTGCTTTTTTTTAATCAAATAAACACTTTTTGACATTTTGCATAAATACTTTAAAATTCGGATAGCGACTTTACTGTACCAGATTTCCATTCAAAATAGCTGAATGCCAGTATGTTTTAGGATATCTAATCGACCAAGGCAATCTTCTGTCAAAGCAACTTCTTCAAGCGACCTTGATTTTAAGGATCAAAGTATGGAAAGAAGTAACTGTTAAAAAAGATATAGTTAAATCTTGGCCGAAAAAAAAAAAGCCTCGTCATTAGATATAAAAAACATCAAGATGTATGCTATTGTAGATAGTGGTTCTACAAATGCTATGGTACATCCTTCCTTTGTTGACGCTTACGCTGTTTATATGATACAAACAATGGGGTCAGAACGTTGGCTACCACTCTGTTATATTCCTTTTTTAAAGGAGCCTACAAGATCAAAGTAAGAAGATAGTCTTAAAGATTGAGCAGGGAATCAAACTAAATTGGAACTAAATATCCCTAAGACTGGGTTTACATTACTGACAGCATACACTTACGCAGTTATACATATTAAGTTTAAAGGTCGCCGTTCAGGTATTTGGGGGGAGGGGGATTATTTACAGACAGTTGAAAAGAAGAGAAAATCTTTCAATAGTTTTAGTTCTTGGTATCAATTAGTTTAAAACATTAAGCTAATGGCTGATCATTATTTAGTATGCTAAGTTGTAACAGTATCAAGCAATATATTTTGGAATTGGGGTATTTGGCATTCGGATGATTTTGCCAATAAAATCATAATGGACATTGCTGTGGAGGCCTGGACCGGCAATGAACGCCCAGCAGTATTTACCCCGTCAAAATAGGTTATACGCCACATAGAACGTGGTTGTATTTCGATCTCTGGTGAAAAAACACTAAATACAATGCAAGTAATGAATCTTACCCTGATCATATTATTGTCCTGAAACTAAACGTTGTTTGAATTTAAGGTGTGAAAACTGTATGCATAACCTTTTTTTTATATGACAATGAGACATGTTTTAAACTACCGCTTAAAAAAGCGTCCAGGGCAAAAAAAGCAACCTCCCCTTTATTTATTTATTTCTTCTTTTACACATTATAGATTAAACGCAACGATTCAATGGAACTATTACCGACTAACAACAATAACAGTGATGGAACACGTCGTTTTAAAAGAGCTTCTTCCATGCCGCTTATACTCACTCGATTAGTTCGCTTTCCACAATTGGATTTTGAGGTACACTCTTTCTCTCTTTGCCTGATTACATTAACTAATCTCTATTGTTTTCATTATAGTTTGCACTTTGGCAAATGGCTTACCTGGTTATTGCACCGAGAAGAGTGTAAGCACACACAAATACATGAGGACCCTGCGTTAACCTTTTTTCTTCTTTTTTCTTCTTTTTCAGATATAGAAATATTTATTACCACAAACGTAAGTCTTTAAAATAAGGTTAAAAAAAATTGAAGGCATTAAAGCAGGGTTATTATGCAGAAACCAAAAATCAATGGGCAAGAGATGATCCAGCCTTTCTAGTGTTATTAGCCTCGTTATTATGCGGTAAGTAGAAGGGAGCGAGAGAGATAAAAGTGAATAAGAGAAGTAACCTATTACATAGTGTCAGCGTTAGCGTGGGGAGTGGTATTTGGGCTGGGAATGGTGGGTATTTTGAGAGCCATGTTATTTATGGTTGTTGTGGATTTTGTGCTTGTGGGATCACTGGTGGCCACTTTGACCTGGTTTATCACCAACCGATTTTTATGTCAGCAGGGTAAGATGATGACCCAGGATAGCCAAGTGGAGTGGGCCTACGCCTTTGACATTCATTGCAATTCGTTCTTCCCGTTATTTCTGATATTGTACATTGTCCAGTTCTTTTTCTTGCCAGTGTTAATCAAGAGTAATCTGGTGTGTTTGGTAGCAGCTAATATACTCTACCTTGTGTCTGTGGCCTGGTACTGTTATGGCACATTTTTGGGATTTAATGGTAAAATTAGAGAGAAGAGTAAGAAAAAAAAAAGTACGATAAGTAACGGAAATTTTTTTTTTTGCGCATAGTATTACCATTTTTAGTACATACCGAATTGTTGCTGTATCCTATTATCGGCTTCGTGGTAGGATTTATACTTTTATCCGTCTTTCGCGTCAATCTTTGTGAGAATGTCATTGGGTTCTATTTTGGTTGGAGTTGAGAATAAAGTTTTTCACCCCTTTTTTCCAAAAGCAAGCAAAATCGGGGTTCTCTTTTCCTAGTTACATGCAGCATTTTATCCCACGTTCGTTGAAATCGGATCGAAAAACAATATTTTTACGCCCAGTACGGCGCAACCGTAAATAAATAATCCCTTTAGCCAAAGTGCAGCAGCAAGTAAATGAAGGCCAAATAATGTTACACGCCAATTGGAGTGTTTCTCTTTACTATTTATAAGTTTCTCTCTGTCTCTTTAGGGGAGGACAAAGAGTTGCATCGTGATGAGTTGTTTAGTTGACAGTTTTCCGACAGAAACTAGCCTGGATATGGGGTTTCTATTCTATTGTGATTCCCATCCCCAATACGTGGATTTTTTGATAGAACCCCATGGTATGGTAAGTTTGAGGCTTTGCTTGTTTTCCCCTCTATATAACCCCATGAGACTGGTAAACGAACATGTTTGTAAATATTACTGTAACTTATTAAGTTATCATGCCATAATTAGTATCGCCAATGAGCTTTGTTAGTTTATCAGTGATTAAGTTTTTTTTGGTGTCAACAGAATAAAGAAAGAATCAACACTTAATTACCAAAGACGGAAGTGTGTGCTATAGAACAAAACTGTTTCTAAGGGGGATCTAACCTAATAAAAACTTATTATTTGTATGTTATATGCCGTCATTTACAAGAAAAGAAGAAAACCTCTTCCATTTATATCTCGAACGTTCCTTTTCTTTCTAAATATTCCCCTTGAAATTTTGTACTTAATTCACATGGGGGCGGGGGTTTTGTAATAGCCTATCTGCATATCAGTCAGCCACAGCCATCAAATCATGCCATGGCTCAACTAAACCTCACACGACTTTTTTTTTTTTTTGTGTGTGTGATTGCCTAGAACTTTCCTTTTTTTTTTCTTTCTCTCTCTCTCTTAAGACTGTGTGTGTGCGGATTACGCAAGAAAATGTTTATTTATATTTAATACCCCTCCTTCTCAATCATCATTATATATATATATATATATATATATACACACATTTATATACAAAAATAAAAAAGCGACTTTGCCCTTGTTAATCAACCTAATCTGTTTCAAAACAGCCTTAGACCTCACGCTTCTTTCCCTTTTGACAGTAAGAACAAGAGAAAATCATTGGTGCGTTTGTAATCCGGGATAAACGGTGGCAAATCAGTTGTAATTGAGACAATGGAGAAAAGAACGGTAAATAAAATTAAAAGAAGCAAAAAAAAAAAAAAAAAAAAAAAAAAAAATTGTTCAATGTATTTATATTTAAAACAATTCTAGACCTTCCCTAGTTAGTCTCAATTGTATCACCATTATAGACTTTCTTCTGTATGACAGCTTTTTTTTTTCATACTTTTGCATTAAGCCAAAATAAAAAAAAGCTTAAACTGAAAAAAAGAGTGAGCAATTTATATACTTGTGCAACGCCAAAAACTTTTTTTGTTTTTCTCCCTAAAATATTTGGTATATAAATGTTATGATATTTCCCCCTCTTTTCATTTTACTTTTTTCTTTTTTTTTCCCCATTATTTTTTTTCCCCATCAATGTCATCATCACCATTAGCACCACCTGCTTTTTATTATAATTCTACTTTTACCATGAATGAGTATTTCAGCAATAACAGTCATGATAACGAAGGATTCTTTATGCCAGAATTCTCTCATCATACTAGTTACTCCAATCATGTCTTTACCGGTTGTAGTGTCAAGGACAATATGATGGTTGCTATCAAGGGAGAGGGAGATTTGATCCCCAATGATCACTTATTCGATTTCTATGGTACGCCTTATTCTACACAGCCCTATGATTTCATGACAGCCTCTGCTTCCTCATCCTGCTCTCCTCCACCATTATTATCACCCGAATTTAACAACGGCTTTTATACATCACCTTCAACCACCTCAACAGGTGACAACCATTATTTCTATGACACACGGATACAAGAATATCCCTTGATTAAACCCGAGTTGACATTTACCACGACAACCAGTAACTATGAGGTTACTACGCAACGTCATTCGTCACCCGAATCCAGTTGTTCTGTTGCTTCGCACAAAAAGATGTTCTCGTGTAATTACTGCAGTCGATCCTTTGCCCGCAAATACGATGTAGCAAGACACAAGCGTATTCATACAGGTGTAAAGCCATATGTCTGTCCTTGTTGTTCGAAGGGCTTCTCGCGTTCTGATGCTCGAGTTCGTCATTTCCGAACCGAGACCCTATGTAGGGATGGTGCTGAGAGGCTGGGAAAACAACGTCGACATCTAAAGAGCTGCATTTGAAATCATTCACTTTCATTTTCATTCATACTTCTTTTATTTATTATTCATCTTGTCATATTGAATGTTGATCACAAATTCTGATCCCCACTCGTTCTACCTTTTTCCCTTCATCTTGCATGCTTTTATTATTCAATACATCCCCCCCCCCTTTTTTTTTTTTTTTTTTTTTTTTTTAATTCATCATTTGTTATTGTACTCTCATGAGAGTTTCTTTATCCTTCTTTTTCTCCTTTTTCAGACATCATTACTATATCACTCATGCCCTCTTCATTTTTTTTTCGCCCCAAAACTTTATGTTGTATGATTTTTCTCTCTAGTTCTTTTAATAAATTAATCATTATTATTTATTTCTGTATGTGTTTACCTAATTTATGAGTGTGGTTGTCGGACGATCAGAATTCCATTTTTAGATCTTTTTTCATTCTTTTTTCTTCTGTGTGAGATGGCGTGTGTAGTCATCACGCATACAAAAAAAAAGCTTAATAGATCGACCCCCTTGATAGCGTGTTTCTCATTTTAAGCTTTTTTTTTTTTTTTCTCAGAACAAAATATCACTCCTGATTATCGATATAATGTATAACGTAATTTGGGGAAATATAAACATGACGTTAAATGGGTCTATAAAAACCGCAAAATAAAAAAGAGAATAGCTAAAATAAGATTAAACCCGGTTGATTATGCATACGTGTGATATCACATGAATTCCTTTTTTTTTAAAAACATGTATTATAATACAAGATTTTTTAATTTTTAATTTTTTTTTTTTTAGAAATCGGTCTATCGATATTATCGACAAATTAAAATGCATCAAAAAATGTCCAGGATAGTAAAAAAAAAATTTATGTATAAATCAGGGTAAAAGAAATAGAGGAGGTTTTAGGGAGAAATATTATAATAGAAAAAAAAAAAAAGAGTCGTATATATATAAATAATAATGGATGGTGGTAATAATGATGGAACAAATAAAGGAGTATATTTCCTTTAGTAGTCATCCACAACATCTATTTCTTCCGTAAAGTTGTTCCATTTAAATAAGACCTGTGTAAATATTGATCCTAAACACACCTGCACCACCCAATGATATAAAACCGTCCATGCGATCTGATAGAGATACTTGGGTGAAAATACCGTCCAGATGAATAAGTGTTCTCGCAGGATCGTCACTGAGATGGACAGGAACCCTAAAACAAGGCTAAATAAGCTGGACTGAGTCACCATGTAGGAGATCCACCTGCTGTCCTCCTCTTCTTCTTTTGTCTGTTTCTCCTGCTCTTGCTCCGGCTCCTCCTCATTTTCAATCAATACCCATCCAGCCATACACCACCAGATACTGCAAGCCCAATTCGAACAAAACGTGAGAACACCGATAAGTAATGTGTCATATTCTTGTACTCCCACGTACGCATTACTCAAATCAATCGTCGCTATAGAATTTGTGTGCCCTGTCAGGTAGAACCCGCCTTGGCTCATCCCACTTACCAGCATACTGATAAGCCAGACAGGGATCCCAATTTTCTTGCATGCCAAATATTTTTGCCATTGTAACAAAACAAGTAACTGTAAATAAAAAATCACAAAAAGGAACGCATGCTGACATTCACTCAGGAGTATCCAGATGGGAGTACTCAAGTGTAACAGTAATTGTAAAAAGACACCTGTCTTTTTCTCTATTATAAAAAATAAAAATAAAACAAAGGGATCAACACATATACACACACACGCACAAGCACAATACGCTATACCTGGTCGGGATTCTCCCATCGTCAACAAACTAGCTCTTTTGGTAACATAGAACAAACCACATAAAACAAATATTCCGGCCCCTTGATAATTAAAAATTAACTTTCCCAATTGCACTTGATCCAAATCCCGGACAAGTTCCCAATTTAAAAGCTCCTTGTAAAAAAAAACTTCGGAAGCTTGTGCCGCCATCGTCGTTGATTCTCCTTGGATCTTGTATACAAGCACAAGAATAGAGTTTAAAACATGAATCAAAACAAGTGCTGCCTTGACAATGTTTTGAATGATGCTGGCCGTCTGGTTTACATCTATCATTTGTCGTCCCTTCAACTCTTTCATCGCCTTTAACCCTCCTACAACAGATACTGTCAGGGACAACGCCATCAGATGCCACTGCGCTGCTGGGTAGGATAACATCCATGCCTGGATATGACCCCAGGAGAATCCGATACGGACAAACACCAATTGTGCCATGCATAGACCAACCGGATACAACTTTTCACCAAGTGTTTGCATGATGGGTAAACGAAGACTGCAGTATATTTGTTGTGAGTACAGAAATACCAAAACAATGGGAAAAACTTACACATGGATGACGGATAAGAAAAAGAGAGTTTGTGTAATGTAATACCAAGTCATTTGTTCTTCTTCCACAAAACTACTAGAAAACATACTAGCAGAATATGACAATATAGAAAAACAAGCAAATAATCTACAAAAATTCCAATCCACGTGGGTACTTTTGGAAACTTGTGTCGCCCATACCGTCAATCCGATAGCGCTACTCACCAAAAATACCACTCCAGCACTCATCATCTTTAAGTTGTAATCACTGGACGTTTTTACAAGATATGATTGGGCAATTTCAATAAACTATTCAAACGACAAAAAAAAAAAAAAAAAAAAAAAAAAGAAACAAAATTATACCACCCGAATTGGATTATATCGCCGGGTGAGTAAAATATAATAACAATAACAAATATTTTTTTTTATGTGAATGTTTTACCTTTTTATAAGCTTCCATCGTTTCCTTCCCCTCTGTTCCCGTCTCCAAAAACTGTTGATGGCTTCGAATAGCTTCTGCATAATATCGACCTGGTGAATCGTCTTCCTCTTTCAAATTCACATCCTCTATAAATCTAGAAACTTCTGGAAATAGTCTCGACAATAATTGTGCCAATTGATACGCATTCAATCCAAGTCCATGAAGCATTGATTTTACTATGCTCACCAATGAATACAGTATCCCACTTTTTATATAGACAATAATACTACACTTACCATCGCTCGTGCCAGACAGATTCGAAATTACTTTTCCCAGATTGTTTTTGGGAATGGGGAACCCAAAGAGTGTGGCCAATGTAGGCACGATATCAATCTGATCTATTATGGGATGTCCCATCACGACGTCCTTCCCTTCCAATCTCGGAGACGTCTTAATTGAGGGACGTGATTCAAATCTCGGACTTAAAAATACAAGTGCCTATCAATCAACTTTTTTTTTTAGTGTTTCCCAACAACCTTTTTTTTAATAATCCATGTTTCTTATTACTGCAGAGGTTTCTCCGATTGAAGATCCACCGTGATTTCCTTTCTAGAAGTTGGCCGCGAATAAATGTGTGATTAAGACCCTTTCTTTTTTTTTCGATTCCTTGATATGATCCCATTTATACCTCATTCATGCCATGATCACCACATACTACCATCAAGGTGCCCTTGGCTTTGCTGTCATGCACCATGCGATCCGCATCTTGCTTGGAAATAATCTCATATATGCTTTCGATTGCCTCATCCATCTCTCGTTGTTTAGGCTTCATTAAGGGACTCTTGGGGCCACCTAAATGACCGATATGGTCCAATCCTAAATAATGCAAAATCACGGCATCCCAATCCATCTCTACCAAATCCGTCTTTATATGTCGAGTTACATTTAAATCCACTTCCACTGTATCCTATTCCATTCAATTCACGCCGAAAAAGGGAATGTTAGCTTTCTGTTGGTTCCCCCTCATTTTTTTATATTCTACCGAAACAAGAAATGAAGTGGTGCCATCGGTTTTATCAAATACACCAGGAAATAATCGCATCCAAGTATCGTCTCCAAAGAAATGAATCGTCTTGTTGTTGCTCTTGAACTGATGGACCCAATTGTCGTGGAAATCCAGTGAGGAACTCGTATCCGATTCAGCAATGTTCAAAATCGCGTCTAAAAAACTAGGGATTGTACCTGTTGTCATGGCTTTGATACGAGGCATGGTTACTGTAGGTGCGGTAGCCCTGGCTGTAAAAGCTGAAGCGGCTCCTCTCTGAATCTGGCTATTCTATTGGTTTTAAAACACACGTATACTTTGTCTTCCCTTTCCCTTCTTACCTGTTGATAAAGTCAAACCCGGAATCGTTTCCCAAAATAAAGTCGCTATTTTGAATTCCATCGTGTTAATATACATTTTCAACAACTTGGGGTTTTTTTTTTTTCACCATTCATGCAAAATCTTACTTTCGAAGGGCATCAATGACAACAAATACCAGTCTGTCAAATTCAGCTTCGTTATGCAAGTCTTTCAACAATGCCGGCACGTCATCCTGTGTCGCATGGCCCGAAAGATAAATTTTGTAAGGAAAGAATCCTTTACAAAATAAACAGATTCCAACCAGTTGAAGTAAGGCCAGTATACCCAGGTAAAGTGGCTTTCGACCTATATTCAACATTCTTGTTGAGGATTAGAAATAAGTAAGAAAACAACAACAAAAATTACAGTAAGGCACGCGTTCTTCTCACCCCGATTTGGAAACCCCGGGGAGGCCCAAGAGTCACGATTGGCCAAGCCGGGACGGGAAGCCCATTTTTTTGCATTCAGCCGTAGAAAGAGGTAGCAATCGATACAATTTTTCATGATGATTGTGTATATGGTTAAATATATCGTCTTCCTTGACTTATGTTACTTTAATTTTTCATTAGTTAACTTACCCCTTTGGACTGTCGATATACATCCAGGCACCAAAAAAAAAAAAAAAAAAAAAAAAAATGCCACTAACCGCGCAAGCAGAAATTGAAAAACAAATGTTTCCCTCCCCAACAATCCTCTAATTTTTTATCGATTTTTCTTTTTAATACGCACTGCCATCGTATTCCAAAAAAAACCGTTACTGGATGTATGCAATGCGTTGCAGGTTTATGTGATTCGCGGAGTCCTGGTACCAAATCAACAGCATAATGTAAATTTAATCCGTGGCAACTTTTACTATAATAGATTGTTCAAATCCAAACGTCCCGGCGTTTTATAGACTATTGAGGGCAGCAGAAAAAGAGACATGAACATAAACTGAGTTTCATTTTTTGGATTATCCTTGTGCATATGTGATTCTAAGAGTTACACACCTGATTCACCCATATGTATGCTTACTGTTTTGGTCGCTTTTACTCCCATATAGCAAAAAAATGGAAGATTATTATGATTACTCGCAACATAAATCTTGTATCAGCTTCAGTAAGCGGTTTCCCTTTTTCTAAAAAAAAAAAAAAAAAAAAAAAAAAAAATAGAAATTCAATGATGTTTACTTGAAATAAAGCTTTCGACTTTAGCGACATCATGTCAAAGTACATCACCATTGATGACCATGTTCAATCTTGGGTGGACTTAAGGTGAGCAGTTAGCCTTAAAAAATTTCTGCGAAGTTTCTTTTGACCCAAATGTTTTTCTTTACAAAAAAAGTGGAATAAAAACAGAACTTCCATCAATTTTGTATGATACAACCAACGAGACTGTCATAGCCAGAGGCATTTCGGCTGAATACGCCAGGTCAAAATCCAAAACCCATGGGAAAAATTTCTTTTATTTGCGCAACATTTTTAGCGAGCTCAATAACATTTATTCGAGACTACAGCAAAATTCTTCCAAGGCATATGACAAGATTTGTTTAGAAGAGGCGATAGCTGTTTTACATCAACGGGTTGAATATTGGAAAGAACTATTGGACAGCTCAAATATAGACTTTTACTACGCATTTACTCTACCCACACAATGGGACCCTGAAATAAGGGAGGGATTAATTAGACCTCTTTTTATAAAAGCAAACCTCATTCATGAGAGTGATGGTCAAGGCAGATTAATTTTTTTCACAGAGTTACAATCTACTTTCCGGTATATGCAGTTGGGGTCTTTTTCCGATAAAAATATAGAAGCACAGTCTGGAAAGCAATATATCATATGTTCATTGGATTTGCAAACCGAAATATTTGTAGATCTAGAGTTAGTCTCAGCCCAATATCCTCCTGCTTTAAAAGCAATAGATAGTAACTATGTTCCACAGTTATTGAATCACACTCGTTTTACGATACCCTTTGGCCCCAACGAAATTAGATTGCTACTAACGTCATGTCTAAAAAAATATTGTAAAACTATACAAGCTTTAGAGATTATTGACAAAATGTTTGGACAAAATTATTTGCAACAATTTGTGGTAGATCAAATTTATATTACATAATGAATTCCAGAAAAAGTAATTTTTTTTTGTAGGCCTCAAATAGTTTGCCTTTACATGATCCCTTACCGCTTTATCCATTTCGTAATAATGGAGCTTTTAATACAGAACAATCCGAATTAAAGAAATCTGAAATCGATGCAATACAAGCAATAACTAGAGAGGAAGTTTTGGAAAACTTTTTTAATTCTGCCAGAAAAACATTTATCGATCATATGCATGTTTTACTCCAGTGTACAAGCAATGTAAAGACCAGGTCTATGATAATATTTCATTCGGATCAAATAGCACACAATTTTATCACAATCGATCTGTTAAAACGGATAGAAAATTGGTCAAAAACTTACGGTGAAGAAGAGAAGAAGAGTTTTTTCAAATTAATCAGAAACGGTGAAAAATTAAGCTTCAATCTAGACATAGACCATACACAAGCTGGAATGGCTAGTCTTTTGAAAACACAAATGCAAGACTTTAACATGTCCCGGGATCCAATTATATTGCCACTTATGGATGCGAAAACAGAGCAATTTCAAAGCTCCTTGAAGCCGATTTATTTTATTACCATAGGTAAAAAATAGGCCTGGATTTTACAATTTGTTGCTTACTAACCTATCTTCATAATTGAGCAGCCATACTGCCTACAAATATCAATGTTAATGTCACATACCTAGATGAAAATGCTAAATTTAAACAGACAGAAAATATTAAATGGTAAATTCCAAACATACGATCATAAATTTATAAATATCAGAAAGAAAGTGTAAACTCAATATTCATTGTTAGTAATATACAGCCATTGGATAGCTTCATCATAAAATCTGAATTGTATCAACGACCAGTACTTTATACGAATAACAGGTAAGTATAATTTAAAAGTGCATTTTTATCCATTAACTTTCATTGTAATGTAGACTGAAGCTGCACCTAAGGAAAGTCTTTGGCAGCTATCTTAATATGTACTCGAAGCCCATCCGACAAACTAGGACGAAGAGCCCACTAAAAAGTCTTGGTTTAAAACTTTTCACTCAGTGTTTAAGAAAAGTTAAAATGAAAAGTGCGTTTGTCAATCGTTGTAGGATAAAAACAAGTCAAAATTGTTCAAAGGATATTAGAAATTTGTTTGTTTACCCAAAACCGAAGCTACTTGAACGATTAACTAAAAATGTAAAAATGGATGGCTTTTTTACGTTGAGTGATACACGTGATAGTACTGACAGTTTAGCAAATACCTGTAATCCTGGCTATATGTTCTTTTTTTTGTTAACATATCTGCACAATCTCAACAACTTATTAGAGGGAAAACTACAATGTCTTTTTGGAAATGATTGGCAGAAAAAAAATATGTGGTATGGTGTCTCTGTTGACAAGAATCTGTTAGATACTGTATTCGGGTCAAAGAAAAACCTGGAGAAATTATTTTTTGCAAGTGGTATACTCCGTAAGGACGACAAGTTTCGAAAAGCAAAGTTCTGTACTCATGGTGAAGAGATTCTGCCTGCAATTCAGCAAAATTTCGTAGACTTAGAATTTAAGATAAAATCATACTTCGTAGTTGTACAAGTATTTTCAAAGCATGTTCAACTCACTTTGCACCAGGTTGTCAAACTGGCAACATCCGGGAGAAGTGTTTCTACTATCATTATACAGGATAAGATAATATGTATCGATGACGCATGTGACACACTATGTAAAGAAATTTGGAAGAGTATGCAATTCAAACGCCAGATTACTTGTTGCACGCCACACAGGGACAATGACTATTTAAAAAACAGCTTTGGATCTTTGAAAACCTATAAAAGTATTCTTCAAAACTTGAATATAAGCATAGCTGAACTTGTAAGTTAAAAATAAACCACCGTGTTATCTTACTCATCATATTGCTATTAGCTGGAGAGAAATAGAACACATTTTGATATGAACTCTGAAATAAAGCTTAGGATCAACGACGAATGTGTTTGTACTGTCAGTATATCTCTTCGAAACATAATTGAACTGGGAATGAAACCAATCATTTTAAATATCGCAAGCATCGCAGCTTCTTCATTGACCAACAAAGAGTTATTTGGAAACTACGAGACAGATTATCTTTTTATTCTAGGAGATCCATTTAATCTATGTAACGGCTCATCATTTCACACGGCATACACCATAATCATGCAACAAGCAATCGATGATAATCTCCATTTTAAATTAAGGGACATACGGTCATTCGTAATAAGGGAATCAACCTCAAAATTATTGGAACAAGTTACCCGCATCATTCCCTGCATTTATGACAAGTTTATCAATGGAACCTTGTCTCAAGTATCGAGCGAAACATATGCCGTGCGGTTTCCATCCATTTATACAGGGGAGTATTTTTCTTTCTGTCGTATAAACCACAGTGACGATACCAAAAACAATGTTAAAAAAGATGGCGGATATTTGATTTTTATTCAAAAGGGGAAACCAATCCCAACGGCAAGATTCATGATCAAAATGGTTGTAGACTCTGTAGATCGACCATGGGCTGGTAATGTTTTTTTTTCTCTTTCAATTTCTTTATTCGGTTGTTCTGATCGATGCCATTTTTAGAAATTATAAAAGTAAAACATTTGAACAGTGTTTCGGGAAAGTATTCTCTTTTAGATAAAGACTCCAAAGGTCCAAAGTATCGAATGCGTCCCAAAGGTCAAAAACGGTCAGCTCAAAAATTGATAATAGAATGTAGACACATCAATTACAATTATTCACTCGAATTATCAATCAGAATGATGGGCCGTGATGTCAACTACAATCAGACGTCATATAAGGAATATATAGCTCTCGGAGAGCCGTTGACACTCGCCTATATTTAAACAATAATAATATCATTAAAGCAAACGTTTGCCAAGTAATCGCTTTGTATATTTATGACCAGTTTAAATACTTCACATCGATACTACAAACAATTGTGGTAAGCCATTGTATTTTTGTTTCGGTCCCAAAGAGTAAAACTTAAGTCCCATTGAGCTTTATGATAAATGCACTAACTTTGGGACGAATAAGATATCAGCGAAATGTATTCGTGTTCCCCAGCACATTGCTTAGGCCACATAGTCGGTGCTGTCATAATTTAAACATTATAGCTACATGGAAGTTTACGTTTTATCCCACAAACTAATTGGCTGATTTTTCACTTGCCTTTTGAACATTGGGTCACGTCACATTATCTGTTAATCTAGTTAACCGTTTAAATGGACTATTTTCTGCGAGAAGTGAAGAGATCCTAAATTGTATTAGAAATTATATGGATATTTTCTTTATAGTATGTTGATTTCTTGGGCGCGATTTCGTATTTTTGGTTAATTTCATCAAAACTGATGCATTGAAATGTAAAAATAAACTGACAGGGCTCTATTGAGTAAACAGCGCAATCTTAACATAATTAACACCACACGCAACCATATGTATTTTGCTTATCTAAGCTACAAATCCAATTGTACCTAACATCCAATACGTCATTTATAAAAGCATAGTCGATTTCATCAATTCAACACTTTACAATAACAGACTACCAATTTCAAAGCCAACATTACAAATTGATGAAACTCAGTTGGTCCCTTATATGTATTTGATCACTTTCTTTAAACACAAATGGAAGAATATTATGACTATTCGAAACATAAATCATGTATTAGTTTTAGTAAGTTGACCATTATTCTTTAAGACATGTATACTAATTTCATACAGATTTTGACTACAGCGACATAATGTCCAAATACTTTACCATCGATGACCATTTTCAATCTTGGGTTGACCTGAGGTTAGTTGACAATGTGACATTGACTTGAACTTTTTTTCCTGACAGGGATTTTTAAACCTTTAAGTAACAAAAAAATAGGGACTCCTTCCTTTTTATACGACAATACCAATGGAACTGTTATTGCCCGAGGTCTCTCCCATGATGAAGCGATGCGGGAATTCGAAGGACATCAAGAAAACCTCGTTTATGTATGCAACATATTTAATGAGCTCCATGATATATATTTAAGGCCACAGCAGTATAATGCGCATGAAAAAATTGTCCTCCAAGAAGCAATAGATATACTACAACGACACGTATATTCCTGGAAAGAACGCTTAAATAGTTCGAATATGGACTTTTATTATGCATTTACGTTACCTACTAATTGGTGTCCAGAAATAAGAGAGGAATTGATCCGACCACTCTTCATAGAAGCCAACCTTATTCAAGAAGGTGATAGTCAGGGGAGACTAATTTTTTTCACAGAGTTGGAACCAACTTTTCGAAACATGCAATCGGACAGATACTCTCTTCAGAATATAGAAATACGACCTGGTAAACAGTACGTGATATGCTCGTTGGATCTTCAAACAGAAATACATGTAAACCTTGAGTTAGTCTCGGCTCAATATCCTCCTGCTTTAAAGATGACAGACAATAACTACGTTCCACAACTATTGAATCAAACTCGTTTTACTATACCCTTTGGATTGGAAGAAGTACGATCGTCTCTAATAGCATGTTTGGAAAAGCGTTGCAGTACATTTTCGGCTCCAGAAGTAGTAGACATGATGTTTGAAGAGCTAGACAAAAGTGGAGAATATTTACAACAACTTGCAGTAAGTTTGGTATTCACGTACGCATGCCACGTTTGTAAACCCTTTGTTGGTTCGTAGGACTCAGACGAATTATCATTAAATGCTCTCTTATTACATCAACCTTTTTATAATTTTGGGGTTTTTTATGGTAAACAACACGGACTGGAGAGAGCTGAAATTGACACGATTGAATCCATAACGAGTCAAGATATATTCGAAAACATCTTCGAATCTTCCCAGGGGCTATTTATAGAAAACATGAATTTTTTGCTTCAGGCAACAAGCAAAACAAGATCCAGATCGATGATTATATTTTACTCAAACCGAATGGTACAAAATAAGGATATGAGAATGTTCCTCAAATTAATCGAAAGGTGGTCAGCAACGTATGGCGAAGAAGAACAAAGCGGTTCTTACAAATTAATTGGGTATGGGGACGAATCAAGTTTCAATTTGGGTATAGAACAAATGCAAGCTGGAATGACAGACCTTTTAAAAAAACATATGCAAGAATTCAACATGTCCAGAGAACCAATTATATTACCGCCGACGGATAGAGATACAGAAAGGCGCGAAAGCCCTTCAGGGCCCATCTATTTTCTGAATATAGGTAGATAGGTTGGATTTTGATATAGGTCGTATACTAACCTAATTTTGTGACGGAATAGACATTTTAACTTCACAGATCAATGTTACGGTCAGATATATAGATGCCAATAGCCAAGTTAAACAGTCAGAAAGTATAAAATGGTAATTTATATCAGATTACAATATATTTCGCCCGAAACAAATTAAATTTAATAATATTGTGTTTGTTCAAGTAGCAATATAGCATCGTTGAACAACTTTATTACACAGTCAGATACGGGTCAGAGACCAGCCCTTCACATAAATAATAGGTAGTCGACAATAACTAATTGAGTTTTTTTTTTTTTTTAATTTTATTACTTATTACTCCCGTTATGTATAGATTAAAGCTGCAGCTGGAAAAACTTTTTAGTGACAGCCCAAACCCTTACTCAAATCCTAATGGACTTAATAGGATGAATAATCTACTAAAGTTAAAAGTACCTACTCCTGATTTGAAAGGCTCCAAAATAAGGAGTGGTTTTGTCGATCACTTTACCACAAAACCAAGTAAAAGTCAATCAAAAGAAATTAGAAATTTACTTGAGCCCCCCAAATCAAATTTGTTGGAAAAGGCAACAAAGAACGTCGAAACGAATGAACTTTTTGCTTCAAATGATAAATCTTGTAGTACCGATAACAATTTTATGACTACCCATAATCCTGCTTATATGCTCTGTTTTCTGATAACATATCTGCACAATTTCAACAAGTTATTAGAGGAAAAACTACAATGTCTCTTTAGAAATGATTGGCAGAAAAAAAATATGTGGTATGGTGTCTCTGTTGACAAGAATCTGTTAGATACTGTATTCGGGTCAAAGAAAAACCTGAAGAAATTGTTCATTGCAAGTGGTATTATCCGTAAGGATGACAATCTTCGGAAATCTGAATTCTGTATTCGTGGTGAAGAGATTCTACCAGCTATTCAACAAAAGCTAGGAGACTTGGAGTTTAAGATGAAATCATACTTTGTGGTAGCACACGTATTTTCAAAGCATATTCAACTCACTTTGCACCAAGTCGTCAAACTGGCTACATCCAAAAAGGATGCTTCAACTATTGTTATCCATGAAAAAATAATATCCATCGATGATGTATATGATAGCCTATGCAAAGAAATTTGGAAAAGCATAAATTACGGCGACCAAATCAATTACTGCGCAACACACTTGCATGATAAACACGAAGAAAATGGTTTGGGATCATTTGAAACATACAGCACTGTTCGTCAAAAACTAAAGCTGCTTGTAGTTAAACTCGTAAGTTGGAATTAATATTCTTGACTACTTTTACTGATCATTATTTTGGTAGTTATCAGAGAACAAAACAAGTTTAGACATGGATTCTAAAAAAGAGTTAAGCATCAACGACAAATGCACATGTAGCATCAATATTTTTCTTCGTGATATTATTGAAGTAGGAATGAAGTCAGTTATCAATTGTACGTCAACTATCACGGTGGCTTCATTAACAAACAAAGAGCTATTTGGAAATTATGAAGTAGATTATCTTTTCATGCTTGGAGATCCGTTTCATCTGTCTCATGGCTCACTGATTTACGACGCATACTCTATGATAACTCAGCAAGTGATCGGTGAAAGTGTCCATTTAAAAGAAAGAAATGTACTTCCATTCATACTAAGAGAATCCATTTTAAAGCTACTGGAAGCTGTTACACAAATAAAGCCATACATGTACGAAAGGTTTATCACTGGAATATTATGCCAGGTATCAAATCAAACATTCGCAGTTAGGTTTCCATCAATTTATACAGGAAAATATTACCCGTTTTTCCGTATAAACAGTAGCGACGATGTTAAGAATACCATACAGAACGACGGTAAATACTTGGTATTTATTCAAAAGGGAAAACCGATTCCCACAACAGGATCAATGATAAAAATGATGGTTGACTCTGTAGATAGACCATGGACAGGTAATTTATTTTATCTTTTTCTACAATAGTTTTAACCCAGGACGATCTTTATAGAAATCATTAAAGTGAAGCATTCGAGTGACGCTCTGTTAGTAAAGTATACCCTTCTGGACGAAAAATCTCAAACTTCAAAGTACCGAATGCGTCCCAAAGGCCAAGAAAGTTCAGCCCAAAAATTAATAATAGAGTGTAAGCATCTCAACTATAATAACTCTGTTCAATTGTCTGTAAGAATGATGGGAAGTGATGTCAGCTACAATAAGTCGTCATATAAAGATATTTTGATTATCGGAGAGCCGTTAACACTCGCTTATACTTGAGCCGTAATAAAACCTTGACTTTTTATTTTTTTTTTCTTTTGCTGTTAGAGCCACCGACAGGGTGGCAGTTGTCTGGCAGACGGTAAAAAGTGTATCCAGATAACTAAAATGTTTTGCCCTGCGTGAATATCATTCTCTGTTCATTATTTTTGACGCGAGGAGCAAAAATAGCGTACAATTTTAGTCCTCACGCTCCTAAATTACATATCTTATTAGGGGTAATAAAAGACGCCAACGTATGCCCTTATCCCTGAATTGAACAGATAACAAGTAATGTTCTCTTTTTGTTTTGTTTTTCTTTGTTTCCTTCCCTTTTTTTTTTTTACTAAACAAAAGAATACTATATGAAAATTGCTCTGGTTGCTTCCTTGATACTATTTCCCTCTGCCATATTTGCTTTATGCTCCAAAATCTTATGTGGAGAAGAATATCCAGAATGTTGTGATGGCTATAAATGCAGTTTTAAATCATCAAAGAATCCTAAAGTTGGAAAATGTTTAAAATCCTAATAAACTTGTATACACTTTATCAAACGTAACTAGTAGGTTGCACAAGCATAGATAGAAACGCCTTTGCTTATTTTTGTGTGCACAATGCTGATCCATTGAACAATGAAAGTCAATCTAACGGATTCTCTCTCTCTCTCTCCTTTTTATCGTGTAATTTTTATATATAATCGCCTACTTTTTTGGTTATTTCCTTTATCTAATTTCGCTTTTTTGGGTCAAATGAAAGCTATTTTAAGCACTTGTGTTCTGCTATTATTTATATCCACCGTAATTGGTGCCAGTTGTTTCGGTACTGTGTGTGGTGTTGGCTATCGTAATTGCTGTGATCGAACGTTCTGTTACAATAGTGATCCTAATTCAACTACCGGACAGTGCATACCCTTTGAATCCTGATTGCCTCATACAATTGTACACAGTACAATGCATTTACTTTTAGTAAAATAAACTACATATCGCTATCATTATTAGTAACATCTTTTCTTTTTACTTATTGACAAAAATCAGGAATGATTATAACTTGTTTTTGAAGGTAAAAAAAGAATAAATTTCTTTTTATTATACAATTCTGCTTTTTTTTTTTCAAAAGGGATATAATACGACTAGTTTACATACTTCCACTGAATTTTAACAACACCTTTTGAAAATGGAGCTAACTTGATAAAGGCTGCAGGACTCAAGTCTGTGGTTTATAAAAAGAAGGGGAGAATGAGTTACTATTTTAAATATAATATGATTATTTTTGTATCTTACCCAAGTCACCCTTACCACATCCAGGACACTATCATAATAATAAAAAAAATTGTTGAGTAACCTACACGAAAAAAAAAAAAAAAAAAAAAACTTACGGTATCAACCACCTTGGCTCTCACTTTTTTACCAGCATCATTGACGATTTCTACCAAACGACCACAATTGACATTTCTACCACCCTTTTTCTTATTTCCCATATCCTTTTCATTGACAGCTACAACCAAATCATTCTTGCTATTTTTCCATCCACATGAACCTCGGTTGGGCGAGAAAAAAGTACCTTTACCCGAGCTTTGTCCTCTTTTGTAAAGTCGACCCTTTGTATCTCTCTTCTTAATCACAAATCCTGAAAGTCCAAAATCTACAAGTTCGGGATTTTGGGGCTTATTTCTATCGGCAACCACATAATCATCTTGGGCAGTAACTATGGTGGAAAGACTCAACATACATGCTGTAGCAAATGCAATGACGGTGAATTTCATTTTTCTCGAGTCTTTTTTTTTTTTTTTGTGGGTGAACAGGAAAAAGAAAGGTAAACCATATTATCCAGGTTTTTGTTTCTTTTTATAAACATTGTAATTTTGCGGGGTTCATGATGGTTCCACAGTGAATAATGCAAAATGGCCCCACCTTCTATCAATTCATGTTTTAGAAGATGGTGTAAATTACCGCTATACGAAAAGAAAGTAATGCCTCTTTTTTTATTTTATATGCAGGCATGAGGTTTTTTTTTTAAAAAAAAAGAAATGGGAATTCACATAAAAGCTCGTCCTATTTATACGTTTTTGGCATGAAAAAGGTCTATCAGCAACGTGCAAAGATAGCCGACACTCCGCTTTTGATGTCTTTGTGAACACTATATTGTTCAGACACCATCTTTCCCCCTTCCAACCCTTGTGGCAAATATAGATTATGCTCTGTACTTTTTTTTTTTGGCCATTGTATCCAACTTAAGAAGGAGAGAAGTAAGAGGGTTGAGCTGTCGTCCGTTTTGACTGAGTACAAATTAATGAATGTGAACATGTCAAACAGGTACTCTGCACATGTTTTACTTCCCTTTTTTGACTTTTTTTAATACATGCTTGGGTACGAATGCTACTTGTACTACCTATCAATGACCAAAAGCCTAGAACCAACATTTGGATCATGTATTACTGCTGTAAACAATTTTACTTTATTTTATTTTTTTCAAAAAAAATGGAATATACATGAGTGTGTAGGGGATGGGGGGAATATGTCTCTCTCTCTCTTTCTTTTTCTCTCTTCTTTTTTTTTTTTTTACTTAATGATCAAGGTTATGTAATGTTCTACCGACCAAATAGTTATCTTCTCGAATGGTTTGAGTTAATCTTCTTTTGAGTTGTGAACCCATCTTACTAAGGTAATAAGTTCCGATACCAATCAATGCTGTAGGATAGGCAACCTGAACCAACTTGACTCTTAATTCGGGATTTGTACGAGCTTAAATTCAATCAATAAAAATCAGTACTTCTTTTTTCTTCTTTACACAAAAATCGATATAAAAAAAAACTTACCAACCACCTTCATATTGACATACGCAACCACAAAAGGAAGACAAATAGCTACTCCACTTGCAAAAAGTAAAGGTCCCAACAACTTTTTAAAACTAGCAACCACATCCATTTCTCCAATACCACCTCGGAACACCTAAGAAAATAGTCAGCATTTTTTTTTTATTTTCATTTTCATGTACACACTAAAGCACTTACATTATTGATCAAATTTCTTGCAGTGGCATCAGGTGCCACTTGAATCAAGCCGTGAAAAATTACCATACAAGCAAACCCATGCGACCACATTGGCATCACTTCCACTGTAGGTGAATCCTGTCCCAGTTGTCTTAACGGTAACACAAAATATAATTCAATCAACGCTCCAAACACCAATGGTAATACCACACCAAAAGACATGATAAACCATGTCCATCTTAAACTCCAACAAGTCCATTTTTCTGCATGTTGAAAAAGCACCGCAAAAAAGTCGTTCCACGTTGGTTGTCGCATTACCTCACACATTGATTTATAGCATTGTGCTATAAATGCTCCTACCAATAACAACAAGGTGCCTCCCAGCACAAACGAATAAATGTCATGCACTTCGTTATGTACTCCCAACATCTCTTCAAACACATATCTTCCAAACATGACAGGTAAAATTGTCATAGCACAGAATGCCATACTAGTGGTAAGCCACATAAATCCCACAAAAACAATCAAGCGTCGCTTGAAATTGGGTGGACTATAAACAATCACCGTGTTTACCTCATCCCCACCTGGTGCACTGGAGGCTGGATGTCCCATGATACGCTCCAATTCATCTACAGGCTGCAAATCATGGGTGTCGACGGGTACAAGCATACGACGTTGATCCAGAATAGGTACACTATCATGACGAGGTACGCGTAATAATTGTCCATCCCATAGATATGATACTTGGGGCCCAATGATATCTTGACAGCTTCCTTCGTCCGGATAATGATTGGGTTGCATACGTGTTATCCATGCCCACCAGCTATGATAGACCAATGTACCTTCTTCGGCGGGTTTTCTTCCCCCAAAAATAAACGAGGTTAATCGTAATTGTCGAGATGTCCATGTCATCCACTTTATAAATAATCGCTTGATCGTTTGCTTGGGTTGAAAGTATTTGACAATGGCTGGGATACCCACCTGAATTACAATCAAGTCAATGGGGACCACAGATAACGGATTACTATTATCAGTATAATCACTTTTTTTTTAGTATTAAAAAAAAACCTGTCAAACCAAAACATAGCAAAGATAAAATGAAATAGATGAAAAAAAAAGAGACTTACGATAAACTCCATCTCAAAGGCAAGATATCAGGAATCAAAGAATGAATGACATGCACAAGTCCGCCTACACCCACTAAGATCACGGTCAAATAAATCAAGGCACTACCACCAATCTTTTTAAACTGGAACAATATCGGTCGTTCAACAATTTCTCGAATCGGATGAAATTGTGGATCATTTGGATCTCGAATAAACCACATTACACCAGGACGCACAATATCTCTACAGATGGTTACAAGCACCGCAAACAAAAACATAAAGCCTGTACCCAAAAACCAATGCAAGAATACAGATGAAATCGGATGAGAGGATAAATACCCTAATCTTCCTCCAAAACTCGCTTGCTTAAACAATGGCATTGTAGACAGGTCCAATAAAAACCCGCATACAATCGGAAACAAGACCAGTTCAATCGTAACAAACATGCCAACCTTGAAAATAAGTCCTTGATGCCGAAGTGCTTCTTGGGCTGTACGGCCAAAAGTGGCCGTAGACATTGTACGTGTTGCCCGTGATAGATACCACGCACCCAAAGAGATAATCACCATGTATCCAACGGCAATACACGCAAATCGGTCCATGGCAGTCTGTCCCGTTGCCAATTGTTGATACCGCGTAAACGCTTGCTCCAAATAAGGTTCCGTGTCATTAATGAATTTGGTCATGTACTGAATACCATGATCCATCATTGTATCAGCGGCTGTTCCTTCTGTTGCTGCACTCACTGTATCGGAAAGAGTTGTATGAGATGAATCTGCAAATAAGAGTCCATGATCCTTGGTGTATTCAAACACCGTTTTAAAGGCAGTCGCAACTTTATCAAACACTGTTGTCGATGCCACCAAGGGCTGAACATAATGTTCATACTGTTCCATACATACTGGCCAAATATAATCGGCACATACCATAAACAAAAAGTCAATCAAAGGGTCCGTAATCAACCGTGTCAATTTTAATGGCACTCGTATAATATCCAACGTTTCCGTAATAATAAAGGAAATGCCAATCAGATATGGTATCCATACAGCAGCACCCAAACTAAGCGCAATTAATAATCCCATTAATGCAGAGTTTTGCATGAGTGACCATATACTGCCATTCATACCAATGGCTTCCAATACACCTTCGAATTCCTCTACATTCTCTTCTTCTTCTTCTCCGCCATCATTATCATTATTATTACGTCCATCCAATACTTCTTGTTCCAATACTACTGGAGCAATCACAGGTTCATCTTCTTCTTCTTCCGGGATGGGTCGAATAGGTACGGGAGCTTCGGCATGTCTCATTCTAGGAGCATGAGGAGGATGACCACGGTGAATGATAGCAGGCTCTTGGAGCTGCTGTTGATGCGGTGATGTGGCTTGATAATGTGTAGTGGATGTGTCAATAAACGGTTCCATACTAGCCGATCTTCGGTAATCGGATTGTTCCCCTACACGTAAATTAAACGTATGAAATGCGTCTTCGTCCCCCTCAAAATGAAACGACGACGAAGAGGAGCTTGAAAATGTGGGCGGCATAGATGCAGATCGTGTTGGTTTATCACCATTATCGGTAAACACGGATGATTCACCTTCATACCAAGTTTCCTCTTGTTGCATAGCGATGGGAGAGGGAGGTCTCTCATCATCGTCCCAATGTACATCAAATAAACTATCGAATCGGGGATTAGGTTGTCTAGGCTGTTGCTGTTCATGCTCTTCTTGTTGTTCGAGCATGGGATGAAAAACAGGTTCTTGAGGTAATTGTTGTTGATGTTGCTCTTCCTCTTCTTCTTCAATCGCAGGAACATCCAATGGTATATTCTGTACAATCCATTCTCTTAATAAAAATACACCAAGGAATATGAACACCACAATAAAAGTAATAATAAAGCCTTCAACGCAATCTGAAAAAAATGATCTACTCAATTACCACAAAATATATGCATCAGTCATCATCAGGAAAAAAAAAAAAAAAAAAGATTAATCTTCTTACTGCAAGGTAAGACCTGACTTGTATCCATCGATCCAGTTGATTGTCGTGTTATTGTCATGCACGATACTTGTATTGAAGAAAATGGAAGTCATGTTTGATGCGGAAGCATAGCTCCACTTGTTCTTCATGTCTTGTAATTGAAGCAGTCTTTTAGAGACATGATTGCCTAAATAAAAGTAAAATCGCCAGATCCAGACGGTGAAATAAGGTAAGAGGATCAGCCAGATACAAATCACTAGTATCGCTCGGGAGATCGTCATCAAGATAAACGCGACCTTCTTTTTGAATTGTTGAAAAATTAATCTGGGTGGAAGTACTTCTGGCATATCTTGTCGATACACGGGTGTAAAGGTAAAAGGATGTTCACATAGCTCGCAATATCTAAAATAGTTTTGCGGTTTAGCGTACAAGATAGCTTTTTTTATTTTTATTTTTTTGTGGTTACTTTTTTTTACTATGGGTTAACCATTCTATTAAACTAAAAGACGATGCATTAGTCTCTTTTGTACATGGAAACGCCAGACATTTTCTTGAGAGTATATCTTACCAATCTTGATGTACATGTCTTATACTTCCAGCACATTTACATGGATGGAATAAAGGTTGTTCAGGTGTACCTTCTGAACGACACACTCTGCATATTTCTATTCATGTTCGAAACCAGTTTAGATCGCCATGTCCCTTCTTTTCTTTATTCTTGTCTATTTGTTTCTGTCTATCTCTCTCTTTTTTTAAATGCTTATTTCATACCTTCTTCTTCTTCCATAGTATGTGTGTAAAGAGAGAAGAAAAAATCGAAAGAAACAGAGAGAGGGCCAAGTTGAAAAGTACAAAAAAAAAAAAAAAAGCTTAGCGGGGTATCAATTACCAATGATGCGATTTGCAAAAATTGCCATCATTGCTCAGTCATTATGAACTAAAGAGCTTTCGTAAAAAGGGTGTATCCTATATTAATAGAAATCCACCTTCTTCATGATAGATTACCTTGACAACAAGAGGAAGTTTGAGCTTGATACAGAGGTGGAGTACCCACTATCAGCTTAAATGATACACATGTATACATCCTTCTTCAATGAAACAGATACAGTAAAGAGCCTAAAAGGGCAATTTGGAAACACATACCCCGGACCGGAACTCACTTCCCCAATGGTTGGCTTTCCCATTCATGGACATCCATGACGTCTTTGAAAGGTAGAAAAATTAATTTGACTATATCTAATAGTCAGGCCAAATCACTGTTGAAAGCAGGCCTCTGCTTATAATTTTTTTCAGTAGGCATAAATTTCTCTATAGGATGTAGTCTGGATATGTATAGAAATAGAGTCAACTATTATTTTTTTATTATTGTTGGGGAGGAGTAAAAAAAAAAAAAAAAAAAAAAAAAGTCTGTCTTTTCTCTTTTTCTTTTTATTTGATAAAATAAGTTGACACTTGCTGTTTGTTAATCATGGAACGTTCAGTGACGATTGATTTACCTGTTGAACAAGTAGCTAAAGTAGTGAAGCGACATCTTGTTTATCATCCAGCCTCTTCTTCTTCTTCTCTCATTCCGCCACGTCCTTCTCGCAAACAACGCCAACAACAACGCAAACAGAAACAACAACAACGCAAACAGAGTCTATTACAGACGAAATCCCCTACTTATAACTCACATCACTTGTTACCGGGAGGATCCATATTGGACGAAATATACAAATGGACTGCTCAAGTGGAAAATAAACAACAACGTAGAACAAGGACTCAGTCAATCTCTTTACCTGCTATTCGTGAACCCACTGTAGATATTTCACTTCAATCACTCAAACAACCCGGAGGTTTCAGACGCCATTTCGTACTGAGTAAAGCCGCTCAACAAGGCAAAAAGCCCCCTAATTTCGTTACCAGTAGTTTTGTCGAATTTTTATGCCTCTATGGTCACTTTGGTGGCGAAAATCTTTCAGATGCCGAATCCTCTTCGGATGATGACGATTCTTCGCTCAATACAAGCGAGGAGGAAGAAAATAGCGAGGGAGAGGATGCACCGGAGGGAAGCATCATGGCTTATCGTGGTCCTCCTCTCAATAATGCTTCCTATGTATCCTATGGCACCACCAATGATCAACCCTTATTACCTTTACCTACAAGCTCTTCCAAGAGACCGCTTGTACCACTACAATATAAACAATTACAAGTAAGAGAAACACAGCCCTTATTGTCTAGATCACGTCCTGGTCAGACTCTGCAAGGAAAGGCAACTCCCGGAAAAGCCATGTTCCTCTTATTAAAGTCATTTGTTACTACCGGCATCATGTTCTTACCCAAAGCGTATGTTGTGCAATTAGTCTATATAAAATAATAATAGTCATACTAACGTACACTAGTTTCTATAATGGTGGCATCATATTTTCAATTTTTGCTATTACTGCCTGGGCCTTAATATCACTCTGGTCCTTCTTACTGTTGGTCCAGACTCGTTTGGCCGTCCCTGCCAGTTTTGGAGATATGGGTGGAGTCCTCTATGGATCTCGCATGAGGGTGGCTGTTCTTGTTGCCATCACTTTGTCACAGATAGGCTTTGTTTGTGCCTACATGATCTTTGTCGCTGAAAATCTACAATCGCTTGTCTTGACCTTCTCCAAGTGTCGCGTCTCACTTCCTATGCATCTCTTGATCCTGGCCCAAAGTTTTGCCTTCATCCCTTTAGCCATGATTCGAAAAATCCAACGTTTGTCTGTATTTGCCCTGATTGCGGATGTGTTTATTGTTATTGGATTGATCTATTTGTTCTATTACGATATTAAGGAATTGGCTACGGTCGGTATGGTGCACGTCGAAATGTGGAACCCACACCATTTCCCATTGTTTATTGGTACTGCTGCGTTTACGTTTGAGGGTATTGGATTAGGTAAGTAAGAGAAAGAGAATGAGAGAGAGAGAGAAAAAAAGGGAAAAACTGAAGTATCCTGTAGTTATTCCTATTACTGAGTCAATGAAGGACCCCAAAAAGTTTCCACGTGTGTTAACTAGAGCGCTTACTGTGATTACCTGTTTGTTTATTACAATGGGTACACTTTCGTATATGACATTTGGTGAGAATGTGGAGACCATCATCTTGTTAAATCTACCTAGTAAGGATCCCATGGTGTCTTCGATTCAAACGCTTTATTCTTTAGCGATCTGTCTGTCGATCCCGTTGCAATTGTTCCCGGCTATTCGTATTATGGAAAATGGCTTGTTTACTACCAAATCCGGAAAGAACAATGCAATTGTCAAGTGGCAGAAAAATGTGTTCCGCGTATTTGTTGTTTTTCTCTGTGCAGGGATTGGCATCGTTGGATCCAAGGACAAATTGGATAAATTTGTGTCTTTAGTGGGTGCACTATTTTGTATCCCGCTTTGCTTTATTTTCCCTCCTCTCTTTCATCTCAAGGCGCTGGAATTACCTCCCACAAGACGTCTGGCCAACTATGCCCTCATCACTTTTGGTCTTGTCTGGTAAGTTTCTTTTTTTTTTTTCTTTTTTTCTGTAATGTCTACTAACACTTCCTTCATAGTATGATTTTTGTCACCTTCTCTACTCTGAGTCAATGGAACTCGGCAGAGCCTACAGATCCAGTTAAACAATGTATTGTTCATAGGACTTGATTTATACCTTTTTTTACCCCCACCCATTTCCCCCACCTTTTTTTTCCCCCATCACGTATACCACACACATTTCTTAATAAAAAAATAAAAAAAAGAGCCTCCCATTCATTTTATTTATTTAAAGACGAGAAAAGAGTTGCTTGATCTTGTATCGATCATTTTCAATATAAGCATGACCTTCTTCAACTAAACGTACGGCTTCTTGACAACTTCCCCAGCTTGATTGATAGCCTGAACCTCCATGTCCATAGTTGTGTGTGATCAGTGTTTTCTTGCCTTCCTTTGATACTATTTTTTTGATTTAAATATACAAAGCCTTTTCTTTTAAACATTTCTTTCTATTACCATAAAACTCATTTTGAATTCGTGGTCCTCCTTTTCTCGTAGGTCGATATCCAACAATATTTTCCAATACCTGCATGCTCTGTACCCCATCAGGACTCAATTCTGGACAACATTGTGTTGCTCGTTGTAAAATATCAAGCGTAGTTTTTTCATTGACCTCTGCTGCATTGCTACACAAAACTTTAATTTAGACACTCTTCTCTCTCTTCTTGCTCAATTTTAATTCATCTTTTTGTTAGTTTACCCATGCTCGTCTTTAGTGGTACCAAGAATCACTGTTCCATCGGTTCTGGGAATGACATATGTATAATTTTTCTTTCTCACCATCGACATGGTCTTTCGGATATGAGGCGCTTTAACAAGTACATTGTGGCCACGCGTGGGAATAAGACTAGCATCATGAGTTAATTCCTTGGCTCGAATACCCGTACAGTTTACCACTATATCTACACCCGTTATTACATCAGAAAGGTCATGGACTGTCTGTCGCTGGCATAACCCACCCAAGTTTAGAAATTGGTTCATGAGCCATGGTAAATACACCAGCGGGTTGATTACCACTGTTTTGAATAACAATGAATACAGTAGGAACACAAAATATTTGTAAATTGCTTACCAGTGGTATAATAGTAGCCAAATGAAATACCTTTGGGTAACTCGGCTCGGTCAATCATTTGAAACTATAAATAAAAAGATTTGAATCATATATACAAATATATAAATAAATAAACTTGATCTCTTACGGTAGGTACTACGGTCTTCCACCAAGGATCCAACTGATCTTTTGTCGCTTCTTCTTCATAATAATCAAACGCAGACACCACCATAATACCAGAATTACCAGCATTTGATTTCGCAAGTTCCCAAAAGAATTTAAAAGAAACCGCATCATGTCCTTATAATTGAGTCAGTATTTTTATTTTTTATTTTTTGCATGAAATTTCTTTGTTTATCTAGTTACTTTGCAGCCTTAAATCCGAGTTGGGGGCAAGTGTTTTCCATCGGGCACCCGCAGACGGAGATGTATACTCGGCATGCTGCTCTCCAGGAAACTCAGATGCAATAATCGTTACTTCGTACCCTCTTTCTTGCAAGAGTAAAGCACTTGTTAAGCCAATCACACCAGATCCAATCACGTTTACTTTTTTATTCATTGTAAGTAAATATATTATTAATAGAGAAAAAGAAAGAAGATGATATATCACAAAATATATAATAATATGCATTAAAGTTTTTTTCCCACCCTAAATTAAAACTTAATCCAAAGGAGAAATATTGTGCTTCCAGTCTCAATTTACCGAATGTCTGAAAAATCCGCCCACTTTTTTGAAGTTGAATTTCCCAGTAATAAAAATTAGTTTGCCCAAAGTTCTTCAAAATAATTTGCCCAGCTTTTACAAATAATTTGGCCAAACTTGTGGTTAAAAAAATGATATAAATATTCTTTATTCAAGCACTTGGGAAAAATATTGATAGAATGCTGAATAAAATTCTGTAAATGTTCAACGGGAACATCTTCACTGCCTTCTATAACTCTTATAGTAAGAGATTTAAGTGCGTTAATATGATAAGTTGACAGCATAAGATGGTAATAAATGCACAAAAGGCATAGAGATTTTTTTTGGGGGGCATAGAGATACGGTATAGTGTTCGGAATGAAGATCGAAGCTCGCTCGAACCCAAAAAAAAGTGGCGCAAGCTCGAGTACAAAAACTAGGTTCAAGCTTCGTTCAAACTGGCGCAAGATCGGTGCAAGCTCGAAAAGTTCGAACACTAGTCTCAACGGAGCGAATCCGTAATGATCCTGAAAGGTATCATTTATATTCTGACAATTGTTAATTTATTTTGATCTTTAAATAAAATAATTTATATTCTAGCAATTGTTAAATTATTTTGATCTTTGAATGCAATAATTTCTATCCTCGAACTTTTGTAACAAATCATAATCATCAACTAATTTTTCAGTGTCAAAAATAAACACCTCATTGCTTTGGGCAAAGATTTCAATTGCAATCCTTTTTAAAGATGGATTTGTTTCAACCAACTTGATGATATCTTCGCTTCTTGTTGTAATACCGGCAAAGTCAAGGGCAACCAAGCAAATATCATGACTAGCAGATTTAAGGTACGTGAGCAAATCTTGGGTGTTACCATCAGCGTCTAAATCGTCCATTATAGCTGAATTGGTCTGTAAGTCACGCATTTCAAGTGGCATAGAAGCCCAGCTGCAAGGTGAAACGAAAATTTTGGTCGCAAAAGATCGCTCTTTTATATTTGATATCATGGATTTGAGAAGTCTTGTTCTACTAGTATCGTCCTCACCTGTTGGTGATTTTCTGGCGTAGCCAATAATCTCATATCCATTTTTCTTGAGGTTTCTTAACGATTCTTGATACCTTGGCAAGTTAGTGCAAATAGAATTAATTAATTCGTCTATAATTAAATACGTTAGAGATCATTTCAATTTTGTCATGCACATCTTGGTTTACCGAAATAAATGTCTTCAAGAATAAACAATTCTCGTGTGACGTTTTGGGATTTTTTTTCCCCAGCAGGCCAGTATGATCACAGTTATTTACAGCGCAATCACAGCCATTCACGGTTCTTGAGTTCCAAAAACTCAAGAACCCTGCCAAGGAGGTCGCCCTCCTATAGCAAAGACTAGCCGCAGCCGCAATATCACAATATATCTTTTTCAATTTAGCTTCTTTTCAAAGAAACAAGAGTCATTACTAACTAACCTTTTTATGTGATCGGTTACTTTCATACGATAAAATAAGTATGTTAAAGAAAAAGAAAAGGAGAAGAATTAAGTGTGTGAACCAGCTTTATTTATAGATAAACAAGCTTATGTCAGGATGATTTCATTTGTCTATTTTATCATCCATAATGTTTGAGCCTTTACTTAAAATAGAAACACTTGCAAAAACCTCCCAAGCAAGTCAGAGCTTGGTAATTGTCTATCTGCGTTCCAGTAGTAGCTTGTAATGACAGTGAAGCATAGGTTAGGGAAAAAAGAAATCGATCATCCCATGAAGTTTAGATGATATGGTATGAAAATCGACATGTAGACCATCGCGTGATTCTAAAAAATACGTTTATTTATTTGGAAAAAATACGGAGTTCTAGACATTTCCGTTAATGATATCGGTAACATGAACAGTTTCTGGCTTTTTGATCAAGTCAGTCTCTTCATAATCGACTTGCATTTGATCTTGACCGCTATTTGGAAAAACGTTTTGGGGACTTGTAGTAGCTATTTTACCCAAAATGGTTTCTAATCGATCCAATCTTTCATTAAAACTTTTTATAGCTGAATTTTGCTCTGCGATGATAGTTCCTTCCAACTTCTCTATTTTTTCAAGCACGGTATTTACCCATGCAGGTTGTCTAGACATATTGATGGAAATTTCTAGTTGGTATTTTATTTAAAGTAGAAGAAAGAAAAAAAAAACCCACGTCTATTTTGGAATTTCATTGGTATTGCTATTGCTATTCTCTTGGATGGCTTATGTTTGCTCTAAACCCAATTTTTTTAATATTTGACGGTATTCAGTAAGCTGCAGATATGGATGGATTTTGTCGGAAACGCAGACAATATGACACCAAACGCAGTAACAATTAGCCAGCATTATCTATCACATATACCATATGTGATTGAGGAGCTTGGTCCTATGCGCTCGTTCAGTTGTCGACCTTTGGAACGCATGATTGGTATAGTTAAGCAGAAGATAGGGTCATTCTCCAAACCAGCGGAGAATGCATACCAAATCATTCGTATTTTGGCAGAGCAATCTTTTTTGTCCAGAAAAACACCAGCTTGCTCCAAAACATCGCTTACTGGAATCATTATAGGCAAAGCTAACTCGGAGCATTGGCGTATTGCTGAATCCAGGCACCTTGGTGCCAACTTCCTTGAACAAATTGAACTACAAGTTCAATGCGAGGAAATCCGAGTTGTTCAAAGAATCACAATGACGGGAAGAGGGTGCAAGCAGTTTTGTGCATCCACAGTAAAAAAAAAATCCCAGCATGTTCCTCGCACGCTTACCCATTAGTAATTTCGGTGGAACTGGTAAGAAGTACTATGTCGTTCAGCTGGAGTTCATGTTTGTAGCAAAGCCGTTACCAGCTGCGAACATGTTGAACAATGATGTTTTTGCTTGGGCAAGAATATGTTCCAATATTGAGTCAACTGTTGACGGGAATACTGTTTTATTTTCTACTACTAGTTCCAACAGCATGCCACTTGCTGCAGAAAGGGATCATATGAGAGTTCTGATCAACACCAATAATATCATCAGTCCCATAACAACAATACCTTCACCAATAGAAGAAAATAAGCACTACCTTGTTTGGCCATCTATGTCATTTAAAAAAGATGTGTGTATAAGCAATACGCCGTTTTGGTTTTAAAAATAAAACGAAAACTCATATATCAGACTTACTAAATAATAATAAAAAAATATTGCAAATATTACCACTTGTTGGAACACCCTTGAACACCTCAAACGCAAGTGATGAAACACAAGTTTGGCCAAATTATTTGTAAAAGCTGGGCAAATTATTTTGAAAAACTTTGGCAAATTAATTCAAAATTTTGGGCAAACTAATTTTTATTACTGGGAAATTCAACTTCAAAAAAGTGGGCGGATTTTTCAGACATTCGGTAAATTGAGACTGGAAGCACAGTAATGCGGAAAAAAAAATGGAACCACAAGCTTATTTTTAAAGACGAGATTTTCCAGTTGGAAGTCCCTTTTCCATAAGTTGAACTGTATGTTCGGCAGATCCCCAACTGGATTGGTATCCATAGCCACCATGGCCATAAGCATGCGTAACATGAAGTGCCTTCTTACCGTCCTTGGATCCTTTTGTTTTGTTTTGGTTTATATTCTTGATCAGCTTTTACGTCTTTATATAGGGTTTATTACTATATATACTTACGTCTTACTTCGTTTTCAAAACGAGGTCCACCAATTCTAGAGGGACGTAAACCAACAGCATGTCTAACAATCTTTGGCTCTTCATCCAGTTGAGGGCATAATGACTTTGTACGTCTGATGATGTACTTTGCAATAACATCATCTACATAAGGATTACTTTCTTTTTAGTTAGTAACGCATGACACTCTTTTAATATATTCATCGAATTCTACAGAAAACCTTACAAATCTCCTTTATTAGCTGTGCCACCTAAAATGACGGTGCCATCAGATCGCGGAATAATGTATGTCATGCCTTCAGGACGCACATGCGTAATCGTTGCCTTAATATGAGGTGCATCCACTACCACAGTCTGTCCTCGAGTAGGTGTCACAGCTTCATCTTGAACACCACCCAAGAATCTGGCACCCAACCCAGTACAGTTGATCACAGCCGCGTGAGAACTCTTTACCCCATCAAAAAGATCATCGATATGCGAGAGAGATCTCTTTACAATGGTGCCACCAAGCTGTGTGAATTGGTTCTGAAGCCACTTCAAATAGACGGGTGAATTAATAAGCACTAAATTTTAAGTTATTTTAGTAAACGCAAATCAAGTCCAATAAATATTAAGGGCAGTAGTACCAGTGGTGTAAGTGTGACCAAGCTTAGCACCTGCTGGCAAGCCATCCTTCTCCGTCAACATTCTAAACTATATACAAACTATGGTTAAATTACTACTTAAACTCACACGACAAACGCTTACATTGTAAACTACGTCCTTGATCCATGGATTGGCATATTCAGGTACAGTTTCATCATCATAGTAATCCCAGCTAGGTACGGCCATAATACCCATTTCTGTCTGATTGATATCATCTCGATTCTTTTCCTTGGTATTTCCCACCATATTCATAAATTTTTCATAACTCACAGCATCCAAAGCTAAAGAAAAATATGTCAGTTTTTTTCCTATGTACTTTTTTTTCTTCCAAACACACACTTTACTTTATATGTACTTACATGAGAGAAATTTGTCGTCATTCTTTGCCATAGTTCTCCAATGAGCACCTACAAAACCACATTAGCCTAATGAACCTTCATGTCGGGACAGACGAAAAAATAAAAAAAAATGTACCTGCATAAGGAGAAGTATACTCGACACACATATCACCAGGTACATATTTAGCAACGACAGTGACATGTTGATATCCTTTTTGTTTCAACACCAATGCTGTGGTCAATCCAACCACACCAGCTCCAATAACAATAATCTGTGTATCCATCTTTAATATAATTGAAAAGAAAGGAAATCATTTAAGACCTTTCTTTAATTTTTATTGTTCAATAGCTGATCTGTACCACACGGCTATTCTTTACTCCTGCCCCCGCCCAACCAGATAAACATATCTCTCTCTCTCTTTTGATTAGATTTACAAGTAGGTAATCTATGCGCATCAATTTTTTTTCTCTCGCTTAACTTTACTGCTATCTTTCTCGCGCAAAGTTTTACGCCAAGTTTAAATGGTATTATTATTTTTATTGGCAATCAAAAAAAGTTACCCTTTTTGGATTAAGCACTTTAAATTCAGACGAATCAATCATGCTTCTCTTTCAAACTTGATGCTTGTGACTTTGATTGTGACTATTTTCTCCACCAGTTCACAATTTTGGACCCTTTTTTTTTTTTTTTTTTTTTTTTTTTGGCATATTTTTCTATCTCTCTCTTTATTACAGCAATGGCAGAAAGTAGAACATTAAGTAGAGTAGCCGCCGCCAAAAAGAATCCCGTAGAGAAAAAGAAGCAAGTGATTGCTCCCGAGGGTACTAGTTTTGTAGACATTGGTGTTGAAGAATGGTTAAGCGATACTTTAAAAAACATGTCGATCAAAGAACCCAGTGAGATTCAACGTGCTTGTATACCCCCCATTCTTGCCGGTAAAGACGTTATCGGTGGTGCAAAGACTGGTTCCGGTAAGACTGCTGCGTTTGCCTTACCCATCATTCAAAAGTTATCCGAAGACCCTTATGGTGTCTTTGCTCTTGTCTTGACTCCCACCCGTGAATTAGCTTTCCAAATCGCTGAACAGTTCAGAGTGCTGGGCAAAGGAATGGGTATTAAAGAAAGTGTGGTTGTTGGTGGCATGGGTAAGATCTCGATATTTTTACACTTTTATATATATATATGTATATATATATATTTTTTACTTACAGTTATTAGATATGATGGCACAGGCTTTAGAACTCCAAAAGAGACCTCATGTTATTATTGCTACACCTGGTCGTCTTCGTGATCATATCCGTAGTAGTTCAGGCGCTGTAGATTTAAGACGCTGCAAGTTTTTAGTAATGGATGAAGCGGATCGTATGTTATCACCTACATTTGTTCCCGAACTCGAGGTTATTTTACCTTTATTACCCAAGGATCGCCAGACTCTTTTATTCACCGCCACCATGACCGAATCCATCCTGGCCTTACGTGACGCCGAAGACGATCCTAAAAAGCAACCCTTTGTTCACATGTGTGATATGTCCACCTCCACAGTCAACACCCTCGATCAGTTTTACGTCTTTGTCCCATCACAAGTCAGAATGGTCTATTTGGCCCATCTCTTACGCTCTGAAGACTTGCAAGATAAATCCGTCATCATCTTTTGTGGAAGATGTTCAACAGCAGAGTTAATGACCGTCATGTTGAAGGAATTGGGTATTCGTTGTACTGCGCTTCATTCAGAAATGACACAACAACAACGTTTGGATTCACTTGGAAAGTTTAGAGCTGAAGTCATCAAAATTTTGATTTCTACTGATGTTGGTTCTCGGTAATTCAATCAATATAGACAGAGGGAAATTCGTTTCGTCTAACGAATTTTTTTTTTTTTTTTTTTTTTTATGTAGTGGTCTGGATATTCCTTCCGTTGAATGTGTGCTGAATTATGACATCCCTCGTGATCCTACCGATTACATTCATCGTGTAGGTCGTACTGCTCGTGCTGGTAGAGGTGGTAAAGCCATTTCAATCGTGGCTGAAAAAGATATCCAATTAATTCAAAACATTGAAGAACGCACTAGTAAGTTTTTTCTTTTTGTTATCAATATCATACTTATAAATTATATGATAGACAAGAAAATGGAAAAGTACGAGGTCAATGAAAACGAAATTTTGGAAGAGTTGAATGAGGTTACTGCAGCCAAGCGTTTAGCTAGCATGGTAAAGTGTTATTTTTTCGTCTTAACTATCGTCCAAACTAATCCTTTTTATCCAATAGCAACTGCACGATAAACAATTTGGTGAAAAGACACATCAAAGAAAGAAGAAGAGAATGGCTGGTAAAGAATAGATTTTGGAAAAGAATTAGAGAATTGCATACACACACTTTTCTTTGTAAATAAATTATGCTTTTTTTTTTTTAATAAGATAAATAGGCAGATTTTCTTTCATTGGATGATACAGCGAGTGTAGCCGCAAATAATCCCACAGATATACCCAATGACGCTACCACCATCTGCGTTGCAAACGAAAACCCTTGATCGTCTTGGCGGATCAAGAAATATGCCCCTTGTATCCCCACACTACCAGGCACCAACGACACAATCCCACACGACAATGGCACTAATGCTAGATCTCCCGTCACCTTATAATACAAATTACCAAAAATTCCTACCGCGAATGCACTAATTGTACCCACAATTTGAAAATTCGAAATCACTTTACTCGCAATCACCGACACGCCAAATCCAATAGCGGAACAACACACCATCGATGGCCATTGATGCATCGTCGCTCCCAAATTAATCGCGATACTGATCGCCATAAACGGGAATAGGGCCGTGTATAACCATGGTGGCACGGACCCTGCACATACGCCAAAATTAGACGTCGTCGAATTGCTATCAACCGCTTCATATAAACTGGTACCGATTTCTAATCCATACCCAATGAATAATGCATAAATCATAGAGTAAACAAATCGAATCGTGCCCGTGATAACATGACGAGCAGATAACTCCATCTATTTAAAAAGTGTTAAGCCCAGTTTTTAAACAAATATAAAATAATTGTATTACAATCGACATGGTTAAAGTATAGCCAGGTATTAGAATACATGTTGCTGACAAGACAACACCAGTGAAACAAACCCATTTGTCCAGCGCCTTTGTAATGAACGAAACAAGAATCGTAGTAGATATTTCAAATACATTGCAATAAGCTGAATATCGTTCGGATAACAAGATCAGCAAGCCTATTAAGAGACCTAGTCCACCGCTCAATGCTGTGTCTGCCAAGGACCCGTTAAACATGACGGGTGTTGTGAGTAAGCTACTCATGGTATGGGATAGCAATGTCACCCAGGGATTCCAAGTAGGTTTAGAAGAAAATAGTTGATCCAATAAAGTAAGGCTTTCAGGTACGGATATTTTGGTTTTTCCTTCAATTGTGCAACACATGCCTCCAATAATATCATTGACTTGCGCTAATTTTCCCATGTCAAACCCTTGTGGGCATCGTATCAAGATAGTTTCGGAATGACCATCATAGTGTTGTATGTTGTCCTTTTTTTCATTTAGTGTCGTGTTTAAAAATGTCATCATCATGATGCCAGGTATAAAGATAAAAGTTGCGTTTACTGATATAAATCGAGATACATGCTCTAACGATTCCTCCTATATAAAAGACAATTAGCGTTAGAGAGAGAAACAAAAAGTATATACTCTTTCTTACAATACGATGGCATGGTGCGCCGTACAACATTAGGGCCTTACACAAGGCAATCAGAGTCTTCTTTTTTGCCTCTTCCTCATCACCCACCACTGTGGTCACAGACCCTGTACTCTCCTCGTCTGTTCTATGCAGAAAATAATTATCTCTATTGAATACAGTGGTAGAAGATGGCAGTGAACCTAAATCAGGGCTACTCCATCCTGCGCCTAAACATCGCCACTTTGTCCACTTGATATCTCTAGTTGTTATTGGTAAAATTGAAGAAAGTCTACTACAACTGCTACTATTTTCCATAATTTTTTTTTTGGATGGGTCAGCGTCCTTTTTTGTGCAAAATATGAAATAAAAACGGTGAATAACTCTTTATTTCTTTTTCTACAAAAAAAAAAGAAACTAGTTATGAATGTAGATATATATTTATTTTAATTAACTTTTTTTTTTTATTGATTATTTAAACCAGGTGGTTAAAGATAAAATACAAGCAACAGTTTTCATTTAAAATTAAGTATTTAAAAGTGTAATAGATTAGCTTAGACGATACTTGTATGTGCATTATTAACTGGGATGGATAACCACCCTCCTCCATCCCAATGAATTAAAGGATGGTAGTAAAGAACTATCAAGTGAGGATCCAGATGCAGTGTTTGGTTCTCTAAAATGTATTTGATTTCTTGTAATTTTGAAAGGGTCTGCTTAAAAAAAATAGAAGAAAAAAAAAAGTTGTGCATGAATGCCTAGCCAATCAAATGATGTTAGTTACTGTTAAGACACTGGTAATAGTTCTTAAAAGGGCAAGTTATGATTATGAACTGAACGTTAATAGGAAAGTAGTATAAATTACACCTAAACTAAAATTAGTTGATAAAACTAAGGATAACCCAACGAACGGGTAACTGGTCGTCCCTGGACGACAGGCCGTTCTATTTGGGTAAATCTTGTTGGAGACAAAAATCATTTTCCCAATCACTAAAATTCAGTAACCATCCACTCGTATGGGTTTGGCCATTCATTCTGAGTAAACTGTGATAAAAACATAAAAAAGGCTTACTTGGCTGAGTAAAGGGTATATAACGTTGACGTTGTTTTTTCTTAAAACTAAGAGACATAGACAGAAGATATTATACGAAGCCAAATATATATAAATGACTTGTAGTTATTACGCAAGAAAAAAAAAAGCAGGATGACTCATCTATTTTTTTGTAATAGGGTCAATGCGTTTGAATATTGGTCGATCACACAAGATCTATTGTCTGTGGTCAATAAAGCTGCATGCAGCTATACGTGAAGGACGTCCCGATGTTATTTGTGCTGTTCACACGTAAAGAAGAAGAAAGAAAGAAAAGTTTTTTCATAGATACTTGACTCTTTTAAAGATGGTCACTCAAGATATGGGAGACCAACCTTTACTTTTGGACGTAAACTTTTGCTAATTTCACATGATGCATGTGCCTTTTTTCGATGCCCACATTGTTTATGAAGTTATTGGGGGGCGTTTTCTTTAATAAAGAAGAGGGCGGGAAGCTTTTAACAAAAAGGTAACGATGCTACACTAATTACATACACTATACTTCACTAACCAAGCAAACAAAAAGCAATGTCTTATATTATAGAATCATGGCTTGCTTACCACCAACAAAACAATCGATGAAGCTATTTAAGGCTTTTTTTATTCTGTTGGAGCGATCTTGTTATTCCCAATGAATGATAGAAGTGGCCCATCCCAAGATATATAAAGACCTTTTAATTATTTCCGATAAAGGTGCAAAAGCTACTTTTGATATCATTGGCGATACTTGTGGAGGATATGGTTAATTCCAGCCCATGTATAATATGAATATTAAGGAACATCCTGATTGTCTTGAATAAACAAGCTGATTTTATTGAATGGTAGAAAAGTGTGTTTACATGAATGTATAGCGAATGATACATAATATTAAGAGAGTATATTTATATTACAAGGATATTTTTTTTTTTTTGGAGTGTTGAATGGATGGATTAATATTTCAGAATAATATAGAAAGCATGAACTATTGATGAAGAGAAAAATTAGAATTCGATCATCATGTCAAAAATCTCCATTGACGACTTACTGATTCCGGGAATATAACCAAGACAGGTCAAGGCAATATTGATGAAGAAATCACATCCACAGCCTCTTTCAAAGAAGACACCAAGAGGAGGAAGGACAACAGCTATAATTAAATTAATAAGTAAATGTGCAAAGGTAAACACAATCATGATGGAAATTTACCAAAGAAGAATTTAAAGATATCGGAACAAGTAAGAGCCATTTTTTAATAGGAATATAGAATGAAGAAGAAAAAAAATATATATGTACAGAAAAACCTCACTCTTATATAGAAAAAATTAAAAAAAAAAACGTCATTTAGCCAGAATTCCTAATTAGGTTTGGAGGTAACACAAAAATGACAACATTGTATTTGTTATAAATAGAATTTTTATTTTAGGGGAGTTAAAGCCATCCATGCGCTTAATCGCCAAGGAGCTGAGATGATAGATCTCTGAGCTAATTTCTTGGAAGCGGGTATGTTGTCCTTCTCTGCCAACGCTGCATTCTCATATGCCTCGGATTGAGCTTCTGCTGTACGTGATTTATTAGAAGCAATTACAAGTGTGCTTGATGTCATGATTTTAGCAGTCTTATCATTTGACGATACAAGTCGAGTGCTTAAACGGCTCCAAGCACCTGCCAACCAAGGTGTTTGATGTACACTTTTAACTAATGCACGAGTTGCTTGCACTTCATTACCCTACGTCATGTAACACTCGTTTAGTATTTTCTAGACTCCCTTTTTTGTGTTGTCACATGCTGGTTTTAATCTATTTTTTTTTTTTTTACCTGAATTTCGTAATACTTGGAGAACAAATACGAAATCGATTGTTCTTTGTCTGAATCATCTGTTAAAAGTAGTCAGTACTGTAGAATTATATATATATATTCTTAGATAAACATACAAGCAATGTGAACGGACACCTTAGCTAATTCTTGTAATGCGGCAGCAGTAAGTGTTTCATCATCCTGAAGCATACCCATGGCACACAATGAGAAAATAGCTGGCAGGTAATTTGGATTATCTGTGATACTATACTAAAAAATTTAGAAGGTGAAATATTTTCCTTCTAACTTTTTTTTTTTTTTTTACCTGGAAAATAATTGATCCTTTGCGACAGCTCTTTGTTCTTCTCCACCCAAGGCCCACAACACTTTACTCAGCAACACAATCACATCTTGACGTAACTCAATATCATCATGTGTTACTTCCAAGGCCAATTCAAACAATGCCAAAGACTCGGGCAATTTATCCTCAAAATAATATGCAATACCTGCATTCAACTGTGCATACACTGTTTGTGCATCAGTGGCATGATAACTGGCAATCGCTCCTTCAAAATCTCCATTGGCACAAAGTGTACGACCCAAATTACTGTGGATCTTGGAAAGTCTCTTATTTCCTTCTTCTTCACTGATACGACCTTCTTCCATTTGTCCTTCGACCGCTAAAATTGCTGTTGCAAAGGCTTCCGCTGCTCTACCGTATTGTCCCAATCTTTCTAAGAGCAAACCTAAGAGGTTTAGCGCAAGTGCATCGTTTAGTTTTTGTTCAGTTAGTTTTTCGAGTGCAAACACAGGTGTGATCACGGCGGATGTAGGTGTATCCTTTGAAGACAATCCAGTAAATACTGTGTCTGCGTAACCATAACTAGCATCCATCTATATCATCAAAAAATGAGTCTCTCTCTTTCTTTTGTTTTCTTTTTTTTCGTACAAACGTAAACTTACTGCAGAACCATTGCTAGACTCGAAGGCATGTTCAAAGATCGCTGCAGCATCTGTCCCCCATAGTGAAGCCACATAGGCCTGACCCACCCATGCTGAGATCCATTCAGGATCCAACGAATGAGCCATTTCAAACGCCTGATTGGCCAATTCATAATCCTTAAGCGATAAACACAAGAATCCGTAATTGGTCCAAGGAATCGCACTTCGATTATTGAACTCCATAGCCTTGATGAATGCATATTGTGATATCTTTGGTAAATCAGCTGTGGTCATGGCAATCACACCTAATGTATTCCAATACATATATTGCGTAGGCTCTAATTTCAATGCCACTTTCACGCACCGGATAGCCGTCATAGCCTCGTCATTCGTATTTAAACTGAGGTGATAGTAGAGAATGGCGAGGTCATGCCAGAATGCGGGTGCAATCGCTTGATGATTTCCACATAATACAAGTGCCTTTTTATAAGCATTGGCTCCACATGATAAGATCACATCCAATGCTGTTTTATGGGGTAGACTAAACTCACCGCTAGCCAATTCTTCCTGATCCAATGCCAAGAATTCTTGGACCCAATGACTGGTGATATCCGGTGAAAACTTCAATGCTTCATGTGCTTTTCCAGGGCCAATACGCATCACGGATTGTAAAGCAGCATAGTGACAGTTATTGAGATATTTGGGAATTTGTCGGTAGAAAGCACAGGCATCACCCACAATTTTCCAAAGCGCAATGATCGAAGAATCTTGTTGTAAGCCTAAAAGAGAGGCGGCAATAGCCGAGTTACAACGATCGGAAGCCCGTCCAAAGAAGCCTTGCTGGAAATCTTCCTTGGCATGTTCCATATAGGTTTCAGCAAGTCCTGCCAAAGCAGGGATATAGTTTTCTTTATCTTGTTCTTTGGCTAATTCTAAAGTATTTTGGAAGCCTGTAATGGCATCGTCTAATAATCCAACTTTTTGTTGTACGTAGGCTTGTTCGTTACTGGCATGTACAGATGTAGGGTCAAGATTCGTGGCTCTTCCAAATGCTTTTAATGCAGCTACAAATCTACCTGCCCGGGAATAGGCTTCGGCAAGTCCTTCCCAACAACGCACATCACTAGTGTCTGTACGTAAAGCTTTTTGAAAGCAAATGATGGCTTCATTGTAGGAACAAATTTTCTATTTTTTTTTAAAGAGAGAATTAGTTACATATAAAGTCTATGGAATACTTTCTTTTTTCTTTGCTTCTTGTTACCATATTGACATAACCCATACGTCTCCAGGCCCATCCGACTTTAGGACTTGACTCAGACACTTGGCGGAAAATAGCTTCGGCTTCATCCAATTCATTATCAGCAATAAAGTAATCTGATAAACAAAGAGCTGCATCCGTATCTAGAGGATTAAGCACGTATGCCTTTTGATAACATTTCTTTGCACGACTTTGATCCTTTTTAACCTCGCGATAATAATGACCCAGGAAAGTAAATCCGCTTGCGAAATAAGGATCTAACTTTACTGATTGCATAAAATACTTGAATGCACTTGATGAATCTATACATGTATGAGTTTTATCGTCCTCACTTTTCATCGGATTGATTTCTAAGAAAAAAATACCTTCCATGAACCAATAGACACGACCAAGGCGATAGTAATAATCCGCTACATCCTTTCCTGCGATCTCCAAAGCTTTTTGAATACATTCAATAGCAGATTCGTAATTTTTTTGCTCACAATAAATCCACCCGATTTCTGCCACCGACTGATGATTTTTGGGATCCAAGGATTGCACTTTTTTAAAGTATTCAAGGGCTTCATCAAATCGCTTTTCTTGAATTAAAATTAATCCCATTCCTTCTAACGCGCTCGTTTGATCGGGATAATGTTGAAGAATAGTCTTGTATAATGCAATTGCATCCATGTGATATTTCTTGTCGATTAAACGGTAACAATGTGCCATACAAATTTCAAATGAAAGTAAAACACTATTATGGACGTAAAATCGGTTGGTATGCTTCCCCCTTTTTTGTTGTTGTTGTTGTAGTCTTGGTAAACTTACTTGCTCATGCTAACACCTGTTTCAACCTTCACTTTTCCTACCAAATCTTTACCTTTGGTGGCATATTCTAAGCCAGTTTCGTATTCTTTCGACTCGTAATAAATCCAGCACAAACACTGATAACCGAATAGACTGTTGGGGCATTCCTCTAAACCTTCACCAAACAAATCAAAGGCTTGATCCAAATCCCCCTCTTTACTCAATTGATAACCCCTTCCTAACTTCGCTAAACCTGTATCGGGGAATCTGTTGATGAGTTCCTGAAAGAGAGTCCAGTCGTATTTATCGGGTGAATCCACGTTGGCAGACTCGATTAAGAGTTGAAGGGGAAAAGGATCGTTGACAGAGATTAAATCCTTTGCAAGATCCATGACTTTTTTATACAACTGGGTATTTCAAATCAAGATTAGATAATCGTGCATGATTTCATTCTAAAAACTTACTTCTGCTTTGTCTCTTGTACCCATCAATCTTTTGGCATAGAATTTCAGCAGCTTAAGACTCCAATATTGTTTTTGCTCTGTATCCTCTTCTGGTACTAAATCCAATACGGTTTCGTACATGATGCCTAATTTTGACACACCAAAGACTTCTGCTTCCACCTGATCTCTGACTTGAGCTGGTGTACCTGCACTTACTCTAAATCGTCTAGAGGCTACTTCGCTGTCAATCTTTTGTGCCTGTTCTTTATCCAATTTTTCAATGATGAGTTTCCAGATATCGATTTGAGGAGGTAAATCGGGTTGGTCTTTGATTAATTCGTAATATTGACTTCCGGGTAAGAAATATTTTAAGGTCTCAAAGTGTTTCTCGGGATCGGTTTCTTTGTACACTACTAGTAGCTTCTTTAAATAATCCGCAAGTTTTGCTCCATCGCCACTATGTCCATGTCAGTCGTGTATGCATTTAGAGAGGCATTCTACTGTTTTTACCTTTGCACGATGCGTGGTAATAATTCTTGAATTGTCTTTGCGAGCTCCATCTTTTTGTTTCTTTTTTCATAAAAGCTAACAAGACCATGCCAGCCCAACATGTTGTCAGGATTAATTTCAATGGCACGTTTATATGAATTCTCTGCTTCTTCATCGTCTTCCATGCCGGTATAAGCAACGCCTAAAAACACCCAACTGCGGCAAAATTATAAATGAGTGTCAAATACGGAAAAGCATAATGTCGTTCTTACGCGTTGTAATTTTCTCCTTCCCATAACAAAACACGTTTACAAGCTTTTACTGCATCGTTAAATTTTTTTGCACCGATGGCTTCTCTCGCAATCTTCAAGTCTGCTTTTGAATTCATTGGTAAAAGAGTTGAAAGTATGAAAAGGGTTTCACCACCAAAATATCGTGAAATATACTTGTCAAACGTCACGTTTTACTTTTTTTTTTTTTTTTACTCGTTCTTTTCTTCCTTTTTCTTTCTCGAAATGAAGTATCTTATATTGTTCTTGACGGCTTTGTTTGCGGTCTTTACTTGCATTCAAGCAAAAGTTATTGAATTAACAGACACGAACTTTGACGACCTTGTCACAGAAAAAGATGAATGGTTAATTGACTTGTAAGGCTCTTCTTAATAATGTGTTGTATATTTTCTGACTATGTTATAGTTATGCGGATTGGTGTGGATACTGTAAACGTCTCGAACCCAAATTCTATGCTGCTGATCGTCTTTTAAGTATGAGCTCTTACAGTCATACCAAAACCGGTACTGTCAATGTCCAAACTAACCCTGGGTTGGCTGCACGATTCTTTATTTCTCGTTTGCCTACCATTGTGCATATCAAGGACCATGAAGGTAAGGATATATACTATATGTTGGATAAGTCTGTTCTAATCGATTGTAATTATATAAAGTACGTGAAGTAGAGAAAAAGAAAAGCGAAAATGATATTGTTTCATTTGTGGCCTTGGAAGAATGGCGTGATGTGAAGCCTAAATCCAGCATTATTTCTCCCTTTAGTTTATTGTAAGTGGTAAAGAAAAAAGGAAGTCCATATGATTGGATAGCTAAACAGTTAAATACAGTGGTAAGACCGTTGGTTTTGTGGGTAAGAGTATCAAGAAATTATCTGGTTACTCTCCTTGGGCTATGATCGGTGTATTGACAGGTTTTTTGGTCTGTGCTGTTGGTTTATCTATTTATAGCAGCAAGCATTTAAGCTCTACTGTAGTGGACAATAAGAAACATGACTCTGCAAGCGAAACAAGACAAGTGAAGAATGTGAAATCACCCCAATTACGTGAAAGAAAGTCGAAGCGTATTGATTAAGTATTAAAAAATATTTATCAAAAAAGCAAGTAAAATAAAAAATATGTGTATAAAAAATGGATGATTAAAACTTACCGTTGAATCTCTCATCCAAAATAAAATAAAAACTAATGAATATCACACATTTTTTTTTTTTTGGCCCTATTTTTTCCCCTTAAAAAAAAAACCTAAACACCATAGATCTTTTTTTTTTCTTTCTCCTCTGTTCTACTCTACTCTACTCTACTCTGCCAATGGTTGTGCGGTTGAGTAAGTTTTCCTCTGACATGCTTTTTCCAATGTATTAAGTTTTTAGGTTTTAGTGTCTTTTTCCACTGTAATTTTTTTTAATGTAAATTTCCAATTTTTTCATCAATCAAATTTTTAAATCGACGCGTAAAATCAGGTTATTAAAAAAAAAATTTTTTTTTTTTTTGTGAACATTTCAGCGATTGGAATTTATCTACGGTAAGGTTCGGGTGAATCGCGTCTGTATCCACGGGCATCCATAGGAGGTGGGGGTGGGGGAGGAGCGGCATCTATTAATAAAAGTATGTCAGTCAAGGCAAAGAGTAATATACTTGAATAAAACTTACAAGGATCGTTCATTTGGCGTTCACGAGGGTCGTCCATGGGTTGAGGAGGTCCTCCACTTGTTGAACGTCTAGGGGCAGGGCGATGTTCATCCTTCTTTGAGAGTCCAATATCCCTATTCATTTTATCAGTACTCTATTCCATAAATCTACACTCTCTTTACTAACCAATCAAGTCTTAAACGACGACCTTCAACACTGAATCCATCAAACTTTTCAAACGCATCTTCAGCGTCACGACGATCTTCGAATTCGACAAAAGCAAAGCTATAAAGAATGTTTGTGTTAATAAACAATAAACAAAAAAAAAAAAAAAAATGGGCACATCTATGTTTACCCCTTGTTCTTATTAGTCACAGCGTCCATTGGTACGGTAATAGACTTTAAGCGACCATAACGTTCAAACATGGTAGCGACCTATATAATAATAATAATAAGAAACCAAAACACGAAAAAAAAGATCTGTTTCGTATACTTTACATCACGTTCAATAAAGTCGTAAGGAAGATTACCAGCATAAATTGTTGTCGTGGTCTTTCTTTCTTGTTCACTTCCTCTATCGACAGGTCTTCTTTGTCTTGATTTGGGAGGGAATCCACCACTGTTACCGCGACCTCCACCGCCTCTTCTATCATCATAACGATCATTATAACGATCACCTCTGTGTTCGTAACGGTCTCTGTGTTCATATCTGTCATAACGATCTCTGTTATCGTAACGGTCTCTGTTATCATAACGGTCTTCTCGGTGATAATATTCGCGACGAGGATAAGAGTCATATCGGTCTCTTCCACCACCAGAACTGGCTCCACCACCACCACTGTTATAACGATCATCGTCACGGTAAGAACGTCTTTCATCATAATATCTTCCACCAGAAGTGGGTGCTCCACCACCTGTAGATGGTGAACGACGAGGAGATAATGATCTATCACGTCCAGGTGATCTATCTCTTCTACCTCCACCTACAGATGACGACGAAGGAGCCACTGTGTTGAGATTACTAGGGGGAGGAGGTGGAGGAGGGAAATCATCTCCTACATTGTTATTTTGTTGAGGTGAATCAGACATTATAACCTTTTTATTAATTAATTAGGTGTTAAAGAAATAAGAGCCTCTGCCTTTTTTTTTTTTTTTTCCTTTGACCCCTCCCCCCCACACTATTATTATTACACACACCACACATACCCCCCCCCTCTCACTCTCCCCGCTAAAATCGCTTTGGGCTACTTTTTCAATCTCCGACCCTGCAGTGGCACCAAGCCACCCAATGTCTCATCTGTCATGGCCCTTCCCTTATTAAGATAAATTGTCCGGTTCTACCTAAGCATCTTTGTAGGTTACAGTGTCATTACAATCAACGCACATCGAAAGAGAATACAAAATAGAGGGAAAGTAAGCTATACACATCTATACAGAGTTCATGCAAGTATTAATTAAAAAGCAAAATAAAATAGGTTAACATGCAAAAGAAAAAAAATTCCTAAATGGAGTAAAAAAAAACCTAATAATCTGGTGTAATATGAACAAAATGGTATGTCCCCAAAACCCAAAACAAAAAAAAAATTCCCCGGAGACACTATAAATATCACTTTATTTCTTGGACCCTTTCTCCAGTTTTTCTCTTCTTCTTCTTCTCATTATCGTCACCCCTTACAGATACATCTTTTTCTATCATGTCTAACACCAACACATCCTTCGTTCTTCAAAAGATCAATGAAATTTCATTCGTAAGTATTGTAATCAAACATAACGCGTTATGAAAACCATCGTTAAACAATTCTACTTGTAGGAGGATAGAGCTATCCCCGTTCCCGGCCCTGGAGAAGTCGTTGTCAACATCAAGGCTACAGGTATTTGTGGTTCTGATGTCCATTATTGGACACACGGTAGCATTGGTCATTTTATCTGTAAAGGTCCTATGGTCCTCGGTCACGAATCTGCTGGTCTTGTCGCCTCCGTTGGTGAAGGTGTCACTCATCTCAAGGTAGGAGATCCCGTTGCTTTGGAACCTGGTGTGCCTTGCAGAAACTGTGAGATGTGTAAGACCGGTAGATATAACTTGTGTCCCGATATGAAGTTCGCTGCTACTCCTCCTTATGACGGTACCCTCTGTAACTACTATAAGCACGCTGCTGACTTCTGTTACAAGTTGCCTCAAGGTATCTCCTTGGAGGAAGGTGCTTTAATCGAACCCTTGTCCGTTGGTATTCATGCTGCCAGAAGAGGTAATGTCAAGTTGGGTGATAGAGTCTTCATTTTCGGTGCTGGTGCCATTGGTTTATTAACCGCTGCCGCTGCTAAGGCTGCTGGTGCTTCTCACGTTACAATTGCAGGTAAAGTTTTATTACATTTAGGTGTTTGGTATGGGCTTTTTTATTAACGTATCCCTACCTTTTTATTACAGATATTGCTGAATCAAAGTTGAACTTTGCTAAGTCTTACTCTGCTGATAAGACCATTCTTTTAACAAAGAAGCGTGCCGAAGGTCAACAAAGTAACGATTTCGCTCGTCAAATGGCTGAAGAAATCCTTGCTGAAGAAGGTGTTGAAGCTGCTAACGTTGTCTTTGACTGTACTGGTGCTGAGGTCTGTGTTCAAATGTCTGTCTTCGTAAGTAAAAAAAAAAAAAAAAAAAAAATAGATGGGGAGTAAACCATGAAAACTTATGTATTTGAAATTGTAGCTTGTCAAGAACAGCGGTAGCATCGTTTTGGTTGGTATGGGTGCTTCTGTTCAATCTATCTCTGTTGCCGATGTCTCTGCCAGAGAAGTCGATGTTAAGGGTGTTATGAGATACTGCAACGTAAGTGATTTTTCTGCCTTATTTACCATCATCAAATGCTAATCCACACAATTGAAAAAATAGACCTATCCTACTGCTATTGAAATGTTGTCCTCTGGTAAGGTTGACTTGAAGAGCTTGATCACACACAGATATGAATTCAAGGATGCCTTAAAGGCTTTCCAACATGTTAAGGAGGCCAGAGAAGGTACCATCAAGGTGGTCATCACCAACGATCAATAAATAACGATCGTCCCCAAATAATACCATGTAAAGTTTATTGTATAAAATTATTGTAATAAAAAAGCCAACAGTTCTTGCACTGTTTCACTCCCTCATTTCTTATGCTTGTAATCCCCCTTGTCCGTCAGTAATATGGAGTCATAATCCCCAATTACGTAAAAGTTGATGTAACAACTGCTCCCGCCTGGGAGAATCTGGAATGGTTTTATATTCCTTACATCTGACGAAATGACGACAAAACCTTTTCCCCAACATTTGATTTAGGATTACTCTTTATAGTTTAAAAATGAACATGCTACTCCATATTTGTATTGATCTACATGCATTCAAGTTTGTGCTAATTAAAACCATGTAACTTTTTTAAAGTCCACCATGTGGGGAAAAAAAAAGAATGGGACGCGGTATTTTTGGGCTTACTTTAAAAAAATGTCTTCTTTAAATCCAGACAAATGAATATTTTCATTTGAAAGGTCTGTCAAACAGAGTTTTCTTTTTGTGGACTGCTGTAAAAAATAATCAGGCAGAATAATAATAGCTTTTATACAAAGTCATATAATATAATTATCCCAATTCCCAAGATATCTGCAAAAAGTACCTGAATGTATACTTGTATGTCTTTGATCAAGATATTACAATCGGAATGACAAAAAGTGAGTATGGAAGTGTAATGACATGATTTTCTATCACATAGTCAGCTTATCATGATGGCTGCTTTTTGAATCTACATCATGATTTAAAAGTCTTGACATAGTAATGGTCCAAAATTTCAATAATTTTACAGAAAGTTACAGACAACATGCATGCTGTTATAAGTCACTTATAGTGACGTGCCATAGTGGAATCAGTAAAATGCTACTTTTATTTACTCTGATACCGAACAAAGAGAAATTTGATGAAAACACTGAGGGAGAGACAATTTCTGGAATTTGGCCTTGAAAGTCACTCAATTTTCCTAAGTACTATTAGCTATTATATGTTGATAAGTGCTTCTTCCACAATTTTAAACTAGGTAAGAAAAGAAGACACGCTTCAAGAAAAAAGAATAAGGAGTGATCCTAAAAAGAGAAGAAAAATGGAATTAGGCATCATCGTCGCCATTTAATTCAATATGTAAATCTTACCAATTATCTGCTGCCTGTAAAACATAGCATTATCAAAACATCTACTACTCCACAGCCCTTAAAACCGCCGTTTGGGTTAATTCCTTATTTAGTTTATGTTTTTTCATCAGTTTTGTTTTAATGCCGTTATCCAATCAAAACTCCTCTTAGTTTTCAAGCGAAGATTTTCATCAGCCCTTCACCTTTTGAGCTCGAAAGCGAGAACGATGAAGACCATGGTTTTAACGATGATCTCAACAGCAATTTCGTAGATAAAACTTTATAATTTTCAGTTACTTTTGCCCTTTCCCCAAATTAAGTTTACATGTAACAAAACTCTCGATAAGTATGTGTTGGGTTACTGCAAAGAAAACGGCTACCCTGTATCGTTGGGTCGTTCTTGTTACTGCCTCCGCAGACGTCTTGAGTCTTTGGAATATATGTAAATCTAAGTAAACATATACATATTTAAATCAACAGCTGTGTGAGGCTATTTGCAGACATTTCTATTAAAGGTAAAGGCTGAAACATTAGAAGTGATTAAATAATCAATTAAATCATCCTGACATAAACCAGTTCTTGTTTATCTATTTATAAATTGAACTGGTTCACGCGCTTTGTCTCTTTCTTTCTCTTTCATCTTCTTATTAAAAATACTTATTCGTGTTTAAGTTATGGTTTTTTTGGCCGACAAACAGTTAGACAACTTGGATGTTTACAACATGTACCGGGTGCAAGACGCGTTTCTCTTGGCGGATGCATAGTTGAAGGTAACACCTGAGACGGTCAAGAAATGCTGGAGGTATATGAATACCCCGGAATTTAAGAAAAATTCTGGGGGTATTGGCTTTGCCACCTACTCTCCCCTTACCTTTAGGGGAAGAGGATTTAAGGGTGAGATTTTCGAAATTTTTGGTCTCCCTTAAATCGAGCGGCTATGCTTTCTGAAAGTTCTTGTTCAAAAGATATGAACAAGTACACATGGAAGTACATGGAAGTACATGGAAGTACTTGGAAGTACGAAAAGGTAAAATAAATTACTTTTGATCTTACGCGTCTCACTAATCTTCCCTCTTGTTGTCTAGACGAAGGAAAACAAGAAATTTCAATGTTTTCATTTGGAACGACATTCTGGAAAAAATGAACCAACGTGTAAGCTTATATTACTTTACATGCGAAATTCGACTCATGCTTATTGTCATAGTCATTTTTTCTTGCTTTTTAGCGAGTAGTGGATGGATATAGTGCGGCTGCTTTGAAATATCACTGCAGCCGTAGCAGAATCTTCCGCGGCACAGGTGGCGAATTTTTTTAATTCGCGCCTCCTTCTTTTCCGCAGTTATCGTAATTGTCACATAACTAAATGGACGTTATTGACGATTTTCTTGAAAAGAAGTCGGTCTCCGGCAAGGTAAAAGTTTCTTCGTTCATGCAAGAACGCGAAGAGGCTATAAGTAAAATGTCTTATAATATTCCGACAATGAATGCCCTTGAGTTGAGAAATTATTGGACACAGTTACTAGACAATTACCAGCAAAGCTTCACTTGTGATTATAACCTTGTTGACTGGGAGAGGCTCTCCAAGATTATAAGAAAGGTAAATACAAAATTTGCAATCAATACTTTCTCAAGTTTAACACCTTTTCTTTTTGAATAGAACATACTGAATAGCCGAGCAGAGGCTGGCCCTCTTATCTTCGTCTTTTGGTGGATGAATTGCTTTTGTTGGCATCCTGTCTGAAAATCCAGACTGTAAAAGCTGTGTTGACCATGGTGGCGTGCGATCTTCCAGTTACATGGAAGCTTGCTGGTATGACCTTATACAACTCGGTTAATACATGAAGTAAGTGTGATCATAGCTTTGAATCGATTTCTGGTCAGCCATACAGGCGTGATTTTGCTGGTGGTCCCCGTAATAATGATTGCACTGTTCGTAATGCAGTTACCCATCGCACCAATGCTTCGAAATGACGCAAGGTATTCGGAGCTTCTTCGTTTGGATTAATTTGATCCCATCAACTTTGTTGTGTTTGACATTTGTCACAACACTTTTATGGACACAGCAAAAAGAATGATGAGAGATATTTGGACGGCAAGACGCTGTTTGTTGGATGGTGCAAGTGAGCCTTTGATCACAAGCAACCACTTGAAGGATATGTCTAAATCTTGTGCTAAGAAGTTGGTTTTGGCTTTTGGCTATGACGGTCAGTCAATTGGCAGAAAAATAACTGTGGGTGATGTTGGCTTTGGGGCACATGAGGAGCGATGAGTTTAAGACTTGGGTTTTGGCCCAGGTTGAACGCAATTGTCCGCTCCTCATCTTCCAGCTCCACTGTTGTTCCTTGTCGTCCTACCATTTTTTACACACCAAAAAACAGACGTAACCAAAAACGTCCAATTGGTTTGGTTGATGAATAAAGTCTTATAATTACTACCTGGACCTCATTAAACCCTTGCTTCTACACAATTGCGTGCTAGTTTTACGCTCTTATTAATTAATTTATAAAATGCAGTTTCACTTTAACCTATCACTTCCTCATTACGTATTTAATGACAACAATTTATTAAATCAACAATGTTTTATTCTAATTACATGTAACAAGTTTGTTCTTGCGGCCTCAGCCAGACAGTCTTTCTCCAAGTAATCAGTAATGTATTTTACATGGCTTCGTATATTTCTTCATGAAATTAATATTATTATGAAGGGATCTTGCACCATAATGATGTACCCGACTGAATATTTTTATTACTGTTGGGCGATGGTATAAATACTTTTGCTTCAAATATTGTGCATAAAATCATCTACTTCTTGTCAGCATGATATTTCATAAACCGATACATCAACCTTGTACATCTTCATATAACAGCTACAAGTATATTTTTGAACATTGTGACTGTTCCTGTCCGTTAAAGCAGCATGGAGTATTTAAATTGACGAATTAAAGAAGGCAATAACTAACTCTAATTGACATTAATTACTCAGATATTACACATACATAAATTTTCTAATGTGAAGAGCATTATGGATTTTACTGTGTAACGGAATAGGTTATTGGACGGCGAGTTTTATATTTTGCTTGTTGAATGAACCTTAATTTGTCAACCGGAACGAATAGTTTGATGCGATCGTCTTTGGGGCAGAAAATACACGTGGGGTAAATTTAAGAAAATAAGAACTGGTGATATGGAGTTGAGTCTTTTTAGATGCTTGATTGGATGCTTTTTGAGTCGAATACGGTATGTCATGTGCTTATCTACAGTTTTCCCCTTTTTCAGAAATATAGTGACTCGTTATTTCGATTTGTAATTCTGCCCATTTGAAGAGACTGGAGATTCCCACCCCGCAAATCATCCTTCTTTTTTTTTCTTATTGAAACCTTCAAATATAAAAAAAAGCAAAAAAAAAAATTATGGCTACCACCTTAGCAGAGATTGTATCCAAAATTGCTAGTCAGGGTAAGAACCCTGATGTATCTTTCTTAAAAGATAATCCTGAAGCTCAAACTATGCTTTTGATGGCTCTTTTATCAAACGCAAATAACAAAAATGGGGCTGCACCCATTGATACCACCGATAAGCGTAAATACGACTCTGTTAGTAGTGCTAGTAGCTCCCCCAGTCCCCCTAGAGGTAGATAGCATCGTGTATCAAAAATATAAAAGAAAGTATTACTTACTTATCTGAACGTAGATGAAACGGAGGGACCCAGAAGAGTGGGAAGAAAACCAGTTACAAGTGATGAAGAAGACGTAAGTGTTTGTGAATTTAATATAGAAATAAATAAATAAATTAAAGCTTTCCTGTATTTATATAGTCAGATAACCCTAAATCAAAGAGAAAGGCACAAAACAGAGCTGCCCAAAGAGCTTTCAGAGAACGCAAAGAGAACCATGTGCGTATTTTAGAAGACCGAGTCAAAGAACTGGAAAATTTGAACATGGAAAAGGATTCAGCGCTTGCTGTAGAAAATGAGCAACTGAAAGATATGATTGCCAGGTTACAAAATGAGAATGCAGCATTACTTGGTTCATCTACTTCTTTTGAGAACCCGTTATCGACCAATTCAGCCGCCAGTGACACCAAGCGACCTTCGAAACTGATCCGATCTTCCAATGAACCGGCCTATTTCAGTAGTTCTGCTTCTTCCAATTCAACACCAGAGACACAACACCAACCAATTAGTATTGATGATATATTGGGCTTGGATACTTCTGTCTTACCATCGCATGCTTTACTTGATCACTCTGAGTTGTTGGGCTTTAATAATGATTACACGGGCCAACTGAATGATATGTTGAACCAACATCGTTTAACATTTGCAACTGATCCCTCCGAGTTTGACTTTTTCTATCCCTTGGCTAATGATATCCTTGATACTGAATCAATACAATTACCGAAAGATGAAGAAGGTACAAAATACATTAATAATATCTCCAAGACTTGGGACAAGGTTTCCGAGCATCCAAGATTTGATGAGGTCGATATGGATTTATTGTGTGACGAGATGAAGAAAAAGGCTGTGTGTACAGATGAAGACCATGACAAGGAACTCCAAAAGGTTTTGAACAAACACTACCCAATCGAATAACTCTTTTTCTTTCTTTCTTTTTTTTTCTTTTATATATCATTTTGTACACATCTCTCCATTATTTACATGTCTTTCTTTCAAACAATAATAAATTTTTTTATTATTATGACTTCATTAATGAAACTCCCATAATGATACAAGCAAGAGAAACGTAAGGACTTAATCGTTCTCCTACGCGTGCTGCTTTCCAGAATAATCCAAGGACACTAAATGTTAATCGTTAAATCGATGACCTTCTTATTATTATTCATTGACCCATCGCTTACCCTGTCTTCTTTCTATCCAACAAAGATGGTGCTTGTGCTCGAACGTATGTACATGTACAGATTAATAGTAAAATTACTAAAAGTAAAGACTGGAAATTGAAAATAGCAGACTAAAGAAAGGAAACAGTCAGCTTCATCTCTCATATATTAAAAAAAGTCCTGCAAGAGCATTACCATGATGTGTGGAGATGAATAGTTAAAAAGAGGATAAAATGTTTAGACACAGCTTTTTTTTTTCTCTTGGACGTGCAAACCATCGATTTTTTTATTTTATTTTTGCACATTTTTTGAACATCATCGTTTGTTAAAAATCATGCAAAACTTTTACTGTCGTATACGGTCTCCCCTCTAGAACAAGATATCCTTCCAAAGACATATTGACAATAGTCAGGGATGGGTATTCTATATTAAATTAAATTTTATTAGACAGGTCAGTTGTATCTCCTTTATCGATTGTCATTGAAACAAGTCATCGCCTTCGCAATTGTCTACAACTAGTAGCATCTTTCAATTATATGTGAATTTGACTGGTAGCTATTATGAGGTAATTTGAGCAATGTCTCCACCCACTTATCCTTTAAAAGCAAGATCGCAATATTATACAATTGTCACGCTCTTATGCTTACAGAATTACCGCATTTTCAAAGCTAGGATTCACTAACTAAAAAGTAATATGCGCTTCTTCGCTAAAAGCTTTCTTCATAACAAAACAAACTTAAATCTCATCCTACAAACAGGGTTTTTGAGTTACCCCATTAAGATAAATGAAAAATTGCAATGATCAGAAAATATAGTTAAATCGTTAATATTCACTTTTATTGCAGTTTGGTTTTGGTTCACTAGGTTTTTATTAGGAACATTATCCAGTTTTATATGAAGAACGGTTGAAGAAATCATCTTGTTAAAAAATAAATCGTACATGGCGAGATATTTCGTTGTAATAGCTGAGAAATTGTAATACCCTTTTACGTCCCAACAGATTATCTCTGACCCGAGCGCATTTTCCCAATTTTATTTTTGAAAACGCGCAAAACGATGCCGTGGGCCACTGTACACGTAATTTAGGGTTTTCTTTTTATTTTAAAAAATAATTCTAAAAAATGGCAGAAGAAATGTGGTGTACGATCGAAAGTGATCCAGGTAAGAATGCCTCAGGCTTCATTTTGGTTTTTTCCTAATCGCTGTTACTAACAAAAATGTTACGTTCGTAACTAAGGTGTATTCACCGAATTGATTGCAGGTATGGGGTGTCAAGGAGTTCAGGTTGAAGAGGTATACAGTTTAGACGAATCGACCTTACAAGAGTTGAGGTAATGTGTAGCTTTAACAAATAAAAGAGACATGTTTGTTAATACATTGTCTGGAATAGTCCCATGTATGGCCTGATCTTTTTATTCAAGTGGCAAAACAAGAAGAATCAAGCAACCCCACCACCACCTGTTGACACCAATGCTGAACATGTCTTTTTTGCCAATCAAGTGATTAACAATGCATGTGCTACGCAAGCCATTTTATCCATTTTATTAAACAGAAATGATATTGAAATTGGGCAAGAGTTGAAAAACTTTAAAGAGTTTACAGCTGATTTTCCACCTGACGTATGTTTTTTTTTTCTCCATAGAATGATGATGATTACTTAATTTGTATTATTCTTAGATGAAAGGTTTGGCGATCTCCAACAGTGAATTAATTCGTACTGTGCATAATAGTTTTGCCAGATCAGACCCATTTGTAAACGAAATTGTGGATCCTAATGCTGGTAAAGATCAAGATGTTTATCATTTTATTGCTTATACACCTATTCACGGAGCTCTTTACGAATTGGATGGGTTAAGCCGAGGCCCTATTAATCTGGGACCCTGTGATGAAAATAACTGGATTAACCAAGCCAATGAAGCTATTCAACGCCGTATGCAAGGATATGGAGCCTCTGAATTACATTTTAGTTTGATGGCTTTGACAAAGGATAGACTTGAATTATACGAAGAAGAGATCGAAGAATTAGACGGATTACTTTTATCGCTGGGTGAAGATGCGGTAGACCAGAGAAATGAATTGAATCAACAACGTAGTTTATTGGAACACAAGCTTCATTTAGAAAAGGAAAAAAGAGCCAGATGGCATGTAAGTTTACATGAGAGTCCCCAATTATTATTTAGAGTTTTACTAAAGATGATATTTATACTATAGAGAGAGAATGTGTTGAGAAAACATAATTTTATACCCATCATCTACAACCTTTTAAGAAATCTTGCGGAAAAGGACCAGTTAGTCCCTCTTGTTGCTAAGGCTAAAGAAAAGGCTGCAGCACGACATCAATAAACTTTTTTTTTGTCTGTATAATATTGACCATTAGGTGGCCGAAAGAGATTTAGATTAGGTTTAAAGACCAATTGTTTACGTCCTTTTGTTTTCTTTTTGATCCACAGCACTATATTGTAAAATATGGCTCGGATAGCGATACATCCTTTACTACTTAGGCAGATTACCATTATTTGCATATATCTATTTTCAGTAGGTTGGACAGGGACCTTTGTTTAAATTGTAACGAAAAAGAAAGTGGGGGGACCGATAAGTTTTACTGTTATTTTTCCTTGAATTTGTCAGGTAATACAACTTGGGGATATACAAAGCAATTGTTTACATGTAGACGGTGCGAGTTGAAAAACTCGCACTTGAAGAAATTGGTGGACGTTACGTCGGACAGATCATCTTATGTTTTGCACTCTCCAGCTCAATTATTTATTGATAAAAAGAATTTGATTGAAACGAAGAAAAGCATATGTTGAGTCCTTTTATATAACACTGCTTTTAAAACTTTTGTACCAGAAATTATGCTTAATTACATATTTCTCATTGAAATTTATAGCATGTGGCTTAATCTCATTGTATTAACCACTCACAACGCAGGTGAATTAGTTTATAAGCATCAATGCCAAAATGCTGGCCGTATATACATACCACGGGGTGGTCCGAATAAATTTCAAATTTAATTGGAGTGCGCCGCAGGCGCGCTCCGACAAAATTTGTGTCACTTTTTAGTTTTTTTTTTTTCTAGAAAAAATACCCTACTTGACATCAAATCTAAACTGTACAATATTTACTATAAACATAATTTATTACAAACAGACATAGTACTTTATTTCTTTTGTCTTTTAGTTGATGTATATTTTTTTCTTGGGGTTCTCGGAGCAAGATAATCAAATCTTTGAGTTGACCAAGTACTGCTATTGCTTGATTCCAAATCAACTGCAGAAAAAACTGTCTCCGGTGTATTGATAGCAGTGTTATTATTAGCATAAGTTCTTTTGCTGCTATTAACTAACACCGTATTATCAATAGGAAACACAGCGCCATTACCAGAATTGTAACAGGGTAGTGGATTAGGCTGCATATGATTAACGTAACCAGTCTGATTAACATAACCAGTCTGATTAACATAACCAGAGAAATATTGTTCCGGATGGTAATACCTCAAAGGCGGAGGTGGATTAGACCATTGTATACTGTTTGTATTATTGTAAACTACAGTTGGTGGGGCAGTTATGGGGTAGTTATACGAATTAACAGGGGGAACAATAGACACCGAAGACACCGTTTGAGTTTCTTGGATTAATGGTTGCGCAATGTTTGATTGTAAATTATAAAAATTATCCAAAGGAACAGGATCAGGAATATTTAAAGGCTGAGATTCCGAATTAGATACCTGTACGAGTTCTCGGGCCTTTGCAACTAAGTTACTGTTCTTAATTATGCTGTTGTAATAATGGGTCCTGTCTTTGAGAATGTTACTATATTGTCTAAGGTGTTCTGGGGACTTGTAGAACACATCAACACCATTCGCAAAAGGGGACCACATTTGAGCAAACTTTATCCAGTCTTGATGTTTGCTCAGGCCCATCTTTGGATTTTGACGAATAATTTCATCAAACAATTGCATCTCCTTTTTTGTATGCACTGGGACGATAGCATACAAAGTGCATTGTAGGATTGCAAGACATTCATACTGGTTCTTGTACAGTTTAATAAGCTTGATTGGTGGCAACGAAATATCACTTTCATGATTTAGAGCGAATAAAGCCGTATCAGACTGTACATTTCCTCTCATACCAAAATCTGTTAAAGATTTAGGATCTAAAGGAACAATGCCAAACGTTTGACCAGAAGGGGCAAGGTCAGATAAATTACCAAAGGCCGTGTGGTAATTTAACAATGGTGGCAAATCCAGCTGTCTACGCAACACATTAATTGACTGGCTTAACCAAGGAGAGTAGTGACCTTTATGAACAACACCAAATCTGTTGTGAGAGCCAACCTAAAAATACAGTTAATAATAAAATTTTATGAATGAATTGAAAAACATTGTCTACTTACATCAGTATTATGGCGAAGTCGATAATCGGCTAAAGCACAATCGGTCAAATCGGGACCAGCGTTGTAACAACCGAATTTTCGAATGATGTTCATATGAACACCACCTTCAAGACTGTTTGTACCACGAGCACACCTATAGACAGGTAGTCCATGACTATCTACACGTAAAAGATAGTACAAGGGAACATCTACGGGATCTGAGACATATCCATCCTTGATCGTTTGTAGAGCCAACTTGGCTTTCTTTTGACAGTGCTTGTCGAACAACTTTGCACCTGAATTAGAGCAAATGGAATCACCGAAGAGATCGAACAGTTCAGTGACTCGAGGATGCAAAACATTAGGCGGTGGAACATAACGCCGAACACGTTTAAGAAGCCACTCGGGATTTCTCAAGAGTTCTTCTTCCCAAGTTTTATTTTGGCTTTCCAGGAATTTAACCACGAGAGATTTGTCGTTCTCATCCAGGACAAAGAGAACATCACGCAATCTTCTGACAAATTCTTTTGCCATACCATGCTTCAAATTGATAGGAATTGAATCAATTAAATGAAACAGATCCTTTAAAATTCTACTGGTAGGAGCATTGCCATCTGTATTGGTGCTATCGGTGTTAGATTCGACTGGCAAAGTGCCACCAAAAAAAGATGAATCGCCAGGTATAACAACAGATGTATTACCAGCATATTCAAAGCCGTAGTCAGGACCACCGTCGTCATCAACATCATCATCGCTGTATTCGTTGCTAGTACTTTCAACAACGACATTAATGGGTGCTGTAGTGTCAACAACAACTTCAGATTCTTCTGCAGTATCACCAGTTGGAACCTTAGCAGTGCGCAGGTACGAGGTTTCGAGAGCCACCAAAAAAGGAGTAGGACCAAAATCTTTAAGAAATTTGAACATTCCAAGTGAGTCTTTATACAATGTTGTAATTAGACCAGATGCCTTTACTGATAAAACATTAACAACAGTGATATCGTCTCTGGCTTGGATTCCATTCGAATTAAGATGCTGGAGCCTTAAATTATCATCAACAACTTGACCAAAAGCAGAGGGTACCAAGGAAAACGAGGGAAAAACGTTTACAAAAAGGCCAGGGATTGCAGTTTGTATTTCCACGTTAATGACTTGTTCGTTTTTGAGCTTTTGAAAAATAGCAAGACCCACCCATGCATCAAGAGCAGCATATTTGATATGAGACGTGGTCAAGGTGACGTTGGACCAGTGTTCACCTATTCTATCGTTTTCAGGCTTAGGTAAGGACTTAGCAAGCACGGTTTCACAAAGTTTAGCTAAACCGGCTTGAGCACTTTTCACGATACCACGACTCTTGCAAAAGTGAGCCAGATCCAGCCCACCTTTGAACTGCTTTTCAACAGAGGTAGTTTCATTGTAGTCTTTGATGTAATCTTTCATCAAATACTTCAGATCAGTCTTAACATTTTTTCCAAGTTTAATAACGAGGTCACTTTCCAAAAGAGTTATCAGCTGAGCCGGGAGGGTGCTATTCTTAAACCTGAAAAGCTGCATGATGTATACACAGTCATTATAGGCTATTTGTATAACAGCTACAGGCTTTCTTGTTGAAGCACCAACCGAAGAGACAGGACATTCTGTATCAAAACCGATGTAAATGGGTGCACCAGTGCCGTCTTCACCTATACTAACATCAGAGAGAATTGTACTGCTGATTCTGTTTATATCAGTGGACGATGATACAACATGAACAGCTATATGATCCGGTAACTCGATATCAGGCACAGGAGGAGAACAAGGGATCGGAGAAGTCACTTCAGAAGACGTACCACAAAGTAACGAAGGGATTGTCTTTTCCAAAAATGATTTATCACCCAATGGATTGTCTGTAAAGAATATCTTGGGCTTTGGATTTCCATATAAGGAACGAGACTTGTAAAATTGCTCGAAAGGTTGTACCAGGTGGGATAAAGCCTTTGTCGCTGTCAGGTACATCATACAGATTTCCTCGTATTCATTACAGACAGTGTACACAGCAGTTGAATACAGATACAGAATTCATTTTTCCAATTTTCTTAGGAAGCTTGAAAGAATGATCGCCTTTCAATATTTCTGCTGGCAACACAGCCATTTGTTTATCCATGTAGTGCTTGTAGAGCCGCATACTACTAGTATATACATAGCTGAGATAACCAGCAGACGGAAAATGACCCGCATATTTGGACTTGTCATCAAATCTTGAAAAGTCTTCCACCTTTTTATTTGACGCAAAAAAATCAATTGTTGGATTTTTTTTACGATAAAGAGCGGCATCAAGATACTGACGTTGCAATACATCATGTCGTAATGTATGCATTTCTCGTAGAAGTTTGCTGATACGAGAAGGTCCACTCGAATTTTGCAATGCAGGTCTTATAAAATTGAAAAGCTTGACCGATAAGCCTAATCTATGAGTCAAGACAGCAGGAAACTCGTGTTGAAGGAAAACATTAAGCTGCTTTATGATTCCCTTATTATATCCTTTGAATGAATGTTTACTAACTCTATTGCTGCACCGATAGTTGCAAGTCATCAAGTAGAAACAGCTACACATAGTTAAAAGAACGTCAGCATTTGTGAACTAACTAGTTTATATCTACGATAAGATACTTACTCATCAAAGTCAATAATCCTACGGGCCTTGGGATCTTTGGTATAACCATCAGCACTTAAATTATCATTACACTTTGGGCATTTAAGGCTCGAAAGTGCAAGAAGATGTGGAAGCCAAATGCATACTCTGGGTTTATACAGCTCTTCAGGCGATAGCTGTTTTCTCAAAGCAAATGATGGTAACTTGGACTCATACCAAAGAGTCCCTTCCTTGTAACATTTAGGCCATTCGCCTCGTTTTCGTGTCAGTTCGGTCTGGATTTCACCCAAGTACCTGTCAATGAAACTGCCTTTGTCAACATCTTCAGCTTCCTCAGGCTCATCAACAGATACATTAGGATCATCAGATAGATTGACGCTATCGTCATCATCGTTATCCGGATCACCATTATCCAAAAAATCATCCATGGCTCTTTCATTCGATAAGAAATCCTAGTGCTAAAGTTAGTAAGGCTCAACAAAGCAAATAATGATATAAGGTTTACATACCTCAAGGACTGTTAATTGGTCAGCAGCATTACTATTGCGCTGGTGTGGTTCATCTGTGACGGACGAGAGAGAGATATCAACCGAAATTTCCTTTTCCGTGTCCTCTTCAGTAACAGCAGAATTAGGAGCTCTAATACTGTTTGAGAAAAAACTTAAACGAGACTGAGAGCTATCAGAAACCTTATTTTGCTTATTTTTACTGCCTTTAGGACGTCCACGACCAACTCCAGTGGACTGAGTCATACGTGGTTGTTGAAGCTATTATAAAGACCGTTTTAGTAAAAGATACCAAATACACTGTTATATATATTAAGATACTTACATGTATGGGCTAAAACGGAAAAAAAAATGAAAAGGTGTTTCTAGAAAAGCTTGCTTACTTCAGCATCCTATTTATACTTTTTGACATTGGAAGATTGTCTGAAACTGAAAAAAAAAAAAAAAAAATAGAAAAAAAAAGAAAATCCTTCAGGTACCAATTATTTTTTACTTTCCTTTTTTATTACTTCTCTTTTAAATAAACAGTATTTGATTGCTGGTCTAGTAAACATGTAGTCCTATGTTGGGCTTATGAGTTATTGTTCTTATCACTACGTTTAATCTAAAAAACATATCAATTTAGATGTATTACTTCTGGACCTGCTAAATGGTCGGAGAGCATCCAAAGTTTTTTTTTATAAAAGATGAAGTTCATAGTTTAATAATTTTCTATAAAAATGAACAATAGAGTGCTTTGTGCCATGTGAAATGACAGTTTATACGCAGAGCACTATCGAAAAAAAAAAAGTAAAGTGCAGCGGATATCCAATAAGCTGTTTAGAAAGGAAATAAATTGACGGATATGGTAAGAAATTGACCGATATGGTAAAAAATTGGGAAAAATTCAAGTTCAATTGTAATATCTTCTGCTTATTTTTTTATTCCTTTAAAGCGGAGCTACCCACGTTATGTTCAAACCGCCAAAAAAGGCCGTATATACATACCACGGGGTGGTCCGAATAAATTTCAAATTTAATTGGAGTGCGCCGCAGGCGCGCTCCGACAAAATTTGTGTCACTTTTTAGTTTTTTTTTTTTCTAGAAAAAATACCCTACTTGACATCAAATCTAAACTGTACAATATTTACTATAAACATAATTTATTACAAACAGACATAGTACTTTATTTCTTTTGTCTTTTAGTTGATGTATATTTTTTTCTTGGGGTTCTCGGAGCAAGATAATCAAATCTTTGAGTTGACCAAGTACTGCTATTGCTTGATTCCAAATCAACTGCAGAAAAAACTGTCTCCGGTGTATTGATAGCAGTGTTATTATTAGCATAAGTTCTTTTGCTGCTATTAACTAACACCGTATTATCAATAGGAAACACAGCGCCATTACCAGAATTGTAACAGGGTAGTGGATTAGGCTGCATATGATTAACGTAACCAGTCTGATTAACATAACCAGTCTGATTAACATAACCAGAGAAATATTGTTCCGGATGGTAATACCTCAAAGGCGGAGGTGGATTAGACCATTGTATACTGTTTGTATTATTGTAAACTACAGTTGGTGGGGCAGTTATGGGGTAGTTATACGAATTAACAGGGGGAACAATAGACACCGAAGACACCGTTTGAGTTTCTTGGATTAATGGTTGCGCAATGTTTGATTGTAAATTATAAAAATTATCCAAAGGAACAGGATCAGGAATATTTAAAGGCTGAGATTCCGAATTAGATACCTGTACGAGTTCTCGGGCCTTTGCAACTAAGTTACTGTTCTTAATTATGCTGTTGTAATAATGGGTCCTGTCTTTGAGAATGTTACTATATTGTCTAAGGTGTTCTGGGGACTTGTAGAACACATCAACACCATTCGCAAAAGGGGACCACATTTGAGCAAACTTTATCCAGTCTTGATGTTTGCTCAGGCCCATCTTTGGATTTTGACGAATAATTTCATCAAACAATTGCATCTCCTTTTTTGTATGCACTGGGACGATAGCATACAAAGTGCATTGTAGGATTGCAAGACATTCATACTGGTTCTTGTACAGTTTAATAAGCTTGATTGGTGGCAACGAAATATCACTTTCATGATTTAGAGCGAATAAAGCCGTATCAGACTGTACATTTCCTCTCATACCAAAATCTGTTAAAGATTTAGGATCTAAAGGAACAATGCCAAACGTTTGACCAGAAGGGGCAAGGTCAGATAAATTACCAAAGGCCGTGTGGTAATTTAACAATGGTGGCAAATCCAGCTGTCTACGCAACACATTAATTGACTGGCTTAACCAAGGAGAGTAGTGACCTTTATGAACAACACCAAATCTGTTGTGAGAGCCAACCTAAAAATACAGTTAATAATAAAATTTTTATGAATGAATTGAAAAACATTGTCTACTTACATCAGTATTATGGCGAAGTCGATAATCGGCTAAAGCACAATCGGTCAAATCGGGACCAGCGTTGTAACAACCGAATTTTCGAATGATGTTCATATGAACACCACCTTCAAGACTGTTTGTACCACGAGCACACCTATAGACAGGTAGTCCATGACTATCTACACGTAAAAGATAGTACAAGGGAACATCTACGGGATCTGAGACATATCCATCCTTGATCGTTTGTAGAGCCAACTTGGCTTTCTTTTGACAGTGCTTGTCGAACAACTTTGCACCTGAATTAGAGCAAATGGAATCACCGAAGAGATCGAACAGTTCAGTGACTCGAGGATGCAAAACATTAGGCGGTGGAACATAACGCCGAACACGTTTAAGAAGCCACTCGGGATTTCTCAAGAGTTCTTCTTCCCAAGTTTTATTTTGGCTTTCCAGGAATTTAACCACGAGAGATTTGTCGTTCTCATCCAGGACAAAGAGAACATCACGCAATCTTCTGACAAATTCTTTTGCCATACCATGCTTCAAATTGATAGGAATTGAATCAATTAAATGAAACAGATCCTTTAAAATTCTACTGGTAGGAGCATTGCCATCTGTATTGGTGCTATCGGTGTTAGATTCGACTGGCAAAGTGCCACCAAAAAAAGATGAATCGCCAGGTATAACAACAGATGTATTACCAGCATATTCAAAGCCGTAGTCAGGACCACCGTCGTCATCAACATCATCATCGCTGTATTCGTTGCTAGTACTTTCAACAACGACATTAATGGGTGCTGTAGTGTCAACAACAACTTCAGATTCTTCTGCAGTATCACCAGTTGGAACCTTAGCAGTGCGCAGGTACGAGGTTTCGAGAGCCACCAAAAAAGGAGTAGGACCAAAATCTTTAAGAAATTTGAACATTCCAAGTGAGTCTTTATACAATGTTGTAATTAGACCAGATGCCTTTACTGATAAAACATTAACAACAGTGATATCGTCTCTGGCTTGGATTCCATTCGAATTAAGATGCTGGAGCCTTAAATTATCATCAACAACTTGACCAAAAGCAGAGGGTACCAAGGAAAACGAGGGAAAAACGTTTACAAAAAGGCCAGGGATTGCAGTTTGTATTTCCACGTTAATGACTTGTTCGTTTTTGAGCTTTTGAAAAATAGCAAGACCCACCCATGCATCAAGAGCAGCATATTTGATATGAGACGTGGTCAAGGTGACGTTGGACCAGTGTTCACCTATTCTATCGTTTTCAGGCTTAGGTAAGGACTTAGCAAGCACGGTTTCACAAAGTTTAGCTAAACCGGCTTGAGCACTTTTCACGATACCACGACTCTTGCAAAAGTGAGCCAGATCCAGCCCACCTTTGAACTGCTTTTCAACAGAGGTAGTTTCATTGTAGTCTTTGATGTAATCTTTCATCAAATACTTCAGATCAGTCTTAACATTTTTTCCAAGTTTAATAACGAGGTCACTTTCCAAAAGAGTTATCAGCTGAGCCGGGAGGGTGCTATTCTTAAACCTGAAAAGCTGCATGATGTATACACAGTCATTATAGGCTATTTGTATAACAGCTACAGGCTTTCTTGTTGAAGCACCAACCGAAGAGACAGGCCATTCTGTATCAAAACCGATGTAAATGGGTGCACCAGTGCCGTCTTCACCTATACTAACATCAGAGAGAATTGTACTGCTGATTCTGTTTATATCAGTGGACGATGATACAACATGAACAGCTATATGATCCGGTAACTCGATATCAGGCACAGGAGGAGAACAAGGGATCGGAGAAGTCACTTCAGAAGACGTACCACAAAGTAACGAAGGGATTGTCTTTTCCAAAAATGATTTATCACCCAATGGATTGTCTGTAAAGAATATCTTGGGCTTTGGATTTCCATATAAGGAACGAGACTTGTAAAATTGCTCGAAAGGTTGTACCAGGTGGGATAAAGCCTTTGTCGCTGTCAGGTACATCATACAGATTTCCTCGTATTCATTACAGACAGTGTACACAGCATTGAATACAGATACAGAATTCATTTTTCCAATTTTCTTAGGAAGCTTGAAAGAATGATCGCCTTTCAATATTTCTGCTGGCAACACAGCCATTTGTTTATCCATGTAGTGCTTGTAGAGCCGCATACTACTAGTATATACATAGCTGAGATAACCAGCAGACGGAAAATGACCCGCATATTTGGACTTGTCATCAAATCTTGAAAAGTCTTCCACCTTTTTATTTGACGCAAAAAAATCAATTGTTGGATTTTTTTTACGATAAAGAGCGGCATCAAGATACTGACGTTGCAATACATCATGTCGTAATGTATGCATTTCTCGTAGAAGTTTGCTGATACGAGAAGGTCCACTCGAATTTTGCAATGCAGGTCTTATAAAATTGAAAAGCTTGACCGATAAGCCTAATCTATGAGTCAAGACAGCAGGAAACTCGTGTTGAAGGAAAACATTAAGCTGCTTTATGATTCCCTTATTATATCCTTTGAATGAATGTTTACTAACTCTATTGCTGCACCGATAGTTGCAAGTCATCAAGTAGAAACAGCTACACATAGTTAAAATAACGTCAGCATTTGTGAACTAACTAGTTTATATCTACGATAAGATACTTACTCATCAAAGTCAATAATCCTACGGGCCTTGGGATCTTTGGTATAACCATCAGCACTTAAATCCTCATTACACTTTGGGCATTTAAGGCTCGAAAGTGCAAGAAGATGTGGAAGCCAAATGCATACTCTGGGTTTATACAGCTCTTCAGGCGATAGCTGTTTTCTCAAAGCAAATGATGGTAACTTGGACTCATACCAAAGAGTCCCTTCCTTGTAACATTTAGGCCATTCGCCTCGTTTTCGTGTCAGTTCGGTCTGGATTTCACCCAAGTACCTGTCAATGAAACTGCCTTTGTCAACATCTTCAGCTTCCTCAGGCTCATCAACAGATACATTAGGATCATCAGATAGGTTGACGCTATCGTCATCATCGTTATCCGGATCACCATTATCCAAAAAATCATCCATGGCTCTTTCATTCGATAAGAAATCCTAGTGCTAAAGTTAGTAAGGCTCAACAAAGCAAATAATGATATAAGGTTTACATACCTCAAGGACTGTTAATTGGTCAGCAGCATTACTATTGCGCTGTTGTGGTTCATCTGTGACGGACGAGAGAGAGATATCAACCGAAATTTCCTTTTCCGTGTCCTCTTCAGTAACAGCAGAATTAGGAGCTCTAATACTGTTTGAGAAAAAACTTAAACGAGACTGAGAGCTATCAGAAACCTTATTTTGCTTATTTTTACTGCCTTTAGGACGTCCACGACCAACTCCAGTGGACTGAGTCATACGTGGTTGTTGAAGCTATTATAAAGACCGTTTTAGTAAAAGATACCAAATACACTGTTATATATATTAAGATACTTACATGTATGGGCTAAAACGGAAAAAAAAAATGAAAAGGTGTTTCTAGAAAAGCTTGCTTACTTCAGCATCCTATTTATACTTTTTGACATTGGAAGATTGTCTGAAACTGAAAAAAAAAAAAAAAAATAGAAAAAAAAAGAAAATCCTTCAGGTACCAATTATTTTTTACTTTCCTTTTTTATTACTTCTCTTTTTAATAAACAGTATTTGATTGCTGGTCTAGTAAACATGTAGTCCTATGTTGGGCTTATGAGTTATTGTTCTTATCACTACGTTTAATCTAAAAAACATATCAATTTAGATGTATTACTTCTGGACCTGCTAAATGGTCGGAGAGCATCCAAAGTTTTTTTTTATAAAAGATGAAGTTCATAGTTTAATAATTTTCTATAAAAATGAACAATAGAGTGCTTTGTGCCATGTGAAATGACAGTTTATACGCAGAGCACTATCGAAAAAAAAAAAGTAAAGTGCAGCGGATATCCAATAAGCTGTTTAGAAAGGAAATAAATTGACGGATATGGTAAGAAATTGACCGATATGGTAAAAAATTGGGAAAAATTCAAGTTCAATTGTAATATCTTCTGCTTATTTTTTTATTCCTTTAAAGCGGAGCTACCCACGTTATGTTCAAACCGCCAAAAAATGCTCAACTAACGAACTTTAAACGGCGCTTGTATTTTCTGGCATTGTGACACTCAGTTTCCAATTGTTTGTTTTGCCAGTGTTGACAAGAAAGTATGGCTTGATCAAACAATTCCAAATTGGCTTCTTTACTCTGGTATTTTTAACGTGTCACAAGGTGTTATTTGAAGCTTATACGTTATATTCGGCTTCCATGATCAGGTTGATACAATATGTTGAGTCTGGGTCGGTTTATTAATCTCGACCAGACCATCAAAATGATTTGTCCTACCATTTCGTTTACGGGATGTACAACTCTTGTCAACAATGCTTATTCACACGTTGAGTCACTGGGTGCCGTAAGTAGATTTCTAAATTGTTGGTTGAATAGAGTTTTTTACACACACACACACACACGCATAAACACATATAAACTGAGATGTCTTTTTCTTTGTATTTATAAAAGGCTGTGCAAGTGCAATGCTCTTTGTCCGGCTATTTGCGGTTCAGTCTGGTCAGCGTAAGCATAAAAATATGAATGATAAGGTTTTTAAAGTAACCCATTTCTATTATTAGCTCTGTATCATCGACTTGGATTCGCGTTAATATCACGTTTATAATTTTATCGGCCATTGGCTTAGTTACTAATTTTTTCAGTAAGTATTAACCCGGATGACTATGAAACAGCACATGCTAGAGAAGAGATTGTGGGTATTCAACAAGAGTTATTCTCAGATTGTACATAATATTAAAATGATACTACATTATGAAAAAGTTGAAAGGTTTTTCTTTCTTCACAAAAAAAAAGAACGGATTCTAATTGTTTATTATGTAACATGTGTGTGTGTATAATGGTAGGGGGGATACCTAGATAGGTAATACCTATATGAAAGGAGTTAAAATAATAGTGTGTATATGATAATGTATAATAAGGTTCAAGTGCCTCCCTGCAGCTCGTTGTGGCTAAAACATTTGTTTGTTGATCTTGTTAAGAAAGTCAAAACAAAGATTTACTGAGTTTATCTCGCCAAAGTACGGGGATTATTAAAAGTGGGTTTGCAGACGAAAACTTTCTTGGGTTCAGCTGCCTTGATGCATGCCTTGCATTTCTTCTTTTCGTTACAGTTCACACACACATGAGGTTTTTTCTTGGGAGGTTCCGGAGCTGCCGGAGGGGGAGGGACCATGACATAATAGCTAGGATGTACTTGTTGGTGAAACATAGGAGGCTGATACATGATAGGAGGAGGTTGGTAGCAAGGTTGGTAATATGGTTGATAAGCATTATAGTAATAGTAAGTCTGAGGTGGAGGTGGAGCGGGAGCGGGAGGAGGAGGAGGAGGAGGAGATTCAGGTTCTTTTCCGGGTTTGGGTTTGTTCCACTAATAAAAAGAAAAATGTTAATGTCTGGTTCAATTAAGTGGTTTTGAAATACTTACGCTCATGAGTTTAAAGCCCATCGGATCTCTAGCAAAGTCTGTCATTGTTAATTGAAAAATATAGAAGAGAAAGATAATAAAAAAAAAAAAAAAGGTACGGAATTTGTCTCCTTTTATATGCCATCTTGTGTTGCCTGAAAAAAAAAAGAGGCTCTTGCGTTGTGTTACAAGGTGTTTTCTAATTTCGCCTTGTCAATGAGCATTTTTGCTTATTGTAAATGATCAGATGACGCAAGTGTACTACACAAGGTCACTCCAACGGAAATTTACTACGGTTCCATTTAGAATCACCTTTTATATTACGGATAGTAATGGCCGTCCAAAAAAAGAAAAAAAGAAAAAGAGGGCTGCGCATATCAATTGTAGCTTAATTAATTATTTATTGAAAAAAAAAATGAGGCACTTTATAAAATTATGCAATCGTTCTTCTTCTTCTTTTTAGGAACATCAGGTGCTGGTTTATGTTGATCCACTTGCTTGGTGGGTGGCGTAATTTCAGGTGCAATATCCGCTTTCTTTACAACGGACGGCATGATTGTCTCTCCGACAGCAGGTTCCGGACGTTTAATATTGTCGGTTTCGGGTTTCTTGACAATACTATCAAGATCAATAGCAGGCGACTTAACAACAGAGTCAATGCATTGTTGAACATTGTCGCTTAATTTCATTGAAGTATTACTACTTGTGGAACCAAGTTTGTCAGTGATCGTAGCGGCAGTTCCCGCTACAGCAGACGCAACTGCGGAAATCGCCGCACCTGCATTTATATCTGACAGAGGATGACTTGCGTTATTATCAGATTGATCCTTTTTGACATAATCCTTTTGGGGAACAGGAGGCTGGTCTTTCTTGGGGACAGGAGGTTGTTGTTTTTGAGATTCCTTGTTGATATCTTTGATTGGCTCCTCTTTCTGAACTTGCTTATGCTGTTCTTCTTTCTTGTTTTGAGTTTTGTAATCGCCTGCTTCAATCTTTTTGGCTATTTTATCAGTGATAGCATACATGTCCATAGATCTTGATGCAATAGCAGATTTGATACATTGTTTAGCAGGTTCCGATAAAGTCAATGGTTTAGATGGAGAAGCGGATGAAGTCTTGGCTACAGGCTTTGGAGCTGGTTTTGAGTTGTATTCACCTGCTTGAATTTTCTTGGTGATTTCTTGGATGATACCTTGTATATTAATAGATTGAGTAGCAATCACGGACTTAATAGCATATTGAATAGATTCAGATAATTGAGTAGGCTCAGAGGCGGCAACCTGTGAAGAGGAAGGAGCTCTTACAGGAGGAATTACACCATCAGTGGTGGTGGCTGGCTGTACTTTTTTAACAGCTGATGGATTTTCTGTACCACTCTGAGGCGTATCCAGTGGATCTGTTACATCAGATGCATATCCTTGTGTTTGGATAGAAGCGTCTTCTAAGGAAGTATCAGCCGATTCATTATCAGCTGGCAAAGCAGCTACGGCAGCATAACTTATGTCATTTGGCGTAGTGACGGCAGGTGGAGTAACAACGGCTGGAGTAGTTGAAGATTCAGACTGTTTCTTATTTTTCTTCTTGTTCTTCTTTTTGTTTTTTGATGAATTATTAATTGCCGATGGGGGAGGAAAATCAGACATTTTTTTGATGATAAAAGAGAGAAAAACAGGTTATGAATTCTAATTTTTATTTTAATCTTTTTTTAATATATAAACATTCCTGTCATTGGCCTTGTTTTAACGAGTAAATCATTTTTTTTTTTAGACCAGTTAAATCTTCTTTCGCTTTATAAAACTTCCTGATAGCATATTAATTGCAGGCCTTTTTTCGGCGTTGATAATGTTTGTATCATCTTTCGTCTTTGTGTTCACAGTGATCTGAATTGGTTTTAAATTTGGAAATATTTCATTGATATCGCTTTTGGCGATATTTGTTGATTTTGTAATTGCTTCATCATTTGAAAAGTCAAGTGACATGAATTTATTCCAAAAGAGTGTAAAATCTTTATTTTTCAAATCGGGTGTGTTGTCTCTTGAGGTTGTACCATCATCCTCTTTTTCTAATTGAAAGAATCCTGCAATCTTACCAGACCCGCACTCTTCTCCAAACGCTAATAGATTCCAAAAGTCCTTGACGGATAAGTTTTCCTCGGTCACGCTGCTTTTTAATAAACGAGATTTTGCATCATCCTCAAATCTAGGTATCACTAAATCCGCTTTGGAATGCGGATCATATGATGTGCCATATTTCCAATTGATGTGATCGGAAGCCTTCCAGCTTCGCTTTCTAGCTCCAATCTCAATCAAAGCACTTGATTCATCATCCAACCCCGGAACAGACCACCAACCAGAACTTTTCTCTGGCACCTTGTTTAAAACATGAAGCCACCATGATACGAGATCACGATCACTTAAGACTGCCTTGGCTTGGTTGTCAGCTGATTCTGCAAAAAGATATTGTGGTTGTGCGCGAGCAAATACATATATAGAACTACCAGCTGGTAAACTTGAAATATACGATTGAACAATACGACCTGTCAAACCGCGAAACGGACTTGTTGTGTCGACTTTGGAAATATACACAATGTGCTGATCTTTTTCTCCATCCTTTTTCAATACGTACTCGTAACTCTCTAATCCACACAAAAAACCCTTCTTTTCTGTTGAGACAAGGATCAAGCAATGTCGACAAAATGTTTCTCCTTCATGTTGTTTGATTAATGGTTTGGGGCACTGGTACAAATTAGAGCGAATGTCGTACACCTCAAAGGTCGCCCCTTCCTGAAGCCCTTGAAGAGACTTTTTTAAGCAATTTTCAAACGTCATGAAATGAAGAAATGAAGAAAGAAAAAAAATCTTTTGTGATATCACAATGTTTGTGCGACCACAAATTATATATATACGCCCGGGTAGTGTTATCTTTACATATGATCTCCCCGCCCTCTTACTGTATGTTTCTAAAGGAAGTATGTTGCTGCCAATTAAGATTGAATATGTCTGAACTGATAAAAAAGGTTTATTATTTAATTGTCTAACTTCATCAATGTAAATAAAACTGTAATCTGTGGGCAAAAAAATTAGATCAAGGAATAGGTAGATATAAATAGTGCTTATTATAAACCTTCTGTGCGCAGCCAACAACTGTGATATGACATGATTAAACCGGGAGTACAAGAGGCATGACCTCTTTTTGTCACAAACTATACGAATCGGTCTAAATGTTAAATTTAACAATACGTGTAACAATTGTCAAATTCTACATACATTATAAAAAGGGTAGGAGTCATGTTACATTGTTTTGATATGGAACAGCTTTTGATTCATTTCATAATCTAGTGATCAGTGTTACAAATAAGCTACCGTCAATTGTTCTTCCATGACAATACACTTCCTTTTGTTTTGATAGTCATTATGGCTACCTGTCATTCTTAAGAAAAATTGAATTGAAGAGTTGTGGTTGTTTTGCATTATCTCTAAGCGAATAGGAAAAGCTGTAACACTCTGACGACTAAATGCAAACGAAGCAATCATATTATAAGGTAGTTTGTCCAAAGAAATAATCCCATCTTCCATTGTGTCTGCTGAGTGATCTAACTTCACTAGGTCTAATAAAACTGATTTTTTTTTTATCAGTAAACTTCTTACTTACAACTAACTGGATAGAACAGAGTTATTTTACCTAATTGTAATGTGTATTTGTTACCTTCCATCTTTTCACTGTGTCTATATCCCATTATTTGGAGTTGCATGGTCATTCCTGTACTAGGAACAGGTTGTCCCTTCTGAAGAATAACAATAGCTGAATTCTTACCTCGTATGATGTTTGATGATGCACTGTCTTTATGATTTGTGCAAGACAAGAAAGGATGAATATCTTTACTCGAGTAACTGGTATCGCTTTTATAAAAGTCATTGATGAAAATTCCATAAGTATCTCTTGAGACTTGATGAAGATTTCCGACAAAAAATCCGTCATACATAAAGGGCTTTACTTGCAACGTCGGTTGTATCAGCTGAAAGAAAGTATGTCTCATCATAAATCCTTGTATATGTATCTGTTTCAAAATGATATCAGTATCCAGCTCCTTTTGAATTGATAGTATATAATGTGTGTATATTGGTGAACTGAGTGCGATCGAAAATATATTTCCTGAAATGAATAAAAATCTGGTGGCGTAGTTTCCGAACAAATTCGTACTTTCTATTGATGATACTATAATTGATGTGATGTTTTGAATTATAGGTTTTAGGCCGATATCAAGAATATAACGTTGAGTTAAATAAACACTGCAGTCACATGTATCACTGATCCTTATCTCTTTCTTCTGTTCCGCATTTAAAATAGTGCTTTTGCATGTGAACTAAACAAAAGGAATCAATTTTGATAAAACTATCATTACGGAATACTTTCTCACTTACCATTTCAGAAATATATGATTTTAATTCTCCTTGAACACGCATATAATTTTTTAATGTCAGTAATTCGTGAGCCAAGTTTTGATCATCAGTGTGCAATGAGCAGTAATTAAGTTCATTGTGCAAATTGATGTGACTCCATACATTTTGACATATAAAATTGTAGGCATCTTTGATTGGCACTACTTTATCAAGAATAATAATAGACGATGCCTTCTCTTCGACAGATGCAATCTTTACAACTCGATGTAAAGTAAGCTGTATATAAGTTGAATGTAGCTGAGCCAAGATAAAGTAAGACTTGAGAGGTAGAGACAAACCAAGTTTTTCTTGAATTGAAGGTAGTATTCCTTCTCCTTGAGTGATGATTCTAACTTTTCTAGTTTCTCCTGCTTCTTTTAGTAAACCATTACCACATAATAATTCTTGGAATCTATCTTTTGAGCCTAGCAAATTATTCATTAACGCCTTCTCCACTGAAATAACGCATCCAGTTTTATTATCCTGCCAATGATTTCCAAAACTTCCATAGAGCTGACTTGTCACCAATTTGTTGAGATAGCCAAAATACATCATCAAAAAAAGACTAGCGTAACTGCTTTCATGGATCATTACGTTTTTTTCAGTTGCATGTTTGCTGGACTTCTTTATAAAGAAGCTGTCAATTTCACAAGCAGTAAGATATTTCTTTATCTTGTTGCCAGTTATTTTAATAGCATCGGTATATCTCTCGCGCTCAATCCGATGATGATGCTTGGCTTTTTCAAATATGTCTAAAATCTGACCAAAGTTATTGTCCATAAAAAGCTGTAGTCTGTAAACTATAATTTAATACGTACAGCTAAAAGAATTATGCCAGAAGCTTATAAGTACCTGCTCGTAATCTTAAGCAATGGGCGTCGGTATAGATTCGTATGGACAAAAAAATGGTTTAAAGGCCATATATTGCTAATAATTGAAACAAAACGTACAAACATTAGTTTATGGTATTGCGACCTTCTTCAAATTACTTGCCATTCTCTATAACCCGTCGTTTTTTCAACATAATTGTTGTTTCCCACAAACGAAAATACAGAATCAACTTTCTCTGCTTGGATTGCTGAGTTAATAGTTAGCATTTATTATTCGATATCCAAGCCTATTTTTGGGGAAAATCTTGTAATAACATTACCAACGTTGATGAAGTAACTTGCTTGCGAGTGCGTAAATAATGTCGTTGAAGAAATTTTGGAGTGATATAGCTTATTACCAGGTATAATTGATGGAGGTCTGTATGTATTCGAAATCTGTATCTGATCTTTTATCAGTAAATTGTTCCCTTTGAGTATATCGTACCATGTCATTTCTACACTGCGATACATAGTGACTATCCCAAAATTTGTCAAGTTGTAATTGAATTCTTTTTCCCCGCATTCTTTCAAAAATACTTCTAATTGAGCAAACAACATCCTTGAGACAGATACACTGTAATTCGTATCAAAGTATTCGCCTTTTGAAAGATACTGTTTATCAAATAACGTGAGGATAGCTGTACGTGCTTTTCCGTCGGTAAATGTAAAAAGCCGGTACATAGCTTGTTTTAACAAGGCTTCCGTTAATTGTAAAGAATTTGCATGAATCTCTTCCATTGTTATCGAGTGTATGCTACTGATTTCATCTTCAGTCAGATCCCATTCATCAACACACAGTAATTGTTCAAAAGGACGATGCAATCGAATTTTTTCAGTATCATTGCTATGTTCAGATCTTCGAAGATGAGCAGATGAAATATACTGCCGGTAAATAACAGTAGAGATGTTAGAAGGCATGTGGGAGAGTATTACAAGATGTATTTATGAACCTGTTGATTTTTGTACCCGTTTACCAGATAGTGTAACATTGCTTTAACTTTAATTGCTTGAGTATTGAAACCTAGTTTTTTTAAACATTCCTCTATGCCGCTTTCTAGCCTAGAGTTAAGTGCAATAGTAAATTGGATGCATTGTAACGACCTCGGAACATAATTGCTATGTATTGCTATCATGGGAGGGTAATGAGCCGAAAATAAATCAAGTTTAGCCAGTAGCCTATTTTCTGTAAATTTCAAGCCAAACATGATGTACTGCTTGCCATTCTCTATTTTTGTAACCATTTTTTGAGAAGACGATAGTTGAGGCTGCTGAAGATAACGAAATATTGATTCAAGTTGTGTAAAAAATAGTAATCTTCCGCTGTCATCTTCCTTGGTGATAAACCCGGCATTGATAAATATAGGTCGTATCAATTCTTCTCTTATCCCATCATCCCAATTTGTTGGAAGAAGAAACGCAAAATGAAAGGGTAAATGCGATGCGTTTACATTATTTCTCTTGCATTTGTAATTATATATGAGTCGCACTAAAAACACTTCAACTGCGTATAATATCAAATCGTCATGTACATCTGACATACAGGGAGTTTGCTTTTTCTTTAAATAGATATCATTAAGCTTTGTAAAAGCGTTGTGCACATAAAAAACTTCCTGATTATCTTCCTGTAACCGGACTTTTTCATAATCTTTGTTCCCCCATTCCCAAATTGATTTGCTGTTTATATTGTACAATGTTGATGCCCTTTGTGCTCTAGTTGAATTTAAATCGGATTAATTATTTCGAATGTTTACAGTTTACATTTTTAAATCTTATACATATAATAAGCGCTTACTTGTGTCGATATGAGTCAAAGTTATCTCTGCTCCCATTGTAAAAATCATCGATGTACACTTGCTCTTCATCAAATCCTAGTTTACAGTTGAATAATCATATTTAATACCAGGTGTTGACGATACTTACCGAACACAAGACAGTAGTCATGCTGGGAGTAATCATAAAATTCTTCCATTAGTTGCAGTTTTATCTCTTTCAAAAAGAAAGCAGCCTGGAGAAAAGGAAGGTGACGATAAAAAGAAATATGTGACAACGTCGACTAAACGGGGTCTAGAGTGTCACCATAATTGTATTTGTACCCAAAACAAAAACGGTCTAGTTTTGTTTCCTTCTTTTATTATGGCATGATGTTCTTCTTTTCAGTTCTATCCTTTTTCTTTTCGGGATACTCTTATTGTTTGGTTTATGCTTTTTTACTTAATTTACGAAATTCGAAGTATCATGGCATAAAATTTTATGATAGCGGTGTTTAGATGAATCGGAATAGCAATCTGATTTGGTGACAGGATGGATCTTCTTTAAGGTTTAATTCCCTTAAGTACCTCTTGTAATAACAAATGTTGGACTAAAAAATATTACAGTTTTATTGAGTAGTGGTTACTTTAGATAATGTTAATGATATGTGCTAGAATGAGGGATTAGGTCTATTAATTTTTACGAGTAAAGATCAAAGGCTCTTCACTATTGGTGGACATATAGCCAGCAAGGCTGTAAACTGGTTTAGGAGGTTTCCCACTAACAGTTGTAATGTCGTAATTTCTGAGAAGATAAATAAGTGTCATTTGAATTTCTTGAACAGCGAAGAAGCGACCTAATTTAAGAGAACTTGTTAATTATAATTGTATTAATATGTATGTCAATTATTTAACTGTACCTGGACACAAATGTTTTCCGGCACCAAATGAAACAAAATCTCTTCCAGGTGTAGTAACGGGCTTATTTTTAGACATTTCAGGGTCCATACCATCAATCGTGTTTCTGACGAAGTTGCCGCCAAAGTTCATTTGACGAGAAGCGACTGAAACAAGACGTCCCTTGGGCACCTGGTATCCGTTGGCAAAAGTATAGTCTTTCACAGCTTTTCTGCCCTTGGATAATTTATCAACGCCTTGACGAATAGATTCACGGATGAAATTATTTAAGAAATGCATTTGTGCTAAAGCTTCAGCTGTGACGGGCGAATCTCCGGGAACAACACGCTCCATTTCTTCTTTCAAACTGGCCATCAAATCAGGACGAGCAAGTAACCAGTAAATACAGAAACTTGTGTTCATTGAAGTAGTGTGTACGGATGCAAAAGCAACCAACAATACAATATGAGCAATATCTTCAGCAGAGATATTCGATTCGACGCCATTCTCATCTATATGAATGTATTCAATAATACCTTGCAAAAAATCATTGACAAGACCGTGCTCCTCGCCGGCTTCTTCGGCAGCTTGCATCTTTGCACGACGCTCACGAACAGCTGGTGCGATGTACTTCAACATGCAGTCGTGATGCTTTTTAGCAGATTGAACATAAGGTAAGACAAACTTGTGCAACGGCTTGGGAATCATCATAAATGTGCCAACATTTTTGATAATGTCTCCAGTGAAAAAAGCAAAGGATTCAATAACATCCACATTCAAGGCAAATTCATCACCAACGAAAGCAGGAACGGTCATGTAAGCAACGAAATTCTGGAAGAATCTACTAGGACCTTGAACAACTGTAGTTTTCTCTTTCAACAATGCATCACATGCATTTTTTAAGCCAGACTTGATACCAGGAACATACATGGGCATCTTTGAGTTTGTAACTGCAATCTTCACAACTTCAGGGACGGTTGTCAAACTATGGCCCAAAACATTTTCATCGAATACGTAATCAAGATGAAGAACGTCTTTAAGAATAAAAAAGTAAATAAATGATGTCATTACATGCGAAATAATTCAGATATAAAATATACCTCTAACAATAGCATCTGACAACGACAATTCGGTGGCGTCGGATTTCATTGATTCTTCACCAGATTTTCCACCTACGACAGTAACAGTCTTACCTCTGAGATTGAGGTTGTACATTTCTCCATATTTTTCGTTACACCAATCCATGAATTTTCCAGGGAAGAAAATCAAGTACAAACTGTGACCAAAAATAGGGAGACCATATGGAACAGCAGGAGGATTATTTAATTTTTGACGTTTTTCCTTGATGTATGCAGAGAAATTATACAAAGCAATGTATGTAGCAGCACCAATGAACAAGAGCTCATTCTTTGAGGATCGTTTGTACATATCCGTCAACTTCTGGGTGACCGGAAACTTTCTGACAAGATCAACAGCATTGTGAATGTGTGTATTATGAGTGGTAAGAGTATTTAAGTAATCCATAGTTTAGAAAAATGTAAGAAATGGGAAATACAGTCAGAAAATTTTTTAAAAAAAATGCATTGCTCTTTTATACAACCAATCAATTACATTTGACACTCAGAAAAACGGTGATATGTTCTCCCTATCCAATAAGTGACTCCATAATAAATGTGATTTTGGGACTTCAGATCGGATAAATATTCCACCTTTTTACGAGCGTATCATTTAGTTGCTGTATGACCTGGAGTTCATCTGTCTCCAAATAATTTTATATACTACTTCCAATAATAATAAAAAATTAGGTATATTTGCAGCAATGACAGAAAAAGGAAACTATATCCTCCTATGTTACTGTGGTTATCATCAATACACATATCAATCCTATATCTTCTAATGATCCTCATTGATCGACTGAAATTTATCGAGGCTCTATTGTTTCCTTTAATCAACTTATTTTATCCTTCTTCTTCTTCTGTACCTTCAAAATTTAAATACGTGCAACAACAATTTACAAATTAAGGCGCTTACTAAAAACAAACCCCTTCTAAATAAACAGTTCAAACACCCTCTTGTCTAACTTGACCTACATCGCTTATCGATCAAGTTTATCTCTACTACAAAAAATCATCGATACAGAAACTTCTTTTAAAAGTAAATACATCATTGTAATTGGTCGATAGAAACACTCGAAGGTATATTTGATTTATATACGTGACAGACTGATCATGTTGTCATTGTCATATTAATGTCTGTGTGTGTCACATTTGTTTTGATGAATGATCATACCTGACTTTAGTCCAAGTACGTAAGTATGCCGTTTTTTATTTTATCTTTTATAGCCAAATAAAGCCGGTCTTATTATCTTTGCTGGTTTAATCATTTAACGTTTCTATTTTTATAATTGAGAGCTTAATGGTCTCACATTTAAAGATTTTTTAAAACTCTCAAAATGATTAAATGATATTTTTTTTTTTGGAAATTGGTGTAATTTTATTATTTTTCTTTGGTTTTGTGATAGGTTGCACCTTATCCAAGCTCATGGTTTTATTAAATTATACTTTGGGGTCTGTGCAATGCAACTTTACTGAAACATCGTTTAGAATTTGTCTTTTTACTTCCCTACTTGAACGTATAACAGAGTGACATTTACTTGTCCGTAAAACTCTAAGCTGCCTTCCCCAGTTGTGCAGATGTTGGTGCTGAGCTACTTGCTAAACATTAAGCGATATTATTCTACCCCAACATCAACTGTTTCGGTTGTACCCAAAATGTGACTATCGTAGTGGTCATGTAACGCGGTAAAAATACACATGCTTTCTGCGACTCATTTGCAATCCTTTACGCTCAAAGGCGACATTTTACGTTGTCAAATTATTGATAATTTATCTCACTTTGCAACCCGTGCGTAATCAATTATATATGATTATTTCTGGAGAATACCGAGCTTTCGCTTGGAAGCATACATTTGAATTACATTGTGTTAGTTTCCACAATCTCAAAATTTGGCTGTCAAACGATATTTTTTTTTTACTTATACTATAATAAGCCATATATTTAATCAGGTGATTCCCTTCACCAAAGTGGTAATAGAAGTGAAATGTTAAGTGTTTGTTTATTTTTATTATATGTAAATGAATGAATGATGCCGATTTTTTAATTTTTACGTGTAAAGACCAAAGGCTCTTCAGAATTGGTTACCATATATCCAGCAATATGGGTAATAGGTTGAGGACGCTTTCCGCTAACGGTCTTAATATCGTAATTCTTGATGAGGTATACAAGACTCATTTGAATTTCTTGGACGGCAAAGAAACGACCTGAATAGACAGATGTTAGACTAGACTTTACAAAGTGCATATAATGTATTACTTACCCGGACACAAATGTTTTCCAGCACCAAATGAGACAAAGTCTCTTGCAGGTGTAGTACTTGTTTTGTTAAGAGACATATCAGGGTTCATTTCTTCGACAGAATTTCTAGTACTATTATCACCGAAATTCATCTGGCGGATAGAGGATGCAACAATTCGACCTTGGGGAACTTGATATCCATTGGAGAAAGTAAAATCGCGCATAGCTTTCTTACCATTAGCAATAGTGTCACCACCTTGTCGAAGTACCTCACGAGTGAAGTTATTTAAAAATTTCATTTCAGCCAAAGCGGTAGCAGAAACAGGGGTATCTCCAGGAAGTATACGCTCGATTTCTTCTACTAATCTTTCCATAAGATCAGGGCGAGCAAGTAACCAGTAAATACTGAAACTCAAGTTCATCGAAGTAGTATGGACTGATGCAAAAGCAACCAACAAAACAGCCCTAGAAAGTTGTTCAGCAGAACAATGCGTTTTAACACCGTTCTCGTCCGTCTGTTCAAATTCAACAAGGCCCTGTAAGAAATTTTCGACAAGTCCATGTTCTTTACCAGCTTCTTCGGCAAGTCTCATTTTTTCACGGCGCTCAATAACAACAGGAGCAACGTGTTTCAGCATCACACTCTCGTGCTTTTTGGCAGACTGGACATAGGGTAGGATATATTTGTGCAAGAACTTAGGTACAGCCATAAATAAAGGAACATTTTGAATAATATCACCAGTGAAGCTAGCAAACGATTCAATGACTTCAATATTTAAAGCAAATTCATCGCCAATCAACCCAGGAACACTCATATAAGCAACATAGTTTTGAAAAAAAGGGCTAGGGTTTTGTACAACGGTTGTTTTTTCGTTGAGTAAAGCACGACAAGCGTTCTCGAGACCAGATTGAATACCGGCAACATACATAGGCATCTTTGAGTTAGGAAGAGCCATTTTAGCAACAGCAGGATTTACGGTCATGCCGATGGCAAGAATGGACTCATCAAATGCATAGTCGAGATGAAGAACATCTAATGAAACATATTAAAAATGCTGATTTGAAAATATATAATTACAACTGTCACTTACCTCTTACGACTCCGTGATCTAAAGATAAATCTTCGGCGTTGGCTTTCATTAATTCTTCGCCCATTTTTCCATTTGTAATTGTCATTGTTTTTCCTTGAAGGTTGAGGTTATAAATTTCTCCGTATCTTTCATTACACCAATCAAGAAACTTGGATGGCATAAACATCATATACAGATTGTGACCAAACAAAGGAAGGCTGTAAGGAACAGTAGGAGGCGAGTTTAATTTTTGGCGTTTCGCTTTGAGATAAGCCGAAAGATTATACAAAGTGATAAATGTAGCTGTACCGATAAACAAAAGCTCATTCTTTGAAGAACGCTTATACATGTGGATCAATTTTTCAGTGATTGGAAGTTGCTTTATGATCTGAATAGCATTGTGGATAGGTGCATTTTTGGTTGCAATTGTGTTAATGTAATCCATTGTTTTTAAAAAAAAAAGTTTCAATGTAAGAAAAGCAAAAGCAACTGATCTCCTACTTTTTATAACAGTTCGGAAGGAGGGTGGAAGGAAGAACAGAAACTTTTCTGTGGTGCTCCCCGTAAAATATTTTTAAAACTCAGTATTTCGGCCCTTGCGGGCTCCGGCCTCCGAACGAGCCAATTATTTATAGTTTGCTTGGAAAAAGTTAATTGTAGAGATTCAATCAGGAAGATGCATCTTCTAATTTCTGCGTTGACAAGTCAACCCAAAGCTCGTCTTCAGATCGAATGTTGTACAAGCTTGCGTAACAATTAAAAGTGCTCGTGGATCTTCACCAACCAATCACATGCGTACAAACTTTTCCTACCCCTACGCAAAAAAGTCGATACCGGAATATCAGTTCATCCACCATGTGGCAAGCAATTAACTTCGTTATTTTCAAACATTGTCTTTAAAGAGAACGTCCAAGCTCATTCAATAATAAACGAACATCTTAAAAAGAAAACAATTAATTGCTTTTCTTGAAAGAGCGTAAAGTGCAGACGCCGCACCTTTTCATTTATTGCCATTCTACTCCCGACTCTGTCGGTTGGCTGTGTGACATTACGTATTTTTTATTTATACCGTCATGTTTATACTTTTTTTTTTTTCACAACGAAACTAAAAAGGGGTTACAGCTACCTTGTGATTCACTGGTAATTTTTATTAAACTTGGTGTTTTACAAGCCGGTACGCATTTTTCATTTTATAAGTGGGGAAAATACAAGTTTATTAGTGGTATGGTAAAATCTTATGAATTTGCTAGGACTTGGTAGCTTCGGCCCACAAACATCTGGATGACTGGGTCTGTACTAATACCCAATAAAAAAATATTAAGGATTATAGATAAGCTACATTTGGGTGATTTTTATTATTACAAGGGCGGGACAATGTTAATCTTTACGTGTGAATACTAAGGCATCCTCGCAAGTGGTTGACATATAACCGGCAATAGTATTTAATACTTTAGGAGGCTTTCCACTAGCAGTGTTGATATCATAGTTTCTAAAAAGATAAATAAGCGACATTTGGATTTCTTGAATAGCAAAGAATCGACCTGTAAATTATGGAAATGATTAGTCGTTGATTGGTGCGCAACATATGCTTAGACTACATACCTGGACAAATATGTTTACCAGCACCAAATGAAATAAAATCCTTTGCAGGTGTAGTAGTGAGTTTGTTGAAAGACATATTGGGATCCATTCCTTCCAGAGAACATCTAGAACTGTTATCACCAAAATTCACTTGACGCATGTTAAATCCAACAACACGACCCTTAGGCACTTGATAACCATTAGCAAAGGTAAAGTCCACCATGGCCTTTTTACCGGTAGACAAATAATCAGCACCTTGGCGAAGGATTTCACGAGTGAAGTTGTTTAAGAATTTCATTTGGCCTAAAGCATCATGGGTGATGGGGGCATTATTGGGAAGAACACGGTCGATTTCCTCCATTAACAATGCTTTGAGATCAGGGCGAGCAAGTAACCAGAAGATACCGTGATTTAAATTCGTAGAGGTAGTATGGACAGAGGCAAAGGCGATCATCAAAATGGATCTAGAGATTTGCTCGGGAGACAGTTGGGACTTGACACCGTTTTCATCAATTAACTCATATTCGATAAGCCCTTGTAAAAAGTTCTGTACGTAATCATGTTCCTCTCCAGCTTGTTCAAGGAGCTTCATCTTTTCGCGGCGTTCACGAACAAAAGGCGCAATATATTTCAGCATAACATCTTCATGTTTGCTAACTTGTTGAACGTACGGTAAGACGAATTTGTGCAAGAATTTGGGAACGAACATGAACAGAGGAACGTTTTGAATGACATCTCCAGTAAAGTTGGCGAAGGAATTAATAATTTCATTATTGAGACCGAACTCATGGCCGACTAAACCAGGAACACTCATGTAACCGACAAAGCTTTGGAGGAATCGATTGGGGTCTTGATGGGTGTTAACTTTCTTTCCAAGCAATACATTACACGCGTTATTTAATCCTTCTTGTACATCAGGAACAAAGCTAGACATCTTCGAGCTTGGAATAACAGATTTAGCAATAGAAGGATTAATGTGGTTTCCGATATCCATAGTTTCCTCATTAAAGACATAATCAAGATGAAGAACATCTAATGATGGAGTATGTAAGTATATTTAATAATAATTAAGTTGCTCAATTTATGGTACCTCTAACAGTTCCTTGATCTAAAGATAAGACAGTATTCTTTGTCTTAAAGGCTTCTTCAGCTGATTTTCCGCTTGTAATAGTAACAACTTGTCCTTGGAGTGTGAGGTTATAAACTTCGCCATAATTTTTGTTACACCAATCGAGGAATTTTTGTGGCATAAACATCAAATATAAAGTATGTCCAAACAAAGGTAATCCAAAGGGTACAGCGGGAGGTAGGTTAAGCTTTTGACGCTTTTCTTTGATATAGGCGGAAATATTGTATAAAGTAACAAAAGTAGCGATACCAACTAACCAGAGTTCATTTCTTGAGGAACGATTATACATGTCACTCAATTTATGTGTTACTGGAAACTTTTGGATGAGCTCCACAGCTTTATGAATAGGGGCATTTTTTCTAATAAGAGTATCCAAGTAATCCATTTTGAGAGAGGTATAGAAAATAAATGTAAGGAAGAAACAAAATAAAACAACAAAAGCAATTCAGCAGAGGGTTTACTTTTATACTTCAGACTCGGCATTCGGCGCTTTCGGGCCCCAGAGCTGACCGAACCAATAAGCAGCATTACTTAACATATTTGAGGTTCAGACTTTTCCAATTAAAATGATTTATTAAAGTGAGCACATTTTATTAATATCACGCCAATGGAAAATATCAAAAAAAAAACCTAATCGCTAATTTATCCTGTATCCAGATGATTTCATCCTTTTGATTTGGGACTGGTCTAGTCATGAAGTCATAAAGGTACGTAATTCTCACAAATCTCATATTTATTAAATTGAGTAAGAATGGATCTGTAAAAGTTCGTAAAATGCTTGGAACCTGACATGTATTAAAATTTTCTACTCCAGTGTTTGTGGAGATTAGCACTGTTTTCTAGAAAATTACTTTATGCCAAAAAAAGCAATCATGCACAGACATTCAAAAGCCTTATATGCAGGCCGAGAAATGCGAAGGAGCAAATTAGTGTATTTCTTTAAATAGCTTAGGAACATGTTATGATGACAGTAGTTTTTGTTCATCGCAATTGAAATTATTTTCGAGCAAGAAAGAGACATAACCAATTAACTTTGAAAAATAAAAATTCGAATTTGAGTATCATTTGCTACAAAAGTGCGCGAATCAACATCATTACGTTTCACTCAGTTTTCAGAGCATTTTTTTTTCCACGAGATTATCGACATATGCACTTATAATTGGTTTCACACGTACCTAAGTTGATAAAGTAACGTATGTCGAATTTTGAAATCTGAAACAGATGAGTGTCGAAAATAAAATTAAAGCTATCGCGTCTACAGCTAAAAATGAAAATCCATCTCAAAGCATTGCAATTGCTTTAGCGAGAGATAAACACACAATTTAACAGTGATTTGAACTGGTAAATTGGATATTTTCAGACTACTAATTATGAACAGACGCTCCGCAAACTAGTATAGCTCAACGCAGTTTAGCACAGAAATAAGTAAAAAAAAAAACATATAATTTATTAAGTACAATACGTGTTGAAACTATGATACAAGGGCGACATTCTAGGTAAAATGAATAAAAGGGTGTGTGCAAAAATGACTTTTTTTTTCTCGAAGGGAGGGGGGTAAACAAAAATTTGGTGTTGAACCTTACATAGCTTTTTTTAAAAAAACTAAATAATTTAGAAGGTAGGAACGTTGGTTCTTTCAGCCATGGGAGGATAAGTAGGACCGACACGCTTGATGACAAGGTTGGCAAGGTAATGACCAGCTTGAACACAACGAGCAGCATCCTCAACACCTTGAGCATACAAACCCATGAAACCACCACAGAAACCATCACCGGCACCGTTGGTATCGACAATTTCGGACTCATCGACCTTGATGACGGGGTAAACGTGAGAGACGTTACCGACAGCAGTGACGGTAGATTCGGCACCTTGAGTAATAACAACAAGACGAGGCTTGCTGTTACCCTTTTCAAGTTGAGACAACTTCTTGGCAATCTCCTCAACATCCTCGGTCTCCCAACCAGCTTGCTTGGAATAAGTACGAGCCTCATCTTCGTTACCGAAAAGAACATCGGTGTTCTTGATGACAGAGTCAAGACGTTCCTTGAAGAATTGAGACAAGAAAGGAGCACTCAAGTTAAGAGCAAAAGTCTTGTTGTTTTCAGCAGCATGCTTAGAGACCAAGAGAGCAGAGTTGTAACCACCATCGTGGGTGATACAGAAACCACCAAAGTAGTAGTACTTGGCTTCTTCGACAATCTTCCAGTTCTCGGGCTTTTGAACAAAAGAGACGTTGAACTTTTCAGCAGCAGCCAAGTTGGCGACAAGAGAACTATGTAAATGTTAGTAAATGAATTGCTTTTTTTTTTCAGGGCATTATCAAGAACAGAAAATACAATATACATTCAGAGAGGGCAAGTAGTTATATGATCATATATAGTTGAAAAGATCCAGCGTAATTGGATAATCTCTCATGTAAAAACTTAATCATCACTTGTGTATTCTATTTCTGTTCCAGAATACGCGTCAAAATTATAAAACTTACCGGTTGTGACCAGTGATCAAAACGGCACAAGTACCAGTAGGAGCCTCCTTGGTGATTTCATATTTGGTAGTCAAACCATCAGCCTTAGCAGATTCCTTCATGATATCACCGAACTTATCATCAGAGACACAACCCATATAGACGGTAGAGTTAGGGGGTAAAAAGTATTGAGCACCACGAGCAGTGTTTTGGGCAGCACCACCAGCAACATAGGCAACTTCATAGTTATCAACAATTTCCTTGTACAAGGCTTGGTGAGACTCATCAGCTAAGATAGCATCATTGGCCTTGAGGTTATACTTGTCCAAAAGCTCTTGAGTAGGCTTACATTGGATATCCAACAAGGGGTTTTCGATGGCAAGAAGAGTATAAGGCATATTGATAAATGTTATAAAGTTAAAAGAAAAAAAAGCTAACAAAAATTTTTGGATTCGTTTTTTTTTAAATGGGTTGAAAATTTTTAATCGTGAAACTTGCTCGTTAGTGATTGGCTTGAGATGAAATGAATCTCCTTTTCAACGCGGTGTGTGAATCGCATCTTTTGTGTTTGAAATAAAAAGAAAAAAAGCGTTTTTCTAGTGTTTCACAATCGGTTATTCAAATAGGATCAACAACATGTATGTAAATGTCACTTCCATGCAACTGATATGTTTTCATGTATTTGAGATGCAAAATTTATTCTATGTAATCTGCATACTTATCCTCTTATAACACGCACAAAATGAAGACCCAATATTTTATACACACGCCCATGTAAAATGCATTATGATTTATTTAATATTTACTTGAAGACACGCTTATCACTTGCTTCGGTCTCTCTGCTTTCCTCAGCAGCTGCTAATCTAGATTCACGTTCAAAGTTGCCCTTTTGTCTTAAACTATACTTTTGGAGCTTATCCTTACGGAGAGCTTGACGAACAAAGTTGGGATGAACAAATTCAGGGTTTTCGAATACTGTGGGACCGCCGAAAGAACCTTCAAAGATACGGATGGGGGTAAGACAGAAACGAGGACCAATTTCGACTAAAGAAATATCCTCTTTATCCAAAGGGTTGAATCCAGGTGTGTTTAAGACATTCTTTTCGACAATCTATAATGATGATAAGATTAGTATATATTAAAGATACAAGACATATCGTTTTTTTTTTCTTCTTTACCTGGTAATTTCTGAACCAAACCTTGTTATCGACAATAGAGAAAGATAAAACATGATCAACAAAAGGCTTTGAACGTCTAGAACCCTTAGGCACATTGAATACTTGACCCAGTAATTCCTTTAAGAGACTCCAATGAGGAGCAGAATCAAATGTCTTATCAAAAGACAAAATGTGTCTAGAGCCCTTCAAACAGTTACCAGTCATCTTCAATTCATCCATGGTATGCAAATTTTGGAGATGGAACTTGACAGAAGGTCCGTTGGGTGTCTTTGCCATCCAAACATATAAATCCTGCTTCTTTCTCACTTCGAAAAATACTGCATTGTTACAGTTGTTGAGATCGGCCAATTCGTTTAAAACATAAAGGTTGTTCTTTGTATCAAGTTTGGCATCCTTCTTGGAATGAGGCATCAAGCTCTCCAAATCAGTGAGCAAATGACGATAACTAGACAAAAGGGAAAACTTTTTTTTTAGTTTTGACAGATCTTGCGAAAACTTTTTTTTAATAATTACCGGAAAGTGACACCACGAGAAGAAAGCATCATGACTCTTTGTTTGTTGATTCTCTTATCCTTAGACTTGCGGTCATTGGATTTGGTCTTGACCAATTCAGCAGCTTTGTATAAGGTAGACATATTTGGGTGATATAAGGGTTATGTGTCTTCAAAAAAGAAAAAAATTGAGGGGAGAGTGTAATTTTTTTTTGGGAGAAAAAAAAGCCACATAAACAGTCCCCACTAAACAGTCCGGAGCATCAAAACAACCGACAATTTATGCAAGCATACAGTTATCACACTTTAATTCTTCAATTTTCTTTTTGTCAATCTTCACATTTTCATCAGTGTAAACCACGTAGAAGGCCATGCAAATTGCTTGATCACGCGTGTACTGGCTGCTCATTTCTTTTATTTAAAACAATATGAGTTGGTATAGACAAGATGGAAGAAAGATGGATAAAAGATGGATGAATGTCTGAAACCAACTCATATTGTTTTAAATAAAAGAAATGAGCAGCCAGTACACGCGTGATCAAGCAATTTGCATGGCCTTCTACGTGGTTTACACTGATGAAAATATGAAGATTTACAAAAAGAAAATTGAAGAATTAGATTCCTTTGAAATTTGCTGGACAGAGGTCGATAGTGAGCCAGTTTTGGTCTCTCTTCTCAGAATTCGTAGTAACCCCCTCAAATATAAAGATATTATTCCCAAAAAAAAAAAAAAAAAATCAGTTCAAGAAAAGCGACAATTAATTGAACTTGTGACAGAAGGTCAAGCTAAACAATTTATCAATGAAGTGTTTAGTCCAAAAGAGCACGAAAATGAAGAATTGTATTCAAAACAAACGGTATCAACTGCATACGTATATGAGATTGTCAAGCAACACACAGTGTTTTTCGGTTCTAGAACCGCTCAATCATTTGCGACTTGGTGCCGAAACAAAAAAGTAGATTTTTTGACTTCAAAAGAAAAGAAGGGAAAGAAGATAAGTAGAGATTTATTTATCTTGGACGAACGTTGTTATGGTAAAAAATAAAATAATAATAATAATAATAAAATAATCTAATCTTTTATCTCTAGAGGACCTTGTAACCTCCATTATAACCTATCTCCCAAGATACCAAGATACATTGACGTGCCGGTCCCGAGAAAAGTTTGAGTGGCGTTTCGCAATGGAAGACAGCAAAAAAGGCACTTGCAAACGAAGATATACATACCACCAGAGTAACGCATGGTGGTCGCCATGCTGGATCAATGGAAGCGGAAGGTTTGGGAATTCCCTTTGATCTTATCAAACGAGGTGGAGGTTGGACAGATCGTCTTGGTCGTTTAGAAACCCACTATTTAGGAAAACTTCCTTCTCCTTTTGCCAGAGGTATGGCAGGATTCTGGGAGAACCCTTTTTCATTGGCAAGAAATAGCGTTAGTCCCCCTATCGATCTCCAAAAAAGGATTTTTCCTTGGATTGAGAGCTACCTTGGTTACGGAAATCTGGAATGGGAGGCTGCATGCGAAAAGGAGATGAAAGAAGTAGATGAAAATGAGGATGCAGCAACAGTGTCTTAATGCTCAAATGCAATTGTTCATATCGTTAATAAAAATAATTTATTTTGATCTATTATAAAAATGACTACGGTTGTCGAATTTTTCTAACATTTTCGGATCGTTCTTTAAAGTTTCCGCATCGAAAACGTATACTTCATTGACAATTGCAAGTGTTTCAATTGCAATTTTTTTGATGGCAGGAGTATTTTCGATAAGTTGTACTAAGTCGCTGCTTATTGTTGTGATTCTATAAGAGTCGATGGAAATCAAACAAATGCTATGATTAATTGCTTTAACATATTCAAGAAAGGTAAATGTCTAGACCTACGTATTTTTTCAAACGTATTTTTTTCATACCACTTACAGGAATTCTGGCCAGAAGACCAGCAGGCCAGTATGTTTGCACCTATTTAAAATGCACCCCTGCTATTCACAGTTCGTGAGTTCCAAAAACTCAAGAACTCTACCTAAGAGGGCGCCCTCCTATAGCAAAGACTAGCCGCAGCCGCAATATCACAATACATATCTTTTCTAATTTAGCTTCTTTTCAAAGAAACAAGAGTCACTACTAAACAAACCTTTTTACGTGATCGGTTACTTTCATACAACAAAAGAAGTATGTTAAGGGAAAAGAAAAGGAAAAGAATAAAGTGTGTGAGCCAACTTTATTTATAGATAAACAAGCTTATGTCAGGATGATTTCATTTGTTTATTTTATCAACCATAATGTATGGGCCTTTACTTAAATAGAAACACTTGTAAACAACTCCCAAGCAGAAGTCAGAGCTTGGTAATTGTCTATACGTGTTTCAGTAGTAGCTTGTAATGACAGTGAAGAAGATTTTATGGAAAACAGAAATCGATCATCCCATGAAGTTTAGATGATATGGCATGTCAATCGACGTGTAGACCATCGCGTGATTCTAAAAAATACGTTTGAAAAAAAATACGGAGTTCTAGACATTTCCCAAGAAAGTCCTGCGTACTTCCATTCACACCCTCTAGTTTTTCCATTATACTATTATCAGGCTTCAAAACGCGCTGAACAAGACGTGTAGATGCCCAAGATGATGACACATAAATTCTGGGAAGCAAAAGATCTCTCTTTCAAATTTCTGACCATCGCTTGCATCAATCGAGTTGCATTTTCGGGATCATTGTCGATTGGGGACTTGCGGGCATAGCCTACCAGTTCCATCTTGTTAAAAGCAAGCAACTTCCGCGCAAAACCTTCCAAATATGTCATCTTTCTTCATTCAAAAAGTTGCCATTATCCTATTTTTTTTATAAAAAAAATTAGCATTCAATGTTAATTTTCTTTTTTTTTATATCAGCATACTTTAAGTAAACTAAACATCAAAAAGCTAAAAGCACCAAAAGGGCACCGAAAGATGTTTTCGTGATGCATTGCACAAGCAAATTTTACTTCACCTTCTTTGAGAGTTTTGCCCTTGTCGAGACTAAATACCAAAGCTAAAGCTTGTTGCATTCCTTTGTGCTGGTTCTTCGGAATAATGGTACAAAAACAATCTGCAAAGTTTAAATTTCTTAGATCTTGATCCCGAAGTAGCATATGGTGACGAGAGGAGATCGAAAACATTTCACGCAAACCTGTATCACTACTGGAAATCCAAAGGTTTTTTAAGATTCTAATGAGGTCACCGGATTTATATGAATCACGAATAACGCAATGTGCTGCTCTGTCTACATTTGTTTGTACTTGATCGTACACAAGGTCATGCTCATATTTTTTTGATTGATTCAATGACTTCCTTAGTTTTCTTAGGAGAAGGATAGTCAACTTCTCTGCAACTGGATTGAAATTCATGCAAGAGCACCAAAGCTTTTTTGTATTGATTGACAGCTTCAATTCCCAATGGAACTTCAATAGTTTTTTTACTGCCCTTCTTATTAGAAAGAGCTTTCTCTGCCACTAAAGAAGATGTTAGAAATTGAGTATAATTAAATCAGCTCCATATTACTTTGCAATAAAGTCAATTGACTATCGGCATTCTCAGTGTGTAAACCAATCTGTGTTCTTACATCAGTGTCTATGGAAACGCCTTTCTTGTAAGTGCGCTTAAAAACGAATTCCTTAAAGAAAGCAACAGCAAAATCAGTATTTATAACTCCCCATGTTAATAAAACTGAAAACTTCCAGCAGATTCTCCAGTAATATTAACTCGATTTCAGTTTCTTTAACTCAAGGCTACCATATTAGACTTTAATAATTGTGTTAATAAAGTCATATCCTGCTAAATGTTTATGTAATCAGGCATGCTGCCAGGTTTGTTTCCGCCCCATTGATCCACTAAAGTAAGCTTTTTTTCATCAATGAATATCGCTTTCCTTTTTGTGATTCAAGGTTGATAGACTGATAATGTACTCCCATTTATTCTTAACTTTGTATTATCCATGCGTATATGCGTGTATATATTGTCACTAAATATCCATGTGCTTGATATCATCCACTGTGCGCTCATTCTGATCGGAAGCCACCTTCATTTTATCACCGTATTCTAATGCCTTTGCCTTGATATCAGGCATCGTTTTCGATAATTCTAAAAGCGAGTTTACTAAAACACGGGTATCTTGCTGGGTCAAATCCTTTTCTTCACTTGAAATGGACCTGGGTGCTTCGATATCTTTGGCATTTACTTTGTAAAAGTCTTTACATTGATAGATTAATACTTTTCATAAACTTCCCATGAGTTTATATATAAAACTGCAGTTTACCTCCGTGTGAACCAAGATGGATATCTTCTTGTTGTATGAATGCATCAATATCTAATGGTGCCAAGGCCTCATTGTAGGTAATACTGTCGAGTACCGACTTAAATGAGAGTGTTGCATCTGTTTTTTGAGTCTTGCTAGTAAAAAAATTTAAAGACATTATAAGAGATGCGTAACGTGCGTTGAACACTATGTGAATAAAGACCGCCCACATCAACCAGAAATGAGTCAATGCTCCGCCACATTTTACCCGGCCATTATAAAAGAGAAATTTTTTTTTTCTTGACGTGCCCTTATTTTTTCTCTCAAAAAAAAAAAGATAAACAATCATGCTTGACATTAACTTGCTTTTGGAAGAACGTGGTGGTAACGTGGAGATGGTCAAGGAGTCTCAAAAGAGACGTGGTGGTTCCGTTGAAATTGTGGATGAAATCATTGCTGAATATAAGGAATGGACCACTCGTATGTATATCTACTGTCACTTTTTTTTTTTTAAAAAAAAAAAACTGTTTACTAATGGGTCGTTTATGCGTTAAAAAGTCCAGTTCACCAGTGACCAAAAGAACAAGGAAGCCAACGTCATCCAAAAGGAAATTGGTAAGAAGTTCAAGGCCAAGGAGGATCCCTCTGAATTAGTAGCCCAAAAGAACGCTCTTCAAGCTGAGAAGGATGTCCTTGTCGCCCAGGCTAAGGATAAGGAGACCTCTTGGAAGAACAAGTTGGCCACCATTGGTAACATTGTTCATTCCTCTGTCCCCACCTCCATGAACGAGGTATTTTATATATGGAGAGCATAGAAGAGTGTAAATCAAAGTAACTAACGCATTATGTAAAAGGACAACAACGAAGTCATCCGCACTTACTACCACAACGGTGTCGAGCCCGTCAAGAGAACCGATATCATGTCTCATCATGAAGTCCTCAGTCGTTTAGATGGTTACGATCAAGAACGTGGTGCCAAAATCGCTGGTCACCGTGGTTATTTCTTGACCGGTGTCGGTGTCGATCTTAACTTGGCCTTGATTACCTACGGTCTTAACTTCCTTGCCAGATTCGGTTACAAGAAGTTACAAACTCCCTTCTTTATGAACAAGGAAATGATGGCCAAGACTGCTCAATTGTCTCAATTCGATGAAGAGCTTTACAAGGTAACATATGAAAATAAAAAAAATACGCGGGGAGGGAGTCACTGTGACTAATATTTATAAATAATTTTCAAGGTATCCGGTGACGGTGAGGACAAGTACTTGATTGCTACTTCAGAACAACCTATTTCTGCTTACCATGCTGGTGAATGGTTTGAAAAGCCTTCCGAACAATTACCCATCAAATATGCTGGTTACTCTACCTGTTTCCGTAAGGAAGCTGGTGCTCACGGTAAGGACACTTGGGGTATCTTCCGTGTGCATCAATTCGAAAAGATTGAACAATTCGTTTTATCCGCTCCCGAAAACTCTTGGGAATTATTTAACGAAATGATCGATCACTCTGAGGAATTCTTCAAATCCCTCGGTCTCTCTTACCGTGTTGTTGCTATCGTCTCTGGTGCCTTAAACAACGCCGCCGCAAAGAAATACGATTTGGAAGCTTGGTTCCCTTTCCAAGGTGAATACAAGGAACTCGTCTCTTGTTCCAACTGTACCGATTATCAATCTCGTAGCTTAGAGATCCGTTGTGGTGTCAAGAAGATGTCTGACCGTGAGAAGAAGTACGTTCATTGTCTTAACTCTACCCTCTGTGCCACCGAGAGAGCCCTTTGTGGTTTATTAGAGAGCTGGCAACGTGAGGATGGTTTGGAAATTCCTCCTCCTTTGGTTCCTTACATGGATGGTAAGACCTTCATTCCTTACACCAAGCCCAGACCCGCCAAGAAATAAGCACTCTTCTTTTTGTCCCACTTCTTAAAAGTAATAAATAGTTTATACACCTGTACATTTCATAATTGTGATCTGAGTTACACCTTTTTCGGAATTCGAAATCGATTGATGTCAAACACCACTGTCGCGTCCATTGGACATGCGCCTTTTCTTTTCACGCAAATTATAATTGTTACAAAACCAAATGAGCCTTATTGATGGAACCTCGAGAAGCAACAGGTTTCCGGGTACAGTGAAGCTCTTTTTACTTATTCGGGAAAGCAAAGCTATTATCACCAAAAGACCTCGGGGTATTTCAAAATTGAATGCTCTTAAATCACTAACCTCTGCGTAAAACAAGCCTTACAAAGCTTCTCATTTGGTTATAACCTGGTAGACTAGGAGCGGCTCACAAAGCTGATTAAAAGGGTAAGTACAACATTTGCAATCAATAGTTTCTCAAGCTAAACACTTTTCTTTTGAGTAGAATATATCAAACAGCCAAACAGAGGATGGTGTGGATGATATATTGATGATAAAACTGAATGAAAGATTGACTCATATTGATGATAAAACTGATTGAAATACTGGCTCCTATTGATGACAAAACTGAATGAAAGATTGGCTCCTATTGATGACAACACTGAATGAAAGATTGACTCTTATTGATGATAAAGCCAAATGAAAGATTGGCTCCTATTGATGATAAAACTGATTGAAGTATTGGCTCCTATTGATGAAAAAACTGAATGAAAGACTGGCTCCTATTGATGACAAAAACTGAATGAAAGATTGCTCTTATTGATGACAAAACTGAATGAAAGATTGGCTTCTATTGATGAGGTGAGTATTTTTAATTATAAATAAGCCAAGAATATTGTATTCATCCCGTGCTATAGATTCACAAATTTTTCAACACTGAAAATTCTGATATTCCTTTTGGGTGCGACCCCAGCCGTTTACAGTGTAATCGCAGCCATTTATTGACTGCGCACTGAGAAATTATCTCATAAGGACGAGGTCAGTATTTTGACTTATAATAAATCAAGAATATTGTATTCATCCCGTGCTATAGATTTACGCTTTCTTCAATGGTGCTGATTCTGATATTCCTTTTGGGTGTAATCCCATGAATCTTCGCCATGACATAAACACTGAAAGAAAAAGGCTTAAAAAAACTACCAGTATTCGCGAACAAGATTATCTATACTACGGTATACTTGATTTCGTAAGCAAATTGGATGATAAGAAGACGGAGCATTGGCTCGGCGAGGATTACAACAAGTGGTCGAAAAGTCTAATTTTAAAAGCTTCACAGTCCAGCAGCGGATTCATTGTTGAGGATAAAGCATACGAATTCTCTAAGGATGTCTTGTTTGGGACAATTGGGTCGAACTCAAAAAGGAAAGAAAAAGAAGCCAAGCATAAATTAAGGAAAGAAGACGATGATTGTGTCATTAAAAAAAATGCATTGAATTCTTGAAAGCTCAAAGACACCGATTAAACGATGATGTTACCGATGAAAATGAGTATACATTTATCAATGATTACCTTAGCAAAGTCGTGCGAATTGGCTGTTATAACAAAAAGGCCGTATGGAGAACTAAATGTGGGGAGGCAAAGCTGAAGGCATCGAAGGAAGAATGTGGTGTTTGATATTTATCGTAGTCGAATAAGGTATCTGACAAAGACGTTATATACCAAGAAGATAGGGCATCAATTCTCACGGGCAATTATGCTAAGTGGTATAAGCAAAAGGCTATGATCTCTGGATTTGCCGCCACACGGGTTACTAAACAGTCCTGGTTCAAACCCTATTGAGCATACATGGGGATACCTCAAACTTCGTGTGAATAAGCGCTCAATAGGTGTCTCAAGCGTTCAAAAGTTTGAGGACATCGTTCGAGACGAATGGTCGAGAGGTAGGGTAGTGTCAGCTCGTCTTCTTTATCAGAATAACTTTCGTCTGAAACATATTCATCATGCATCGTCAAGTAGTTATTTAACCCGAGGTATCCATCGTAAACAAAGTTGATCATCTTTGAAATGTTTTTGATGTAACGAGGCATATCCTTGACATATGTTGCTTGGCTACTTGGTATTTTAAATTTCATGACTTGAATGTATTCTGTCTCATTCAAGTCATGAAATTTAAAATTCCAAGCAGTCAAGCAACATATGTCAAGGATATGCCTCGTTACATCAAAAACATTTTAAAGATGATCAACTTTGTTTACGATAGATACCTCGGGTTAAATAAATACTTGACGATGCATGATGAATATGTTTCAGACAAAAGTTATTCTGATAAAGAAGACAAGCTGACGCCACCCTACCTCTCGACCATTCGCCTCGAACGATGTCCTCAAACTTTTGAACGCTTGAGACACCTATTGAGCGCTTATTCACACGAAGTTTGAGGTATCCCCATGTATGCTCAATAAGGTTTAAACCAGGACTGTTTAGTGGTCCGTGTGGCGGCAAATCCAGAGATCATAGCCTTTTGCTTATACCACTTAGCATAATTGCCTATGAGAATTGATGCCCTATCTTCTTGGTATATAACGTCTTTGTTATATAATTCATTCGACTACGATAAATATCAAACACCATATTCTTCCTTCGACGCCTTCAGCTTCGCTTCCCACCATTTTGTTTTCCATATGGCCTTTTTGTTATGACAGCCAATTCGCACGACTTTACTAAGGTACTCAATGATAAATGTGTACTCGTTTTCATCGGTAACATCATCGTTTAATCGGTATCTTTGGGCTTTCAAGAATTCAATGCATTTTTTTTAATGACACAGTCATCGTCTTCTTTCCTTAATTTATGCTTGGCTTCTTTTTCTTTCCTTTTTGAGTTCGACCCAATTGTCCCAAACAAGACATCCTTAGAGAATTCGTATGCTTTATCCTCAACAATGAATCCGCTGCTGGACTGTGAAGCTTTTAAAATTAGACTTTTCGACCACTTGTTGTAATCCTCGCCGAGCCAATGCTCCGTCTTCTTATCATCCAATTTGCTTACGAAATCAAGTATACCGTAGTATAGATAATCTTGTTCGCGAATACTGGTAGTTTTTTTAAGCCTTTTTCTTTCGGTGTTTATGTCATGGCGAAGATTCATGAGATTTCACCTAAAAGGAATATCAGGATTTGCATCATTAAAAAAAGGGGTGAATCTATAGCACGGGATGAATACAATATTCTTGGTTACTGTTGTTACACCGCCTTTTTCTTCTTCTGTTGGTCCTTCTGGCTTCAGATCCTCCAAAATAATTAATAAAATCTTTAGTTTGTTCTTTACTTAAATCTGAATAAGTCTTAATACTTTAAGTATTTGTGATTTTGTATTCATAATAATTGCTTGTAGTTTCCTTCTGTAAATTAGTATTGTTAGCTATTCTATTTTGTCTTTAACTATACTCCTTCGAATACCACTCTTATCTGATTTCGTCCTATAAATTACCCCCTTATATAAATATATTCTATCTTTTTCATTCGACAACTATATAGTCTGGTGCTCACTTTTTAAGAACTTTTACCTTAACTAAACTCTATTTTTATTTTATTCTAGTACTTTTACTGAAACCTGCCAGTAACACTGTAACTCAAAATACCCACCTCATCCGTAGCAGCTAATTTTTCATTTAGTTTCGCCATCAAGAAGTTGTCCACACCAGCCTCTGCTCGGCTATTTAGTATGTTCTATTCAAAAAGAAAAAGTATGAAACTTGAGAAAGTATCGATTCCAAATGTTGTATTTACCCTTTTTATAAGCTTTGCGAGCCGATTCCACTCTACAAGGTTGTATTCAAAAGTGAAGCTTTGCTGGTAATTGTACAACTGTTTCAACTTTAAGAGCATTGAATTTTGGAATATCGTAAGGCATTTTAATATTGATAGCTTTGCTTTCCTGAATAAATAGAGAGAACCTCACTTTGCCAAAAACCTGTTCTTCTTTGTGGTGTTTCTTTTTTAATGACGCGTTCACTTCATAGCATAAGAGGATGTAAACTTCCAGTTCAAGTAGCATTGCTACTTTTTTTCCTTATTGAATAGTTTTATTATTAAAATTCATTATAAAATTCAATCTAAACAACTTCTTTTAGACGAGTCATGTAAAATTTTAGTCACTGTTTATGGAAATATTGAAATCATGGAATTCGAAGCAACGAATTTTTGTGGACTTAAACTACGACAAGTTTTACTTTAGCTCTATGACGCTACTGAGTGTTCTGCACAAAAGGCCAATTACCTTGTGGAAGTTTTCGAAAAAAAAATACATACATCCATTTCAGCTGATTGATTTTCTTATTTCATCAAGCACATTTCCGAAACCATCTTCTTGAAATATTTGAAAGGGTCATTTTCTATTGAGATAAAGTGAAATAAAAAAGACACTACTCTCAAAATTGCATTTGTGCCACGTTCAAATGTGCAATCATTTTCTGGGTGTGTACCATCCATTTTCGAAAAAGGTGTATTTGAATTATGCCATGTGTGCCAAACACTAAACACTTTTATTACCAATACACTGGGATCGAACAGTGTTACACTATCGCAAGCATTGAAGTCGTCCCAATTTGGAGTGTATTCAGGCACACACACAAAAAAAAGAGCCTCCCCTCGGACAAATACTTGCCGTGTTTAATTTTTTACAAATACCTTAGTCACATTTGCTGATAAATCCCCGCCCGCGTTTTACATATAAAGATAAGGGCAGTGTTTCCAATCTTCCTTTCCTTTTTCTTTATATTCACAGGATGAAACATATCGGCGTGATTATTGGCAGTACTCGGCCCAACCGAGTGGGACCCACCATCACAAAATGGTTACTTCAATCAATTACACCCAGACACAACATTTCGTTCGAAGTTATTGATTTACAAGCATGGAACTTGTCTTTACTAGATGAACCCGAGATGCCTGCCAAAGGAATTTACGCCAATGAAAAGACTAAGCAATGGAGCGAAGAAATCAAATCAAAAGATGGCTTTATCTTTGTCACACCTCAATATAACTTGGGCTACCCTGCCTCTTTGAAAAACGCGGTGGATTATTTGTTTAAAGAATGGAACGGGAAACCTGCCATCATTGCTAGTTATGCTTACAGAGGTGGCGGAAAAGCCGCTGACCAGTTCAGACAAGTCACCTCCGGTCTTAAATTGAAGACTGTGGAAACCATGCCTGCCATCAACCTTTCCGTGGAAATGTTTAACGAAGAAGGTCGAATTAAGGATGAAGTGGATGGATTTGATCAGTATTCTGAAGTCATTAATAAGGCAGTGACGGAAATGGAAGAAGAGTTTAATAAATTAGAAGAAAAACCTGTGAATCCTTTATGATTATAATAAATATAGATTATTTTAAACAACACTTTGATAACACTTATTAGTCTTATGAGTAAAAGAGAGTCAAGCGGGTTCTTTGTGTGCTCCCAAAAAGCCACGATGGGTGCATTGTTTACCTAATATGGGAAATAGAAAACAAAGAGATAAAGCCTAAAAAAAAGGGCGCATAACCATTCTGTTTTTTTTTGGCTCTTTTTCTTATTTGTATACATGTTTTCCAGGACAAAGGTGGAGAATATCTTGGGCCTTGTATTTAATACAATTAACCTAAGTTTGTACCTGGGTGCCATGGCAACTTCCTTAATGAAAGCCATAGTGCAACATTCAGATGTATCACAAATATTGACATGTATCTACGGATTGTAAGATAATTCTTTGGTCGAAAGTAATAGTCTATACTAATCTTCTTTACACTCTCAAGCCTGTTATCAGCATGTATGATTATCATTGAACTGAATGTATTTGATTCGGTGTTGCATGAATTTCGGTTTTTTACAAGCTATCGAGGTAGAAGTGTGATACTATTACTGTAAGCATGGTCAGCTATTTAAAAATGTCAGAACTGAGAAAGATATACTGATCCTTATAACCATTTAGACTAGGTAGTATTGTTTTTAGCCTATCTCATTTGGTCCTGTTGGTGGTTTCAGTCACACTCTTTTCGTTTGGATTCATTTACATGATACTGTCTTTTATCCCGACTGCCTTTTCTGCCAAACCCATTGTTGAAAACTGGCAAAATTGGCAGGAGTATTCTGCAGAAGGCTTAGATTTGGATCGGCCAATGAATCAAAAGGTGAGTCCCCTATTTTTTTTTTTTTTTTAAAGATATGGGGTTACACTCAATTAATCTTTTTGTATATTTATAGAATTCGATTGATAATGCGGCACGTTTAAAATTATCCATGATTGAAAGACCTCCAAGCTGTATATTAAAGCCTGTTTAAAGATTTATGAATGTATTGGGTGGTGGGGGAATTTATATATGTGTATAATGAATAAAAATGATATTAAATAGTTATAAAGACTATCTTCTAAATGATTTAAAAAAAAAAAAAAAATGAAAGGAGGTTGGGAAGGATAGGATAGGGGGTAAAAAATGATGATAAAGAATAAAAAATCTATACAGAGAACTTGATCCATAATTTGTATCCAGCTAATAAACCGCTCATGAAACCAGACCATGCTTGGGTACTTGCTGAATGGGATGGCTGCCAAATGTCACAAGCTATGTACAATTTATATTAGCGCACAATAATAATAATAATAATAAAAAAAAAAATCTTACCACAAAATATGCCATCCATGAGCAGTTTGATAATGGAGATTTCTGTGACAAATATCTTTTGTTGACGCTCTTGCACTGGTAAGTCTGTCTTTTTTGAGTGTTGTAATGCTAGCATAGTATTTACATTATCTCTGATATCGACCAGGATACCGGCAAACCAACAATAAGCAGATAACCTTTCGGAACGATCGCCCAGATAAGCACCCAATGCACCCAATTTGTACAAACAGAAAACGTCATCGGATATGTGATTGACAATCGCATTCGATAGGATTAAAGTCTCTGATAAACTGCTCTTCAAAGGTGAAAATTGTCTGATGGGACCCAATCCTGAACCAAGTCGAAGTAATTTTCTTGTCATTGAAAAATGGCTTGTGATGGTGGACCAGTGCTTGGCTTTTACTAAATTGTAGTGTAACAAGATTTTGATAAAATACTGAATGATCTTCATCAATTTATCTCGTCCATCCAGTTCTTTTAATAATCTCTGGATCACATTTAACCATCTCGATACAAATGGACGAGGTTGAACAACAATGGGTTTCTTTACACACACAATCTCATATTCTTCCGGTTCGGGTGTTAAAGGTGCTTGTATAACATTTCTCTTATGAAAAGTTGCTGGTTCTGGTGGTGGTGAAGGAGTGGGAAGGGCGTGGCATGGAAGTGGGCTATTCATCATTAATAAAATGTAAGAAGAAGAGAAAAAAAAAGGAAAGGGTGCCTGAAATATCTTTTTTTTCTTGTTATTTGAATCTCTTCCGCGGAACATTTCCTTTTCCGCGGGATCATTTGCACGCTATTTTTGCTAATAAAACCTATTTTTACACATGTTTATTTAGCGCTTATTTCCAAAATAGCTCATCATGACTTTTTTTTCTCAATAATCTTGAATAAGCTTGTCGTCATGGTTACCTCCTTTTACACTGACATGACTTGTAACGACATGCCTCTTTTTTAGTCGTTTATTTTCTAACCCTTGGCAATGGTCACAATAAAGAACAACGAAATACCAGTAAAAGGTCCTTGTTGTTGTTGTTGTTGTTCGTCCTCACCCCCACGGCGCATTAATAAGAAAATTGACTCGCCCAATAGAAAAGCCATTTGAAACAAATGCTATGAAATTACCATATTTAGGCTTTTGCTTTTTTTTGATTGTGTGTATTTAACAAGAAAAACAACTGCTCTAGTTTCTTTTCCTCTTTACTTTAGCATTACATACATACATACATACATAGAACATGGGATTACTTGATATTATCGAACTTGATATTGACACGCCTGCCAGTTTACCCAATATTGGCATTTATAAGCTGGGATTACATATCATCCAAATATTCTTTGCATTTCTTACTTTTTGCATCATCCTGCCCGTCATCTCCATCGAGGGCCACTACAGCGTGAGTATAGACACGGGGAATGATTGACATGATTGTAGACTAAACTGCATTCTCTTGATATTTGTAGGGTTCAAGTCAACCTGCGCCTAATTATACCCTCGTAGTGACGCTTGTCAGTATTTTTGTTTCTACCGCATTAGCCCTGTTTCCCTTGGCCAAATACCGTAACCATCTTGTCCCCGTCCGAAACTTTTTTCTTCGTCCACGTACAGCCGTCATCTTTACCTGCTTCCTCACGTTAGCTTGGTTCGCTGCCATGATCTCCATGACTGTGCATTCCAACGACGACGCCTTTTGTAAATTAAATCAAAAATGGATCAAATCCGATGCTAACTATCCCAGTGCCTGGATGAAACAGGTAAGTTCATAAGTAAATCATTGTCTTTTCTTTTTTTTTTTCTGTTACTAAAATCAACCAACCACAAATTCATAGTGCAACTCAGCAAAGGCTGCTGCTGCATTCTGTTGGTTCTCATTTTTCGTTTGGCTCGCTTCGGCCATTTGTAGTATCATTCTTTTATGGCACGAGAAAAAAGTAAAACACGCTGAAGCCGATGCTGCCGCTGCCGCTGCACGTAGTGCCGATTTCACGGGCAAGAATGGTGATGAAGATGCACAAACGATTGTTGACATGGATTTCTCTGACAAGAAGGACAATGAATTGAGCGATCGTGACGATACAAGATCACCCACTATTGATAATGAGCCCACTCAATTGACTGAAACTCTCACTCCACCCAACCAATTTCAATCCCCTTACATACCCAACAATGATTCTGTACAAATAGATCATCACCACCCTTCTTATGAGGCACCGAGAGCGATACCTACCTATGTACCTCCTCCTTCCAACTTGACTTCACCTTACAATCCTCATGCAAATAACATATCTTCCGTAGGCTCACCTTACTCTCTTCCTGCCTCTGTCGCGTCACCTTACCCAACTCCACATAACACAGCATTCCAACCCTACAGTCAAGCCTCGCATGTTTCCTATAGCAATATACCATTGGATCAAAGCCAACAATACAATACTGCCGCTGTAGGACCTTACCCTTACGCTCAGCAGAATTATCCATCCGCACCCACTTATCAAGAATATCCTGCCTATCACTAAAAAAAAAAAAAAAAAATCTTTCATTGTATTTGAAATAAACATGTATTATTGGGATAATGAAATTAATGTATGTGTGGGGGGATTTATTTAAATATTAAACATAAAGAAAGTAAAAGAAAAAAGTAGATGAAAGAAGAACAAGCATACTTGCAAGAGTAGGCACAGTAGCAGCGGATAATTTTCGTGTAGGTGATGGGCTGGCAGATTGAGAGAGGGCTGTGGCTTCCTCCGTTGCTGTTGGAGCAGGTTCACTCGTGACAATTTCCGTCGCTGTTTCTGCAGGTTGACTCACCACTTCAGTTGCTGTCTCGGATGTAAAAGGACCGGTGTCAGCAGGAAGAGCTGTGGTTTGTGCAGGTTCCGTAGCAGGGAAACTCAATACTTTAAATTTCAACTTGTGAATATCACTTTCGTTTCATATACATAAAAAAAAAATAACTTACCTCCATCAATCAAGTGCATCACACCATTGTTCAAGAGGATATTGGGCTGCACTACATTTGTACCACTCACTAAAATAATAACATTACTAAAAAAACGACCATCGATGTTTTTTTTCTAGCTGTTGGAAATTACCTGTAAAGTTGGGACTATTTCCACTTCGTTGTAAAACAACATCCGTGCCGGCTAAAGACTGTGCGCTCACATCCGTTGTATTGGTGATGTTTGAACTGTAAATTACGCCTTGGAAGATATGCGCTGAAATCAAATTATTAATCGCATCTTCCTCAAAGTTGGACAGGTCCACATTTTGAAGTGCATTGTTATTAGGAACAAACACCGTGAACTAATCGATTTTTTTTTTAAAAAAAAATGTTAGTTATGTCAAAGGTTTCCTCTTTTTTTTTTTGGGGGTTAATACTTACATTATTATAATTATTCAAAGAGTCCCATGTACTACTCGATCTTTCCAGCAGTTGCTCAAAGAAGGAAGTATCCGTAAGCGCATTCATCGTATTTGAAATATTAGTAGGAGGAACCAACACTACATGACGAGGTCAATATCTCAATTGAAAGTACAACATACGATAATATTTACCTTTATCAATGATATAGAGTGCACCATTGGACGCATTATAAGTTTGATTAATGAAAGCATCATGTCCAAGCCCATCGCCCACTGTCAAATTTCCCGTACTATTCACAGGTTGCACAACCAATGGAGATCCAAATCCTAACCGATCTACTGTCTCATTTCTCAATATCGTATTCAACACCATCGTTTCATTTTGCTGCAGCTTGACAGATCCATTGGACACATGATAATAGAGTAAATCCAATACACTGAATTCGTTTACAAAGGGAGAGGTGCTCACGTTCGTAAAATTCAAACCTTGTCCATTATTATTATCTCCATCGATATACTGCGTCAATTTGATACCAGCTAATGCCTTGGCCACTTGTCCCTCTTGGATAAAATAGTCCTTGTTTGCATCTTCACCATAATTGGCAAGACGCACAAATTGAGCACGATGTGTGGGTTGCACCGCTCCATTTTGGGTCCTTAAGGCAGACATGATATCAGACATACCGAATCCACCAGCGGCTCCCGCTGCAGGAGATGTCGCTCGCGAAGTAACCGTGGAAGCTCTGGCAGTGACTGTGGAAGCTCGGGCTGTAACAGTAGAAGCACTCGCTGTGACCGTAGCACTAGACACCACTGTGGAAGCGGGTACACGCACCGTAGAGGCAGGTACTTTAACTGTGGTCTGCACCGTTGTAGTCACTTGTTTAATAATGGGAGGTTGTTGCCCCGTAATATTATAAAAGAGTCCATCCGAAGGAACAAACATGGTCAAGTTATTGGTAGGGTCGTTCAAGAGATCGACAATCGGTTGATAGTCCGGTGAAGATTGAATAAATTGTGCGAATTTAGGTGCGGGACTCGTACCATCTGTCTTGTTTAATATTTGAAATATGGTGCCAGCTGGTTGTTGTTGTTGTGGTTGCTGGGGCTGTTGGGATTGCTGTGGCTGTGGGGTTTGTTGCGTCTGCTGGGATTGCTGAGGTTGTTGTTGGGATTGTTGAGGCTGCTGCTGGGATTGCTGAGGCTGTAAAGGCTGTTGGGCATGAACGAAGCCAAATGCACACAGAGTTGCTATGAATATACTTGAGCGCATGTTATGTGAACTTACAGTGAAAAAAAAAAGAATGCTAGGTATGTTTGCTTTACGAAACAGCTTTTATTTTTTATTTTATAGGTAAGCTTAAATGAAGGGTCTCAGTTAATAACATGGGGATTCAGACCAAGACGTGTTGTCTTCCACACCTCTTATTAATTGATATAAAACCCTTGCATGTAGCAAATTAATGAAAGCCATGATTAGATTTGGGATAGGATTTTGTTTTAATTTTATAATTACAATATGAAACATTTTTGTCGCACATTTTTTTATTTTTTTGCCAATGGTACAATGAAAAAAATATTTATTTTAAGCATGAAACAAAGACCTATAATTTATGGGATAGTGGTTTTTGGCTCGTCTGCTTTATGTGTATTATGACGACGTGCCTTCTTCACGGCCCAGGAGTACTGGTTGGGCCAAGTAATATCTACATCCAATGACTGCGCAGATGCCAATACAAAGGCACTATCACGCAAGAATTCTCGTCCCGCTAAAATAAAGTCAGCTTTTCCTTCTTGCAAGATTTTTTCAGCATCACGTCCTTCCACAATTAAACCCACAGCGGCTGTAGGAATATGGGCTTGATGACGTATAGCCTCCGCAAATTGAACTTGATACATTGGCATAGCAGGATACTTGACACCGGAAAGATTACCGCCGCTGGAACTATCCACCATATCTACGCCCAAACGTTTAAACTCGGCAGCTAATTTAATGGATTGATAGATACACCAACCGTCTGGATCAGAACCCATGGGATCAGGATTAGCATAATCCGTACAGGAAATACGGACCCATAATGGCTTGCTTTGAGGCCATACCGCACGTACGGCTTGAACTACTTCAAGACAGAATCTCGCACGATTTTCAAATGATCCACCATATTCATCTGTACGATTATTGGAGTGTCCAGAAAGAAAATTACCAAGCAAATAACTTGAAAAACAAACGAATATTTTCAGTAGGGGAACCATACATTTAAAAAGTTATTTTTTTTTTTTTTTTACCCGTGAGCAGCATGAATTTCCAAGAGTTCAATGCCGGCTTTATCAGCACGAATAGCAGCATCTACAAACGCTTGGGTAATTTGTCGGATCCCTTCCTTGGTTAAAGCATGGGGTTTGGCATAATGAGGTGCATAAGGTATTTCACTGGCACCGACAACTCTGTTTGGCCAACCTCCATCTGCTTCTGTCTCGAGATAGTCACCTTTATAGGGTGGGGACATGGATGCCTTACGACCCGCATGTGCAATTTGAATACCTGGCACGGAGCCTTGAGATTTAATCACTTGTACCACGCGTTGAATATCAGGAATATGAGCATCACTCCAAATGCCAGAACATTGAGGTGTAATGCCTAATTACTAGTTTAGCTTTGCTTAATTTATTGAGTATTTCACATTGATTACTTACGTCCTTCGGGAACGACAGCTGTTGCTTCGATTATGATAGTACCGGGACCTTTCAAAGCGAAAGAACCATAATGGCTCACATGGAAATTATTCAGATGACCATCGACGGCACTGTACATACACATGGGTGACACGCCCATATGATTATGGAAGGTGACAGATTTTTGTAAAAGAGGCTGGAATAGCTTGACATGTCTGGCTGCTTCGGGATTAGTAGGAGTACCGGGAGGCTTGACATTATTGGAAGCAAGAGCTGGAACAGACATGATAAATGTAGTCTTTTATTTAAGGAAATGAATAAAAGGAAGACTCACTAAGGAGAGAGAGAGAGAGAGGTTTATATGTTTTCAGGTTTGATTCGTCTATGGGTTTCACTTTTGCATAAATTTCAATACGAAAAAAAAGTTATATTCCAATGGTCTGTCGATACAGCCATCTTTTTCTTAAAAGATAAGTTTGGTTGTTACTAGTATATCTCTCTTATAGTTTTATTCTATTACCTTGTCAAACTTTTAACGCGATAAATGTGGTATATAAGAATGATGTCTTTTGTTTCATGGCAATGACAATTGAATGCTACATGTACAAATTACCGAGAAAAAAAAAGAAAAGAAGAAGCTCAGCTATGGCTTTTGCATATGACGCAAGCATGCTTTTTTCTTTATTGTGATGAAAAAAAGGGGAACAACAACGCATACAAATATTATGTGGACAGTAAGGACAATGTGACACCAACCTTATCCAAGCAAATTTGTAAATAGGCCTGTAAGTTAAAACAAATGCGCAATCCAAACATGTTTTACAGGTTTAATTCGGTCATGATGTCGAGATAACTTGATAAAATAAAAAAAAGTTTATTCGTATTAGGGATTTCGTCCAAGTTGTTAATAAATGTAATTTGCGAGAAAAAAGCGTGTTGAAATATGTCGTGTATGTTGGTCCCTCCCTCCAAAAAAAAAAAAAAATAGAAAGAGATTTAAAGGTCCAATACCTAAAAAGACTGGAGGGTTGTTACTTCAAAATTCTATTTACAATAGAATATACAGGTCTGCGTTGAAAATGAAGGATGTTTGTATAAGTGTGAATGTTGTGTATGAGTGTATGTATTTGTGAGTGTGGGTATGATTTTTATGTAGTAGGCTTTCTATAAAAAAAAAACTTTTTCTTTTTTTTTTTATAATTCTCGTAATAAATCCTCTTGGCTTTTTTCTTTGGCTTCATTCATCGCATCCGTATTCACAGCCAAAAATCCGGCAATCACCAGAACTGCGCCAATAGAATATCGAACGCTGGGGATAAGTCCCTTGAAAAAGATATCGCCAATCAAAGCAAGTGGTATCTACAAATCGTATAATAAGTATTCCATTCTATTACCATTCATTCATAAAGGAAACTCACGGTTAGGGAGATGCCAAGAGTAACCACGAGTGGTGAAGTCATCAACATGGATAATAACCACAAGTAATCAGACCTATTTTACAGTTACATTTTAAGGTTTAGAAAATGTTTATCGGTTCTGTTTTCTATCTTATAACTTACAAAAATGTACCAATGAACGCATTCAACAAGATGACTATCCATAAGACGGGACTGGCAGGGATTTCAAATGTTTCAAGACCAATGTAATGCAATAATGGTATCACAGGCCAAAGTAACAAGACGTTAAAAGCTCCCACAAATCCAAAAAACAATGACATGTCGATTCTATCTTCACTTCCAATTCTCAATTTCAATAAAGTCGTGTAGCATCCGTAAAAGATAGCGCCTAATAAAGCAAGAATATCACCAATCAGGGGTGCAGGTATCGTGGTCAGAAGTGGTTGGTCATCTTCTTGCTCATCTCCACTCAAATGATCCGAGTAAGAAACAAGTGATACGCCTATTAAACTATAATTGAAGAAAAACTGGGGTTCATCTCTTTTGTGCTGTATTGTTTACATGTAGTATGTTATTTACCTAATAAATACAGCCATGATTTTAATAAGATTCAGCTTTTCCACCTTGAACATGGCACCAATACCCAAAGTAAAGAGACCTAAAAAAAGATAGACAATTAGATGGTTAATCCGGGGAACAATGATCTTGAAAAATGAAGGACGTACCCGACATGGAAGCCAAGATGGTGCTGCTGCCAACGGTAGTGTAGGCAAGACTGGCATTGGTTGTATAATTTGCTAAAAACCACAGTATACAAAAGGCCAAACTTAATTTGATAGTATCATATGTAGATAGCTTGTGATGAGGTGACATTGTGGTATTGTCATTGGCTGAAGCGGATACTGCGGAATAGGTTACTGGCTACAAAAGAAAAGGAGATGATCAGTTTTTTTATTGTTACTTTGGTGCGACCATCAAAGATTTCCTTTTTTGTGCATGATAACCATATATATGCAATTTATTTATGTATAAAAAAAAAGATTTTCTTCTTACCTCTAATTCATCGTTGAAAAGTCTAATATAAACAAGGAATGCAAATGATTAAATCCAATGAACAAATTGCGTGCTTTTTTTTTTGTCAATAAAATATTTACTTTGTACGCTCTGTTGTGGATGATGACATTTGTTTGTGTTTTTGTCCAAGTCGTTTAAATAGGATTGGAATCAAGTAAAAGGAAAATGTGGCGGTGTTCAGATACGTAACGAGAAAAGGTTTATTGTAATTCATGTCTCCAAATAAACTCTACATCAAACAATTTAGTGAAAAATGATCATAATCAGATATTAGCTCTTGACTCACATTCATAGCAAAGGACGAGGACACCCAAATAAGAACAACAGCACCAAGTGCTAAAATTCCTCCCCAATATCTTTTTTGTGATAATTGCTTCAAGTCTGACATTTTCTGGTATAATAAAGAGGAAGGGTAGAAAAAAAAATATTTTTTTGGATTTTTTCATTTTAAAATAAACCCACTTCAAAGTGACTTGTATTACCTTCATTTTCATTGGCCAAAAATGATAAAATAAATTCACTTTATGTGCTCTCTGCCAATAGGAAATCTCCAATACCCAGTCTTTACGAATTCTTATAAATCATGCATTTTTTTTCTTTCTCCTTTCCCTCTGTGGTAACGAGTATGACTAATATAATCTATGTTTCCTTTTTTTCAAAATACCAATTGGTTACCATCGTGAAGAGTAATTGATCCGTATTCACAATTATCGTGTGTCCTCTTTCGCCGCCCCAAAAAAAGAAAAAAAGGAAAATCATCAATAAAAGACTGGGCTTTAAATTAGGGCCAAAATATTAATTTGCTTTTTTGTATACATACATTCAGCTTTGTACTCACTGTCTACTCTTTTTTTTTTGTTATCAACATTTGGGTAAGCATCATTATGAAACGTACATGCCAATAACAAGAACAACTAAAACCACAAAATAAAAAGGGTGTGACATTAGAAGAAGAAAAAAAAAAGAGAGAGCAAATGTCATTGAGTAGAGCATCACCACAAGATTGGGAACAAAATAGAAAATATGGTGTTATCATAGATGCTGGCTCATCTGGTTCAAGAATCTATGTTTATTCTTGGAAAGATCACGAATACGCTAAAAATGCTTGGTCCGTTGAAGAACTTAAAGGAAAAATACCCATTGTCGAACGAGGTGATCAAGACGGTTTGAAATGGACAAGTCGGGAAGAGCCAGGTAAAATGGAATAAAATTTAAAAAAAAAACTAATGGAAGCACCACATGTCCTAATGATTTAGAAACAAGGCATTTCCACATTTGGCTCAAAACCCAACGAAATTGGTGAACATTTAGACACATTGTTAGCATTTGCAAAAGAAGTGGTTCCCATCGACAGTCATTCATCTACACCCATCTTTTTAATGGCAACCGCTGGCATGCGTTTGTTACCTGATACACAACAAAAGGCCTTATTAAATTCAACATGTAATTATATGCGTGAACACACAGCGTTTTTCGTCAGCGATTGTGATAGTCATGTCAGTATCATCACGGGAGAACTCGAAGGTGTGTATGGTTGGGTAGCTGTCAATTACTTGATGGGTGGGTTCGATAGTAGCATCAAAGCATACACCGAAAAAAAGGAGGACGAAAAGATAGAACAACATCACACATTTGGATTTTTGGATATGGGGGGAGCCTCTGCACAAATTGCGTTTGAACCCGAACATCATCAAAAACAAGAACATATGGATGATTTAACTCATATCAAATTACACACCTTGGATGGTAGAATAGTGAATTACGATGTATTTGTTACTACCTTTTTGGGCTATGGAAGTAATGAAGCCAGAAGACGTTATTTGGAGGACCGTGTCAAACGATTATATGCAACTTCAAATGGAAAGACCTTATTGGATGAACATCACTTACTACATTTGGACGATCCATGTTTACCATTAAATCTCAACGTGACAGATGTGACGTCCACAAGCGTGTCACTTTTGCTGCATGGCACAGGCAACTTCGAACAATGTATAGAATACACAGTACCACTCTTAAACAAAAACGCTGAATGTCCGACAAAACCATGTTTATTTAACGGCGTGCATACACCAAATATTGATTGGTCTGTCAATAAATTCGTTGGCATTTCCGAATACTGGTATTCCTCCAACGATATTTTGGGTTTAGGGGGTGTGTATGATTTTATCGAGTATGAAAACAAGGCGTCCGATTATTGTGGTAAGGACTGGTCACTTGTTCTGGCCGATAATAAGGAACTTAGTACGGCTGAATTACATCGCTACCAAATGCAATGTTTCAAATCCGCTTGGATTGTCAATATTTTGCACGAAGGAATCGAAATTCCTCGTATCGAGAATCCCAGTGGTCATCATAACCTGACTCAAGATAAAGAACTACTGGAACAAACCATCGAAAGTGTCGAATCAAAGAACTGGAACCCTCCTTTTCAAAGTATAGATACTATCAATGATATTCAAGTCTCTTGGACACTGGGTGCTATGCTTTTACATGTCACTAGTAAAATACCTCTGGTCGATCACAACGATGGTTTCCTAGGTCATAATACCGATGATGAGGGGGCACATGAAATTGCAGACGGTGTATCTCAAAGCACAAATCATCATGGACATACATGGAATGAGGATTCAAACGATTTCTTTGACGATGTTCGAAATACACCCACTTCTACTGCACTCGGTATCAGTTTATTCATGTTTCTGTGTGCTGTCTTTATATGGTTCACATTTAAAAATATACGTAAAAGACGCAACTACAATAACAGAAACAATGTCGGTGCAAGTGGTGGTCTTTTAGGTCCAGATCCAACTCATATCACCTCCGCTTCTTCTTCTTGGAGATTTGTAAATCCTCTGACTTATCTATCGCTCATGACAAACTCCATTTCTCGTTCTACCGTAACGATGCGTCACTGGGCTTCGAGACTTTTACGCTCAAGAAGCAATCCACAATACACAAGTGTCAATAATAATATACCGGTGGATCTGGAAACCTTTGATGATGGAAGTAATAATATCATTCCTACCGGAAATGATCCCAACGTATCAATCAGCATGGTTGGCAATGACCGTGTCTTACCCGCCACTACCAAATCTCAAGGCGTGATAGCAAAACAGTACTGGAGTAAAAAAAGGTACAGTGGAGATAGTCATAGTGGCGGTATCTATCAGATGGGTGATGTGGTGGAAGGATCCAGCGTCTTACCGTTCAGGACATCTTCCGCTCTTGGTCTTGCCAATCGAAATGGTAGTGCTTCTAACCTGACCGCTCGTATTGGAAGCTCACCCAATTTGAATGGTATTGTGACAGCCATTGATCGTGCCCCTTCGCCGTTAGCAAGCGATATGAATAGATCCAGGTCGCGTATGGGCTTTGTGATTCATGAACAATCCGATGAAGAAGACTATGTCGTAAATGATGGCCCACTAATAGAAAATGCTGCTGCAACTTGGTTACAAAGTACAAGCAGGCTAGCCAGTCCCAAAGCTAGTCCAAGAGGCAGTTTAGACGAAAGAAGAAAAAAGAAGGAAGATAGTGGATAGATTTTCAACATTACCTTATAAAACCTTACCATAAAACAATTATCCCCCCATTCACCCCCCATTTAATAGAATTACTTAATATACACTCTTTTTTTTTTTTTCTTTACTGCGTAAACATGTCCGTCTTTAAAGATGCCACAAGTGCACCCATTTGGCTCAGTCTAGGTGTACTTTGGCGTTAAAATAAACCCTTTCAGTTGGAAGTAGGACATAAATAAAAGAAATACAATTCCTCTTTCTGAATGGTTTGTGGTGTTTACATTGCAATATGATTCATGTTAAAGCCTTCATGTTGATCTATGTGCGCCATGAGAGTGAAAATATGATTTTTATTTGTTCATTTACTATACAGATACTATGTGTTATTTACCCCTCCCATTCAACTGAGTCTCCTACATTATTGTCTAATCACTTTTTAACGAATGTACTATACACTTTACTGATCAGTATTCAACAAGCATTTTTTTTAATAAAGTCGTGCTTTCCGGCGTCTGTTCAATCTATTTAATTCTTCTTTAAACTTCGTTTACCCTTCCTCCTCAACTGGGACACAGCTAATGGGGGACTTATAATTTTTACAAGCTTCCATTTGACTCGACTTACTCAAACTATCCTCTTGGGTGCAGTTTATCGCCTTGATATCTTATTTCAGACGTGGATAAAGACGATTTTTATTTTTTTGTTAAAAACACGTTTTATTAAAAATATGATACAAAAAGAAAAAGAAAAAAGATACACACTAGCCACTCTACAAAAGAGTGTTGCCCAGGAATGGCCGCGCGGAGGCTTGTATCTATGCATTCCCTTCTCGAATCTTTTATTTATAGGAAAAGACGAGAGCGTAAAGAGCAGAAAACCTAAAAAACCATACTGATAAGCAGTAGATTACCTTGATTTTGAGAAACTTGCCCCATTATACAGGATGTATAGTACTTCTATAGCGGAAACGGACATGATACACCCAACGATCCCAGGATTCATGATGCCGGTAAAGGGACGCCACCCCCACGGGAGATTTTTCCTCACAACCCACATACTCCCTCCGGTTTTAGACACTTACCCCGTTCACATCAAGACATACCATGTAACACTGAAGAGCTCACCAGAAGGTCCCCCTAAGATACTAGACGTCTCCAGGTCACAAAGAGTTCTCTAAAAAGATCACTCTCCAGCACGTCACTAAACTGGCGCCGTTGTTAAGTGATGATCGTCTCGAACTTTTTCTAAAAAACAAAATCTGCCTGTCTTTTATACCTTTTTTTTTTTTTGTTTGTTTATCTGTTACAGCCATTTACATAATCAACCTCCCTATTTTAGTCTACTTTTTTATTTATCAGAAAATTTTTGGGGATATCACCAAGATGATCTACTTTCATATACTTTTCGACATTTTCTTATTTAACATGATGATGCCTTGAAAAAAAAAAGGAGAGTTAACTGTTGCATATTAGTTTTTAAGCATCCACATATTTATGAAAATGCTCACTACAGCAAGTTTTTTTTATGGACAGAGGTATGGTTGCAAGGTAACACACAGCTCCAAATAGGGTAAGCTGACTAACCTCATAGAATTAGAAAGTTTTCCAAGCATGATTAGGTTGCTATGGGCCGTATGACTTCACTGTTTTTCAAGATTATCTTGTTCAACCAAAGACATGTGTCGTGATTGAATTTACACACAAGAAATCAGTGCGATAAAACTAAAATTCATAGCTTATTTCTATGCCTTAAATTGCCCTCAATATAAAGAGCTAGAGGATGATTTTATTGGACTTACCCAAAGACTCCTACACTTTGCGTAAACCTCCTTATTGACTTTACGTCAATTACAACTGATGACATGTAGTAGGTAGTAAATAGAATTTCATTATGGTAGATACTAGCCTTACCGTTTAGCAAGGCCACGCAACAGCAGAAAGGGGGGGGGGGAGTATTTGAAGATCAGGTGAGAGTCTCCCTTCTTTTAAAGTTAATAATCTTATTATTGACGGTCCAAAAGACCTTTAATATACCATCACACCAAAGACAAATTCACACTGATACCATTATCAGGCACATAAACTGAGATTACGGATTAAAGAAGCCAGGATTTTAAGATTTCGCGAGTACGTATGCATAGTTTTCTGTCACATAATGTTCAAAAGAATACCGGTGTACGTAATTAACTCTGATAAATAAAATCTATAAACACTATTTATGCTTCATCATTTAGTACCCCTAAGAAAAAGCCATTCTTTTTTTAGGCCTTTTTTTATGCGACCGGAGTGACTATTAAGCAAATAAACGCTTATCGGTGTTTTTAGTGATTCGATAACCGCCTCTTCTGAACGTGTGTGATAAAAATAAAAAAAGTTCTGTATTAGAGTTCATTACGCTTGCATGCAGGCGTTTTCTCTTGTAAACCTTACTTTTTTAATTTAACAAATGAATTATGGGAGATCAAAAAAATAATGCAGCACAAAATTTAAAAATGAAAAGTGGTCTCAAGGGCTTTTTTTTTAAAATATTTGAACACCAGCTTTATTCTGAGACGAATGTGTGCCCGTATGTATGGAGGGGGGAGATGCTGGGGTTTCAATTTGAGAGAAAAAAAAAAGCTGCGGCGTTTGTTGACTTTTTTTTTTTTTTATAATCAGCTTTAAATTCTCCTCTCTCTCTCTCTTTTTTTCTTTAATATTATGAGTGATGGTAATAATGATTCACATGGCTTAAATCAGCGCATGGGTAAAGTATTTACAGTGAAAATAATGACAGACTCTGGTATTCAACTAGTTATATTTTAATAGCTGATATGAGCGTCAACAACAATAACTCTGGTGGTTATCAAAAGGCAGCTTATATTCCTCCTCATCTCCGTGGAAGAGCTTTTGCTCAAGAAGGTGCACCTGTCAACACCGGTAACAACAACAATGGTTGGGACAAACCTGCTCCTAGACCTGGGTAAAGTCACATAATTTTCGTGTTTTTTTTAATCTAAACATCATCTTTTTTTAATCTAGATGGAGAGATAACTATTCAGACTATGGAGGTGCTGGTGGTGGTGGTGGAAGAGGTGGCGGATGGAGTGGCCGTTCCTCTAACAACTCTAGCTATGGAGGTAACCGTTCTCAATTTGATGAACGCGGTTCTTATGGTGGTTATCGTAGACGAGGTGGTGGAGGACCTCCTGGTGGCGGTGGTGGTAGAAGAGATAATAACGCTGGTTACTGGAAGGAAGGTGTTCATCATGTTGGTCCTCGTAACCCTCATATTGAAAAGGAATTATTCGGTACACCTGAAGATAAAGAGACAACCCATACAGGTATCAACTTTGACAAGTATGATAATATTCCTGTCGAAGCCTCTGGTAGAGATGTTCCTGCTGCTATTGAAGAGGTATTGAATATAGTCTAGTGTGTATTTACATTACGTCGATTATTAATCAGATTTTTAAAATTTATAGTTTACTTCTCCTCCTATTGATACTCACTTATTAAGTAACATCGAATTAGCAAGATACACTACACCTACTCCCGTTCAAAAGTATTCTATTCCAATCGTCATGAACAACCGTGATCTCATGGCTTGTGCTCAAACAGGTAAGAACATTAGATGATATTAATATAAAATAGTGTTAAAACGGCGTTACAAAAAATAGGTTCTGGTAAGACGGGTGGTTTCCTTTTCCCAGTTTTACATAGTTTGTTTGAACAGGGACCTGCACCTAGTCCTGATGGTGATAGACAAGATGCAGCTGGTGTCTATCGTCCCAACAAGGCCTATCCTGAAGCCTTAATTCTTGCTCCTACTCGTGAATTGACTTCTCAAATCTTTGAAGAAGCCAAGAAATTCTCTTACAGATCTTGGGTTCGTCCCTGTGTTGTCTACGGTGGTGCTGATATCGGTCAACAATTACGTCAAATTGATCGTGGTTGTGATATTCTGGTTGCTACTCCCGGTCGTCTTGTTGATCTTATAGAACGTGCTCGTGTCTCTCTTAAAAAGGTTCGTTTCTTGATTTTGGATGAAGCTGATCGTATGTTGGATATGGGTTTCGAACCTCAAATTCGTCGTATTGTACAAGGTGAAGATATGCCCGGTGTTCAAGACCGTCAAACTCTCATGTTCTCTGCTACTTTCCCTAAAAACATTCAAATGTTGGCCCGTGATTTCTTGAAGGAATATGTCTATCTTGCTGTAGGTCGTGTCGGTGCCACCTCAGAGAACATTACACAAAAGATCGAGTATGTTGAAGATGAAGATAAACGTTCTGTCTTATTAGATATCTTGACTTCTCATCCTACCGAAGGTTTAACCTTGATCTTTGTGGAAACCAAGCGTATGGCTGATGCATTAAGTGATTTCTTAATGTCCAACAACTTCCCTGCTACCTCAATTCATGGTGATCGTACTCAACGTGAGCGTGAAAATGCCTTAGAAGCTTTCCGTACTGGTAGAGCCCCCATCATGGTAGCTACTGCTGTTGCTGCTCGTGGTTTAGATATTCCTAATGTCACTCATGTCATCTCGTATGATTTGCCTACAGATGTGGATGATTATGTCCATCGTATTGGTCGTACGGGTCGTGCTGGTAATGTGGGTGTTGCTACTGCCTTCTTCAATAGAGGCAATAAGAATATTGCACGTGAATTGGTTGAACTTTTAAAGGAAGCCAATCAAGAAGTTCCCTCATGGCTTGAGAGCATAGTACGTGAATCATCGGGCGGAAGAGGTGGTTCCAGAGGTGGTCGTGGAGGACGTGGAGGTTCCAGAGATTACAGACAACGAAATGATTACGGAGGAGGAGCTCCAAGCAGAGGTGGCTATGGCGGTGGAGGCTATGGTGGCGGTGGAGGAGGATACGGTGGTGGAGGAGGAGGTTATGGCAATAATGCTGGCGGTGGTGGAGGATACCAAGATCGTAGTGGAGGATCACAACCATCATACGCACCCTCTTATGGAGGCGGAACTGGACATCGTAATGGCCAAAGCAAAACTAGTTGGTTCTAAAATGAAATCTACCGCACTTCAAAAAAAAAAAAAATAGTAGATTATGACATATGTATAAAAAAAAAATAACCTCTACATATATATATTTCAGACACAAGTAATAATTACAAAAAAAAGTTGTTTTTTTTTTCTTCTTCCTTTTTTAATAAAAATGCACATAATCTTGTTTTTTTTTTCAATACAATTATTACTTTTTTTAATTTATTTTGGCTCAAAAGATAATCTATCTTAATTTGCTTCTGCTTCCAGAACAGTACCACGCTTGATCTTACCCCAACCAATAAGACTAAAATAAAACAGAATTAGCTACTGCGGATTATTACATAAACACAAAAAAAAAAAAAACTTACCGCCAATGTCTTTCAATCTTTCTTGAAATGGCAACCTTGTCACCAACTTCAGTACAGGTAGGACCGGTCAAAATGATCTTTGCAAGATCAGCCTTGACACCAACAACACGACCACCAGTGGAGACAGAACCAATGTTGACCAAGAGTAATTCACCCTTGGTTAACTTGGCAACCTTTGCTTGTTTCTTATCATCAGTCTTGACACCCAATAAACGACGCAACAAAAAGTAAGAGATTTCAAGTTCTGTGTAGATGGAAGGTAATGTACCGGGATAACCCAATACTTGACCAACTAAACGATCACCACGACATAAGGTGGGATCCATTTGAGTACCAACACCAATTAAACCACCGGGAACAGCAAATTCTAACTTGTTTGTCTCGGCAGCCAAGGTCAAGATTTTGGATAAGATGGGACGAGCACGAATACGACCCTCTGAATCCTTAATAATGACACCAGGACGTACTTCAATATTATCTCCAATCTTGAGGACACCCTTCAAGATGGAACCACCAGCAACACCACCTTGGAGGTGATCAACATCAGCACCAGGTTTGTTAATATCAAAAGAACGAATCACAATCAATCTAGGTTCAGCAGAGAAATCACGAATAGGAACAGGAATCTTCTTGGTGATATATTCGTTGACAGCATCAATGTTGTATTTAAGCTGAGCAGAAATAGGAACAATAGGTGCTCCATCAGCAACAGTACCCTTGACAAATGCAAGAATATCTTGATGTTGTTCATGTGCTGCTTCCTTCTTTACAAGATCAACCTTGTTTTGAAGAATAATAACATGTTGAAGCTTCATAATTTCAATGGCTGCAAGATGCTCAGATGTTTGAGGTTGAGGACAGCTTTCGTTACCGGCAATTAATAAAAGAGCTGCGTCCATAACAGCTGCACCGGAAAGCATAGTAGTCATCTATATTTTTTATACATCGTTAGTTTCTATTTTTTCCATCTTTCGCATTTGTATTCATAATCTTTACGAGAATATCGTGACCAGGGCAATCTAGGATAACAACAGGGTTAATCTATGTCCCACACTTTAATAAATAAAAAATTGCCACGCCCTTACCAACAAAACTGATATGACGAACGAGTTCCATGGTGCCACCGCAGCCAGGACGTTCACATAAAGGATTATCTTCCTTGGAAGAACCATAAGACTTGTAACAGCCAGGTCTGGGACATTCGTGGTTTTCACATTTGAAAATCTTTGCATTAGCATAACCAAGCTTGATAGTAATATTTCTCTCCATCTCATTCTTGAAACGAACTGTCTAATGGAACAATAAAAACACGAGATTAGCTTTTCACTTCTTCCATGCTTCAACTCAAACCCCTTTTTCCCCCCGAAAATAATTTACTTGGACACCAGAAATAGCCTTAACAACAGTAGATTTACCGTGAGCTACGTGACCAATAGTACCTACATTGAAGAAAAAAATTTTATATATACGTAAGCTTAACACAATTTTCGTCCAAGGAAACACAAAAAAAAAAAGTTGGCTGTCATTCTTTACCAATATTGATGGTGGCTTGCTTAGAGATGACCTCGGGTGACAAAGGTGTCAACTTGGTGACATCAATTTTGACTACGTCTGTCATTTTAATTTATTAATGTATAAAGACGAAAGGAAAAAAAAAAAATTAGTCAAAAAAAAAAAAAAAATTCCAGGCTGTGAGTGATAAACAGTCACGGGTTTTCTGTCGTTTTTATCCCCATTGGCTGGTTTCCCCCCTTGAGCTTTTTGTTCATTTGGATCTACTGATGAAAAACCTTTAACAAAAACGAACCAGCCCGCTTAAAGTTAAAAAAAAAACATTCCTCAGCATCATGTATAAATTAAACACTAAACAGTCCTATAAAAGAGGAGAGTAACATACTTAGCGTAAGAGCCTGGATTCAAGTCGAATAACTTTGGAATCAACATCAAAAAGATCACCTATATACTATCAGAAACGAGTAAAGAACTTAGAAATGCGTTTACAAGGCACTAGAAAATTTTCACAGCTTCTACTTGGCAAAGTTCTCTGATTATCCACAAAAAAAAAAAAGTTTATCTGAAAGAGTTGGTACCTTCCAGAACGCACTCACCGAAATAAGGGTGACAAATACGATACAATTGGAAGCTCGTCCAATCCTGATGTTTACGCGTCTTTATGGACGAGGTTTCAACACTGTCTGCGTAAACTGAGTTTTATTTTACTAGTTGAAAGGCACTGCATCGGATGCATTTCGCAAAAGACTTTTAAGGAAATTACGTGATGCCTATAATGAGATATTTTGCTAATCATTTTAAGGCTAGAAATTTCTAGCAACATGTACTCACTTATAGTCCAAATTCTTAAATTGCTCTGCTACTCCTGTTATCAGCACAATGTCTATTTTTCTGTTGTTTTTATTGTAAATACAATGTTACACACATACATCAAAGAATTTTATTTTTTATTTTGGGCATTTCGAATTTGTTTATTGCATTTTCTTGCTTAACTTGGCCTAATAAATCACAATGTTAACTTTCTCCTTAGTAACAAGCGAATAACGCAAATCTTACCTCTTTTCCGATTGTAAAAGATAACTTGTTAAGTCCAATACTGACAAGGAACAATAAAAAGATGGCAGCAGAAGCAACAATAGGCTTTTGCAAAAGACGGAAGCTAGAATACTCGTATTCGATTTGGATAGGTAATTCATGCTCTCTCACAACATTGTCCTTTTCTAATACAACCATTAAACGTCCGGTAGAATCGAAATATGTAAAGTGTTTGGTGATTAACTCTTGGTCAATGGCAAAAGGGGTGTTGACTTTGGCGTTACTGCGAGATTGATTTATTAGTCTTTATTTTATCACAGTATCCAACTAAAACTTACGTGGCTCCTTCAGGTAAAACAACGCGAACGATTGCCTTATCGACAGTCATATCCTTGACATTCTCAACAAAGTTGATGTTTAATACATATTTACCAGATTTTGCCTTGTGAACATATTGACCAAGATCAGTATTGTAACCATAATACCAAGTGTAATTCCAACCACCAAAGAGGGGATAACGAGGTGTGAGTTCTAAAACAGATTTTTCCTTTTCGACTCTAAAGTGAGAAGTGGATACATTACCGACTTCATCACGGAAATAAGGATCACGAGCAAGAGCAGGTAAGTCAAATGTAAGACTCTTTAATACATTGGTTTGGTCGTGAATATGAGCAGTGGCTTGATATTGTACACGATTGAAATCCTTGTCGAGACTAAGTGTAAAATTTTAGTATACATGAAGCAACAAAGTACATATTTTCTTTTTTTTACCCGGCACCATCATTACGCAAAGCATAATGCTCTTCAACAGCCAAGTTATTTCCCCAATGAGAAATTTCGATATCACGCTCAAGGGTGGTGATCGTAATCAATGGCTTGCTGTTTTCAAAATGACAGGTAGCAATATCAAAAGAAAGAGGTGCTACATTTTCATAAGGTCCATAAACAACCTTGTTTCCATTTCCAGCACTCTTTCCAGCAGCGCCGGAATGACTGACGATATTCTTACTAGGCGTTCTATCACATACAATATAATTAGTCAATGAATAATATGATACAAGGTTCATTCTTATTCTTTTACTGGAGCGTAGTCTTTGTTTCGATGGTTTGGTAAGGAGAAAGTAAGTAAGAGTTGAAGGCAAAAATGGTATGTTGACGGGCAACTTGAGGTAACTTGGTTGGCATAGGCTTAATCGTGTGGGTATATGCAATTTTAAGACCAAGAAGAACATCTTGTTGGGGTTGGACAGGTTCATTTAAGATGACCTTGTAAACGTACATTTGACTGCAGAAAAATAAAAATAAAAAAACGTGTATGCGCTTTGTTAATATATGTATAAAAATTAAAACTGTCATCTATTTTTTTTTTTTTTTTTTACTTTGCAGCATCTTCATCTTCTAAAACAACTTGGAGTTCAGTCTTTTGCTTTCTCAAGAAAGCAGAGATAGAAGCAGCGTTCTTGGAAATGACAATGGGCACATAAAAGTAGTATTCTGAAGCAGGCACGCTATCGATATTCTTTGCTCTGATACCTACATCTTCGCGAGCAATGGCGGTCGTGACATCGATGGTACGAATGACTTTGGTGTTTTCAAATTGAGTAGGGAAAGCCAGAGCTACGCAAGCGCAACTGAACGCGAATAATACTTGTAAAAGTAAACGGACCGAGATCATGACCGTATTCTTATAAAGGAAGTGATATAGAAATAAAGAAGTAGTTTTATAAATGTACACACACCTACATAATTTCATTTTTAGCCAATCATAAATGAACACTCACGTCACTTTCAATGTGCACACACAAAAAAAACATTCAGAGCGTGGTTTGAAATCTGATTTTTTTTAAAGAAGCTGATTGAGCTGATGAGTAGCTCTTCCTCTTTTTTTTTCGCACTTTTTAGAAATACATCATGGCCCACGCTAACGTTTGGAACTCTCACCCCAAGACCTTCGGTAAAGGCTCTCGTGCCTGGTATGTATACTATTCTCGTCAATTTTTTTACAAGGAAAAAAGCCTTTTCGACATCAATACTTTTATACACTGGATGCGATATTTTTTTTTTTGAAATGCTAAAAGTATAAGCCACCCGAAAAAACATGCCAATTTTCGAAAATTCAAATTTGTTAGCGATGATGAAGCATTTGGGACCCTAGACAGTGTCGAAGGAAGGCGCTTGTTGGGTACAAATTTTGGTTATTGAAAAAATAGGATTTGGCATGGTTCTTTAGGCATTTTCAAAAAAAAAAAAAAAAAAAAGGAATTACATATATGTTGTATTAAGAGCATACTATTAACATGCTTCTTTTGTTTACAGTAGAGTCTGTTGTCATCGTGCCGGTCTCATCCGCAAGTACAACCTCAACATCTGTCGTCAATGTTTCCGTGAATATGCCAGTGATATTGGTTTCAACAAGGTAAAAAAAAATGAAAATCATTTAATGTTAACCATGGTATTGACTTATTCTCGTAACAGTTCCGTTAAATTATCACTTTTATAAACATAAAAGCTTTTCACTTTTATGTCTTTTTGTGAATAGAACGATATTTCATCAGCAAATCTATATTTTTGCTTTTCTGTAATAAAATTTTTAAAAAAAAAAACTAGCCAGATACCTTTTCCTTTGTATGCAGGAAATGCTTGCCTTTACCTACAAAAAAAAACCGCCATAGATCTCCTACCATCGAGGGCCAGCCTGTATTTGGTGGTACGCTGATATGTACGCATTAAGCTGATCATTGATGGCTTTCCTGGAATTGAGCTTATGTAACCCACCTCTCCTCCGTTTAATGTTTTATAACCCTGATTACATCTAATTTAATATCGACGTTAGAATGTATTGTGTTACATAATTGAAGTATTTACATGTACATGCATGCATACCTGTCAATGTCTAATGATAGCAGGACGAGTGATTTATGTAGAAAAAAAAATCTATCTCTATTATACTTACAATAACAAACATGGAGTTCCTTTATTGGGTCAAGTGAGATAGTTGCACTGAAAAAAATAACCTTCGTGAGAAAAAAAGCGTCTGTTTTGATCACGACAATAGCTTGTTAGTCGTAAGTTACCTATTTTTCAGTACAAATTTGCCAATCAAAAGGATGATCATGCAAATATACATATTTTATTCTGAGTGCATAATTTAGCAAGTAACCCAATAATTTAGCTTGATCTGGATTGCGCAAGATTAACAAAAAAATAGCAATTTTGTTTGTGGATTTTATTAATAACGTTTTTTTTTTTTTTCTCACAGGCCTCTCTCTATCATCTTGCAAAAAAAAAAAAAAAAAAAAAAAAAATGACAATTACAATTCCTATACTTGATTTATCAAAATATCAACCGGACCTGCCAAATTCGTCCTCCTCCAAAGAATTTTTAAAGGAACTTTACGATGCTATGAGTGAGGTTGGGTTTTTCTATGTTCAAAATCACGGTGTTCCGCTTGAACTTCAACAGAAATCTTTTGAAACAATCAAATCATTCTTTAAACTGCCTGTGGAAGAAAAACTTGAAATCGAATTAAAAAACTCGCCTCATTTTAGAGGGTATTCGAGATTAAGTAAGGGATATTTTGTGGCTATAATATTATGATGTTAATTTTACTTAATTTTTTCGTGTTCAGATGCGGAAACCACCGATTATAAACAAGATAATCGTGAACAAGTGGATTTAGGAAGAGAGTACCCTGTTTTACCCATTGAAAATAACCCAGTGTATGCACACCTTAGAGGTCCTAACCAATGGCCCAGACAAGTGGAAGGATTTAAAGAAAATGTTACTGAATTAATGGAAGCCATGACACAAGTAGGTCTAATTATTATTCGAGCCATGGCCCAAGTTCTCGAGTTTGATCAGGAGGAGTTTATGTCCTTATTCGGTCATGATTATGGCGTAAGATGTAAACTGCTTCGTTACCCATCACTCAATAATCCAATTGATAAACCTTTAGACCATGGCCTAGGCGTAGGTCCACACAAGGATACAGGTTTTTTGGCGTTGCTCTTACAAGACGAAATTGGTGGACTTCAGGTTCAAACACAACAAGGTGAATGGTTGGATGCCATTCCGATTCCAAATACGTTTGTTGTAAACATTGGAGAGATCTTCGAACGTTTAACCAAACAGACTTTTGTGGCTACAACGCACAGGGTGGTCAATAAGCCATCCAAAAATCACACTGATCGATTCTCCATACCCTTGTTCCTCTCTCCTGCCTTGGAGACAAAGATTCCTCAAATAGACTTACCGACTGTCACTAAGAAAAATATCGTATCTGATGTAAAACAGGATCAATTATTACAAGATGAAATCTATGGGGTGAATGAATTATTAGGTTACTTGCGTAGCCACAAAGTAACGGCAGACACATGGTATTATTTCAATGATGAACAGGGTCAATGGAAACGCAGACCCGTTGTTGCCTAATGAATTAAAATGTCTTTTTGGCCATGTTGAAATAAATTATATAATAAACGCCTCTCTTGTTCCCATTTTGTGCAAACCATAACCCTCCGTTCATTTGACATGCGAAGTTTAATGTTTTTAAAATAAATATTTTCTATTGTTCTATTTAAAGGGTAGCTTTTTTGCTACGAATAGCAGAGGAGGCATTTGCAGCACTGCAAAGGGCATAAGTTAACTCTAAGTGGGGAAGCGCCAAACCCTTCGCCTGTCCTCTTTTTAAAGGAGTACCGAGAATCACTTCAACTTCCATAGGAGAACCACGCTCTTTATCCAATTGCCTATAAATATAAGGTGAGTAGAGGGGAATTGGTATGCATTCTTATGGTTTTTACATGGAAGGCTTGTAGTTTGTGGCAGTAGCTTTTGTTCTGTTGATCATATTGGTCATTTGTTCTTCGCGGTCAAATTTATATCCACAAGCATTGGCAGCATCAATAACTTCTCCCATGACGCTTGTGACAGCCTTCATGGCTTCTTCGTTGGCTAAAACCTCTGTTGTATTTAAGCCTGATAAGGTGCAAACAGGTGAGAAAGCGGCATTCCTATTATTAAACAATGGTTTCAGTGGCTCCCTTCTACAACTCCATACTCTCTCTTTACCAGAACAACTTTTGCCAGCGAACACACTCTACGTCTTCCACTACTTGAACCTCCACATCACCCTTCTTCAAAAGCTCAATAAAAGCAGCGCGTTGCTTATCAGAATCAGTTTTGGCGGAAAGATATTTACCAATGAGTAAAGATTCACGGCCAACCATCGTAATCTTTCCAGGGTCATTTTGAGAAGTGCCAATGTAAGCTACGATTGAAACAATGGGATTGTTAGGGAAACGATTGGTGATGGGTTCTTCAACACCAAGGCCATTTTGAATCAAGACAATGGTTGTATTTTCTGTCACTGCAGGAGCGATAATTTCTGCAACGTCATAGACATCAGGTAAAGCCTTGAGTGTAACCAAGATATAATCAAAAGGTTCAGAAGTAACACCTTCAGAAACAGTTCGAACAACTAAATGGAGGAGGGAGTTGTTTATATCAAAAGAGGAGGGACTGAATGTCATGTCGTTGCTTACCATTGTTAGGTTTGAAATTCTCTACACCAAACTTTGCAGAATCCATCTCAAAACCCTTTTCGTTGACAATGTCGTAGTTTGAACGACATACGGTTGTGACATTACACGATTTAGAAAGTCTCCAGGTATAAATGGCACCCACTGCGCCAGTGCCGACTATTATAGAGCCCGTCGTAAGCAAGTCTGGTCTGTATATCAATCACTTTTTATTTACCTGTTAGTACACGAGGAGTATGAGACATTGAATATAATCTGATACTAAGATGGCTATGAAGAGAAGATGGAAAACCGGCGGTTAGGTCCGAATATTTATATAGTCCGGAAAGGCTTTTCACAGGGGCACGATGAAAAGATAACCCCATAGAATCGGCTTTAGAAGCTAGACTGATATTTCTTTTCAATTGAAAACATAATTTCGTATTATTGAAAATAGGCTTGAACTGCATTGTATTTTTAAAACAGACTTAAGTTTTTGTTTAGAAAAGAAGGGGGGGCAGAAAGATTAATGACACATTATGACAAATGCTTTTCTCTGGGAAAAAGTGAAGCGCATGTTACACGACATGAACCGGTTGTGAGTTGTACTCATGGAATAATTGAAATGGCGCACTTCAGTTTAAGATCATGGCGAAAGCTTGGGAACGGCCTAAAAATTCTGTATGTTTCTCAATGGAATAAAGGTGTAGCAATGGCAGAATATGACCAGCATAAAAATAAATGAAAAAAAAAAGATAATAGTAGAATACCAAAATATATTGGAATCAAAATATTAATGATGCATATAAAAATAAAATATCAACAATAAGCGTGACTCTACAAGTCAAGAAGGTCCTCCACACCAAAAAAGTAAATATTCCTCTAAAAAATGCCGATACAGAAGACTCGAGTTCAGCTTTCGATGATCCTTCTTATAGTCTAAGCTTACAGGTCGTTAGACTACGGTATAATTGGAGGCACTATCGTCAGAAATTGAGTTTAGCAAAAACAAAGCTATGAACCCATGCTCCTTTTGTGTCTTTTAAAATTGCTATGATCTAAATGAACCTCATGCAAGTCAAGTTTTAAAAAATTACCCTGGATATATTCTTGCCAAAAAACACACATTGAACAAGAGTTAGGTCAAAAGTACAAGCGTGTCGACATAAAAATTGGCCTAGAAGTACGTCTGTTGTTAGTTCGGCCAGCGAAAGATAAATTTTTGATGCTAATTCGAAAAACAATAAATACGCATTGCCGAATTGTCGGCTTCTCATTTTGTAACACTTTGTCCATCAGAAAAAAAAAAAAATCTGTCCCCGACCCCTTCAATCAAGCTTTTACCAGTGCATACATTCAGAAAGTTCTAGGAGGAGGAACTTCAAACACTAATACCATAACTTATCAAGAAATCATATCAGCACATTAATCCTTCTAGCGTTCAAGCTTTATGATTATGGTTGCAGCTTGCGACAGGATTTTGACAGGTATTTTCTTCAGTCGAGCATGGGCCAGGTTTTATGTAATTAGGCGAGCTTTGATCGAGCACCGTACATAGTGTTACCTCTCTTTTTTTCTTCAGTTGGTCTTTTTGTCCTTAGAATTTTTTTTTTTTCAGCTAATTTAAAATGTAGCAGTAAATGAAACATGATCTTTATAGTTGAATTGTAGTTTTATGGAATGGTTATATCTATAAAAAAGTTGTACAGAGTTTGGCCTAAAATTATATTTCTTACATACTTCTGATCACTAAGCTGTGATCAGTACTTAATCAAATGTGTGAATAAGTGTTAAATACAGAGTTGGATTATGTCAGGATGATTTATTTGTTTATTTAAAAAAAGATTTTTAAAAGGTCAGAAGGAAGGCTGCATTTTGTTAATTCCCCATCACAATAAAGTGTAAGACATGAAATTGCAATTCATCATATAATAAAAACCCGAATTTAAAGACATGTGCACCTCGAGTTCGCGGCCGACAGCCGTAAAGACCGGTGCGCCAGACTTTAGGAAACAAGTCAAATTTTGGACAAAAAACTTTAACAATTATAATATATTCTTTGTTAATTATTGACAGTCACGTGGCCCAAGCCACCCGAACATTTAAGGCCGGCGCCCTTTGACTGAACATTGGAACAAAACTCAAAGGAAGGCCTGTCCTCATCAACTTCGTCTCCCCTTGTGCTACATTCCAATTATGTTTTATTTTCAAATCAATTACGTTCCCAAGTTGCCTCAAAATTAAATCTATACTCACCGATACGCTCTATCACCAGCTGCATCAATACTCTTCCTGCTCCACATAATCATCTAGAATTTCAATTACCAATAGCGGTGGTTTTAGAGGTTCCAATTAACGATATCTGGTCTACATCCAGTGATCAATGTCCTTTAAAAACCAAAGTATACAATAAGATTTAAGTAAAACACTTTTACACTTTCGATAGTACTCACTCCCATTTAATTCGGCGTGCTCATCATGATCCAGAGAAAAAAATATTTATTCTCGGATCTCGCTTTCATCAAAATCTTCTGCTCGATTTAGCCTAACTGTCTCCGTTTGTTCTACGACTATTGACACCCAACAGTCACTTGTTCAGGTCGATTAAGGATGAACCATTAACTGACTTTTTTCGATATACTTTATTAATCAATCAAATTTCCACCAAGTCCTTCCGGGACGGTTCACCGCTCTCCTCAGCGAGTCACGTCTGTCAGTCTTTACACCGGTTTTACTTGGAAGGCTTTTTGGCGTAGTCGGTTGAACTTTCGTACCAAAAGTGTTTGTTTTTAAATTCTGCATAATAAGGTTAATACGACCCTCACCATGCATAGATATTGCTGCAGCCAATAATAATAGGCTTGTTGTTACACAGGTTAGGATCTTTCTTATAAATACTCTTCTTTTTTTTCTTGTAAATAAATATTCTTTACATTTGTCTTCACCAAAATTTGGATTTATCTTGTAATCGATGCTAAGTAGTATTTCCTCCGCTTTCGGTCGCTGTTTGTTGTCCATTGTAATTTATACAATCACTACATTTTCTTACATAAACCCGTCGTAAACTCTTTACTCTTGTACATGTTAGAACTATATTCTCTTCTCATCTCTCACTGTATTATTACCGATATACATTTATTTGTCTTATCCATATATTTTATCGTCTAAGATCACTTCAGAAATATTCTTAATAAATGATAAAACTAAGTTGACAACTAAAAGTCTGGTGCTCGCTATTACAATTGTTATATTCAATAACAATTGTCTCTTTTTAAATCTAAATCCGTACTAGCGCTATATCAATATCTTCCACTGCCAGCTGACTCTTCCCTCTGCCCGTTATGTTCTGCAAGTTCTCATTACCCCGAGCACATGTTTGTCTCCTGCCAGCGTGTTTGGCAGATTTGTAAACGATCCTTTACATACCTATATCCACAATTACCTGCCTTGTATTTACCTGAACCTTCTGAGGTCCTATCCAGTATATTCACGTTCAATTTCCCCAGTCGTAAGATGTTCCATCTTCAAACTACCCCAATTTTTCTTTTTGGCTCTATCCTTGAAGGTATTTGGAAAAATTACTGGAGTTTTATTTTTGATTCAACACCTTTTACCCGGATCAGATTGTCTGTACTATCACTGGTATTGCTCACATCTATATCAACCAGCACAACGTGAACTCAGCCAATTTTCTTATCATTTAATTTTCTTTATTTAACTTTTGTTTTTCTTCGCATATTAACTCCTCCCTCATAATATCATTTTACTATCACTGCTTACCTCTCATTAAGACGTGTGAATTTCATTGAATCTTAAATAAAATCAGGACTTAAACAAAAAAAAAAAAAAAAAAAAAAAAAAATCAACGGACATTGTGCACATTTAATATCATAAGGCTTTTAATTTAAAGTACTGAATGTATTATTGCCAATAATTTTTGTAAAGAAAAATTAAGGATAAACAAACCGTTTTATTGTTGCTCTCGTTTGAGAACCGATGGTGTATTTGAACAGACAGATGCACTCAAGCTTCGCGCCGCAATAATAAATGGCCCATTCAAAAGAGCTAACATATCAGCTTCTCTTTGATGGAATACTGCTGCATCAATTCTAGTTTTAACAGGAGGAATTTCGGTTTGACTTGTAAAATTATTCCTTTTCCAATGAATTGAGAATGGAGGTTTGATTACAGTCGTAAGGTCCATACCCTTATAAGGGTTATGTAAACTCACACCAAAAGAGTGATAAACTGGTAAAACAGGTGCTGGTGTGCTACCAGAGCTTGCAGAATTGATCGATAAAAAATCAGTTTCACTGTCAGTTGATGGTTCCCTGGAATTATTTTTGCGCTCTGTAACTGTCTCACGTTCATCGTAATCACTGTATTCGTATTCATCGTAATCACTGGTTTCGTCACAACTACCAAATTCATCGGATAAATCATTACTGCTAAAATTTTCCTTAGTTAACAGATTTATATAATTCTCTTCTTTTGTCAACAATTCAGGCTTCTCCTCTGGTTTGAAGATGGCTTTGTTTGCACATGCTTCGATGGTATAGTTAAGGTTTTGTATCTCACCCGCAGATACTGCTTCCTTTTCAGACTTAGATTGTTCAGCTACTAATGGAGTCTTTTGATCAGCATTGTTCTCCAAGCAAATGCGCTTATTGTCTTGAGATTCAATTGCTTTATCTGAATTACGCTTCGACCTTGCCATTTCACTTTTTTTTGAAAAACCAAGAAAAGACGCGGCATGAAACTAGGGGGTGAAACTTTATGATATAGCGTGTGACGTGCTTTTTAAACATAGCCCTTTGCAAATTGATAAAATGGTTTATCTCTACTATGGTATAGAGCCACATAAGCACTTAGTTGGGACAAATCAAGATCTGATAATAGATGAACCGGTGACTATCTTTCTTTAAACCTCTTAGGTGCAAAGGCCAGTGCTACATCGAGTAATATATTGTATTGTTCGACCTAACTTGTAATAAAACACGATTTTTTGCATAATGATATCACCCCTTGATCTGTTTATCAAAACCATTATTATATAGCACTCAGCACGTAAGATTGATATATGAATATATGATTGCCCATGACCAAGATATTTACATAAGTCGATTCGGTCTTTTAAACATTGCATAAAATTCATGCAAGATTTGATGTAGCTTATTACTTTTTACCATGCCATTTATTTATTTGAACAATCGGATCGATATGATATATTCTAAATAATTACACGAGAAAAATGGTGTTCCACAACTCCATATTGGATGTCCAAGATAGCAGCGTTGATTTTCATTGTCAAAGGACCAGCCTCGGAATTTGATTTAGAGCGTCGAAGTAGAATCTGAATATCTTTTCCTTTGTAACCGATACTCTTGATCGGACTGACAATACATGCTGTTCCAGTACCAAACATTTCCAAGATACGATTGTCATCTACAGCATGTATGATGTCTGCCATTGTAATTTTTCCTTCACGTACATGAATACCTGTCTCAGCTTCCCAAGATCTTACCAACTGTATAATACTATCACGCGTAATACCAGGGAGGATTAGTCCATTCAAAGGTGGTGTCACCAATTCACGACGGCCTGTATTAGGATTTTCCCATAGCATAAAAAAATTCATAGTACCGGCTTCGGTGACTTCGTCATCATTACCAAAAAGCCATAGGTTCTGTTGATATCCTTTCTTTGATGCAATTAGTTGAGGTCTAGCACAAGGTGCATAATTACCACCTATTTTGCAGTCTCCAGTACCGTTAGGCCAGGACCGAACATATTCAGTGGAGGCGAGTAAACTTACAGCTTTGACACCAGTGGAAAAATAAGGCCCTACTGGCGAAGCAATGACAAACAAGAGAACTTTATTTGGCGCACGGACACCAAGAGATGATTGAGTTCCAATTACGGTTGGGCGCAAGTAAAGGGAGTACCCACGTTTAGAAGAAATCCATCGATTTTCGATTCGCAAAAACTCTGTGATAACTTTTATCAACTCTTCGGGATCAAATGTCTAAAGTGTGCCAAGTTATCTTAAGCATTTCAGATAGATATAATATGCAGTGAATCAAAATAACTTACTGGCATACACAATCGTGAAGAGGATTTATTTAGACGTGCCATGTTCATTTCAGGGCGAAAGAGTCTGACATGGCCTTGAGCATCTTTGTATGCCTTCATACCCTCAAAACACTAAATTAAGTAATTAATATTCACATACAAAACAGCACTTCTTGTTTCTAAAAATGATACCTCAAAACCATAATGAAAAACAACGGCGCTAGGTTCCAATTCCAGCTTGCCGTAAGGCTTGATATTGGGCTTATCCCATCCACTCTCTGCATCCCATTCAATTGTAATCATGTGGTCGGTAAAGTTTTTACCGAAGACGAGTTTATCTTCAGGAATTAAAGGTTTTAATTCAGCACAAGTTTGGATTTGCAGTTTTTGGGAATTGAAAGTCTCGAATTTGTCACCAGCCATTTTTTTAAAAAGTACAAATAAATAGGATCTACAGAAAAAAAAAAAAAAAAAGGTGATTATTTATAGGCTGCCAAAAGTCGGGGTGTGTTGTCTGAGAACCTCACTCAAACTTCTGTAATACGCTACTGGTCTAGGTTTTTAGAAAAAAAAAAAAGTCAACTTTTTTTGTACGTTATAGTTGGCCATTGTCATTGATCGGTAGATAGTCCACACGGTTTATGCATTTTTATAATGGAGACGTAGTTTTAGTAGACAGAAAGATTTGTGTGGATGTTATACTACTTTTTTTTTATTGAATGGCGGGAAGTTGAAGATATATGGAAAAACAATTAAAAATTTCCATAACTATATCCTTGCCCACATCATAGGACATGCAATATTCTACAGATTATTTATTGATACAACAGAGGGAACTCAAAGTAAATCTTGAGGTGACAGAAGATACCTGCCAATTTTGACATTTTATACAGCAAGCCACTAAAGAATCACAGTCCCGAGGACAAGTATGGACTACTTTTTTGATGAAATAGTTTTTTTTTGCAACCCAACCAACAAAGCAAAGTTTCCCTATTAATATATATATAAAATGGCCATTGTAGAAAAGAAACGTAAACACAAGGATGGCTCCGAAAAGAGTTCTAAAAAGAAACAAAAGTCCATCACAAAGATTGTCGCTCCCGGTTCACCTGCCAGTTCCGTCACTGTAGCAACACCAACTGCCGCAACCTCTTTCTCTGAAGTGGTTGTTAAATTATACCTTCACTTGGCTCCCATGTGGTCAGGGAAGACAATGGAAGGTGTCAATGAACAGTTAAATGCCTTTTTAATGAAGTATGAATTTCACCTTTTTTCCTAGCTGATTATGGGTATTTTTTTTAACACGAAGCTTGCCAATAGATACGTTCCCGAAGTCGACGGTATTGTTCTCGCACACTCTGACGTTAAATTCGATACAGATAAAGGAAAAATTCTTTATGATTCACCCTTTTGTCATTTTTTCGTTACTGTCAAACTCCTTGTCTGGAAACCCAAGAGAGGAACAAAACTTGGTAAGTATTAATTTTTAAGCAGGAGGTTTTACTAGGGTTTCTGACGCATAGTGTTTTTTCAACAGTCGGACGCATTAATTTACAGTCAGAGGATCATATTGGTCTTTTAATTTATGGAACTTTCAACGCATCCATTCCCAAATCTCGCATACCTTCTTCTACCTATGAATGGAAAATTAACGAGGAAGAGGCTGTTGTAGAAGATGCTGTTGAAGCGGAAGATGATGCGGTCGTGGAGGAAAGTGCTGAAGGCGAGGAGTCTGTTTCAGAAGAAAGAACTAGAACACAATATGGTGAATGGGTTGATAAGGAAACTGGTTCTAGCATTGGTGGTGATGATGGGACACTTGAATTTAACGTTATGGAGTAAGTGTATTTAGCGCGTGTACAAGTATATACCGGAGACACTAACACGTTTTTTTTTTCTTTTTAAAAAGTATCATTGAAGCAAATGATATCTTGACCGTTACTGGAGCTCTTTAGATTGTATATTTTTCCTAAAATTTCTTGTCCCACCCATCTCTTATTTTTTAAACCTAAAAAAAATTAAATATTTGCATATAACATGAACATATATCACTATTTATTGTAACGGAACAACACTCTCCATCTCTTTGATCAACTTATGGTAATCAAATTTCTCCGGTAAAATATTGAATAAATGGACGAGTTTGATTTTATGTGGATCATCAGTGGAATAAAACTGCTGTAGTGCAAAAGCCAAATAATGTGCATCAGAGTTAGTCAGCATCTTTTTAGGTTTGTCATTGATGTTTCCTCTCATTAGAACTATCCCTTTACTTTCCGACAATTCTGGGTAGTGAGTGATTGTCAAAAATGGTCGTGCATTTTCTCCTTTAGTCTTATACTCTAAAAGCGAGGTAAGGTTGCATTGATGCGATTGAAATTGGAGGAAAAAGAATTCTAGCCCGGTTTCTTGAGGCAAGGGAAGTATAAACTTTTTTTCTTTTGAGCTTTTAAACTTTTCAAACTTTTTTAATGGACAAAGATATCTTACCAATGGATATCTTTGGGATGTTTGATACATTTTCGAGTACGTTGCCACGGGAATAACAGCATAAATGCCATCTTTGTCACAGTGGTATTGGGTCCAAATCTTTACAATCTTGTCGTTATCCTCTTTGAGCAATAGATCCAGCTTGACAATGCTATCCAACGTCTAAAACAGATAATTAGCTGCTTGTGGCGTATTATTTTACAAAAAGAGTTTACAGGCGCAGCGGGTACAGTTCTTTTGACAGGATCCGCTTCTTTCTTCACTTCAAGCTGGAGGGCAGATGTGGATTTCGGTATAGCCTTTTTGATTTTTGAAATGCTCGTTTTAAGCTCTTGCATAGTCACCCCTCGTCTATACGCAGGTTTTAGTCAAAAAACAAGTCTGCTACTAAAATATGAAGGTTACTTTTGCGCTGCTTTACGCAGTTTCGACGCATATTTAGTGTCATAATCAACTTTGACACGGTTTGCTTCGTTTGCAATACATTTGATACGATCTATATCAGTTCAAAATCAGTCTTATGTTTCCTGTTTAAAATCTAGCACTTCAATGAACCCACTGCTAATTACCCCAATTATTGTAATGGCCACCAAACAAAAGGATTGACGGCGAATTTACTATTTCAGCATGTCGAATTTGTCGAACATAGTTAGAAGTTATCCTTACGTTATGTAGGGTAGTCAGGGTATCAAATGTCTTTCTACACGATACCATGGTGACTTGTACACAAAAGAGATGGAACGTTGGTTTTTATGTCGAGCCAACCAGAATATCAGCTTACCTTTTTTGGACGAATGTAAAAAAGTTATAGAAGGGCTTGACCCTCCATCAAGATGTTTAGCCAAAGAAGTTTATGAAGCCAAAGCAAACTACGACAGAAGTAGTTTCGCAAGAAGATATAAAAAGAAGAGTATATTGCTACGTATAAACGCAGGCTTATGCTGTTGTCATAAATTATATAAAACGATTGATTTATAGCGCAGGAAAACTAACATCGAAAAAATAAGGCTATATACAACAATCACTACCAACCATCCGAAGAGTCTAAAGAATTGGGGTATCGACTACATCAAAGTTGTAGTCGTAGTCAGCAGCCATAACCATATACTTCTTAGCTTTAGTTGTGAATTCAAAAAAGCTTATCTCAGAAAAAAAAAAAAAAAAAAAAAAATGGGTGTTTTGCATATTTTCCTCAATGTTACGTTTATTTTGTCACAATATATTTTACCTTTTTTTCCTATTTTTGAAGCCCTTTGGACCTCATCGTTTAGCCTCTCCTCGACTTCTTCCTTCTCACATTCTTTTCTCTTTCTAGGCCGTCTTATAGCCCTCTTTTCTTCGTCATGGCCATCATCTTCGACTTCATTGCTGGTCAAGTTATCCTCCCGGAACTTTCTCATCAGTCTACGACGAGCTTCTTCTCTTCGTTCGTTTTCCAGCTTTTACAACCTTAATTTTTCCTCTGCCCCCTGAAGAATCTTGGCGCACTCGTTTTTACGCTTCTTTCGCGCGATATTCGACTTTTATCTCCTTTTCCTCTTCAAATTGGATTTGTTCGGTCATCTTTCAGTCCAATTGCACACGCGAGGTTCCACCATAACGTTCACGCTGTTCTGTAATCTTACGATTGTACATAGTGTGTTTGTTGACGTTTAATAACATTAAGAAAGTACGTTGAATACACTCAATGACACTCAAGGCGTGACACATATTACTGGAAGTGCGCTGATATTTAGGTATGTCGGATGTATGTTGCTCATAAATTTGTTGAACAAGTGCAAGGTTTTAATAAGTTGCCTTATCAGATGACGAAATATGGAGTGTCTTTTCGGTATTCTTTAAAACTTCATACATAATTTCCAGATCTTTTTCGGATTTGGAGAGGATATATTGTGTTCTTGCTAAACAAAGTAAGGTGTTCGAATCCTTATTATTATATAATTTCTTTAATGCAATTTTGTTTAACACATAGACGTTAAAAGAGAGGTTAGCTTTGTCCTGATATGTAATTTTTTTTTTCATTTTCTTAAATCATAACAATATCTTGTTTGTACTGTTTAAATTTAACACGGACATCGGCTAAATCGACACAAACACTTGCATTGTTTGCAGCAGCTTCTCCAGTTTCAATAAAAACGATTATAGCTAAACCATTCGCGGCTTAAACAATCAAAAGATCACGTCGTAATGCCTGGGTGTGGAAGCTGGCAGCTAGTTTATATAATTCATTACATTGATCCTAATGCTTTTCAATTTTACATTCCCTCGCATTAGCATCATAATAATTTCCAAGCTCGACATGAGTGTAGAAATCGTCTTTGTTACACGATTTAAAGACTTTCTCATAGGATCGCTTGGACAGCTTTTTGAGATAGTCTCCTGTACTTGACCGATCATTATCTATGTCGTGGAATTCTGAGCGTCTGCATCCAAAATCTCCTTATACCATTCAATCGCCTCCTCTGGTTTACCTAATGATATTTCTATGGCAACCATGCATAAATGGGCTATAAATATATACCGTGACTGACAATTGAAACCCGCCCAAAAATTTCTGTTTTTGGAAATGCCAAAAGTACATCCCAATAAAATGTTCTCCAGTGGACAGCTTACTGTGGCAACGTGCCTTCAAAATTTGATATAACATACTTTAAATTGTATAGTACAATGTATAAAAGTTTAATAAAAAAAACTTAATATCTGGTGTTGCCTCCTTTGGCTTCGATGACAGCCTTGCATCGGGCGGGCATTGAAGAAACTAAAGCCTCCAGGTACCCAGTGTCAATGTTCGACCATTCGTCTCGAACGATGTCCTCAAACTTTTGAATATTTGTAACACCTATTGAGCGCTTATTCAAACGAAGTTTGAGGTATCCCCATATATGCTGAATAGGGTTTAAATCTGGGCTATTTGGTGGCCATGTGTCAAATCCAGTTTGAGAAATTCGAGAGATAAAACAACGAATTAAGAATAAAAATAAGAAATTTGACGAAGTAAAATTATCAAACTGCAAAAATAAACTAAAATCTTTATTATACAATAAATTGGGTTCTTTATATACATATTCAGGGCTTGCTGAATATCAATTATTAAAGTGAAACCTGTCAAATATACAATAGGCGTATTGTCAATTAAAGATCGAGCATCTCATGGTACTAGTGTTCGAACTTTTCGAGCTTGCACCGGTCTTGCGCCAGTTCGAACGAAGCTCGAACCGAGTTTTTGTACTCGAGCTTGCGCCACTTTTTTTGGGTTCGAGCGAGCTTCGATCGATGCTCGCTCGAAGCTCTCTCGGCTAAAATGTCGATAGTAGTCACTTTAAAGTTAAGGTCCTTGAAAGACTACAAATGGCATTTCCCCTTGATTTTAATCTTTTCTTCCCTTTATCATTTTTTATTTATTTATGCTCTAATAATTCCAATTAAAATGCTTTGGCCTTTATTTAATTGTACAACCAACAAACACATTTACCATAGAAAATGAAACAGTGTTGCACACTATACCCAACTAAGCCAATTTTTTTACAGCAACCATAGTAACATGACGTAGCAGAATTAATAAAAACTTTTATGTTCACAAATCCAAATGTATTATAATTATAGATGCAGTAATAGTTTGATTAATTACCCGAACTTGGTGTTAAGGCTGGTGAAAAAAAAAGTTTTCTTTTTCTTTTTCCAACTTCTATTTCAATAAATAACAATTTTATTATCATAATTTTCTGTAATTAACATCACTTTGACGTGCACTTTGTGTAATAAAAAGGGCGAGCGAGTTCGAGCTATCGTATTCGCAACCGAGCCGAGCTTAAGAAACTTCGAGCGAGCTCGAGCTGCAAAAAAACGCATCCGAGCGAGCTTCGACTGGAACACGATCGAAGCTCGCTCGAGAGTTTCGATCTTCATTCCGAACACTAGTCTTGTTGATTATTTCAACAAACTTGTTGGATGTAACTTTGTTGCTTTTGCAAAAAACTTTGTTGATTTTACATACAAGTCTTGTTGAACCTTTCAACAACTTTGTTGATCTTACAAACGATTCTTGTTGAACCTTTCAACAACTTTGTTGGTGTTTCAAACCAATGTTGTTTCGCTTTTTCATATTTTCATTCGTAAAACGGTATAAAACAACCAATGGTTTTTGATTTCATTATCATTCATTTATCATTTTACATAAAACACATGATAAATTATTAAACAGAATTTATTATCGTATATACAATGGCTTTTGAGAAGCAGAAATATCTTTAATGGTAATAAGGAAAAGAGTCTTTCTTAACATTTGTTCTTATAGACGGCATAACCATAAATAGGGCCCTAGTACACATTTAATAAAGTTTAAAGTCTTTCGCATCCGACATCGAACGAAACATACAACCAAGAAAGAGTGCTTCATATGAATGTATTGATCCCCTAAAAAACAAAAATTAGAAACACAAAGATACGATTTAGAGTAATCTCAACCTTACTTTGACCGTACATCATAAAGCAGGCGTACCGTTAGTCTAAAAAAATGATGAACAGATATGTGAGCGATTATTAAAAAGATATATAAGTTCAGAAGATATACCATAACATCTTTAAATAAAGAGTATCCTAATTTAAAAAAATAATTGAGGTGGTCCACATTAGTCTTTTGGTTTAAGGAAGTATATAAAGAAAACTTACAGCTTTGTCTAAAGTACCACTCCCTTTTTTTAAACGAAAAAGAAATAAATAAAGGATTGTAGTAGCAGCCCCCATTAGTAGCATTTAAGTTTTCAGTCTACACGAAAAGCAAAAGCAACTCCTAGACTACCTGAATGAGAAGTGTTGTTAGCAATGTAGATAGCAAAAACGTAAAACAGCACGCTTTAAGATGGAAGTTAAGTACCTTACATAGAAGCAAACAGCGTTAAAAAACGCGCTGGGGTTATCAATAGAAGATCCTCTTGAAGCTAAAAACAAAGTCAGCATCGTTAATAGACACACATGTTAAATTGGGAAATAAGGTTACCATAGATTCATAGTATTTTTTTAAGTGAGTTTAAGAAGAAAGAAAGGAAGAAAATGTAAAAAAAAAAAAGAAAAAAAAAAATTGGGCTTACGCCAGTTTTATTTGGTTATGTGACTTAAAATTCCAAATCTATCTGCAGCGTTTTGTATGGGTGAGTCCCTGTTCTTCATCGCTGTATCCCTCTCTGGTATCAACGTTTTGGCGTCTTTTTCCATTATTAGAAAAACCATATGTTTTAGCAGCAGAGGAAGAAGTTTTACGACCAGTAGTAGAAGGAGTAGGATCCGCATAAGAATCATAATCATTGCCATGAGAATCATAACCATCGTCATATCGATTTCCGCCAAACTCTCCCCAAGTAGAACCCTCGAAGCCTTCCAAGTACTCTTCGAATCTATCCTTGGGTCTATTGTTATATGTTGGTCTTTCCTTTCTCAATTCTTTTTCTAAATTTGGAGTAGTTCTTTTATATAAAGAAAAGGTGTTATTTTTTAAAAATGAGATAGAAGTAATCATTAATATTACCTGGTGCGTTGATCGTGGTCAATCACAGTAGGATTGCCGAAAACAATAGCCTTGTTTCGAGCTCTATTACATCGAAACTTGTGAGTTTCGGACAATAACAAATTTGCAGCCCATGAACTTTCACAGCGATGCAAAGGAAAACCGAGCTGAATTGCATTATTTTCTAAAATATAGGCGTATTTTGAAACCACCTCAGAAGAAATGTTTGACCAAAGAGGTAAAATAGCCTTTGAATTGTTTTTCTTCAGCTTCTTCAGGATTTCTTCTGTCAAGTCATCGTGAGTTTTTCTGGCGATAGTTTTGAGTATATTATAGTCTCTGGTGTTTTCCGGGTCATTGATATCCAGATTACAAATGTTATTTTCCTTCTTTAAATAATTGATAAGGGCAAGCAGGCGGGGACGAGCAGGAGGATAAACGTGTTTTTTAGTAGAATTGCTGGCTTGTGATGCTTCTTCTAGTAGCTTTGGAATGTCACGCTTACCCAAAAGATTAGGGTTTAAAGAGTTGGCAACACCAGTTTGGTATGCTGACAGATAAAAAAAAATGCAATACTAATTGGTTAGCTATCGAGTAAACGACAATACTTCTTTTATGTAATACCTTTCTTGCTGGCTTGTTTTGCCTCGTTAGTTATTGTGCCATCCATGGGTTGAGCAAAAGATGGAGCTAAAAGTTGCATAAGATCCTTCAGCATTTCGTATTGACGATCCATTTTGTTATTCAAATTAGAAACTTCTTCTTCCAATTTGGAAATTCTAAAGACAGTAGCAGAATTGTTCATTGTTCTAAACAAAGAGAATGTAACGATGATTGTTCGAAAAAAAAATTGCTCTTTATATATACGTCTACTGTAAAGCACCTGGACCATCCATCATGGAAATCATCATATGCGGTCGGCGTGTAGACTAAAAAAAGGTTGTATGCACTTTTTTATCGTTATCCGATTGGTTACAATCACGTCAGTATGTAAATATTGCAAAGAAATGCTGTCTGCCGATTGGTTAGGGTTAGAAAATAAACATATACAAGCGACGTCAAATAAAAAAAAAATCTTTATTTCCAAACATGGTAGTATATGTATATATCATCACCATTAGAACAGCCAAGCATTACCTACTATCGTTGTCCTTAAAATATTGAATCATCCCACCAATCAACAGGAGCAATTTGCATTGGGTTTATTTCTTTCGGAATCACTTCTAATTGGATAGAGGATATACATGAGAGAACATGTATATAAGGGACCAAAAAAAAAAAACCTAAAACTGACATACACACACTTTTACATTTTTACTGTTTACCTTCAATCATGCCCACTCCACGTATTTACAATAGACATACTTGTTCCTGTAAAATGCCTTTTTCTAGTTTGCGTTTACTTAATAGTCATTACCAGAGATACCCCGACCATAGAGTGGTTGACACTGATGTTGTCATGCAAGAAGCCGAACTTCCTTCATCCTCTGTTAACACCCGTAAGTTACATCCATATCAATTCACTTTTCATTAACAACAATTCTAACATAATACTCAACGTAATTGTTAACTTCCTAGCTTTATCAACTGATTCAGTACCTTATTATTCTTCTTTCACTTTTGAAGCAGGTCATGGTGAAAAACATGTTTATGACTTTGGTCCAGATCCCGGTTTTGATGAAACTGAACTTAACAGCATTCAGTTTATGGATATTATTGAAACGTACGGTATTTCAAGGGAAGCATCAAGAGAACTGATTTACCTTTTTCGAACAATTCTTCAAAATAATTTGATCGGTGCTGAATTTAAGAATGGTAAGTTATTTATCACAGACTATATTGGTGATAGAAAAGTATCAACTCAATCTTACCATTTTTTTTTTACATAATTAGGTAAAGTGCAATCCACTATTCTATTCCAAGATACCTTAGAAAGAAGACTTGATGCAAAAGTAGATGTTCGTAGCTACATTTATGATATTTGTCCCCAAGGCTGTCGACTCTACCAAAAAAACGACGAAGAAACTTTGGATTGTAGTAGCTGTGGTGAGCAGAGATACGCCAATGCGATGACCAGAAGACCTGCTCGACAAATGAAGATGATGTCTGTTGGTGACCGGATCGCAAGTTTCTTGGCAAATGACAGATTCCGTGAATTGATGAAGTACAGACACAATTACCAGTATGAAGACGATGTGTATAAAGATTATTTCGATGGAGAAGAATACCGGTCGCTTAAGGCAAATACAAATTTTTTTCTTCGGAAGACGATGTTGCATTAGCACTTTTTTTTGACGGGTTCCAGCCTGGTAAAGCAACGACAGGCGACAAACTTTCGATAATTCATCTAGTCAATTTAAACTTTCCACCCGAGTATCGGTAAGTAACAACTACTTTGTTTTGTTCAAGTAATTAATAACGACTTCCTAACCCAACCTGTTTTATTACAGATTTCAAAATGAATATATGATCCAGCTCGCAATCTTACCTGGTCCAAATTCACCAAAAAATCTCGATTCCTTTTTAAGACCAATTGTCGACGAGTTTAAAGACTTGAGTAACCACGGCCTTGTAATAAGACGACATGGTAATATTATCTGCAAGTCTAAAGTAAACCTTGTTATTGCCACTGGTGATATTCCTGCTGCTGCATCTCTGGCACATCATTCTGGCCACATGAGCACAAATGGTTGTAGACTGTGTCGAATCGTCACCAAACGGATCAACAGCCGAACTTGTTATTTAGATACCACTGCCTCTTTGCGTGAAAAATCTGACTTTACCAGCGGAAGTTCTGACTTCGTAAGTAGGGCAATATAAAAGAGAGAGACCGATTAGAAGGCCAGAGAAATGGGGTAGAAAAAATCCAGATACTAAATATATTACCTTGTCTTATAGGAAAAAGGAATCAATATTGAGCCCTTGTTTACCTCTCTACCGACATTTACCCATCCAACATTTTTTGCACTTGAGGAACTACATCTTATAGGTCAAGGAATTGCTAAACACGTATTTGAATTGCTGACTGTTTCAATGAAAAAGACATATAATAAAGCCATTGCTCTTAGGTATGCGCCTACTGAAGAAGAGCTTGAAGAAGAAAACATCACCTCCGCTATCGATTGGCCATTCACATTCGAGATTCCAAAGGATAAACTGATTGAAATTGGCAACTTCATCGAACTATCAAGACCAACAGTGCCTACAACATTTTCCTCTAAATGGGAAAATCCAATTGAACAAAGTGGTGGCAACCGAGGAGTAGACTGGATCGACTTTCTTCTTTACATGGTCCCAACAACATTCGTACCCGCTTTGCTGCATAACAATGTGAAAAAACCCTTATTGTTTTTGTGTAAGGCTTGTGCAATCGCTTTGAAATGGAGAATAACAAGAGAAGATCTGACAATGATGAAGAGGTAAGTTAATATAAAACAAGAATAAAGTTCTATTTTTTGCCATACCAGTTTGTATTTTAACCCATGCTTTCATTTTTAGTGCGTTTAATCAGTGGAACACATTTTTGTTGAGTGAGATACGTCAAAAACGAATCCAGCCCGGTGTATTAAAACCTGTTCAACACTATCTGACCCATGTTCCAATGATGATTGAGAAGCAAGGCGTTTTGAAAGCCTATTCGGGTAGGTCAATGGAGAGAACGATTGGCCGCTACAAAAAGTTGATAAAGTCAAAGGTAAATGCCGGTGCCAATGCTGGAAATGTTCTTGAACGATTTGCTGTTTACGGTCATGTAAACAGTTTGAATATCAATTTGAGGGAGACTTTGAACCTCTTGGAACCCAAAAAGCGAACAACGAACGACTTCGTTTCCCTTGATCCCAGTGATGACACCTGCGCCCGAGCTCTGGTCTCCGCTGTTCCAGTGCCCTGTGTCTACCCTTCCTTGTGGTGTATCTGACAGACAATTTACATCTGCTCTCCAAAGGTATTACCGCAGAGAATATTCCGGTACCCCACGAATTTGTCAACACAAGTAGTGGTGTAGTCAATGGCGCCGGTCGGGCCTGGTTTGATGATATTGTCTTTACGTCCTCTTTTTTCAGAGATCATATCAACGAACGAAGGAGAGGTAATAATTATGTTATGTTTGCTGTATCCCATCTAAAGTAGGTTTGGTTGGTTAGGGTTATTGGGTCATTATTTAATCGTACTGAAGGTTTTTTTTTTTTTACCTACATAGCCATCACAACAATTTAACGAGTCAACTGTATGTCGGTTCCATCACTTTCTTTTTTGAGACCACGTTTGATGGTGTAAATGACTTTCTCGTTTTAATTGATGTGGCTGAATCACATGGAGTGGTAGATTACGACAGGCTCATGCCTAAGGTGGTCTTACGTCGTCCTGGTCAACATAAGTACGTTGTTTGTCGTTTCAACGATATCGTTTGTAACGTAGGCCTTGTCCGATACACCATGGCTGAAAATCATTACAAAGTCATATCGCATCACGTTTTCAAAGAATTGCTATACTCGAAGATGGTGAATGCGAGTAATCTTTAAGAAATATATTTTTTTTTGTATGAATCTTTATAAAATATAGAAATAAAAATAAAAATAAACATGGACAAAATGACGTGAATGAATCTTAAACGCCGAGTAAACGTCTGGTTGAGAATAGAAAAATTGTGACACCAAAATTGATAAACAAATCTGCAATCAACACTTGTTGACTAAGTTGTTGGCCAGCAACAATTATTTTTTATAAAAAAAAATGGTCAACACCTTCGTTGACAAAATCAACAACAGTTGTTGATTCTGTCAACAAAGTTGTTTACAGGAAACAACGAATCCGCCATAGTGTCAGTTATACTAGTGATCTTATAACGTAAACCTCTGTAATAAGAAACGTACCTATTTAAACCAGTCACTACAAAATCTCTTTAAAATCTATCTTTAATATAAACAAACAGAAAACATCCTTCACGGAAACGTTCATTTTGTTTTAGTGATCCTATAGTGTAAACGTCTGTAAAAGAAACATACCTATTTAAACCAGTCACTGTAAAGACCCCTCAATTACATTATTAAACATAATATTAGAAAACATCTGTAAAAAGAGACATTCCATATTATCTAATATCCTGCATTGTAAACGTCTATCTAAAAGAAACATATGTGCTTCAAACAGTCTTATAATAATATTTTTACTTTCCCTCTTCTTTGAAAAATATCAATTACCCTTTTATTTTCATTGAAGAACTTCTTACTCCTATAAACTATAATACTTAAAATCAAGGTCTAATCATCCTTTACAAAACCTGATTTGGTGCTCACTATCAAACTTTAAAACTCATATCTAAATACCACTACTCAGAACAACCAAATTATAATAAAGTTTGACAATTGTTTTTTGATGAACCCTTCTTAAGTCTAGGAACGGCTGTCAAGAATATTAAGTGAATAATTATGGCTTAACGTGTATGAAGTTCTACCACTTTTTTCTGATGTCTTTTACAAACATGTTCTTCACTTTTGGCTGTTCCGACAGGTAATCGGGGGGGGGGGGTGGGGAGGTTGCGTAAATTAATCATAAAAATAAAGATAAGATTCTTTTACAATTGTGGAAATCGGTGTAGATTTATAAAATAAAAACAAGAAGATCATCGAACTTGCAAAAATTAACTAAGGCTTTATTAAACAAATAAATGGGGGTCTTTATATACACATTATTTCAGACATTGATCACAGATGGGCTGATGACGGTTGTGCGTAGATTTATCCAAATAATACTCGGATGTAATGATCCCATATAGAAAGACCATAATGAGATGTCAATAACAATAACAATAGCATTCATTCTTAAACTGTGTATGTCTTGTAGCACAACATTCAGGGGAAAATGTAGTTCTTGTTAAAGATAGCTGTGGCACCTCAACGTGGCTGATGTAACCTTCATATGTTTTCATATTAATGTTATTATTTAAATGTATGCCTTATACTTGTATGAAGGATGATATGAGATCAAGCCTGTACATAAAGTAAATGATCAGTATTTAATATAAAGTACGAATAAGAATTATATTTAGGATCATCAAATGGAAGATTTAAGAAGTGTAGATAGAGTCATATATTAAGTATATAGCCTCGATCACGACATAATCGCTAAGGACCCATCCAGAAACTGGACAGTACCAAACCCATAGCTACAAGGCAAATGTGAGTGGACTCCTTCATCATTGCCATTGCATTTGATGACATGCTACACGAGTCTCACGCAAGCTATTATTAGGCCCCAACACAATGAGAAACGCAAGAATAGCTAGTCAACGTATTGAAAAGCAAATAATTGCTAAGGACCCATCCAGAAACTGGACAGTACCAAACCCATAGCAGCAAGGCAAATGTGAGTGAACTCCTTCATCATTGCATTGGGTAACTCACTCTGGTTCGTGTTCTTACCAGGCACATGTATATAAGAAACAATGAAAGTTAATCATACCGCAGCTAAAAGATAGTAGTTATAGACATACCATGATCATTTTTGGCAATCTCTAAAAGCAATAAGAGACGCGAGAATCACTAGTCAACGTATTGAAAAGCAAATAATCGCTGAGGACCCATCCAGAAACTGGACAGTACCAAACCCATAGCTACAAGGCAAATGTGAGTGGACTCCTTCATCATTGCCATTGCATTTGATGACATGCTACACGAGTCTCACGCAAGCTATCATTAGGCCCCAACACAATGAGAAACGCAAGAATAGCTAGTCAACGTATTGAAAAGCAAATAATTGCTGAGGACCCATCCAGAAACTGGACAGTACCAAACCCATAGCAGCAAGGCAAATGTGAGTGAACTCCTTCATCATTGCATTGGGTAACTCACTCTGGTTCGTGTTCTTACCAGGCACATGTATATAAGAAACAATGAAAGTTAATCATACCGCAGCTAAAAGATAGTAGTTATAGACATACCATGATCATTTTTGGCAATCTCTAAAAGCAATAAGAGACGCGAGAATCACTAGTCAACGTATTGAAAAGCAAATAATCGCTGAGGACCCATCCAGAAGCTGGACAGTACCAAACCCATAGCAACAAGGCAAATGTGAGTGGACTCCTTCATTATTGCACTGGAATGATAGAAAGTGTCTGTTACTCGCCTGGAAAAAAATAATTTACCAGGTAAAGGAAAATTAACTTCACTATTGCGTGACCGTTATTACAATAATTACTCGTGATGACGTAAGTAAATCGTGTCGCGTCGATGCAGAATTGATTTACTTATTTCGCCACAAGTAATTGTTGTCAATCAATTTACTTTCTTTACCTCCACAATGTCAGATTTAACCCAAGGTAAGCATACTGCGTGTTGGGGGAAACGACGAGTCTAATTACAGGTGTTTTTTGTAGCATTAGAAAATTACGTCAAGACTTAAAAGGCAGATCAACTATACAAGGCTTCATCAATAACGATAAAAACGACATAGAGGTGTTGATTGTTTGGTTTGAGACATTTGTTAAATATGACGATGCTTTGAAGTCTTTTACTTGAAAGTCAAGCAAATGTACAAGGATAACATAAAAAAATCATACAAACGCAAGGCCAAAGTAGATATGAAGAGAATTTTTCAACAATCAAAATCTCAAACGAACGCAATGTTGAATGGAAGCAAAGTTTGGACGAAGCTACGAATGCTGCATCAGAGATATTAATCTTGAGACTGAAACGATCATCAAAAGTATAGTATTAAAAAAATAGCTTATTTGAAAAATGATATCGATAGATCTATTGATAAAATGAAGATATCTGCTATAGATTGTGCGTGGTGCGTCTTCCTTCTCATCCTCATCTACTGCTGCCGCTTCATCGATCGAAGAAAAATTGAATCCATTTTGTTTTTTTGTATTTAACTGTGAGTTTATTTAGCATTAGAAGATTATTAAAATTCAAAAGGAAAACTAAATTATTGTTTTATAGCAACCTTTGTCTTCGTAAACATGTTATGACATTTTAAGTTGGAAGGTGTTCGGACAACGAGCTTTGGAAGAGGCCCTTTGGGTATCTGCTTGGACGTGCAGGCCTTGCCCAAGACAGAACACTTAAGAGCTGGAACTGTGCTAGCACCAATACCTACTACAACCGCCGGACCAGCCTTTGAAAGAGTAGGAGAGGTATGTTCCACAGTGTTATCAACATCCATGGATAAATTAACGATAGTAGTAGCATATTTTGATGCCGCCGAACCAATAGCCACAAAATCATTATCAACAGATACATCCGATAAATCTGTATCTGAATCGGAAACAGTTTCAATTCCAGCAGCCACCGACGTCAAAGGGGCAGAAACAACAGGCAGCTCTTCAGCAACGTTAACAGGGACATTAACAGTTTTCTACTTACAAAATTTGGCAGTGTGGCCGTTGCCATGGCAAGAGAAGCATTTGGTCATGGCCAATTCCGGACATTTGGAACGAACATGGCCCGCAAGACGACACCAATGACAAACAGTAGGCGCATTTTTGAAAGTCGCCGACGCGTAACAATCCCATTTTTCAAGATACAAGTTGTTTGTGAGAGGCTCATTCTTGACTCTGAGCCGGAACCATCAATGTAACCGGCAGAAATATCAAGAATCACCGACAGTTCACCCTCAAAATAACCTGCACAAGTGTACTCTATCACCTGGTACACCCCACCATAATATCGGAGCGAACGTTTAAAATCCGCCAAAAACGTTTGTTTATCGGGAATTCGCAATAAAGTCATCTTGATATGGACCAAGGTATCATTATCAGAAGGAGCTGAAAGAGTGCCTTTGAATAGCATGTCCTTAAAGTTGACTCCTGGAGACACTGCGTTTGTAGTGCTGGTAACTTTTGCAAACTTTACTTCAACGATGATTTCACCAGAGGAGCGAGTACCATAGTTGCTAATTGGACGGAACCCCTGAACGGCGCCACATTGATCTTAAATCATACGCTTCACTTCGGTTTTAAAACAGACGACTGGAAAAGAAAAACAAAACAGAACCAGGAGTCAAAGCTTGCTTCACAGTAGAAGCAGCCTTCCTCATAATGATTTCGAAATCAAGATCAGAATGTTCAAAAATTGCCTAACTTTGTAATTCGAACCTAGAGTCACTCTCGTTCGAGACGGGTAACGGACGAATAACCTTTTTGGAAACGCCACGGGCTGCCACGTTTGACCAAGAAGTTAAATTGGTGTTCACCATTATTTAAAGATCGTTGAAGAAAATTAGATTAGCAATTGAAATTGTTGAGAATGTAATAGCGGTTACCAGTTTTCGTTAATGTCAAGATTGATGGCGAGATCGAAGAGATGAACCAAGGCACATTAATTGAAAAGTATAGAACCGGAGTTGACGAGCCGAATACAACAATAATATTTGATGCATGGATCGAATTCAGCGAGATATGGTAGAAACAAGAAAATTGAATGCAAATGCCTTTTGTAAAAATTCTTTAAGCGAAAGAAAGCTAGAAAAATTGAATCTATATATCAAATAAAGAAAGCACGGATTCAATTTGCAAACACAAGTTCACAAAGTGCTCGCAAGTCAGAACATCATATTACTCAAGGAAGGACAAATGTGTCCAGAACTCGCCAAGCATGTCAATACCGAAGACCTCCTGATGAAATTTCAAAAGTTTACCCAGACCTTCCGGCCAAGGTTATAAACTCGCTGATTTCATCAGTGTAGCGCGCGTGCGGCCCAGAACATCTAAGGGCATCACAGACCTGTTATTGCCTAAAACTTCCTTCCGCTTGAAGCCGATAGTCTCTCTAAGAAGCTAGATTTAATAAATATGATATTACAGCGAAAGCAATGAATAAAGATGTCACAGTTGACAACATGATGTACTTATCACTATGCACCTTGTTTCGACATGTCAACAGCAAAACCGACCGAACACAATTGAAGATAGAGATCAACCGATTATTTGAAGTTGCCTCAAAAGATGATCGAAATATCATCGAGATATTTTCTAATTTAGTTACCAAACTGCCCAACTTTGAACGACTTAGGCCTGTAGGAGAAATGGAGTTGACGGTAAATTTTTTGGACCCAATTCTTTCACCCATATTTCATTGCCCTGACAAGAATAAGCATCTCATGTGGTTAAATCGTAAAGATGAAAATACACTGATATTCCGACCAGATGCGACCACTGTTGCCATCCCGCAAAAAGCAGATATTGTTACTTTAGGATACGTAGAAGTGAAGCCCCCAGATTTCGATTCCAATCCCGAGTTGGCATTCAAGGACTTGGTTCGTTTAGGCACATTTTCTCGCCGTTTGATGTTAAGGAAAAACAATTCTACGGTAATATTCGTGCAATGCATTGGTTAGGACGTGGTGTTCTACTTGGTCCAAGCATTCACAGAAGAAATCGCATAATTGGCTGAGATTTTGTCCAACAATGTACCTAAAACAATTGGCCAAATTGGGTGCCTTCTAGAAAAGGTAGACGACTTCAAGCGATTATTCCTTTTATACTAGCATCAAATAGAGACTCGGTACAAGATCTCAAGAGCACTTGAGGAAGAAAACGCTGCTCGACCAATTGATGCAATCAATCCCAAACGTCGCAAACAAAAAATCCCCTCGTTCTCTTTGGTGTAAGGTTTCTCGCTCTCCCTCATATTTTTCTCCTGTAGCCCAATATGATGTATAACTTATGAAATAAAGCATAACCAAGGGTGTTCTCAAGCAAAAAAAATTGTGAACCCCTCTTTTTGTAAAAATTTGGAACCCCCTCCATAAGGCAATTATAATCTTATGTTTTCATAGTCCTCCGCCAAAAAACGTTGAAAATTGTTACTAACCATGTAAAAAATAAACGAACAACAGAAGGTGGTGTAACTACAAAAATGGATTGGCGAACCCCTCTGATCTAATCCTTTCATCATTCGAAAAATACTAAAAAGCCCCACTAGTTGACAGTATGATCATAATAATTTTTACTTTGTAGTTTTCTTTTCTTTATTTTCTTGATATTAAAAATTAGCAAATAATATTAATTTTACCTTTATAAACAATGTTCGGTACCATTAACTTCAACGCTCCTTCCAGTTCAACTGCTTCCAACTCCAGTGCTCCTATTGAGGACGACAGAACAAGAGTTCCAAATTGGAGTGTAGCAGAAGAATGCTTGTTAATTCAAATTTATAATAAGCATTTGAGTTCTCTTGAAAAAACCAAAAGTGATCACGAAAAGGGGGAGAAATACACGGAGATGTCGATTGAACATAATCAACCGGCTCGCAGTCAGAATTTGAGAAGTCGACCATCAGAGCAGCAAAAAAAAAAAAAAAAAAAAAAAAATGGAAGCGTATGGTGAAAGAGTTTAAGGAAGAGTTTGTTAGACGCCAGTCAACAGGTGAATCAGGTTTCGAGCCTGATGTTGTTTATAATCAGCTGGAAGAGATCTTGACAAAATTTCCCACCATCTTGCCACCACACACGTACTCTTCCCATTCGAGACAATTTGTTGTTAATAGTAATGATGTAAATCAAGGATCATCTACAGCTCCTGCTGAATCTTCTTCTGTACCTATTGCAGAACATGAACGTCCTGCTCCTCCTCAGGAATCGCAACCACCTTCTTCTCGCAGAAGAGTGGAAACACCCCCTCCCGATCACGTCTCCAGTACTCCTCCTCCTCCTCCTGTCAATCCTTCCACGACCTCACCACCCAATCCTTCTCCCACCCCTCAACCTACCAATCCTTCTTCTGCGCCACCTCGTCGTCCAAGATCAAACGTAGGCTCTACACCAGCCACCACGACCTCTGATACTAAAGCCATGCTTAATCACATTGTTGATAGAGAACATGAGCTTCCTAATGAGACATTTCGAGAGTTCAGAGAGTATATGGATTCACGATTAGGAAGAAGAGATCCTACGGGAGAAGCAATCATTGCTTCTTTAAACCGAGCTACAGCTGCTTTGGAACAAAACGGTGATAGATTAAACGAGTTGCATAATGGTATGCATCAACAAAGACCCAATCAATAAATATATTCTTTTTTTTAATACATATGTTAAATTACATTTGGTACCTCTTTATTGTCTAGGTTGAAACCATCGGTTCAACTTATCTCTTCTTATATGAACAGACTCTCGAGCTGTTTCGCTATTCCCCAATTCATCTTCATCCATCTCGATTCCTTCGTCAGTTTCAAAATCTGGATCCCCAATGTTGATACAGAAATTGTGTAAGATACAAGCCGCAGTAATGACTTGGCATATATCTTTAATATTCTTCATTTAGACGTGTTTTTTGATGAACCTCCATCTAGCTGAGAGTATTCCAAAGGCCCTTTCGATGGTCATTCTTGCTGAAGAGTGGACCTTGTTGAATTTGCGTTTGGCAACGGCCTCGTCTGAATTGCCTGATACTTCACTCAAAGGATATGAAACAATTACATTACGACAGAGAGCATATGCAGAATCTAAAGAGGGTGTGTAAGTAAGTTATATGTTAACTTTATAGTCAGTATATAAATAACCTGCAAGAATGTAACCGTCCAAAGGGAAAAATGTTGCTGGTTGTCGTAAGAACTGGGTGTACACTTCAGTCCACTTGAAAGCACCTGCAACGTGGGTGCGACCTATAAATACATATCAGTAAAGCAATCAACATGTTATGGATATTTCGCTATTACCAGAGTCACCGACACGGATGTACGTAAAACGGCATTTGCTATCACAGATTGCCGTCAGTTTCATCGCAAAGTTTCCCTTTCTATCACGCCAATGTAACCCCTTCTTCTTGATCATGAGGCCCTTCAAAACCCGTTTGAATTTCCTCAATCCTTTGCTGATCCATGGGCCAGTTGATCAGATCTCCGTATACCCCTTCGATTGCAACCAAAAATCTTCAGAAAAAGTTGATATAACTACCATGCGATACTCCAAAAGCCATGTTACTAGTCTTGTAACGAATATGACAGTTGGCTAAGCGCCATATAGCACATAAAATCTAAATGTATGCGGGGATGCTGTTGTGGGCTAACAGATCAAATGCTGGATGCTGACTGGGGCCGTTGACAAGTCTTTCGAAGCTGCTAAGATTCATGCGATACATTGCTCGAAAACTAGTGCGTGGATTGTCATCGTCAACGAGAAAAGGGTGCGTAATTGTCCAGTAGTGATAGTTGGAAAACGTACCATTGTTGTTTGGACGAACTCGAATTGAACGTGTGCCAGTAAGTAGGAAAGGTAAGGCATGAAAAAAGGAAGGTCCATCAAAAACTGAAGAAAAATAAAAAAGAAGAGCTTCGTGAAGCAAGTTGATCTCCAACTGACGTTGTTCCATATACCACTGAGTTGCGACTACATTCATGTTAATGAGCGTCATTGATTCTTCGTAAACAGTTGTAAACTCATTGAGTGATTCTTCGAAAGTAGACATTTTGGCAAAGATAATAATAAATTTATGGGAAAAGAATAATAAAAAGAAAAAAAGTTACAGAAGGATAGTAATCTGACAAAAATCTGCCCTGATGTCATACGCTATACCTAATTTGGGGTGGTTCCAACCAAGTTTTTACAAAAAGAGGGGGTTACCAATTTTTTTTTTGCTTGAGAACACCCTATAAGAACGAATGTTGAAAAAGACTATTTGTCTTATTATCATTAAGGATATTTCTGCCTTTCAATAGCCATTGTATATACGATAATAAAATCTGTTTAGTAATTTATCATGTATTTTATATAAAATGATGACTGAATGATAATGAAATCAAAAACCATGGGTTGTTTTATCGCTTTTCTTAGGGACAGCCAATTTTTCCTTAGGGACAGCCAAAGTGCACTTAGTCGCAACGAAAGATCTGTGATTTGGATGTTCTGTAGACCTGGGAACAAGGATATACAATCAAAAACAATGTAGCAATTACGAATAAATGTATATTAAACGATTTATACTTATTTTGACAATTCTATCTTCTCTTTTTCGCCTTTGAGCTCGTTTGATCTTAATCTTACGCAGCAATATTAAGGTAAAGTCCAAACGAGAAGCTGAAAGTAAGTTGTAAAACATATATACTGGTCTACACTATGTTGGTTTTAATAAACGTGTATATATTTCAAGTTGTTAAGTTATATTGACCTCTTGGTGTCTATTAAAGTATCATAATCCCAACATTACGACTACGCGCACCCTGGCTGTCCCTAAGAAAAATGGCTGTCCCTAAGAAAATTTGGCTGTCCCTAAGAGACCCGTTCTGGAGAATGAAAGAGTACTTAAAATTACACATAATAAACAAACGATCTATTACATCCTGCTGATACAAAGAAGATACAGTGAGTAATAATTCATAAAATTGTGTTATGGATATGTTGTTATCGGCAAGAGCATATATATCCAGAATATATAAAGGCTCGAAATATTGTTAATTGTTTTCTACATTTCCCAGAATAATACGATTGTGTATCCAATGTGACTATACTTGTGGTAAAAATAGGCAATTTTATGCATAATCACCAAAAAGGAAGATCAAAGATAAATAGCACATAAAAAAAAACCTCATTCCCACCCATCTTTGTTTCTTCTTCATCATGACAATTGCAAAACCAAGAACTGTAGCAATTATTGGAGCTGGGTACTTTTTTTTTATTTTTATAAATAAAGGACCCAACTCATAAAATAGTTTTGTAGATTCAGTGGTATCAACGCATATGTCCAAGTCCAAAAAGAATTGGGAATTACACCTACTGTTTTTGAGTCAAATCTTGATATTGGGGGCACCTGGCTCACTAGTACATATCCTGGTTGTAGGTGCGATGTACCCAGTCAACTCTATTCACTAAGCTCTGAATTGAATCCAAGTAAAGGAAAAAAAATGAAAAAGAAACGGGAAAAAGGTTGCTGATTTCAAAAAAAAAAAAAAAAAAAAAAAAAAAAAATAGACTGGTCACAAACGTATGCCTCCCAAAAGGAGATATTGGAATATTTGCAAGCGATTTGTAGAAAGCACAAGATATATGAGAATACACGATTTGGAACGGAAGTGGAACAAGCGTCTTGGGTGGATGGGCAATGGGAACTGAAAGTAAAAAGTCACGAAACAAAGGAAACACTCCACTTTGATTTGCTGTAAATGCCAAATTGTGTCAAAGGAACCTGTAACTGACTTGAATTATTATGCCAGATTTCTAGGAGTTGGAAGCTTACGTATTCCACATATTCCTCCCGAATTTAAAAACTTTAAGGGGTCTGTGATTCATACCGGCGAATGGGATTCATCATTAGAATTTAAAGATAAGCGCATTGGTTTGGTAGGCTCGGGTTCAAGGTAACGTATTAAAAATTTGGCTCGAAAATCAGATGTTGAACCTTCTTTTTTTTTTTCTTCTTCTTCTTAAGCGCTATTCAAGTCTTTCCGTTTTTGGCAAAAGAAGCTTCCTGTGTGGTATTATATCAAAGATCAGTGCCCTGGGTATTTCCTCAGGTCCAAGAAAAAGTCTCTGACCTGACAAAGTGGATCTTTTCTTGGCTCCCTTTGGCCATCACCCTTTACAGATGGTTTTTAATACTTTATGTAAGGCTCCTTTCTTTGTTTATTATTCTTAACTTAAAATTTATTAGTACGAACGTCAATATATTTTGTTGGGGTATCCAAACTCGAAATTTGCAAACAATACAAGACAAGGAGTTTTAAAAGCCAACCAAGAGTATTTAAAAGATGTGGGCCGGTCTGATTTGATGAGCAGTCTCCAGCCAACTTCCTTGACAGGCTGTCGAAGAATAGTTCAATCCGATACTTTTCTTCAAACAGTAACAAGAAATAATGTGACACTAGTCACAGAGCCTATTGAAAATATAAAAAACGACACAGTGTTTACAAAAAATACAGAGCATCAGTTGGATGTGTTGGTGTTGGGGACAGGATATGAAACCCAAGAAGGGGTACTTGGTGGACTTTCAGGTAATGAAATAAGCTTATCTTTCAGAACAATGATTTAAAAAATATAAAATAGTTATTGGTAAAGAAGGTCAGTCCTTAACACAATTATGGAGATCCAGTGCTCCCGAACTATACAAGTCGACCATGATTCATGGATTTCCCAATTTGTTCATGTTGCTCGGCCCATATACATTAACTGGGCATATATCCGTAGTTCTAATGGCCGAAATGTAAATATTAAACAAACTGGTTCTAATGATCTGAACCTAATTATTTTGTGTTTTAGTCAAGTAAAGTATGCGATTCAATGTATCAAAAAAATACAAGATGTCATTGAACCTACGAAAGAAGCGCAAAGTAGGTACATGCAACAATTAAGATCTGATTTTCGCGATACAGCGTGGGTTTCTTCTTGTAGCTCTTGGTATAAGAATCAATCAGGTGTGATTACAAGCTTATACCCCAACACTGCCACACGATTTCGTTGGGAACTTGGCCAATTTAATAAGTGTGATTACGAAGTAATGACACAACGCCAATAATAAACGGGGATTCAATTGAGAGTTTTTTTTTGTTTTTTTGTTAAAAATGGGAGGGGGGTGCAACGTACAAAGGTTTTTTCTTTCCCCAATTCTTTTTTTGTAATTTTAAATGAATCCTATTACAGGGTTGTTGAGTCATTTGACGGGAGTACCTGAAGCAACACTTCGGTTAGTATTCACAGTGTTACTGGGATACCCCGTAGCTGTTTTTTACAACAAGAAATTCGAAAAGGAAGGACAGTCAACCGCCGATCAACGTAACCAGTATATTCTTTTATCTGGACTTGCACTCAATTTCTTTTTCAACGGTATCACCATTTATCACTCACTTTTGACGATTACTGTGAGTTGGGCCATCTGTTTTGTGGCAGGAGAGACCATGGGAGACCGTAAGTTGGCCGCTGGTGGTGTTTGGATTTTCAACGCACTTTATTTATTATTGGGTTACTACTTTATGCAAACCGATGATTATGATATTACCTGGACCATGACCCAATGTATCTTGTGTCTTCGTATGATGGGTTTTGGCTTTGATTATTACGATGGTCGCAAAAATCAAGGCGAAATACAGAAATCATCGGCTCCCTTGCCTTTGTCTTTCCAGGCCGATACCCCCTTGGCCACTTTGCCCGATATTCAACACTTTTTAGCCTACGCCATGTTTCCTTCCGCTTTCCTTGTCGGCCCTCAATTCTCTTACTCACTTTACAACAAGTGGATTCATAACGAGGCTGTTAATTCAATGACATCCGAACAAAGGGAAGAACGGGATCGCGCCCAACAACTTTATATTTGGCGCTCCGCTATTCTGGCCATCATCTACTTGGGCTTGCAACAAACTGTTGGTGCCACTTATTCCACCTCGTATTTATTGACAGACGAATTCAATTCGTTCTGTTTTGTTAAGCGTTTATTTATCCTTCTTTTGGCCGGCAAATTCGCTTTTAACAAGTACATCGGTATTTGGTTACTTACTGAAGGTAACACAGGATTATTATTTTTTGGTATTTTCTGGGGATTTGGGTTTAACAAAACCTTTTTTTTTTTCAGGTGCTTCGGCAACATTTGGTATTTCATATGAAGGTGTCGATAATGAGGGTCACGCATCATTTGCTGGTTTACCCAACGCATTGCCCTCTCGCTATGAGACCGCTACCTCCATTGACCATGTGATTGAGGCTTTCAACATCAATACTAACCTCTGGTCCAAATACTATGTATTTAAGCGACTCAAGTTCCTTGGTAACAAGGAAGCATCTCAATTCGGTACTTTAGCGTTCTTAGCTATCTGGCACGGTTTCCATTGGATGTATTTCATTACATTTGCACTTGAATTTTTATACGTGCAATGTGAATTGGTGCTTCGTAAGCGACTTTCACCTCTTGTCCAAGTTTATACCAAGAAGAACGATATTCTTTTCCATGTTTGGAAGGTCGTGGCTTGGTTCACCTGTCAATTCACGATCACCTATGCCGTGGTTGGCTTTGAATTACTCAAGTTGAATAAGGCCTGGGCTGCTTACAAGAGTGTTTATTTCATTGGTCATCTTCCTATTGTCTTGATTCTTGCTGCCAATGCTTACTTGCCAAAGCCAAGAACTGCCGTAGCTAAGAAACAACAATAGACAATTTTTTTTTTTTTTTGAGAGAAAAAAAATTAAGAAAATCCATAGAAAATAATAAAAAATGTATATAAAATTTATTATCCAAATAATCTAGCTGCTAATCCCTTCTTCTTCTTCTTCTTTTCAACATGCTCTTCAGGTGTAACGGAACCGTTACTCATTTTATCTAACGACATACTCGAACTCTTATTGCTCAAGGAAGATGGCGAACTGATATGCATATGTGACATGAGCGAAGCTGTCTTACTTGTAGACGAGTCATTACGTTGGATTTGTGGCGGTGCAGGAGCTACATACGGTGCAATGATGGAGTGTGGTGAAGGCACAGGTAATTGAAGATGACCCAAATGTTCAATAAAGGTTTTAGGACGCAATAATTCGGTACTTCCTATAAAAACATCACGGTTATAGGTTTCGCCAATCTCATACGCAGATCTTATTTCAGAGTAAGTAACACCGCCAACCACAAAGACAATTAATTTCGCACCGTGTGTAGGTATACGAGGTGATCCCTATAATTCTATGATATTAGCCCCATTTTTTTTTTCGTTAAATATTCGTCAAATGCACTTACTGAAGTGCTGTTGGTACGTTTGGACCAGGTCGGTTTCGTGGTACGTAATGAAACACCACTGGATGGCATACCACCTTGACCTGGTGGAGCGCCATGATCTTCTGAAGGCTCCATATCCGACTGCCTAGTAAATGTAAACTGTTTGGGATCCAAGGTGTTGGATAGATGAGCATCCATGACCTTTTTTAATGTAGGCACATAACGCGATAATTCAAAAGGTGATTCCTCATCCTTGGATTTTTTTTGTCTTCTCTTTTTTTGTAAAAAGTTGGTTTTCTCGGGTTGACGAATACGTGTAAGCTTGACACCAATTAAAGGTAAATTATTGACGGCGTCTCTGTATTCTCCCTTTAATTTGGCATGTTCTATTAATTTTCGCTTGTCGTCTTCAAAGATACCTCCTTCTTTCCATATAATATACAACATGAGTAAACGTGCCTTGTCTGCAGGACTAATAAAGTATGTTAGTACCTAGTCAGATGCGAAATCTGTCTCTTGCTACTCTCACCTCATATGGGGATCATCTAATAATGGCACCATATCCAATACAATGGTTTTTGGTGTTTCACCATCTGCAGTTTCACCCGTCACCATATTCTAATCTAAATTAAGTATTTTGTTTCTCTCTCGCTCTCTCCATCCTTGTACCTATCCATTTACCTGCTCTAAATTTCCAACCGAGTTCAACTTGTGTCTTTCAAAAAATGACATACATTCCTGCGCAATACTGAGATGAGCAGAATACTTTGCCTTTAAATCTTGAAATTGAGGAAGATTCGTCAACATTTCTTTCATGTCCTTTAAACTCTTTGTAGAATCTTTGGGTGGTTCTGTGGATCGATCATTGGTAGCTGCCTTATTTTGGGATAAAAACTCATTGAATTTCTCAACGAGATGGTTTGTGCATTCGGCGATATGCATGTGTCGAATGGATTTATACACGTTATCCTCTTCATCCAACACGACGTCTTTGGAATCCATCGATCCATCGGCTTGAGTGTACTCGTAGCTGTATTTGACCCCCGTATGATTCTCGGTTTCTTCCACAGGAAGTAAATCGTTGATCATGGCTTGATAGGTGAATTCATGCAATAAGGGTGCTGCAGGGTCAATCGAACGATCCACAATTAATAACGTTGCTCTTGGTTGAGGAGGTTGACGTGGAGGCTTTTTATATATAAAGGTCAGTTGTATCTAAATATGGACTTGGAAAGATACTTACGGGAAAGTTGGGATTTAATCGACAGAATCCATCCACTTCTTGTTGAACAATATGTGCTAATTTTCCAGCTGGTGAACCTTGGGGATGAATATCGCCTTCTGAATGTGCCTGATATCGAATAATGGGATCTTCGCCTAATGTAGCACATACCGAAAGTAACTTTTCAAAAAAAGAAAATGAATCACATGTTTTCTTGAAGTAAAAAAAGGTGGGCTTACTTGTTTTGCGGTGACTCGTAATGATTCGTCAGGGTCGGCTCGAGGATCCCTTCCAAAGACTGATAAAAAGCTAGTGACAGGATCGACAGTGAATACAGAAGATTCGGAAACTAATCAATTCATGTATTTATCAGCATTTGGTATGTGATTTTTATAATTGTAATTACCCATGAAATCAACGTAAAGTTCCTTCAAACTTTGAATATATTCTGCTGCACCTGTTGACTTCAATCTCTTGTTAAGCTCTTCAAACAATTGATCATTTAAACCTATCACAGAAAGAGTCAGGGGGGATAATTTGTAAATTGTGTAATGATCTTCCGTACCACTTGTAAAATGAACATGAGCTGCTTTGTAAGTAGGTGTCCTTGAAAAATCATCCACCAATCGCAAGATAGATTCACGACAAGGTGTCAAAAAATAAATGGCTTCCAAAGTAGGATAAGGTTGACGTCTCTTTTCGATGTTTTCTACCACTACAACAACAAAAAAATAATCGTGAGTAAAGGGAAAAGGAGAGAGGGACAAGAGAAGGGGAGAGGGGCGGTTATTTTGCATGCAATTTTCTTATTTACGTGTGACCTAGAGTATTTATTTTTTAATTCATAAGCATGTCTTGTATTATCTGAAAAAAACACGGTCCACTTACGTTTTCTTCAAGAATATCATACATCTTGCACGCTGCATTCAAAATTTGTGCACTTTTGGAATCGACAACAATAATCTTCCATTTCCCCGGTGGTTGAATCGATCGGATGGAATCCATCAATCCTACATGAAATGAAAGAAGAAAGAATTGGCTTGCTTGGTCGTTTGATTATTTCAAAATAAAAACATACGCTTTCGCATAATCTCTGCAATGCCTGACATGATCTATTGATGTATAACAAAACTAACAGAAAAAAAAAGAATTAAATAATATGTGTTGTGCGTTCAAGTTATTAAAGAGAAATTGAAAAATTGGTATATTCCAACCAAACAATTCAGAATATAGAAGAAAGAAAACAGTTATTCCTTCTGCATTGGGGGACAAACCTTTTGAATAAGAAAAAAAAATGGATGTTTACTTTTGATTGGACGAGAGGGAGATTGAATTACAAAAGCAAACACGCGCACACACACTTTACATGAAAATTAAAAAATGGGTTTCGCAACCTGGTTCACATGAAACATATCCCAATCTAGACACTATGGGTTTTATTCCCTTTTGTTATATTTCTTTCTTGATTTTTTTTTATACACATTGACCTAATCATCAAGATATGGCCCTGATCACAAGCTGTTTATTGTCACTTATGGGACTCATAGACAAACCGGAATACTATGAACCCACATAAGTCTGTGGCCACAACATTCATCTGTAGGTGGCAAGCAATACATAAAATGAATATCTACTGCATCACATACCATTTGACATAATATGAATAATAAGCAATTTGTTTTATTGGATACCATTGGCACTCGGCAACATTTTTTGCATTAAAAGCTTCTTTTTTAAAAAAAGAAAAACTAACATCATTACTTTTAATCGGTTCTTACGCTGTGAAAGCTTATTTTACTGATATATAGCACCATGGTTAAAGGAATTTAAAGTATCTGGATATGGAAGGATGTATTCAATGCGTAGCCTATAAATGTTGTCACCAAGACGAGTTGTATGAGACCAGAGCTTCTATGCGTAGTGTACACTCTACCATGCACCTTATCATCCTTCATTGGTGAGAAAATTTAACCAAATGGCTTTCAGCAGCCACTTCTTATATGTTGGCCACATCCGTTTTAAGAATAACAGCGGACGTTTATCCTTTATTTGAAAACAAAAAATGGCTGATCCATTTTTTACTGTGTTTTATAACGACAGTGATCTACTTTTTACGAATAGCTCCCCATTCTTAATATGATTAAATTTAACTTTTTTCATGTCCTCATTCTTTCATTTATAATCATGAAGTAAAAGGACCGTTAAGTTTTACGTTTTCCCTTCCACTTGTAGTTCCACGCCATCTACGTGGAATTTTTCTAGTTGCTTCCTCACATAACATGATGTATATCTTGAGAATGGTTTCATAGAGTAATTTTCAGATGGGGGGACGATCGATGATCGGGACTTAATTTTAGTACTACTCTCATATATCTTTCAGTGTGGATCTGTCCTTGTTTGAAAAAAAAGTAAACAGTACAAACTTCAATTATGGGGTCCATATACTATTTAAAATATCCTTAAAAGTACATAAGGAGATGGTTTCAATGAATCGCCCAGCTTGATGTCACATTTTACAAAAAAAAAAACTAACTAAAATGTTAGCTTTATTTTTTTAAACTATCGATTTGTTTATGGAAACGGCTTAAGCTTCTATTAGTAAAACAAAGTACTCTTTTTTTTAGCTTGTTTACCCAAACAACGAAAGATGCATCAGCATCGCTTATGATTACAAGAGCATTCGCGCAAACGCACTCTTGTTTAAAAGTTTCAATCTAATTTTTTTTTTTTTTTTTGCTAATCCAGGAATAGTTAAAAAAAATTTGGCCCTTTTATTAGATGTGTCACGTACCTGGCGCCAATGCTGTCATAACAGAACGAATGACAGTACTCGTGGCGTCAGGTGATTAAAGACCACTAAATTAGAATTTCATATTTTGTGTACAACATGACAAAAAAGCTGAAACGTAGAAATGCTTTTTGGCCAATGCTAAAAAAACAAAAACAAAAACATTTGTTTATAACAGATTATATATTATTATTTATTATGAATAAAGTACATTTTTTTTATATATATCACTGATAAATCAATTATCGTGCTTTGTTTCTTGTTGCTTATGGGCATTGGATAAAATAGAGCTTTTTCTGGCTCGTAATTGATCCAAATAAGCCGTATTGATAAAATATTCGCTCAAGATAATTTCAAGCTCTTCCACACGGTTAGATAATTCCGTGGTTCTTTCCTCCCACGGATTGGCTTGTTGCTTTTGAAGTAATGCGCCCTGGTTCACTTGCGTTGCATCATCACTCCTGCTCGTACTACCACTCGCTGTGTTATAATGAGGTGGGAGCGCAGGTGGTTGAAGAGGTAACTGAGGTGATTGATACATGATCTCAGCCGTTCCATGGCGTGGTAAAGGCGACAATGGGATATCATTATATTGTTTATCATCCTCATTCTGTTGTCCTCCCTGTGTACCTGAAGAAGTTCGTTTGTCCGTGTCCAACAAATGCAATTCAGTCGAATCCACTCTGGAAAGCTTCTGCATCTGATCTGGAACCATGGTCGCATTACGCACAATCATTTGTGTCATAATCGCTTCTTTGACATCCGCTGAGGTAAATGAATCATTGCTGTTTCTCAATTTGCTACTGCGGAAAAACCATGGGATTAAGACGGAGGTGGAGAACCCCTTTTTCTTTGCGTCGCTCTTGCTGGTATGGGTATCTTGGTCCTGTTGGTACATGCCTTCCTCTTGGATGAATTTCTTGTTCATCATGTCGTGATTTCGATGCTTGCTGATAAAGACGGGTATATGATGTACGAGACCCCATGGTGTTAATCGGGTCATGCCAAATAGTAGGATATAAATGGTGGTGAGAACACCATAACAACCACCTGCTAATGCAACGGATGCAAGCAATGTATGCTGTCTAACTTCGGTCTACATGGCTGTGATTTAATATGCATGCAGAGAGATATGTCTCTTTTTTTTTTTGTTTCATGTGTACATCCGTCTTACCTTGATATCAATTGTTCCTTGGGATAATTGTACTGAAAACACACCATGGTATAACTACATGTTCTCATTAGTTATTGTACAAATAAAAAAAAATCATAAGTCAGAAACACTTACACTTTTGTCGAGTGCAGGTGGAGGAGGAGTAGGTTGTTGAATTGGCCAATTATGCTGAGTATTAAGCAATGTGATGATATCAATAAAGTTGGATTTCTATCACACCAAATCATGTTAACAAGTAGAAAAATAAATAGATATGTAAAAGATTAGACACTCACAAGTCCTAATATAGTGCCTGCATCTCGAGGTCGGATAGCACGATATTTCTGCGGGCGATAAAATATACTGGAGGTGTAATTTAAAAATGAAGTGGCTCTGGATGCACCCAATTTCATGTTCGTTATCATGGTTTGCTATATTCACCAAATAATAATAATTAGATGTTTTAAAAAATGGCATGAATCAAGTCTTTGTTTCCTTCTTTACCTCCACTTCTGAAGTTCCAATGGTTTCTGGGTACCACGGGGTAAAAGAAGGATCATACAATTGAATAGCGATAGCGGGAATCGAAATGGTGGAGTAAGTCAAATTTTGTAACTCGTCGATATTCCAGTAAAAGTCAAGTCTGCGCAAAGCATCACGACTATCGTAGGAAAGACCTGTTGCCATACGATACTTTTTTCTGGATTCAAATACATAGCATTTAGATGCATCACCATTGGCTCCGGGACGAACAAAATCTTGAAAACAATTGGGGATATCGACCATGGTCCAGTTGTAGTACATGGCACTGCATTTGACAAGCGTCATGGTGGAGTTTTGAGCACAAAATTCAACATCGGGTGTCTCAATGTCATAGGTAATTGTTTCAGACGAGATTTGGGTTAATGGTTTGTCGTTGTAGATCTATTTTTTAAAAGGTGATTAATTTTTTTGGTTGTCTTTTCCTTGTATCAAATCGGGATGGATGTATCAATAATACGTTACTAAAGCGATTAAATAGCCGCAAAAGGCTAGAAATAGAAATCCCATTGTAATGGCAGTTCCACCACGACTATACGCCAAGGCTCGGGGCTCTAAAGGCTATAATACAAAAGATTATCAGCATGATCAAGGTGGGAAAAGTACAATGTATTTACTCTTCTGTAACAAGCTTCCCCAATAAAATGCATAGAACAACAATATGTGAACAAGTACTGAAAAAAAAAAAAAAAAAAAAAATAGAAAAGAGAAAGAGATTGCAAGATTAAACCTAAATTTTTTTTTGATCTGATTTTACTTTTATATGTACTAGGCTGCGCCTCAAACTCTATTTTTATGATATTCCAAGTACGCCAAACATGCAAACAATAATGCAAAAACGTCTTGACTATAGAAAAAAAAAATAACACCAACGTTTTTACCGTCAAAAAAGAAAAAAGCTGTAGCTCTCCTTTTTAGTTTTTTTTTTTTTCTATTTTTTCTTTTCTTTCTAACCCAAAAATGAATGAAAAGGATATAAAGGATCCTGATAGATTAAATCCAAAAAAAAATGTATCCCTTTGGAAACGCTATACTTTATGGCTTCTGGTACCTGTCATGTTGGCCCTGTACTATAGCCAAGATAAGACCGTGTTGGCCCAAATAAAACACGAAAGACAAATTTTACCCACCCAAGTCAAACCTGTTCATTACGACCTCAACCTAACTCCCGATCTTACGGCATTTGTCTACAAGGGTCTAGTCAAAGTGGAGTAAAGTATAAGTGACGCGTCCTTCCCCTTTGACCCTTTTCTTAAAAACCTCTCTCTCTCTTTTTTTTCTCCGTGTAGTTTAAATGTCCTCAATGAAACCAATACTATTATTCTTAACGCTAATGAATTAGTTATTGACTCTGCCAACGTAACCATAAATGACACAAGGTAAATTGAATTCCCTCCCTTCACGTGCAATGTTACTCAATTTGTACAAAAAAAAACTCTAGTTATGCCGCTCTGGACATCCAATATGATAACAAGACGGATCAAGTCAGCTTGGCTTTTGAACATGCATTAGAAAAATCTTCCACTGTCCAATTATCTATCCAGTTTCAAGGTGTCTTGAATGACCACATGAGTGGATTCTATAGATCTTCCTTTAAAGATAAAAACGGTGACACCAAGTAATCCTGTCCCTCAATTAAAGAAAGCAAACGGGTCACTCAAAAGTTTTTTTTAAAATTTTAGATATTTAGCAACAACACAATTTGAAGCAACAGATGCACGCAGAGCATTTCCTTGTTGGGATGAGGTAAGTAATAAAAAAAAGTAGCCCGATATTTTTAATCGCGTATAAATTAACTCTTCCCCATTTTGTAGCCTTCGCTAAAAGCCACTTTTGATGTCACCCTCAATGTACCATCCGACCTTACCGCGTTATCCAATATGGACGTAATCTCCGATACTCCTTCCAGTAACGGTCTCAAGACGGTAAAATATGCCACTACGCCACGCATGAGCACCTATCTCTTGGCATTCATCGTGGGTCCCTTTGAATACATTGAAGGTTTTACCTCCGGTGAATACAATGGTCGTCCCATAAAAACCAGAGTCTATACTTTACCAGGCCTCTCCGAACAAGGAAGGCATGCCCTAAATGTCGGCATGGAAACGCTAGAGTATTTTGCCAAAGTCTTTGATTTACCTTATCCTTTACCAAAACTTGATATGGTTGCTATACCAGATTTCGATGCGGGTGCTATGGAGAATTGGGGCTTGGTAACCTTTCGGACAACTGCCGTAAGTTTTGGAGTGATTTTCTTTTTCCATTCTATTATTTCGTCTCACTCTCCTTTTTTTATATTTTAGCTCTTGTACGACGATAATAACTCTGCGTTTATTACAAAGAGATCTACAGCGTACACGGTCGCACATGAATTGGCCCATCAATGGTTTGGCAATCTCGTCACGATGGAATGGTGGGACCATCTGTGGTTAAATGAAGGCTTTGCCACTTGGGTCGGTTGGTTTGCCATTGACCATATCTTTCCGGACTGGCAAGTATGGACCATGTTTGCCACGCAAAATATGCAAGATGCACTCAGTTTGGACGGTTTACGTTCTTCTCATCCTGTCGAAGTCGCTGTCAATGATCCATCTGAAATCCATCAAATCTTTGACTCCATCTCCTATTTAAAGGGCGCTAGTGTCATTCGTATGGTCAATTCTTGGTTAACCACAAAAACTTTCTTGACAGGGATTCATCAGTATTTGGGTCAGCATCGCTTAGCCAATGCCGCTACCCAAGATTTATGGGCGGCTCTTAGTCAAGAAGCCGGTAAAAATGTGTCGGAATTCATGAACACATGGACACAGAAAACAGGTGTACGTAAAAGCTCTTACTTTTTTTTCTTGTTTACATACTTAACTTTTTCTTGTTGATTTAGTATCCTATCTTGAATGTTTCCTTGAGTGATCCTCAAACTCTACTTGTCACACAATCCCGTTACCTTTTAACCGGCGATTTAGCACAAGAAGAAGACAGGTAATTTTTTTTTTTTTTTTTTTTTTTGTGCGTGTCCATCACCTCACACAAACAAAATAATTTTAGTACTACCTGGTGGGTCCCATTACGTGTCAAAGTACCCGGTAAAGTAGAAGATTTTACTCTAAAAGAAAAATCCCAAACATTTGCCGTACCCGTGGATGCACCTCTTAAACTCAATAAGGGCCAAACCTCTCTTTATCGCGTCAATTACTCTTCCGAACTGATGTCAAGACTCATTCACGAGTTAAAAAAACCAGACAATGGCATTTTATCCGAACCCACGGACCGTGCTGGTATCATTTCCGATTTAGCCGTCCTCAGTCGCAGTGGTGAACAATCAACCGTGACCTTTTTAGACGCAGCCAAAGAATTCAAGAACGAAAAAAATTACTTGTAAAGCATCCAATCTGTAGAAATAATTTTATATTGCATCACCCATTGATTTTTTTTTTTATTGTAGTGTCTTGTCAGAACTCAGTGTCCAATTATCTATTGTCGCTAATCTATGGGAAGGCTATCCCGAAATCAAACCTCGACTTCAGGACCTCCGTCGTCAACTTTTTGCTCCTCTCGCGCAAGAACTCGGCTGGGAAGTAAAGGAAGGAGAACCCGAACTAGACAAGCTATTACGTGTTCTCGTCTTGAACGAAGCAGGTTTGGCCGGTGATCCAACTATCATCCAGGAAGCCACAACACGTTACGGACAATTTATGGAGGGTCAACACAGTGTCATCTCGCCCGATTTAAGACACGTTGTCTATCGCATCATGTTGAAGGAAGCTGCTAATGCGCAAGAGGAAGACAAGATCTGGGAAGAAATCTTTGGTATTTACAACGATGAGAGTTTTACTATGGATCAACGCGTTGTTGCGCTTCAATCATTGGGAAGTACCATCAAGACACAAGGAGTCATTGATAAAACCATGGCACTTGTCTTGAATGAAAAGGAGATTCGTACACAAGATGCATCCGTCTTCTTTCGAGCGTAAGTCTTTTTTATTTTTAAATAATTGGGGGGATCATGCATTGACTTTTATTTTTCTAGATTGGGCTTGAATTACAAGGCGCGTGAACCATTGATCCAATTTTTCGAAACAAACTATGACAAGATCTTTCAACGATTTTCTAAATCCATGGGCGCTTTGGGCACCTCTGTGAATAACATGATTTCAAACGTAAACGACATGAACCGTATCAACCAATTGGAAACTTTCTTCCAATCCAAAGATACCCGTGAATATTCTCGTAGCTTAAACGGTGGTCTTGAAAAAGCCAAAGTAAACGCTGCTCAAATTCAAAGAGAGCATAGTGATTTATTGAAATGGGCCGCCCAGTAATAAAATAAAATAAATTCATTGTGCCCCTCCTTTTTTTTTACTTGCACGTATCTTTTTTTTTATTAACACATAATGACCATTGAAAAAGCAGTGTCTTGGAATAATGTCTACGAAACTTGGAGACACCATTTTTATAATTTAGGTGATGAGGAAGCGAAAAACGGCTTCAATGCTTTTTTTGATCCAAAAAACTTCTTTGCACCTCATTCACCTACTATTGGTATGCCATTAGCTTTAGGTAATCTCTCTCTTTTCATTTTATTCGTCATAACTTTGAAGCTCATCTTTTTAACAAGGTATATCGCAGGTCGATGGTCGTTATGAAGTAGTCATGGGCCTACACATTTGCGAACAATTAATCGAATTCCTTCGCGAAAAACTTCCTTGTACCCCTTTACCCACCTTATCCAACCTCAGTCCTGCAAAATACGAAATTATCGAACGATTCGAAGCCACGCATAACGAAATTCTGCAACGCACACATCAAAAGGCCAAAAAAAGAAACAAGGCCCGCACCAAGCTTATGGACGCTAAAAAACTCTCTGCCTTGGCTCGTACCCTTGTGCACGGCGGGAAATACGTGCTTGTCAGTATCGATATTGAGGCCTATGAGATGGATCATAGCATCCTACTGGAAATCGGCTGGAGTATGTATGATGCTGCCTCTGATCGTTTCCTAGATCAGCATTATGCCATGGATACCTATAAACATTTAACCAATGGAAAATTTGTCAGTGATCAACGTATGCGTTTTAACTTTGGCACCACTGTTTGGTGTTCGTTGAAACAAGCGCTGAAAGAATTAAGAAAGGATCTGGATTGGGCTGTGGCGAGAGACGGCGGATTTGTCCTCGTTGGACATGGTTTAGATAGCGATATCAAGTATCTACTCCAACAAAAGTTTAAATGGCCTACGGCGGATGGATCAGAGACTTTGTCTGTGGAGGAGTCAGCTCATGTCGCTATATTAAACACCGATGTCATTTATGCAGCTTCCATTAATGACCTTCATAACCCTCCTTCTCTAGGAAAGACCATGGATCTACTAGACATTGAGAATTGGAATTTGCATAACGCAGGTAAAATACAAGAAAGAAAGAAAAGAATGGAAAGAAGATTAATAGAAACTCTTTAGGAAATGACGCTCACTATACATTGCTTCTCTTGATGAAACTTGTGAATAAGAAATAAAAATACATCACATGTTCTTTATTCATACAATGGGTGGGTTACAAACTGTGTGCCACACTAGCCAAAAAAAAATGGAAATGATGATTGGGTGGGTAAAGCATGATTTTAAGCTCCCAAATGTGGTTTAGAGCACGTATATGAAAAAAATAAAATAAAAAATAAATTTAATTTGTGTGTTGTGGCCCATCTTTTTTTTTTCTTTTTTTACTGCAAATATAATTAGGAATTTGGGCAATTTAAAATAAACTAGATGGACGCATTAGGAGATATGCCGTGTTACATTATACCATGGTTACGAATGTCAACGTGGAAAAACACATGTGCGTCTTGGTAATAGGGTCGCACATATAATAAGAATGACATACAGTGATTGGTCTATTGAGAGAACAATAGTGATGTCCCCCACTGGAAAATCGATGTTATATCTAAAAGAGAGAATGAAAGAGAGAGAGCGAGTATCCCCTTGTGCTAGGTTACATCTGTAGGCCCAATGAAGGGCTTGGCAAATAGATGGGTGGTACAGTCTTTGACAACATGGACAATGTATTCTTCCATCAAATTGGAGTTTTTTTATCTCGATTCTAAATTGTCAGATACAATCGTGCTTAATGACCCCTTTATTTTTTTTTGGCTTGTACGCAGGGAACTAGTCATATACGCACTGTTTAATGTACAAACTAATTACTTTCAAATTAACTACAGATTATATTTCATTTATTTATCTTTTTTTTTTTAAAAAAAAAAAAAAAATCGTGTGTGGGACCCCATCATCCTTTGTCGGGTGCACACCGTCTTTTTTTGCTTTCTCATATTTACACTCCTTTCCCCGGCGGAATCCTGCTTTTAGTGTCTTATCTTTTTTATACACAATGTCGGCTAAACCCCTTCTCTTCTCTTATTTCAATTTAAAACAACTCATCCAGCCATGGACGGAAGGGGTTGTAAAAAAAAAAAAAGAGCCTGGGAATTGGTGTTTAAGAAAATTCATACAACGCTTAAACCAATCGATATAAAACATGAGTTACAATATTTCTTTGCCAGAAATTCACTAAGCTAACGGGATGACATCTTTTTTTTTTTTTTTTTTTTTACCCCACAGATTTCTTTTCCATTGATTTAAAAAAAAAAATCCACGAGGCTGTTGCCAAAATAAACTTTAAAAAATGAAGAGGGTCATGGCGCAGAAAAGGTTTTTTTTCATGTCAAAAAAAAATTAGAATGGTTTTATGTCATCAAGACTTTATATAGAAAAAATGGGGATAAAAAAGGCGATAATGAGTGGAGAAGAGGGTTATAATAAGCTACTATCATTTTAAATAATATAATAAAAAAAAAGGTGGAAACCAAAAAGGGTTCATAAAAATAAAGGGGGAGAAAGGATTCATAGGTTGGCATAGAAAAAGGTGTTTAAAAATAAAAGGGATTCATAATGGTTTTTAAAAAGAAAAAGTATATATACATTTTTTGGTTTTCGGTAATGGTAGCAGCTTGGAAAGATGTGGGTGTGGGTGTGACATGACTGAGATGTTGTTTGAAAGATAAAAAAAAGTGTAGATTGAAATAATAATAAAAAAAAGTCTAAAGTTGAGTGTGTGTGTGTGTGTGTGTGTGTGTGTTTGGGTGATATATGTTGTATTTTTTTTTGTAGTTTAAAGAATTTGGGTTGTTTTTTTGATGTTTTTGGTGTTTTTTGTGATTTATAAGAAGCGATATAGATATATAATGATGTTTTCCAAAGTAGGTGAAATTTAACTGATGGTGATGGGATATGCATTTCTTGTTGTATTAGTGGGAACAGGAAAAGGAGAAGGTCTTGTGAAAAAGGAATTTTCAAAAGGTGGAGAATGGGCAGGCCAAGATGAATATCTATCAGAATAACCAGCATGATGAAACTGAGGTAATTTTTGTTGCTCGTAGTGATGGGTATAAGAATTGGCTTGTGCTTGTTGATAGTGATGAAGAGGGCGGAATGCAATAGGAGCAACCATAGGTGGTGATGAACAACGATAGTCCATAGAGGGACTAGTAGGCGAATCTTCGGAATCACAACTAGTAGCAGGTGAATAAGGTGATGTGACTTTAGATAGATTGAAAGTTTTCCACTGAGGATCATGGCATCTCTGATGTCTGGATAAAGTGGTTTTACGAGTAAATGATTTTCCACACTCTTGAACATCACAGACATAGGGACGCTTACCCGTATGTGTACGACGATGTCTGGCTAAAGAAGATGAATCACTGAATGATTTTCCACAACTTTCATATTCACACACATGAGGTCTCTCTCCCGTATGCGTACGATAATGAACAGTCAAAGCAGATCGTTGAATGAACTGCTTTCCACAACCGAGCCATTCACAGTGATAAGGGCGTTCTCCTGTATGAATTCGTTTATGTCGAGAAAGATCGGAGCGTCTGGAAAAACGTTTGGTGCATTCATCCCAAGTGCATACATAAGGCTTATCAGATGGATGATTTATAGTGGTAAAATTGCAAGAAGGTGTTTCGTATTTGCACTCTGCCTGATCATGTGTATTAAGTAAATTGCGAATATCCATAATTATAAGAGTCGTTTTATCGTTTTTTTTTAAGGTCGTATATAAGAAAGAAGGAAGAAGAAGAAGAAGAAAAAAAAAAAAAAAAGGGAAAAGATATTTCTTTTACTAAAAAATGGGGAGGGGGGCACCTTTATATACTCAATGTCACGGGAATTAAAGTTTGTGTGGGAGTTGCAAAAAAAAAAAAAAAAAAAAAAAAAAAAAAACGTAGCACACGGCTACCCGCCCTTTGAGTCACAATTCTTATTTAATAATAACCTTTTTTTTCATTCTCAATTCATTTAGGCGTCGAATAATAGCAGACACACACACACGTCAATCTCAAGTACGTGCGCACTACTGGAATTAGCTGGCTATGAAATGTCTGTCATCTAATTACACTCTATTTACAATATGACGATCCAATATTATTATTATTATTATTGCAAGGGCAGCAAAATCGGAGTTGTGTCTAGAAATGACATATCCTGTTTAGAGAGAGGGATAAGGGGGAAGGTTTGTCTTGTAAACTCGACATGAACATCCCTTGAAAATAGCCACGTTTTTTTGTGCGATAATCAAATAATCGCGTGTATTGGTGTTACCTTAATAAACAGAAAGGAAAGGGTTACTGCGAAATATGCGCAGACGTCACCTGTTTAATTAGACTCAGTACACCAAACAAAGTAACAATAGGGTTGCACCACTCTGATGCATTAGGCAAGAAGGATAATCAAGAAGGTACCTATCGGAAGCGAGGGGCACGAGCCACTACCAGGCCTATTTTCATCCCCCTACCACCTCTTCTCCTTTCTCTTCCCCTTTCTCCCACACTTGTTATTGCTATACTCTCACAGGGAGAAAAGAAAGAGAGTGAAAGCATGTACAAAAAAGATCAGAAATCCAATAAAAAAAAAATCCATTTTAAACAAAAATGCTAACCCCGCTTTCCTTTCTACATGTACACGACTGAGATGACCAGTATTGGCCAACAGTCCTCATAGTAATATAAAAATAGGCTTTAACCACTTACTGTGGAATATATCTATATTTTTTTTTTACAATCATTAAAAACTATTTTATCTCATATGAATTCCCTTTGGACATGTTTCAACGCTCGGAAAAAGTATTAGCGTATGGCGATGCCGTATGATCGGTCAAACTTTTTTATAATAGACACTAATTTACATATAAAATAAAAAAAAAGCCAATTTAATGTAACACACAAAGATTGATCTTTTGTATGACATTTGGAGATGTATCCTTTCGTCATGGCTGGTTTATCATTCGCATATTAATTTGCCATGTGGTGATCGTTATTTTGACTCCGATTTTTTTGTGTGTGCGTGCGTGCGCCCCCTCTTCTCTCTTACTCTCACTTAAAACCACCCCCGCGCGCGGTGACTATAAATAAAATATACTAAAATAAAAAATAAAATAATAAATTGAGGGCGGACCCAGAATAGTGGAACTTTTTTTTTCTTGTGTAAGTTGCGCGCGTGCGTGTGGGTGTACGTGCGTGCGTGCGTATCGCAGTTTATACTTAAAAACTATACTCACCCCACCTCCTCTTCCTCCTTCTCCAAAAGTAAGATAGAGTTGTGGTCATGTCCTACATACACTAGGCATTATTTTTAAAGCTAAACAGACAAAACCTTATCATCATCTGACCAAAAATCACCCACTTACTAACCTTCTTACAGGCATTTTGTTGACAGTTGATATAAACGGACAAAGAAAAAACTAAAAAAAACGTACGACAACATTGATTTCCCGCCAAAATAATAATAATTACAAGACTATTACCAAGTCATGCTGTAATCTTTTTTTTTTTTTAAAAAAAAAAAATGTCGATCCCTTCTTGCATAGTTACTAACAAACTGGTGGTATTAATCAACATTTAAAATTATTTCAAACGAAAATAAGCAAAATATATATATATATATTTAAATCAGCCGATTTATCTTTTTTAGCTTCTTCTCCCTTCTCCCCCGCTTCGTCGGGCGTATTCCACTCTGTTGTTTCCTATTTCACGTGTCACGGTCCATTTAATTAGACAACTGTGTGTACCTCGTATTCACACAACAACCCCATGATATGTGTGCTTGTACGCGTTTCTTTTTTTTTTACTACATTGTTCTTTAATTTTTTTTTTTTTTCATTTTCTTGGTGATGAAGATTGCAAATGCATATTACCTAATCAGATATCCAATGTCAAAAATCCCATTCTTTTTTTTTTATACCTGTTGGGGTAATATATTTCACCGTTGCCTAGATACTACCCAACAACAAACAACAAAAGGGGGTAGTCATCCGATCTGTTTAAAGTATCCACAGGGGGAGGGAAGGGTCAGTAGATCACATATTACCCATATAAGAATCTCTACCGTGAGACAATAGCATTGTTAAAACGGGTTTAAAAAAATAAAAATTAAAAACAGCGTTTATGATACAAATATGCAGAAAAAAAATAAAAAAAATAAAAATGGCGCTTTTTTACATATAGAAAAGAGGGGGTGGTCCCGGCTTTTTGGGACTTTTTTTTTAGGTTCCCGACTGAACCTTTTAAAAAAGACATAAAAAAAATCAGGTACACATTTTTAAAAAAGGAAAGTTCTACAAACAAAAGATAACAATGACGTGCATTTGTGACATGGAGAATAACGCACCGAAAAAAGTGCTTCAAATAAGAGTCATCTGTATTCTGAAATGTGTGCTCTAAACAATCCCCATTCTTAAATCACATTGTGCTCATCAAATAAACATTTCGTGTTCATGACGTCTTTTTTCTTTATTTAGGAATACCCTTTTTCTATACAAATGTACACCTTTTTTGTTCCTTTTTTTTTTTTTTTTTTTTTTTTTTTTTTTTTTACTCATTTAAAAATTTAAAACTTTACAAAGAATACTCAAATAACAAAATTTGATCTCTAATTGAAGACATACTAGTGTAAACCTCAATCTAGACACCTTTTTTAAAATTTAATAACGGGTTTATGCGAGTATCAAGTATTTTTTGCATCTTTTTGAGGCGGTTTTTTTTAAGAGAGTTGAGCAATGTTGAAAACGAGATGTAGATAAACGTAGTTACTGCTTCAGTAACGAAAGCAATTATCCTATGGGACGCCACTTCAGGCTCCATTCAAGTATATTATGTACGCTTTTCGTTTTATCAGTATAACAAAAGTCGATTGGATTCATTTTGGATGTATAGAGAAAGATGTATAGATATATGTAATTCTTCAGTAGCAAATAAGACATATATAAATATATATATATATATTATACAACTTACTTGGAAACCCAGTCTCGGTAATACTTGTCTTATAAATAATATTGATATATCTAAGCTTAATATCTCTGGATTAAACTTCCCTACCTACTGGCATGTTCCGTAAAATATTTGGAGATGTACATTAAAAATCTTCTTTTGATGATAAAGGAAAAGGCCGATAAACAACCGTCATTGAACGATCATGCGGTGTGATGTGTTGGTCTTCCTAGTGTATGTCTTACGCACTAAACTGCAATCAGGCAAAGTTATCAATAAACATATATAGATAAAAAAATTCCTCCTAGAAATTGTTGCTTCCCTTTCTTTAATCAATTTTTTTTTTTTTTTTTTTTTTGATTTTACACTAAACAATCAAACATTTATCTATATCGTATCCAATATTTTAAAACGTATGGTTATGATAAACGAAAAAAAGGGGATTTATAAATTACTTGATAAACACAAGAAGGTACATTTTAAAATTAATACCTTCATCTCCTTCACAGCCGCAGAAACCACTGACCAGCAGGGTCTTTGGTGAAAGTTGGTGGATAAAACATATCTATTGATTATTTTAAACTCCAAATATTATTTCATAAGGTACTACATACTAGTTAATGCAAAGAGAGTTAGACGGTCGCTTGTTTTTTTTCAATGTCTTTGGAAATTATCAATAGGAACGCTTAAATGAATTCCAGCTTCCAGTAATTTTGCTTTTAAAAATTACTACGAACCGCGTAGACCTTTTCCATCTATCTCTCTCTTTTGCTTCAAGGCGATGAAAATTAGTAAGGGCGTGTTGTATGTATTTTATTAAAATGTTTAGAATCAGAAATAAGGTATATATAAATTATTTATTGAGAGCACAACTCTCAATGTATATAAAAACACAACCATGCCTCTATTAACTCACAATTCTTACTCCATGAGCAATAAAGTTTACGTTGGTAAAATCAGTCGGTGAAGTCGGCTAGTGAAATGATACTTTGAAGCTAGTGTGGGATCCAGCTCTAAAAACGGGTGGTTACGCCAGTGCATCATCGACGGTTGAGGCAAGATGCTGCGCTTGTACATTATGACTGTTTCAGCGAGTGCACCGCTATGTAGTGATGGTGGGAACCAGGTTTATGAATTTGATTTGATGTGTATGTTTTACATGGCTCTAAGAGAGGTGTTTGTGGATATATCACTATCAGGATCAATTTCAGGTTTTAGGTTTAAGTTATATTTAGTTTTTGTTTGTAGAAGAAGAAAAAAACTCTCTGTCTTAAGCTTCCAGGTTCTTACTAATGGTATCATATAATTGTAGGATAAAGTAAACATGAGACTGTGAATTTGACTGAAAATCGAAATATCTTACAGATTAAGTGGGTGATTTTCGGCTTGAAATAAAGAAGCTGTCTGAGAATCGAAAACTCTTACAAATTAAGTGAGAGATTGACCGGGAGTAAGTGGCATATGTAAAGTTTTTATTGGACATTTAAGTTTATTTGGGGACCAAAGGCTCATCCAAAAGACCTAAAAATTAGATGGCGTTTGTTCTAACGCGAGAATAAATGTAGTCATTAGCTTTAAAAAGCGGTTCAGAAGCTCCATGGTTGCTTTGCCCATCAAAAATATGTAGCCTGTTCCCCTCTAGTTTTTTCCCTCTGCCTAAAAATCAAAAGCAAAGCAGCCCACTACTTTCAAAAACCGCTCAAAAATTCGGATAAATCGCAACTACGTCATCGGGTTGGACACTGATACTCGGGGTGCACGTATCCCCCACAATTTTAAACTCAACACCAGGGTTTGGGAGTTGTGTGCGGCGGGCCAAAGCCTGAGAGGGCCAGAGGATTGTTATTATTTTTTCCTTTCTCTATCTCCTCCCCACTCTAAACAATGTCTGCCTTGAAATCTCAATTAAAGGGTCTTAAAGAACTCCGTCTTCAATTCTGTCAAACTTCACCTTCCAGCAGTGGTCTTCGGTAAGCATGGGTTGAATCCCCTCTCCATGATGACAAATACTCATATTTTTTTTTGCTAGTGATTTTGTCGCAAAGAACTACGTTAGCATCAAGCAAGCCAACCCTGAGCTTCCTATTTTAGTTCGCGAAGCCAGTGGTATTGAAGCTCGTGCTTTTGCTCGTTTCGGTAAGTGAAATAGATGGAGTAGGATAGCGAAGGTAGACTGAACCTTTTTTTTTTGTAAAATCTATAGACAAAGGTGTCGAACGTAAAGTTATTCTTCAAAATGCTTCAGCACAAGAAATTGAAAACACTTTAGCACAATTGACCAAGTCTGCTTAAACTAATAAAAGAAAACAATAGAAAAAATAATAATAAAAAAAAGGAAGAAAACAAAAGAATACATACCACACACACACAGACACAGACACACACAAACAGATACACACTCAAAAACACACAAACACCTCTCTTGTACATTATTAGTTGGGACGAGAATAAATTGCGGATTTTTCTACTGTTTTGTAAATTGCAAAACTGACTCTGGAAACACTTGTTTGATATGACAGGAATTCTATAGATGAAAGAACCATTATGGAGGTGATGAAGTATATCCTAGACAGTCAGTTCCTGTTCCATTGACCTGTCAATTGAAAATCATATCTGTCAAGTAAGCATTATTATCCCTGTCAAGCTTTATCTGGTAATTATACGCATTGCGTGTGAGTCTGAGTTCGTCTTTGTGACATATCTGAGAGAGGCGTGTGTGTGTGTGGAAGGGGGGGGGGGTTGCATAGCTTGTGTTCCATAGCTTAGACAAATCACGCAATTTTTCGGAGCAGAGCAAAGTGTATAAAGTAGGAAAACGAATGAATAAACAAAATCATCTGTATGCTACAGTATATCTAGGACAGCGTGTATATTGAAATCTAAAATAAAAAAAAAAGAAATAGGCACTGCTAAAAGGATTGAAACCATTTGTGATATTCAGTTACGAGATCTAACATTTTTTAAAAAAAGATGGTGGCTTATGTGCACAACTTATTCAAACTCACGACCCCCATCCCTTCCCCTTCTTTCCTTCTTTTCTCTTCTATTCCTATTAAAATATGCCTGCTGCAGTAAAGATAACTCTGCCCAAGTTGGCAGCCAACACCAAGCCTTTCGCCAATGCTTTGAAGTTAGCTATGGCAGCTCAAGTGACAGGTGCCAAACTTGTCGAGACTGCCGGAGAAGCCGTGACTTTTGTTGTCTCCAACGACCTCTCTTTAACTGACGCGAATGCCGCCTTGAAGTAAAAAGAATTAGACAGCTTTATCCTATCAGTATGACTTACCCTTATATCTTCTTCTTTCTAAAAGGTATATCTTTGACGCCACCAAATTCGATGCCACTACATCTGTCGTGATTGAAAAGGAAGAATTACTTGTCAGTCCTCTTGTCATCAAGAGAAAGCTCGACCAAGCTTTTGCTAATGTCGAGAGCATTATTTCTCAACACGGTAACGCTTTTGCCAAGGTACGCAGAATACAACGACAATAACAATAACAACAACAAAACGTATAGAATATGGGTATAACTCAATTTTTTCTGTTTCTTTTAGGCATCCGATAAAATTACTTTGGTCGATATTATTTACTTCGCTACTGTTTTCGAAACTTTCTCTGCTGCCAAAGAACCTAGCAAGTACCCTCTTTTAGAAGCTTGGTTCAATCTTGTTTCCAAGAACCCCAAGTTGATGGCTGGTATTGAATTTATCAAGGAACAGGTAAAACAAAACAAAAAATTAAGGTGGGGGATAACATACACAGAGATGACTCATGCAAAAAAAAAAAAAAAAAAAAAATCAAGTCAAATAAGGGCGCTAAACCCAAGAAACAAACAGGTCATGTTGAAAAGAAAGTGACCAAGGAAATTCCTGCTCCTGTCTACAATGTTAGTAAGCAAAAGGTGACTGCCAACATTGAAGCCAAGGCTCTGGACCAATCTGTCAAGTAAGCTATCAAGGCACACAAACACACACGCACGCACAAACAAACACATGACTCATCATGACATTTTTATTATTATTTTTTAGAGTTCTTCCCAAGGATGGAGAACGTAACGTTTTGATTACTTCAGCTCTTCCCTATGTCAACAACGTGCCTCATTTGGGTAACATTGTGGGTTCCACCTTGAGTGCTGATGTGTATGCTAGATATTGTCGTGCCCGTGGATACAATACTGCTTTCTTCTGTGGTACTGATGAGTATGGTACTGCTACCGAGACCAAGGCATTAGAGGAAGGTGTTTCTTGTAAGGAACTTTGTGATAAGTATAATGCCATTCACACCAATGTCTACAAGTGGTTCGACTTGTCTTTTGATCTTTTCGGTCGTACCACCACTGAGAAGCAAACTCAGATCGCTCAAGAGATTTTCTTGAAGAATTTGGAAAATGGAAACATTATTAAGGAGACCATGACCCAATTATACTGTGAGCAATGTTCTCGGTAAGGATATAACTTTGGGTACAAAAAAGAGATGTTCTTTTGTTTTATTTATCATTTTCTCTCACTTTAGTTTCTTGGCTGATCGTTATGTTGAAGGTGTTTGCCCTCACTGTAAATACGATGTAAGCAGACAGAGAAAGAAAAAAAGAGCAAAGGAAAGGGATGGAATGTCTGACATTGTATAATATAGGATGCTCGTGGAGATCAATGTGATGCTTGTGGTAAGCTCTTAAACGCCACCGACCTTATCAAACCTCGTTGTAAGTTGGATGGAAATGCACCTATTACCAGAGACTCCAACCATCTTTTCCTCGATTTGGCCAAACTCCAACCCGAGATTGAAAAGGCCTTTAAAAAGTCTTCTGTTGAAGGTAAATGGTCTGCCAACGGTATTCAAATTACCCAATCTTGGTTAAAGGAAGGTTTGAGACAACGTTGTATTACTCGTGATTTGAAGTGGGGTACACCTGTTCCTCTTGAAGGTTATGAGGACAAGGTGTTTTATGTTTGGTTCGATGCACCCATCGGTTATCCTAGTATCACTGCTAACTACACCGATGAATGGGAGAAATGGTGGAAGAACCCCGAGAATGTCAAGTTGTATCAATTCATGGGTAAGGATAATGTTCCTTTCCATTCTGTTATTTTCCCTGGTTCCGAAATCGGTACCGGTGATAACTGGACTATTGTTAACCATATCAGTACTTGTGGTAAGTTTAAAAAGAAAAAGAAAAATCCATAATATTCCTCTAAACACATTTTTGCGATTAGAATACCTTAATTATGAAGGTGGCAAGTTCTCCAAGTCTCGTAACGTGGGTGTATTTGGTAACAATGCTGAAGCCACGGGTATTCCCCCCTCTGTCTGGCGTTATTACCTCATGTCTGTGCGTCCCGAGACCAGTGATTCTATGTTCACCTGGAACGAATTTATTACCAAGAACAACAGTGAATTATTGAACAACTTGGGTAACTTTGTGAACCGTGCTATTCGTTTCATTTTTGCCAAGTACGACGGCGTGATTCCCAAGGCCGATTTCTCTGGCAAGTTGGAGACCGACTTGATTAAAGATGTGAATGTATTGTTGAAGCAATATGTCGAAACAATGGAAAGTGTGAAGCTTCGTTCCGGACTTGGTATTGCCATGGCTATCAGTGCTCGTGGTAACTTGTACCTCCAAGAAGCCAACTTGAGCAACGCCTTGTTTGATGAGACCAGACCCAAGTGTGATGCTGTAGTTGCTACTGCCGTCAATTTGATTTATATCTTGTCTGCTGTGCTCAGTCCTTACATGCCTGCTTCTGCTGAATCCATGTGTAGACAATTGAACGCTCCTCTTCGTACGATTCCTGATGAATTCTCGATTGATATTTTGGCAGGTCATGTTTTGGGTGGTGCTGAATACTTGTTTACCCGAATTGATGAAAAGATGGAAGATGTCTGGAAGGCCAAGTATGGTACTGGATCCAGCTAAATATAATACTTTCAAGGCTTTCCATTCTTATATTAAACATTTTTTCTTTTTTTTTCCAAAATAAAACGGGACATTTAACCAGTTAAATTGAACTTGAGAGCTTCCTCTTTGAACTTAATGATTTTTTACAGTGCTCACGGTACAAACTCAAATTACGTTATATTAAATTATTTTTTTTTATAAATGTTCCTCATTCAAACACTTTTCAAAAGTTTCGAATGAGTGTTTAACAAAACCTTGAAGATGTTTGAAAGGAATTTCATTACATGCTTCGCCGATCCTGGTCTCAAGATCCTCAGTGTTTCCAAACTGACTTCTTCTAACTCTACTCTTAACTAGCTTTATTTAAGGGAGTTTAGCTTAAGCCTAAAAAAAAAACGCGGTACACTTTTGCACGCCTAAAAAAAAACGCAGTACACTTTTGCAAGGCAATGTCTAGAACTCTGTATTTTTTTCAAATAAACGTATTTCTTAGAATCACGCGATGGTCTACACGTCAATTGACATGCCATATCATTTAAACTTCATGGGATGATCGATTTCTGTTTTCCATAAAATCTGCTTCACTGTCATTTACAAGCTACTACTACTGGAACGCAGATAGACAACTACGGAGTTCTGACTTGCTGGGGGAGGCTTTTTGCAAGTGTCTCTATTTTAAGTAAAGGCTCAAACATTATGGATGATGAAACAGACAATTAAATCATCCTGACATAAGCTTGTTCATCTATAATTAAAGCTGGTTCACACACTTTATTCTTCTCCTTTTCTTTTCCCTTAACATACTTCTTTTATCGTATGAAAGTAACCGATCACGTAAAAAGGTTTGTTTAGTAGCGACTCTTGTTTCTTTGAAAAGAAGCTAAATTGAAAAAGATATATTGTGATATTGCAGCTGCGGCTAGTCTTTGCTATAGAAGGGCGACCTCCTAGGCAGAGTTCTTGAGTTTTTGGAACTCACGAACTGTGAATAGCAGGGATGCATTTTAAATAGGTGCAAACATACTGGCCTGCTGGTCTTCTGGCCAGAATTTCTGTAAGTAATATAAAAAAAATACGTTTGAAAAAAATACGGAGGTCTAGACATTTCCCTTTTGCAAGCTTAAAAAAAAAAACGCGGTAAACAAAATCTGAAAAAATCTTACAGAAGTTATTTTCTTCTTCAATTGAAGTTGAATTGTTCTCGTGATTTTGCCTTGTGTGTCTTATTCGGAATGGAATTCACACCTTCCAGTGTTATAAAAGCAAACAACAAACTAGAAAGCTATGGTGATTTGGAACTTTGTTATGACTCATCAGAAAGAAATCCCATATTATTTTCAAAGAACAGAATTAACTATGATCCTTATACGTATAAAAGATATCTTTCAACACCTCCTCCAAAAACCATTGAAACCGAGAGTAATATATTACTAAGTAAGTAAGTTGAAAACTTAATGATAGCATTTCTAATATTTATAATTTAGCAAGTGATTCACAACTTTCACAATTTGTTAATGCAATTTTTTCTCATCTCAACTTGGAAAATAGCGGTAAAGCTATCGCTTTCACGGTCGATCAAAAAATTGTTTAAAGCAACACAAACACGAATCCATTCACTGGCGAAAATCACATCATCCTTCAATTTGATCTTCAGTCTTAGTTGCTTTAGACTTTGGAATCGTGCTTTCAGAATTCCAAAAGCATGTTCAATTTTAGTTCTCATCTGAGAAATGTATGTATTGAACTGCTGGTCATCATCGGCTGTCGTTCCATTTCTTGGTTTCTTGCTTACAGTTACCAGGTAGTTTGTGGGAGAGTATCCACCGTCACCAAAGACATAGTCGTTTCCAACGCAATACTTTGATGGGGTTTTGCCCAGATCACTTTCGGCAAGTACACGCATGTCATGCGAACTTCCAAAGTAACCAGTCTCTATGTACCGGATTCTTTGTTTATGGTCACAAATTGCCATTGTCTAGCTAGAGTGACCACCCTTTCTGTTGTAGAACTCGTTTCGCTTCCAAATGGGTGCTTCCTCCAAAAAAATATGAGTACCATCGATAAACCCAAGACAGTCAGGAAAACCCAGATAGGACTGGTTAATAGTTTTGATAACCACTTTTTCTTCAGGTGATGAAATAACGAAAACTATGAATTAAAATCTGTGGGTGTTGAAGATATATATAAGATCGTGAATGTATATACCGACAAATTTGAGACTGAAACACAATTTACGCAATGGACTAAAAGCAAAGTAAATTACACTCAAGTACCTTTTTCCAGAAAAAGAAAATCGGGAGTCTCTGTGTGTAAAAGAAATATTTACGTTTTGAAGCCTGAATTTCATGGCAGTTTAAATCTATTTTTTTTTTCTGTGAGCATTTATCTACATTTTATTTTATATTGTAGAAGCGATAGCGAAAACCATTACGTCTAGACTTGCCAATTACCAACAGCACTTACAAAATTTTAAAAAAGATTTTATTTTAATTGGATATGTTCGCAAGTCATCTGGATACGCAGCTATAGAATCTGATACCATTAAGCTTGGCAAACAAATGAGGTTGACATACAACGAACTTGTAGTCAATCGAGTTCCGAATCCTGCTGTTTGTGGGATATAGTGTCAAGCTATAGATTTAGTCAACTATGTGATGGACCTAAAATCACCGCAGTTATACGCAATGATCAGGACGTCCAAAGTTTCATTATTCAGAAGCCTTGACGAAATTTACAGCTTGCCACGTGTTATTTCGTGCATTGTACAACTGAAGGTAAGAACATACTTAACAATTATCCAATGGTACATCTTGAACTAACTTTTTTTGTTTGTTTATTAAACAGAACATAGCATTAGAAACAGTCATTAAAACAGAGTCTTCAATTGTGAACGCTTTAGACAGAAGTACAAAATCCCCATTGGCACCCCAAAGGCATGGCTCTCTTCGGATAGTTTGAGTCTTTCTCGCAAGAGGAAGTTTTCAAATGAAGAACTTGTTTTATGTAGTAACCTTATTCATCCACCATATAAACTAGTACATAACTTGTATGGCGGATCTTTTTATTGTTTAATAAATTTCACATCTTAATAATAATAAAAAAAAAAATGAATTTTCATGGTCCTGTTGGATGTGATACTAATGTACCGAAGGAGGAAAACAAAGAGCCCCTCTTCAAAGATAAATGCATTTATGAAACAAAAATGTAATATATCCCTCGGGAAACCAAAAACAAATTTGTCTTTGTTTTATTTTACCTTTCTTTCTGTTCCAAGCCAACATGTCGCATCCCCATTCATCGTTACAAATTTACCAGCTTCTGTCCAATATTCATCAAGCCTGTGATGAGAATGAACAACAATTTGAAGCAATATTAATATCGCTGCAAGGCCCACGATTTAAACCACTTTCAGTCATTTACGAACATTGGGTCAAAACGTTTGAAAAGCTCATGCCCCAATTATTGGACGACTTTCGACAATTGCTTGCAAGTGCTCAACGATCACCAGAATATGACACATTGTTGATGCATGTAGCTGACCATTACGCTTTAATATACCGTGTCTCTTGTTTTCTCGAAACCGACATGGAACTCGAGTTATTTGTACGATGTCTCTGTCTCGACAGCTCCACACCTGTCAATATCCAGGAAGTCAAACAAACTTTACTGCAATTTTTGGCCGCATTATCTCCCGACACTCGGGACTTTGTGCAAGAAATTCTGGTAGATGATCACCATGGTTACCTGTCAAGAGAAGATTGCATGATGGAGGAATCACTTGATCACACAGCATTTCAAGGTTTTTTAGATCTCGATCGAGTTTATGCCATTGTCAACGATCCAAACTTGTTTGAACACTTGATGGCTATCATTCAAGCAAACGCCACACGTAACGTCTCTTGGTCGCAGACCGTTCAGGAAATTTATGCTCTGGTAGCTGAGAGAGGTATCTGGGAACAATTGTCCCCACTTTTACAGCAAATGCATATGAAGCAAGGTAGGTGAAGAGAATATATATTTATTTATTTTTTTTTAAAAAAAAGGGACAACCACAACAAATATTTGTATGTTGATATTCTTTTTTATTTCTAGAAAACGAGGAATACGACTCATATGAAGACTTTGTGAAAAAGAACTTTTTAGACGACGGCGGACAAGAATATTTAGACGGTGAAATTGAGCGAGCACAAGTAGAGCACATGTTTAGTAACTTAAAAATGTAGAAAAAAAAATATCATACCATCCTTTTATTATTTTTATAAATTATATGAAACACTACTTCCAGCAGATGGACTTGAAGGTAGAGAAATCTGTAATTGACGTGTACTATTCGTTTGCGTGACTTCAATGTTGACTTGTGTTAATAATTGAGTGGGATCAGAAACAGTCATAACATAACCACTGCTTTCCTTGGTGAAGAAAGTCAAAATGGGTTGATCTGTCTTCACACTCAATTTCCATGGACTGGCATAGCTACCAGCTGTCCAAAAGGCTAAGGCAATAGTTTGATCTTTAGGATTATATGCACCACGCACTTTACCCAGTTTCTCGTCATCTTGATAGACAAGCTGCACAATCTTATCGATATCACTTGTCTTTGCATCGACACCTAATTGAGCCACATAGCTAGAAGGTTTAGTCTGACTGGCGTTTTTAAGGGATGCAGCAGAATGTTCCAGAGTTGCCGTAAAAATTCGCTGTGTAGCTAAACCTTGAGAAATACCGATGGTAGACCAATTGTTATTTGTGGTACGGCTATCTGTATTGATCTTTAACGCAAGTTTATCATCGAGAATAGTATACAAGATCTTGTTGTGCCAAACTGTTTGGTTCTTTTGACTGCTGGTAATATCCCCACCACCACCATTAGAGACTAACTTTCCATTGACATAGACATCACCTTTCAGGTTTGATTGATCCAGGGTAGTAATGACAGGAGCATCGGTTTGTGATTCAATAGGGCCAATTTGAACTGCATAGAATCCCGGGAAGAAAAAGTAGGTCTTTTCCCAGCGCAAACTTCCGGTCATGGGGTTCAAGTATTGCATGACAGCCATACCACCTTTAGATGAATAACCATCCTTGTATGAGGGAGTGACGGAGCCGACAAAGGTTGTATTACCATAAAATTGAGTGATGTTACAACCAAATGGGGTCGCACCATAATCGACTGTTGTACCCGGGATGAGGTTCCAGTCCCACGCCGCGAAAACGTCCGAGTATTCATTTCCATCCAGGTAACTGTAAATGGCCCCATCGCTCAGATGAAACCCAAAGGGGTTTTGATCATTGTTACACTCCGAATTTGACGTTCTGGTTGAGAAGGTTTTTAAGGTTGTAACATACGATGGGCTTCGATGAACCAAGAAATCGCCAGAAAAGAACCCACGTGTACCCGCTAAATCTCCTTGCCCGCTACGGGTTGTGTTTAAAGAAATTAAACTATCCACAATCTTTTTGATGGCAGGTGCATTTACCCAATTGGCAGTAGATTGTTCAATACGTGTCAAGTTCAAGACGACACCGCCACTCGCTTGTTTATCGGCAGCCAAGAAAGAAACCATTCGACCAATCGTACTATATTCCCAATAGATCGACACATTATTATTCGAGAAAATCATCCACTCGGTACCATTCATCAACGTCAAGAAAGCCTCCTGTGTATCCACTTTAGGAATAAATGAAGTTTGATCCGTTTGCGAAAAGACATTGACGACCGAGTTGATGAACTCTTTGCCATAATTGCCGTTATAGACTTGAGAGAAATGCTGTAAATAAGCACCATCAATCTTTACACCATCAGCACCAGTTTCGGGAATGATTAAAGTTTGATTGTAGAAATGAGCCAAAGCATCAGCTGTCATGGTTGCATTGTCTGTTAAAAGACCGAGATTGATGATAGAAGTAGAAGCATCGAGCATGTTTGCACCTGTCATGGGTCCGATACCGAGCACAAACGTATCGATCCTGTCGTACACTCTCTGGCTAACTAGAGTACAATTTCCTAATTGCGTATCGGTCAAATTCTGTTTCAATAATAAACATGCATTTGAGATCAATTTAGGCATTAAAATCATCTATGTAAACAAACAAAAAATGTTATTAATAAACCGGTTTTATTTATGTACATCTAAACTTACTTGGCCAAACCAATTTGTATTCCAAATACCGGGAGTACCACAGGGGCATGTACTATTATCCATACCACCTTCATCTAAACATGTATCGGGAACGTATGTATTGTCAAACCAATAGTCCATAGCTTTGGAGATGGGAGGCAATAAGACACTAGCGTTATTTGGGCTTGTACGAAACTGGCTAGCCATCGTCACTAAGAATAGGATGATCTTTTTTAGATTTTGTTTGTCATTTTTTTTTATAGATTTCTATCTATATTCGTACCTATTCTCAGAAAGTGTTGTTGTGCTGGCCAATTGGCTCTTCTTGCAGTACACCCAGATGTATAGTCTACATCTTTAAACGTGCCATTTTCTGCAGAGAATTGAGCCATCCTATTTTATATGTTGTCAATACACGTGAATATATATTTAGATCAAGGATAATTGTTCTTACCATGTAGGAATCAAACCTACTTTGCTTAGATTGTCTTGTAAAATAAAATCCACCTTACGATCATAGAGAATTTTCATATCGTCTTGTGGTGTTGAGGACACACAGGCCACAATTGTCAGTAAACCACATAGGAATACCCAACCCTTTATCATTGCAGAAAGGAAACAGGAAAAGGGAGAGAGAAATAAAAGGATAAAAATAACAAATATAAAAGGAGGCGTTGCGGTTGAATGCACTTAAATACTATCAAGGGGAAACATGTCACAAAACTAAAAAAAAAAATTCCGGGTCATCATCATCAGCAGGGCAATACAAAGAGCATGGATGAGGTAAGGTTTTGTTTATTTAGAGAGTGTGTGAGAATATATAAATTACAATGCAACAGACGAAAAGAGAACAATAGGCTCTTGAGGCAAGAGGTAAACAATACCGTAACTCGCACCTGCTGCAATAGCACCGATTAATAATGTCTGAATGGCTCCCCAAACAGCACCGTCAGGATTAACCAATCTACTCTTGATGTAACCAAATATTAACAAGGTTAAAAAGGTGACGGCCACAGAAATATACAACGCGAAAATCGAATCCTCAAAGAAGCAATAAGGAAGTAAAGGAATCAAGCCACCAATGAAATAAGACAACCCGATGGTTAAAGCGGAAATCTAATTATTAAAGCATTAACGGGTATATTCCAAAGCATAATTCGTCATTCTTTTACCCAGCTACGACGAGGATCAGGCTGTTCCAGATTCAATTCAAACTTCATCATGAAATCAACAAACTTTTGAGGATCGCTCTTCAACTTTTCAATCAAGGGTTGAATGGTGTCACGATCAAGTCCATAGGGTTCCAAGATTTCAACAATTTCATCTTCTTCATCCTGAGGACACTCTTCCACTTCGCGTTCTTCTCTTTCACGTTCAGTGCGATAATGATCAATCTCCGAACGTGCAGCTAAATATCCACCCAATCCCATTGAAATAGCACCACTATGGAGCAATTGTTAATTCTGTTTCTATTCTTCTATTCCTGTCCCATTATTTTACCTAACAAGTTCTACAAAAGACATTAGTGTCACAAAACACGTCAGAAAATGAAAAGAATAACATACCTGCGGCACCACCGTAAATAACAATTTTGGAACTACCAAGAGAGGAAAGACCAGCAGCCAAAGCAAAGGGAACAGTTAAACCATCTATATGATTCTTTTTTAGGTTTTGACAACTCCCTCTAAATAGCTTGTACTTACCAGAAAGACCAATAATAGTATCTCTTACAATCTCGGCAGACTCGAAATGTTGTTCCAAATGCTGATAAGGCGCATACTCATGAGAATGGCGTCGACGAAGTTTATTCAATAACGCAGACATGTATAAAAAAATGAATAAAGAAGAAGAAAAAAAAAAACTTTTTTGGTCCAAAGTAGGAATAGTACTTAACCTCAAAAAGGTAAAAATCTGTTACTTCGAAAAACTAAACCCGATGACTCCAACGTCCGCGCTCCTTTTTCTCTCCGCAAAAGTAGATTTCGTAATCAATTTATGAGAGAAAAAAATATACTACAATATTGCTTCAAAATAAATTAATGTTTATTTACTTGTGATTTCGGTATTAGGTTTATGATAATTATGCTTAATTATAAGTTTTATGCATTTTGAAAGTGATTTCAAAATTTATACGGATCACTTGGAGATTTTTAAGATTAACCAAGTCAAAAAGTTAAACTTTTCAAGCTGGCTTTCTATATTTTTAAACGCAAACCTCTTTATCTCCTGCACAAAAAAAAAAAGATGTTTGCTGCTTATCACAGAATTCTTACCAAGAGGCCCATACTTGTTCAATGTGCATCGACCGGTAACGATTGGAGAATCTTTTTTCTATAATCCTTTTTCTCATTACCCTTATCTTTTTTTATAAAGCCATTCTTTTTGGTGCAGGTAAATAAGCGATACACAAAAAAAAAGTCAGCTGCATATAAAACAACTCCTTTTTTCTTTCAAGGCGATGTCATTGCTCAACAAATTGTCGAAAAACAAGGATGGAAGAACCACGATGTCAACCGAACATTACGCATGTCTGCCTTTGGTGGAGTGTTTGCTGGTCCTGCACTCAGTACTTGGTACCGTTTCATTGATAAAAAAGTAACAACCACAAATCGCTTTAAAGGTACCAAAAGAGAACACGCGCCTCATAAGCATGTATATTAACCAACAACCAAAAAAAACCAAAGGTCTCGCGATAAAGGTTGGATTAGATCAATTTGTCTTTGCTCCATTTTTCATTGCTGCCTTCTTTACAGGTCAGGGCCTATTTGAAGGTAAATCCATCAATGAAATCAAGAGTAAATTGGAAAGTGGTTACACGACGGCTTTAGCAGGAAATTACAAGGTATATAAAAGAAAAGAGATACAAGTAGATATGGTACTAATGAAATGTTGGCGGGGTTAATAGCTTTGGCCTGCTGTCCAAATTGTCAACTTCTATTTTACACCATTAAATTATCGTTTGATGGTAACAAACGTAGTAGCTTTAGGTTGGAATGCCTATCTTTCAACCGTCAATCAAAGGTCATAGTATATATATTTTATTATTTGAAATTAGCTGGCATCTCTGCCACACCTGTTCCATTGATTTCTGGCACACCAATCTTAATATTCTTGTATTTCACTACACCTCTTGTCTTGACCTAATAAAATGCCCAACATATTTTAGCTTCATCAAATAAAATGATAAATTTCATTTACCTTTCCGCCTAATAGTCCAACACACACTCCACTGGGTGCAGATAATCCCTTTAGTGCTAAATCGGCTGTACTTGTGTCCACAATACGCTTTAATCTCTCCTCACACATAGGACAAGAATACTTTGCATCTTCATCATCACACAACACTTGGTATTTTGCAGGTGTTAATATTTCATCACATCGTGTATGAATCCAATGATCACATGTATCACACGCAACCATCTCATTGTCCTCATCATCATTTTCTTCCTCTCCATACGTCTTGAGACACACTGGACAAAATCTGTCTTCAGCAAAGTTGTCATAACATGAATGACAATACGTGGCCAGATAAACTGGATATTTGTAGCGATCGCTCTTAGGCGCAATAGCATGTTTATATTGCGATTCTTCCGCCATACCGTGTTCATCACATCCATGACAATCAGCACATAATGGACAAAGCCATGATCCTTCCGGTACTTTTTCTACGGGAGGATTGCAACTAAAGTATATAGATTAAACATTGCACTTACATTCTTTATAGACTCTATACTTTACCATCCTGTATGCCATCCTCGATCACAGTCGTCACAAATCATTAATGTCGATTCATCACCTGCGCTCTTACAGACACAACATATCTTACATTCAGGACATGACCATGGGTATGATTCCACTGCAGCCACTTGTCTGGGCGTAGTCAAATTGGCACATACAGGGTGATACTTTCGTGTACATTTAGAACATTTCACCACAGAAAAATCGTCAGTAATATGTTCTTCACCTGATGTAAATAATCCTTCTGCGGCACGCAATTCATGACAATCTGCACATTTATTATCAGAGTAGACTGTGGCCTATACATCAATTTTTTTTTTGTTCTCTATTAGTCGTTATTCTCTCTCACATTATATGAATATGCTTACGGGAGGTGGGGCTTTTGCATAGTCAGACATGGGTTTGACGGGTAAATGCAACTGACATTTCTCGCCAGGTCGATTCACTGGACGTTTACAAATCTGATTTCCAGAGAGCAGTGTGCCACATACAGCGGGTTCTGCTAATTGTTGCGGCACAATGGGAATGCGTTGAGGTTGTTGCATCATGTGCTGAGGTGGGATAGGTGATGGTTGAACATATCCTGTGGGAGAAAGTCTGGCAATAGGTGAAGGTTGTCTATGAGGATCTGCATATTGGTTTACAGATTGATAGACCAAACTCAAATAATACTGTTGAGCAGCTAAAGATTGTGCGGTCTCTACCAAAATAGTAGGCTCGGGGATTTTGGGAATAGGGTAATTGAAACGAGCTTGATGAAGAGGGAAAGCGCTTTGAAATTGACCTTCCATTAAAGACAATGGATACTCTTCTTCATCCCTGATCTGGTTTTCTTCCAAAGCCAATACATGTCTTGCTTGCTCCTTTTCACTGTCTGTGGATAAAGATTGAATAGCAGACTCAATATCATATTCTAACAAATCTTTTCCTAATCCACGATAGAGAGGTGTATTATGTACATTTGACTTTTTTATAAATTCCACAGAACTTCCAGTTTTGCTCTCCTTTGTAAATTCAAAATGACACAGGCTAGGTTGATAGGAGGCAGGTACCTGATTTATATTGGAATGGATATCGTAAAATGTAGGTTTTCCAGCTCTTCGTTCATGTAATTGAGCATTAAATCCTCTCGCTGCTAAAGCTGCATGATGCATCCAAGTTTCGTTATTAAGAGGTACATCCGAAGCATATCCTTCAGATCGTGACGTCTTTCCAATCAAGGATTTACGTGAATTATCTTCAATTTCTTCCTCTTCTCTAGTCTCGTCTGGATTCGTATAGACGTGGTGTCTTTCAGGCTCCCTTTCAAAATAATCGTCCTGGATACGTTTGCCGTTCTTTACGACTTTATGGCCAAAGCATTTGAAAAGAGAACGTGCAGTCAGCACTGCAACCTCGGGGTTTTTAAAGCGTGTAATGAGTAAACCCGTTTCGATCAAATGATGTCTCTCTTCATCCGTAATTCGTACTCGTTTTAATTGAGGGTGCTTTTGGAACAAAATATGACTGTCACGGTATCCTAGTAGCTTGGAAGGCTCCATAGCTAATACAAACACATCGTCACCATGGTCTTTCAATGTAAACGTAGTTACCTTGTATTCACGACCTTTATTTTTTCTTTAATTCCTAATCATGTCCGTGTTCATTCATAATATATGTACCTCCTAATAAGTTTCCATGTCTATCCACCTTTTGTTCACCCTCTTCATCCACATCCGAAACGATTTTTCCGTCTTCTTCCTCCATTTGCATGGAAGGACTTGAATCGCGTTTTCGTTTCGTGTCAATGTTTTCGTGTTGTCCGCTTGCACCATGTGAAGAAGGACGTCCTCGTTTTCTTGAAATAGAACGGCTTTCGGCTTCCGTTGGTTTTTTATTAGCGATTCTCGAACTCGATTTTCTACCTCCTGCTGCTAACGGTGGTGGTGGTGGTGGTGTCGAACTGGTAGTAGAGGCGGTGGTGTTGCTGGAAGGCGTGGGTCTACCTCTTTTACGTTTGGATTCTAGTCACTTTATTGTTAATTATCAAGACTTTTTTATGGTAAATAATCTCTCACCTCTAGGTGACATGTTTTTCTTTCTTAATGTGCAAGCAGAAAAAAAAAAAAGCTTGTGGTCCCCCCAAAAGGAATGCGAACTCAGGGAAAGAAAAAAAAATATATAGAAAACACAGTCAGGGCCATCGGTTACTGAAATCACTTTTTGCTGTTAAATTTAGAGCTGCTGCCGTCTTTTGGTTTCTTTTTGATGGTTTCGTTTTAACATGAACGGTGCAAATGATACTATTACCAATTTATATGCTTCTGCTATCCACACACTTGGATTATTTCGTGACAGTTTCCCCCAGGAAGCAACGAATTTCTTTTAAAATCAAAAAGAAATAATTCACCTGGTAATGCTTACCCTTATTCCACATCTCATATTTCTTCTATTGCCTCTATAAAGGGTATTCCCAAGTTGATATACTTTTTGTTGAATGGAAGAGGTAAAACATAGTCAGACTTAATGGATTCATTCTTGGAAAATTCACGTGGGTATTTTAGTGCTTTTATGTAATCCGTAGTTTCTTTAGTAAAAAACAGATGAAAAACAAAAAGCGCCAAAAAACATCTTTCCCTCCTTTTTTGTTTTAAAAATAATAATGTCTGACAAAGGAACCAAGGAAGATGTTATGGTATCAAATGAAAGAACGGAGCAACACATCCGGGAGTACGTTCAGTTGGCCATTGAAGAAGAATCAGAGCGCCGGCTCAAGGCCTTTAAAAGTGAATCATGTCAAACTCCTGTTATCTTTTCCTCTTTAAACTCATCCGTTACATCGTCAGGCAAGCACAAAGATCAGCAAGCGCCAAATAACGTTTATGGAGGTCGCCATGGCAAATCCATAAGCACAATAATCAAGAATGAGGCTCTTCGTCTTCGTAGAGGGTATCACAGTCTTGATATATTTAGTAAAGCAAGTGTTTGCCTTGGATTAAACTCTATTCTAGATATCGGTGATTTACCTGCTAATTTGGAGCAACCACAGTGGGAAAAACTCCAGCAGATTAACCCTTCTAAAAGATACAAGGCAGATGGTTATGAACAAGTGTTGGAGCCTTTAAGATGTATAGAAACTGTATATGACAGTGAGAAAACCTTTGAAGAAAACTGGTCAAATCTGTACAAGGAACTCAAACAACTAGAGATAAAATATAGCTCAGATAGTTACAGTGATATTAATTTCTGTATTCGCTTGCTATTTTATATCTTGACAATCATCAAACAACAGCCTCATCTTTTCAAAGAAGAAATAAACTGTTCTGGATGGGACCATGTAGTCAAGTTCTGGGGCATCGCTTTGGAACGTTTGTTTAGAGACACGGAGCTCGGTTTAACATGGAATGATACTCACTTGACCATATCAGATATATTTTCAAAAGAAACGGACCTTGAACAAAGAAAAGAAAATCCGTTTAATTATCTTAGTTCCTTTGAATTTGGTGAAGAAGATCCTGTAATAGCAAGATTTGTTGGTGACGAATGCAAAGTATTATTGAAGAGCAAAGCTGCTATTAACAATTTTATAAATAACGGCTCTTTAATTGATTCTGTGGATTCACTCCAATTTAGCGGTCTTAATCTTTACATTATGAATACCACTCTTTCTAAACCAGGTCTATATGTTGTTACCGCATTACACAGTACGTGTATTAAGGAGTCACTTTCCAATTTCGGTGCACACATCACTCTGGCTTCTCACTTGCTTTGTTTTCGCGATAGATGTGTTACAATTTATAAACAATATTACGACCATCTGAAAAGCGACCGTTCTGCTAATGTCCCTGCCAAGAGAGTCATTCACGATTCAACAAAAGATGATCTTGTCTACAAACAAAATTTGATTCGTGGAAACTGGTATCCACCTCTTACTTCTAATACTCCACCTCCACCTCCACCTGAAAATCTATTTGACAACCCTTACTAAAATTTTGATTAATAAAGACCGTCTATGTGCCCCTTCTTTGAAACAACAGTCATAGATCCAACACTTTTTTTTCTTTTACTTTGATCACAAAAATTGATAAATAGTAAAGAAGAAAAAAAAAACGCGAAAATTTCTTCTTTGGACCTTTTCTTTTCCAGTGCAGTTATCAAAAATAACAATGTCCGATCAGACAGTCAAAGAATCAGAAGAAATAGAGAAGCAGTATGTGCGGCAATTTGTTCAACTATCCATCGAAATAGAAGCTAATCGGCGAGTGAAGGCCTTAAGAAGAGAACCGTATCAAAACAATCCTGCTGTCTCCTCACCCTCAAATCCCTCAAATCACTCCACCACATTTTCAAATAGTTACGAAGACCAACAAGAACCAAATGACGCCAACTTAAATAACTACATCGAATCCATGGGGACAATCATCAAGAATGAAGCTCTTCGTGGGTGTAAAATGTATCACAATCTTGTTGTCTCTAGTAAAGCAAGTGTTTGTCTTGGATTAAACTCTATCATCGATATTAATAATCTTCCTACTGATCCGGAGGGAAAACGTCTGCAGATCAACTCTCATAAAAGATATAAGATCGATGGTTATGATAAAGTGTTGAATCCTTTAAGAAGTATAAAAACTGTATATGACAGTGAAAAGACCGATGATGTAAACAGTTATAATTTGTACAAGGAACTTCAACAATATAAGATAAAGTACACATCAGATAGTCATAGTGATATTGACTTTGGTATTTTCTTGTTACTCCGTTTCCTGGAAACCATTGAAATGCAGCCACATCTTTATAAAAAAGAACTAAATTGCTCTGAATACGAAGATGCAGATAGGTTTTGGGTTGTGATTATGGAGCGTTTGTTCAGCAACACGGAGCTAAATATAACATGGAATGATGCCCATTTGACTATATCAGATTTATTTCCAAAAAGAACAGATCTTAAAGAAAGAAAAATAAACCCTTTTGATTATATGGGTCCTTTCAAAGATGAATACGGACTGCCTGTTGTTGCAAGGTATAATAGTAACAGGTGTAAAGTATTATTAAAGAGCAAAGCTGCTATCAACAATTTCATACAAAATGGGTGTATAATTGATTCTGTGGATTCGCTCCAATTTGATGGTCTTTTCGTTTGCATTATCAACACCACTCTTGTCGAACCAGGTTTTTATGTGAATACCAAATTACACGATACAAAGGTCGACGATTCACTTTGCCGTTTAGGTGAATACATTACTCTAGCTTCTCATTTGCTCTGTTTTCGCGATAGATGTATTGAAATCTATAAACAATATGACAATCATTTAAAAAACGGTCGTGCTAGCAGTGTCTCAGGCAAGAGAAACAACGAGCATTTACTAAAAGATGATCTTGTGCAGAAGCAAAATTTAATTCGCGGAAATTGGTACCCACCTCCTACTCGTACTACCCCACCTCCACCTCCACCTCCACCTAAAAACTTATTTGGCAACTCTTGCAAGAATTATGGCGTCCTTTTTAATCAATGATTAATAAAGACTGTCTAAGAGCTCAATCTTCAGAATAACAGTCATAGATCTATCAATACTTTTGCTTTTTACTTCAATTAAAAAAATTGATAAATAAAAAAATTGCGAGAGTTTCTTTTGGACCTCTTTTTACCATTGATGAACTATCAAAAAAATAAAATGTCCAACCAGACAGTGGAAGAAGAGATTGCAGAATCAGAAGAAAGAACGAAGCAATGTATTCGGCAATATGTTCAACTATCCATCGAAACAGAAGCTAATCGTCGAATTAAGACTTTAGTTAAAGAACCATATTATCAAAACAATAACCAAACTTCTGCTACCTCTTTCACCTCAGATCCTTTTGCCACATCGTCAAATATCTACGAAGATCAACAGGAACCAAACGAAGTCTGCCTTGACGGCTACATTGAATCTATAGCCACATTTGCTCTTCGTATGCGTAAAGAGTATCATAATCTTGCTGCTTGTAGTAAATCAGATGTCTCTCTTGGATTAAATTCTATCCTAGACATCGATTCTCTTCCTATTGGTTTCGAGGAAGAAAGCGAGCAGCTCAACGCTTCTAAAAGATACAAGATCAATAAATATGATCAACTTTTGGAGCCTTTGAAAGCTATCGGTAGTATATACGATAGTGAAAAAAATGATTTTGAAAACTGGACAAATATACACAAAGAAGTCAGGAAATATATCTTAAATACTCACAATGATATTCGCTTCTGTGCTGACTTGTTCATTCGGATCTTAGACGTCATCTTATATCATTCTCCTCTCGTTGAAGGTGAAATCCGTTATTCCAAATGGGATCATGTAGTCAGGTTCTGGGGTGCTGTTATGGAGAGTTTGTTTAGATACACGGAGCTAGGTTTAACACGGGATGATGCTTACTTGACCATATCAGACATGTTTTTAAAAAAGACATGCATTGAAGAAAGAAAAGAGAATACCTTCGACTATCTGGGTCCTTTCGAAGAGGAATACCAAAATCATACCTTTATAAGGCACTTTAGTAGAAGATCCAAAGTACTACTGAAGAGCAAGTCTGCTATCGACAACTTCTTACAAAATGGGTGCTTAATTTATTCAGTAGATTCGCTCCAATTTAAAAGTTTTGAACTTAACATCATCAATACGACTCTTGCTGATCCAGGTGTCTATACAGGTTCCACCTTCTACAAAATACAGATTAAGAAGTCTCTTTGTGATTTTGGTGAATATATCACTCTGGCATCTCAATTGCTCTGTTTTCGTGATAGATGTATTGAAATCTATAAACAATATGAAACTCATTTAAAAAGCAAGCGTACCAGCGATGTCTCCGGTAAGAGAAGTTGCCAGGATTCACCAAATAATGATCTGATCTACAGGAAAAGTCTGATTTGTGAAAGCTGGTATCCACCTCGTACATCTAGTACTCCACCTCCACCTCCACCTGACAAACTGTTTGGCCGTGCTTGGTAAAAATAGCATCATTAAAATGAATAAAGACAGATTGATTTATATTGCACACAAATACTTTTTTGAGCTCAATAGTGTGAAAAGAAGTTAGAATATACATCTGCCTTATGATTAAAGCTTATGGCATATGAAATTGTCCATGACTATGTTAAATCTTATATTTACCCAGCAGGCTGTACTGAGTTTTAAAATAACGGCACGAATTGAATTGGGAAGGATGGCGCGTTTAATTGAAAATTGCAATCTATCTCATACCGTTTTAGAAGAGAAGATAGATATGCGTGGGCTAATAAACAAAAATTGTAGTGGTAATTAAATCGCTTTATATAAAAAGAAAGTAGCGACAGAAAAATGAAACGCCAATGTGTGATTTGAAAGAAGGGTGCATTGACACACCCTTTTTCGTGACTCTAAAAAAAAAGCTTAATTTATTTTGACTTGATTACACCCGCAACGTATTACTACGGGGTTTTGAACCCATTCAATTAGTCATTCATATGAAACGCCTTTTCCTCGTGTAAAAATGCATAAAATGTATACAAAGAGCGAAGCTAACCAAATAAAAGAGCTCGTCCCTGGTCGACAACACTGGAACCTTGTATGGATTTAAGACCTCAAAGCTGTAATGGTGACAACAGAAAAGTCAAATTACGCATTTAACTTTTATTAATCATGGACATAAGAACTACAAGGCTACCTACTTTTTTTTTTCATTAAATGAATTCATTTGTGGGCTTAGATTTTTACAATGGCGCAACAATTGGTAATTTGATCTCCCTTGTGACTTATTTAACCGAATTGCTGGTTTCTAAAAAAAATGTATACACAAGAGATTTTGAAGCGAACTGAGGGAATTTTTTTAGCATTGTGTATCATGCGACTGTTTCACTAATGATGTGGTTGATAATTACGGCTTTACGATGTCATAATAAACGAGATAACATATATATATATAAATCCAGACCCTGTGTAACTGAGGTTCAAATGATTTGTTTACAGAAAAGGGCATACTCTATTTTCAGCCAATAATAATGAATTGGGTTTAGTCAAACGATATCGTAATTCAATTAACCTGAATTGCTCATATTAAAAAATTATGTATATGCAAAAATCATGTATTTTTTTTTCTCGGTCGAAAATCGTATAATCCAATGCGCGATTGTGTAATACAAAACTGTTTCTGGTAATCATGAAAAACATCAATTTTTTTTTTAAACTGTAAAAAAAAAAAAAAAATTATCAAAAAAGTGGCATGTTTCTTTTGAAAATTCAAAATAACGAATGATCATTGTATAATTTTTTTTTTATAACTTTATTTTTATTTTGATTTTGCAAGCCTTCCTTTTTTTAATATATATATTTCTTTTTCCCCCCTTCTACAATTCAAATAGAAAAGATCTTAAAGAATGGGAGAAGAAGAAATTGGAGATTTGGATTTTGACACATATTTTAATGTTACATCAAACGCTCAACGTCAGCAACAATTGATGTACAATCATCATTTGCAACAACAACAAGCCTTAAATACGCAAAGAAATCGCTATCCTTCTCAATCTTACTTTCCTTCTCAACCTCAACCCTCTTATGAAATGATGACTTGGTATGTCAATCCATCGTCATCGCAACAGGATCACTCACCCGTATATTCGGAGAGTCGCCCTGAGTACATGTACGCACCAACAACTACCACTGCCACCACCAGCACAGACCAATTTAACTCCGCTCATCCCCAAATCCATCCTTCAGCCAATGAACAGAATTATATGGTTAATAGTGGCGACATTATTTACAACTTGTCAGATCAAACAGAAAATCTTTTATTTCCTACCCGTGTCCATCCTAATGAGACTGGTTTAATTACGCCCATTTCACCCGTGGATTTGATCCCTCCACCCGTCAGTGTAACAACCCACCTTCAACCTTCTTCTGAATCCAATTCACCAGGATCTACCGCTTCCTCACCCGATAATGTCACTCTTTCCGCAAACTCCTTTCCTGTTACGAATTCCGAACAATCGAACGGAGGTAAAATTTTATAAATTATAAGAACAAAAAAAAAGATATTAAAAGACAATGTTATTTAGATTGCCATGAAACTCGTCACTGGCGCAAACCAAAAAGCACGGATTCTACTACAGCTCGCAATAATGCCCATTCTGATATTGTAGAAGCTGCTGTTGCGGCCGTCAACTCTTCTCGAAAGCCCATTATAAGCGGCAAACAATTTAAAAAGGTGGCCCATAATGCCATTGAACGTCGATATCGTAAAAATATCAATGAACGTATTCTGGACCTAAAAAACGTGGTACCTGCACTTTACAAGAAACCCACAACAAGAGGAGAGCATAAGAGCAGCAACGAGGAGTTTGAAGACTCTTCTGATGACGCAGCAGAAAAGACCGAGCATGAAATTGTCGATGGTGTGGAAGTTGCCAAGAAACTAAACAAGGCAACGATTCTTCATAAAGCCACGGAATACATCCATCATTTAAAACACACCAATGATTTAGCTGAGAGAGAGAACCGCGTGCTCTTGCAGATCTTGGCTCAAGTCCCAGGAGGAGCTGAAGTACTGGCTGAATTTCAGATTCAAAAATTAGGTCACCAACAAGCTGAGCAAGATCGCCTGATTGCACAACGTAAAGAATCTTTGGACCATGAAAAAATTGAACACCAGCGTATGCTTCGAGAACGTGCCGCCCAACGTGCTGCGCTAGCTGAATTAGTACCCAAACCTGAGCGTAAACCTTATCCTCGCAGAGTCAAAAGAACACCTATTGTCCCTGCACCGCCTAAAGAAAAATCGCCGGTCGCTGCCATATCAGACAATAATAAACCCATCTTGGCCATGTTCTTAGGTGTAGCTCTGGTATCTCCTTTATCATTTAACAAAAATACTACTCAGCATAACAGACATCAGCACACATCGCATCATTCCCAACAAGCTAAAGTTCACTTTATTCAAAACGATATCCTTCTTGACCATCATCATCATCAGCATAATCGGTAAGTGCTTTTTTAATTTTATATATCGAATCATGGGTCAATAACACTTCCTTTTCAGATACCACAATTTAGTAGGCTTATTTGCTGTCTTGTGTATCTTTATATGTCTATTATTTTCATTCAAGATATTCAAACATGCTAGAAAAGTTTGAATACATTCTTCCTCCTCTCCCTTAATTATTTAGCTCTTTTAACAGTAAGTATCATACATAACATATTGTTAACATATACATTCCTTTCCTATAACCCCAATATATGCCTCCCCACCACCACCACCAGATGTTTATTTAATTCGCCTTCAGTGTTGGTGAACTAGAGAAAACAAAAACTTGTACTTTTATAATAAAAAATATCCTAAGCTTAAGCATCTTAAAATAGACTCAGATTTGTGATTTAACTGCTAGGCATGTTGAAGCGTCTCAATAAAAGTCCTAGAATGTTATGCAGTCTATCAAAAGTATCAACAGCGGCAAACATACAATTACAAAGCCAGCCAATTTTTGCGATTATTTCTTTCCTTTTACACACATAAAAAAAAAAATGAATTCTTGGGCACAAGAAAAGGTAAATTAATAAACATGAATCAACTAATGGTCCATTGTTTTACCATTATTTTCTCTCTCTCTTTCTCAGTCTGAACTTTTAGAGACAGAGCCCTCCATCTATTCAGATTATGAAACCACACAAGTCTCGATGGAATGCCACATTCCCGAATCCAACATCGGTTACCAATTACTGCAAAAAATGGGTTGGACTGCAGGTAGAGGGTTGGGATCCAGAGGACAAGGTAAGCTTCTATTGTTCTCTCTCTCGTTTTTTTTATGTCTATTGCCTGACTGACAACGATCACCCTTTGTAGGAAGAGTGGACCCGATTCGTATCGAATTAAAAGACGACGCTCTTGGTGTCGGTAAAGCTCGCGAATTCGACACAAACCATATCGAAAGCACCTCCAAAAGAAAAGCACTGGACAGTGAAAAGCAAATGGATGAATCCGAAATACAACGGACAGAACGAGAATACAGAGCCGAAAAGAAACAGGCCATCGAAAAGGAGTTACAGCAGGTCAAACGCGTCTTTTACTGTGAATTATGCGATAAACAGTACAAGAAAGTAAGCGAGTATGACCAGCATCTTCAGAGTTACGATCACCATCATAAAAAGAGGTTCAAGGATATGAAGGAAACCGCGAGAAATTCCATCATGAATCAGTCTGAACGAGAAAAGAAACTGGCGAGAGAAAGAAAACGCGAGGAAAAGGAATTGAAGCGTATGCAAGAAGCCATGCAAAAGAAGTTGGGTCAACCAGATCAGCCTGTGACTAAGCCTTCTATTCCTACAACCACAACTGCACCTAATAGTGTGCCATCCAATGGTAATGGTGGATGGGCTAGCACAACAGGTGGGTGGGGTCAGCCTGTCACCGTTCCCGTGGCTACAAAAACACAAGTGCCTCAGCCATCTGCCGTGCTTCAACCATCCACAGTGCTTCATTCATCCACAGTAACTCAGTCATCTACAATGCCTCATTCATCCACAGTGCATCAGTCATCTACAGTGACCCAAGCACCAGCAGCATCTCCTGCGGTACAAGCGCCCAAGAAACTAGCGTTTGGATTGAAGAAGAATGTATTTCAGTTTGGCATGAAAAAGAAATGAGTGTAAGGATGTACGCGCGCTAATAAAATTCGCGACATAGGATATGCGCGCGCGGGCCACGAAAAATCAATTGATTTTAGTGGCTTATAGTTCAAATCTCCCCCTTCCCCTGGTCCTTTGGAAATAAACACCCCGCCATTTTTTTTTCTTTTCTCTCTTTTTTTCCGTAACCCTAATTTAATTAATTAAAAGAAGAATGTTCCGTCCTACTGCTCTTCTCAATGCTGCCTCTAAGGCTGCTACCTTCAGAATGGCTCCTCGTGCCGCACCTGTTGCCTGTCGTTTCTATTCTTCTGCTGGTTTAGGTCAAGCAGATATTGAATCTCGTGTTTTAGATATTTTGAGAGGTTTCGATAAAGTTGATGCCAACAAGGTAAAAATCATTTAAAGAGAGCATACGCGCGTGTCTATGGAGGGAAGAGAAAGAGAATGCGTGTGTGTGTGTACATTGTGGGAAATGTCAGGATTACTAAACAATGTTTAGATTGCTCTTGATTCTCATTTCGTGAAAGACCTTGGACTCGATAGTTTAGATACCGTTGAAGTCGTTATGGCTATTGAAGAGGAATTCTCGGTCGAAATTCCTGATAAGGAAGCTGATGATATCAAGACTGCCAAACAAGCTGTTGAATACATCAGTCACCGTGCTGATGCTCACTAAAAAAAAAGCTCTTTATAAATAAACAATATATACATACACTTTCTCAACATGCACTTACGCACACACACACACACACACACACACAAGCGCACACATACACACAAAGTTGAAGAAAATCATGTGACGTAATTTTTTTTTTTTTTTTTTTTTTTTGTAAAAATTGGCTGCATTCAAAGCATTTATTGAGTTGCCCCCCTTTTATTTATTTTTTATTGTTTCTTTCTTTTCTTTATACACATTTATACATTTATTTCCGTCATGGCTGGCCTTATACAGTGGTTATTAGATTGGTTAAGAAGCTTGTTCTTCAAGGTAGAAGCCAGCATTGTGACATCATCTTCTATACTAATAGTACCCTCTCTAGACTGAAATGGAGTTAACTCTAGTGGGCTTACAAAATTCGGTTTGTATTTTCTTTGTATCCGCAATAGTTTTTGATACTAAGACCCACTCTGTTTCTTAATCTAGGGCAAAACAACGCTCGTAAACGTCATTGCAGTATGTCTACAACCTTGCTAACTTTATTTGTGTGCTGACTTTTTATCATTAGTCTGGACAGTTCATTGAAGATGCTATTCCAACAGTCGGCTTCAATATGAGAAAGGTTACAAAAGGTAATGTGACAATGAAGTTATGGGATATTGGAGGTCAACCACGTTTCCGAAGTATGTGGGAAAGATATTGTCGAGGCGTCAATGCCATTGTGTAAGTTAAGCACCAAACAAAGATGTACTTTTGCCATTCTCATCTTGTTTACTAGTTTTGTTGTGGATGCTGCAGATCGTGACAAGTTGCAAGCTGCAAATACAGAGCTGAAAAACTTATTGGAAAAACCCCAACTTGTTAATATTCCAGTACTTGTGCTAGGAAACAAAAATGATTTGCCTGAAGCATTAACAGCTGAAGAGCTGATCGAAGCATTGTAAGCTGCTTATCTCATTCCTTTTATCTTTCCTTTGTATTCATCTCTCTCTCTCTCTCTCTCTTTTAGACATCTTAAATCCATTACGAATAGAGAAGTATCTTGTTATTCCATTTCAGCAAAGAATCAAGTCAATATCGATGTCACATTACAATGGCTTATTAAAAAAGGAAAAGGGCAAAAGTAATCTTTTTTGAATCACAAATTAAAAAATACCCCCTTCAACAAATCCCCCTCATACACACACACACACACACATTAAAAGGCCGATGGACAAACACATTTTTGTTTAATGAATTACATAAGGATCCCATGCCTTTTTTTTATATATTATATGTACAATGTCATAACATTATCTAAACGATGCATTGTAAAAAAGTTCTATTTTATTCGGTAGCGTGTGCTTTCATCATTTAGAAAACCCTTCCATGCTTTTATTCTGGCATATTTCTGCATTAAAAAAACATCCAGTCTAAAAAACATAACCAACAGAGCAAGAGATTTCACAATAGATACACGCACTCGGGGATAGATCTAGAAAAAATTGTCTGATGCGATGACAAAGACGCACCACCCTACTTGGGGGAGTACCCTGATCCGGATCACAAATAAGTCCCGGCATGTGGTTTTTAACAATCAGATATGCTGCTGCTGTAATGGATTCAGTACTATACTGAGCCTTTTGGTAAAACAAACAAATCAAATATTCATTCAAATAAGTGTAACAAATAAACAATAAACATGTATAAACAGAAGACTCCATAAATGGTAACCATCGTCTGAATAAAATGGATTGCGTTGTATTGCAACGGGCGTGTTACACACACACACACACACACACTTACTAAAAAAGCTTTGTCTTCTATGATCCCTATTTTTAAGGGACACAAATTCACCGTGTGGCATAAAAGTGTAATCTTAAAAGTTTTCAATCACATCATTTTGGATGTACAGTCTTTACAAATCATGTTTCAGCATTGTCAAATAATTACTAAATCTCTCTGATAAACAACCAAAATACAAAGGTCTATCTATTGTAGTACGCAGCCATTTCTTGTTTGGGTTGACATTGTTTGCTTAGTTAATCAATTATCTCATCCTGACGTAAACTGGTCCTTGTTTATAAATAAAAAGAGGAAAAACATTTCACGATGCTACTGCACAATACCTGAAAAGGCCGACACACAATCTGGGCTTTAGTTTAATATTTACCGCTAATTGTCTTGATGCTAATTATATTTGAGCAGTTCGAGCATTATTCATTGGTGCTTACTTGGTTACTAAACTTCTCTGAATATGTTCCAGGTAATTTAAAAACTATTGCTGATGTTAGTTACCGTTGTTTACGCTGGCTCTAGCAAAAATATTGAACTTCAATATCACTGCTGGGTAGTCTCATACAGGGAGACGCCAGGCAACATTTCCGTTACGAGGCTTATCTTTCAAGCAAAGATTTCTCTAAAAACAGCTATAAAAGACCCCGGATCTGCTGGTCTAGACATTTACATGCCTCTTAGTTCTATCACTCATAAGGGTTTAACGTTTTGGATAGTAAAAAAATCTCTGACAACGAATCACTGGTAAACAAACTTATCATTTAATTTACCTTAGTGAACATGTTGATTACGTATACCTAAACAATTGTACCAAATCATCTGCAACAATTGTATGTTGGGCAACTTAAGTTGATATCAATTAAAACACTAACACCCGAAAAATGCAAAGATTTAAAAAGATTTTGATTTTTGAAGAAGCATATTTTCTGCTTTACTGAAAGTAGCCGAAAAAATGCATTTACCAATGTGTCATCTATATGCTAGCTTGCAAGTTCATTTCATCATATATATATATTCAACATCCTTTTGATTTGATTGGCCTAAAACTTTATTCGTGTACCTATAAATAAAAAAATTTGTTTTATGTTTTTCTGTCTTTAATTACTTCATTATAAACAATACAAAATGGACATTAATGACTTCGATTTGACACCTAGCTACCCCCAAAGCGGTAGCTCTGAAATGAATTTCCGTATGCATCAAGTTCAACAAAGAACTGCACAACTGGCTGAACGGTTGGATCGACAACAAACACAAAGGTGCCAGCGCGTCTGCCACGTCCACGTCAGCCTCCACGTCTATTTCTACGACCGCGTCCAGGACCACGTACGTTGCTGGGGGCGTTGTTATTAGCTTCGGTATTGTTCATAGTAAGGTAAGTGATAAAATGAATTTGACAAATTAAAAGGAAAGAAAAAGGAAAATAAAAAACACTGGATTTAAAGCCGTTTGTTATTTTATCATTTTCTTTTCAAGTAAACAGTTTTGAAAACAAGATCACTTTGATCATGTTTTCATTTGATACCTTATATGTATATGTATTGTTTTGCCCAAATTTAGCTCTACATTTCAGACACTTTTTTCACTATTTTTGTATAAAAAATGGGCTATTTATTTTCGGTTCCTACTCTGCGTGTCAACCAGCTGCCCTAGGAAAGATGCAATGGCAATAGCAGGTTAGCTGCATCCACTGGAGATACCAGCTCAGCAGATGAGCTTGGGAGCTACTATGAATTGGGAGTGCTGGTGGTGACTTTTAGATATGAGATTTAAAAGTTGAGAGTGAGCACCAAATCAAGTTATTATGTTTGATAACGCCTTTATATGGATATTAAAAAAGAAGGTTTTACGAAAGTAATTATACGGCTTGAACTTTTTACGTCAAATCAAGTATAGAGATGTGAATTCAATAAAATTGATATAAGATTTAAAGTATTGTTTGAAGAATCTAGTAAATTATAAGAAGGTTTCTTTGGATAGATGTTTTCTTTGTAATCAAGATAATCAAAATTGGTATGTGGGAACTTAAATTCGACTGGTTGAAGTATGTATGTTTCTTTTGACAGAGTTTTACTACACAAGATCGAAGATTATACTGAATGTTTCTTTTGACAGAGGTTTTCTAGTGTTTATAATTTAAGTTTATGGAGTAAGGTCTTTATAGCGACTGGTTAAAGTATGTATGTTTATTTTGACAACACGGTTATTCCAAAAAAACGAGATACATTCTAAAAGCTCGGTTACCTCGCCATTGACATTTTCATCCAAGGAAGTCCAGGTAAACCCCGTGCTAAACGTGTCACCAAAATACGCTACAAGGAAGTGCTTGCACAGGGTTCGCGTGTTGGGGTAGGCCCTTTCAGATTTATCGGCTAAAACTCTATTGTCCCAACTTTGCGACAGGCCTGCCAAGTAAGTTTTCATTGTTTCAGTATACGCAGCTGTTTTTCTTTCAGTATTCAAGTTGATGTTTCTTGAGCCAAAGGGGATCATTAGAACATCTGTTCTACCAACCAGATTATTGCCCCTATAGTACTTAATGATCTTTAACATTTGTTCTTGAAGGGCCTCTTCGTACCATGACGCAAAATATTAGTATCAAAAGTCTATCACAAAACCGAGAACTATAGTTACCTTACGATCCAATCAACAGATCGATACATGGAACGGACGTTGTCTGAATGCATACCCTTGAAAGAACCACTGAAATCCGTAGAGATATTACAGCGCGAATCGTTCATGGATTTTTGGATCTTGTCAAAGCTCGCAGGGGAAATAAGGAAAGGGTACTTGGATTCTCCACCAACAATTTTGAAACGGGCATTGTACCTTGGAGAGAGGAGATCAAAGCAGAGTTTGCTGACATTCGAGAACATCGCAAAAGAAGAAATCAATTCCCAAGAAGGTATTTAATTGAGCAAAAGGACTTGGTTTTTTAATGCCATAAGTGTTATCAGCGTTGGGCTTTGGGTGTAAGATGTAAGTACAAAGTAGACGGGAATATAAAACGCGGGAACTTACGACTAACAAGGATTCCTTACTTCCGGTAGGAGTATTCCTTTGAATAAAGTACATGCCACGGAATAGTCTATCAATATACTTGTCTTACGTACTGGTGAGGTATCTGATGAGGAAATGTCAAAACTGGGAAAATGGGTGACAATGTTCTTTGATAAAAAAGAAAAACTAAAGTTTTGTAGTGTGACTACCTCTACTGAAATAAAGCACCAACCCTTGTAGTGATCGATACGTACAAAACTTACAGATCAATTTCGATAAAGACTTCAAGTTCGAAGGCATCATATAAAATTATGTTGAACTATCATGGGATTGAATTAACTTCTCGAAAGTTCGAATTTGTGTCCGGCTTAGGATGAAATGTTCTACGAATTTTGGCAAAATCGTTCAAGAATTTAAATGCGAAATTGTCTCCGGGTTACGTATTTGGGCAAAAAAAAAATATCTTCATCGAAATTGATCTGTAAAGTCTGTATAAAAGTTAAGATGTTTAAGGGAGGTGCGTGGGTGGGGGGTTGGGACCTCTTCGTCCCAAGAATACGGCCCATAACATTTAGAATTGAAGTGTTACCATCTGAAAAAGCAATATTCTTTTTTTTTATTTTTTTTTATATATCTAAGGGAATGCAAAGATACACGGCCATTCCTGGACAACACTCTCTTCTTTTGAGTGGTAATTGTGTATCCTTTTTTCTTCTTCTTCTTTTTTGACATTATCTTTATTAAATGAATCCGAGTTATAAAGGGAGGGGGGTTATACTTAATAAATGATTGTTTTTTCTCAATAAAGAATTTATAATAAATGAACTTTTAGCTAATATAATACACTATGATGTTTATGAACGTGTTCCTTTTTAACATCCAATATAAAAATATAACGACTGTCAATATAGCTGTTACTTTGTCTCCTCGTATATTAGCTTGATGGGTAAGAAGAAGTATTTCTGCTCAAGAAAAGACAATGGGTATCAGTTGAAGTTTCTGATGGCGTATATCACATACATGACATCTTGAAGACGTTCCGACGAAGCAATTATGGCAGGTCCTTTCTTTAATCAAGTATCTCATATCCACTGGATAGCATTATTTGTTTTTTTTTAAAAAAAAATTAATCATTCTTTCCTATAGTTATAATAATTGATGCAAATTGTAATATCGACTCTTGGGTAGTAAGCAAGGGATTCACTAGTTTATGAACACTAATTACTGCCTTTTTTCGACTCGAAGCAAGAGTCTGAATACAATGCTATAGAAGCTATAAAAAAAAACTCTTCTTATTTATCAGGTATTACTGAAATTTATAAAGCTTGCTATTGACGGCCTCAAGAAAGGGAATTTTCTTATAATGGTATAGGTAGTTGCTTTTTACGTATCCACGATAATCCCTGTTTTTAAACCCAATGGAAGAACACAGGGTTAAACCCCTATGAAAAATCTTATAAACCAGTTACTGTCCCAAAAAATTCCGAGACAAAGTGTACCTTAAACAATTATAGGATAAATGGCTACGGGGATTACGGAGCAGCCACACTCCTGGTTACTCAGAGTTTTCCTTCCTAGTGATATGTCATTACCGGTCAAAATTAATGGTTGCTAAGAAGGGAACACCTAGTTTTGGATTGTAAAACGAAGAAAAGAAAATCTCGAATGTTTCAAAAAGTAATTAAGCATGTCCAGAAAAAGAAAGCTTACGGTTTAAAAGAGAGAGAGAGACTTGGCATTTTCCTAGAATTCAGAATCCCGGAAAAGGGTTGTGTTACACTGCTGAGAAATACCGAAAAAAAAAAGAGTGATGGCAAATAAGGATTCAAATTTACAAATGTAGTGTAACAAAGCCTAACAAAATACTCAGCCACATCCCAAAGGCAGCAGGGATGTATCGTCACCGTTTTGTCGAAAAGGGATGCCAAGGATCGAACACAATTACTATCTACGATTGACTATTTTATCGTTGATCTATAACGAGATGGTGTCTACTGTACTCTTCTATTGTACTCTGGAGATGACTACTCAAGTATAACACAAATAAATCATGCATTTGAGTCTCTGACTTGATACAATCCAGTCTATTTATTGACGGGATAATGCGCCAAACAATCAAAAAAAAAAAAAAAATGCTTGTGTCACAAGCACTGGTAACGTTCCTGGTTCATTCAGAATTTCGTATCTTGTTCGGAGTGAAATATAAATAGCTTTTTTCTTTTTTCTTTCTAGCCTTTCCCTTTTCTCCTTTTTACTATCTTTTTTTTTTCTTGTCCTAAATGAAATTTATTTGCAAGACATTCTATTTGCTTGCGTTTATATTTTCTTTTGTAAAATGTGAGTTATTGTTTATACATTAAAAAAGGTCCAAAAAAGACTTATACATGTGTATAGGTCACAGTGTCAATAGTAAACAATTGTTATGGGTCGAGCCAGTTAGCACCGTCAAACTCGATATCGCAGCACGGTCAGACCAGTTCTTCGCCAAAAGAGAAATATCAGAAAATAGTCATTACCAACCCAATGTACGCTCATTGGCTCATGATGACTCTCTTCGACTAACTGTCAATGCATTCAACAAAACCATGTATTTACATTTAACTCCTAACCAAGACTTGTTCCACCCCAACGCCGTCTTTCACCAAGACGGAAAGTCTACGCCTATCAAGGCATCCGATTACCGTGTCTATCGTGGTTATGTCATTGATGATATCTATTCTCAACACTGGTGGATTTCTGGATTAGGGGAGGATATGGAGAATCAACCCGGTGTTCTTGGTTGGGCCAGAATTATAGTCCGAAATGATATAAGGTTTCTTTTTTTTACTTAATGAATTATAATAATGTTTAATAACTAATTATTAATAATATTAGACATAATTTGGACCATCCCATGTTTGAAGGAACTTTTAGTATTTACGGTGATACGCATCATGTCAAACTCACAGAAAATTACCAACGAACGAAACGATCGGACGATGCCGAATTACAATCGACCGATGGTGTTCATATGGTTGTTTACCGTGATTCCAACACAGTCGAAAAGAGTAATGGAGGAGGTAGCTGTGGCTTTGATCAATTACAACATTCACCCTTTGATAAAAAAACCTTTCATAATCCGCTCGAGATTGTGGATCACCAGAAAAGGACCAATTTCGGCACAATTCATACCGGTAATACGCTATCCAAACGAGTGGAACAAGGTTGTCCTGCTACCAAAAAGAGTAAGTAAAAACTAAACTTAAATGACCTACTCAAGTCTTTTTCAGAAAAGGAGAGTTCACCCACCCCCTTATATTTAAATTACTTATGAATTATTTAGTTTTGTATATGGGTGCTGCTGCTGATTGTACCTATGTCAAGCATTACCAATCAACTGATAATGCTCGTATGCAAATCATTAACAATTGGAATTCCGTCAGTTCTGTTTATTCTTCCTCTTTTAATGTTGCTCTCGGTTTAATTAATATCACCATCATGGACTCTGCCTGTCCCACCACCCCGAGTACAGCTACTGCATGGAACCAACAGTGTTCTACTGCTTATTCGATCACCAGCAGACTCAGTGATTTCAGTAAATGGAGAGGTTCAATTGGAGATGATGGCGCTGGTCTCTGGCATTTGATGACCAATTGCGCGTAAGTTCTATTTCTCGCTGGGAATGAAAAAAAAAAGTTATTAACATTTCATTATATAAAAAGTACAGGTGCAGAAGTTGGAATTGCTTGGATGTCAACCGTCTGTACTACAGGCGTGAAAAATTCCAACACAGATGGATACACCTCGGGTACTGGTGTATCGTCTATCAGTAAGTTATCTTATTTTGTGTTTATTAGCTGAGTATTCATTGTTCCTCTCTCAATAGTCCGCGATGAATGGAAAGTAGTAGCTCATGAAATTGGACATAATTTTGGTAAAAATTTTTTTTCACACGCACTCTCTTGCATTATATTTTTTTACTCAGCCCAATTTTTTATAAAAAAAATACAGGCGCAATGCATGATTGTAATTCACAAACATGTCCTTGTTCTGGTGCATCTTGCCAATGTTGTCCTCTCAGTGATACCACGTGTGACGCTGGTGGAAGATATTTCATGAATCCTGTCAGTAATGCTTCCTCTGACGCATTCAGTCCTTGTAGTATCAAATCTATCTGTACAGCCATGCCACAACATTTATCATGTTTAGAAGGTAAATTCCCTCGCTAATACTTTTGTAACAAAAAAAAAAGGCAACATAAGGCTTATGAACCCATCATAGATCCTGGATCAAGAAATGTCACTACCTTAAAGATGTGCGGTAACGGTATTAAAGAAGACGGTGAAGATTGCGATACCGGTGGTCAAGACAGTGCTTGTTGTAATCCTACCACTTGTAAATTCAAAACGGGTGCTGTTTGCGAGTAATGTTGTTACCCTAATATAGTAAAATGCGGATATTCTAACCCAGCCATCTTTTACCCTTTTTTAGTGATTTCAACGATCTTTGCTGTACCGGATGTCAATTAAGACCAGCCAATTACACCTGCCGTGCTGCTTCTACGGAGTGTGATCTTGCTGAAGTCTGCTCTGGTACTTCGGGTGACTGTCCTGTGGACAAATACAAGGATGATTTAACCAGTTGCAGTAACGGTAATAAGTGTGCATCCGGTCAATGTACTTCACGTGATGCTCAATGTGTTGCGCGTGGTGTCTCTATGAACATGAAGAAGGCGTGTAGTAGTCAAAGCGGATGCGAAGTAACGTGTCAAGATCCTAGATCATCCATGTCATGTACCGTCTTCCCAGGTTACTTTGTCGATGGTACACCTTGTGGTGTTGGAAGTGTGTGTAAATCAGGCCAATGTAATTCGGATAACGCAGGTAACGTCATCTTAGATTGGATCAACAACCATAAGCAAATTGTCATTCCTGTGGCTATTGTGGTTGGCTTATTCTTCTTGTTCTGTTTGTTCCGTTGTTGCTGTTACGGTGGACGAAGTGGATACAATAACATGTCCAAGACGACGTACATCATTCCTGCTCAACAACAAGGCTATCAAGGTCAATATAACGGACAGGTACCCTATTATCCTCCTCCTCCCGGTCCTGGTCATCAACAACCCTACTACTCACCTCCTCCTAATAATGGCTGGGTAGATCCTGCACAATACAATGGAGCAAATTACGGCCCTCGTCAACCACTTCCTGTGTATACGCAAAATGATCCTCATACCGCGACACAAGAATCTTATGAATTGAATAATGCGAATAATTGGAATCGTGGTGGTGCTGGTCATACTACACCTGTGCCTTCCTCACCTTCTCCAGGATATCAAGCACCCGCTTCACCTATACCTGGTCATGGACAGACACCTGCATACGGACAAATGCCATCCCCTTCACCCGTCAACGCTTATCCTCCTCCACCTCCTCATGGTACTTCAAATAATAGACCCTATCATGAAGGTGTTATTTAAGTGGAATTTAACCTCACTTTAGTATAAATGTACATTTTCTTTTTTATCCCCCTTCCCCCACCCCTCCCCTTTTTTTATTGTATACTATATTTTTTTAAATACATGTCAAGATATCCTATTTATACAAATAAATTCGTTAGATCGTAATCACCTTCTTTTCAATGTGTATTTAGCTACCGCACTCACACAACAATATATTATGTCATAATTAGATATATCACACTAGTGCGTATCTACAATAGAGCCACCAACATTAAAAAACCCCCACACCGACAAAAAAAAAAAGAAAAAAAAAAAATTAAAACCCATCATAAAGCAGCTTTTATTGTTTAATCCCATGTTTGCTGAGTTCTAGTTGCTCAAGATATTCCACCTTTTTGATTATTACTTCTAACCTTTTTGTCACATTTCCCAACCCATCTGCTATTCTTTCGTTGCTCTCTATCATTTTTTTTATCTGATCAATTTCTTCACGGCTGTAGTGTTCCAAGTTGTCTAATGAGCGTTCAGCACCTTTGTTAGATTCAGGACCCGGTTGTAAGCAAGCCGCCGCTCTATCACTAATGACTTCTCTGTTCTCAAGGTATGGAGAATCCATCTGATTTACATCGGTGTGGTAACCCACTGGAAGCTTTCCTCTTATTGAAGCTACTGCCATCGCATCTTGCTCTATTTTTTTCTCCAAAAGAGCATCCGCTTCAGCTCTTTTCGTCCTCTTCGTCCATTTCTTTCTGCGATCCATCTACAATAAAAAATCCATCAATTCATGGTATCCCTAGAAGATCTAAAAAATTGTAACCGCTTACCATTTGCTTTAATATCATGACATCGCCCTCAAAACTGCTATTTCTATTCCCTAACATTTGATGGTGTTGCAGCCAATCTAAATTGACTTGGTGTTACACAGGATAGGATCTTTCCTATAAATACGCCCCTTTTTTTCTTAATAAATATTCCTCCAGTTTTATCTTAACTAAAAATCTAGTTTCTTAATAATTTGTAATTGACTCCTTTGTGTTTCCCTCAACTTTCATACTTCTTGTTTATCTTAAGTTTATACTTACATATAACAATTAACTCAAAGTTCATATTTTCACACTCGACTCGAATCTCTTTATTACTACAACCGTACATAAGATATTGTTTTTAATAACATAATTACTTTTCTTTTTAATCTTGGCAATTCGTTTATATTTATATTACTTACGCCCTCTTAAAATCATCGTTGATTATCTTCTTATCCTAAAAACTTTATATTATAAGATTTCTTAAGTTGACTACTTCCAGTCTGGTGCTCACTTTCATAACTACTTTATTATTAACCTCAGTGTTAATAACCTATATCCACCCTATCCTTTAAGAACTATTACCAGTGTCTTAACAATGGTCTAACTGTTTCTCGCTGACCTGTTTGATCAATTGGTTTACCTTGAGCTGAAAGGTATTCCAGCTACAAAGTTTCGCTACATGCGCATCTGTCTTGTTCACTCTTCTCATCACATTTTGTTTGGCTTTGGATACCTCAAGCTTCCCTTTATCAAAAGGATGGTAGATAATCATCGAGTCGATAAGAACAGCAAGTCTTTTCTCTGTCCAGACTCCGTAGTTTTTGCTGGGTTGCGTGGCGTTCGAGTCGTTGTTGTTGTTGTTGTTGTTGTTGTTGCTAGTCATTTTTCATTTGTTTTGTTTTAAAAAGATTAGTGGTTGTTACTTTTTGAAAAGAGAGAGAGAGAGAGAGAGAGAGAGAGAGAGCAGAGACAAAAGAGAGAGTGTTTTAGATATGAGCGATTTAACAATTAGCCTAAAAAATCGGGCCCATCCATGACGAAATGTAATAGCATTAGTTTACGCCCGGAGATATAAACTCAAACTTTTTCCTTTTATGAATTGATAGCTGAAGCACTCTTGTTCATGCTCTTCACAGAAATAAAAATTATTAATAAAAGCAAGTGCACCAAAACGAATAGACTTCAAAAAGAAAAAAAAAGAAAAGGTATAATTGACATAAAGAATGCTCATACCTTACTAGAATTCAAAACATCTAGTGACAAGAGAAACGGATACTTTGTATTGCCACTGACAAAGAGTTGAAAGCACAATCTCAAACATACAATAACAGGACATACAACAACAACAACAACAACAACAACAACAACAACAACAACAAAAAAATGCAAGTGAAAAAAGAAAGAAAATCATTTTTTATTGGTGGCGGCAACAGTAGCAGCAGTAGTAGGAGGTCTGGGAGAGATGGTGTGATGATGATGGTGATGCAAAAGACCGAATTTCCTCTGAAATTTGGATAATTCTCGGGTGACACGATCCAATATTTGTACAGAAGATTCGTCTTGTTTGACTGGTATAAAAGGTATAGGCGTGGATGGACTTGACGGACACGTGTAATCATCAGCCAGGAGGGGTACAGTGGAAGCACTACTAAGGGAAGAGGAAGAAGAACACGATAAGGATCTCTGTCGCATCATCAAGCACTCCTCTTCTTCTACTTCTGCTTCTGTCGAAGGCTTTTCCACCTGTAATTTGGATACACAATCCAATATTTGTTTGGCTCGTTTATTCATTTCGTAAAAAGTCATTTTTGAATTGGGGTATTTGATTTTGGCGGGTGGAGAGGATTCACGGGTGGGTTTACCGTCTGTGGCATTCCAGTAAGGAGAATGGGTAGTGATTTCATCCATCATTAACAACGGACACGAATTGGATTTAGGTTGATGGTTCTGTTTAGGTGAAGGAGAGAAGGAAGTAGCTCGCTTCGCTTTCTTTTTCTGTTGTTGTTGTTGTTGTTGTTGTTGCTGTGGTTCTTCCTCACATGTTGTTTTTGTTGTTGTTATTGTTGTTGTGATTATTGCTGCTGCTGCTGTTGCTGCTGTTGCTGCTGTGGATGAGGACGATGATGCCGCTGTTGCAGTCGTACGTCGTGACCTTGTTGTACGTTCTTCTATCACAAATAAAGATTCCATTTCTTCGACCGTAGTCGATACGGGTGACTCCTGCAATGCCCTTGGAGATAATGCATTGGTTATAACAGTGTCCAGCAAGATAAGTTCAGTGGTTGGACTACTGGTGCTTGTCTTTCTCTTTTTGCTGGGCGGTTTGATGATTTCGGAGTTTGTTCCAATAATAGCACTAGTTGCATCTATTAACCAAGGTGTGGTAGTATTGTATAATCGTTTTGATCTAACATAGTATTTAGTCAAACTATTTATTCTCACAGGATGAAAAAAAAAGGGAATAGTTACCGTCCAGAAGGTGTTTTAATGAGTTGATGATTCTCGGGTTGACACTGATCACAATAATAATGGTCTGGTAATTTCTCTTGGATCAATCCTATGCACTCACAATGTTGCCAGACTTCACATTTATCACACTGCACCATTAATCCAGAGTTATCTAATAAATAAAAATGCACGGTTAATGCATCTCCTCATCCTTTTTTTTTTTTTTGTGTGTGAAAATAATTAAAAAAAAAAAAAGTGCCCGGGTTAAAGGGAAGAAAGAGAGAGAGATAAAAAAAAAGAAAGAAATTTACGTGCTTCACCACAGATACATCGAGTAACAGAGCCAGCATCTGAACTCTCTTCTGAGGAAGATTCGGTGACGTTTTGAGTTAGTTTACTCTTCTTTGGTCCTGGCTTTCTACTTCTACGTGTGGGTGCTAAAATACTGATTAATAAAAAAGAACAGCCTTGACATTGCATGTCTTGTCTTACTCATGGTGAATAAAAGGGGGGTATATGAGTTCTGTTCTGTCCCAAAATAATAAAAATATATTTAAATATATAAAATAGAAAGCGTTAAAACAAGAGAAACAAAGAAAAGAGGGTCAACAAGTAGATTTTTTTTTTTTTAATGTCATAAGGACTTATTTTTTATTTTTAAAAAACCGCCTTTTTATTGATAGTCCAACTTGACATGGATTTGACCGCTTCCTTCTGGTTCTAAAGGCAACCACTTGTCTAACGAGTTTACCAACGGTGGTCGAATTAGATCCCATAAAGAACTTGTCCATAACCCAAGATCAGTAGAATGGAATGTGTGTGCATCCTTGACTCGAATCTCCAGATCGATCTCTTGTCCAGACATGACTTCGTGTGAAAAACTCTCATCCCTATAAAACGATAAAGTCAGCCCCTTTTCTTCTTTTGCAAGTATTATTTTTTTTTCATAAAAAGCTTACCAGCTAGGACTGGCCGTCTTTTTGAGCTTTCTTGTTTTCAAGACATGCTGGTTGCCAAGATGAACTGAAACCTGTGGATGAAGTTTATCCGCCTGGCCTGGTAACCCTCTCGCCTCGATAATGCGTACAGTGAGCACACCTTTTACCGGTAATTCTTGTTTAGTTGGTGGTGGCGGTTGTTCTGTAGATCTCACAGAAGATGCGATATCCGACACTTTTGATTGGATGCTTCTGACACTAAATTTGTTATTCTCTCCCGATACCGATGATGGTGATGATGAGGTATCTTTTGGGGGCAGACTCCAGTTAAATGCAGTCGTACCCATTTTAGTGGTCATTTTACGAGTGGTTCCCATAAATGTGGTATGTGTTCTTCTGTGTTGCAATAACTGGGGTTCCCATTTGAGTCTGACTCGTACAGTCGAACCCATGACTCCTTCCACGCCATCCAGGGGTATGTCGCATTCCTGGGCCATGAAACTCTCTACCATATCGCCTCTCAGTGTAAGCCCACCCGAACCTTTTTTTTTGTTTTTGTCATTTAGCATATTTTCTTTTTCTTTTTTTTTTTTTGACTTACCGAGCGGAACGTCTCCGGTAATTTTGTTCCAGTCAAATACTTCTATTCTAAAACTGGCTGTAACACGAGACATCTAAATGGGGGGTAGGGGGCGCGTAAATTTCATCTTATAGGAAGCTGTCAAAATGCAAAAAAAAAAAAAGAAACACTTACGATGGGAACATCAAATTTTTCATCTTTCCACACTGGATTAAGACTCTTTTTGATAACACCACTCTTGTGGACAAGTTCACCATTAATCACAAATTTCACAAATGGATCACTTGTACCCGATTTATCCACAGGTTTTAAATGTTTGGCATTGAGTAAAGTGACAGTTAAATTACCTTGATCTACAGATAAAAATGTACAGCTCAAAAATTTAATTCTTTTTTTTTTCTTACCCTTCTCTCATACTCATACTTACTTTCAAGGCTTTCATCAGGATTGACTTTATAGTTTAACAAAGGTACATAGGAAAAGCTAAGTCGAATCTTGGCAGATCCTCCTACTGGATTAATCAAGTTATACCATTCTCCTTCATCTTCTCCCTCTTCCTCCTGTCCATTCATCTCTCTCGCTCTCTTTTGAATCTTGCGAATGATCCGTTCACTACTTTCATACCAATAAGCTAAACGTTCATCATCCTTATCCGTTGTCTTTACAGGCTTGACTTCAATTGCCACACGCGAAAATCCTGCATCCTTGATAAACGCATCCGATGTCTCATTGATGGCCAAAATTCGACCCTTGACCTGATTCGTCTTGTGTTGCGCACTGAGAGAATCCACCATCAATTGACAATAGCAATCGTACACTTGGGATGCCTTAATCTCATGGATCTTGACTGTGAGTACACCCGTACTATAAGAAGAAAGGTCAACTAAATCATCGGGTGTGTATCGAATAGGCACATGATGAAGATCATAGAGTGGTTTGACTTCAGACTCGGGCAAAGCCATGGTAGGATAGAACTCGGCTGAATACTTGAGATGACCCTTTTGAATATTGCCTGTGGAGAGAGGTGCTGAAACGTCCCATTTGGGGACTGCAGCCTCATACCAGACAGTATCACCGTCTTTCTTTTGCAGAACAACGTCCTTTAAATGAAGCATGGTGGATCCCAAAGATTTATCCTTGGATCCAGAACTCCAGTCCATCACTTCCAAAACAAGATCTTCATGCATAGAGTGCACGGGCACATAATGATATTCTCCCCATTCGGGACAATCGGTGTTATCCAGAACCTCGGTCTTTGCACGGATTTGTTGACGACTCGATTTGATGCGAACATAAGGGTCTTGTTTATTGCTGCCTACAAGTCCCACAGCTGACCAAATAGAGAATCGAATGACACCAATGGGAGGAGCTATGATGATGATGATAGAGTTCATGCATGAGAGTTCAATTAAATAATAAAAAAAAAGATGATGAACACACAACTTACTATAAATACCAACACCACCCATCTTGGCTAAACCGTCCATGACCACGGGTTTCCATTGCACACTAAGTTTTAAACGTGCACTTGTATTTTGTCCCTTCTTTTTCAAGGTCCACCAGTATTCATTTTCTTCTTGATCACGCATGATGTCGACGAGGTATCCATCCCATGCTCCCAAAGAAGCATCGCCCGCAAAATTAATCCGGTCTGTCACCCCCACACGAAGAAAGACCTCAGTTCGATCCAATACAAGGATCTCGAAGGATCGTTCAAATTTAGGATTTGGGGTGCGCTTAAATGTCGGTGTCTCGAAACGATCAATGCCGTTGATTTTAATGGTGGCAAAGGGGTTCATTTTGTTGTTAGGACCAAGATTTTTACATTCGTGGATGGTCACACGAAGCACACCAGAGTCTAGATACAGTTTATCATGATTAAGCTTTTTTACTTTTATTAATTTATTTACCCGAGAGAACTTACTGGAAGGTGCGGCTTCAATAACTGTGCCATCTTCATTCTTGATAGGTTTAGACACAGGAAAGTATTTCATGTCTGCTAGCAAATTGGTAATAAATTTACCATGACGTTGCATTGGTAACTCTCTAAAGTGCGAAAAACACAGTTACAAACTGGCACCATGTGAAAGGGGGAAAAAAATCACTTACAAATCATCCAACTCCATGTCATCATCATACTTCATGTCCTTTAAATCAAAATGGGCTCTTGCCAAACGTTTGCCGGACTTTTTAGTATGGTTGGTAGTACGAAGTTCCATTGTCAGAATCGAATTTAAATTGTTGAGCAAGATAAATCTTGTTTCGTTCCAGTGCGGTGTATGTGAATTTTCGCAAATGGCGGTCTTTTCAAGCTCTTGAGCTTCATCTAAATAGAATCGAATGAATGTGTTGAGATTGGTGTCGGATGATTTGATTTGCGTGCAGGAATGAACGGTGATAGCCAGCACTCCATTCGCCTGATCTTTTTTTTTTTTATTATTAAAAGAGGAAATGGTTAGATCTCACCGGGATGATGTATAAGAAAGAACTTACTGATATCCATTTCACCAGAAAAGAACTTTTCCATATCAAACGAAAATACATTAGGATAGTAGAGCATGGGCCCCAAGATGGCATGTGCTTGATCCCTAACAAAACTCTGAAGCCCGGGGATCTAAAATATCCATCATGGGAATTTAGCACATTTTAGATAGACCTAACTTCTTTACATAGCTTACGTTATTCACATCAAATCCAAAGGTTTCACCTCCCAGAGGTTTAAGGACATAGTCAAATTTAGGTTTCTCCATAAAACAAGCTTCGATAATCTTGACATGAGGCATTTTACTCATGAACTGTATTTTGACACGCATGCGTCCCTGAAAACTCATATCTTCCACAAGCACGGGAAAAGCAGTGCCTACGAATCCTTTGCCAAGTCGAATGTTTAGCACCACTTTGGGACTCACTTGCGAATCCAATTGATCTTGAGTCATGCCGTACGGATCATTTGGCGTAAAAGAAACAGACCAATCCATGCACTACATTCCTCATGGGGTTAACTTTGTATATATAAAAACTGATATATATATATATATAATGGAGTCTATTTACCACGGTGTCTGGGCCTACATTGGTGAAAGATTTTACACTGTCGACACGGAATGCCTTGGATCCCAGTGTAAAGGTAGTCAATCGTACTGAATCCAGAAATCCGGGTAAATAATCCACGAGATAGGTATCGATGTTATCAATCACATAAGCGCTCAAGACAGGTTCAAAGATCAACCAAAATTTACCGACAAAGTTGTTTAGCCATTCCACTCGTTCAAAATCTGATGATTCTAATGCGATATGTGCAAATTCCCGCTTGATATCATCCGTCGCATTAACGGATAATCGGCTCAAGCTCAGTTTATAATAGGATCCTAATTTAATTATAAAAAAAAAAGTTGGATATTCTGTCATTGCCGTGTGCTATTTTTGATCATTTCTTTTTTTTTTTTACCTACAAACAAGAGACAACATACAAGAATACCCATGCTACCATTCCATTTGGCCATGACCCAAAACCCAACACCCACAATAAAAATGACACCATAATCCTGCCAATTTTCATGCCACAATACAATGACTTCATCCGACTTTTTCTTTTCGGTAGCAGCAATATGCAACGACCCGCCTGGATTGATGGCGTCAGAGAAGGCAGTCCAACCAATGCGCGCATCGTCCCTTAAAGGATGACTGACGCGATATCCTGCAATGGTATGAACTACAGGTCGATTCACCGACCGCTTTTTTTCAAGTGTTACTGGCTTTCGTTGCGCTGCTTCGATCGCTTGCTTGATTTTGTCCGCATCGCTACTGCCTAATTCCGTCGCAAACCCATCTTGATGTCGTCCAAGGTTCCGAAGATCAGGTACAAAGTCCTTTAGTGTTTGTGCTTGCAGAAGTTGACCTTCTGTAAACGAATCATTATTCTCCATGTTCTCAAGGAATACTGAAGAAAAGAAGAAAAAGGAATAATTATTTATTATGCCCTTTTTTTTTTTTAATCGCCTCTATTTTTTTTTTTATTTTTATTTTTTATTTTGGTATACAGTTCAAGCGTGTAACACCTAAAATTGACATCCAACAATAAAAACTTGTCAGATTCTTGTTACGCTAAAAAAAACATGCACCATAACCGGATTATTAAACGTATGCATTCTTGCACTGATAAAGAAAACATAGCAGTCAATCCCAGCTGTATAACAGTGAGATCTAAAAAGGTGGGGTATTACTGATGGGTATACTTTTTAATGTTTTAAATGAGACTTACAGAAAAAGAAAGAAAAAAAGGACACGGAATTCACTGACAAATTATACCTTTACTATCATTGAGAGATATAAATTTCAAAAACCTGAACTCGCTAATCATGAATAAAAAAAAAATCGTAACAAGACTCCATGTAAACTCTCACGGAAAGGCACTTTTATTATGATGTATTATAATGAAGCTGTTTGTAGTGCTCGTTATTTATTTAGGTCTGTCGCACTGGCATAATGTTTTTGTGACTTGTGGTAATTCAACTCCTGAGAATGACTATGTATACCACTTACAGCAATCCCAGCGAAGACCGGCAAGCCAGTAGGGTCACGCTCATTTACAGTGCAAACCCTGCCATTTACATCTTTCCATCCAGTGAATGGACTGAACCCAAGAACCCAACCTCGGATAAAGAAAGACTAACCGTGGCAAAAATTGCAATGTATCTTTTTCATGTAAAAAAAGAGGTAATACGTATTGTTTCTTGAAAAATCAAAGTCATCATAAACTGACTTTTTTACAATATCTATTACGTTCATTTAAAAAAAAAAAGATTTTTTTTTTTGTAAAAACTTGGCGCACACCAAATTTAGCAAAGCATTACGTCACAAAAAAAAAGTACCAGCAAAGATACACAACAGTCACAGCACAAAAAAACTATAAAAAGTCAACTTTTTCAAATTTTTAAAATTCATCCTTTTCTGTCCTCTGTGACGGAATTCCCCTGTCCCCTGTGGCAGCCTTCCCCTGTCCCCTGTGGCAGCCTTCCCCTGTCCCCTGTGGCAGCCTTCCCCTGTCCCCTGTGGCAGCCTTCCCCTGTCCCCTGTGGCAGCCTTCCCCTGTCCCCTGTGGCAGCCTTCCCCTGTCCCCTGCGGCAGCCTTCCCCTGTCCCCTGTGACAGCCTTTTTTTTTAACACAACTTATATTTAAAAGAAAATGACAAATATACTACGTAAATGATCAAACAAAAAAGAATATTTTTTTTCGTGAATTAAAAGTAGCCATCATTAGAAATAACGTAATCTAATAAAAATGTATATTTTGAACATTTCTGAAAAAATTGCTGTTTGTCTTCGCCGTTTATAATACTAAAGTTGTCTTTACTTTGATTGTATATATTCAATGGGATCATTACACATCATAAGAAAGACCATAAAGGAAAAGCGTAACATTTTATTTAAATAAATCATTGAGGTTCACATCAAGATTATTCTTCATTTCTTTCATTAGAGCATCCTTTGTTTTCTTGATTTCTCCGAACAAACCGCCTCTTTTTCCTGTCTTCAAAGCAATATCTTTTGGTAGCAGTTTTGAATTTACATGTTGAAAATAAACTGACTATTTCGACACGGGGGGAGGAGGAAGAGAATAAATCGTAAATATTACGAACTATCACTATATGTTTACGATTGTTTTTTTTTTTTTTTTTTGCATGAAAACTTGCAATCGAGTGAATATTTCGAGCCGCGTTGGTACTGGATTTCCCACCGTATTTTCAAAAAATAGGCAGTAATTTTTCAAAAAGCCATCTTTTAATTTTTCAAAAACATAACCTTGATTTTTAGAAAAACTTTTACCATGTCCATTGACGTTTTTATGAGCGATCTTAATCTTGATGTAGAAGGTGACGACGAGACTGAAGAGCCGTACGTTCGCTTATACCAAAAAAGTGCTGGATCGGCATCCAGTGTTACTGAAAGTGCCATGGAAGTAGATGAGCGATTTGGAGGTTTTCCCTGATAGTAAAGGCGAAGACAGCAACAAAAGTTCGGACGAAGAGAGTGCCCGCATTGATGAGACTTTAGAAGAAGCACATACTCGTGTAAAGAACTATTGTGATCTTCATTATAACCAGCCTGAATTTAAGCACGAGGATGAAAAGAAAAGAATCCACATGAAGTATAAAGATGAACAGATTGGAATGTTCATTGACTTGATCGCTGCTGGCTCCGATGTGAAATCAGCCTGTAATTCAACTGGTATCAGATTGCACTCTGGTTATAATTATAGAAAAAAGTATAGAGAAGATCCAGAATCGACAGACTGGATCATCAATTACATCGACGAAAGACCTACTGCTCTACTTGCTCAAGTTCTGGAAGATTTGACGAATCATTTTTCGGATGAGAATATTCAGGCGAGTAAGTCAGCATTGCATAGATTTATGAGAGAAATATGTGCTTTATCTATGAAACGACTTGAGAAATTACCTGCAAGCCGAAACCACATTGATGTAATCACTCAACGTCGAGAGTCGGTAGAGGAGTGGGTCGCTAACGAGGATATGGACTTTGAAAAAAACTGCGTGTTCATAGACGAAGCAGGATTTAACATAAATATCACCCGTAATAGAGGTTGGTCAAAGAAAGGCAAGCCTGCGAGAGCTATTGTACCTACCTCTCGCAGCACTTCAATCACTATTTTAGGGAAATGTCTAGAACTCCGTATTTTTCTCAAACGTATTTTTTTCAAACGTATCAGATATAGTTACACAACCAACACACATATAATTATCTGAATCACAATTTATAATAAACATCTTTTATCTTACTTATCAAATATACTGGATTTCCCACCATATTTTCAAAAAATAGTCCCTAATTTTTTAAAAAGGCATCAGTAATTTTTCAAAAAGCGCTCCACTATTTTTTCAAAAAGTTCAATCTAATTTTTTAAAAAGATGCCAATATTTTTTCAAAAGACAAGTAGTTTTTTTATAATTGTTTATTAACTTAAAGCATTTTTTCCATGGCAATACATCGAGGAAAGAAGCTAACCGAATGTCGAATCCATCCACGACAATCCTGTAAAGTTACATTTGTAACTGACTCCATAATTCGAGGAGTCAAAAGATCGCCTGTGTCCAAAGGGTTTCTTTTAATACCACTCTTTACCTTCGACCAAAATTCCTCAATTGGATTAAGAAAGGGGGAATATGGAGGCAAATAAACGCACTTATAGCCTCTTTCTTCTATTAACGCTCTGATTGCAATTGGTTTGTGGATTGGTGCATTATCCATTACAAGATAATAGCCGTGTAATCCATTTCTATCTAAACAATCCATCATGCTGTTAAGATAGCTCATGAAATGAGATGATCTTGTACCCACTCTACCATTTAGGACAACTTCTTTACCATTGACCTTTCTCTTTTTGCTCCCCGTTGTTGAGGTAGGCTTTCTTAATGATATGTCAATTACACCGTCAGTTGAAATTGCGCCTAAAATAGTGATTGACGTGCTGCGAGAGGTAGGTACAATAGCCTTGGCAGGCTTGCCTTTCTTTGACCAACCTCTGTTACGGGTGATATTTATGTTAAACCCTGCTTCGTCTATGAACACGCAGTTTTTTTCAAAATCCATATCCTCGTTAGCAATCCACTCCTCTACGACTCTCGACGTTGAGTGATTACATCAACGTGGTTTCGTCTTGCAGGTATTTTCTCAAGTCGTTTCATAGATAAAGCACATCTTTCTCTCATAAATCTATGCAATGCTGACTTACTCACCTGAATATTCTCATCCGAAAAATGATTCGTCAAATCTTCCAGAACTTGAGCAAGTACAGCAGTAGGTCTTTCGTCGATGTACTTGATGATCCAGTCTGCATGCCTGTCTTTTAATTTGAATCGGGATCCCTTAGGACCTCGTTTCTTTCTTTCAGGGATTCCCAATTCTGGGTCTTCTCTATACTTTTTTCTATAATTATAACCAGAGTGCAATCTGATACCAGTTGAATTACAAGCTGATTTCACATCGGAGCCAGCAGCGATCAAGTCAATGAACATTCCTATCTGTTCATCTTTATACTTCATGTGGATTCTTTTCTTTTTATCCTCGTGCTTAAATTCGGGCTGGTTATAATGAAGGTCACAATAGTTCTTTACACGAATATGTGCTTCTTCTAAAGTCTCATCAACGCGGGCACTCTCTTCGTCCGAACTTTTGTTGCTGTCTTCGTCATTACTATCAGGGAAAACCTCCAAATCGTCAGCAATATCCTCATCTACTTCCATGGCACTTTCAGTAACACTAGATGCCGATCCAGCACTTTTTTGGTATAAGTGAACGTACAGCTCTTCAGTCTCCTCGTCACCTTCTACATCAAGATTAAGATCGCTCATAAAAACGTCAATGGACATGGTAAAAGTTTTTCGAAAAATTAAGGTTATGTTTTTGAAAAATTAAAAGAAGCTTTTTGAAAAAACAGTGAAAGGCTTTTTGAAAAATTACTGCGGACTTTTTGAAAAATTAGGGACTATTTTTTGAAAATACGGTGGGAAATCCAGTACTTATTGTGACTCCCTTAATACACTGCACGTCGATTGACATGTTATATCATCTAAGCTTCATAGGATGACCGTTTTCTGTTTTCCATAAAATATGCTTCACTATCATTACAAACTACTACTGGAAAACCTCCAAACGCAGATAGACAACTACCAAGCTCTGACTTGCTTGAGAGGTTTTTGTAAGTGTTTTTAATTTAAGTTAAGGCTCAAACATTATGGATGATAAAATAGACAAATAAAATAATCCTGACATAAGCTTGTTTATGAATGATAAAATAGACAAATGAAATCATCCTGAGATAAGCTTGTTTATGGATGATAAAATAGACAAATGAAATCATCCTGGCATAAGCTTTTTTATCTATAAATAAAGCTGGTTCACACAATTTATTCTTATCCTTTTCTTTTCCCTTAACATATTTCTTCTATCTTATGAAAGTAACCAATAATGTAAAAAGGTTTGTATAGTAGTGACTCTTGTTTCTTTGAAAAGAAGCTAAATTGAAAAAGATATATTGTGATATTGCGGCTGCGGCTAGTCTTTGCTATAGGAGGGCGACCTCCTTTGGCAGGGTTCTTGAGTTTTTGGAACTCAAGAACCGTGAATGGCTGTGACTGCACTGTAAATAGTCATAAGCATACTGGCCTGCTGGTCTTGGCTGGAGTTTCTGTATGTGGTATGGAAAAAATACGTTTGAAAAAAATACGGAGGTCTAGACATTTCCGTATCATCGGCGTAGACACAAAGTCGTAAAGGTTTGGGGATCAAAGCCGTTTCATTATTCAGTGTAGAAGTAGAAGTAGGCGGTGTACTATCCGGTGGTGTTGGCGTGAACGGTAACCCGAAATAATCGGGATGTTTTGTTATTGATTTCAGGAATGGATCGAATGCCACACGTAATGCTTTGTTGAATTTGGTGTTCGCTTTTTTTTCAACTTAAATTCAAAATACAATGAGGCCTTGCTGTACTGACCGAAATCTATCCGTAACGCTAACCGAAATCAACCCTGCAGATACTGCCGAGAACGTTGAGACGTGGCTTCGTGGTCTCAATTTGGATGAGCCCTTTGAACATTTCAAATCCATAAAAGACAAACGGTAAGTATTTAAAATCACGGAATTTCAAAGTGTTGTCTTAATGATTTTGCCTCATACTGTTTTAGATATGGCTTTCTACATTTCTCAGATAGAGATGATGCCTGCCGTTTTTTTAGAAGATATGGGGATAAAAAACTCGAGGAAGGAAGGGATGTAAGAGTAATAGCTTCTATCGATTGGAATAGAAACCCAATTTCATACGATTTGCCACTCCCTCAACCCAATCCCCCCCCTCAACCCAATCCCCCCCCCCTCAACCCAATCCCCCCCCCCCCCTCAGCCAACTTCGAGTAATGAAGTTGTTTCACTTCAAGCTGATATTGAGGATTTAAAAAGCAAAATCTATGAGCACAAGGCCGCTATCAATCTTTTGAGAGCTGAAATTCACACAAAAAAAAAGACCATTGTTGCAGCCAATCTAAATTGACTTGGTGTTACACAGGATAGGATCTTTCCTATAAATACGCCCCTTTTTTTTCTTAATAAATATTTCTTCAGTTTTATCTTGACTAAAAATCTAGTTTCTTAATAATTTGTAATTGACTCCTTTGTGTTTCCCTCAACTTTCATACTTCTTGTTTATCTTAAGTCTATACTTTTCATATAACAATTAACTCAAAGTTCATATTTCACACTCGACTCGAATCTCTTTATTGTTAAAACCGTATATAAGATATTGTTTATAATAACATAATTACTTTTCTTTTTAATCTTGGCAATCAGTTTATATTTATATTACTTTCGCCCTCTTAAAATTATCGTTGATTATCTTCTTATCCTAAAAACTTTATATTATAAGATTTCTTAAGTTGACTACTTCCAGTCTGGTGCTCACTTTCATAGCTACTTTATTATTAACATCAGTGTTAATAACCTATATCCACCTTATCCTTTAAGAACTATTACCAGTGTCTTAACACCATCAAGCGTCGTTAAATTAGTTTTCTTTAATATTTTACAATAAGTAAAAACAATTTATGATTTTTTTCTTTACTTCAGAATTGCTTACTGGACATGATTGTCATTTTCTAAATTTACATATTACCTCTATTGGTAAAGTTTGACCTAAAGTCGCCCACCCAAAAATATATCTACACCACTGATAAAATGTAGAGCGCAAGTGGGTTTTTATTTACTTTTTTTTTAAAAATTTACATGTGTCAAAGTAATAATAATTTTTCTGTGCGTTTCTAATTTAACCACCACCACCGCCGCCTACGACAATGTGAGACGCTTCGCTTTGTCAATTAATATGTTTGTTTCTGATTCACTGGGAGTTAACAGCAAGTCTTCTTCCTCATCGTCTGAGGAAGAAGGTGAATCCATGAGAAGGATGGAAAGGAACCTAGCAGGACATGAATCCTGTCTTCTTCGAGACGGTCTTGTGGGTGGCGGTGATGGAGGTGGACTAGGGAATTTCATCACCAGACCTTCTTTTGTGTCGAAAATAGAAGATTCTTCTTCCTTCAGCCGAGGAGGGATACCCAAACAACCTTGTGTGCATTGGATGGTGGGTAATGTGAATTCGATAGGTTGGTACCACGATGGCTCCTCTTCCTCTTCTTCCTCTTTCTCTTCTTTTTGTTGTTTTCTTTTCTTTTTAGTAGCTGATTTAAGGATGGCGATCTTTTGGAACAAGCGTGTCATGGTGTTTATCTTCTTCTTTTTCTTGGTAGGTGTAACGATTTCTTGATCTTCTTCTTCTTCCTCTTCGAGGTGATACGAACGTTTTCGTTTTAGCCCGGGAAAGAAATGACTGATGCTTGTGCGGGCTTTCTTTGTTAAGGTATCTTCAAGATATCCTTTCTTACTACTACTACTACTGGAGAAGATGGAAGGCATTCTTTTTATATTTATATTTATATATACAGGTAAAAAAGGGGTGAAAGAATAGAAATAAAGATGAATTATTCTGCATTTTTCTCTCTTATATACTCTTTTTTAAACTTTTTTTTTTCCCTTGAACTCCTAGACTCCCCCCATTACCCTGTTTCTCCTATTCTATAAACAGCATTCCCCTATTGTTGCTTCATGATAGAATGAACAATAAACCTTTTTCTATACACATCTTTTTAAAAAGAAAAAATTTGGAAGGGCTTCTATCATTCGTTCAAAAATAAAAACAACACAAAAAGAAAAAAAAAATGAATACAATGGTTTATTGTTGTTATGTGTGTGTGTGTGTGTGGGGGGGGGGTATTTTGTTAAGTTTTTTTTTTTATAAAGGTGGATTTCAAGACTCCTTGTTTCCAGACTGTGGGGTACTTGATTGAATATCGAGTTTTTTATGATGAAAATTCGATATGGATGGAAGAGCACGGGGCATGACATCGGAATCAGTTTTGGAAGGTTTAAGGATGAGTTTAGTTTGCGCCACAGTGGATGAAAATCTACGTTGTTTGACAAGATGGCTGATCCCCGGTAACAAGACACCTTGTTTTTTGTCCGTCGATGTCGCTGTCGCTGCTGTCGCTGTTGGACTTTCAGACTCACTACGATTTTTTTGTTTATCAATCTGTAACGTACGATGCGATGTAAAGCTGGCTAATTTCTTCTTGATAATTTCACTGTTATCGTCATGCGTGCTTTTACGTTTCCAACGACGCCAACCTTCGAAATCAATCAAGGCTTGCATACATCCCCATTCAATAATTTTTTTCTCCAACCATTCGAGACTCACGGGTTTCGTGAGAAAGTCATTGCAGCCTGCAGCCAGAGCAGCGTGACGATCAGATTCAAGGGAGGAAGCGGTAAGAGCGACAATAATGACAGGTGAACGAAAGATGGAAGGGACGTTCGAGGGAGAGAGATCGTCCTGGATGTCTGTGTTTTCTTCGAGAGGAGGAGTCGATGCTTGAGTATCAGTAGCCGTTGCTGCTGCTGCTGCTGCCGTTGCTGCTGCTACTGCGGCCGCCACTTCTTGTTGTTGACGTAGAAAAGAAGAAGACATGGGCAAGACACCAATTTTTTGTTCCTTTTCAATCGCTCTAATTTTCTTGGTAGCTTCAATACCGTTCATGACGGGTAACTGAATGTCCATCAAGACAAGATGAAAGCCACCTGTTTTCCACTTGTTCACGGCTTCCAGGCCGTTACTGGCAACAGCGAATTTGATCTTGTGTTTTTTCATCCAGGCGGATAAGATGGCTTGATTGATGATATTATCTTCCACGATGAGGACATGAATAGGTGGTGAGACAACATCGGCAAAGGGTACACCACGATCCTTGCGCTTCTTTTTATGCGATCGAATGTTCATCATGGGTTGACCCGCAAAGGAGGATTTCTTTTTGGGAGGTTCACTGGGCACGATGGGATCTGTCACAACGGTGACAGGTGGTTCATCCAATGCTGCTGTAATGGGGTCTGCTCGAATGATATCGGGTAAACATGGTGAGATACGAGGAGGTAGGGGTAGTTCAGGATCGATGAGATCGACATGGTTACTGGATCGACGTCGCGTGGGTTGTTGTGAAGAGAAATAGTTATCGATGGGAGGGCTAAAGATACCACTAACGGGTCTTCGACGATTGTTACTACCCCCCGGGGAAGTTTCATTCCCGGGAGAAATTCTGGTTAGGAGATCTTGCTGAGGGGAAGTCACATTAGAAGAGGCAGCAGTAATAGCAGCTGTGGAAGCGGCGGCGGCGATTTCTCTTTGGACCAACATGGAAAGAATAGGAGGCATGGGACTCGAAGGAGATGTTGCAATGGCCGAGAAATGGGGTTCGACAACAGAATTATTCCAAGCGGTATGTAAAGCAGTGAGAAAACGACGTGGTCCAGCTGGTTTGGGGACAACAACAACACGGGGCATAGAAAAGGGGTCTCTACCCGATGGCAAGAAGGCATAAGCGGCGATGGTATCTCTGACGGCTTTGTAATTATTAAGAGAGGTGAAATGAATGATAGCGGTGGTACCTTGATGAAAAAAGTTCTTCTTGTTGTAATGATTACGACGACCTTGATGTGCTTGTTGAAGTACGTTGGCCGATGCAGGAGGTTGAGTTCGGAATTCACCTAATTTGCTTTCCAAGGTTGGGATATCATCATCAATCAAGATGAAGGAAGGGGGTATGGAATGAAGGTGTTCTTCCTCAATGGCAGGTGAAGGAACGGGTGGCGTGGTAGGGATGGCAGCGGTGAAGGCGACCTCTTCTTCTTCGGCCGGCGTTGATTCATGAACGGTCACAGGAACATGACTGATATCTGTATTCCAACTTGCCAAGCAACTGGTCATGTGTTTAGCAAAGATACTTTGTTCGGGTGCATGCAAGACCATTTTTAAGCCCTTGAGATTCTCAATGAACTTGTGTAGCTCCTTCAAGCTGGGTTCGTTGGAGAATTTGATATTGGCGTAATGGTTTTGAAGCAACGAGGGTCCATGTTTGATGGTGGGTAATTCCCTCTTACCCAGACCCAGTTGAAAGCTGAATTCGAATCGAGTTTGGTTTTCGGTTTCGGTATCGATAGCGCAGGATCCACCAATGTACGTGAGGAGTTGTGAGGTGAGGTTGGCGTTGGGTAGGAGCGCTGCACTGGCATCACGAATATCAGGTGAACTAGTATGGGTGATGTAAAACAGGATATTTAATTTGTCGGGATCGCGTATCTCATTGACATTTAATCCGACTTCAATGGATGCACCGCGTGTACAGCATTCCAAAATATTTCGAATGTGCTGCGAGGGTAAAGAAAAAAAAAAGGGTCATGGGGGATTAGCTTCAAGTACATGTCTATTCCAAAGAAAAAAAAATGAGATACTGTACATTTAACAAGGCATGACGGATCGCTCCTTCATCGCCAATGACAATGGAATGATGAAGCCGATTATCACAATGATAGATCACAAAATCCACTCCCAATTTCGCTGCGACACCAGCCAAGGCATCACCCAAGCTTTGCAAGAGTTCGCCGATATCGAATTCAGCAGAGACAAGAGCGGGTAATTGCAAGAGATGGATGTTAGATCGAGTCCAAGCCTGTATGGTTAATTTGCTGAGAAGTTCGAGATGTGAGCTCACATGACATACTTGACGAATGGTCGTGTTGATGGCCGAGATACTGGCGATGGGTACGGCAATGGAGCAAGCACTTAATAATTCATGCGTGTGATTAGCCAAAATGTTAGCGGGCGAGAATTGTTCGAGGGTGGTGATGACCATGAGGGCCACATCCTGGATCTCCTGAGAGACAGTGGAGATGAAAGCGAGACGATGGTCTGTGAATTCAGTGGTATGGGTATCTACGCATTGTTGTAGCTTGATCTCTTCTCGCTTCATGCGTCTTTTGAATCGGTCGAGTTTGATCTCGTTGGCCTTAACGAGACGTGCGGTGAAGGCAAAAGTGAATAAGGCGGAGAGCGAGAGTGAGACGAGACAGAGATGGTAGTAGCGAAAGGAAGGGTGTCGGATAGGCATCACTGAATGTGTGAAGGCCATGGTGAGTGTACTGAGTTGAGTCCAATTCAGGTATTGCGAGAGATGTTCGGTAGTGCGGTGTTTGAGGACGAGTAACATGAAGAGCCACCATAGAACATAGAGTGGTAAAATGGCATGAGGCATCCAATCGGGGTCTCTGAGGATGAGGTGAAATGAAGGGATAGTGTAAAGTACAAGTGTTGTAGCAAAGAGAGAGCCGAACAGACAAAGCATGTTGGCAATGGTGATCACTCTAAATAATTCGGTCAAGACTTCGTCACATTCCTCTTCATCTTGATCCACATCTTGTAATTGAAGCGGAGGTAAACGAAAATGATAGAGATTTTCTTGTGGTGATGTCTTGGTAGTGGATGTGGTAGAGGAAGGCATATAAGTGCCTGAATCATGGTAGTAGAGGTCGTTGGTGGTCCATGCTGAATGAAGGTAATTTAATCGAGGTCGTTTAGGAGTGTTCTTTGTAGACGCGTTGGCTTTTATTGTCGAATCCTCCTTTATCGATGCCTGATCTGCCATGTTTTCTTTTTTCGAACAAGAGGTTAAAAGAGCAAAGGGAGAAAGAAGGGGGTTGGGTATAAGCCTATTATTCTTTTATTTATTTTTTGTATAAAGATAAGGGGTAAAGAGCACTGATAAATGAAAGAAAAAAAAAGGGGGGGACCATGGCTAATAAATTTTCACAAAGGGTGGTTTTGATTTATCCAATAGGCGGTTTGATTTTACTCAAAAGGCAGTTTGATTTTCCCCAAAAGACGGTTTTTATTTTTAAAAAGGTGGTTTTTTTATTCCAAAAAGGTCAATATTAGAAAATATAGTGTTTTACTTGGTTTTCAGACTTTGTCCATTTTATTTTGGACAAAGTCATTCTATTTTACTTTTTTTGGCTCCCTATTCATACCTGTGGTAGGACAGAATTTTCAAAGGTACTTCATCCAATCATATCCTCAATTTTTGATAAGATGGGCGCAAAAAATGTTAAGATTTATTGTTAATCTTAACAATTTGTTCTGTTTCATATTATCAATGTCGTCGATGATGGGTAAAAAAATAATAATAATAAAATACTACACAATATTTAGTGTAGATCTTTAGAGTTTGTATTTAATTCGCTTATTCATCACATAATTAAGTTAAATAAAAGCTCAAAGGAACACTTATTCTTTAGTGTATAACTGTACATTTAATTTCAATTTACTTAAAATCGACATATCATAAAAACTTTAATTGGTTGATTTGACTCTTCCTACTGTCTTCATTCCAGTGTTCTTTTTTCCAGCTTTGACTTTACTTGATGATACGTAATGGAAAGTGTTCTAGCATCCTTGTAGTTGTTGTAGTGCCCGTTGGCACGTCCTTCATTGAAACACTTTTTTCAGTCCATGCGTTTGTGGTCCTTCATCCAGGCCATAACAAATTCATCAACTACATCCATATCACGTCTTTTTTCTTGTGGCTTGATTTGTTGCAGTACTTCAACCGTTTGCCTTCCGGCTGTTGGAGTCACTCCATCAGGAAGATCTGGAGGAGGAGGAAGGGCAGTTGCTGAAGTGCTTGAAGATTGCTGTTGGTACTTGTACAAACATGTATCCATGTACACCAAACCTGCACGAGCATAGTTTATCGCGCGTGTCGATGACGAGCCATCTTCATTCATAGCTTCAATTATTCTTTCGAATTGTGTTTTGATTTGAGTGCAAACATCCATGAAAACGTCAATAGTGGCATCATGTATACGTATTTCCTGATCGACTGTTTGTTTCGCGATGCTATATAATAACTTTACAGTGGAATCATCCCTGTACTCAAGACCAAGAAGAGAACATTACTGCTCTGAGAGCACATACTCCAGCGCAACCATGGGATGAAGAGGCTCGTGAAGATGGTTTGCAATGGTTGATGGAGTTAAAATAAGATGTTGCTGTGCCCAATACTGAGACGGTAATTGTTTTAAAAGTTGTTTTAATGAGTTTTTTACGCCCATATTAAAATATTTTTGAAGAAATCCAACCAAGCGCGGGTAAACGGCGGGAGTAACTATGACTCTCTTAAGGTAGCCAAATGCCTCGTCATCTAATTAGTGACGCGCATGAATGGATTAACGAGATTCCCACTGTCCCTATCTACTGAAAAATTCACCTTTTTCAGTATCATAATAATCCTTTGTAAATACTTCTCTTATCGATTTCACGCAAATGGTCAGTGCAATTGGTTTAATATTATCAAAAGTTTCATAAACATGGTTACAGTATTTCTGAAGGCGGTGCATATACAACTCATCGACAACGTTTTGGACCTCTACAATAACTGGTGGTAGCAAATTTGATAGGGGAGTCATTGGGCCATAAATCATATCAGCACGTTTACCATCGATCCACTCACAAGTGCGTGGCATATACAGACCCTTGTCGTGCTTGTCTATTGATAAAAAATGTTTTAATATATAATGATCGGACGCTTTAAAATAGCACAATGAATACCAATGATTGATGTTAAAATCAAGTTCATTACTTCTTTGTTTGCGAGCATCGCTTTCGACATTTGATCGCTTCCAGGTTTATGTTTTGAGGTATGATAGCGTTAAGAAGATTGTAGTCTTCTTAAGAAGAAGATTAGTGAGATTTTCCTTTTTATATGACATTGATAATTTGAAACAGAAGATAAACAATAAATCTTAACATTTTTGCGGGAAATGTCTAGACCTCCGTATTTTTTTCAAACGTATTTTTTTTGTACCACTTACAGGAATTCTGGCCAGAAGACCAGCAGACCAGTATGATTGCACCTATTTACAGTCCAATCCCAGCTATTCACGGTTCGTGAGTTCCAAAAACTCAAGAACTCTGCCTAGGAGGTCGCCCTCCTATTGCAAAGACTAGCCGCAGCCGCAATATCACAATTATATATCTTTTTCGATTTAGCTTCTTTTCAAAGAAACAAGAGTCACTACTAAACTAACCTTTTTATGTGATCGGTTACTTTCATACGATAAAAGAAGTATGTTAAGGAAAAAGAAAAGGAGAAGAACAAAGTGTGTGAACCAGCTTTATTTATTGATAAACAAGCTTATGTCAGGATGATTTCATTTGTCTATTTTAGGGGTATTCTTGGCGCACCTGCTGGCGCACCCAAATCGGGCTTTAAAGTATAATTCTTACGTAATATATTCATTTTGGGTGCGCGAAAGCAGTGTACCGAGCTATTACATAATATTTTTATTTTATGTGCGCGGAATGAGTGCATCAAGAAAGGGACAACGTATTTGTACTATATTTTATAAGCAACAGTACTTTGCTCAAGGAGGTTCCTTCTTTTAATTTTAGTCCTATTTACATCTACCAAAAGAATGGACATTTTTGAAGTAACAGAATAAAGTAATCGCGAATGGTCGAAACCTTTGGAATCGTAAGTACTTTTACTATTATTGTGCATTCGCGTTCCATTGCCGATGAGTATGAAAGAAAGCATAACATGGTATTCGTTACTGTTGGATTAAAGCTAAAAAGCAATGACATCTTCTTAGTTTAAAAGCAGTTTGGTGAAAACAAAGTAGCCGAACAGTAAAATATGTATTGCTAATTGTTAATCTTTATCATAAGCATGCTATGAAGGAATAACTTGATCTATGTGAAACTGATTATATGCGTCAATCTTATAAGATTTCAAATAAATATAATGGTGGGACCTGTGATTTTTAAAGAAGGCCTTATTGTATTTAAGTAAGACATAAATACCATCTGCCATAGCGCATGCTTCGCTTGACGCACCCATTCCGCGCACATAAAATAAAAATATTATGTAATAGCTCGGTGCACTGCTTTCGCGCACCCAAAATGAATATATTACGTAAGAATTATACTTTAAAGCCCGATTTGGGTGCGCCAGCAGGTGCGCCAAGAATACCCCTAAAATAGACAAATGAAATCATCCTGACATAAGCTTGTTTATGGATGATAAAATAGACAAATGAAATCATCCTGGCATAAGCTTTTTTATCTATAAACAAAGCTGGTTCACACACTTTATTCTTATCCTTTTCTTTTCCCTTAACATATTTCTTCTATTTTATGAAAGTAACCGATTACATAAAAAGGTTAGTTTAGTAGTGACTCTTGTTTCTTTGAAAAGAAGCTAAATCGAAAAAGATATATAATTGTGATATTGCGGCTGCGGCTAGTCTTTGCTATAGGAGGGCGACCTCAACAAAGGGGAGCAAAAAAGAGAAAGGTCAATAGCAAAGAAGTTGTCGTAAATGGTAGAGTGGGTACAAGATCATCTCATTTCATGAGCTATCTTAACAGCATGATGGATTGTTTAGATAGAGATGGTGTGTGCTTCAAATTGATTTCCAAACCCCCATGAGACCTTGCTGCACAGACCGAAATCTTTCTGTCACCTTAACGGAAATAGACCCCACATATACGCCCCGGAACATAGAGTTGTGGCTCCAGAGTCTAAACTTGGATGTTCCTTTTGAACACTTTAAAGCCTTGAAAGATAAGCGGTAAGTATTTAAAATCACGGAATTCAAAGTGCTTTTCTTAATGGTTTTGCCTCATACTGTTCTAGGTATGGGTTTTTACCGTTTTTCCACAAGATATGATTCTTGTAATTTTTTTAAGAAATACGGTAATAAGAAGCTCAATGAAAGAAAGAATGCGAGAGTTATAATGGCTTCTGTTGATTGGAACAGAAAACCAATATCTTATGATATTGGTTTTAACCCACCTGTATCAAGACCACTACTTGTATCAAGCCCACCACTTGTATCAAGCCCACCACCTGTATCAAATACGGAAGTATACGTAATACAGGCTGAAATCGATGACTTGTACGGTCAAATCTTTGAGCATAAGGCGGCCATAAACCTCTTGAAGGCGGAAATTTGTGCCAAAGAAAGCAGGATAAAACGACGAAAAAGTACCTCGTGAACACCCAACTTCCCAACTTCCCATCTTAGCCTCTCCACTCCTTTTATATTTAGCATTTTCCTATACCTAATAAAAAGCTTATGATGATTATAAACCATATTTTTTTTCTTTACTTCAGAATAGCTTACAGAAACTATTACCCATTTCTATTTATCTTAACTAATAAATCTCTACAAGAAATTGAAAGGATTTGAAACCTTTTTCAAATCTATCGTGGGACATGATTGTCATTTTTTCTAAATTTACATATTACCTCTATTGGTAAAGTGATGACCTAAAATTCGCCACCCTATAAAATATGACTACACTAGTCATACAAAAAAAAAGGGGGGAGTAACATTGACATAGACTTGCAAGAAAATGCATTTATGAATGAGGAAAAGACTTGTGAAGGTAGGCCCCTTGGTTCGAATATGACATCGCATAACCCAACTTCTACAGCAGTCAAGCATAACAGTAGAATAAACTCAATCAGTAGAAATTGTAATCTCTCTTTAAAAGTTGTCTCATTGCATCCAGGTCATCGTAACGACAAAAAAAAAACTTAAAAAGATTAAAGTGGGCGCAGGAGTGGATGAATACAGACATGGACTTTACTAAAAAAAATGCGTTTTTATCGACGAATCCGGTTTCGATATAAATATGAGACGCAGTAGAGCATGATCTAAGAAGGGTACCAAAGCTGTTATTCCTACTGCAAGTACAGTAGCAGTATTTTATACTGTAATTGGAGCTATCTCGGCCATAGGTGTTGTTAATGTTACTATGAGAGTACCTCTGTCTCCTAAAAAAAAAAATTAAGACCCAAGGTGTTAAAAAAAAAAAAAAAAGCAGCTCCACCCAAAGTCCCACAAGCTAAAGGTACAACAACTGGCCACTACCTCAATTTTATTGGGAATACATTGGATATTATGGATAGATATCTCGAAATGAAAAGGTTTTACCTTATCATGGATCATGCCCCCAATCCATGCATCCTATGAAGTTAACCAGATGGTAGAGAATAAAAAGAAAAAAAAAATTATAAATGCGTATATCTTCCCCCTTACTTTCCAGCGTTGAATCCGATTGAGCAATTCTGGGCTATAGTTAAGCATAAAGTAAAGCGTCATCAGATTATGGAGTCAGAAACACTTGCACAAAGAATAACTGAGGTATGTCATCAAGTCCCTCTATCTCACCTTTTCAATATTTACTCAACATTCCAAAAAAAAACCATCTTGAAAACTGCTTAAATAAAGTTCCTGTTTAACTAAAGTGTTCCATACCAATTTCAAAAAAGTGTTTAAATTAGGTTCACTGAGTGTTTCAATTTATTTTCGAAAAGTGTACCGATTAAGTTCACCTATTTGAGAGAGTGGGGACGCACTGTAGTTAAAAAAAAAATCATTATCCGGCCCGAACAACATTTCGACTTCATCCAATGAAATTGTCATTTGTCTGTATTTTTCATGCTTTTTATAAAGAATTTCACAGCCAATGCTCTCTCTCTTCTATTATTTTTGGCTTGTATGACATGCCTAGGGTGACAAGTCACAAAGAAAAATTAGTTACCGGCTCTCCCGGAGATCTTTGCATAGCTATTCTAGCTTGCATGAGATTATTTGATAAGTTAAACCTTGAACAGATTATGTTAGTAAAAAGTATATTTAATCATTGAGTTTTGGTTATTTACTTATTTGGATTGTTTACACCACGGCGGAAAGGTGGAAGAGTAAGACCGTCATCTGAAACTATGTTTAAAGCACCGTTTTGGTCTCGGTTTGATGTAGTGGACCTGTTATATACACGTCTGGGACAATTTCTATTGACACAAACCACTGCGCCTTTTATTCTCTTTATGGAGTCCCCTCTTCTAAGTACTTGCTTAGTGGTTGGTTCAAAGCACGAAGTGCAGGTAATTGTTGATTTGTATTCGTCTACAGTCATAAACTTGTCCTTTTCAATTTTTCGAAGCTCGGCTATAACTGGTTTTATGCTTCTCCTACTATGGCCTTTCATAAATGTGGTAACACCAGACCAATTTCCCAAAAATGACCATATGACATTATTATTTTTACTTCCTAAAGATGAAACCAGTTTTCTTCTATGCCGGCTAAAAAATACTTGATAAAATTGTTTTTTACGTATTTTTCTAGAAACCTTCTTTTTTTCCAGATAGTTCGTATCCAGCTTCTCTCGCCTTTGTCGTTCTTGACTATGCTTCGTGGAAAATGTGGCATGGTTTACAATCTTCGCAGTGAAGTCTAAACTGATTTGTTTTTCTTTTGCGACAGATTTTATTGGCTCAACATTTTGCAAGGCTGTATACCTGTTTATACTTTCAAATAACAGAGAGCTTGTTACACCTTTAAATGAAGCGGTAGTAATTACCCCTGGGTCTATTCCCTGGACTGCGGTTTCTCCTTTGGCCAGACATGCTACGTCTTCATTTGAAGCTGATGATTTGTTGATAATTGCTGGCGGGGGCTGTTTGTGGAATATTTTGTTCAACCTATACATTTCTATTTGACTGTTGGAAATAGTAGCACGTATACTCTTCAGTTCGGTGTATATTTTGTCGCATTTTGCTCTTGTTTTTTTAAGGTCATTGTACTTCTCTTTATCCCATTTATTTTTGACCTTTTCTTGTTTTCTAAAATTTCTTGCTTGGTCCATTCTAGATTTTTCCAAGGGAAGAAGTGAACGGCTTAAATGTGCCTGCCTTTTTTTAGATTCTTTGATTTCCTCATTTAAATTTCGAATATTTTCTTTCAAATTCACATGGTCATCAAGGGAATCGTTGTTTGTGGGAGCTTTCTCTATTTCCGGACGCGTATTTGAACTCAATTTTGAGCTACTTTCAAGTGTGTTTTTGATTCCTAGAAATTGGAGGGAATGCTTGTTTGAGAATATAAAAGAAAAGGTTGGGTGTAATTTCTGCTCTTTTAAAATTCTTTCTATATAACTTCCTTGTTTCCATATCTTGTCGATCCATGGGCGATTCGTCCATTGGTTCTTCTTCCCGTGTTGGGTTTATCAACTCTTCCATCATTGGAATGAACTCCTCTTCTTCCTTCAGTGGGATGATCTCTTCTTCTTCTTCCTCTAGTGGGATGATCTCCTTTTCTTCTTCTTCCTCCAGTGGGATGACCTCCTCTGCTTCCTCCAGTGGGATGACCTCCTCTGCTTCCTCCAGTGTGATGGCCTCCTCTGCTTATATTAAAGAAGTTTGCGAATATTAACCGTTTGTCGTTTTCCGTGGAAATATTCAAGTAGTTTGTAAAATATGTATCTTCTGACTTGTGTATGTTGTATGATTTTGCAAAGAGTAGATACAGAGATTTACTGTCCAACCTAATAGAGACTTTTTTTTGTGTAGTCGGATGCAAGCTATAGATTCCCATTCTTTGTATTATGCTCTTTGGCGAATGCCACAACCGAATTTCGGAGCTTTCTCATTCCAAAAAAAACTTCCAAGGCACTCCTCTTCCTTCTTACACCGCATTTTTATAAGACCATTGACCATTTTTGCACAAAAAGTAAGAGCTGTTCGAGGTATACTCTCTTGCGAATTGCAATACGACTTTTCAAATATGTTGTCAGCGTCCACTTCTTCTTCAGTGTTCCATGACTGTATTAGCATTATACAAACTGCGGATAGCGCTCTCACCTCCTTGGCTGTTAAATCCTTCTGTGCGTAATCCAAAGTAACCGCTTTGACATCGTCAAAGTCTGAAAATGAAGTAACTACTAGATCTTCTTCGTCTTCGAGTTCATTTTCATTTTCTAAAGAGAACATACTGACATCTAACGATGGAGGATCCATACCGGTGATTGCTCTTTCTACGTTGGTAGCTGTATCCGCAGATTGAAACAATTTTTCTACTAAATTTTCGATGACAAAGAGTTTTCCACTTTTTTTATGTTGATTGTGTATCAATAAACAATCGAAGAGCTCATTCATTAAAAATAATCGATTGGTCTTCTTTTTTGCGGAGGAACTTCTATTAGGTGAGGGGGCTTTGGAAGACACCGTGGAAGACTTGGAAAAGAATCTTTGCCTGCAAAGATTAGCTCTTATAGTAAGAGTTATAACCACTTTTAAGTCTTGCATGTATTTTTGAAAGGTCCATAAATTTGTAAAGTTAACGTAGTATTGACGGCAGACGTATGCAATCGTAGGATTTGAGACAAAAGTATGCTTGTATTGATCTTCTAAATTGTTTTTGATAAATGTAATAACTCTTTATGGGATCATAAAAATAAAATGTTAATTTTTTATATGGATGATTTATAAAAATTACTTACGCATGCTGGCTTTTGGAGCTTGATTTACCCCCAACACAATTTGATAGTATGCGCCAAAAACCCAGATGAGTAAAAGTATCACTCCTATGTAGGAATTCTTTCTCTTTACGATTCAAGATAGCAATTTGTTTTTGCCCTACATGTGCTGTTAATTCTGTAAGACCGATACAGCTGTAATCAAAGTATGATTCAGGCTTCGTAGGAAAAATAGCACCAGATATTACTGATTCAGTAAATAAGCCCGTTGCTTGAGATAATCCTTGTGCACATAAGCTGCATTCTTTTTGTAGTTCTTCCATATGGTGTAAAAAACTATTATAGTCGAAGTCTTTATGAATAACTCTCTTCAGGCTTCTACTCACTGTACGATAATCTTTTTCTACTGATTCTTCAGTGTCAATGGGTATTTCTGCATCGGTTTGATCAGAGTTCAAAGAGAAAAAAGAGGTACTACTGCTACTTTCGGCCTTTAATTCCAAAGATTGTTGATGTTCCGTGATATTAGCAATGAATTTGTTTATAAATCCCTCGATAGTGAATTTATCTTGCTGCTTGAGTCGATTTATTTTCTGCTGAACCCATACACCTGATGGGGGAATATCAGACTCTTTAAAATCAGCAAAGTGGTTGCTTTTTTATTTTCTGTTCCAGTTTAGCTTGTATAATATTTGCAGCGCCTGTCGGTAAACTTTTCCTGGAAAGACTTTCAGAAAATTTTTCAATCATATTCGGCTTGTTCTTTTGCTTTGCTTTAAATGAAGACCATTTTTTTTTTTCGTACAGAAACTTGACTTCTTCCTCCAATAGGCGTAATATTTCATCATCAAGATCATTTCCAATTTTTGTATAAGCTTGCCTTGGTTTTTTTCTCGCCAATTTGTCTTTTTTCTGCTGCAGGTGAAATGATAGTGCTTACGACATTAATTGGTTTTTTAGTGTGGGCACCGGGTTTCAAACACACCCTCAACGCAAACCATTCTGTGCTAAATGAATCGCTATTCGACGGCGGATCAATAACTTTTGGCTTTGCTCTTGATGAAAACAAATAAATACGGCAGTTATAGATTTGACTACAAGTATACAGTAAAAGATTTCCTCTAGGCACTATTACTTTGTCGATATACTTTTTGGATTTGATCACGAACGGGTTGACAGCATCATTGTTCAAAATTTTCACTACTTGTTGAATTGTAGGTATATCATTATTAATTAGATCGTCATCAGACGTATGTAGACCACCATTAGGGATGATTCTGAGTTGACAAGAGGAGAAATAATTTCTTATTCTACTCATATTGTTGTTGAAGGGAAAGTCAAAGTTTGAAGTGGCACCTTCCAATACTTCATAAACTCCAGTATTGTCACCAGTGCTAGGTATGAACGAAGCTATATTGCTATTTAAGCTATAAAATTCCAGGGGAGCCTCACCCATTAAGGAACCTGTATGTGGCAAATATGTTTGTATTTTGCGGTGAACAAATGGGGTAAAATTCAATGATGTTTTTGTACCTTCTGTACTGCTACTTTCCCCATGGCTATGTTCTAAAAGCAAAGGTACCGGTTTTTGCCTTACGTCTGTCAATAGTAGTGAATTAATATTAAGTACTTGACAAGTGAATAAAAAATGTGTGTGAATACTTCTTCTATCATCCGCTTGGGATTTACGTTTCATCTTGAGACAAAGTGGCCAAAGTAAAAAGGAAGAAAGATTGTATGTAACAACATTTTTAATTGGTAAATAAATAATTCACTGATTAATTTATGACGATAGTTTTTGACTGCTATTTATGATTGATTATTTATTGAAATAAAAGAACCAACACCAAGTTGGTATGGGTGAATTGAATGGAAAGACAACAAAAGAAACTACTACTACAACAAAATGACACACAACTACACAGTGTGTCGAAAATTAAAAGGAGAAAAGATAAAGTAAAGAAGAGAAAAAAAAAGAGAAGGGAAGACGATGATGCTTTCGCATACAACGTTTTATATTTGAAGGCAGGAGCATGGAATAAACAAAAAAAAGGGTGGAGTTACAAAAGAGGTAAAATCACGTTACTTCAAATCATGATCTAAAATTAAATCTTGTGGCAAACAGGTCACAAAGAAGGTATTAAAGTAGATACCATTGACTATCGAAATATGAAAATAGACCACATGTAACTGTCTGACTAGGAATAAAGGCATAAACTCCTTTACATTTTTTTTTTTGTAGGTACAGTATATCCTTATTAGGGGTAACACCTATTACTGTATGATCATTTTATTGTTCGAGCTTATGTCAGCAGACAAGATTCGTCTGCGTATAATTACATATCGCCAGTTGGATCGTAATCTCATGGTTATCGTCCTGATTGAAGAATTTTTATAAGTATATGGTTACAGCCTCTGGATTGCCATTCAATGTTATAAAATCAATTACAGCCTCTGGATCGCATATCTATTGGATTCTGTATATTTTCAATACAATTAGGATCCAGAGGTCTGTACTACCCCAGCTATGTTATCCCAGCATTATTTTTTTACATGGAATATAAACCCCGTCACGCACACACACACACACACACCCCTTCTTTCTTGTTGAACCATGTTTTTATCGAAATGGACAAGACAGCCTGTCATGGGCAAGGTGAGATTAAAATGATCTCTCTCTCTTTTTTTTTTGTTGTTGTTATTGTTGTTACTGATACTTTTTTTAATGTCTTTAGTCCATGCTAATGAAACGAACCATGAACCAATGGTATTCTACCAAACCCGTCCCACCACCTAAAGTAACCATAAAAAAAGGAGGGTTAACATCCATGAAAACTAATGATTGATTTAGACCTTTACTTGGAAATCAGCGAGTGTATTAGGAGTGACAGCCATAGGACTTGGATTTTACTTTGACAATGAAAAGAAAAAGTACGATTTAGAGCGAAACAAACGGTTACGAGCACAGGAAAAGAAGCAACGAGCTGGACATGCTGTGGGGAGACCGTTCGAGTTATTTAATGTGAATGAAGGCAAAGTGACAAGTTCAGAGAGTGTAATGAAGGGTAAATTTTCCTTGATTTATTTCGGTTTTACACATTGTCCAGATATCTGTCCCGAAGAACTAGACAAGATGGCAAGTGTGGTGGATGAAGTGAAGAAGGAATTTGGTAAAGATGTACTGATCCCTATCTTTATCACATGTGATCCATTACGAGATACAGCGGATGTGGTCAAGGCCTATGTACAAGACTTTCATCCGGATCTGATTGGATTTACAGGTAGTCCTGAAGAACTCAAGAGTGTGGCAAGAGCCTTTCGTGTGTATACATTTACACCACCCGATGTGAAAGCCACAGATGATTATTTAGTGGATCATTCCATCTTTTTTTATTTAATGGATCCAGAAGGAAATTTTGTGGATTGTTATGCAAGAGATACCACACCTGAGGAGGTACTCGCTAGCTTTAAAAATTATAGGCAAGATTATCTTGATGATCATGAGTTAAAAAAAGTTTAAAATAAAAAAAAATCACTTTTTTTTTAGTTTGCGCCTAATGTATTGCTACGACTGAGGGAAGGTTTGATCACGAAGGATGGACTAGCTAGTTTGGGTAAGCTTTTCTGAATGTTATGTCTTGGCGGTGGTGATAAGGAAGGTGCATGGTAACCATGGTAATCTAACACCTCTCTCTTTTTGAGTATCTATTTCTAAAGAGAGAAAGAAAAAAAATACATGCACATATGAAAAAAAAAGGGGGGAAAAAAGAGAAACCTACCCTCGTTGAGAACCGTAGGTTCAGTGGAGTAGGGTATGGGTTGGATATAACTGCTATGTCTACGAGTGACCACTATCTGATCATCCAACCGAGGAGCTTTCTTTATTTTGGTACTAATCATTTTAGAAAGCTTCTTTATGCGTTGACCTAACGACCCTATATCTGACATTTATAAAAAGAGAAAAAAGAGAGAGAGAGAAAGAGAAAGAGAGAAAAGAAAAAGGCCCATTTTTTTTTTTTTTTTTAATTTAAAAAAAAAAGGGGGGGGGGTGATGGGGAATTGTTTGAGAGTCTAAAAAAAAAAAAAGTGTGCATATAGATTACAGAAAGAGAGAAAATATTACAAAAAGGAAAGATCTTTCTAATCTTCCATGACAGCATCTTGTGTCTTTAAGACTCTACCACCTTTTTTACCGTTGTCTGGTTTACTAATACCAGCAGCACGATCAGCCTTTAAAAAAAAAAAAGTTAATGATCCTGTCCACGGTCTATATGAATAAAAAAAAAAAAAGAAGAAAAGCTTACTTCTTCTTGTGTATAAGGTTCGTCTTCCAACTTCTTGAGTCTTCTCTTGTGTAATTTACTCTTCAAGTGTTCAGCATAATGAGCTTCCGAGATGAAATGACGACTACAATAAAAAAAAAAAAAAGGTGAGATCATGGGTTTGCTAGAGTGAAAAAAAAAAAAAAGAAAAAAAAAAACCTGTCAAAAAGACTTACGCGCACTCAATACAGTAATGTTGACCGAGACCAGGCAAGTCAGTGTCAATAGCTTGATTCTTTTTCTTTTCGGCATTTTCAGGCTTCAAATCATCTTGGATCTGATCCAGATCTCTAGTGTAAGCTCTCGTACGTTGTCTACGGTAGTTATCACGAATACCATGATGGTTTCTCTTATGACGAAGTCTAGTGTACATACAGAGTGAGTATGTATCACTCCTTTTTTTTCATGTCCCTCTCTTTTTCTTACCTTCCCATTTCTATTATGTTTTTATATGTGGTTGATTTAAATAAAAAAAAAAATTAAAAAGAAAAATGGAAACTGAAAAAGGGTAGGGAAGATGGGGGTGAGTGGAAGAAACAAGTCACGAAAAAGGAGCACACTTACGCTTCCCCCCCAGTGGCTGAGTCTCTTTTTAATGCATATTTTTTTTTATATCTGTTCCAAATGAAACGATCGCATGATGTACACATTGATGAACAGGTAGATTTTGATAGTTTGTTACAGAACCCTCAATTGTTGGAAGGTCTAAAGAAGTCAGGGTACGAGAAACCTTCACCCATTCAACTGAAAGCGATTCCTTTGGGACGGTTAGGTATGGACCTCATTGCGCAAGCCAAGTCAGGTACGGGCAAGACAGTCGTGTTTGGAGTGATTACGTTAGAAACTGTACAGATCAAAATAAAGTCACCTCAAGCGATGCTTATTGCACCCACACGTGAGATTGCGATCCAGATTCGAGACGTCATACGTAACTTGGGACAGACCATGGAGGGTCTTGTCTGTGAAGCATTTATTGGTGGGTTGTCAATGGCAGCGGATTGTCAACGCCTGGCAAAGTGTCATGTGATGGTTGGTACACCCGGAAGACTGATGGCTCTCTTGGATGAGAAACGTATCCCCATGGGGCATCTAAAACTGGTGGTATTGGATGAAGCGGATAAACTCATGTCAACAACATTTCAACCTCAGATTGCCTATATTTTTAAAAAGCTAAAGCAACACAAGGTCCTTCATCAATCGATTACGTTCTCGGCCACTTTTACCGATGATCTTTTACTGTCCTTATCCCGATTTCTGAAATCACCGCAGACAATACGATTGACGGAAGGAGTTCCGACACTTCATGGTTTGGACCTTTTTTTAAAATGTTTCCCCCCTTCCCTTTGTAAAGAGAAAGAAAAGTTAACCCCATGTGTTTTTTTTTTAATTTTATTATTTAGAGGTGCAACAGTATTATGTGACCATGGAAAGTTCATCGGGTGACAAATTGGACATGTACAAGACAAAGTTTGAGGGAGTAGAAAAGCTCTTGAGTCAAGTGCCATTTTATCAATGCATGATCTTTGTCAATAGTTTGCCTAGGTCAATTGAATTGAGTCAATGGTTGAACGAAATGGGTTGGAAGTCGGGACAGATTCATTCGAATTTAAACCAAGAGAAACGAATGGCAGTGATGGAGCAAATGCGAGCATTTAAGTTGCGTGTGCTTGTCTGCAGTGATTTAGTGAGTTTTTGTTTTTATGTTTGTTGTTCTTTCCCCAACTAAACTATGATAGATTGCACGTGGTATTGACATTGATCGTGTGAATTTGGTAATTAATTTGGATATGCCTTGGGAAGTGGAGACATACTTGCATCGTGTAGGACGTACAGGCAGATATGGTAAAAGGATGAAATAGTATAAACAAATATAGTATATAAACACTTAAAAAAAAAACAATTAGGCACGTCGGGGATTGCGATTAATTTGATTGGTCCTGATGATCAACCTTTTTTAAAGACACTATCCGAACAAGGCATCCGCATCGATCCACTTCCCCGTATGTATCACTGGCACAGTTTATTAGTTTGAATATTGACACTGTTTTTATATAGAGAAAGTTGCGTACAATGAATTCCTAAAGGAATTATCGGAAACAGATCAAGCGTCCTTTCAGAGACATCAGTCGAACAAGATTGAGGTAAGAAGTTTTATTGTTGCACTGAAAGAGAGAGAGAGAAAGATGGGCTGATCAGATAATTATAAGTCTAAGCCAATGGTGATGAAAAAGAAGGAGCATCATGCGAAGAAGCAAAAGACAGCTACAGACGCTGCTACACCAGCTGCTACAACCGTTGCACAAGCGACACAGGCTAGACAAAAATCAGTGGTATCGCCGCACTATTATTTTCATCCACCGGATTTGTTTTTTTGAGAGGTAAGGGTCCAAATAATAAGGCGGGAAACTCTTTTTATATAATGTTTTTTTTTTATTTATTTATTTATAAAAAAAAAATTTATAATTTTAAATTAGGGAGAAAGAAGAGGGGAGTGGGGGGGGGGTAGTAAAATGATAGGGGGGGAGGGAATAATAAAGGAGAAAAATAACAAAAAAAAGATATTGTTTTTTTGATATAAAGAAACAGAACCGGCCGATCAAAGCATAATAAATTAAAAAAAAAAAAGAGAGAGATAAAAAAAAAGGGCATAAAAAAAAAAAGAGGAAGGGCATACAACCACGCAGAATCATAGAGAGAAAAAAAAAAGTATATACACATAAGCATAAAGTGAAAAAAAAAAAAAAGGAGAGAAGCAGGAGAAGAAAGAGAGTAAATGAGAGTGAGTGAGGGGTGTTGAGTTACATCATGTAACGATTTCTGTGTAATAAATCAAATTGAGTTGTGTCGTACATGGGTTGTTGGTTCAAAAAGTTCATGTCTCCTCCATCAAAGATAGGTTCTGACAAACGACGAAAGACCTGCAAGAAAAGAGAGAGAAAAAGTTTAATATATAGAATATGAATTACACACAATTTAAAAATTACCTCGGTGGATTGCATGAGACGATCAGCATTGGTAGTGACAGTAGTAGTTGTGGGTTGAGAGTATCTACGTACAGAGTCATCAAACAACATGGCATCATTGTAAATGTTGCGTCTGATTTGTTGTGGAGTGAATTGAGGATAATCTTCTCTCTTGGTATCTTGCCATTGACTGTTCATAAAGATGGGGTATTCATACATCAATGGATTGGCTGTGTCAACAAAGGGGGTGACGGGTGTCATGAGTAACTCTTCTTCATCGGCATTGGTGGAACAAGCGTCACTTTGATAGAATGGAGGGTAGGACAATGTACGACTCATGGGTGTAGTCATAAATAATTGACAGTCATTGCAGGTACAAGTAGATTGAACTGGTGAAGGTGATTCTTGTGAGATAAAGCTATCGATAGAAGATTGTTTAACCAAAGGCTCTGACAAAAGTGAGAGGGTAGATTGACTGGATTGAGTATTAGGAATGACCGAAGAGGAGGAGGAGGAAGAAGAAGAAGAAGAGGAAGGCGATTTTTTAGAATTGACGGTCTTTTCCTTGGCTCTACGATTCTGGAACCACACTTGTACTCCACGCGGGGTCATGACTAGTTTTTGGGCAAGCCATCTTCGAATAGATGCATTGGGCTTGGGGTTTTCAAGAAAGGTCTTTTCGAGTACCTTGAATTGAGCACGGGAAGTTCTTCTACGGTGTTTGATTTCGAATGGGTTGTAAAAGGTAGGTCTAAAGTCATCTCCTTGTTGATATGGCTTGACTTCTAACTCTTCCTCATGCTCTCCGTAATAGGTGGCGTCATCATGCAAGAAGGGCATGCCTTCAAAAGATGAAGTATTAATGATGGTGGGTGTATGGATCATGGTATTCATTTTTTTTTTTTTTTGATTTGATTTGATTTGTAATTTTTTTTTTTAGGTTATATAAACATAAATTTGTAAGAGTAAAAATATATAATAATAATAATAATAATAAAAAGAGAAAAAAAAATTATTCGAAAATGCTTTTTCTTCTTTTTTGCTTCTTTTTTTTATGTAAAAAAAAAAGAGAGAGAGAAAGATATATGGACAAAAAGATGTAAAGAGTAGGAAAAAAAAAATCATAATAGACTTTTTTTAATGCAAGTCTTTTTATACAAGTTGACATTTGGGAATGTTTTTTTTAGCAGAAAGTGATGGAAAATAACAGAGAGAGAAAAGGGGGAGATTAGTGAAGGGGAGAAAAGAAGGAGTTCACAACAATCATTTCCGAGGAACAAATTGAGAGGGAATAACTTTATTACATGTGGGATGCAAAACAATTCTTTTTTATAAGTGATGCATAATAAATCACTTTTTGTATTGTTGATCCCACACACCCACCCACACACACACACACACACATCCACACACACACAACCATACCCACACACAGCTCACTTTAAAGAAGAAAAAGACAAAAGGGGGGAGTGACAATGATGCATCGAATCCGTCTGACACTCATTGTCGATCGTAGCACACACATGTTATTTTGGAAGGGGATATAAGAAAGTTCCCCCTGTCGGTTCAATCCGTAAAATGATGTTATTTCCACTCATATTACATGTGAACGAAAACGGTGCGCGTGAATGCAATGAATCGATGAATACGTGTAACCTCCTCTCCCCAATCAGAAAAAAAAAATGCCTTTTTTTAGTTAATTAAGATGTTCTCTCATTAAACTCGTAGGGGCCTTTTTTTTTTTTCTTTTATTTCCTTTGGTTCTTTTTTTGGATTTTTCTTTCTCGCAAGAAGAAAAAAAGAGGGGGTGGGTTTAGCTCTAAATCGTAGCCTCCGATCCGATGATAGTCCACAGTGAGCTACTATTATTATTATGATTTATTTTTAAAACAAGGGGAAAAAAAAAATAAACTTTATTTTTCTCGAAAACTATAGCTCTCTTTCTCTCTCTCTTTTTATTCGATCACTCTTTTTGGATAGGAGATAGATGACGTGAAAAAAGACTAAGTAAGTACCAGCAGCAGTCGCGCGTGCGGTGGCCTGTACATTTTGCATTTATTAATATTTTGCATAAAACACTGCATACACTCGCTGTATATGTGTGTGTGTGTGTGTGTGTGTGTGTGTGTACGCTTCAAAAAAAAAGACTTTAATTAAAAAACCTTGTTCAAAGATTGTCTCCCTCTAATTACAAAAAAAAAATGATTCATTATTATTATTATTATTGATTGATTAGGGAGAACGACAGTAATTATAGAACTCGACAGTAAAAAAAAAAAAAAAAAAAAAAAAAAATCCCCGATCTTGTTGATCGATTATGAGAGTAAAGCGCGCAACCTACTTTCTTTTTTCCACTTTCGCAGTTGTTGCCCCCCCTCCCCTCCTCCTCTTCCTCTTCCTCCACTCACTCATGACGTCCTTCTCTTCGATGTCTCCTATTTGTTTGTGTGTGTGTGTGTCTCCTTTTGTTACCTCAAGGTTGGATAAATCAATGCTTTTTCATCTTTTTTAAAAAAAAAGTACAGATACATGTCATGATGCAATCCAAAATGACCTATTGACTCTCTCTCTTTTTCTTTTTTTTCTTTTTCTTTTCTCTTTTCTTTTCTCTTTTCTTTTTTTGAAGGTTTATCTCCCCCGGCTAAATATAGACAGCAAATCTTTATTGTCAATTACATTTGTAAATATAAAACGTTGTATCTGGCCCAAAGCTTAATAATCCATCATGAACAACTCCTATTATTCAATAAATAAAAAAATAAAAAAGTTCATTTTCCTTTCTCAATGCACATTATATAGATATTAGCTAGTCTTTTTATCATGTTTCTCTCTTTTCTTTTCTCTCTCTCTCTTTTTTTTGTTATCTCTTTTTTTCTTTTTTTTTTTCTTTCTTTTTTTTTTTTTTATATAAGTTAAAAAAATAAAGAACTAACCCGACAGAAAAAGAAACCTTTTTTTTTTTTAAAAAAAAAAAAAAGAGAAAAAAAAAAAGTGGACTCTTTACACATTTATTCAGTCTAGTTGTGATGGCCTCTTATGCAACCCCACGTATAGCCAGATCGAAAAGTGGAGCCGATCTCTTGCTGGATAAAATGAAACAGGAACAGTATCGACAAGATGAACGAGCTGCGATTGAATATTTAAACACCATACTCGAAATGACCATACCTCTTGACGCACCGTTACAGTATGAATTATCGGATGGTGTTTTACTATGCAAGTAAGTAAATAAGGGGGGGTTAACTTAGTATATAGAGTCTACGCTAACATGAGGAGGAGTCAAGAAGAAGGGAGGAGGAGGGGGAGAAAGGGGGGGGTGCAAAAGCATTGATTTTATTAACTCTTTTTTTTTTAAAAAAAAAAAAAAAAGTCTTGTAAATAAACTGAAGCCAGGCACAATTAAACAAGTGGGTCAAAAGGACCTTTCATTCATCAAGGTAAAATAAAAAAGGAAACGAATAAAAATATTATGTCGATAGTAATCTTCTCTAGCATAGATGGACAACATTACACGATTTTTACAAGGAGCTAGACAGGTATATATATAATACTTTAGGAGTCCAATTTAGGAGAATGTGTGTGTGTGTGTGTGTGTTTATTTGTTAAAAGAAAACAACTATGAATGTTGGAAAAACTAAGGAGTTTTTTTTTTTTTTTTTTTTTTTTTTTTTTAATTTTGCATCATTGTGTATGTAGCTTGGATTGAATAAGGCACAACTATTTGAAACGGTAGATTTATTCGAGGCCAAAGATATGACAGCTGTAAGTCTCATGATATAACTTCCCCCTGATATTTATCTATACTTATTTTAAATAATATAGGTCATTCATACAATTTTAGCCATATCTCGACTGACGGAAAACCAAATTTTAGCATCCACACATGCTGACAATCATGAAGGAGTCATTAAAATGAATGGGCAGGAGAAAAACGAGGAGAGTGAGGATACCCGAAACAACGGTAAATAATTAAATAAATAGCATTTATTTATGTATTAACAAATAAAAAAAAAAGATGATTCAAATACGAAATATCGAGATGTTCGAGATATATTTGGAGGATTTAACGTGATTCCATCGAACCATACTATAAAAGAATCTCGATTAAGGTTAAATAGAGATGCACTTGCAGCGTCTCGAAAATTAGGTCTAAGGTCAACTTTTACAGGGACATCACATACAGTGGAAACAGAAGAGGAAGGAAAACGACCTCGTACCACACCTTCTTCACCTACCTCCAATAGCTTTTCTCGACCACCCAAATCACCTTTACGATTACCACCCCGATACGAGGAGAATTATGAAGATTATGGAAGACTTGATACACCCCCATTAGATATGGCAAGATCACCTTCCATCTCTTCTGTGAATTCCTCCCTATCCACCGCCGTCAGTACCAAGCACACATCCGTGTCCTATCGCACAAAGGAAGATATCACCGAGCAAGAAACAAAAAAGAATACACGTAGACTTTCTTCCCCAGCTGAACGTAAACGACAAAGTCATACTTTCCCTAATCGAAATAATAATCATGCTGCTGGCAGTAGTAGTAATTCTCATGGTAAGAAGCGACATAACAACAATAATGACTTGAAAGAAGAAGGTCCCCTTTTGGGTGGAAGTTTAGGCCATAAATTAGATCGTCAGTACCGTGAAACAGCAAATGAAATATTGTCAAAAAAACCATCGGATGACGTTGAAGAAAAAGAAGAGAAACTCATGTTGCAGAGTGAAGATGGCTTATCCACCACACACTATGTAAGTTTTGTCGTCTCCCCCCCCACACACACACACACACCTTTTTTGTTTCTTCTTGTATTGACACATTTACTTTCTGTGTAGCAATTGGGTAACTGTATTGGTAAAGGACAGTTTGGTTCGGTGTATCGAGCTTTGGATCTTGCCACAGGAGAAATTGTTGCGGTGAAACGATTGTTTCTGGAAGAAGGCGCACTTGACGATGAAATCATGGTAAATGAGTTTTTTTTTTTTTTTTTCCTCCGTTGAATCTAAATCATAACATTGTTTTGTTGTTGTATAGAAAGAGGTGGCTTTATTAAAGACACTATCACATTCAAACGTGATAAGATACCTTGGGTTTATCCAGGGTAAACAAAGCATCAATATTATTTTGGAGTTTGCAGAGAATGGATCTCTCATGTCAACGTTAAAAGCATTTGGTGCTTTCCCCGAGAAACTTGTAGCTTCCTTTTGTATCAAGATTTTAAACGGGTTAGATTATCTTCATCAAAATGAAGTAGTGCATTGTGATTTAAAAGCGGCCAATATTTTAACCACCAAGACGGGTGATGTGAAATTGACTGATTTTGGTGTATCACTCAATCTAAAAATTAAAGGAGCCGATGCAGGCTCTGTTTCTGGCACCCCTAATTGGAGTGAGTATTAACATAGAACCCCCCCTTTGTAACTAAAAACTAAAATAATTTTTTTTTTTTTTTGTTTGTTTGTTTAGTGGCACCCGAAGTGATTGAACTTAAAGGTGCATCTACAAAGTCTGATATATGGTCACTGGGATGTACTTTAGTGGAACTGGTGACGGGTAAACCACCTTATGCTGATTTAATTGCCATGTCTGCCATGTTTCGTATCGTAGAGGATCCAATCCCACCTCTACCTGATTCCATCTCGGATGAGATGAAGAGTTTCTTAACCGCTTGCTTTCAAAAGGATCCTCAACTTCGTCCCTCTGCCCACGAACTCTTGCATCATCCTTGGATCCTACAAAATCAACAACGTATTCGAAAGACAGAAACTTATTCCCATGATTTATCCAGTTATTTACGTAATCATCCTCAACCTACAGAGGAAGAAGAAGCAGAGGAGGAGGAAGAGGAGGAGGAAGATCATTTTACGAATTCTAATAATAGTAATATGACACTAAGAAATAGTAGTGGACTACAAAGTAGCTCGGATTTGAGCAGACATCCTAACGAAAGTCAAGTGACTTTGTATGACGAAGAGGAGGGGGAGGAAGAAGAGGATGCGAGTACCAAGGGGGTACCACTTGGATTACGAGATGAAGAAGATTATATCACGCATCGATTTATACATACTTCTTTTGGAAAGGTAGTAGAGTGTAAAGTCTGTGGTGATTTGATGAATACACAGTCCATCTTTTGTGAAGTGTGTGCATTAATTTGTCATGAAGAATGTAAAAAGTCTGCCTTTTCATGTCCTCCCAAAGTCAATGAGCAGCAGCCCTCCTATGATGTAAGTTTTGCGTCAAGGCAAGAACAAAAAAATAAAAAAAAAAGGGGGCATTGGGGTTACTAACAACTTTCCTGTGTATAATGTAGTGGGTATTTTCTGCAAAGATTTATAACCGAGGTCGTAAATCAGGCGAGATACGTAGTAGTATGATCAGTCACCCAAAGAATGCAACGGGACCTGTGGCGGTTCAATTAAAACCAGAGGATGCAGAGAGTATTCGACAATATGCGTTAGCGCTAGGATTGACACCACAAGAAGAGCAAGCGTTGAATGGAAACCAAGCGTTATTATCGCATACACTTTTATTACAGCAACAAAACAAGTTGGATCCAGGTACGCTTCGACATAAGGTGATTCATTCCAAGACCTTTAGTAAAGATGAAAAGAAGAAGCGAAATAATATAAATGGAAGAAGACAATCTGAAGAATGTATCATTTCTTAAACATACAACAACACCACCACCACCTTACTTTATTTTTTATATTTTTTAACTAGTATTACTTAATTGTAATTGTACACCATATTGTTTTTTAAAGAAAAAAAAAAGAGAAAAACAAGAAAAAAACGAGATTCTGTTTGTTTAGAATGTTTCGTTTTGTTTAAACTAAATAATTAAATAAAATAAAAAAAAAACCAAATTTTTATTATCATGATTATATTATTTGCTTAGGTATATTGAACACCCTCCACCCTTTTTTTTTCTGTTGTTTCCTTCATGTGCTTGACTACTGAGTTGGTGGAGTTTTAATTACGTCTCTTCTTTTCCTGCGATTAAAAAAATAGATGAATCAATAAGGGTTTCTCTCTCTCTCTCTCTCTCTCTCTCTCTCTCTCTCTCTCTCTTTCTTTCTGCTGTGTTTTATTTTTGGGGATGACTTACAAGTGGTTGGTGCGAAGATTCAGGACCACGACCTCTTCTTCTCTTGTTATTATTGGAGGTACCCACAGTCACAGTTCTTCCGTTTCCTATGTCCTTTGATACTGGTTTCTTTGTATTGTTGGTGGGTCTTCTGATATTATTATTAGCATTGATGATAATGTCTCTGGCTGAAGTCTTGACTTGTCGCACGGGAGCAGATCGAATAGGTGCAATGGTAATAACACGACCTTGTATGGGTGTATCCGTCTTTCGACCCTTCATGATGGTTCGTTTATTTTGAGCCATGATGGGAGCATTTAAACGAGTAGCAATGTTATTATGTTTCTTGTTCAAGATATTGGATTTCGTCACAGCCTTCTTAATAAGTTCTGTTTTGGGTGCCATCTTTTGAACTCTGCCTTGTTTCACTGCGTTCTTGGTCACTGTCATTAATTTCTTGTGGTTGGTAGGTACGATTTTCTTTTCGGGAATACCAAATCGTTCTGCTCGCTTCTTCAAGATATCTTGGGCTGCTGTTTCCTTTGTTGGTTGCTTTCCTTCTTTTTCCTTCTTTTTCTCTCCCTCCATATTAGTGGTGGTGGCAATGATACCAAATCGTGCAGCACGAATTTCTTTCATATCCTTCTCATCCAACTTGATGCCGAAACGCTTGGATCGTTCGAGTTTACGTTCGGCTTCAAGGCGTGCTTTTTCAATTTGTTCTGCGGTAAGTGGTGCTTTTTTCTCTTGGACAGCAAGAGAAGCCGTAGTTGTGGTGTTGGTAGGGGCAGCCTTAGCCTTGGGGGTAGGAGTGGATTTGGTATCCTTGTTTGATTTGGTGGATTTGGGGAGGGGAGTTTTGGTGGATCGGGTAGGTCTGATATTTGACTTGGGAGGGGTATTGACCGTGGTGGATTTGGATGGTTTAGGTGCTGGAATTCTGGAACCGAATGCTTTAGAGACAACGGGCTTGGAATTGGATTTAGTAGTAGGAAAAGGTTTCGTGTTGGCGGATTTTGTTGTAGTCTTTGGTGTTGCTGCGGTTGATTTCTTTACAGGTGTTGATTTCTTTAGTGGTTCAGATTTGACTGTTTTACTTTCGAATGTGATGGGTGTAAACTTGAAAGAAGAAGCAGGAGCTACTTCAGTGGATGTGACGGACTCTTGTAAGGTGATTTCAACAGCAGTGGCTGTGGTGGCTGTGGTGGTGGTGGTGGTTGTGGGTGAGGGAATGACGGGTTCTGTGACAGGTGGGGTCACCGCTTTTACTTTGGGACTGACAGAAATTGACTTCTTTTCGACTGCAACGGGGGTCAAATCTTCTTCATCGTCAGATAAAACACTTTCCTTTTCATAAAAGGCGGGTTTATCAAGAATAAGAGAAGAAAAGATGGCATCGGTTTGAATATCCTCCGTGCTTCAAAGGAAAGGGGAATGAGAAACATGAAACTACTTTAAAAAAAGGGTGGTGGGAAAAAAAAAAATACTTACAGAATTAATTTTGACTCGTCAAAATCGTCCTCGAGTTCAAACTCTTTTTCAAGATTTTCCATTGCTTTACGTTCGTCGAGTTTAACTAATCTCTCCACGAGATCTTCTTTTTTACCCGTATAAGGCATATCGTTTTTTTGTAAAAGTTCTATTCCCATTGAAAAAGCATGTCTTTTTAGTTCACTCGAAACGTGATTTACGTGAAACTATTCATTTACCTTGAAGTTCTTTTACTTTTAAATTTTTATATTTTTCAGACATTTTTTTCGTGTGTGTAAAGGGGAAAAAGAAAAACAAAAAAAAAATGGGGAGCGCGCGTCCGATATATGTATGGAAAAAAAAAAAAAAAAAAGGAAACTTATCTTGGTTGTTGATTGGTTAATTTCTGGGGCCAGGGTACTCCGACCACATAGACTTTTTTAATTTCATTGGCTCTGTTTTTAAAAAAGATCACTCAATAGTCTCATCTGATTGGTTAATTTTAAACATCAAAATATGCGCGTTTACAGACATGTCCCCCGTGTCGAAAAAGTGTATTTTCAAACATGAAAGTATATTTCACTACTTTTTATTTTTCAATAAAATAACTCAGTTTATACATGAAGACCGAAGGGGAACAACCTTAAATGATAAAGGAGATGAAGTGAAAAGAGAACATATCGAACTTATAAAAGCGCAGAGAGGGGACCGCTTCTTTTCTCTCGTACATGATAAGGGCTTGTCCGTTTGTGCAGCTGCTGATCACCTAAAAAAAAAAAAAAAAAAAAATGCTTGCTATTACAGCCAACTACTGGTACAAAAAAAAAGTCTTGAGAATTCAGGTGAGATTTGTTTGCAAATGAAACGAGGGCCTATCTGGGGCAGTCCTCCCCATATGAATACACACCCAGACCGTGATTTTCTCATTGAATTGGTTGAAAATAATAGACAGTTTGATTAAAATGTTTGACTTTCATACCCTATTGTGAAGGAAAAGTGTCGAATAAAGCTGTATCATTATTATTATTATTTTCTCGTCGTTTTCATCAATTAACTTTCTTTTTGTCAAGATCATCATCGCTGACCTCGTCTTCCAACTCATGTTTCATCCACATTGTCTCAAACAGTTTTACTGGTGCCATATCTTTGTTTTATTGTGGTACCTGTACCTATGCAATCGTCCATGGATTTTATATATATATATATATCTTATAGAGGCTGGCCTCTTGATCCCTTTACACATCACCTTCTGTTTTATCAATCGAGATAGACAGTTATAAAATAAAGAATAAGGTAATTGTGACACTCGGTAAAATTGAATATCGCTTTGTTATTGATAATTAGAGGTGTGTTTTTATTTAGGAATTGACAAAGTCCTTTTCGTTCCTGTCAATTAATAGTGCAAGTCCAGAAAATGTTTAACAATGTGAATCTAATTGCGATAAGCATTTATTTGGACCATGCGTGCATTGTAGGCCGTTGTATTATTATAAAATTGTTATATTTATGAGTTGTTTTCATCATTTTGTTAATGCAAATGTTGCGTGTACGTGAGGTGACACGAAGTAGTCTTTTTTGAGTTTCTTTGGGTGTTCTCAAGCAAATTATTTTAAAATATTAAATTTGCTTGAAAACACCCCCTTTGCTAAATTAACTCACCAATAATAGCGCTTGCAAACACCAAAATATATTTGCGTATACAACACCTACAAAGATATTGTCAACACTATCCAAAATAGTCTTTTACCCGTTCTTTTACCTACAACGACAGGTCCAAAAGATCATTCATCAGTTCCATCGAATCATCACCAAAGTCCACTCCTCTAGACGGGAAAGAAATGCTCTTCACTGAGTGATGTAGAAATGATTTGATTTGAAGGGGTACGACAGACACAAATGCACTTCGAATCCCATTACAATCAGGTATGGAATAAGTACGATTTCTTTTTCCCCGGTTGATTACACTGGATGCCATGATGGAGTTAAATAATGCCTTCAACGCAACGACGGCCTTTTGTTTATCTCTGGAGTACTTCAAAACCGAGCAATGCTTGGCACCCTCTAAAAAAAAAGGGTGAGTTCATTATACACATTTAGTGTTATTTATAAAATTTTACCTTTGCAATTTTGACTAAAGTTACAAGTTCTCTTTTATTGAACTCCAGGACCCCTTAGAGACTCAATGATATTATTTCGTACGTCATATGCCAACTGCATCAATGGGTGACCCTGGGATTGTATCGGATATGTCCCAGGATATGGTTTCTTGACAGACTTCAAGTGTCGGTGTTAGAATATAAACTTTTTTTTTTTTCTCTGTTTAAAAAAAAAAAAGTAACGTTTTGTAGTACAATGTCTGATAACTGGTTTTTTGTGGCTGGTGGAATAAGCTTTTAACATCATTCAACTGAAAGAGGGGCGTTAGCGAGAGTAGTTAGGGTTCGATCTATGAACATACTTACGCGCTTTGCCTTTGGTTCCTTTAATTCCTCACTACAGTCAATGAGGTACTAGGTCATCAAATTGTTAAAAGCTTACCTTTAACGCTTGTGCCTATGAGGAGAGCACCAATGAGTATCCATTAGGACAACATGTAAGTTGAGTAACTATACCTGTTCCTCCATAGTCTTTTATTATGCCTCTGCATACAGAAGCTCTCTTTTCCTCGCGTTTTTTATAATAGTCTTAATAAGCTATTTGGTCGACATTATTGTTGAAGAATGAAGAAAATGATAGAATAGCGTTATGTTACAAGCCCCTTTGAAAAATATAATCTCAGTCCTCCGAAAGTGGCGTCATCCTTTCAAAAAAAATTGTTGTATTATATGTCTAGGCAGAGACATCCCGGCTTTCATCCAATGCAGCAACATCAGACTGAACTTGTGTCAAGAAAAAGCGACATCAATGCGTCTTGTTGCAAGCGGTAGATCTAGCTATTATGTGTTTGATATTGCTGTGTGGATATCTTATGGTGTGGGCTACAGTCAGTAGCGGTTAACGGGTTGATGTACTGAGTGCTGCCAAACATCGCTATAAATTGAACACTGTCACTCTTTGACGGGTTAATTGTAGATTCACATCGTAGTCTCCTATCAAAACAAAGAGGTAAGTTTATATCCAGATTTGTATATTGACTACTATCTAAAGCGCTGCTTTTCTTGATCTAAATTGGGTACTCGCGCTATTGTGAAGACACCAAAAACCAAGCAGAAGATGACGAGGTACCTCTCCCTTTGGATCTGTAAACTTATAAAGGATTAGAATACCTAAAGTAGCAATAGTCACCTCTAATAAAGAAGGTTTAAAAATGATACTGAATAATAAAAAAGCACAAATCAAATGGAAATATGAAATGTTTTATTTATAATAATGCGAAAAAAAAAACACCAACCCAAGTGGTATGCATAGAAAGAGATAAGGAAAAAAAAATACAAGAATAAAAGAAGGATTAAACATTATTGCCTTCATAATTATTATTTTACTCGCTGTTTTCATCATTGCTTTCATCATTGACTTCCTCATCGTCGTCAAGATCATCATTGCATTCTTAGGGATATCATTATATATTTTACTGTGAATTGTATTATTTCATGCTGACCTCATCGTCAACATCATCATCATCGACCTCGTCTTCCAACTCGAGTTCATCCATGTTATCCCAAACAGTCTTACTAGTGCCACATTTTTGTTCGACTATGGTGCCACCTATACAACTGTCCATGGATTTTCGTTTTTGTTTTTGTTCCTCTGGAGGCTTGCTATAAAGGCCGGAGAACAAAAAAAAACTAATAATCTTGAAGCTGCCGTTCGCTTCACACATCGCCTGCATAGATATTGTCAACAATATCCAAAACAATCGTTTACCCGTTATTTTACTTACAACATGGGTCCAAAAGACCATTCACCAATTCTATTGATTCGCCACCAAAGTCCACTCGTCTAGAAGGGAAAGAAATGCTCTTCACTTTCTGAGTGATGTAAAAATGGCCGGATTTTAGAAGTACGACAGGCACAAATGCATCTCAAAATCCCATAACAATCAAGTACGGAATAAAAAATATCTTCTTTCTGCCGGTTGCTTACATTGGATGACATGATGGAGTTGAGTAATGCCTTCGATGCAACGACGGCCCTTTTCGCTTATCTTTTGAAATATATTTTGAAACGGAGCAACGCTTTGCCACTTCCCCATATCCATGATCTTCCATCTGATGTTTATCGATGGCAATCAAACGAAGGTCCATCTTCATATTGATACCTACTGACAACAAGGAGTGTGGAAGCGTATCTCTCCTAAAAGAAAGAGTTGTTGTATGAGGACATAAGTCACGCAATACAAAAGAAAAGTATATCATATATTACCAATGAGGAACATTGGGGTCTTTTTAAATGCTTTTTTCGACTAGGTGGTCCCCCAAAACTTGACCACCTAGTCGCATTCGGAAAAAGAATCAACCAAAGGAGCTTTTCAAAAGTTGAGGTCCCAAGATTGCTCTTGTATCTATTCTCGTAATAAAATCAGTATATTTACCTCCAGTCAGTCAAATCATTATTAAGATACTTACATGAACCTTAATAATAATAGAGGTAGTGGTATCCCAATCTTTTTTTTTTTTTTTTTTAGCAACTAACTTTAATTGATTCATTGTATTGTTTTCATATGGGTTGATTTTAGGTCTTTTTAAATCATAACCTGATGATCCAAAAATCAAAGAGCATGTTTTCAAGTTCTAAAAAAAAAAAAGGATAAGTTCATATAGACACATTTAGTTATTTTCAAAAAGCCATTCATCAGAACGTAGCACTCGTCGAATGAAGTAAACTCGTTTGTTTTATATACCAGTATGAAGATTTTTCTCAACACCAGACAAGGATTTGACGTGAGGGTTGTCTAAAAATAGATATTAAGATAAATTCTTTGTTTATGAGCAAAAAAAAAATACCTACTTTTTTAAACCCTCACCATCCCAAAAAAAAAAAAAAAAAAAAAATCTGTGATCCAGAATAAGTGTCAGATACACCCAGTGTTGTATCTTCAACAGGTAAAAAAAAATTGATAAATCATGTAAAAGAATGTAACGCACCTTTTAGTTCTCCTTCTCATCTTCCTCAAAATCTGTTGTAAATATATATATATATATATATAAAGAGTATCAGAAGCACATTCGCAGATAGTTGTTGAGAGTAGTTTATATACTTTATCGGATTCTTTAGTGATTTTATTCACGGCTTTTAACCATGAACAAAGGCTGGTTGTTCAGCACTTTACCTATTTCTCATAAATAGGTGCGATCAGACTGTAAACAGTAGTGGGTACACTGCAAAAACGCAGTGGTTTCCACTGAAAAAAAAAAAGGCAGTGATATTACACTTTGGATAGCAGCGATAGGACACTGTGAATAGCAGTGATATGACACTGAATGAAAAAGAAGTGATAACACTATAAATAACCCTTGTACAGTCCCAACACGGTTAAAAATTGACAAGGATAAAGTTATGCGGTAAAAAAAAAAATGGATAAAAAGTGGAAAGCGACAACTTTTTCCATCAGCATTACGAAAAAGTTACACCAAACAAATGTCACTAAACTAAATAAGGGACGTATGCTTAGAAAGATGAAACTTTTCATTAGATAATCACAACACATCAACCGCATAAAAAACATTGCTGATGGATGTGAGACAGAGGATATCCTTAAAGCGGGGGGGGATGAGTCCTTTTTTTTTTTTTAATTTGATTTGTAACAACTTTCCTATTGGTCAGTTTCCTCAACGAATTCTGTTTTCATTGTAAATATTTAATTTGCCGTTTTTGGGTGTTCTGTGTACAAATAATAATAAAAAAAAAAGATGGGCTCAGCAGCAGAACCCCCCCCAATTTAGTGTAATCCCAATAGGATGTCCCATCTTCAAACTTTAAATCGCGCAGTCATTCCGTGATTGGCTAAATATCATTCATGTCAAATAAGTGTTTTACCAAAAAAAAAAAAAACCTTTTTTTCATTCTCCGTTAAAATTCCATTTTCTAAAAAAAAAAAAAAAAAAAATTTAGGGGGGGGGGCTGGCAAATTTTTTTTTTTTTTTTTTTACATATATAAATTGCCCATTATTTTTTTTTTTTTATTATTCTCGAAAAAAAAAACCAACTTTTTTTATTTTTTATTTGCTTTGTTTTTAGTGATGAATTCAAACGCCGATGCCGATACTTCATCCGTGGTGGTGGATGATATTGAATTATTAGCGATTCTGGGACTGGCATCCCCTTCGCCTTGTTCTTCCTTGTGCAACAACGAGAATGAAAATAATAGTATGGCGGTACTTGATTGGGACGACATGCCCGAACTTTCCGAAGATGAAGACGCTAGCACAGATACTGTCGTGAAACGTAAATATGACGAAGAAGATCTCTTTGCCGAATTCGATTTTATTGAAGTCACTTTATTACCCGAACAAAAAAAACAAAAGACTTTATTAATACAAGAACCATTTGTGAGTCAAGACCAAATGGAAGAAGACATTCGTTTGGCCTTGGACTTGGTTTCCTCATCCAACACATAATTTTTTAAATCTGTATATTTTATTTCATCCCCCCCATTATTCCCCCCCCCCCTTTTCTTCACATCACACACTTTTTGTATATATTATACATGTACGTTTTTGTTTATATATCAATAATAAAAAAAAATAAAAATTTCATCAAAAAAGTAAAAGGGGGGAGTAAGAGGGCGTTATTATGTATTTATTTGGCGACGTGCATCAATTGCATGCATATCAGGAACACCTAATTCAGTCTACCGCACCACAAAAAAAAAAAAAAAAAATTAATTTAAACCAAAGAAAAAAAAGAAAAAAGAACAAACCTTGTCTTGTACTACCACAGGTTGTATTGTTGTTATTGGTGATGATGCTGCTGTGGTTGTTGTTGATGTTGCTGCGGGTACATTCGTTTCGCCACATTGATAGAATCCGCAAGTCTGTTGTGACCAACCAGATCCGCACTTCCAACAGAATCTATAGCCACATAACAAACAATCCACCTTGTTACACCCTTCATCTCGATTAATCATGACGGAACAATTAGGACACGGGCGGCTATTTAAAAAAAAGTTTTTTTTTGTAAGCATAAAATATATAAACAAATAAAGGTTGAGAAAAAACTAACGTGTGATTCAGCTTCCATTGAATCGTCGACAACAATTCGGTATCGGAGTCATTCTTTTTTAATTTCAACTTTAAATTCTCTAAGCAACTATTTCCCAGATGAGCATATTCGCCGCACTGAAGACACAGATCATCTCCGCACTGCGTACTAAATATAGCCTTTTTTTGTTAGTTCAAAAAAAAAAAAAAAAAATTTAAAATTATATTTTTTTTACCCACACTTTACCATGTCTCGGTCGGAAAGTTAGCGACGTGCCAGAACTGAGTTTGTTTCCATGCTTCGGGTATCACCTCCAATGCCACCAGTCGCTTAGAAATAGCCGACGCCTGGGAATACAAACCCGGTTGTTTCGAGGTGACCTTACACAGGATGGGTATTATTTGGTTGTAGAGATCTTGCACTCGCCCAATACGAAACGTAGACCCTCGTTGACAACTCGCTAAGAATGATGTCAATGTTCCTTCAATCATTCGTTTGGCGTTGGGCGATTGTGTTGTGGCTGAAAATCGTTCCAGTTCTTCCGCAATCTCTCTCAATCGGCTATTTTTATTATTATTATTTTTTTCTTTGGTGTTTAGTCTTTTTTTTTTTTATGCGGCTATCCTTCCCCCCCCCCACCCTCCTTTATTTTCATTTACCTCTCGCGTGATTGGCCCTGTGATCTGCTTTGGCATGGTGAAACTGCATGTTCGCACGTTAGACAATAGCGAGAAAAGGCTCTGTACGGCTGGTTATATTTGTTGTATTTTTCTATAATATCTGGTGAAACATATTTACTCCATTCGGACTGACTAATTGTTTCCTGACAGACTTTTTTTTATTTTATTTTTCTTTAGTTTCTTCTTTTATTGTTTTATCTTTCTTTTTTTTTACCTGGACATTTAATACGAGTAACACCTAATCCCCATGACTGGTTCACTGTCTCTTCTATGTACCTATATTTGTCCATTTTTTTTTAGTATTTTAGTATGCATAAATAAAATAAAAATAAAAATAAAAAAAGGGCTTGGTGGTGGTGGTGGTGGTTGGGGGGGGGGGGCGGTGTGGGAATATATTTGTATATACCTTGAAAAGCAATCTTTACAGAATTGATCACGACAAGCGTCGAGACAAAGATTATAGGTTTGGTCCAGACAGATGGAACAACGTTGTAACCAAAAATACATGTTATTTCGCTCGTCTTCTAAAAGGGGTGCGTCTGTTGTTGTTGTTGTTGTTGTTGTCTTGCCCTTGTTGGCTCGTGTGTTGGGTAATGCGGTGTTGTGATGATGAGCAGAAATGAGTTTATAAACCCAACTGATAAAAAATGATAAGGAACGTAAGAATATGGCAGGCATCAATAAAGCTGGATAAAACACATAAAAAAACGGTAGACAATAACAAAATAATAAATTCGCTATATTGAATCTGGCAAATAATTCCTTGTATTGTCCCATATCCAATTTCTGTTTAAGCCAATCCATCTTTTTTTTTTTAGTGTAAGGATAATTTAATAAAAGGGAAAAAAAAAAGGTATTTGATTTTTTTTCTTTTTTTTTTTTTTATCTAATAAGAATTAAAAAATAAAGGGCCCATCTGTCTTTTTGTCTTAATTTTTTTTTTAAATTCCTTTCCTCTCATGGGTTTGAAAAAAAAAAATCACATGAATTAAACATGATGTAATGGGAAACGGTGGGTGACGGCATTAAAAAAAAAAAAAAAAAAAAAATGTGGTCAAAAGGAAAATTTTAATAGAAATAATTACAACAAAAAAAAGAGAGAGAGAACAGAGAGAATGGGAATTCGAGTTATATAAAAGATAAGTGTGTGTGTGTGTGTGTGTTTGCAAATATGTAAGAGAAGAGAGAGAGAGAGAAAGGGAAAACTGTACAGAGGATAAATTAAAAAAAAAAAAAATTTTTTTTAAGTTTAGTAAAATTCTATTGTGCCAGTGGGTAATGGACCATACGATTGGAAATTATTAAAGGACATGTCTTCTGTCTCTACTGTTGTTGTCGGATGATTGGCTTTTTTATTAGCTTCTCTTTCCTTCTTTTGTCGACGCCATTCTTTTCTCATCTCTTTAAATTCAGCTGGATGTCTCTTAGGTCCCTAAAATTGATGTTTGATTAAATTAATTATACACAAATATTTGATATTGATATACTTACATGTTTCTGCATACTGACATGAGCATTCAAATGATTTAAAGTGCCATAGGCTTTAGTACAAGCAGGCCACTTGCAGTGGTAAAGTCGTTCAATCTCATCATAACGTCTACGAGGTCGTTTCTTTTGGTTGGTACCAGGAATAGCCACAAAAGAATAAATCTTTTCAGCAGACGATGTACTACTATTCGATAATTGACGTTGACGACCACCCGTGTTCGATTCATACTTGATATAAGGGTTTCCCATCACATCACTTGTATTCACAGTGCTACTACTAGTGGTGGTGGGTGGTAAATTGTACATGTTGCCCATGGGTATCATGGTATCTACTGTGGTAAAACTGTCTGGAGCAGGTGTAGGATCCATCAATTGAGCCATAGAAGTAGTGCCGTTGGGGAAAGGTGTATTAAATGTGGCGTTGTTGAAAGTTGTACTATTGGTAGTAGTAGTATCAGTAGTGGTATTGTTGTTCTCCCCTTGTCCGTTATATTCATTTGTATTATTGTAAAAAGTGGGATAGATCATGCCAGCTGCTGCTACAGCGGCTGCCACTGCATCTGTGTTCTCTACTGCTTGTTGTACCACAACTTGTGCTTCCTTCTTGGCCTTTTCAGCGGGTAATAAATGTGAAAGAGGAGGAAGCGAAGGAAGTTCTAATTGGGGAAGATACGCTCCATTATGATGTCTTCTATTTAATAATCCACTTTGTTTCGCAGCAGGTTTTACTTGGCTTGGTGTCGTTTGATTAATCGAAGGATGACTTAACGTGAAATAACTCGTATTTTCTGCAGATTGTGCCATGATTTACAATGATATACTTTTTTAAAATAATTGTGTTTTTAGAGAAAAGAAAAAAAAAAAAAAAGAAAAAGAGAAAGAAAAAAAAAGAACTTTTTTCATCCCCCTCTCCCCTCCCTCCTTTCTTTTTCAGCAGAAAGGTAGAATTTTTAAGGTACAGCGCAACAAAGAAAAAAAAAAAAGAGTCTTTACTTCTTTTAGAAATACGCACTTTATTCAATCACCGAAAAATTTACCATAACGTCATTGCCAATCTATATCGAGTTTAGTCTGTGTTTTTTTTTTTTGTTGAATTGAAAATAAAAGGATTTCCACAAAAAGCAGCAGTTATTTAAGAATCACTTGCTGTATGACGAAAGGGTTTCTGAACGTACATTCAAAAAAGAAAAAAAAAAGGTTTCATCCTTTATTTACTACTCCGACTACATCAGACAGAAGAGAGAGAGAGAGAGAGCCAACCTTGTGGTCTGTGCCATCCGAAAGGTCTGCAGAGTGTAAAAGTAAAATCAAAGGGGATCGCCCTTTTTTTTTTTTTTTTTTATCAGTAGCTCGGTTCCACCCCCGTATTTTTTTAATCTCATATCCAAATTTATAAATTATATATATAAAAAAAAAAAAAAGGGATCGTCATGTCGTAAACGAAATACGTCAATGCCATGTACACAAAAGATAATCATGTTTCTTTATAAAAAGTTTATTTTTGTTTTTACCACATAAAGTTAGGTCTCTTCCCTTTTTTCCCTCCAGTCCAAACTCTGAAAGGCAATAATTCCATGACAGATCAACAAACATATAACATATAAAAAAAAAAGCGTCATCTTTTTGAGTCCGATTATGAGATAAGAGTTCCTTTTCCCCCGAAAGACGAGGGGTTTTCTCTTTAGTACACACATTACACACACATTACATCCACCCCTGTTTGCCTTTTAAAGAAAAAGCCCTTTCTCACCAACTCTCTGCGTCTTCTTTTTTGACGTGTATGACTCGGGTTTGCTTCCTATTCTTTTTTTGTTCTTTTTTTACATACAACCCAGTGTAACCCTGTGTTGTCACACATTGGATCAAGAGAAAAAAAGTCTCGTTCTTTCTTCTTCCATACGATGACTAATCCATCTTCAAATGTTACCTACTCTTCAGCCTCTCTCTCTCTCTGTGTGTGTGCGTGTGTGTATACATCACACTTTCCTCTTTTGTAGTGATCTTCTTTAAAAAAAGGTCGAGGGAAGAGAAAAAATCTACTAGAAAAAGAAAAAGAAAAAATTCCGGCAGTGAGAGGGGGAGTTATAAAATGGATTTGTCCACTTTTAGTATCGCATGATACCCTTCAATGAGACAGTGTGCGATCATGGAGACTAATTCATTTAATATTATATATTATCCATAATTAAAGCTTCACTCTTCCTCCCTAAAAAAAATCAGTCGGTATGAAATTATTAGTTTTTTTTTTTTACAGTTTTCCTCACAATAAATATACCAAATATGTAATTTATATATCACCACGCGTAATACCCCTCCCCCCTTTACCACGCTTTGATAGAGAATGTGGGTCTCCCAACAATACAATAAATCTATCCAGTGGCAAAAAGTAATAATTACTCAAATATTATTAATTCAATTTGCAATCTTTATCACACTCCCCCCCCCTTTTTCATTATACTCTGCTTAAATAAAAAAGGTATATATAATAAAGTAATCAACCTTTTATTTACAAACCACGTACTGTACAAAAAAAAAAAATTAAAAAAAGAATGAAAAAGTGTTTCTTGTTCATGTTATTCATGTTATGTTACTTTACAAGAGAAACAGCAAGTCTTCCATCAGCCTATGATAAACGAGGCGTTGTCGATATCCTATCCAACATCTTTCGAGGTAAAGGTACTTTCTTTCACCCAGTGACTGAAGGCGGTGCTATCGGTTCATGTGGTCCCGTTGCCAACGACCACAGTCGTATCTGTGCCATGGTAAAGACGCCCCCCCCACATGAAATAAAAATTAGGCATCCACTAACATTTAAAAAAAAAAAAAAAAAAAAAAAAAAAAAAAAAAAAAAAAACTTAGAATATCAAGCAGTACGGACAGGCTTCGAAAAAGAGTCCATGGTGTAATCTACAATTGCGTGTATCTTCTGGTGGAAGAAGTACGGTCTGTACAGTCACCGATTGTTGTCCTGGATGTGCAGAGGGGTCCTTGGATATGACACCGCAAGTCTTTAATGATCTGGCTCATCCCAGCGTAGGTGTTATTCCTATCGAATGGTGTATTCGTGGTTATAGGGGTTGCACTTAGTTTTGTAGAATTAAAAAATAAAAAAAGTGATATCATTGTTTGTATTAAAAAAAAAAAAAAGCCAAAAAAAAAAGAAAGAGAGAGAGAGAGAGAAAGAGAGAGAGAGAGTATAATATGTATATATAGAGTAAAAAGATATGGTGGTGAGGGGAGGGATGCTAACTGAGAATGGGTAAAAACTACACATATAAAAAAAAAAAAAAAAAAAAATGAGTTTTCTCAATGACACAAGAAAAAAAAAAAGAAACTTACATTGCCAACAATGACACTGGGTAAATCAAATATATCTCGCTTGATGGTAAAGCAAAATGTACAGGGTACGGGTTTTTGTTGTGGCGTACGTAATATGCAGGAATAACTACAGGCTTTGTCCGTATTATCAAACGCATGTGTTGAAAACTTTTCCCAATACTCCACTGCCGACTGGTTCTCCATTAGCTAAATCACAACATGGTTAGTCCCCTCTTCCCCCCCTTAAACCCTTAATTCTTCTCTCTTACCTCGTAGATGTACGTCTTTTTGTTCAATAACATGTCGCGTGTCCATTGCGTTAATAAAGAAAACTCTTTACCAACAAGACACACTTCGCCCGTGCGTCGCCAAACTACTGTCGGTGTCCCTGAAAAGCTAATCAATTTCTCGTATTCTAATAGCGTACGTTGAATACACCGCTCCATAAACACAAGGTCTTCCTCCGTCAAATTCATAATCAGTGATAGAAACGAAGGCCGAAACAATGATAATGCTTTGCTGATTCGCATCAAGTCCTGTCTCGCCATTCTAGAATTCATATGTTTTTAGATGTAAACAATAAAGTTTTTTTTTTTATATAGGTGTCTTACCGGTCTGTGACGTATTGAATTAGATAATGAAAGCCCTCTGCATAATTAAAAGGTTTTTTCACACTATTGTAGACGGCTTCGGGTGTATTGCCATTGTTTCCCTTTCTTCTGCCCGTATTATTTAAAAGAGAGGATTTGGAGGAGGAAGAGGATGTGGTGGTGGTGGTAGTAGTGGTGGTGGTGGTGGTGGAACTGGTGCTGGTACTATCGCGCTTTATTAGCTGCAAGGGAGGAGAGAACTCGGGTAGCTTGTGTCCTCCTTGCCCAACCAATTGTTGCTGTGGTAAAGGACTCGAGGTGGGTGAAGGGTGATTATTGAAAGGAAATAAAGTAGCTAAACCAAATGATTTATTGTCTGTTTCAACCGACATATTCCCAAGTATGCCATATTCAAGTCCGGTTGTTTCTGACCCAAATCCAAAATCTGTGAGAGAGAAATTGAATAACTGTGATGTATCCATAAAGTTGGAATCTTTTTACAAGAAAAAGTGATGTTAGTTTATTTTATTTTTTTTACATTTGTTTTTTGTTTGTATGTCGTTACCAATAGGTTGATCTGCTGGCGTAAATGGAATACTAGTGGTAGGTGAAAATACTAAAAAGAGGAGAGAGAAAGAGAGATGAATCTTTTTATGAGCAAATAAAAAAAAAAAACTTGATTATCCCGTACATGCTTCCTCTGTATTGAGCTTGGTCTTTTTACGTAGAACTTCAGAACAGGTTGTGCCTAAATCACGCTTTATACAGCCTTGACAAGGTCGTCCTATTTCACCCAAAAAAAAAAATAATAATAAACCGTGAGAAACCAATGTTTCTTTAACTCTCTTTTTTTTTTTTTTTTTACCTCCATCACAAGCCAAATGAGCCTTTTTTTGCAGTTTTAAATTCAATGGTCAACCTTGTGTTTCAATAGGTGTATGTGTGTGTTTTTTTAGATTCGAATGTAGTATACCTTTTGGCAATGAGTACAAGGTTGTATTAATATCTTTCTTTTCTCGCCTTCGTTCATGGATGTAAAGGAAAAGTAATTCTGGTAAGCATTGAGATCATTGCTTGTCCCTGTTGCTGCTTGAGACATTGGTATTGGTCAATGAGATTAATAAAAAAAAAAAAAAAAAAGAAAAAGAGAGAGAGAAAGAAGGAAGAAAAAAAAATTGTCGTGTGTGTGTGTGTGTGTGTGTGTGGAGTAATTTTTTTTTTTTTTTTGTGAGCCTGGCTATTGTGTGTGTGGAGAACACCTGACCTTGTGTCACAGGCTGTTTGATTTGTTCAAAATCATTCCCTTTTTACTTTCGGTCTGCATTTTCTCCCCCCCCCCTCCCACCAAAATAATAATAGCTTAATCCATTCATGCTTCCCTCCCATTCTCAAAATAGGCTTTTTTTTTTTTTTTCCTCTCTTTCTTTCTTTGTAATGCGGTGATATACCTTGGGAGATGGCGAATACATGACACCATCCTCCTCTTTTTTCACTTGGCGGTCCCTCTATAAAAAAAAAAAAAAGGTTTGTATGTGTACAACACACTAGACTTTTTTTATACATACCCGTTCATTGGATTATTTAAACTTTAAGGGGTAGAGATCATCTGCACTACCTTGTGCCATGATTGGTGAATTTCATATATTTTCTTTTTCTCGCTTCATGCAACCCAAAGTTTTGGGAGTTACAAACACCGCTACAGCCGTATTTGGCTTACCTGTACACTGTCTATAATTATGTGGGGGGGGGGCGTTCTCATCTCTTTAAGAATAGACAGCTCATGCGTGTGAAAACGCCATCTTTTTTTTTTTTTGTATTTATCAAAGTGACGTTTTCTTTTTTTTACTTAGGTAGGAAGAAGGGATAGTTTAAAAAAATTCGGCCCTCATAATGAATGGTTCATCAAAAGAGATAATATGAGGTCACTGTGCTATTTAGAAATAAATAAAAAAAGGGGGTGTGTGTGATAAAGCATAGTGGCTGATCCTCTCTAAAGCATACCATTTGGCACATTACTCATCACAATTAATAATAATAATAAAAAAAGAAAGAGTCTCCTGCTTCGTCACTTGCTGTATCGCTACAGACCGCAAAAATGTAAAATGTGAACTTTATCAGTAGTATCCTTTTTTTTTTTTTCTCATCCCGACAATAGACATACAAAAAAAAAAAAAGATGATCTATTTTTTTATTTATCTCTTTCTTTTTCACTTTATTTTTTTTTTACAGTATCACTAAACAAAAAAAAAAAATGTCAAAAGGTGAATGACAAAATATGAAACCAATGAAATTTAAAAATATTAAAATAAAAATAAAAAAAGACGGAGTGGCCAATCCAGAGTTGACAGACAAGTCTTTCCAGAATAGAGCGCGTGGATTTGCTGCAGGTATGGCTTCTGGTATCACCAAATTGGCTGTAGGTCATCCTTTTGGTAAAGTTATTTTTTTCCTTATGAGAATTTCCTTTACATCAAACTCATATTCTTTATTGTGTAACAGATACCGTCAAGATTCGCATGCAAACTACAACAAAAGCAGACGGTCGATTCAAAGGTCCTTTAGATTGCTTTCTTAAAACTGTACGACAAGAAGGTCCTCGTGCTTTATACAAAGGAGCTACACCTCCCTTAGTAGGTTGGATGTTTATGGACAGTATCATGTAAAGTAAGGCACATTCTTTCCTTCCCCCCGTGTCTATAGCTTAAATAACCCAAAATAACTCATCTTTTTCATGATCTCTTCTAGGTTGGGTACGCTTCATAATGCTCGCATGATTCAACAATCCTGGAACGGAAATAAACCTCTCAGTGTATTTCAACATGGTTTAGCAGGTTTAGCAGGTGGTTTGACTGTTTCCTTTGTTGCAACTCCTGTGGAACAAATTAAAGCTAGATTACAAGTACAATATGATGGCATCAAAGTATACAAAGGACCTATCGATTGTATTCGCAAAGTGGTAGGAAATGATATAAAGACTTAAAGAGGATTGGGGCTGACAAAAAAGTGTAGGTTCATAATAATGGCGTGTTCGGTCTTTGGCAAGGATTATTACCCACCATGCTATTCCGAAGTTGGTTCTTTTTATTCTGGAGTTCCTACGAAGTATTCACTAGAGAGTTGAAAAAGACAAAGCTATCCGATGGAACCGTTACCTTTATTGCGGGAGGACTCAGTGCTACTGTATTTTGGATGGGGGCATTTCCTGCAGGTAAGAAAAAGAAAGGATTATTATTGGCTCAGTACACTAAATGAGTCACAAAAAAAAAAATTACCCAGACACGGTGAAAAATAGGTACATGACACAACCTGACGTATCGCCCAAAAAGTTTCCAACACCTACGTCGATCGCACGTCATATTTATCATACCGAAGGTTTCAAGGGTTTCTACAGAGGTTTTTTACCTTCCTTTTTACGTGCTTTTCCTACAAATGCTTCTGCTGTCTTTATGTTTGAACTCGTCATGAAGACATTGGGCTCGGATCATGTTGACCCTCTTTAGTGGGGGTGGGGGGTTGTCATCATCATAAAAAAAGAAGAGGTCCTGGGTTTTAAATCGTCTCTTATTTGTAAGGGGAGTTTTTCTTTTTCTCTTTTTTTTTCCCTTTTTTCTCTTGTTTCCATACACACACACACACACACACTTACATACATAAAAAAAAAAGATGGATTTTGTCAAGGATCTCGATAACAGACTCTTATTTGCAGTTCCCAAAAAGGGACGTCTTTACGAACAATGTATCTCACTTTTAGCAGGAGCCGATATTCACTTTAACCGTCGTTCACGTCAAGACATTGCTCTCAGCACCAATTTACCCATTGCCCTCATCTTTTTACCTGCAGCCGATATCCCCAAGTACGTCGCCGAAGGTAACGTTGACCTGGGCATCTCGGGTCAAGACATGATTGTCGAAAACGAGGTTCAAGACAAAGTGACAGAAATCATGGAACTCGGATTCGGTAAATGTCGTTTGTGCGTTCAAGTCCCTGTCAAGGGCCCTTATCAAACCGTCGAACAATTGGCCGGTAAACGTATCGTCACTAGTTTTGATGCCTTTGCCAGAACTGTCTTTGGTCCTATCGATCAAGCTGCCAACAAGAAAACAACCATTAATTATGTCTCGGGTTCCGTAGAAGCCGCTTGCGCTTTAGGCCTCGCCGATGGCATCAGTAAGTTTTGGAAGGGGTTAGGAAGGCGTGTATCTTGAACTAAAGTTTTTTTTTTTTTTTGTCCTCCTTTAGTCGATCTTGTGGAGTCTGGAGAGACAATGCGTGCAGCAGGTCTTCATGATATTCATACCTTATTGGAAACCCAGTCTGTTTTGATGTCCAATAAACACTCTCAACACCAAGACTTGATTGAAAAGATCACATCCCGTATGCGCGGTGTGATCACCGCTAGCAAGTATGTCTTGTGTACATACAATGTGGAACGCACCAATTTGGCTAGTGCCACTGCCATCACACCCGGTCGTCAAGCTCCCACCGTCTCTTCATTGGACTCTCATGAAGGTTGGGTGGCTGTCTCTGCCATGATTGAAAAGAAGCAAAAGGGCGATATCATGGATCGTTTATCTGAAGTCGGTGCTACCGATATTATGGTCATGGCATTCACCAACTGCAGAGTTTAGATTTTTTTTTTTTATTAGTGTGTTAGAAAAAATAGAAGAAGTATTTAGAAAAAATAGAAAAAATAGAAAAAGCCCTAGCTGTTAAATAAGCGAGAATAAAGTCTATCATGCATTCCTTGACACACGTCAAGTAGTGGATTGGTCTGACAACAATCTTCCATGCCCATCTCTTTTGTTCGTTGAATGATTTCCTCTATCGATTGACGTGAATTCAGTAACAGTCTTTGCGCTTCATATGGTCCCACCACATTCAATCGAACCGCAGATGAAAATATCGTTCGTGTAAACAAATACAGCCATAAATGAAGGGTATTTTCTATCATTCCCCCCCTTTTTGTTAACTAAAACCTTTCTCTTTTTCTTTTCTATCTTTTCTTTCTCTTACCTAAATCCACATTCAAATACCGGCATATTAATCCATAACAAATTGCAAAATGTCCATCCACTTTCTCTCCACGTATCATACCCTTCCATTGTTTGACAATCTCAATCTTTTCTTTTGATTGTTCGTCATTATCTGTAAAACACTTGAGGTACAATGTCAACATGGCAATACCCTGTGCCAACGACGCTCGTCTCGCCACCACGTTGGCAGCCATCACCGCATCGCACGTCTCATCACTCTCCTTCAAATAACTCAACACGTCCGTCTGATCAGCCGCTTCATAACCTGCGCGTACAAAACAATTCGTGTTGCTTGCGAAATTATGCGCTGACGAGGAAACAAACCTCGGTAACGAATGCTGGTCAATCAGTCCCGCTTGGTAACTCGCTTCAAGTCCAGACGAAGAAACAAAGCCTCCTGTGGGTAAAGCTGAATCGGTTAAAATGTAGAGTAGCCAGCTACTCGTCGCACTAGACGTAAACGATGATGTTGTAAAGTTCATTCTTATAAAAAGAGAGAGAGAGAATAAAAGGACAAAACCACCTAAAAATCCAGTCGATAAGCAATCGCCTCCCTCCCCCACACACGGAGTTACAAAAAAAACAGATAGATATATAGATAAAGGTTTAAGGTTTACATGTATTGAAAAAAGATACTCTTTTTATTTTTTTATTCGATTTTTACAAAAAAAAAAACATTATTTAAAGAGTACGGGTGACTTGCCAGACACGGATAATGTTATCAGAGTAACCAGAGAAGAGAGTGGCACCATCAGCAGACCAACAGACAGACAAACAGTCAGGGTCAGGGTTCTTTCTCTTACCCAATTGAGCAAATTCAGGACGGAGCTCATCAACAATGGACTTGGACTCGAGATCCCAGATCTTGATACCAGTAGCGGTAGCAGCACAGAGCCAGTAACGGTTAGGGGAGAAAGTAAGAGCATGGACAAGAGATCCAGCTTCAAGAGAGTAGAGATGCTTGGCATCGTTAAGATCCCAGAGCATGACAACACCATCCTTACCAGCGGAAGCACAGAGAGAACCATCGGGAGAGATGGTGACAGTGTTAACATAACCGTTGTGACCAATGAAGTTGGTACGGAGCTTCATCTTGGCAAGATCCCAAACCTTGACAAGCTTATCCCAACCACCGGAAACGATGAGAGGGTTAGCAGGGTTAGGAGAGAAACGAACACAAGAGACCCATTCGGAGTGACCATCTTCAGTGATGTTGTACTTGCACTCACCAAGGGTGTTCCAGAGCTTGATGGACTTATCACGAGAACCGGAAACAATTTGACGGTTATCGGCAGAGAAGGAGACAGACAAGACATCGTTGGTGTGACCGACGAAACGACGGGTGGTGGTACCATTGTTCAAATCCCAGAGACGGAGAGTGTGATCCCAAGAAGCGGAAAGAGCAAATTGACCATCGGAAGAGATGGCAATATCCTCAACAAAGTGGGAGTGACCAACGAGAGACTTACGGGGGACACCATAGTTCAACTCATCTCTAAAAAAAACGAAGTGGATGGAGTTAATATACACTGTTCACCCACCCATTCCTGTCATTTTCTCCTTCTCTTTCTCTCGCTCTCTCGCTGCTCAATTCTTTCTCGCATTATCTCTCATTTCAATCAATTAAATAAAAAAATAAAAAAAAAGTTCTAACCTGGTAAGGTTCCAGACAATGATGGTCTTATCACGAGAGGCAGAAAGAACCATATCAGGAGCTTCAGAGGTGGTAGCAATGGCAGTGACTATAACACATCAAGTTTTAATCATCTATTCTTCATTATTCTACATCATTTTATATTTGAATTATTACCCCAGTTGCCATGACCTAACGAACAAAAAAAAAAAAAAAATATCCCGTTAATAATCCTGTTTCTCACAATCATCCATCCATCCTTTCTCATCCTTTTATGATGTTGTATTACCTTCGAGAGTACCGCGCAAGGTAAGAGTATCCATTATTCGCGAGATGAAAAAGAAAGAAATCTCGTTTGCATACTTGATCACTGCTAGTTATTCCCACCCACCCACCACCCACAAAAAAACTCCCATTTCGTCCCCCCCAATCCACACCCCACCCCCTCCGGTCGATTCTAACTCCGTCTCCCCCCCCCCCTTTTTTTTTTGATATTGTCTTCAAACACGTTTTGACATTCTAGTTCAAATGGAATTGGACATGGGCGTTTTATTAGCTGTACTAATTTCAAAAAAGTGACATTCAACCCATTCTTTTATCTTTTTGCTGTAAATTAGAAAAAAGTGTTGGTGAGTTTTATTTTTATAGTATCTGCATTTTTCTCTTTATAGTTTGGGAATGCCTTCATCGCATGGCATCATTCAACCATCGCTTTGTGAGGAAAAAAAATAACATTATTCCTCGAGTAACTCTTTGAGAATTTATAATTACATCACTTTGAGTCGAACTTTATTCCAATGATATAAAGCTGCAACTTTTTTTTTTTTTTTAATCTGTCACCCGCAATTCACTATTCGTAAATTAATTTTTTTTTTTTTTTGACATTTTGTATAATGCGTTATCTATCGAAAAATGCGCTTCCTACAGCATGATGGAATAACTTACCGGGCCATTATTTATACGTACACTAGATATCAGGATTTATATTCTCTTTCACACAGCATCTTTTTAAAATAAATCAGCGATTAAAAATTAAAATGCTCTTTATCACATGGTGTACGGGAAATGTCTAGACCTCCGTATTTTTTTTTTTTTTCTACCACTTAAAGCAATTCCGGTCAAGACCAGCCAGCCAGTATGATTACAACTATTTACAGTGCAATACCGGTTATTCACAATTCGTGAGGTCCAAAAACTCAAGAACTCTGCCTAGGAGGTCGTCCTCCTATTGCAAAGACTAGCCGCAGCCGCAATATCACAATATATCATTTTCAATTTAGCTTCTTTTCAAAGAAACAAGAGTCATTACTAACTAAACTTTTTATATTATCCGTTACTTTCATAAGAGAGAAGAAATATGTTAAGGGAAAACAAAAGAAGAAGAACAAAGTGTGTGAACCGGCTTTATTATATCATAATTCACATCTCTTGATCCAAACGGCTCCCCTGCATGTGACATTGGGGATACAAAGATTTTATCGACTAGCAATCTTTCAAGCATTTTGTCCATCATTGTTTGTAGTAGTCTGATTCTTGTATCCTTATCCTCATCTCCATGCGACTTTCTGACATAACCAATGACCTCGTATCCATCTGCCTTGAGATTACCGACGTATTGTTGGAATTTGGGAATATCTTCCCTGATTCCGTTTGCAATATCAGCTAAAATAACTTTGAGTGATTGGAATTCTAGAATAATCCTAGAAGTTCTGACTTACCTATATATTCATCTTTAACTACGTATAGCTTACGATACCTAATTCTTTCGGTATCATTGCTTTTAATTGTCTTCCTTAAGGATTCCACTTGCATGAATGGGAATTTACCCTTTGAGCACTATGATGTGGGTGAGTTGATCGTTTATTTACTGTCAAATTTATCTGTATATTACCACAATAGAGAGAGAATATCTCTCATTGCAACATGTCTCTGCTCATATATTTCTTCATTGCAAGGATCAAAGGGTAAATAAAGGAAATGATTAGACCTCTGTATTTTTTCAAACGTATTTTTTTTTTATACCACATACAGGAATTCCAGCCAGAAGACCAGCAGGTCAGTCCGATTGCACCTATGTACAGTGCAGTCACAGCCATTTACGGTTCTTGAGTTCCAAAAACTCAAGAACCCTGCCAAGGGGGTCGCCCTCCTACAGCAAAGACTAGCCGCAGCCGCAATATCACATTATATCTTTTTCCAATTTAGCGTCTTTTCAAAGAAACAAGAGTCACTACTAAACAAACCTTTTTATGTAATCGGTTATTTTCATACGATAAAAGAAGTATGATAAGAGAAAAGAAAAGGAGAAGAATAAAGTGTGTGAACCAGCTTTATTTATAGATAAACAAGCTTATGTCAGGATGATTTCATTTGTCTGTTTCATTATCCATAATGTTTGAGCCTTTACTTAAAATAGAAACACTTGCAAAAAAAGCCTCCCCCCCCCAGCAAGTCAGAACTCCGTAGTTGTCTATCTGCGTTCCAGTAGTAGTAGCTTGTAAATGACAGTGAAGCAGATTTTATGAAAAACAGAAATCGATCATCACCATGAAGTTTAAATGATATGGCATGTCAATTGACGTGTAGACCATCGCGTGATTCTAAGAAATACGTTTATTTGAAGAAGAAAAAATACGGAGTTCTAGACATTTCCAAGAAAGGCGAATCTGTTTCCTCTGCTTGAGGCTGTCTTTAGCGCGTAAATTTTTCGCGTAAGACGTGTTTTTTCGTAAAAATACAACAGTGGTCCCGTCAATAGCTCGCAGACTCTATTTAGCTATGATCTGACTGTAAATGGCTGTGATCTGACTGTAAATGGCTGTGATCAGACTGCATTAAGCTGATCTACAGCGTGTATTAAGCGGGTACCACTGCAATAAAACACGTCACAATAATCACTGGTTAAGCATATCCTCAGTGCATTAAGCTGCTCTCAGTGTAACTTACAGGCTTGAGGGTGTTTTGACCATCGACTATATTGTTTTAACAAAAAATATGTTTTTCGGGGAAAATGTGCGCGCAAACAGCAGCTTCACAACCATGTATTTATTTTTGCTCTCCGAGGTCTATAACGTGAAAACATATGCACTTTTCCTGAAACGATTTGATCAAATATGACATTCGATCATTTGCGTGTCAAAGTAAAGTCCCTGAATATTAATTTTTCAATAAGATAACTTTATACCCAAAATGCGCAGAAAATTTAGCCGCATCTTTCGGTATATTTTAAAAACTAATTTAATATGTAAAAAAAATACTTTGTTTAATAGAAACTGGTTTTTTAATTATGCGCTTAAACTAATTATTGTTCTAATAAAACCGCTCCAAAAACAATACCAGCGTGAAAAACGTAAAATTTGAGTTATAGTTACTTAAGAATACTTTTTATCAAACCTGCAAGAAGGATGTGCAAAAGGTGCATTCGTAAAATTTGAGATTTTCCTCGAGGTATACCCTATGTGTTTTGGCCAATTTTAGGTCTTTTGAAAAAAAAATTTCAAAATAAAAATCTAATGACCCAGTATGATATTTTAGATAATTCTGAACATTTCTTTGGCTTGGAACAACGTACAGAGACGACGGTTTACTATATGAAAAATTCAATTCAAAACCGCGTGTTAAACGAAAAAAAAGGACCAAGAAGGACTTGAAGGTTAATATTGAGTATAGCATGTGCTAGTTTTTTTTTAAAAAAAAACAGGAACATGAAATCATATTGGATGCATCTTTTTCATTATAATATAGTATAGCAAAAGTCTTGAACCTGGGGATTTCATCTTAGATGAATGTAGTCATCAGTAATTTGGGGTTGTCAGGAGTAAAAATAAAAGATGTTGTCTCTAAACTCCAAGTTTGCTTACAACAGTGTTTACCATTTTCAATGGCACGAAAGCATGAATCCATATATTCGGAATATTTTTTATTAGAAACTATCTTAAGAAAAATTGTATTCCTGGAAAACTTTATATTGACGGTTAAATAAACCTTTCTATTTTTTTCCTCTTGAAAAAAACAGATGAAAATTAAGCACAAGTCAACGTTTTTGCAATCTGCATTACTGTCGTTATTATAAGCTGAACATGTCGAAACGGGATTTCTGCTGATTTTTATTACAACTTATTTTGATTTATCTCATAACTTTTTCTTGAAGGATGTCTTATTTTTTACTCCTTTTCGCACCGGGGTTTTTTTTTTATATATATTGTTTCAAACGCAAATTATTCGTAATCAGTGACATTTAGACACCTAAAAATCCAATCCAATCAAAATTTCTAAATGCTCAGGGGCTTCTATTCTAGTTAGTGTAGGACTATTTGGTACAACTTTCTAGTCATCCAACTTATAAAAGGCGTTTTCATCTGCTTAAATCACTAGCCACAGCAAGCAAAACAATTATGTTGTTGAAGCAGAAAGAATATTAATGCATAAAAGTTGAAAAAAAAAGGCTTGTCGTTCCTGGTCGCTCGACAAACTTCTCTTTCATAACAAATTAAATTAAACAGCGGAAGAATGTCTTTTCAAATATCTATAAACAATCATTATGAACCTAAATCTATCATAGAGCAATAGATCGTTTCTTACAATTGGCTTAGAATTGGTTTTTTTTTTTTTTTCTTAAAAAAATGGCTTATAAGGTTGAAATTCATCCAATCAGAAGCGAGTGATCACGTGAAACGCACGTGATTGGCTCTTTTTTAAGATGTTATGGGTGCTAAAAAAATTGAGAATGCGTGTATATGGTACAATGGCAGAGTGGTCTAATGCGTTAGACTTAGGATCTAATCTCTTCGGGGGCGTGAGTTCGAACCTCACTTGTATCATTTTTGTGGTGACGTTGAAGAGTTTGTACGACCGTCAAATTTTGTTGCTTTGTGTAAGAATTTAAGGTTTGGTGCGATGGTTTAAGACAAAACTAGGGATGTGCTTCTGAATTTGGGTTTAATGGCGTTGCTTTGTTGATCTTGTCCCCCCCCCTTTCCCCTTTATCCGTGCTTCTGAATGTAAACGGTGAAGATGATCAACAAATTGCAAGATGGCAAACAAACGCAAATGTATCTTTAATTGTCGATTTTCCTTTTTTAATAAAGATTAAGGATAATCCGTTATTTTTTTTTTTTTTTTTTTTTTTTTTTGGCTAAATTTAGCTTAAATTACCTTTATCTTCTAAGGCTGGTTCTATTTGAAGCAGGTTACCCAAACATAACACTTTTGTTTTTTGTGCCTTCTTCGGAAACTACAAAATTGGCACTACATTAAACCAAGTTGTTAATGTATTTTTGGCATAAGGTTATTAGCAACGAGCAATCTCATGCCAACATGTTTACCGTTTCTTCGAAGCTCATCGAGCCTTGATCGAAACTATATCTTTATATATTCACCATAGATTTGTTGATGATGAAAGTCCTACTGCCATAGCAAGGGAGCTTTTAAAAAGTAATTTTTTAACCAAGTACAATATAATTTATATTGACATTTATTCACACACTATTTCTGATAACTTGCAATGCAATGGTTCGCAAAAAAAAAGAGAAAAGAAAAAAAAAACCACCTTGTTACATGGTGCATTAAATTGCGATTAAAGTTTTTATGGGTGTTCTGGACACTTAATAACTAGTATGCTCATTACATAGCATTGCCTATTTAAATAGTAACTTACAAAAATATACAATTGGTCTCCAAAAAGAAACATATGAAATTTCAGGTAACAATCTGATATGTCGCACTTAAATTATTACTTTTTTTTTACTCAAATTAATTTTTTCCAGTGCGTCTTTCTTAACGAAGCACTTTGTAAAGCATGAGAACCCTTTTATTCTTTTAATTATTCGAGAGACGTACAATTCTAAAGTAAGATACTTTCCGTAGTGGCATTTGACGAATAATAAAATTGAGTTTGCATAGGCGTGCCAATTCAAAAACGGACAATGTCTTCCAACAATAAAAAAAGTCGATGCATTGAGACTGGAAGCACAATATATACAATTTTATTTGTTTTTTTTTTAAAAAAAAACATTTATGATAAATATGTGTTACTACTACATTGTTTCCCCCCTTTTAAAGCGTGTACTTATTAAACATATTTTTGTGGTAACGGTGGTAATGGCGGTAATTCGGATGGAATAGGTGGGGGCAAACTTGATGGGGGTGGGAGCGGGTTCCCATGAATACGAGGTATGCTAGATATACGGGCTGGAGGAGGTCGGGAATATATGGAATTGGTCGTAGACACGGTATTCGTGGTGTTACTTGATCGTGAAGGTTCGTGTAAGGTGTGGGAACTAATAGAGGATGTTGTGGATGACGAGTATACTTTGGTTATATTATTATTGTTGTTATTATTAGTGTTATGATTAGTATTATTAGAGTTGTTATGATTGTAATTATTGACATTGTTGTTGGATTGCTGCACATTATATTCTTCGCCCAATGCTGCGACTGAAGCCATGAGTGGGTATTCACTGTTATCGGGCGAGGAAGCAAGTCTATAACTGTCATCTGACGATCTTCTTGTTTGGAAAGATGAAGGGGAATAATCTTGCGAAGTTTTGTTCAGAGTATGGTGGCGATCATTTTGATAGTTTGTGGAGTTATAAGGCTGCGAAAGTGGTGGTGGCCTTGATGGGGGTGGTACTCCACCATTTAATAAGATGTATTCATCACGAGCATGTACAGCATCTAAAGGAGAGCCATCAGGAGCACTGTTACCCATCAAACCAGAGGGCGGTCTCCAGTCGATTCCCTTTTCTTTCCCGTTGGTGTTTCTTGCTGTTCGAGCTAATTCTTCTAGTTTGAGTATGTCTCCTGCTGATAAAGGAGTTGAAGGTTTTTGGTTTAAATAGTCTAAAACACTCGCTTTATAAGTACCTCCCGCCTTTCTTGTTGAACCATACGCGTTGTTGGGATGAAGTCCGTGCTTTTCTCCTGTAGTTTTGTTCATTCTTTGGGCCCAATGATTTTGCTCAATCAGTTTTCTACGGGTTTCATTTTCATCGGGCTTTGTGTAATCGTAGACAACAAATTTGTCTTCCATAAGTTGACGTTCAGGACTCTGTTCCGGTACGTTCGGGTCAGTTAGTTTACTGTTTGTGGATGTTGCATAAGAGGTAGCAGCTCCACTTCTTTTAGGATTTCGTCTCTTTACTTTCAAGGGATTATCTTCCAAAAGGATTTCTTCTAATTCATGTGTTGGGTCGAAATTTGCTCTCTTACTCTATAAATATATAAAAGTTTATATTAATAAATGTTGTCACAATAGAATATGTAGTTATTACATCAGGAACAAACGGAGGCTCGGCTTCCTTTGATTCAAGTCTATCCCAAGGGATTCCCGTAAACCAAGGGTGCGACATCAATCTCTGGAAATTTTTGTCACCGTACCCAATACGAGAAGAGACATCACGAGTAAGTAAACATTTTATAAAATCAATACCCTCTGCAGATATTTTGTGGTTTTCAGGGAAATTTAAGGGGTCGTTTAGAATAGCATGTTGTAAAGCATCATTTGTTTTTCCTCTAAATGGTCGCTAAATGGGACATACTTAGTTTCGGTATTAGTGTTTATGCGCAAAGAAAGTTTACCTTTCCAAATAATAGCTCGTACAACACGACTCCCATTGACCACCAATCAACCGATGCAAGATAACCTCTTTTCAACAGTACTTCAGGAGCAATATAGGCAAAACTACCAGCGACTGAAGTGATAGGTTTTGCGTTTTTTATAATCGTAGCGATATTAAAATCAGTTAAATGTGCATGACCCTGCTCATCAAGTAAAATATTATCTGGTTTAATGTCCCTTATTTTTGTTAAAGTAATTGGTAGTTAGGGTAATGCTCATTCTTGGGTTGTTGAGTATAGTACAAACCTGTGAATAATATCCAAATTATGAAGATGGCTAAGGCCGACGGCAACTTCAGCAGCATAAAATTTGACATGTTCTTCTGGCAGTACACCAAGTCGGTCAAGATGAAATCTTAAATCACCGCCAAGCATAAGATCTAGGACCATGAATAGATTGTCATCGTCTTGAAAAGCATATCTCATGTTGACAATAAGATTACAGCTAATTTGCTCTAATAGCTTTCTTTCTGAAATAATATTTTCCACGGCTCTCATTTGTATACATTTTGTCTTGTTGATATATTTTAAAGCATATAATTGTTTTGTGCCTTTATGTTGAACTACTCTGACTTTTCCGAACGCACCTTTACCGACTGATCTTAATAAGGTAAAATGTGATAGCTCGACTAAAAAAAACAAAAAAAATAAAAAAAAAATAAAAAAAAATTTAAAAATAATAAAAAAAAAAAAGAGAAAAGAAATTGTTAATATAATGTCGTGATCATCTAAATTGATTTTACCTTCTCCATCAAGATCCAAAAGTTCTTCTCGACAGCAAACAATACCCATTGATCGTAATGAATGCTAATTAGTTTTCAGGTTATTTTTTGTTAAAAAAAAAGGGAAGAAATTGACATGCAATAAACAAATAAATAAAATGCCTTTTAATAAGAAAAGTATATGTGTAAACAAAGAAAGAAGGGATAATTTGAGCTTTTTTTTTTTGCGGGGAGCAGGGAAAAGGAACAAGGTGATTTATTCGTTAACTCTGAGTTTAAACACATGTGCTTTTGTCGCGGTCCTTATAAACTTATTGTTACATCGTATTGATTTTGTACTTTTTTCATCCAAGCCTTTTTCATAAAGTTCACGTTTTGGTAAAGCGGTAATTGGTCCAAAATAATTTGTCATTGATACAATATTTATTTTCGATAAAAAGAAAAAAAAAATGCCTTTTTTTCACAAATTCTCCTGCTTTTTTCAAATTCGGGCTACTTTTAATAAAAGTGCTGGAAACAAACATTGGAAATTGTGAGAAAGAAGGCTTTATTGAGTTTGTAAATATTTACCTTCCGCGGTATAAAACCAAATATTACTTATCTATTCCAAGTCATTGCAATCTTTAAAACCAGGTTTTTGTTTGAACAGGAACATCATATGCGGTATATTGCAATGTCCTCACCATTGACGTTGACGGACACAACTAAAATGTAAAATCAGGCATATCACACCCTTACATTTTTTATCACATTAGAGAACGGATTTGATTGCTTTGCTATTTCATCCACTATCCTATGCTCATCTTGCTTTTTGTTTATTTTTGTAACTTTTGGTTCGTTAAAGCTGAACCTGTGTATTTTAGACTTCGATGTGAATTTACTGCTCAGAAAATGGCACAAACTATTAAAGTTAATCCTCTTACCTCTTTTAGTATCAATTTATGTTACAGCCCGAAAAAAATACATTTGCTATTGTTGTGTAATCTTGTGCTCGTCTGAGAGTCTTTCGTCGCTTCCTGTTAAAATTAATCACCGGAATTTTTTAATTTTGTGCCTAGGCAGTAGAAAAATAAAATCTGCATTTTGGGGATTTATATCATTATAAAAAAAAGTAAAATAGATTAAAAAAAGCTTGACAGGAGTGGCGGGGTTAGCACATCAAACATGTATGATTAAGCATTTGTAAACATTGTCAGCTGTTAAATCCAAAAGGCCGATATTCTTTATTTCTAATTAAGCTCAAGTGCGCGTATTGGATTTTCGGATAAACAGCCAGGAGACATATACTAACGAATTATCCTATAAATGGGGGTAACTACTGTAGACTTTTAAAGATGTTGGGACATTGGGCGATGGCTCATAGATACAACTTACGCCGTGAGGCCTCGCTAGTGTATATTACACATAGCCTTTTTTTTTCAAACGTGGGACATTACTATATGCACCTGTCAATTAATATGAGCAGCTATCTCATTTATCCCCGTAGCCTATTGACTTTTAATAATTTAGGTACCCGTCATTCAAATGTCATAATCGATGAGTTTTAACTCGATTGTCTTTTGTCAAATTTTAGTAGCGTAGATTCCGTATTTTATGACCAAAAAAAAAAAAAAAAAAAGTTGGATCGTCATGCACATGCAGTCAGGATTACCATTACTAGTAAATATAAATAAATTTAAACAATAAAAATATGTACATGCATCACTATTTATATTTAAAGTTTCTCGAAGGGAGGTGCACATAATTGACAGCTTCAATTTGGCAATGTTCTATGGATCACCACCATACCCCTAACGTAGTACATTGATACAAAATATTCTCAAAATTACTCTCATTGAGTTTGATTAATATATTGTTTAGAGCATTTTCTCAACTGTTATTGATAAGAAAAATTTTACGTAATTATATTTAATAAATAATTAATGATTAATTAGGCATACAGCGAGCTAAAACGAATTCTTTTAGAGTTGATTTTAAATCTCCTGCCGTGGAGCTACTAGTTTGAAAGTTCAGGAGTATACATACGTGTGAAACATTATTGAATTATTAACTACGGCGGCATTTGTTAACAGCACTACTTTCACAAATTATACGTTTATAAAACTACTTGTCTAAATATTTTACTTTTTTTTTAAATAGTGTCTGAGGAACTTTTTATCTTTCGTCTTTTATTGTATGTTCTTCCACATAAAAAATCCAACCGGATGCTTCACTTTACCCTGAATACTTACTGTACCTTGATTATCAACACGAAAGAAATATTTTGGGGTTTGAATCTGATCGTCTTAGTGCTCTCAGTGATATCATTAGCATAAAACAGAACTTTTGTCTCTTCTAAATGATCTGAGCCTATATTTTCGATAGAGCTTCAGTATTCAATAACTACTGGATTCAACATAGTTTGATTGTAATGTTTTTATCACTAAAAGTCGCTCGACATTTATGGTTAAGTTTCAAACGGGTGAGTCTTATAGCTTAATTTGTGCCATTAACATTGCAGTTTTATCTTCTTTGATTCCTGCATCATCAGCCCAATGTTTCCATCATCTTTACTTTGCAGACGAACGACCTTATTATCTATCCTCGTGTCTTTTTTTTACATACAAGTACAAATTTACTAAACCAATCCAGTGCAATTTCAGACTTGCTTTTTGTACATAGCCCTTCCAAATACAATATCCCAGCATTCAGCTGATCATACACACATTTGTCTTCAATGGCGTTCAGTTACCAGCGTGATTGTTTTTTAATTCGACGCCATAAGCAAGTTCGTAAGTGTTGATTATGCTATTGCAGGAGCCTTTATTATTCAAATCTACGTCCTTATAAAAATAGTCGAAAACTTTGATATAATCCTTTTTACGCCTAAACCATTTTAGTAAAGTACTCCGATGCCATTTTCATATAAATCGCCAAGTGCACATTGTGCTTAAGCATTTACATCATTAGAAATTTTATGAACCGGCCTAGATCCTGAATTTTAAGCTGGTTAACTCGTACATCGTTTTATATATAACATTGTCCAATAAAGTTAATTGAAACAATGGTTATATATGCTTCGACACACTCCATGTTTACATTCTGTCTATACCAGTGTTGTATCGCTTGAGAATAGCTTCTAGCTACTCCGCTGCTATTAATGTACGTGCCTCCTATTGACAAATTAGACTTGGTACAACCATTATTTGCTGCTTCTGTAAACCAATGCATAACGCTTTTGTGTTATTTAGTAGGGTGACACTGTTTTCATTAAAATATATCAATACCAAAGCATGTTGAAATTGAAAATATCCATTATTTGCTGCTTTTTCATATTAATTATAGGATAAAATAAGTCGATTTTAGCAACAGACCGCTACTAAAGTCATACATCTCTATCAAATAGTGTTGGGAATACATAACATTTTGATTAGCTGCTTTTTAAACCATATCGAAGGAGTTTTTAAAATCTTATTCTCGACCCTGTAACCAAAGTAATAGAACATTGTTTTGTTACATTGAGCATAATCATTGTCACTCGAGGCAGATTTTTTATGCCATTCGACGGTGTCAGGGTAATGTTTTTGGACTACCGTTTCCGTACATGTGGTCAATATAATTTTGTGAATTATTGTCATTGTTATCCACGGCGATTTCATAAGTGTTGATAGTCGTTGCTCAACTTTTAAGGACACTTTACGTTATAATAGGCTTAAATATCAAAATTAATTTCAGGAATAGTCTGACTCTTGGCAGCATTACGGTGTCAATTTAACGCATCAGACTTGCTAACAGCTGTACTATGTCTAAGATTGTACATACTCCCAACAAATGCTTACGATTTTACGTGGCTGTACCCGGCTTCTTGTAGAAAGTAATGTAGGGCAGGCCCATAATTTTTTTAATGAATGATACTCACTCAAGTACGACCTTTCACAAGTCGAAGAAGATTTCAGTCAACTAGATATCATTAGTTGTAATTTAATTGTGTAAAGTTTTGAGCTCTTACGTAAATTTTGTATCCTTAAAAATCTATGGGCTTTCTGACTATGTCGAGTAAATTATGATTTTAAAACAAAGGAGATAATAAAGAATGACGATTGGATTTTCTCATTATAGAGGGTTTAGGAAAGAAAGAAAAAGTTACACACTATTATATCTACTGAGTGGTCACGATATATCACGACTTTAAAATTAGCTTGCTTTTGTAAAGGTACGATGTTCCAATTTAGAGAAAATTATTGGCGCTATTATCACTAATCAATTGGTACTACTAATAAAAAAATACTCAGAAACTTCTAGTTTAAGTCTAGGTAAGACAAATGAGTACAATAAACAATGAAACAAATCATTGATTATAATAATTATAATAATAAAACATTGTGAACGATGTTGGCATTAAAGACAAAAAAAAAAGTACAAAATATAACATATTTAGTAGGTACCAGAAGACAGTTATTGGAGTGCTACAACTTGTAAAGACGTAGTTTTTTTTTTTACATGGAGACAAGACGTCTTTTTATTAAAAAACTTGAACAATTATAAAATTTTCGGTGAATTACAGTTTTCATCATGCTGTATGAGAATAATATTATGTATATGATTTAATTATTTGAACTTTTCATTTTACGTATAAAGTTTTAAATGGCAGTTATATTTTCCATTACTCGCGGAATTTTCGTACAAGTTAATGCTAACAAATTATTTCGGGGGGGGGGAATTCTGGTGCTATAAATTTATCTCAAATTATGCTGAACATACCAAGGGGGATTCTTTTGTATTTGTTGCAAATTGTTAAGGCTTCCTTGATGACTCTTTGTATGAAGAAAGTTACTGGATTTAAATGTGCTCCTGAAGGTGAAATGCAGCATCAATCAAAGCCGATTTGCTTCACTATCGGACAAAACGTAAAACGACTTGATTGGGTCCCAGACTTGGTTTTATACATGTGGCTGATACAAGTTTATGCATTATAGTTATTGTAACTATTTTGAAATAAAAAACCGGTCTGAACCTTCCCGGGTGGCATAACATGAAGACCTTAAAACAGAATCAGTACCAAGAAATAGTTTCACTCTTGACATCCTCAAATGATGTATCAGTCTTATTTACGCTTTGCTTTGTCCAAAATTCCACATGCAGCTTACAAATATTTGTGATTTTACGTGATGAAATTCACTTGATTGTGCAAGAATTGAAAACGTAAGGCTGGTTTAAAACCTCATTTAAGTACATCTTCTCACAAGCCAATATGTTTTAGTTAATTATGTTTTAATTGTCCTTTTGTTTATAGTGTTTCGGTCTCTTACGCGAGGTTTACATTTCTTTGTAAAATGAGGCCCTTTTATATTTTCTATTTATATCTACATGCTATAGAGTCAAAACAAATAGAAACAAAAAAACACACAACAAAGAAATGAAAAGCGAAAAAAAGAAACACCACGTATGATTGGTGACGAAGGTTTAGGCTTAGATGCGTAATAAGCTAATAATATATTATAATATCTATGAGTCACGACATACTAAGTATTTTAAAATGCAAGATGGCTTTTGGTAATGTACAAACTTTCTTTGGGTATTTTAGAAATGAGATCCGTGTGTCATACCGATGAAACCCATTTGTTTTGCATTAATTTATATATCATAACGACCAATTTTTTTCTGCCATCTGTAAAAGTTATTACTGGCTACGTAAAGTAGCAGTTTGCTAAACCGTGGAATCCAGCGTAGCTAATTACAAATCAGCCTGCTCTACTAATCAGAGGTTTACATGAGCCAATTGATTATTTAGGAGAAGTTTATTCATAAAAGCCGCATATTTGTTCTTATTAAAATAAAATATTAATGGGCATCCAGCTGACATCGTACAAAATATTAATATACTAATATATATTGAAATTTACCCCTGTCTCTTAATCAGCCTATTGTACAGTCGTTAACCAGGTTTCTTGTAGTAGAAAGTTGCGGGCATATAATTAATATATGCACAAGAATGATTTTTATAAGAAGTTTATACACATATCAAAAATTATAGCGTGTTTGAATAGATTAGATAAAAAAATATACACGAAAAGACCCATGATCGTATTACTGCAGCCAATATTTGTTTATTATTTTTTACCGTATCGTCAATAGAATATTGTTTACAAACATGAGTGGATAATAATAGAAAGAAATACAGCTGTAGACCTAAAAAAGTGAAATTGAATTATGGCTTGCTTTTAAAACTTCTACTCAGCTCCAGATAGGCAAAGACGCAGTAGGTTCCGAAATGTCCTTGTTATCATGTAGGGAACCCTTTGTTCAAATTATCTCAGACCTTAACAGGAAATATATTATAAATGAAAATGAACCTATCAACTGAAAGTAACTCATTGTTTGGTGTGTACTGATTAATAAAACACAGAGTATCTGACTCTATTAATAAAGAGGCAAAAAACCAAAATTGGCTTTTTGAAATTCAGCGAATGGGAAAAGAAAATTGTATCTGATGAGTCGATTGTTATGAACGAACAAAGGGAAAAGAAAAAATCAAACATCTGACTTGAGCGTTTTTCCATGAAACGTACATTTGAAATAACGAAAGATAATTCTTTTTAGATTAGAACGTGTCTCTTTGTATTCGTAAATGAAAAGTAAATCAGAAGACTTGTGCAATTGTGTTAATGCAGCTGCCAAAAAATGTTCCTATTGTACATAGAGTTTTTTTTAATGTACAGGTAAAAAGAGTTTGGTTTGTCCTTCTGGCTTGTACAGTACCATTGTATTGGGTCTGGGTTCAGAAACAATACAGCGGCTGGTAATTTTCTTATCTTGATGTTCATTATTATAATTTTTATTATTTGATTCAAAATCATATGGCAGCAGAATGAAAAACATTTATTTTTCTCTAAACTAAAAGTTATATTTTCGCTGTATTCCGAAGTAAGTGCCCTGATCTTGATTTTTTGACTGTGCTTAGCCCCCGATTACTTCTCAGACAGGTTACATACAGTTACACGTAGATATCAAATGGCACCTGTACGCCCTAAACACAAAAATAAAGAAACGGGCGTGTTGTATAGACCGTTTAAAGAAGAAGAAAAAATCTCCCATGCTGGTACTGTGTTATTGGTGGAACAACATCAGACTGATAAGATTGCTATAGTTGACACGAGCGTCTTTGATAACAAAATCAAGATCCCAACCGACATACCAATACCATGCAAATGTTTGCGAATTTCAGTTCAGTTGTTCCAAGTGTACGGTAAATATACTGTTTCTGTTTAATCCTTTAAGTTCCCTTGAATATTGTTTTGGTATTTTAAATGTTTGCATACATTCCGATGCTAATTTCACAATGGAACGTGGACTGTGTCTGCATGATGTTGTGTTCTCTACATTTCCTTTTATGTATAAAATATATTCCCCTCACTCTTTTATACCACACATCTGTGAAGTTTTCAAGAAAATAATTGATACGATAAAAAAGATCATTTCGAAATAAACCCGGACATTTTTTATTACACCACATGGAACTTCTCACTTTTTTTTTGTCCCAGATTGTGTCAGCATAATCCCATCCCCTCCTCCCTCATCATTATCATATGCAGATAATCGTATCGCACAAGAAAAGTTTGTTTTACGCCATTTTTACAGTTGACATCATCGAAGTGAAAATAAACAATCTGCTCGTAGACGACGTATATATCAATTGTGCCCACTGCGTAACGAAAAAAAAAAAGAAGAAAAAGAAAAGAAAGAGAAGAAAAAAGAAAGTTATCATGGCACCTACATATACAACTCCGCACCGAAAATATTCGACACTTTTCACAAAAATTTGAGTTCCTTTAGTCATGCATTTTTTTAAAACCAAAAACTTGTTAATAAAAGGTATCTCAAATTCTACCAAACTTGACAAAATAGCAATATATATATATATTTTGTAAAAAGAAACTTTTTTATTTACGTTAATAAGTGGTATTTGAGCCACGAGCTTTTTTTACTGCCCGGCATCTATCGGGCATACTTTCTACAAGCTTATGACACACTTCATCCCCCAACAACTTCCATTCCTGATGAAGTGCAACCTCCAATTCATTAAGATTTTGAAGCTGGGCTCTTCTTTTAGCAATCCTTTGTCCCAGGAGGCGCCAAAGGTTCTCAATCGGATTCAAATCGGGACTTTGAGCGGGCCATCGCTCAAAGCCTGCAATCCCAGCCTTCTCTTTCCACCACCTCGTATATCCTCCTGTATGGCATGGGGCACCGTCTTCTTGGAAAATAAAGTCATGACCATATTTCTCTGTCAATTGTTCAAGCCAAGGGAGAAAGTTTTGACTTAAACAATTGACATATTTTTCTTGATCGACAGACCCTTTTAGTGTCACCAAAGGGCCCAAACCGCCTGCCCAAAAACATCCCCATACCATCACTGATCCCTTACCAAATTTAAATGTTGGTAAAACAAATCTATCCATATACCTTTCACCCTTCTTTCTAATAACTCTCACACCACCGTCGTTGTGCCTGAGTGCGAATCGCGACTCATCGGACCAGATTACCTTCTTCCAGTCATCTAATGTCCAATTCATCTTGTCGTCGACCCATTCTCTTCGCGTTTTTTTATGTCTAAGACTCAAAAACGGTTTTTTGGAAGGTCTGCAAGAATAAAAACCGTTTTTGCGAAGTGCATTCCTCAATGTCGTCAGGCTGATTGGATCGGTAGCCTTCGCAAGATTTTGCATATGAACACTTAAAGGTTCAAAGGAGTCCCTTCGAACTAAAAGCGTCAGGTGATGCTCAGCTCTTGCTGTCAGCTTTGCTGGTCTTCCTGGACGAGGTTGGACAGTCGTGATCCCTTCAGTTCGATACTTTTTTATAATCGTAACAACGGTTGTTCTAGGAACGCCCAATTCTTTGCTGATTTGGGTACCTGTCCATTTGGCATGCTCTGCCAAACCGCAAATGACTCCACGATCGAAATCTGAAAGTTCCTTGCTTTTTCTAGAGACTTTGTTAGTAATGTCAGTAAGTGGCATGATAAATTGTGTAATAAAATATGAAAGAATCGTTGAACGAAGAAAGAGTAGGTTTATTTATTTTTTTGGCTCAAAACGGAAGTGTCGAATATTTTATGTGCGGAGTTGTACATCCGCCACCTGTTCATTTTAGAATTTATTTATATATATTTCCGCAGGCATGTGCAGTTGTGCTTTCTCCCTGCAAAATCGATGACATTTTTATTCAGAATCATATGGCAGCAAAAAAGAAAAAAGAAAAACAAACATTATCATCATCTTGGAAAAGAACAGTGTGGTGTAACACGAAGCTTGATTATAAAATGTAATAATACTTGTTATGTATAGATAGACTGGCTTATGAATAGCGCGATAATCGCGCAGGGAGTTATAAAAGGAGGATGTTTAGTTTTCACTGTTTCCATTCAGCCATTTGGGCCAAGAAATATAAAAAGTTAGAGAAAGTGGGGAGATCGTCAAGAGGTATGTAACACAAATATTAATAGGCTAAATTATTTTATTTAAAATATACAAGGTGCCTGATATAATATCATGCAACTGATTACGTAAAAAAAAATAACAGGCAGTTGATGTTGGATTTATAAGAAATGAAGATTAGTAACAAAGGCAGAGTGTTGGAGAGGAATTAATTAATAATATTATGGGGGAGAGTCAAAATCAAAAGTACACTAATAAGTTATACAAGGAAAAAAGTAAAATAAGGGAGGTTACCCATTACTTATTAGCCTGAGGTTATTTCGCCTTTGGGCAGAAACAGCTCATGTGCATGTTATCTTTTAGCCAATATATATACTATAAATTATTTTCCTTCTTTCCCTTTTTTTTTTTTTATTTATTTTTTTATTCTGTTTTATTTTATTTTTTTACATAATGTTATACAACAATTCCGCTACAACTTTACACCATTTTGATTCAGTAAAATGGAAGAGAAGATTTTTTAATTTATCGCATAAGCTCCATCGCTCAAATAATAGTCACTGGAATGCAGCTTCATCAGCCACAGCCATGGCTGCAGCAACAGAGAAATATATTAGACATAAGAAAAATTCACCTACGGAAGCTTCTGAAATTGTAATTCATTCAGAGGATTTAACCGCGAGTCAGTTTGCAAATTTGACAGGAATTAAAACAAAGAAAAACCCAGTGTATTACTCTTCATCATCAGCTGGTGATATGTACGTAGAAGAAGAAGATTCGGATGAAGAAGATGACGAAGATTCCCGTGATTTCTATACTGCAAGCGTATCTTCATCTCATAAACAAAATAATCAGCCGGCAATGAAAATTTGGGATTCCCATTTTTGGCAAGATAACAATCAACGTAAAAGTTTACCCTCAATTCCATTGAACACATCCGTTTCCATGAATGAAATTGCCTCCGAAAAATTATGCTCACAGCCATTAAGTAGACATATCTCAGAACCTGGGGGTGCTAGAGTTCCCAGTATGATCCAAAAAGGCAGATTTAAAATTGTTTGGGGAGGCGACGACAATGAACCAATTGTCAGACCAGAATCTCATTGTGTAGAGTGGAAGCGAAAAAGAGCAAGCAGTAATAGCAGTGCCGTTACTACTGCTATTTGAAGAACACAAACAAATAATCGAAAATCTCTATATACCAAAAACACACAAAACAAACAAAGCAAACAATACCCACACTCTTTACATGTACACACACACACGCTCATTGTATCAGGCGCTTGCTTATTTACATAATTTATACCAGCATAACAACTTACAACCAAACAAGTGACCTTTTATTTATACCCCACTACATTGTTACCACAACGAATATCACCTTACATGTATACTTCTTTTTTTTTTCTCTTTTTTTCTTTCATTATGATTTATATGATTATTATTACTACTACTATACTATGACATATGAAGCAAATCACAAAAAAAAAAAAAAAAAAAAAAAAAAACGAATATGATGAACTATTGGTGTATAAATATTTTTAATATTAAATAAAAAAAAATTGAAAATAATATTTCTATAAATGGTTGTAAAAAAAGGGGGGATGGGGGGAAATATACATAATGTTGTTGTTTTAGAAGAGAGAGGCAGAGGTAACAGCCTTTGAGGTAGTCTTTTGTTGACCATCTTTGCCAATAACAGTAACATTCTTTTGGCCCAATAATTCCTTGACAGCCTTTGTCTTTGCTTGTCTTTGTCCAACTTGAGGATTGTATTTCTGTTTGATCTTTAATTCTCTTTCCTTGATGGCACGTTCCTTTCTCTTGAGCTTCTTGTTTTGAGCTCTCAAACGTTTACGCTCATCTTGTTCCATTTCACCTGCAGTCTTGACATCATTACGCTTCTTCTCATAAACTTCCTCAGGAGCCAACAAAGTGGACTCAGATACGTTAACAGGTGTGACTTCTTCCATGCTGATAGCAGCAGAGTTACTAACAATAGACATTTCAGGCTTAGGTGCCTTGGGGGTGTAGTGGAAGTTGGAAAGTGCATCCAGCTTATGACACAATGTTTTGAATAAATCAGTAATTTCAGCATGATCTTTTTCTAAAGCTTCATCGCGTGCATCAACCTGTTCTGCACCGGCTTGCTTTCTAACAAAGTCATCTTCATACATGTCAGCCAAGGACTTCTTACCCTTTTCGTCACTGATTTCAACACGTCTAGAAGGAACGAAAGGACGCAAGTTAGGATCCACTTTACGCTCAACGTCATCAAACATATTATCCAGAATACGCTTCTTGATGATGTCTTCTAAAGTGTTTGTGGATTCTTCAGTAATAACAGGAACAGGCTTGTTGGCATGCTCGAACTCAAGATCTTCTTCCAATAAACTGTTGACAGGTCTGGCCTTGGCGTTAGCCTCACCACGTAAAGTCCAATGCTTGTCTTGGACGTTTTCATCCTCATATTCTTCAATTTGTGCAGCAAGACGGTCTTGTTGTTTTTGGAATGCAGATTTCTCTTTACCGTCTGTTTCTTCTTCATCCTCATCGACACCAAAGAGATCACGGACAGAGGCTTCATTACGAACATCTTCTCCCAACTCTTCTTCTTCCTCTTCCTCCTCTTCTTCAGAAGAAACTAATTCTTCCTCGTACTCCTTCTTCTTGTGTGTATATTTCTTGAATGCAGGCTTTTCTTCATCGTTACCATAGAAATCATTATAGTTCAAGTCTAAGCAAATTATTTAAGGTTTTTAGAGAATGCCGTGTGCACATGATTTTATTCCTATTTTACCTGCAGCATCATCATCATCGTTTTCTTCATCAGAATCCTCTTCCTCGCCCATGTCATTATCGAAATCAAATTCATCATCTTGGTCCTCACGATCAGACATCATGTCTAATTCTTCTTGTTTCTCGGTCCATTTATTGAAATCATCCAAGTTGAAAAATTGATCGTCGACTTCTGAAGTAGGCTTCTTCTTGCTAGCAAAAAAAAAAAAAAAAAAAAAAAAAAAAAAAAAAAAAAAAAAAAATCAGAATAGGGCTTAATTCAAGTTTGGTAAATTACTACTATTACTCCACTTACGTTTCTTTGGGTTCAACAAGTTCTTCTTCCTCGAGGTCCTGGTCAGCATTTTCTTCGATATTATCTTCCTCGAGATCATCCTCGTCCTCACTTTGATCTAATTCTTGCTCACTTTGATCTAATTCTTCTTCACTTTGATCTAATTCCTCCATGTCCTCATCCTCATCCTCTACATTTTGATCGAGATCCATGGATTGACCAGAAACACTTTCTTCTTCGTCACTGAACTCTTTGGCGGGTTTTTTGTTGAGGGCCTTTAAAGCTGTCTTTGCGTAATCCAAAAAAGGCTCGTTTTGAGAGGCGATTTCTTCCCAAATTTGATCGTTATCAAAACCTTCGGTCAATAATTCTGTAAATGGCGAGAATTGTACTTGCTCAACCTTTTTAACTTTTTTTTAAAAAAAACAATAATCAATATAACGTGTTTCTGTAAGAAAAAAGAAAGGGCTGTACCATTGTCGTAAAAATGCTTGGCCATTTGTATCGCACTATCTGCAATCTTTTGATTTGAAGCAAAGAATACTTGAGGCTTCTCAACCACATTGGTTAAAAAGTGGTCAAGTGTGTTTGTCTTGGTCATGATCTATGTAATGAATGAATTGAAAATATAAACAGTGGAAAAAAAATACAACTGTGAAAAAAAAAAAAAAAAAAAAAAAAAAACTACTGTGACCGCTGTACGCCTGAAATGTGACGGCTGTTTAGGTCACGTTTGCCATCACTGTCATGATAGCCAACCCTTTATACACACAGGTACGTTTTATATGTTGCTAATGTATCATGTCTTTGAACATTGATTTGTGAGTAGGCGGGTTTTTTTAACGAAGAAAAACCGAGACACTTATTTAAATCCAAGTTTGTTCTTCATATTTTGAAACCCGTCTTATTTGACAGGTACATAAGCACATTCAAATAGAACACTCAATAACATACGGATAATCACTGTTGATGTTTACATAAAGCTATTTCAAGTTAGTTTCAGAAATGGTGTCACCATTATGTTTCAGCCCTGTCATTTCCTTTTGACAGCCCACCGCAACTAAAACTGGGAATCCCTCTACCTACGAAAGAGAAATAGCACACTAAATCATCCATGGTCTTTTTCAGGAGCAGCACAGAACTGTAGCCTTTGGCCATCTAAAGTTATATAAGGGTTTATCAAGAGAAATGATTTATTTCGCTTTTCGTATCTAAAGACATATTTTTGCCCAATTTCAAGACGTCAGTTTGCATGCATCGTTTCAAAAAAAGACATGTGCGGAAATGAATAAATGTTCTCATATTCACTTCAAGCTGCATGTCTCGCTTTCAACTTTTTACAGATACATACCTTATCCTTGGCACTGTCGTTTTTTACAAGAATATTTAAAACATATCTTGAGTATCTAATACGATTATTATTCCACTTATATTTGGTCCTGTCAACTTAACTACGATGATAAGCTGTGTATCATGCATTTGATTTTCTCTTTCTAAACAATCTCTCTTTCGGAGTCAGACAAAAATTGCAGGGGCAGCAAAAGAATAATTAAGATCGTTGAAACATATACTAGGGTTACACAATGCAAAATTGGCAGCATTCATCTTCTGACTTATTTCTACTTGAACCGACCTTGTTGCATTCAGTCAAGCCTCAGTATGTGCCACTCTAAGATTAATGTTAAAACAATTACCCTTTCTGAGTAGTACACTCTGGCGGTCTTATTTTTTTAAACTCTCCTTAGAGTGTTGAAGTACATTGAATTCTCAGCCTTGCTCTATATCGGTTTTTGGTGACAAGTGACTCTGATTATAGATGTGTTGGAAAAAAAACATGCGTACTTTTCTAATGAACAACCTTTTTAGTGTTATGTTCTTATTGAGTAATAAGTTTACCTCAGTTGACAGATTCTTAGATTGACTTTTTTAAGTAAATTAGCATATTAACAACTGCGAAAAGAGTTTGGATCATAATACCAGCCATTAGAGAAATAAATACTACCAAGTTTGTTTATTTGCACTTTAAATAGAAGGACCTAATTTTTTATACTATAATTTATGACTACTATAATAAGATTGAAGCTTTTTGGATTATAGCGGAATATTAACCTCATCGAAATAAAGGAGTGTTTCAAAAAATGTTTGTTTAACCCATGTTGTACTCATTACCATTCTAAAATGTGCACACACGTACGAATATGCCATATGAAGTATAGTTTGAAGATGCAGTTATTTTCTGTTCACATGCCGCACGAGGGGGAACAGTTTCCATGTTCTGAAATACAGACAAAACCCGAATTGTGAAAACGGCATTTTGATAATGTTATCATAGTATAGGCTTTTTCTCTTATTTGTTGCACTTTTACTTATTTGGGTTGGGAGCAATAAGCAAATTTATCTTGTTGATTTAAAATGAAGCTGTACTTTGTACACGTTATTTATGACGCTTTTGCTTACCCCTCCACCGGTATTCATTCCCTAACCAGCACTCTTATTTACAATGAATAATACACAATATAGCATTTCAAATTTGAAAACCAACAAATCTGTCTAATTAATACCCATGTAGATATGGAATTCTTTGTATTAAAATAATGATTGTACATCTTTATTTACTATCGATATTACGCACTCCTTCTAATTCAGCTAATTCAGCCCCCCCTTTTTTCTTCTTTTTCTCGGTTCCTACTTTTTTTTTTTTTTTTAATGATGCTGTTTCAAAAACTTCTGACAAATTTGGGATTTAGTGTGCTTACAAAATATAGGATTTTTCCTATTTAGGTCAACACCGCCAAGTTTTTTTTTTTTTTTTTTTTTTTTTTTTTTTTTTGGTGGGGGTAGGGGAAAAGGTCATAAGCATGTATGATCACTTGCATTAAAGAAATGTGGTTAAAATTAGTAGATCGTAAAATTACATGCAGTGATTGAATCGGAAGCCTTTTTTGAGCTCCTGTTCCAAGATGAGGGCTTATTATCTGCGCGATGTCCCTTGCAGACCCACTCCCACCCGTGGTGACTGTTCAAATACTAAGTTAACACTATTCTCTAAATGATAGTCCTCTTCAAATCTCATTGTGGTATTCTCTTGTATGACGTATGTACTCGTATATAAATTGTAACATATATACATGTGTTACATCTACGGACTCAAATCCTGAAAATCACCTACCAGTGCACATTTCATTGATTTCGACAGTATAAAATGAAATTTTTTATTCCATGCTTGTCCCCCTTAATAACATCATACTCAATCTAAATATATACATATATATATATATCTGTTTGTCAATACACTTTCTAAGTAAAACTGCAAGGAGCAATGTTTAGAAGAATAGGAACCAACCATACGGAAAATGAAACAAAAGATAAAAGTTGTATAATCGGTATTGCCGCTTGCCTCATGTAGCAATTTAATAACAGTTGTGTACGGACAAAATCCCTTTAAATTTGATTTACTACTTCTTATGAGATTTAGATACTCCGGACGCTCTTTTTTTTCAGTAGGGGACTATCTTCTCTATTGTAGTCTTTAGTAACGCAATGTCAAGCGAGAACAAGGAAAATCGAGCTCAAAATGTTATGAAGTAACATCCAGCTGGTATCTTAAAATATGTTTAGAATGTTTTACAAAGTAGGGGAATAAAGAAATCGCTTAAAAATTTAGCAGACGCTTAAAGGCCTGTCAATATAACAATTTTAAGTTGCAGTGACAATAGCAAAAAATTTCTCCCTCATGATTTATCGGTAATTATAAGCAATATGCTATGTAAAGAAAACCTTTCAGCTAATGACCCCAAGTAGAGAACGAGCTATGATTAGTAAAATTCATCCCCACGCAAACTTTTTTCTTTTTATCCAAAATATCCTGCATCTCAAGTGCTATCCCAAAATTAGATAAAACACGGTTTTTTATTTTTCCTCTTTAACTCCCTGCACAAATGTCATTATCATCTGAATGTCAGATATGCTTGCATTTGGAAGATCGCGATTTATGTCGGAAAAAGGAGGAGGCTTAGAATAGCCGAAGGTTGAACATTTATGGTAAAATGAGCATGGATGGTCTCTCTTTGTTATTGCCCACGCAAAATCGCGATCATTGTTGGAACCAATGGCAGGACTTGTGTGCGCACGCACTGCCTATTTATGGTTAGAAAGTCTAGATAAATAAATGAGCATGGATGGTTTTCCCCCCTCCCGGTTTTCGAAAATAAAGCAAGGAGAAAAGTTATATTCAATTGTCATATTTATTGTGTATGTGGAATCAAAATGATAATAGTTCGATATGTTGAATAATAGTTTCTAAATATATAATAGTAAAAAAATAGAGTTTTATTTGTAACTGTTTTGAAATAGCTCGTTAAACATTAAGCAGATCTGAATCTTCCCCTTCCCCCAACTTTTTTTTAACATGTCACCGGGTACCGCCCTTTTTTTTTTAAAAAAATAAACAAGATAAAAGTCCATAGAATAATATAGATCCTATAGAATAAAGCCTGCGCAGTTGAAAGAAAATTCGAAAATCCGAATGTTTCATTTATCGCTGTATGTGTTACTTCAGACGTCAGCACAGACAATTAAGGGAATTTCTAATCTATCAGTCATCTTTCTTTTTTTTTAAATGAATCAGACAAGTCCTTGTAATCTGGACTGTCTACATCATAAAATAAATCAAAGCATTTTTTTTTTTAAAAAAAAAAGCGAAAGAGTGTGCGAGGTCATCATGGAAAAATGGGACCCCCAGCCTGTATAAGATCTGAGATTGAAATAGCCGTTTGAAATGGGTTGAAAAAATAATATTTGGGCCGACCCTTTTTTTTCTTTCATGTTGACTGGCGCGAATATTTTAGAGTTTCGAACCAAGGGATATACTATCTTGATTAATGGTAAAAGGGAAAAATGAGATTACTATTTAGAGAGAAAAGCTGAAAAACAAATGGGAAATAGGATTAAGTGAGGCCGAATTGAAACATTTACATGACGAAGCCGATACGCTGACGAATTATTTGATCAGTGAAGGCTATGATATAATCAATGACTTTGGGTGTATAGTGGGTAAAAAAAAGCATGTGTTACACTACAATAAATAGATCGTTTACAGATTTGAATAGAACCTTTGTCTTGTGGATTTCTAGATGGGTCTAGTGATTACAATATGGATAGAGACAAATATAGTAAAATCCGCAATAGTATATCATGGAACAATTCATGTGACACAATACAGGCTTCGGATATTGTATTAAGCAAATATGGAAGCACATGGGCATCACTATTACTTCAACAACAAGTGTATTTGGTTAGTTCTGTCTCGTATCATTTTTGTTTTGTATATTGTATTCTAAACATGTGTAATGCAATTTAATAGCTTAACGAGCAGTTTATCATCAAACCGCCATTCAGTCTACTATCGTCACCTTTTGCATGGCACAAGGTTTTTTTTTAAAGTAATCGGTTTTAAAAATTATAGCAAATCACTCATGGGATCTCCTCCTCTTATTGTTTTTTTTTAGGATTCAGATTATTACCAGGATGAACGTCATCGTCAAGAAAGGACAATTGCCTGCTGGACGGCGTTGGACACAGTGAACGAAAATAACGGCACGATAGAAATTAAAGACTTTTTAGGTAATCAAGAAACTATTTGCGTTCCTGCTGGCTCTATCGTATTTATGTCGGATCAACTTTTACACAAGAGTACAGGAAATGCAAGCAGCAAATTTAGAAGAGCTTATATGACTCAGTTCTCTTCCTCTCCTCTTCTTTATCAAGATGGCCAGTGTGTTGCTCTTGCCATCAAATGTGATTAAACAGTCATCATTATTGGCCTCGTTCAAAACTCAGAACAAAATAAAAAGTTTTTTTTTCAGCTTTCTATTTTTACTTTTTTTTATTCAAACTAATAAAAAATTGGGCATTTAAAAAAAAACGAGAGTGAGAGAGACCTAATTCTTGGGATGCGCGTGTGTATGTATATGTACGGGGGTATGGAAAAAGAGAGATGACCAAATGATGAAGAAGCTTAGCCAAATCTGAACAATCACAACATTACAAAAAAAAAGCTTTTTTTTTTTCGTGTTCTTCAATTTTGAAAAACCACTAAAAAATTGTATTTTTTTTTCTATATTTGTTGAAATGATGTACAAAACAATAGCTGAAAGGATTTCTTAACTGATGGTCATTTTCTTTGTAAAAAGTTATTTTATAGAAACAAAATATATATGGTGTCTATTGAGAGAGAGAGAGTCATGCGAATCATATATGCATCAAAAGGGGGATGGGGGGAGAGGGAGAGGGAGGCCTAAGGTGGTTACTATGGCAACGTGATGTAGTAGAAAATAAAAAAGGTAAGAAAGCAATCGAGATGGGGGACCATGAAAACGATAAATAAGCGTTACTATGGCAACGTAGTGGATGAACAAGTTGTAGAGCAAGTTGTTGTTATGGAGGAATCAGTGGCAGGATTAGTTGTGGTAGTGGTAGTGGTAGTAGTAGTAGTAGTGGTTGTTGTTGTATAGACAGTATCTTCTGACTGTTGGGTAAATGATATCAACCTTTTTTTAATACTAGTAGCTGTTTTCCATTCTTCCCATACTTCAAAACGAAAAGAATCGATACGTTCCCTTTTTATCTGCCCAATACTACTTGCCTCCATTTGGGTCAATACAATCATCAGTATTTTACAGAGACGAGTGAATTTACGAAAGGTTGTGTTCAAGTACTGGTTGACTTGCTTTAATAATAGACCGTTACCAAACCTTGAAGTTTCCTTTTCATCTTTTAGTAATTTTGGGTATTGACTGAGGGCAGGACAGACGGAATCACTAAATGATTCAAGATCTCGTACGACAGCCTTGGCTTGATATAAACAACGACAGAAGTCAACAAAGACTCTGTCGGAAGGTGTAGTGTGAATTTTGGAGACCTTCATATTTGTAGAAAAATGGGGAAAAAAATTAAAAAAGGGCGGTCTGACAACAAAAAAAAAAAAAAAAATCGATTAAATAATTTTTTAAAATCCATATTTAAAAGAATCCCCTTTTTTTTTCCCGATCAATTTCAAGAACTTTACGTGTAGAACTTTTAAGAAGTTTTTGAGGATAAAAATGGAAAAAGGTCATTTATTTCGACCCCCGCCAACGTTTGGGTTTAATGTGTATATTATGTCTTTGTATGCAAAAAGGAGGTAACATGACAGGAGTTCAATTGAAATGTAGCATTGCGGTAAATAATTAATATCAACATTATCCATATTTTCTATTTTATTCAACATCAACAAAAAAATAAATAAAGGGGTTTATTGTTGACTCATTTTTTGCATCTTCTCCCCAACTTTACTGTTCGTCTCAAAGAATTTGGCCACACAATTATCAATACATAATGCATCTTGTTGGCTCAAATCACCTTGTCCATTATCTAATTTAATGCACTTTTCGTGGCAAGAGTCCACAATACTACATATCAACTCCCAGTTAACTTTACTATTCTTCTTCATCTACACCACCTTAAACCCTAATCCTAAACACACCCCCTTCTTACCGATTGAACAAATCTGTCACCATTTCAAGTTCTTGCTCGGCTAAAGCAATGTTTTGAGGGTTAATAGTTTGCGATTGTTGCGATCCTCCACCAAAATATGACATTGTGTGTATAATGTTTTATATGTAAAAAAAAAATACAAAAGAAAAAATAACAATAGAAAAACCCATGGTGTTTGATGGACTACAGTAAAAACAGTCACGCATGGCGCATTTATGCTGCTTTGAATTATGTTTATTATTATTAGTTCGATTACGGACATATTCAATGTTGATCGTGTCTTTTACTGATCAGCGCTTCAATTTTCATAGAATTTGCCTGATTCCAAGAAGAGGATGGTGGCTCATCGTCATCATCGTCGATAGTAATAACTGAAGTTTGACCAGCATTCATTTTTTGAATAAAACTAGAGGCATCAGGTGGTGCAATTCCTGATTCTGCAATCGATTCTACACTCACACACACATATAAAAAAATTTAACTCCTTGATTGATTCTTTAAATAGATTGTCATATTACTTACGTTTTTTACGTATTCCTTCCTCTAAAGGGGAGGGTTGAGGTGTAATTTTCCTTCTTTTCCTAGCGTCGACTGCTTGCATTGGGGCTTTCTTTTCGGACAAACCTGCTAATTTGGATTTATATTGACTATACTGTCGACTCATCTCATAAGAGTTCATCCAACCCTCTGGCCAGCACGACAGTAACTATCATGTATATGTCAGTACACTTACACTATGCAATATCAAGCCCAGGAAAAAATAAATAAAAACTTACTCGCTGATACATGAGCTTTCTTGCTTTACCGTCAGAGGCTACACCATCAATCTTGTTTTCGGGATCCTTGTGGGCACTGCTACAAGTTTTAGTCATACCTCCTTATACAAAGAGCCCCTCTTTCCTCCTCACTTACGCTACTAGTTTAGCAATATGAATCGATTGTTCTTCTGACTGGATAATATCATAAAGGATCTTTCTGACCTCATCATTACATTTGAATTTAGGTGTTGGAGCTGAATCATCTTCCGTATTCGCTGGTTCAGTTTCTAAAGGACCGTTAATTTCCAGTTTATGCTTTCTTTTGTTTATTTTCACTTACGAATTTGGGCCAGTTTTTCTTCAAATGATCGCTGTTGCTCAGGCATCATTTTATCGATCGTTTGCTTTAATAGGATGGCTAATTCGTCAATCTCTTGCTGTAACTCATCTATGCGCATCTGTCCTGATTTCGTAGTCAAGAATTTCTGTGGGATTTACATATTGAGCAACAATATATATATATGTATATATTTAGAAAAAACGTACCTTGAGTGTAAATCGGTTGTAAGGTAAGACGGTCATGAGATGGAAAACAAGGTTTTCTTCAATCGTCTTGTATTTACGAAACATGACTAGTCCAGCTTCCAATACCGTAGGTTTAAGTGACAAGGGAAATTTGGCCTTGTTTTGGAAATCCTCATGCACAGCATCTCTTCGTATTTTATCCATTAATATCTCAATTTCAGGATCAAGTGGCTTCTATTTAAAACAGATCAGTTAAAAAGGAAATATTAATTTTTTGCCGTGTGCCTAAAATTATCTTACTAATTCGGGTGTATGGGTCACTTTTTTCTTTTTATCCAGATCTTCTTGCATTAATAAAGAAGGATTAATTAATGGCTTTTCCTCTACTTCTTTCTCCATCTTCTTTCTCTTTTTAGCGGGTTGATCTGCAGCTGACGTCACTTTTCGGTTCAGATTGACATTCGCTGTTGCTTTATTGGGTATTATCTTGACGTTCTTTTCCGCTGCACTGGGTGCCACTACTAGTGTTGGTGTTGATTGGACTGCTGCAGATGTAGATGATGGTGTTGTTGATTTTAATGTAGCTACTGTTGTTGCTGCTGATGATGGTGTCGCCGCCGTTGCTGCTGCTGGTATCGCCGTCTTGGCCGGTGATAACACTTTCTTGCCTTTGCCAATGCCTGCTGCTAACGCTGCCAGTCCAACTGTCTTTTTCACTTCTTCAGTTGGATGATCGTCCGCTGTTTTTTTACGTGCTTTATCTCCTATTGCTTTTTTTGTAGCAGGAGCAGGAGCAGCTGCCTTTGCTTTGGTAGGTGCTCTGCGTTTTGTTGCAGCCGGCTTATTCTTTTCTGATCTATGCTGTTTTATCAGTAAATTAATCTTTTTTTTTTTTAGAACAGCCCTTCCCACACTTTAAAATTTACCCTCCGTGACCATCTAATGGTCCATGATAGACAAAGAATCCATCAAACTCAGGTTGGTGGTATTCATGAGGTTGGTCCAGCAACATTTCACTGTCATCGATAAAAGGATCTTCAAAATCATAGTCATTTGCTACTTGCTTCTTCCCAACCTACCATGATAACAAAAAAGGATTAATGGTGATTGACAGAAAATAAAGATACATGTCTTTTTACAGTAGCGGATTCTTCGTCAGAACCATCGTCGTCGACATCATCTTCATCCATGGCATAAGTCTTTGCTTTTTCCAACAGTTCTTTAAAGAACAAGTCGTCTGCAGTTTCGACGGGTTGGACAGGTTGGACGGGTTGAGCAGGTTGACCTGGGATCTCTTCTGTCTTTTTGAGTTCTTGTTTGTATAACTGACGATAATTGAAGATTACAGGTCGAGGTTGGTCGTTGGTGTTAACATGGATACGGATCGTCTTTTGAGGTCTGTATTGCTTTACAATGGGTGTTTCCATAACTTCGCTCTCATTTATGGTTGCATTGACTTCCATTTTAAAGTATATTTATGAGAAAAAAAGAACGCGACGAACAAAAAAAAAAAAAGAAAAAAAAAAAAAAAAAAAAAAAAAAAAAAAGAAAGACGCTAATTTTCTCTGTCCCTGGTAAAATAAAAAAATAAAAATAATTATAATTTTTCCTCTCTTAATTAAATAATAAATAATGGAAGAAGAAATGCAAGACATGGAACAACAAAGACTGTACAGTGATAATTGTCAGCAAGTATTGTCAGACATCTCGAGTGTCAAGGGGCTTGTGAATAAAGTCAAAGAAATCGAAGATATATATTGTCCAAGAGGTGGTTTAAATCTATTTAAAATTGACGACAACTTGACAGATTCTATGCAAGTCTTGCATACTAAATTATCAGACTGTATCCATCATTTGGACCACTTATCTGAAAGAGTCTCGGACACTTCTTCCAAAGTATTGGTCACTGGCGATTTGAATTCTGGTAAATCAACTTTAGTCAATGCCTTATTAAAGGGTGACATCTTGCCTGTCGATCAGCAACCTTGCACCTCCATCTTTTGTGAAGTCGTCTCCTTTTCTCCCAATCAAGACATGCCAACAACAGTCCATGCTATTAAAGACGTAACAATTTATGACAAGCAAAATGAAGACACATATCATCCTTTGGAATTACGTCATCTTTACAACTTACTTACCTCCGAAGAACAACACTATAAAATGCTGAAGATCTACACCTCGAGAAACGAAAATTTAACCGAGCAATCTTTACTGTATAACGGACTTGTGGATATTGCATTGATTGATTCACCAGGATTAAACACAGATTCCGTCAAAACAACCGCCGTATTTGCTCGTGAAGAAGAAATTGATGTCGTCGTCTTTGTCGTCAGTGCTGAAAATCATTTTACTTTATCAGGCAAGGAATTTTTATGGAATGCTGCTAATGAAAAAACACACATCTTTATTGTCGTCAATCGATTTGACAACATCCGTGATAAGGACCGCTGTAAAAGATTGATTCTGGAGCAAATCAAACAATTATCCCCAGTTACCTATGAACAAGCTGATCATTTAATTCATTTCGTCAGTGCCGAAAATGAAGCCAATTCACCCGATTTTGTCAAGCTCGAACAGAAATTACGTGCCTTTGTTTTAAACAACCGTATCAGCTCAAAATTATTACCCGCAAACACCTACCTGACAAATGTATTGCGCGATATTTATTTCATTTCCACAACAAACGAATCGAGCTCCACTGAAAAGTTTGAGAAAGCTTCGGCTTTGGAATCCGAATTCTTATCCACTTACACGGATTTGGTTCAAGCTGCTGCTGCCACAGAGAAGGAGGTGACCGCATTAAAAGAATCTACCATGACCCACATACAAGCAAATGTAACTACCTCCTTGGAGAGCATCACGCGTGATGGGGAACTGGATACATGTATTCAATCTATCCAATACCCGGGTTTATTACTAACCTGGCAATACGCACAAGATATCGTCGACTCTCTTTCATCCAGATTAGAAGCAAACCTGGAAAAGGTCGAACAACAAGCCAGTCAAGAAGCTATCCATGCCATGCAGGCAATGAATGAATCAACCCGTCAATTGAACACAGATATCACCACCAAAATCCATGAAAATATCATGACCAGTAAAAGTCATCGACCCATCCATATCAAGATAGAAGCGAGAGATTTGTTATTAAATCGAAAGATTGTTGATGATAAAAAGATTGCTATATCAGCTTTAGCTACTGTGAGCGCTACAACCGTATTTTTGAAGGCCATCAATATCAAAGACATTGCTTGGTCTTTGGTATCACGTTATATCAACCCCCTTAACACAAACTCATCACATCGTTTTGCGACATTCACCTTATCTACAGTGGGTATGTTAGGCCTAGGTTGGACAGCTTATTCTTTCGTCTCTGTCATCCCTCATGCCCTTCAAACCAATTTAAAGGCCAAATTCCAAACCGCTGTGAAAAACGAGAACCTCGTTGACAACCAAACACATCGTATCACCCAGGCTGTTGAACATGTCTTGGAAGCCAAACAAACCGAAATTTTGTTCCGTGTCAAGCAAATGATTGCTGAAAAGAAAGAAGAGAAGGATAAATTAGAACAATCCGTGTTTCGATCTGCTACCACTTTAAATCACTTTAAGGCGTTGGTCAGCCAATCTGATGCTTTATTGCTTAAAGTAGAACAATCTTTAAATGTCCCTCAAATTATCTAGAAAAATAAACCGCAAGTGCTGTCACTAATCCACCAGCAACTGCACTTTCTATAGAATACAAAACAAGATCTCGTTTGCTTAATATCACTTGTTCCTCCTTTTTCTTTTCTTTGTAAAATGGCGCTTCGTCAAAATTCGCTGCTGTTAATAATAAAAGTTTACGCAGCTCCTCATTGTCTAATTTAACCTCATTTGTCTTTTTGATTATAGCAGTTTGCACTTTGCTGGATTCTGGCAAAGTTCCTGCTTCTGGTAGTGATGTTGTCTCCGGCATTGATGCTATTTCTGGCGCCGATGCAGCATTTGGGTGGGACGGTGATTCTGGTATTGCTGTTAACTCCCCTTCGGTTTGTGTAACAGCTTCGGGCTGTGATGGCACAGGAGTCTCGTCTTGCATTGCTAGGTCCGAAAGAACAGGAGCTATTGGTACAGGGAATATATTTTCCCTTTGTTGTGAGGATGCTTTCAACGCTTGAACAGTCTCTGGGTCAAACAAGGGGTGTTCAGCCAACGAATTCAACGTCTCCATGACAGCGACCTGCTGCTGCATCAATAGTTTGTCCTTATCATCCAGTGACTGAAAGACATGCTTAAACTTCTCTTCCTCCTCATCCACCTTGGAGACCAAAAGTTCCTCAAAACGATCCGTGAGTCTCTTTCGTTTTCTAGGTTCAAATACGGTTTGAACAGCGACGAATAATAATAAATTGACCACCATGAGAGCCCAGGTACCATAAGTACTGACGCTACGAATTTTATCACTCCATAATTGTTCCTCGTGGTATCTTTCCATAATCGAACGGGCCAATTCCATATACTCTCGATCCATTTTCTTTTCACACATTTGGTACGCTTCTTTGGCTTGCATCTCGGCCTGTGAATGCGCATGTTCAAGTCGATAGAGCTCGGTGAATTGAGTGACATCATCGCCTGTCCATAAATGCTTACGTTGTAAAAGCTCATTAATGCCTCTTTGTGTACTCGAACGTGTCTCAATAGCTTGCTCGTAATTTCTTTTAGCTTCCTGCACTTGATCTCGAGTGCTTTCAAAGAGTTGGGCTAAATTCATATAAGTTTAAAGGCATCTAACATCCCCCCTTTTTTTTGCCCCTTACCTTGGTTGTTGACCTTTTGTTTGACAGCATCGATTTGGTCATAACCTGTTAATTCATTCATGGCACGACTGGCTCTTCGTAAAGCTTCTTTGGAATCACTCACATCGCTCGTGAGTCGTTTCAATTGTTCAGAAGCATGATTGATTTTGGTAATGTAAGGTTCTAAACGAGGTTTCAAGTCTAATTGGACCTTATCGAAATAAGCTTTGGTAGCAGCTAAAGTCTTTTCGACAGACGCATCTTGCAAATGTTTAAAAGGGCTATTGTCAGGTACTGGTTTTTCGGTGGGTTTATCATTAGGTGGTATGGAGGTTGTTAATCGAGCAATATGCTTTGGTGTGTGTCGAAAACGAGCAGGTTGAAAACCCAGTCTAGTGGATCTAAGCAAACGAAAAGACATGAAACGCAGATAGGGTCTCTCTTTCTCTCTCTTCGGCTGGGTGGCCCCACCTTTCTTTTTCTTTTTTTAAATCGAGATTCTGTGTGACCGCTCGTACCTTATTGATGAATTTAGGATTAAGACACTATTCTACAGGTATTGGGATATGGATTTTACCGGGTAGAAGGAGATACATTAAATATGCAGGTCGACTACAGTATCAATAAGAACGGCCAGGGAAAAATTAAAGGAAATATAAAGGGGGAAACAGATGAAACCGATTACTTTTGATATCAGTCAAATGTGCTGACATGCGCCACTTTTTTTAAAAATATTATAAATGTCGTATTTTGACATAGAATAGTAGATGTTTGTATTATAAAGCTCTGGCGTGGTGCATACAAACAGATACTATTACTTTAGCTTGGAATGGTTCTGGTACAATCTTTTTTTTTTAATGCATTATCACTAGATCACTAAACAAATATGCGATAGATACCTTCCAAACGATTTTGAACCAGTACTTAGTATGAGGTGGTGCGCTTCCCGCATATTGAGTGAGCGCTGCACATCATGTCTACACACAGGTCAATAAGCATAGCATATATATCCATTTTTCTTTTTTGTTTTTGCATAGGTTGCATTGTCATTTGATCATACTGAGAAATGGAACTTATACCAATGCATGTAATAATCATTTTGTCAAGATGTATTCTTCTTCTCATGAAGCACTCTTTCAGTTCCAAAGATTATGAGAGAAAGTGACATTTCGTTTAATGTATTAACCATTTGTTATTCAAAAAGGTTATTCTGCATTAAAAGCTTTTGCCACTTTTATACATGTTATGTACGTGTGTCTTTAAGCGACCACCTTGATTTTATCCCTTTTTTATCTAACCCTGCTGTGGTACCATATAATTAGGATATATAAACGAAATCCCACTAAGTCCTTCTTTTTTTTTCTCTCTCTTTTTTTATTATTCACTCATATTAAACATGATAACAGAAGGGAAACTACATGCTATTGCTGGTTCAAAGCAAATAAACATTGATGAAGCCATTGAAAGGAATTGGGAGTTTCCAACATTTACAATAAAAGAAATCCGCGATGCCATCCCATCCCACTGCTTTCGGCGTGATACACAGAGGTCCCTAAGCTATCTCTTTCATGATATTGCATTGATTGTTTTATTAGGGATACTTGCTAGCTATATTGACACATTCAAGTCTGTCATTGTGCGCAGCTCCCTGTGGATAATGTATTGGATTGCACAAAGCAATGTCGCGTTCGGCGCTTGGGTCTTAGGTCATGAATGTGGTCATCAAGCTTTCAGTCCGTCCAAGGTAATTTCCAAAATCTATATACCTTGTATCCTAGACTAAAACATGGGTACAATTATAGGCCATTAATCATAGCGTAGGATTTGTGCTTCACACTGCGTTACTAACACCCTATCATTCATGGAGATTTTCTCATTCTAAACATCATAAAGGTCTGGGACATATGACAAAAGATCAGGTATATACTTTTCTCGCATATAATTCATATACACTGTTTAATTTACTCTACTGTGAACATATAGGCGCATATTCCACCCACTAGATCTGAAGTAGGTTTACCTGCCCTTGATAAAGATCCTCAAGCAGATGGACCGCATGACCACTTTGATGAGACGCCGATCAAGACGCTCTTATGCCTAATTCGAATCCATATTATTGGATGGCCGGTGTATCTTTTAACGCATGAAACAGGACACAAAACAGGTGGCTGGAAATCGCATTTCAACCCCAACTGCGATATTTTCGAAAAGAGCCAATTTCGAAAGGTGGTGGGATCCATCATTGGTATTGTGGCAATGATCGGACTTTTAATAGGATGTGGACAATCCTTTGGATCACTTGCTGTCATCCGATATTATGTTTTACCTTATTTGGGAGTCAACGGCTTGCTGGTTCTGGTCACGTATCTACAACACACCGATCCTAAACTACCACGGTATCGAGACAATGTCTGGAGTTTTCAGCGTGGGGCTGCATTGACGATGGATAGGTCATATGGATTTCTCTTAAACCATTTACATCATCATATTGCGGATACACATGTTGTACATCATTTCTTTTCCATGATGCCTCACTATCATGCTCAAGAAGCTACTCTTCATATCAAAAAGGCCTTGGGTAAGCATTACATGTATGACAATACACCTGTACCACTGGCTTTATGGAAAGTGTGGACACAATGTCGTTTTGTTGAAGATGAAGGGGATGTTGTCTTTTATAAAAATTAAGTATTTTCGTGTAGTAATAAAATGCATTTTCTATTCTTTGTTTTTTTTAGTCATTCTCAGTTAAACGTTGTACAGACATGTTTTAACTTTTTTTTTTCTGTGGTACAGCTAGCGTTCTTGGTTCTATGCACAACAACTTTATATCAATGATCATAAAATTAGTCCATAACATGTATGCTATGACTTGTGGCGAGAGTACATTTAAAATCTACTTGCCATAACCAGAATGTATTTGAAAAGGCACAGTTACCATAGTTACATAGCTAATGCGATTACTACTTTCACGTTATATCGTGAGTGCAGTGGCTAAGTAAAAATAGACAAACTCCAAATAGATCATGCTAATAGATTAAAAAAAAATCAAAAAATCTAAATCAAGCTTCGATTGTGTTAAAAGGAAAGAATGGTGTGGTGGGGGAGCCGTGGTTCATTGTCAATATAAAAAATAATAAAAAGAATCACGTTTTATACGCAACCAGCGTAAATGGATGCAATCTCATCTTGTGTTCTCGGAACCATTTTAATTGTCAAATGGGAAAAGAGAGCGTCTGTGTGTCCGACGCATGCCCAGATTTTTTTATAAAAGAAACTTCAAGTAACACGATAGTTTTTTAGCTCATGAAATCAGGTTTTAATGTCCTGTGAAAAAAAAAAGACATGTTCTTTTAATCTAGAATGACCCTTGAATCAAATAAGTGAGTGGAGATGTTTAAGGAGTGAGTCGTTTCCTTAATGAGTATAATGTTTGTTTTGGCCAAAATAAATAACATTGGGTGCTACGGTTGCTGTAATTCACATGTCAAATAATAGGGACACTTTCTTTTTTCTTTATTTGGGCGCTAGAATGGGCCATGTGATAGATTCCGACGATGGGATAGATGTTTAAATGCATCCCTTTCTTCTTACCCCCTCTTTTTCAGTAAACCGAGATTAGCAGAAGTATTGTGTACACGCCGGACCTATCATTATGCGGTACGTACAGTTCCCTTTTCTGTGTTACCAGTCCTTCGACAATCTTTGGCTCAATTGTTCTTATTTTTTTTCGAATTCAATATAGTATTTTGAAACCCCTTCAATTGATTAGGGAAAGAATTCGCGGAAAGACAAATTGTTGTGTACCTGTTTTCTGACAAAAAAAAATTTTTTTTTCGTTACCTTGACGGCGTCTAAATCAAGCAAAAAAAAATTATCATTGGTCAAGATGTGACGGATCAAGAGGTAAAAGAAGAGACAAACAGAAAAGAAAATCAGCAGAAACATGAATCCTCCATCAATTAACCCAGAATTCATGTACTCCAATTAAATAAAATAGATGATTCCCTCTAAGCTTGATCTGGGTGGTTCCTTTGTATTCGTCTCAATTTAATTTATATGGCCGCTCCTCTTTTTTAATTCGATCCTTCTTTTGATTGTCCCCCTGTATAAAAGCACTGCCATCTAAAAAAAGAAGTTGATTTTTTCCTCCCTCCTTTTTCTTTGGTTACATTATTCTTTTCACAAAAAATGGCAACACAAAGAAAGTCTGTTGTTGACCCGGTCAAGCCCAACATTGATGAGGCCATCGAAAGAAATTGGGAAATTCCTACCTTTACTATCAAGGAAATTCGTGATGCTATCCCTGCTCACTGTTTCCGTCGTGATACCTTCAAATCATTCACCTACGTCCTTCACGATGCTGTCTTTGTCAGTGCTTTAGCTCTTATGGCTTCATACATTGATACTATTCCCAACATTTACGCTCGTGTTGCCTTATGGCCTTTATATTGGATCGCTCAAAGTATCGTCGGTTTCGGTGTCTGGATCATTGGTCATGAATGTGGTCACCAAGCTTTCAGTCCTTCAAAGGTATTTATCTTCATTTGTTTATCTTTATTTTGTATGTAGTACTAAATGTTAATTTGTGTGCATTAGGCTATCAACAACGGTGTAGGATTCGTACTTCATACTGCTCTTTTAACTCCTTATCATTCATGGAAATTATCTCACTCTAAGCATCACAAAAGCAACGGACACATGGTTAAAGATCAAGTAAGTTTTTTTTTATTTTATTTTTTGTATGGACATTCGATTTTAATTCGAATTTTCTAGGTTCATATTCCCGCTTTACGTTCAAAGTCTGGTTTGCCTCCCCGCGATCAAGATCCTCAAGCTGATGGACCTCACGATATGTTCCATGAAAGTCCTATTATGACTCTCTACGGTTTGTTTGAAATGTTAGTATTTGGATGGCCTGCCTATCTTATCAAGCACACTACCGGTCAAGAATATCCCGGTGGAGCTAGTCATTTCAATCCTAACTGTGGTATTTTCGAAGCAAGTCAATATTGGGATGTTGTTTCTTCAGTGATCGGTATTGGTGCCATGATCAGTCTTTTAGCTTATTGTGGACAAGTTTTCGGTTCTATTGCTGTTATCAAGTACTACGTTATTCCTTACTTGGGTGTTAACTTTTGGCTTGTCTTGATCACTTACTTGCAACACACTGACCCTAAAGTCCCCCATTACCGTGACAACGTTTGGAACTTCCAACGTGGTGCTGCTCTTACTGTCGATCGTTCTTTCGGTTTCCTTATCAACCATTTCCATCATCATATCGCCGATACTCATGTCGCTCATCATTTCTTCTCAACTATGCCTCATTATCATGCTGAGGAAGCAACTGTTCATATTAAGAAGGCTCTTGGTAAGCACTATCAAAGCGATGATACCCCTATTGCTATTGCATTATGGAACTGTTGGAAGGCTTGTCGTTTCGTCGAAGATGATGGTGATGTTGTCTTTTACAAGAATTAGATTATCTTTTTTATAAAAAGGGGATGTGGGCCACCCCTTACCAAAAGGCCCTATTGTAATATTATCATTTAGCTTTCATTTTACTTCGTATCAATCCTCTTTTTTTTACCTATAAAAAGCATTCATTTTTTTAAACATCCACAAACTGTGTTACACAATCTAAAAAGTCTTGTCTGATCTTGTAAAGCAAAGCTTCTCCCCATTTGTTGATTTTTTTTTTTTTTTTTTTTTAAAAAAAAAAAAGGTTATTTCCTACCAATAAACTTTGATGGCCGCAAGTCGCTGAGTGGCAAAAAGTATATATTTAATTTCACCGCTAAAAGTATAGTCTGTTTTCAAGGAGATGGATCATCATATGCAATAGCTGTTATAGATATGCTGGTATTTTATAATAGTGAGATTTGTAGTTTAGGTATTGTTGACATTAATCTATCGATCAATGTGACCTAACGATGTAATATATACATATACAGTATATGAACCTTAATTCGGTCTTTGACGTCTACTAAATAACTTGGCGTGCTTGAATACTGGAGGTGGAACACATCCTTTTGAATTTTGATCATTTTAATTTGATCGCACTGCAAATTCCCGCTTTGATAATTACAGAGCTGATTATTTCCTTTGAGCTTGAATGTTACCAGTCAGATTATTACTTAGTAGGCGTATTATAGCATGTAAGATATTATTATAGTTGGCCTCGATACAGATCGTATCCACGAAAATCTAATAAAGGTTTCTTTTGCTTACATAATATAATGAAGCTTGGACAATTCTTGACGCACCTACGTCATATTTTACTCACTGTATTCAGCTGTGCTTAGACCGTAAATATCAGGGACTACACTGTGGGAGTCTTGGAAAAACCTTTTGCAGACTGTAAGAGAATCAAAATTCTTGCCACCCTTAAGGTTTCATTAGTTTCATATTACCTATATATGTATTTAATGAAAAAAAAAGTTTATCGTTTGATTTTTAGCCCAGGATCGCACAATGTTATTTGGTGTGGAAAAAGAGTCCTTCGGAGACCATTATTCCTATTGGACTTTTATCGAGAACTCAATGATCAAGTCCATGATAACACAACACAACTGGCGAACCGTAACTTCAAGCAACTACTGTATGACGTTCTTAATACCGTAAGTTGAATCAGAACATGCTAAGAACAACACAAATATTAAATGACGCCACAACCTACCACTTGTAGTTCGGAACGTCGTGATGGAAACCGCAAGTGTGTTTAATAAACTACCAAATTGGGGGAATCAAGTATAAAGGTCCATACAATGGGCAAAGAAGACTGGGATTATAAGGTGGCAAGTTCCAAGATTGTCATATTATAGCTGATCTAGTCGCACAAAAAAAAGATTATATGCATTTTAAATATCTTGTAAGTTGTATTAACACTCAAGTATTCTTTATGTAAGAAAATAACCACTTCTGTAGTTCTGATCTCTAAAATGGCGTGTTATCCACATTATCATCATCCAAAAGTTGCTTGCACTTCTTTATAATTGATCCTTTATTGCAAGGATGCAACCAGTACATAAAAAATCGAAAGTTCAATGTCACTTTCTATCCAGGTGTCGGACCGATACCACTGTTCATGCAGAAGTGGAATAAATGGATCAAGCCCGCAAGAAAATTTAAACCAACAATACCTAAAAGGTCGAAGCGTGTGAAGAAGGATGCTGCGTAAGAGCAACGTGATATATATTTTTTTCTCGCATAAATGGCCACGTAGTACGGCTGCATCCCAAAACTCAATTGCCGAACATCAAGACAACTGACACAGGAGAAGTTGAATTAAAAGCTATGACTGTACAGCTGACGAACTTAGGTATCACCGATAAGCGGGCTCAAATACAATGCAGATGGCATTATCCTGTTAAACAACATTCGTACCGAAGAATTGTTGTCCGAGGTATCATCAGGATTTGCAGAAAACAACAAGGCTAAAGCTTCTTTCGACCATCACAAGGCTATGTTTGGCCTCTTGATGATGTTAAAAACATTTGCCAAAAGTATAAATATTTTAGCTTTGATACTTTTAAGTAATTGAAGGTTCACTTCATCCACATCTATAGTAAGTAAAATTGTCATCTTTCCTAAAACTCCTTCGTGAATAGACCAAGCAATATGCCATTGGACAACGCCTACACCTTCCGCTGGTCTTTATTTGATGAATAAGGAACAAAAGGTCGAAATACTGGAAAATTTTGAGGAGAAATTAGTAGTTGTAATGCTGTTGATCACCTTTTCCTTTAGTTTGGGGGTATATATACATCTTTATTTTTTATAGGAAAACATGTTTAGGAAACGACTAATTCAAAAATCACACCAGGCATCGTTGGAGGAGACTTTGAAACCATCACAATGTTGACGAAAGAGCACGATCAGATGTTACGAGAAATCACTTGCGAAGGTAGTACCTCTCCTGCCTCTCTACTTGACTTGGTTAATCCCGTTCTTATTCGGTTGAATGAAAAAAAAAACACAAGGAGAAAGTCGGCGAAGATGGCCCACAAATCCCAATTTCTTAAAATTATTTTATTATAAATTGACTGTGTTACGTGTAATAAGTTACATATACTGATCATTACTGATGCGCTCATATGTTATAGAGTGCAATACGATATACATTGGTCAGACCGAGATAAGAAAAAATTTAACAGCGTTGCTAGAATTCATACCATGTTCTTTTGCGAAATAGGTATAGCGCTTATTAGTTTTTATTTTAAATATATAAATCGGACGAGGGAGTGAAGATGTTCAGCGAGTATGTTATGAGTTTGTCAATTTTATTGTTTTATGGGCGTAAATGAAATAAACATTCAAGTGCTTAATAATGAATTAAAGCTAGCATATTTTTATTCTCTGACAATTGTTCTTAGCATCATCAAGAGGCTAAAGAAGTTTCGGCCTTGTTATTCCAACAAATGTTAACCGTAGAAAATTATAATTCGGCTGTGTTTCAGTTACAGTTATTGATGGGCGATTAAGACTTACTTGACATAAAGTTGTTTTTACTGAACGCTAATACATATTCAGATTGAGACACAACTAGACACATTCATCTAACACAAAGCATTATTCGTTATTTAAGGCAGAGTAAAAAGGCATGATGACGAATTCCCTCTCCCAGCTGGGGATAGTTACAATAGACATCAAGCAGCCAATAAATTTTTTCCTACTAGGGGAAGGGTTAATGTGTATAGAGCCATTGTGTTTCCTTTACTAGCTTTGTTACCTTGATTGAAAATTGTAAGTCGATAAAAAAGATAAAATGTCATCCACAATATTACGTAATCATTTCAGTTTTTAAGTCCGTCAAGATTTGTCAATTAAAGTTTTTTTTTTTTCTTTCTCTTCTTCTACCTAACATTGTGATCGCAAATGGACAAAACAAATAAACAAGGTTTTACTTGGTCAAAAGAACACGAAGAAGCGATTTTGGAAGCTGTTGCCAGAGAAGTGGAAATATTCAATGAGATGGACAGAGAAAACATGAAGTGGTTTGCTGAATGTGCAACAATTAGGTACGACACCCATAGCTCAAAAATGATTGTAATATTCACATTTGCTTCTGTAGCCAAATATTAGCTTGGGGCGAAAAACACCAAATACTTGAAAAATATGCGGAAGCCGAAAGAGACCAACACATTTCAGAATTTAGTGAATCAAAATCAACAACAAAAACTGAAATGTGTAGAAAAAATTACGGGATAACACCAGAAGATTTCGTCGAAAAAATTGTTCCAGAGGAAATCTCGTCTAATAAGCCAGTATTCCAAGAAGACAGTGGAACAGAAACAGGTGAGTTCATTGGAGCTGTATCGTCAAATGAAATTCGAGATATCGCGGAAGAAAGAGAGATACAGCTGGCCCCGGAATTTGATAGCATTCTCAATTACGATCCCAAAGAAGCTGGGGATATTGGAGATACGAAAGAGCTGGTAAACGATGTAAACACACAATCAGAATTACAGGGTAGCTCAATTGAACTAGAACAGGTTGTCAAAAGAGAAATGGACGATGAAATCTTACTCTTTGTCTCTAGCCGTAAATCAGGAGAGCATGCCGTCAAAAGTCCTATCAAAAGAGGACCAGAGAAAGTTATAACTAAAGATTTTATCCAAACGAGCCTTAACAATTCATTAACAAATATAAACCCCATAAGCTCAGAAAAGACAAACACACTACCGAATCCCATAACAAAAAAACAACAGCACGCCAACACAAGTCCCATCCAATACAATGATAAGAGTCCATCTCGGCCTCTAATTAATGTAAAATCAGACAATGAAAATATACCCATAAACGAATCGAAAATTACCCAAAGTAACGCGCCTCCCCTCAAACCTGTCATCACTATGGACATACAACACAAGAGTATCACTTCTCTCGAAACTACAGCTATATATGAACCCGTTGTAAACAATTCAATAAGGATGACTCCCACCACCTCCAATTATGCAAAGACAATGAAAACTAACGACAAGACCGATCCAGATGATATAAGCGTTTCTAAGAACTTGAAACCAAATGCTAGTGTATCCGAGCATGCATCTTATGATACTAGTAATAAGAGACCTTTTAACTCCTTAGTTGAAGTAAAATCGACGATTGAAGTTAGCGAGGTTATGCCACAGAAGCCATTTAGAAAAAAACTCCGGCTCGCCAATCCACAAAAGGTATGCAGAGTATAAGGTGCTAAATTATTTACTGATTTTTCTTATAAAAAAAGACACCCGTACAAGAGCATAAAGAAGTAGAGTCTGTAGAGGTAAAACCTGAAACCGAGATAGTGCCAGAAAAACCAAAATCGAGAATTCCGTCATGGGCAACAGAACCAGAATTATCCCAACATATAAAAAATCAAGAGTCTATGGACCCAGATATGATATTTGGACCATGCGCCCCAGTGAATATTTATGGTACGTCTTCAAGACTAGGAAAGTGTTCCAAATTTTAACTCACTTTCTATAGAAATATTTAAATGATCTGTTCTTTGAAATAAACGGCTGCTTTTTATTCACCAAACGACATCGAAGGAGCACTTCACTCCAAAACTATCGCTATTTTAGACGCCAATTCGCTTCCTTCTTCTCTTATCCAAGTATGATTTCCAATCTTGAGTTTTTTTGGGGCAACAAGCCAATTTATGTAAACTATAGAATAGTACCGCCGCTCAATCTTGCTGAATAATCCGTTTACAAATTTCTGTATCAGGATTATGAAAAGTTTACAAGACTTCTTCCGTATGAAAAAACAAAACGTCATCGAAAAGTCATTTTTTTTTATTGATTAGTACTCCTAGTCCATTGATATATTTTATCTTTGGTCACTTTATTCGTGTCTATTGACCGGCGTTTATTAGAACCGAGCAGGTTATAACTCTAGAGAAAATTTTATCCCCAATCAAATATCTTACAATCCACCATAATTATGGAAAGCAATTTTAGTATGTTATGTTTGTACCAAAAATAAAAGGGAGGTATGGAATTGCGTCATTAGATTAATGTGTATAAAGAGAGGCATTATCGTGATTGCCAGATAGAGAAAGCAATAATCGTTAAATTTATTAGACACACATGTTTAAATTATATTATTTCCAGATTTTATTGATAAAAAGTTGCTTTGCAATCAAATTTATAAATTAATTAGAAAAATATGTGAATAGATATTAAAATTAAAGTGATTTTGAAATCGTAGTAGATAAAGCGAGATATTAAAATGTGCTTTGAGTGCATTATTAACAGTTCTTACAACACTTATCGATGTAAGTTGCATCTAAATCATTACCCCACCAGGAGGGAAATTCGATGACTTTACCACCGGCAGCACCATAAAAGACAACAGAAACAAAGAAAGCCATGAGCGATGCTCCGGAATCTAAGGCAGCAGACATCAAGAAGTTATGCTTGGCGAACCATTCACTGTAACGACGCTTGATATAAACTTGAGAGATTATGACGACAATGAAACTAGTGTTAAGCCAAGAGGTGCTACTACCAGGAGTAATAGTCATACCGGTGATAAACATAGGAACACTGAAGTATTGGAAGCCAACATTAGGGAACTTCTTGTGGAGATACCATCCAGGGATTGGAAGGAAAAATCCAATAATAAAAGCCCAAAGGAAAAGATAGTATTTTGTACCAGGACCAAACATAGCCATGGGACCAATAGCACCCCAGGTAATAGCAGCAGCGTTAATGGTTTGGAAACTGTTACCATTCCAGAACTGATTACCGGTGGCGCTGAGAAGGATCTCACGTTCATTTTTAACAACAGAGGCATTGACAATATAATTGAAAACACAACCAACAATTGTACCAACCATTTGATGAAGGAAAGTCATCTTAGGAGGAACCTTGATGTAATGACTAATTTTTAAATCTCTTGCCATCAAACCGGCTTGATGCATAGTGTTGTAACCAATGGTCTTGAAGTACATATTAGCAATGGGGTAACCGGGTAATACAAAACCACAAATCATCTCTGTGAATACGTTCAAGCCAAAACCGTAACCAGTCATAGCAGTAATCATGTTCAATGGTAAAGAGAGAATAGAAGAAGTGGCAATGGCCAAAATGAAACCCCACCAAGGAAGTTGAGAATGATTAGCATAACCAACACCAATATTAAGTCCAATACCGATAACAAAAACTAAGTAATACCACCAGCTGGGAACCTAATCAAAATTTTAAGAATTAGTATTTGTATATCATTAATAACGTATCTTTGTTTGATTTACCTCAGGATAGGCCTGCATTAACTTCATGTGGATGTCAATATCACCAGTGCTAATCTTTCTCTTAAGATGACGGAAACCAGACCAAATTTCTTTGCCGTGGAAGAGAGCAACGTGGGTCATACTGGCAGTAATAGCCATATTCATGTAGACGTACAACAAAGCATTAGAAGTACTGTAGTTGGGGTTACCAACCTCTGCAAAAAGGGTCTTGTTAAGACTGTTATCGGGATTCAATACAGTAGTCTGAGGATAGGGAATATAGGTGCCGTTTTCGATTTTGAAGAGCTTACTGGAGATGAAAGGAAGACTTCTGGCATCCCAGACATCATAATAGTATGTAAGAGGAATAAGGATCCAAAGAAGCAGAACACCAGCAAATACGTTTAACTGAATCCAAAGGGGAATAACGAGGGGAGCCATGTTGGACATTTGACTCCAATCGAATGTAAATTGTAAAATACCCAATCCTTCGTTAGGATTGATTCCACCAAAGAGACGTTGGACCCAAACACTATCGTTTTTAGCAATACAAACAATAGATACACCACCGAGAAGAGGGAACATGTATTGTGGAAGGAATTCATAAATAAAGATACCACCGAAAATAATGAAGAAAAATCTCGTACGCCATTTAGCTTCGGCAGCGTCAGTGTTGAAAGTCTTAAGCAAAGATACAACAGGTAAAGAAAGGGGCCAAGTCATATTTGCAGGGTATACAAGATAGGGTCTAAGCTGACCAGCAATACCGTAACCAACAATCTGGGTAGCAAACAACAAGAAGATACCACCTGCAACAGAAGGAGAGTCCGTATAGAAAAGTTCTTGAGCAGTAAGAATGTAAGTACCATAGGCGGAAACGTTAGCTGATGCAACCACAATATAAATACAGGTATGCTCCTTAATAGTGAAGGGTCCAGGATTTAACCAACCTCCTTTGGGAAGGTATCTAGCCCAAAGAGTACAAATAACATAACCAAGAATCAACAGAAATGTATCAGACAAACCAGCACCAACAGGCTTGAAAAGCATAAGTTGTTGAACTGAAGAACTTAAAGCTGCAAGTAACTATTATATTAAGGCGCGATGTTAGACATAACTACAAATTTGGTGTCAAATAACTTTTTATGGTACTTACGATAGCAACAAACATTGCTCTGAAAGTAAGAACTCTCATATTAACATCATCTTCGGTTACAGTAACTTCGTTGATGATAGCCATGTCTAAGTCTTCGTGGTCGACAAGGTAATCATTAAATTGATGTTCATGATCATTTTTACGGTCCTTGGCATTTGATAGAACAGATTCTTGGTATTCGTCGCCGTGCTTTTCATCAAGATCGTAGCCATGAGTCTTTTCTGATTCATCAGTAACAATTTTTTCAGAGAGGACGTATTCGCCTCTTTTATTATCTTCTTCTCCTGCCATTTTGTATTTACTAGTTCTTTTCAAAAGAAAAAATTAAACGTAAATTGTTAAAAAGAAGGGAGTGGGAAGATGAAATCAAAAGAAAAAGAAATATGAAGGTAATAGTTTTGAATAAAAAAAAGAAAAATACAGGCGGGAAAAATTAGCTCTTTATATAACGCGAATTTGGAAACCAAACAAGACCACAGTATCTGTTTTTATTTGGTGGTGTTATCTGTCTGTAGTTCTGTGAGTAACCACAGTTAAACCACAGATACTATCACGGACCAACAGTTATCTATTTGTACTCTGTAATTTAATATTCCCATCGCTTACAAGAAACAAAATAAAAAGTCTGGTGGTACATAGCGGCAAAAATAGCTATTTGCGAGGTGTGTTATATTGGTCTAATGGCGTACAATACATGTTACCGACTGGCTACCTGTCTAATTTTATCTCAGATAAAATTCTATAATAGGCAGAACATGCCCGGTAAGGTAATGCCGTCGAAAATTAAGCACATGCTTCACCGCAAATTTTTTTTCCGGTCCAAGTATAATTTGGACCGCGAAAAAATTAGACCAGAGGTCGAGGTACATAATTTTGTACCTGAACCAGCGGTCGCGGTAATTATTTTGTACCTCGACCAGCGGTCGCGGTAATTAATTTGTACCTGAACTAGCGGTCGCGGTCCATGTACGCATGAAAACCGACCGCTACTTCCAGTTTCTAACGAATGAAAACATCATAACCTTATTATTTAACGAGATGGTATTGGAGGATATTCTTTAAATGTATATTAAACTAGGGCTATTGACCCTTGCAATATTAAATGGGTTTTACAAAAAATAACATTGGAAATAATAGAATATGAGGGGCAAAAATAATGTTTATATTGGTTTTTATTTTATAACGAAATAATTTATGAATGGTTTATACACGTATAAAAACTACGAAACGCCTGTTTAAATGGATACTGTGTAGTGTAAGGATGACAACAAACAGATACCATACATAATATAGTGTTGGTTGTCCTGGTTGCATACGGAGACTACCAGATGCAGAAGTGATAACAAGCTAGATATATGACTTACCTTTGATAAAGCTAGATTGAACTAAGAAAGATACAGTTAGAAAATATAAGCAAGGCTTTCAATTTTTTTAATACTCACATTGTAGTTGACAATCACATGAAGTACCCTTTGCTGAGCTGTAAACAACTATAAAATAGAGTTAAAATATATAAACACGGTTTTCAGTATTTTAAAAAAGGCTTACTCGCTTTAGATGACAATCATGTATTTAGAGTGGACAGCAACCATGTACGCGAAAGAATGCAGTGGTAAGTTAAGCCATAAAAGCCAGTACGATATATAACAATATATCTAATAGTTTTTCAGTTAGTTATATGAGGATGTGATGTTTTGAGGTACTTACTATAATTTTTGAAAAAAAAAAAAATTTTAGAAAAAGAAAGAAAAGAAAAAAAAAAAAAAAAAAAAAAAAGAAACAAGATTATTAACAAAAAAAAATTAAAACCCAATGCGGATTAGGGCTTAGTTTTGCTACGAGAGCGTCCTTCTATTATCAACTCACCCCTTGCCCGTTTGGTTGCTGCCTTTTTTGCGGCCCTTTTTTCAGCTCTTTGGTCAATCTTTGAAGACGAAGTAGATGGCTCAGGGGGTGGAGGTGAAGAAGCAGGTGACAAGCAGACAGATGCAGACAGGCGAGGAGATGGAGAGGGAGAGGGGTGGGGAGATTGGACAGAATCCGTACCAGGCACAGAGAAACTCTCCATCAGCTTCACCACATACCCTACATGATCCGAAGAATGGGGTAAGCTACTAATTACTTAATCCTTATTCGATCATATACTAACCAACTTCTATAGTCCATTGCGGTGTTATTCTGCTAAGTCCCTTGAACGGTCGATTGGTACATACAAAAAACGTATCCGGTCTTCTCTTCATCCTGGTATTAATGCTGGCAACATTATGGAAACCAAGGAAATATTTAAATTCTTCAATGCATCCGGTATTTTTGACTTCTCTGCGTTAACGGCATCCCCTGACAGCAACGAGAAGAACTTCGAGCAGCATCCTCAAGATGCCACCTATCCTCAACTCTGGTCCCCTTTTGATGATTCTTTTACTAAGGTTGGTGTGCTCTTGCAGGGTTCTTCGGATGTCCTCATTTGTGGTCTGTATTGCACAATCCCTTGGTGTCGTGCGTTGATGGGTTGTATGACAAGGCTGACTGGCATGAGGCAACGAGTTGTATTGCCGTTTCATCAACAACAACACCTTCGAATTTCGACAAGGTTATTCCATGAAAATCAAGTCTACATTTCGGAGTTGTACAAGAAGAAGAATAGGTCATGCTCTCGTGGTGGTGAATTCGTCATGTTCGAAGCGATACATAAGAACAAGTAAGTATATGTTTTTGCTATCGCCGTATTGCATTTATTGACACTCTTCAAATTTAGTCTATTCGTGCCAGTTAAAAACTGGTTCGTTTGTAAGATTCTGTTCTTTTTCCGTTTCCAATTCTCCGCCAATGAACCAGGGTCCCATTATGTGCATGGTGAATTGGCAAAAACACATGGCGTGTCTCCTATCTCAAAGTCTATCCCACGGATTCAGCTCTTTGGTTATAGCGAGCAAAAATTCGTTGTATTTGACGCCAGGGATATTGTATCTTCTGTTGGATTGCTGAATTCCTCAGACAATTCAGCATACAAGTATGTCATCAAAACTGGTGATGCGTTTGCGAAAGACATGTCAAGTTCTGCCGGAAAGATTGGGACTCTGGAGTAAAGAGCTATTTTTTTTTTCTTTTTTTTTTTGAATGTAGTAAAGGCTTTTCAACATCCGAAAAAAAAATTATCGCTTCATTGTGTCACACAAAATAACAGTATTTTCTTCAAACATCATCTTTGCCATCACCAAGGAACATATTTATCATTTTTTTTTCATAACACAACTTCCAATATAACATATTATCTTTATATAACAATTTTTTACAATTTTTATGTCATTTGCGTTTTTTTGATTTTGCGGTCCAAGTCTAAATGTTACTTGGACCTCTGGTAGAGGTAATTAGCTAAAATTGGACCGCAACCTCCGGTCCCGGTCTAAATTGTAAATTTACCACGACTAAGTTTTACGGTGCTTTTAGTATTACTCTCAAAATACATCAAATGAATTAGAGGCACTTATCACCTTGAAATACTGTAACTGTTTTCATGAGAAAATTTAATAGAAAGAATTCTGGACTATTGATTATTTATATCAAAAACATTGAATGTGTTGTTATACTGTGAGAAAAGAAAAGAAGAATGATAAAAGACCGAGAAATTGAAAAAGCGGAAAATCGCATTTTGCATTTAAGGCGGTGCCAATAATTATATACAGCTGTATATACGTATGTTATGTTAAACATCGACTTAAAATCATGGGATAGAACAAAATTACATGACCCGATAATTTATGGGAAAGCATTGCTACAAACCGTGGCTTAATCAACAAGAACCATGGAGAAGTTGAAGGTTTGCCAGCCAGCATGAATGGTAAAATCGAAGTTTAATAGTTCAATTAGACTCAACTGAACTATATGAAACAACAATCAACTAAGAATTGTTGACAAATTAAACATTAAATATGTAAGACAAAAACAGAAGACAGTAGAAAGTGGGATAACTATAGTAGCCGTTACCGATATGAAAGCTGACACCTACTTATATACTGTCTAAAATATCAAGAACTTGATATAAGCAATTAGTGATCGTCAATGCTAAGTGACTAAGGTAACAGGTTTCTGTTTGGGATCCTTCAGTTAAACTACGATAACGGAAATTGATCTAAACTTAATTGGTGTCGAAGAGGGCAGTTAAATGTCATTTACAGTGCCACCAAAACTTAAATAGATATATAGAATATTTGTTCTTTCGTAGAAAACTCCAGCTGTACTGCGAATCTACCACTCTTATGCGTACGATAATTAGGCCATAGACGTAGAAATCCTCATTGATCCAAAAGTGGTGTTTTCTTAAAGCTTTGGGAATTCCTTCCTGGTCTGTATCACAAAAACTACCACGGACCAACAAGCTATCAGTTTGTGTACCATACGTCGGTACGTCTATCATTCTGGTAGCGCGTATTAACAAAAAAGGAGATTAATGAAATGCTTTTTATTGGTTTTATGAAATACACAGCATAACATACATTATGATACTGGTTACTTCACTCTCAGATGCGTCCCTAAAAAGGGAGATATATGCCAAGTAAGGCAACCTTTTGAAATTAAGCGTTTACCTTCCATCTCTGAAAAACAAATTCAATATAAAGACGCTTTTCGTCATATGTCTTACTAATTGCTAAATAATTTTTATTTGTCTTCTGACTCTAACAAGCATTTCTTTTTTTCAAATCCTACAGGCTCTTCCTTAATAGTGTTTGGCTCTTTCGAAAAGGCTAATACTTTATAGATTCTGCCCATCAACTCTGGATCCATCAGTCTTTCAGCGCCATCCAGTAACGTCTTTCTTGCTGCAGAAGATTTTGCGTTTTTAAACAACTGTTCGATTCTAGCTTGGATACCTAAAGACTGTAAGAAATCCTTTTGCGTAATTGGACCATAAGCGGATACACCTTTTTTTTTTTAAAAAAAAAAATGACATGTGTTTATTAAATTGTTTTTTCTTGGGTAACTGTATTTTTTTGGGTTATTGCCTTTATTAGCCCTTTGTGACATACCTGATCCTTGCAAAATTGCTTGTTTTAAAAACGAAAAATCAACATCCGCACTCAAATCTGCGCTGCCGGGATCACACATAGGATGAATAATTTTATGGTCCTTAATAGCCTATAGTGATGTTAGTCAAACTTATACTATAAAAGTATTTTCATGCCATTAAGAGACGATATTACCCTTAACGTATCACCCTGTATATAATCTTGCCCGTAGTCGATAGCCAACCCAGACCCACCGTTACGATCGAGATATTGCGCAATTTTTTCCATAACACCCCAGCAATCGGGTGAGATATCTACACGATCCCCATCTTTGAAATCAACCTCAAATTTTTTATCGCTCAGATAGGACTTTGTCATGGCTGTGGGATTGGGTGATTTAACAATTCGAAAATTGTGCTCACTATATAATTATGTCAATATTTAGAAAGAAAGACTATTTTCAAAATGCAGATCAACGTTACCTTTCCTCTGTATCATCCATATCTACCATCATTTCACGCCATTCGGATCCAGTTTTCTAAAGAAAGATTTTTTTTGTAAATATAACTTCCTATACAACGGGAGAAGAACGTACTTCGAAACTATGGATAGGCAAGGCATCAAAAAATTCATGTGCCATGACAAAGGACCATTGATCTAGTAAGCTTTAAGTAAGCGTAATCCAGGCAGTTTGTACTACATCATTACCTGGGACAACCTCAATACCATCATGCCATGATACTCTTACACCGTCTTGTCGTGTGATAGTTTCAATTGGTGCTTCGTGTTCATTTCCTTCGATTCTAGTAACATCTTTATCCCCAGAGCCCTTTACAAGAGCTGCCCTTTGCATTTTACGAAGACCTGGACTAGCTTCAACTAAATGCACATCGGTGATAGTCTTGTAGAAATGAGGAAATTGCGATAAGGTCTGAAAAAAATGCCCTTTCTAGTTTAGTCCTGTGTCCCCATTTTTGCACGGCTCTATGTAATTTAGTCTTACCCGCAACATGTCACTCATCAAAGTTCCTCTACCAGGTCCGAATTCGATAAGTTGTGTCTTTTCTGGTCGACCTAACCTCATCCATTCAGTGAGATACCAAATACCACATAACTATAGATAAATAACGATTTTAGACTTTTGTGATCAATGTCACAAACGCGTTCCATTTGTACCTCGCCAAAGACTTGACTGATCTCGGGCGATGTGACGAAATCGCCTTGTTTTCCAAATACATCGCCTTCCATGTAGTACCCCTTTAAAGGATTCACCAAAACTTCTCGCATAAAATGAGAAAGACTTAATGGTCCTGTCACCTGAAAATCAAACAAATGTCATGAGCGATTACAATTTTAAAACACTATTTTTGGTGTACCTTGACAGAATCGCGCAAATGTTTTGCTAAAGGTGTTAACGGCTCTTTTTTAGGTTGGGTGTAACATGACTGGTAGTTTCGCTGCTATAAAATCGAATAAATCGGGAAGCGGTTGTGGGTCTTAATATACGCAACATGTAAAAATGATAATAAAAATATACGAGGGGGGCCGTGGACATGGAATGCTCACGTTTAATTTGTTAATATTTAGATGTCCGTCTATTTATAAAGTTGTACATGTCTAAACTCAATTTCAGGCCATTTGCATGATTAATTAGTTTTTCAGTGTATACTGCCTGTGTCAAACTGACATTTAAAAATGACAAATATATACCTTTTGTTAAACTGCATAAACACGAGCCGCGCTTCTTGTTTTCTCCCTAGCATTTTACTGATATTCTGACATGTCATTTTTTAAGCAGTCCATGTGGAGTGTTTAAAATGCAGAGTTTTAAATTTACACTTAGATTCTCTAATTGTGCATGCAATTCTATAATCCCAACAAGTTTAATATTCAAGTATTGTTTGGTAAGTCTGTATAAAATAAAACATCAGAATAAGGAATGTAAGAGGCCATCATCGAAAACGTACCACAAAGTAACAAAGGGAAAGTGTCTTCCAAAAATAATTTATATATCTCTCATTTTTTTTGCTTGTAAAATAAACGAGACTTCTACAGCTGCTCAAAATGTCGTTCCAGACGGTATGTGGCCTTTGTTACTGTCAGTAAAGCTGCTATTGTCAACGTCTTCGGGTCCACCAGGGTTGTCTGCTAAATCGACGCTATCATCGTCCTCGTTATACAAATTACCTCTCTCAAACAGCTATTTATCGTTCTGTCAAACGATATTTAGTGCAAAATTTCGACAACAAATGTTTTAACGCAAATTTATAAAACCGAATTAACAAATAACCGGAAAGATTAGTAAAAAATATGGCCATAGAGACACAATAAATAAAGGTTAACAACCCCCACTCCCTCGTCTATTACTTTAGAAAAATAATGCGACCCAATAATATCGCATTGATACAAATCCGTTAAATAAGAAAAGCTTATTATGACTGTAATGATTTTCAAAAGGAGCCAAACTATATCTATATCAGACAATAGCTGCCAGTACACGCAATAGACCAGAAGTATTTGGACCGTTTTGTTTGATGATTTAGTAGATGTCATTACAGATAGAACAAGTTTTTTTTCGGTTTAATAAATGGCACAATCAATAATTCTATCGGATCCCTCCTCGCGACAGACTCTTACTGCATAGGTGGTAGCAACGAAAGCTAAAACTACGAGGATGGTACTCTTGAGCATTGTGTTTGAAATGTTAATAAAAATATATTAGAATACTCAATTCAAACAGGAAGAAAAAGCTTTCTTTTATACAATTGTATGTGTGAGTTTTACTGGTAGATGTAACGTTGTAATCATAAACACTTGATGCCAAGCGAACAAATTTAACTCTACTTGGGGATGATTGAGAAGGTTTGATTTGTTTTTGTAAAACTAAATACTGTGATACATGAAATTAGGAACCAATTGGATGTTATGTGGGAGCAATGGCAAAGAATTTATATTGTTCGTGATAGCTATAAAATCATTACAATAAGGGTGATTATATCTATTTTAGGTAGTAAAAAGATTTTTTTTCAAGCATAAAAGGTTATTTATCTATCATTTTTAATGTTGACTTAACCGAGGGGTACACAGCTCTACCTTTTAATGAACTTCCAATCTATAAAAGAAATATTTCTTCTCAATACAAACCATGTGTATATATGTAGGTAAAGCCAATGAATACAGTGTTGTATCCAAAAAAATGACTGGTCAGCTTTCATTCAATGCAATATAATGATAAACTGACAATCCGGAGCTGATTTTTACAATAATGGCGATTTAATTAGGTAAATATAACCCGTTATTTTTATGTAAGGTATTACTCATGGGTGTCCAAAAGGCTACAACTTTCTTTTAAATTGAAAAATATAAAGTACATCAAATGGATCTTGACCAAAAGTATGATTGTTTGTCTCAATTTTCTTTTAAAGACAACGGTTACTTGTTTAGATAATATTCGATAACAATAAAAACTTATTGCAATCAATAATAAGAGGGTTATTAATGAAATGCGAATTGGCACATATTTGAATACAGAAGCTTTTATTTGGTGACCAACAAAGTAACTATTTACCCTTTAATCTCAGTACTGTCGTACTAATACTCAATAACACAACGGCATTTAGATTATCAAAGAAACAGTTGTGTCTGCATTTAATACAGCTGGATAACACACATTGCTCATCATGGAATGAAGATAAAGGAGATAATAAACTCTACTGGTTTATGTGGTATACTTAATAATTTTTGATATTATTTTACTCTGCTATCTATAAAACACCTCAAAATGTATACAATAATATTATGCAGAAAACGCGATAAGTTTTGCATTATACCTAGTAGATAAATGAATACAAGGATTACATTGTTACACTCTCTCTTCAAATAGAGTTTGTGGGTTACTATGTGATGTGTACAAAAAATACATAGAGGATTTTATGACAGAATATAACAGTAGACGTGATGAAACCAAAATTTAAATTTATGGTACATGTTTTACATATACATAGCAGGTAGAGCACGACATGATCGTGCGAAACGGTACTTATTTTTATAATAAAAGCTTTATGGATCTGAGAGTGTTCTGTTTATCAACTGATCCCTTTCTTAATTGAACTTTGTTCCAATTCTGTAACTATTTGATATAATAAATAAGAATTAAAAAGTCAATGCAAGAGAGGCACTCTTTAGGGTAAGAGGAAATCAACTAATATTAAAGGAAACATTTCCAAACACTAAGTCAAAGCTCCATACTTAAGTTGTTTTCCAGGTTTTTGAAATATGTGATTTAGTATCAATATAATTATAGTAGTTGCTCGATTTAAGGGCGACCGAAAATATTGGAAATTACACTCTTAAATCGAAAAAAAAAACCATTATATCCAGCAACTTTAAATAGAGCGGCTACTGTAATATAAAGTAGCAAGGTTAATCACTTATCTCTTGAGGTTTTGATTCTTAAGTATCTTTTCCCTTGATTTTATGTCTTAATCAATATTAATTTAGAAGTCAAAGATATCGAGCCCGGAAGGTAAGAAACCAGGTTGATGTACAAGAAATTCTTACTGTTGAAGGAAGTACTCATATTTTACATTTAATTTTGTTTGGCCTTCAAGAAAATTAGACTACTTGAAACTTAGGTTTACACTGTACGTTCTCAGTAATGGTAGGCGGCTTTGCTAACTGTGTTTTCTTTCCTCGAGTCGAAAAGTCCAAATACGTTGTGTATCTTAAGCGCATTAGGAGAGATACGGATACTTAAATTGCTGTTATTGTTTACTTTCCCAAAATATAATAAAAGAATAGGGCTCTGTAATGCCAAATAATGACAAAAAATTGACTAAAAGACCTATGACCTAGTTCGTCTATATACATATAGACTAATTGAAACAGGGTGTATATATCAAAAGCAAAAATTGCCAATTTATGTTATCTAGAGCAAGATATAATCTTGAGGTAATAATAGAAAAGTCTGAAGCATAAAAAGACCATACTTATGAATGCTCAAACTTTTAATTTCACTGAAGGTAATATTAAGAAACCTTTTATCAAGAGCTACAACATTTAAATCTGTGGTGGTTGGTACTAGTGAGTGTAAAGCCTGTAAGATTTGTAAGATTTTATTTCAGCCACAAACTTGATCACCTGGATCCTAACTTCGTGTGCACATACACCAAGATATGAAGGAACAGAAAATTGCTTGTTTTAGTTAGCCTTATTACCAACCTTATTGTGAAACAGCCCATTTTGTCGATATGTTCTTGAACACATTTTTGTGCAAGATTGCATTTTTGTACAAGTATTCATTTTTGAACAAGGGCACAATTTTGTAAGATATAACTAAATTGCATAAAAAAAATTTGATTTTGCGCAGAAAAAAAGTAAATAACTGATGGGTACATGAAATGTTTGCCTAAAGGCTTTCACTTTACATTCACTACTATTTTATTGTTAGTTCCGTGAGTGAATAAATAATTCTGTTACGCCAGTGACACAATTTTTTTTATTATGTATACTTTTTTGTGTACACGAGAACTTTACCTACTAATTCAAAAATAAAATAAAACATGTTTATTGAAAGATAAATGTCGATTATTATTCACTAAAACAATGGGTATTATGAGCTTCAACCACCTTTGGAAACAATCCAGAAAATATATTCCAAAAGACCTCTCTCCTCACTTTTTCAAACACTTGCAAGGTAGGTGGATCTTTTAATGCAGTCTCACTATCTGTTGTCGTTAATTCCGGTTTCTCCTGAACAAGGGTCACAGGTTCTGCACTTGCAGACGATGTGGTCAAGTCCTCGCACGATTCTGATTTCGACATACTACGAGTCGGATGCCCTAAAAAATTACCATCATCACATGGTCTTGCTGTCTGTAAAAAGTAAGGTATACCAGATTGTACAGATGGCCCAGGAGTTACCGGATTATTTCTGTATTCTCTTACCAAAGGTCTCATGACTTTATCCGTATCACTTCTTGCCTTATATGAAATGTTGACTTGTAAAGGCGCTTGATCAACAATAAATGTGTTATAAATGTCTATAAGCTGTGGTATCTGTTCAGGATTAAAAGGTATATTCAACAACTCTTCGCTTGGGTTAGCCAACGTATCCGATTGTTTTGAGGAGAAACTGTCCGTATCTTCAACTCTGGATTGCACCAATTGCTTCACCAAGCTCAAGTAACGATCATAAAACAGAATATTCTCTACACTAAAATCTTTGACCGCCCAGTTTTTCAGTATATCAATCTGTTCTGGATCATTTAACGCATGATACAGTGACTCTACTGTCAACTCCCAATCATGCCCACCGTTTTTATTTGAACTTTCTAGTGTCGTCGTAGACTGATGATTCTGTCGGTTAAGGTTCACCGGCAGCTTGTCAAGTGACAGTTTTTTCTTGAGAGTTAATATCCATTGATCGCGTCGCCTACGAACCGATACCATACTGTTTTTATCATCGATAGATAATGTCTTGAAGACGGGCATAATGGTTGTAGCAACATGGTTCGTCGTCGTTAAAATGACCAGCCAATTACAAGGACCAAACACACCTCGAACGCCAGCAGGATTTCTTGATGTTGGGTATTCAAAGACAATTTGCCAGACAATACATAGGATGGAGCACGGTATACCAACAGCTACTGTCACCCAAATTTCCATTCGCATACCATGTGCATCCCCATCATTCCGAAGAAGCCAAAAGACAAAGGGTACAATCACCAGAAAGAAAAAGGCCACAATAGCTGAAGTCATATAATTTCCCATGTAGATTTCACAGTGTGAACGACCGTGAGACCAAATAGCAAAAGATTCAGCCAAAGCAATAACACATATGATGACAAGAAGGAAAAAGGAGCAAAGGAATATATGATGCCTTGAACTAAAATTTAATGCTACTTTGTGCCGCATGAACCAATCGTAATCCTTGTCGCTTTTGTGGATGGATGCAGCAGTTGTTTTAAAACTAATTTTTTCACCTCGACTATTATAAGAAGCTGCATTTCGATCATGATAACGTCCTTGTAGTTCATTTACTCGTATCAGTAAATGCAGACGATACGCACGCCAAACAAGAGCATACGTCCAAATGAAAAATCCAACCATGGGTCCCCATAAGAATATATCACAAGAAAAAGCATTGATAAAGACTTGATAGATAAATACAGTTGTAGAGAAAATCAAATAACCGACAGCCCCGAGCACTGAGCCGAATATGTCTCTTTTCTTTAGAGAATACATACGCCACCGTTTTGAAATAGTTTCGTTTGTTACATACATCATATCCGGTGGACGTGATAACCAATTCGCGGACATCAGTCGATAGACGAAATAGATGGTTGTACCCACAATAAATATAAAATTGACTATCGTAATAGCAAAATACACCCGAAGAGAAATGATCTTCCTATAAGCGTCCTCACATGGTATACCTTGTACTCCTTGTTCATGCAATTCGCAATTCGGTAACTGCATAAACGGATATAAAGTGTAGTCTTGTAACATTTTTTTTAGTATGTCATTTTAATTATTAAGTAGATGAAAATAATAAAAAAAAGAAAAAGCCGGATGAATAGGGTTATAAAGGGTGGAAAATATTCATTTTTTTTTTTTTTTTACTGTTTCAGAAGAAAATGAAACCGTAACAAATCAATGGCTGTCAAGTAAACTAATTGTATCCAAAAGTTCAGATTTCATGATAGGGATTTCGATATCCAGTAACCAAAAGTATTCAAGTAAATCTGTGGGTAAAGTAATAATTGGCTCATCTGTATCTTGCTCGACGTACTCCTTGAGTTTCTCTGATAGCTGAATACGCATCTCATCTTTAGATAACTCTTGCATGTTACTGTTATTCTTCCATTTCATTCGACGCTTACGGTCCAGTATAGATAGTTCTTCATCAAATTCTACTTGCCTTTTTTCAATGTCTTTCTTTCGAAACAAACGTTGTTCATTTCTGTATACATCCCATTGCTTTTTAAGCGATTCACATTGATCCAAGCGAAGTTGCGCCAACTTTTCATATTCAGCGTCTAGGAGCATTGTAGATCTTTTTTTTTTTCGGTATGCAAATAAATCATTAACCATCCAACAGTTTTCGGTATGTTATATTTTTACCTATCATCCTAAATTGTAATGATTAATTTGTGACGTGTATGGTTGCTATGGTCTCCCTCAAAAAAAAAAAAGTGGTACCTTTTTTGAAGTCTTTCCTTCAGCTGCCTACAAGCGAAAAAAAGAGAGCATTAACTTTGATGAGATGACACGATGAAAAAAGTCAATATACCAAGTTGCGCTTTAATAGTTTTATTTTGTCTTGTATTTTACTTGTTGTTTTATCATATTCGTCAATCTTTGGTTGAAGCAACATTGTGAGATGAAGGGGGAAAAGTAAATAATAAAAAAGATGAAAAAATGAAAAAAAGGATTATGTAGACCGAGGAATGGATATATTCATTTTTCATTGGTCCATTAATTCTATAGGCATGAAGCCTCTGCCCTCAACACAAAATGCGTGATGGTGTATAAAAATAGATGGGAACTCAAAAGGGCTTTATTGGAATAACAACTGAGGAGTCATTTTAATTAGCCGGGTGAAAGTTTTTTTTTTTTTTCGCTTTTTAACCTGTGCCTGAAAAAAATTGTTTACAGCACATGGACGAAAAAAGATCTGCGGAAAAGCAAATAGTAAAAGAAGGGCTGCGGCGGACTTGATTCATTTTAAACAAAGAGTAATCCCAATCTTTTTTTATTTCCATTTTCCTTTTTTCTTTTTCCTTTTTATTTTTTAGTACTCAATTTTTGAATGGATGTTTATTCCCTGACTCGTAAGAAAAGACCTTCGCACCTTACCCTTGCACAACCCTCCCGTGCACAATCCGATAATGACTCGGCTCTTGATGTTTCATTATCGAAAAACATATCAAAAACCACTTCTCGGTCACCTTCGAGTTACATTTTTGACGAAGTAACCGGTTCACCTTCTAGAGATCACTGGAAGGTTTGCAAAAAAAAAAAAATAAAGAAAAAAAAAATACATGAAGTTTACCTGATTAACATTTACCATTAGCAAGATGCCGATTCCAACCACTGTGGTTTACCAAGCTGTACCACGAGTTTTGGATTATTTGAAAGAAGACATCATTGTCGTAAATGTGGAGATATTTTCTGTGCAATTCATTGTTCAAATTACTTTAGACTTGATCAATTTGCACAATATCATCCAGGAGGCATATTATCCAGAGGATGCGATAGCTGTGCAGCAGATTACATACAATGGCAAGAGGAGCTGCGGCAAATGGGAAAAGAAAATGCATCAAGGAGGACAAGTCTTGCTGATAACAAATCGACACTAAAGAAAAGACATGCTGGTATCATGACTCAACAACCTCAAGCAATGGAAGGTGTAACTGAACTTGGCCGAGATGGTAAATATTTAGTGTTTGTTTTTTCTTGTGATATTTATATTCTTTGTTTACCCGCTTTTTTAAGATATTGTTGCTCCCACATCTAAACCCACTCCATCAAAGGGCTTAACTATCAACAAGCCCAGTAAGAAAGATCAAGGTAATTAAAAAAAAAAACTTCCTTTTTTTTGGTTTTGCGCCTGTCATTAATTTGTATTTGTTTCTTAGCGGCCTTTAATCCAGTTCCTTCTGTTCCTGCTGATTGGCAATGGTCTACATTCTAGGCCTTCCTTTTTTTTTTTTTTTAATATTCTTGTAAAAACAACACAACATTTTCATAAAGCAATCCTTCTCTTAGTAACTTTTTTTATTCTTCACTCCTTCAAAATTCCTATGCCTGCTTATCTGCAATAGGATTCGCATGAATTGTGATTGATTTAATACGAAGTTCTTGAAGTGGTCTATTTTTTTCATCAATTGGAATCTTTTCGAAAGCATCCAAAGTCGTGTCAGCTCCATCAATTACCCTATTATCATGATGATGCAAAATGTGTTAAATACCATCATTTACCCCCCCCCCCTTTTTTTTTAATTCTATAAACCTACTTTCCAAATACCGTATATTTTGTGTCCAAATGAGGATGTTTTCCGTATGTGATGAAGAATTGCGAGCCATTTGTGTTGGGTCCTGAATTAGCCATAGACACTATACCACGTGCATTATGCTACAATCCTCTATTTAGTTCTTTTTTATTCTATGCACATTCTCTTTTTTTTTTTATTCTCATACCTTTAAAACAGATCGGATCTCATCGTTAAACTTTCTGCCCCAAATAGAATTTCCTCCTTTTCCTGTACCAGTGGGATCACCTGTCTAATTGCATTTTTCTTTTAATATTTTCTGCACAAAATCTACCATTTTTTTTTTTTTTTTTTACCTGTAACATGAATCCAGGAATATTTCGATGGAATAAATTGTTATCGTAATAGCCACTTGCACATAAAGCAAGAAAGTTCTATCATTTTCTCTGCATAAGTTATTGCTTTCTTCAACGCCTTTTTTTTTACAAAAAAAAAAAAGAAACTTTACCTCTGCTGTTTTTGGCACAGATTCACAAAAGACTTCAATTTTAAGATCACCGAGATCAGTATGTAAAGTGACAGACTACAAATAAAACATTAAGTTTTCTTAAGGCAACGAAATGGGGGGAAAAAACAATTAGAATAGCCTTACCATCGATATTGGTAATTGTGAGAGAAGTGTAAAGACTCTCACTTTTTTTTTTCAAGGCAAAGCTTTAATATCGAACGGGGATTTAATTTACAAGCAGTCCACGTCATTTACCTATACTCTGTAACTGATAAATTACATGCTGTTCTGAAATGGCGTATAATTGTATAACATGCACCACAAAAAACGACACTTAATGTTGGCTTACATGAATCTGCATAACATGGCTTTAATGGACCTGTCAAAAAAAAAACTTTTTTGTTGTTGCCATGGCAACCCGCTAGCCAACGAGCGGCACTTGAACCAGCTTCAGTTGTTCTTTTTTTTTTTTTTTTTTTTTTTATTCTATAGATCGTCCCCCCTTCTCTTCTTAAACAAATAACAATGAATGTGCTTACACCACCTCTTCACAGAGGCATGATGGAACTTGAGCGTTCAGCTTTTAAAAAGGTGATTAGCACGCTTGTCATTAAAGTGCCTACCAAAAAAGTTGGCATTTTCATGAAAACTTTCGACGAGTAAATTTCAACATAACGATCTACTTTACCCTCGCCTCATTGACATGTTGTTTTATGTGTAGAGATTTATTCAACCAACCCAGAACTCGTAACGTTTTGCCTGATCCAGAGTCTAAAGAAACCAAGCTTATTATTTTAAGAACTGACTTGGAGAAAATTGGTAAAAAAAACATTTTTTTCTTCCTATCCCAAGCCTATTTTTAAAACCCTTTTTTAAAAAAAGATGATTTGCCTAAAGAAAAGATCGATATGATCAAGGAACAAGGATTAAGCACTTTTAAACATGAAATTGAATTCGATTACAACTTCTGGACTACGGGTACCTATCAACAAGAAATAATAATAATTAAAAAAAGCTGATTGAATTATACGATAGAACAAATTTTACATGCTGTCATGCCAGAAGATGCTCAAGATATTCCTTCTTCGTTCACTCAAATTGGGCATATTGCTCACATGAATTTACGTGAAAGTTACTATCCTTGGAAAAAATTGATTGCTCAAGTCATTTTAGATGTAAGTGTCTTCTGTAGCACTTTTTGCACCGTGTGTGCTCAACGACACACTTTTTTTTTGCTCAACTTTTTTTTTTCTGCTGCTCGTGGCATAATAGAAAAATAAGAATATCACAACTGTCGTAAATAAGGTTGACAGCATTGACACTACCTTTAGATTCTTTAAAATGGAAGTATTGGCTGGCGAGGATAATTTAATTGCTGAAGTGGTAAGTTTTTTTTTTTACAAAAAATTTTATTGTTTATTTTACAATTAAGCTTTGGATAATAGAAAGAAAGTGGGTGCAAATTCAAATTCGATTTCTCCAAAGTTTACTGGAACTCAAGGTTACACACTGAACACGATAGATTAGTTCAACTCTTTAAAAAGAACGAGTACGTGTGTGATGTCTTTGCCGGTGTCGGTCCCTTTGCCCTTCCCGCTGCTAAAAAAGGGGCGATTGTGTACGCAAATGATCTGAACCCTTCTTCCCATGAATGGATGAAGGAGAATATTAAGGCCAACAAAGTAAGCTTCCCCCCCCCGCCCCCAAAAAAGTTTATGGGTGTAAAGGTAATGTGATACTCATGTATATATTTAGATTAAAAGCGGGATCTATCCTTATAACATGGATGGCCGTGAATTCATTCGACAGGCTGTGAAAGATTTACAAGCTACCTCAAAGAACGAATGGAAAACATTTGATCATTTTGTCATGAACTTGCCTGCCACAGCTATTGATTTCTTGGGTAAAGAAAAAAAGAAAAAAGAGCATTCATTTATTTAGGGTTACCTCAACATAAAAAATGAGTCACTGATAGCTTTTTTAATTTAGATACATTCCGAGGTTTATATCATGATCAAAAACATCTTTATGATACTCGTGCAAAGTTACCTATGATTCACTGCCATTGTTTCACAAAAAGTACGGATGCTATGCAAGACATTACTGAGGTTTGTGATATGAACACGGGGTGTGCTTCTAATAAAAAAATACTAAAGTCGTACTAGCGTGTTGGAACAATTATGGGAGGAAAGCCTGATCCTTTGAAAACAACATTACATTGGGTCCGTAACGTAGCACCTAAGAAGGACATGTACTGCATATCCTTTCCTTTGAGTTCCGAGTTAGCATTTGCAGCACCCAACAAGTATAACTTTAAAAAAAAAAAAGTGCTCCAACCCCCAAACTAATCCTTTTTTTTTTTTATAATAATAGTGATAAACGTAAAATTGATCAATTATCTTCTTCGATAGCATCGGAACCTTCCAAGAACCCTCGTACTGAATAATAAAATATTTACTTTCGCTTCCAAATAGCAATCTTTTCCTTTCCGATTCTTGATGGGTGACCTGCAGCATCCTTGATAAAAATAAGATCAAAAGTCGGGGACAACAGGTCTTTGTACCTTTTTTTTTATATATATTTTTCCCATGGCATTTTATTAGTTATTCCGCTTCCGTTTTTGCTTCTTTGAAGGTTACACTTACAATTGTTCATTCACAGCAAATGGAGGTCCTCCCTCGTGGCCATCGATAGGATACATGAGCGTAATCAAAACACCTCCCTTCTTAATAATAGCGCTGTATCGAGCTGCCCAGTCAGGTCGTAAAGCAACAGGCATTGCACACAAAAACCTTGTTTTCCGTGTGAATAAAAAAAAAAAAAAAAAAAAAAAAAAAAAACGCGGGTTCAATCGATAGGCCATTGTTAACATCATTAAACTATTTACGTGTAGTCATAAGCAAGATCGTATCCCCCATTAGGAATGTCAAAGTTATAAAAATCAGCACACTTAAAATCGTAGTTATCAGCAGTTGCATTGGGGTGATTCTATTCTAAGATTAAAAAAAAAGGTCGTATGATGATGAAACAGAGTTACCTTGACTAATAAATCAACGCAAGTTTTACTCAAGTCTATGCCAGTAACATGTCTATTCTTATTAGCTAAAAATACAACATCATACCCTATTTTTTTTTTATTGTTATATTTGTAGTTGAACCTCGTGTTTTTCTACAAAAAGTTACCTGATCCGCAACCCGGAACTAAGCCTTGTCCGTGCTCAGGAATAAGGGACCTAGTGTCTTGGCTATCAAACAGAGCAACCAAGGCAGGACTTGGTTGGCCCGCATCCCACATGGTCTTGCCTTCTCTCCATAAACCCTCCCAATCTATTCCAAGACTATTAATAAACACGCCTTTTCTTTTCCTCCTTATGATTTATATTACCGATCGCTTCGGTAGACATTTTTTTAATAAACAAGAAAGAAGAGGAGAAAAAAAAAAGAAATTCCTGCCATTTTGATTATTAATGCTTTGCGTAACAACCAACGTAAAAAAAAAAGGACTAGGAGGAGCATTAAATCCCGGGAAGATAGTCACGACCCATGTGTTAAGAACTGAACTATATTTTTCGGTGAAAAAAAAAAAATATTAAAATCAGCGGCGATCTATGGAAGGGATAATGATGAAGTAAAAAGGTGGTTGATAGTGATGTAAAAGGGTAAAGGGGTGGGGGGATGAGCAATTAGAATAACACATGATTATGGTGAAACTACATCTGATTTATGAGCTCACTACTCCATAAATCGTTAAATAGTCCTGTATGAAAAAAATGAACGTTTCCTTTATCCTCGTTTGGTTTGTTCGTATTCCCATCCTCCACGTTCCCTCCCCTTAAAAATTAAAAATATAAACCTTTCTTTTTTTTTTCTTCTTCTTTTTTTTTCTCTCTCTTATTTCTCTATACATCACTCCTTTCCTTTTTTCACTTTTTTTTTTCCCTTAAAAAAAAAATACAATTCATTCCTTAAACAAAAATATGTTGTTCAATAATAATACAGACACATTAACAGTTGCCGCAGTGGTCCAATTGCCTACTGATAAAACTAGACGCAAAAGACTCAAGGTCGTAAGTGCTTGCAGTGAATGCCGTCGGAAGAAAACCAAATGTAATGGAGAAAAGCCCTGTGCTGGATGTATCAAAACCAGTATGGATTGCAAGTACTCAAACTCCCCGAAAACAAAAGTAAACAACACTACAAATAATCGTCCCATCACAAGCACCAACCCCACTAATAATACCACCAACCCCACTACCACCACCAATATCTCCAACAACAACAATAACTTTCAACGTAATATACATGTCGAAAGCAGTAATTCCACCAACTCGAATGCTTCTGCTACCATTCATGCTATTGAAAATCGTCTAAGTGTCATTGAGGATATCTTGAAAATTTTGTTATTGTCAACTAATCAAACGGAAGGGAGAAACTCCGCCTTCCTCCCTCAACACCAACAACAACAACAGCAACAACAACAACAACAACGGAATATGCAGGTTCATTCCGGTCCGTATTACGGCGAAATGTATCATTCGTCATCCTCTTTACCACCACCACAGCCACAACATCAGCATCAGCAGCATCAGCAGCAAGAGTATTATCGGTCATTGAATAAAAGAAGACATAGTGATGATGATGATGATGATAGCTATTACAGCGCTACTTCACCTATTATTGTTCCACAACAATCATCCGATGTATTGGTCCGAGGAGCACAACCCGTGACATACAATCACAATGTACGACTCCCACCTCCATTAAATTACCAACCTACTTTGTCCGAATCTTCCTCTACTTCCACCACCTCCTCTATCTGTTCATCTACATCTTCGCCAAAGATCAACACTATCCAAACATTATTAAACAATGTCAAGCAGGAAGAATTCAAGTATACTAGACCTTCTGCCTTTTCTACCGTTGAAGTCGCCAATCGATCTTATTAGTTATACCCATCGTTTCTATATTTTATTATTATTTATATATATATATCTCTTTTTCCCACACAAAAAAAAATTGTGAATAAATTCCTTTGTTTTAATCAAATTTTGGTCCGGCATAATAATCCCATTTCTTGCGCGTGCTCGTTCTCCTATTCACTTACTTGAACAACCCCTCTCCCAAAAAGTCCCACCCGTTCATTTCCATTTGGATGTGTTTTCAATCACCAACCTTTGCATTTTTACATCTTTCATAGTTTCTTTTACAATCTAAAAAAAAACATGACGTTTTTTTTAATTTTATTTTTTCAGGTCAGTGCATTTTGTTTATATCATATTTTTTTTTTCTCGGTCCGGAATTCCCTTTTTATTTCTCCTGGATCTCTTATTCGTTCTCGGGATGTGTTGATCTCGGGGGAGGAAAAAAGCCAGCGTTGATGAATTCGGATAATTTGTTCTTCCTCAAATTAGACTTGCAAAAAAAAACACTAATTTAAAAAAAACATGTGCTAGGGGAGAATGTATTAATAGCTCTTCATGCCGTGATCCTCGGTTTCTCTATAATTGATGATTCTATCGTTTTCTCCAAGGAAAAAAATAGCCGAAAAAATTGCATTGTGTAGCGGAGGCGCAATTTTTTAAGGGGGCGGCAGTCAGGGCTTTTATAGCGCTGATAGGTATCATTTTTATTTGTTACATAAAACACGAAACTTTTTATTTTTATTTTTTATTGGAGTACAAATCTACAGAATCACTTTGTTTAGTTCTTCTTATCCTTGTTGGCATAAATCTTGGCGGTAAAAGGTCTGTTATCAAAAGAGTAAGTACTTACAATCACAATTCATATCACCACAAAAAAAAAAAAAAAAAAAAAAACTTACTCTTCAAAAGTCAAAGCAACCTTGTAAACAAGATACACAATAGCAGTCAAGAAAACACCAGCGGGCTTACCATACCTAAACAAAAAAAAATGAGCGCTCTTGTAAAATATTTATATAATAGTAATCCTTACCATAAAGCAGTGGCTAAAAAGGTACATGTAGAACCAACATACATGGGGTTATCACAAACATTGAAAGGGAAACCAGTAACACGCTCCTTCATCAAGATACCAAAGTAATCACCTATATACAATCATCATTTAGCAAACCCATAAAAAAAAATCGTATCACAACTTAAAACTTACCAAGATAGGTACCAGTAACACCAAGAGCCCACATTGAAGTCAATACAAGAACATTACCAGTGAGAAATAAAAGAACGGCAGAGATCTTGACCATATCTTGATCAAAGAAAGGGTGTGAAGGTTGAGCAGCTAATGCATTATGATACCTTACATCATCTACACGTTAATTTCTCATATATACACATACACTTGCTTTCTACTTACAAGAAATCTCTCGTGATGCCCAAAGTGAAAATGGTGACAGCCAAACCATAACATCCGAATCTACCATTACCTCCAGCTAATTTGGTTAATAACTTCTTGTTATATTCTATTCACCCCCGGGAAAAAAAAAAAGGAATGATTAGTTTTTTTTTTTTTTTGGGGGGTCGTCGTCTTTTGTTTGCTTTTACCAGCTCTGGCGGCTGTGTTCCAAAAGATGGGATTAAATAAAATATGTGCAAGGGCAAAATATAATGTGGGTTCTTGAAAGTTAATCGAATCCATGATATGTGTATATGTATAAAAAAAATAAGGGATGTAAACAAAAAAAAAAAGGAAAAATGGATGGGAAGCAAAGTATTATAAACATATCCTGCAAAACTGAGATTTAATTTGATGACAATTTCATAGGCGCATGTGAGCGAAGACAGTCGTCATTGATTTGTTGGTAAAATGCCACGTAGTTATCAAGTACCACAAAAAAGTATATAAAAAAAAAAAACTCCACAACAAACATGAACTTAGTTTATAACAAACGAATTCAAAGCAAATTTTATTATGAAAAGGTTTTTTTTTTTTGTAACAAAGTGTAGTTTTTTTTTTTTTTGAAGGAAAAAAGAGTGTAAATGAATATAGACAACCAAAAAATAAATAAAAAAAAGAGTTTTACAATTCCTCATCAGTGGTATAAACTTCTTCACCACGCTTACGACGTTCCATACGATCCTTCTTCTTTTTACGAAGCTCCTTGGAAGATAACTTCTTCTTCTTTTCAGTAGCCTTGATAGTATTACCTTGACCATCGATTTGATCTTCGGCATCTGCTTCGACAATCTTGGTACCAGCGTTACCGGAGACCCAATTGTGACCTGAAGGTGTCAATTTACCGTCATCCACCATCCAGACTTCGTTACAAAGCGCTTCAGAGAACTCACGGTTATGGGTCACAATCACAACACCACCACCATATTCGCGAATAGCCGTAGCAAGTGCACCAAGTGATTCACGATCCAAATAATTCGTAGGTTCATCAAGCACCAACATATGAGGTTTATTCCACATAGCTGCTCCAATCACAAGCTTGACCTTTTGACCACCAGAAAGTCCTCGAATATGAGAATGAGAAGCAAACTCGGGCTCAAGTCCTACCTCCGCCAAATGTTTTTCGATCTCCTTGGCTGTCAACGGACGATTCAATCCCATCTTGGCGGCTTCGGCAGAATCCACTTCAGCAATCTTCTTACCGAATCCCATATCTTCAAGCTTCTGACGAGAGATCCAAGTATTGTCCACAGAGGATCGGCCAACCCATGAGACTTCATATTCATACGATTGCTTGAGCTTACGACGACCTACCAATTCTTCAACCGTACGCTTCTCACCGTCAATAATAAAGACTTGTTGCATCACCTTTTCATTATGTGCACCATGCATACGATCATTCTTATCAAGCTCTTCACGATCTTCTCCAGTAGCGTAACGCCATTGAATGTACTCGTTAGGAGTAGAATCCAAATGTTGTTCAATATGATGGAAAGCATGTTGGGCAACATACGCAATACGCAAATTAGGATGCTTCCAAACAGTTCCCGTTTCCGTCTCAAGCTCTCCAGTCAACAACTTGATCAACGTGGATTTACCAGCACCGTTAGGTCCAATCACAGCAACACGAGAAGCCAAAGAACACTGCATGGAGATATCCACCAATTGCTTCTTGGATGATCCAGGGTATTGGAAATCCACATTCTTCATCTTGAGAATAGCACGTTCCTTCGTCTTGATACCTTCCAAGTATCCAGGCTCAGGGAAATGGAACACGGATTGTGCTGCTCCCAAAGAGTAATAAGCAGCAGCACGAGGAACCTTCTTGACAAACTCGGAAAGATTACCACGGTAACGCTTTAACTTGTAGTTACCTTCATAATGAATGATGTCCGTACAGACATGATCAAGGAAACCAGAATCGTGAGAAACAATGATCGAGGTCACCGTCTTCAATCCAAGCAAGTAGTTTTCTAACCAGGCAACATTGACTACATCCAAATGATTGGTAGGTTCATCCAACAAGAGAATATCGGCATTCATCAACATGGCTCTGGCAAGTGCAAGCTTCATCTTCCAACCACCCGAGAGAGAACCAATTGCTTGATGGTTCACCATTTCATCCGTGAAACCATAGTTCTTGAGAATACGTGCAATTTCGGCTTTATCGTGACACTCAACACCTTCAGAGGCATCAATGAAATCAACAAGCCCAGTATCAGCCTCAGACCCATCAATGTCATGTTCGACATACACCGTCTTCAAAACAGAACGTGGAGGGAAACCCTCAACCTGTTCATTGGAAATAGCTCGCATCAAGGTAGATTTACCACAACCGTTGGCACCACAAAGACCATAACGACGACCTCTCATCAATCGAAGATGAGTACGATTCAACAGAATCTTGGCACCATACGCAAGTGAGAATTCACAATTACAGAGTTCTTCGCCTTCTTCCAATTCTTCTTCGTCGCCAGTCTTGGGCGCAATGGCTTCTTCACATGAAGATAAAGCAGCTAACGCAAGCTTCTCCGCAGAGGCTTCGGTTTCTTCTCCACCATCTTCATGCTCGCGTCCTGTCACAAGTAACCAGGTAGCAGAGTGAGGTGACAAGGAAGAGATCCAGGCATTACGATCAAAATCACGTGCCAAAACAAGTGACAAAGCTAAGATACCCATGTATTTACGGACAGGTGCAAAAAAGCCTTCCAACTTGGTAGGCATCAATCGGTCCAACGTACTAAACACCTTTTCACGTTTTTGATCGCTTGTCAATACTGCTGCAGCTGCAGCGGCTCCTCCACCAGAGCGTTTCAAAGTCTCCACAGCCTTTTGGACAACACCACGACACTCAGGGTCAGCAACCACCTCATAGACATGCTCAAGAGCTGGCAACAAGATAGGTAAGAAAGGTGCAGCGACTTCAGGATCATCCACCAACTTGGACATGTTATCGATAATCAAGGCGGATTTACGCTTGATGGAAGTTTGACGTTCACGTAAACCACGACTCAAGAGAGGCACCATCAAGGCAAGTGTACCGGAATCTACCTCTTGAACAAAAGTAGTGGCACCCAATTGATGAATAATCTCTGGTACGGATTCAGGCTTGTTAATACAATCAATAACAGCAGGGATAAAACGTTCAATATCCTTGTTATCCAAAAGCGCGGTGGTATGGGTCATACATTGCGTGGCAGCAGCCTTCACCTCAGGTTTGGTATCCCACATACAATCGGAGAGAACAGGAATCATGGTAGGTAAGCACACAAGGACTTGCATAGGGTTGATGGTCGCCAACAACTCCAACACCTCCAAAGCCAACATCTTGGTTTGCCACTTTTTAGAGTTTTCAAGACCGTCAAGCGCATAAGTCACGATATGACGTGTTGCAATGGGATTAAAAGCCTTGACGAGATTACGGGTGATATCAGCAGCCAATTCCGCGACTTTTTTATCTTTGGCAGCTTGCAAATCCAAGAGCGGATGAAGTAAAGTCACCAAATGAGGCTCCAATTGACCACGCAATAAAGCGTTAGTCGTGATCAAGGCCTGGGAAAGTTCAAGTGCTCCCAGAACTTGGGGGGTCTTGATCTTTTTTGCAAATAGTTCCGTGGATACAGCAGGCCAAAGATGAGCTCCCTTCAAAGCGCGTACACCATAGTGATTGGCAAAGGCGGCACATTGTTCCGCTAAAGCCTTTCTTTCCTTCTCATCCGTACAAGACAATAATTTACCCAAAAGTTGTTTAGACTCCTCCGCTTCTTTCTCACCAATACGCACACGTTTGGGTTTCGCAAGCGCGGTCAAAGAACGACGTTTGCTACGATCAGCAGCTTTAGCAGCGCCGGCTGCAGTACTTTTATCAGGCATATAATCCATTTTTCTTTATATGTATATATCAAAGAAAAAAAAATTTTTTATATGAATACGTAAATAAACAAAAGAGAGAGAAAAAAAAAGAGGAGACAAATCACAGGATTTTAGTCTTAATTGGGCACGCTTAATTTTTGGTACTGTTGATTTTTGGTACAACTTCAAAATAAAATTGGCTCACTTTATTTTTATTTATTTTTTGGTACTATTTGGAAATAGAAATCGGAACGGGTTACTTATTTTTTTTTTTTTTTTGGTAAGCTTGTAGTAAACCTTTGGTACAACAAGTGTATTTTTATTTAGGATCGAAACCGTAAAGAAGAGTTAACACGTAGTAGCAACATTTCACCTCAACCCTTAGCTCTTTGTACCTATCCCACGCGCAGTCCGGAGTTACAGTCTGGAACTTGATTGGATGACGTAAAAGAAATTTCATGCAATCCACATTACTTCATAACCCCCGCCCCATTTGATCAATTCTTTATCTTTGTTCTTATCTCTACACTATTACTCTTCAATTTCCAGATCCAAAAAAAAATCGATTCCTTTATACCATGCTGATGCATTCTATTTATCTCCTTTCAAATTAAAAAGATTTCATGGCTTCGTTTTTATTTAAAGTTCAAAGTGCGAATTCTCCACGTCTTTCATTTGACCCCCACCAAATTGTGAGTAAAACCTTATTTCGATGAAGGTCAGGCTTCATAGTATCAAGTAGCTATAATTAGTCACTACAGTTTTCACTCTCAAGGAAGAGTCATTGTCTTTCTTATTATGATTTATATGGTATGGAATTAATTTTTTTAAAGCTATTGCTGCATTGCCATGCACTTTGGATTAATACAAAAAATAACTTTGTTCTATGGCTAACGAAATATCAAATATAAGAAACCTCCAAATTACAATACAAGTCGGGTATTTCTTTATATCATTATACCTATTCTTTTATGAGTTTATCAATATTGAAAGATTGTATATATGGGCTCACAATACATTTAATGAGCCTGTCTGGCGAGAAAGATACAATATTTTATTTTATAAAATGTATGAATGTTGTAAAATTGGCGATATGGTGTTTGGCGACATTATTATGGTCGCCATTTTTATGAGCTTTTTAGTCATTTTTATGCACTTATGTGGTGAAATGTGAGTCCTCAATATCAACTATGGTATCCGCTTGAATGTCTTGTTCGTCGACGTTGCTGCTTTCGAATGGCGATATGTCATAAAGAAACACTGGTACTTGGGACTGCTCATTCTTTGGGGGTGTATAGTATGTGTCCCGAATGATCAGTCTATAAATAGCAAGGATTACACTGTAGGTTGACTTTTCGATCTGGGATTTATTTTCCCTTTCTGTTAAATGTCGAGTCATTGGTATGCTTTACAGTAGAATGCCTTTGAATCATCTTTTCCAACTGCAACAATTGATTTCGCATGGTCATCAACCATTCAAGACTTGAAATAAGCTCCAGCAGATCTGCTTTTGACGCCGGAACATTGAAGTAATGCCTAAATTTGTTTACATAAAGTCCTTGCCTTGTTGACAAAATACAATGGAGACTAGTGGTTTGAATGCCCCCAGCAAGTATTACTACCTAAATCGTTTGGTAATATCTTGGTTATGTCGTCCAATGTATCTTTAGACTCTCTGGTAAGCTTTCCTTCATCTGCAGATGCCCTGTCATCATCACCAGACAGGGCACATTTTGCCTGTGCGAAATTCTCGCTAGGCAACGTTCGATCTACCGTAGAAAGGTACGGTGACTTCGTGGAATCCCCAAGGAACTTTTTTGAAACTTTTTACAAGGGGATAACTGATTCCCCAAATTCGCTCATTGACCTTGAGATGAACAATTGTTTGTTACGACTTATTCGGGTAACGCACGCAATCCTTTCAGCACGGCACATTTTTTTTTTCTTCGTCTAAAAGAAATTCGCTCCAGCAGCAACATCCCACTTCTCAGCCGTTAGAAAGATCAGTCAATGACCTGAAATCAATTTTTAGTGATTTGATGTATCACCCAAGTAACAATCAACCGCGAAAATCCGATGCCTTCTAGCGCATATCATTATCACCTTTCACAGATCATTCAAAGCGAATTAAATGATAACCATGTAGATAGTAAATTCTGGCATGACTGTATTGTTCCTTCTTGTTGTTGTTGAACGATGCGTTGATTAAATCGCCGCTTTTTATTCTGATGGCTTCTGATTCGGGAGGGAACATTGCTTCCAACATGGGCGACCATATCCACCGAAAGTAATTTTACTTTGTCACATTTTTGGATGGTGGCTTGAACAACATGTATGCGTATTCAAGCATTACCTGGGAGATTTTTTTATTATCTTAAATACAGCGATATTCATGATAAAATCAGACCTTTCTATCTCTTTTTTGACCAAGTTTATACAGCATTTGATGTCACCAGACAATTCCAGAGTACTAGCAACTATTACTATTACATCTTTGACTGTACAGTACGTTGCTTTCAGTCAACTTTTCTGTAGCCAGGGATTCACGAGATAATCTCCTTTTAAATCTGCAAACTTCATCTTCAAAGAGCCTATCATCGGGCACGACCGGTATTCCTTGAGCCCTATTAGAAGCTGTAATTGTAAAGGGTTTTGCATGATCACCATTGCTTTGGTGAGCTGATAGGGTGTGATGCTGTTTGTCGAACAGGGTTGAATTTCGTTCCACTCTCTTTCATTAAATAAAGAGCGCCGTGACGCAAGGGAGTTATCGGAAAGATCCAGTATGAAAGATAGACCATTCGTCATGATTTTTCTTTGGCGCCGTGTGAGATCCCTTGCCGTCCAAAAGTTTTTCATGAACTTGAATGACCTTCTTTTTTTATGAATCGCTTTTCTCGAAACGATTTTGATCAAAAATGACATTTCATAATTTTTATATGGTTCCAATTGAATCTGAATTTGCAAGGATGTGCACATTGTCACGTACGTCTTTTTGTTGTATTTCTTGTTAATTGTTTCAAATCTGCTAATGCCAATACAATCCGCAGCTTGATATTTCATTGATCAAGGCCATAAGTTAAGGAACCAAAGACGATTAAGCACATCGTAGCCTTCGCCACAAACTATAGAGATATTATCTCTTGATAGCGCAAGGTCATTTATTTCAACTGGTTGGAATGATTTTCCGGAAGTCGTTTAAAACTTCTTTACGACTTGCTGCATATGGGATATGTGTTTCTTTACATTACTGACGTCAATAATAGCAATACATAACGCGTCCAAATCCTCAGATATGTGGTAGCATGCTGTCCGCTTATTCAAGGTGGGTTGTAGTTCAATCAGCTTAGTGAAATGCCCTATTATAGACCATTTAACGGAGCTGTTTCCAGCCAATAGTCTGAACTAAAGTTAATGGCTGTCATTCAGTCATGCTTACAAATGCTTACCTTTGTCAAGAAAAAAAGTTTTTATTAATGTCCAATCGTTGGCCATTTATATCGTACAGAAGCGGAATTCTGTAATCGTTGAACTGAAAAGGTGAAAAACAAAAAAAAACATGATTGTTAACGAGGGTTACGTTCCAAGAAAAAAAAAGAGGGCCTGGGAATTTACACTTCATATCCCGCTTCCCATCTATTCATGCAGATCCTGTGGTGATACAAACCCTTCAACACGAGCAGTGTAAGCAATACGTGTGCCTTCGAAGGAGATGTTTTGTTCAGTTTTACTTCGTTTACTCATTTTATCAATTGTTAAATTAAAAGTTTCAAAAAAATGCATATAGATAAACAGGTACACCCGAAATATAAATTTAAAAATAAATCTATCTCATTCTGACATTGTTTACCACTTCATTATAGATGAAACAAGCCAGCTTAATTTTAACGGCATATCGTTAATCTGCTATACCATTTTGTCCTAACCAATCCTATAATGTCGCTAGTAAGCCCTTTCCGTGATGCTAATGTCTTATTCTTATTTTACTACTCCATTTCCAACGATGGCACACTTTGATAATATTGTACACAGTACACTTTTAGGATACTCTCGGTTTAAGCCAAATAAAAGCAGGGTCGGCGGCTATTGTTGCTTTTCTGAAAACACACACACACACATACACACATTTGTTCGCGTATACAGTACACCACATTAAGATCAATATTGATGTAAATTGACAATCAAAGGCTGAGCAAGACCTATTAAAGGGGTGGTGGGAATTGATACTTTGCCACAAGTTTTAATGTAGGTATAATGTATACATGCTGAGGGTGAGCTTCGCCAAAGAAATGAAACTTAAAGAATGAGCCGCATAAAATTCACTATTTGGCCAGTGGCTTTTGTGAAAGTGTACGAGTCATGATCAATACACCATATGTATTTGCACAAAAGACATGTGGATAATATACATTTTAACATAAAAATGGCCAAGGCTTAGACTTTAAGGCGATAGATTTGTAAATGCTCCGCAAAAAAAACATGCAGGTTCTTTTAATGCTTTCAATAACCCTTCATTTAAGAAGTGGTTCCGTGCATTAATCAATTGGCTTCGTTTAAAGTCTTCTTTTATAATAACGGAAGCTATATACATATATTGAATCAGAATAACAACTATATGCATTGATATCCTCTTTTGTTCAAAAAGACGTTTATGTAATTGAAACCCAATGACAACGTATATTTTTTTAAATTTTCAAATTTATTGAATCATAATGAAAAATGATGCGATACGAAAAAAAAGAGAAGAGAAAAAAAAAGATAGAGAATATACTGTTATCTACTTTCCGTAGCAATACCAAGTAGCCATGTTACGAGAAGCATCTGTTTGGTCAATATAGGTGTAGTCGGAACAACCCCTATCAGCAGCACTTCTCAAATCATTGATCGAGTGATAAAAGGCGCTGGAAACAGTGACATGTCCGGTTCGATCCTCCTTTGAAAACGTGCATTTACAGTTACTATTAGTATAGGTGGACACATTATTGTCACCTTCGTTTACTTCCACCTTCACAGCTAAACCATTGATACAATCTTGAGCTTCAATTGAGTATTTATGGTCAAAAGTTTGACAATCACCCCATGGAGCATTGGGAGTACCTCCAAGAGCAACACCAGCCATGACAGTAGAGAGAAGTTGGGCAGCAGAAAGAGCAACAAAGATGATTTTGGCAGACATGTTAGTTGAAGTAGAAGTACTAGAAAGATAGAGATTAATTTCTTGCGGTTTAAACCACAAGTATTTATACATTTTCATAACCGTGGCTTATGTCTTTCAAAAAAAAAAAACTTTATCATTGACAAGTAGCATCACATGAGGTCTAGAAGTTACACTATGAATAGATATAAAGATTATATAAACAGTACGTGCATGAAACATCATGTTCAAGAACATTAATAGAAAGCTTCGATTTCAAGTATGCTTTACTTCGCCAATAATGTGATTGATGGTGTGCTAAACGCACATACAATAAAAATCATCGGTAATCCAAAATTATATAAATTGTCCAAATTTGGAACTCTGACACATTGAATACAATGGAAGAGCCGATAGAAAATATTATTAGAAATCATTGAAGCAATCTGTCGGCGACAAGCGTACCCTTGAATTCATGTAGAATTCAACAGTCAAGATAAATTTATGGACTAGCAATTCTAATAACAGTCAGCTTTCAAAAGAGTATAAATAGACCCCATTATTTCATAGTTAAAACTTCAGTCAAATAAAGTAACAAGGACTTATAATCGTACCTATCGTACCATTGTTTTTTTTATATACTTTATATTTTTTTATCAAATCAGAAGTAATTGATTTGTAACATTTTTTACGATTATCCTGAATTTTTTTGAAGATGACTCTTGAAGAAAAAGGAAAATCCAGAGCAGAGGGGACAGACAAGTCGGCCGAAATGAACACGGGAGATCCCATGGAAGGGATTGAAGTAGTCAATGAAATCACGTCTGCTGTCAAGGAAGTACAAATTTACAACACTCCACCTAAAACAACAAAGGGAAAGGAGGTAACAATTAAACAACGTATGCAGAGCTACAAGGAGTACCAAGTAAAGATTCGTGATCGTATGATGAACTTAATGGACATCCAGCCAGCATCTTCTTTAATCGAAAAGGAAATCAACGAACATCGGTTAAAACTTGAGGAGGTGACAAATCGGATTTTAACTTTGGAGAGGAGTATGAACCTAGTAGAAACACCAAAAGGAACAAGTGAATCTAAGTGGGCCAGACAGGACAAACAACGCATCAGATCCAGCGAAATCCCAAAATTACAATTAACAACATTAAATGAGCATCCATATCCTACAAAAGAGAAGTACAACTCAATCGACCACTTTATCCACGAGTTTGAAACAACCATCGGAATTTACGCGAAGATAGAAGAAATGTGGAAAGATTCAATTCAAGTAGCAGTACCATTCCTATATAAGACGTGGCTCAAGGAATCAGTATTAACATGCGAATCTTGGGAGAAAGCTAGAGAAGTTATTATGAAGAAGTTTGGGGACTTCCAGTCCAAGGATATGAACAGCTTACGCTTATTTGACTTACACATGAAGCCGCACCAATCCATCGTACAGTACACCAATGAATTCATCAACCTTGCTGCTGCCGCTGACATCCAGAAAGATGACAAGATGATAGTGCTCCTATTTAGATCACACTTGTATGAGCCATGTAAACCATTGATATTTTCGTCCATGGAGGGTAAGCGTCTGGTGGACGAGGAGTATGAGTTCACTATTGACAAGATATGTGACATCGGCCGGGAGATCTTTGGGGATGAACCAGTTGGGGAAAGTGCTCGTTTGGTGACAAATAAGGTAAATTCACCGGTAAAACGTCGACGTGATAGTGCATCAGTAGAATGGCAACAGTATGGGGCGAAGAAAACTAAAGGATGTCCGAAACATGGGGGTGAAAAGGCTAACCACACTGTCGAAGAATGTCGAAGTCAAGACGTAAAGAAGAATAAATTTTTGGGCAGTAAGAACATTCCATTCAAGGCCACGGGTAACAACATGAAGGGACAACCCTGCCGGTACTGTAAAAAGGAATGGCACCATGGTCACACCTGTAAAGAATATTACGAACACAAGAATAACCGTACTGTTTTGGCTCTTCGTCGGGAGGACGATGAAGATGATCAAGGGCCAAAGACCTCAAATATCAAAGAGGCTATGGAAATAGATGCGTATGAATGTAAGTATAATATGCAAAGGAAAGAAAGAAATCCATTAAAATTGACATTGACTCCTATCATTATTAGAGAGCAAAAAGTAATAGCAAGAATAGACACGGGATCGGATATCTCATGCATAAATAAATCAATTTTAGACAGTAAATTCAATAAAGAAATAAAAATTTCCAAAATAAATGGGTCTCTTAATTATCTTTCACTTGACAATAATAAGGAAAATATTAAAGTAAAACGAATTGGAATAACAGAACCTTTAAGAGTTCGTTATATTAATGATTTAAATTTCGATTTTGCTTTTGAAGTAGTAGAGTTTAGCAGTGTAATGGAATCCCAATTTGATGTATTATTAGGTCTCGATATCTTGAGTAAATTACGGATATCATTGTCGGGAGTTGCCTATTGTTACCCCGATGAGGAAAGAACAGAAGCACAATTTCGGAATGTAAACTTTGACACGCAGAACAAATATGATCCGGAAAATGCTAATTATGGTACGGACAAGGAGCGAAAGATATTTTTAGAAGAAATACATGGGGCCACCGAGGCAAATAAAAATATACCAAAAGGATCGTTTTGCACGATGCCTGAGGCACTCATTCGCATCCCTCTAAAAACACAAACAGATAACATGTATATCAAGCAGTATCCGTTAGTGTACCATCAAATACCAGAAATACAAAGACAGATTAATGAATGGGTAAATGAGGGGATAGTATACGAAAGCATGCCCAGCTCGAAGTATAACACACCATTGTTAGCTGTAGGAAAAAAGGATGACCAAACTGGGCAATTAACCAAAATAAGAGTGTGTATGGACCTTCGAAGAATCAATTCCAATATTGATGACTCTAAAACGGACAAATATGTGATCCCGGATATGGAACAAATGTTTGCCGAAGTAAGTGCACCGGGAAGAGTCTACACGAAAATTGATTTAAAGAATGCGTATTTTTCATTTCCAGTTGACAGTGAATCACAAGAAATCTTAAGCTTTACATTCAAAAATAAGACTTACAGATGGAAAGGATGCTGCTTTGGATTATCATTCATATCACAACAATACTCACGAGTAATTGCGCAACTTTTCCAAGGGATGGAAGGCGTACGAAATTACATCGATGATCTGTGCATATATTCGGCGCCAGAAGATCACGCGGAAATTGTTAAGGCTGTAATTGAGAAATTAACCTCGGTTAATCTTCGCATCAACTTTGACAAGTGCTCGTTTCTTCAAACTTCGATATATTTGCTAGGATTTATTGTTGGCCCCGGAATCAAAAAAATTGATACGAGGCGATTGTGCAATATTGACGACTGGAAAACACCCAGAAATAGTCGTGACGTTAGACATATTATGGGCATTGTATCACATCTGAGAGAGTTCGTTCCCTTAATGGGAAGAATATCCTATTCAATCAACGCACTCCGGAACTGTAGTGAAAAGAATAAGCCATTTATATGGACTACACAACAAGACGAGGCATTGAAATCGCTGAAAACATGGCTTACATCCAGTACGATTTTGCACACCATCGACATGACCAAGCGTATATATATAGAAACTGATGCATCACATTATGCGTATGGAGTGTTAATCTCGCAACGCGATGAGCTCGGCAGATCTCTATACATTACATTTGCCAGTAAAACGTTTGGCAAACATGAAATGGCATGGTCCGTAAATCGAAAGGAAACATATGCAATTGTATATGCCTTTCAGAAATACAGGTCCATTCTTTGGGGACACCCTGACATCGTTGTATTAACTGATCACAGAAGTCTGGTATTCATGAACACAGCTACGCACTTGTGCCGAACGCTGCAAAATTACATGGACATTCTCAGTGAATTCAAATATCGAGTCGAGTATATCCCAGGATTTTCCAACACATTTCCTGATATATTAAGTCGCTTATACCCCCCAGAAGTCGAGGATCAAATTTTGAGGGAGGATGAAGAGAAGAAAATTATGAAGTTAGAACGTATGATCTTGCAAAGAAGACTACCGACTGATAAGATCAATCAAAAGATTGCAAAAGATCAATTCATTCATAAAAAAGAAATATACAGTAAAGATAAAAATTTGAACGTATTAGCTGTAAGACTAAACAGTAAAGAATACAAAGAAACAACAACTGAATACATAGCTCCACCCATAAATGAAAGAAGTAAATTATTAAGTGAAACTCATGCAATGGGACACTTTGGATCAGAAAGTATGGTACAACAATTACATGCTCAAGGTATACACTGGAATGGTATATTTAAAGACAGTAAAGAATACGTACAAACATGCATCGATTGTGCACGAAACAACATCGCAAAGAAAGGTTATCATCCATTGAGACCTGTGGTCAGTGCAGATCCATTTACATTCTTAGCTCTTGATTTAGCAGGTCCATTTTCCGTTACAGAGAATAATAACATATATATCCTGGTAATGGTCGACTTATGCACCAAGTACATAATTGCAAGACCACTGAAAAATAAACAAAGTAACACAGTGGCAAAGGCGATAATGAATGTACTAGGAGACTATGGCATACCAATAAATCTTATGTGGGTAACAGACAACGGCCGCGATTTCTCGAATGCTTTGATGAACTCGATCACAAATGCATTAGGTATTGAACATCGTTTTTCGACACCATATCATCCAAGGGGAAATGGTGCAGCAGAAAATGCCGTAAAGGTGATCGTTTCCACACTCCGCAAATTATTAGGCAATGACACGAATAAATGGGATGAAATGTTACCCATCGCACAATTATGCTGCAATTATAAAATACGTAATCGAACCGCTAGTAGCCCATTTTCATTGATGTATGCGAGACAGTTGATAACTCCCAAAGATTACACTGATCCGTCCAGAACAATCCCAAGAAAATTGGCGACAGAAGAGGATTTGATCAAACGAGCTGAAATAATGGCATCGGTTGTATTTCCCGCTATTGAAGAAAGAACACGGAAAATAGTTGAGGAACAAAGTAAGAAGTTTAACAAAAAGCATTACCTCATTGACATTCCTAACGACACAACCGTTATGGTAAAGTTACCAAATAGAGCAACCAAGTTATCACCGCTATACGAGGGACCATTTACAGTTGTACGAAAGACAATGGGTGGCACTTATGTATTGAAGGATGAAATGAACGAGTTGTTACATCGTGATTATGTTCCGTCAGAGTTGAAAATTGTAAATATTGACGAGTCAGGAATAGAAGACGAGTTATTCGAAGTTGACGAGATTCGTGATCACAGAGAAGACAAAGAAGGCAATCGCGAATATTTAGTAAAGTGGAAAGGTTACGGAGAGCGAGAGAACTCATGGTTACAAGCATCAGCATTCTCATCGCCAGACACGATCCGCAAATATTGGGTAAAAGTACGTGAGCTTGAAAGACTAGAACAAGAAAGAAAGAATGAGTTAGTTCAACGCTCAGAGAAAGTTAGCAAACGACAAGAAAAGCATACAAAGATTATAACTGATAACAAAAGAAATACAAGATCTAATAAGGAGACAATACATAAAGAACTTCCCGCTAAGAAAAGACGTAGCAATCGAGATAGATAAATTTTTAAAAAAAAAAAAAAATATGTAAATAGATATACCCACAGGAACAAGTCACAAAAATATGCATACAAAAAAAAAAAAAAAAAAAAAAAAAAATCATGTAGCTAGGATGAGGACATACTATGAAAAATGCTGAAATAGGAAGCATACCTATCATCGATCAACTAACGTTGAATCTAGAGGGAGGACATGTGCTAAACGCACATACAATAAAAATCATCGGTAATCCAAAATTATATAAATTGTCCAAATTTGGAACTCTGACACATTGAATACAATGGAAGAGCCGATAGAAAATATTATTAGAAATCATTGAAGCAATCTGTCGGCGACAAGCGTACCCTTGAATTCATGTAGAATTCAACAGTCAAGATAAATTTATGGACTAGCAATTCTAATAACAGTCAGCTTTCAAAAGAGTATAAATAGACCCCATTATTTCATAGTTAAAACTTCAGTCAAATAAAGTAACAAGGACTTATAATCGTACCTATCGTACCATTGTTTTTTTTATATACTTTATATTTTTTTATCAAATCAGAAGTAATTGATTTGTAACAGATGGCAAAGCCTAATTAAAAATATTTGAAGTAAAAGAATATGCTTACTTGTTTTGTGTGCATATTACTTCTTTTTAGGCTGATACCAACTAGCAATAGAATAAGCCTGTTGAGGTCAGTGAAAAAATTAGCCCATTTTTCTTTTGGGATTAATTAAATTATATACACCTTTAGTTATGGCGTTTAGATCCACATAAAAATCAGCAACTCACATCGCAGTAGTTTACAATATGAGGGGGGGGGGGGGAGGAGAGTCTTTATTTTAGAAGCTACACATGTTTAAAAATAGCTCTTTTGAAAACAAAGTCATTTCGTTCTAGGCTTAAGTGTTCCCAAGTACAGGCTATTCACATCCGTCCAAAGCAAAATCCTTAGATTTGAAACTTTTACTATGCTATATTATAATGAAAAAGATACTCAATAATACAGACTTTTCACTCTTTCTTAGTCCTATTTTTAACGCTTAACACGCTGTTTTAAATTGTGTTTTTCATATAGTAAACTGTCGTCCCCATATATAAAATCGAAAAGTACGACAACTTAATTTTTTATTGTGCGATATTAGTTTGAGAAAAGGTGCATTGTTCTACTTATGGATATTTTGGACGAAAATAATAAAAAGGGTATGCTCATTATATTAGACAATTGTACCAACTGCCTTTTGAGTTATTCAATCTATGAAAATAGGTGTTGGAAGCAAACAACTATTAGGCTGTTACATTCTGTCAACAAATTTAGTCGAATCAGTAACAAGCTTTTTTGTTTTGTTTTAGCAGTCTTTTATATATCTCTAATGGACGTAAAAGACATCCCAAACAGTGATATTAACCAAGTCTTTGTTTATACAGGTGCATCACTGTCAATTCATTTATTTGATAAAATAAATAAATAAAAAGTGACTGTCCCTTTACTATTTTTAAAAGGTGGGGTAACTGCATGAAAAACTACGGGTTTTGAGCCCCGTCATTAATTGAAAATATAGCATTGACAACGGCACTATCCAAACCTAGTTCGTTATTATACTCGGGTGCTTTTTTTATATGTCTCTTAGGTGAGGATTGGGCAGCTGATGTGACAGTAGTGGTGGTAGTGGTAGAGGAGGTAGCGGTGGGAGAAGACATGGAAGAAGACATGACGGGAACCACCACTTCAAATCCTACTTTACCCGAAGTAATACTATTATTGTTAAAAGTTGGCATCTGTTGTGGTTTTGGTGGTGCAGGTCGTGGGTGACTATAATTATTAGGTGGAATAAATGGTTTATTATCCTTCACATGTTTCAACACAAACACCGGGTTTTGTTTAGCGTCTTTTAATTTCTGAGAGATCCTCAAGGGTCGTTCATCATAGCCCAATGCTCTTTCTTGTAAATTATCATGCGATCCATACTGTATCCATAAAGCATATTGTTGCCAGTCACTCACTACATTGTATTTCTTTAGAGCAGAACAAATTACTTTGGATGTGGGGTCGTCCAGTAACAATCTGACATTTTTGGATGACTCGGGTTCGTGTTCGACCTTGGATATCTTATCACCGTATACTTTGATAGCTCCACCATCATTAATCACCACATTCGGTGTCAGTTTAGACTATAAGCATGGGGATTTAGTATACCGTCTACCCGTGCCTATCAGCTTTTACCTCTTCCGAGTCATTTCTATTCATGTAATGTTCATTGGCATGAAGTGGTGATGAGACTTTTGTGGGCGAATTCACATGTTTTGTATAATATCCTTTTGTATTAGGTTTGTCCCTGGATTTTAATATCTGTCCAATCTCATCTTTCAATGTCATCATATCGCTATTCACTCTTCCCAAATCTTCTGTCAATCGTTTTATGCGTGCATCTATTTATTCTTTTTTTTTTAGTTTGGGGGTCCGAGGCATTTTCTCCTTCCTTTACCTCGTTCCTGAAAGGCGGCTTCAATTTTTCGATAATCGGCCATGCCGTTTTGTCCTAACCAGTCCTATAATGTCGTTAGTGAACTCTGTTGTTGATAATGTAGTGTCTATTTTTTTTTTTTTTTTTTACAGTTTCGTATAAAACACCTAGAGAGAAGGTTAGCATAAATATACATTTGAAAAAAAAAAGAAGGACAACTTTACTGGGAGGAATATAATCCCATTCGTTTACAGGAACTCTATAATGAATCTTTAATTGGTATATGTTCTTCAAGAGGTCCATACGTTGTCCCACAGTCAATACAGAGAGATCTCTTAGCGATTCATGGTCCAAATTGACGAGGACGTCACCTGTAATACCTTGTTCTGTTGTATTTAGAGTGAGATGATGAGTCGCATACTTGGGGAGGGGACGTTATAACTTTGTTTACCTCGAAATTGTTTTTCAAAGCAAGAAAAGCCAATTGTAGTCATCCATTTCGTCACTTTGTTCTCATCCCACATTAACACATGTTCCATGTTTGTTTATCAAAGAAAGGTAAAAAAAAGAAAAAAGAAAAAAGAAAAGGGTGACTGTTACAAATAAATAAATAGAAATGCAGAATGCTTTTTATTTTAAATATATTTAACGATGAGCTTGAAGATGAGAAAGGTCGATAGGGATAGCTATTAAAAAGAGAGATAAATGAGTTTTTAAGAAGAGAGAGATGTGAAAGAACTGAACTTACAACAACCTGTTTCAGCACCTGTAGGATACCTTTTCAGTTTCTTTTCGAATGGAGGAGGAGGCGGGAATTCTCGTTGAGAATGAAAAGTCCAGCGTCCAGCTTCCGTTTGTGGTGGTTCGGGAATATCAATATCCAAACTGTGATAAGAGGGTTGAACAGGAATAGTTGAAGTTCTGTTCAATGGAGATTGCATATTATCTCCTCCTTGTCTTAAATGAGGTGGAGGTGGTGCTGCCATCGTCCTTCTCTCCGTATTCTGTCTCATGGGTCTTTGTGACATTTTTTTATAAATAAAAGAAAAAAAAAAAAGCTGGGTCGCTGTTTGGATTCCCTTACTTTCAATCACAGGCTTACTCCCTCTCCCCCATCACTTTTTTTTTTTTTTTTTGTGACAAACATACATACACACACACATATATATATTTACCCACAGTACAATGAATCACCATAAAAAAATCTGATACAAACAATAAGAATAAAGAATTGATAAGATAAATAAAAAAGGAATTAGATAATTCCATTCAATTCATTCAGTTCATTCACCTTCTTAAACGGATGGGGCTATCACGTGATTCATGGGGTGAAAAGGGGGGCTGTATTTTTTTCCATGTCTCTTCCCAACCCTCTCTCTCTCTCTCCACTCTTGATATACCTTTCTTTTTCTTTTTTTTTTTTTTGCTAGAAGAAAAAAAGAAAAAAAAAAAAAGAGAGCATGTACCTGATCTATTTATTATATCTACTATATTTTGCAATAGCAGTGACGGTTGCACTATCGTTACTACTTTATACTTACCAGTGTGAATTACTTTATGCTTCAGGATTCCCGACAGGGTCGAGATCAGTGGTATGAGAAAAAGAAGAGAGAAATGGAAGGCGTTGACTAAACACATATTCTAGGTTGCGAGACCCTCACAATTTGGGTTACCGGATAAGGAAGTTATATTAGTTACCAAGGATGGATATAAAATTCGATCCTATGTCATGATTCAACGTGGTGAAGATGTTGCTATTCAATCACCTACTGTCGTTTGCTTTCATGTATGTTTATTCCCTTATCTCTCGCTCTTTTTACTAATTCTATTTTATTCTATCGAGTAGGCACATACAGGAAATATGGTAAATTTTGGGGTTTTTATTTTTTCAGGAAAAATAAATAGGGGGGGGGGGAAACAAGTTTTCATTAATCACTGATAATTCACACAGGGTCATCGATTGCCTATCGCACAAGTATTTTTCAAGAAATTGGGTTATAATGTAGTGATGTTATCATATCGAGGGTAAAGAATATATAGAACTTTAGCGTGTTCACTTAGATAAACAACTGACCTTTTTTTAATAGATATGGACTCAGTGAAGGAAAACCTACAGAAAAAGGATTAAAAATTGACGCGCAGGTAAATAAAAAATGAATGGGGTTTGTACCACAAACATTAATTTTTTTTTTTTTCTAGACAATGCTGGAATATATTAAACAACACCCGATTCTTAAACACACCAAATTAATAGCCTATGGACAATCATTAGGAGGATCAGTGGCCATTAGCTTGGTCTCTCGCAATGAAGACAAATTTGACGCATTGATTATCGAAAATACCTTTTTGAGCGTGGTAATTATTATATATTGTGTCTAGAATGGTAAAATAGCTGACTGATCTCTCTCATTCAGCCCTTGTTAGTGCCACACGTATTTCCTGCATTAAGACATTTAGTCTATCTAGTTCATCAAACATGGAGATCCTACAAAACTATCAAATATGTACACCATGTTCCCATCCTATTCCTATCTAGTTCAAAAGATGAGTTAGTCCCACCAGGACATATGGCAAAGTTATACAATATATCTCAAACAAGCGGCGTAAAGGTCTGGCGAGACTTTGAAAATGGAACTCATAATGATACATGCATGCAGGTTTGGATCATTTCAGGATCTACTTTTCTTCTTTTTATCTAATCTCCTTTTTTTATTTATTTAATAGAGCGGTTTCTTTGAATCCATTGCTGAATTTGTACGTGATAATGTATGGGAACTGGATTAAACATGTATATACACACACCAACCCCCTCCAAACACACACACACACCTTTCCCTCGCAATTGTATATATAAAATAACACTTTGTTACACACACCTTTTCACTTCTCTTTGATCTGTCACTTGTTGGTAATTGTTTACCCTTTTCTTTTTTCTTTTTTTTTACCCGCCCAGCACATAAAAGGAGAGGGGCAGAAAGATTTTCTCTTTCTTAAATTCATATATATCTGTCCCCATGTCAACTGCCTACGGTAAAATCCCTAAACCCAAAACAAGCACTGACTTGGACTTGATTTTACCTATTCATAAAGTACTTCGAGACGGTACTGAAGCCTACATTCAAAAGGTCGATGGAAGTAATAAATCCCTTGTTGATTACTTGCATGCTCGTTTCAATGCTGAAATTGAGGGAGGGTAAAGTTTAAAACAGAAAAACTGTCAAAAAAAAACAAAAAGAAAAAGAACTAAACCTATTTTAGATCCACATATCCTCAAGAAAATTTATTAGATGAGCAACAATTTAGAGACTATTTTCTTGGGTACAATCATAGTCTAACTTTTTTGTGTGGGAATAAATAATTAATTTTTGTTTATAGCTCGGATGCTTTTGTCATGTCAAAGACAAGCATTATTGATCCTGATACTGTTTACGATTGGAATGACAAAGTAGTTGGCATGTTTTATATTAAACCCAATTATCCCGGTCGTTGTTCTCATGTAAGTCTATCCTTTATCGTACTTATCTTTCGTTGTGTGTGTAACCGCCTTTCTAGATCTGTAACGGTGGTTTTTTTGTCATGGAAACTCATCGTGGTTTAGGTGCTGGCGTCGTCATGGGCGAAGCATTTAAGGTCCTTGTGCCTGCCATCGGTTATAAGGCGTCCATGTTCAATCTCGTCTTTGAAAATAACCCCGCTTCCATCGCCATCTGGAAAAAATTAGGTTTTGAACAAGTAGGTCGTGTACCCAACGCTGGTAGATTGAAAAATAGCCCTGATAAACTCGTTGATGCTCTCATGTTTTACTACGATTTTACCAAATAACGTCCCCACCCCCACCCCTTCTTTCCCTAAATTATGCCGCTCTCTTTCTCTTATTACATAAACGATAGACATATATATATATTTGGACTTGAAAGCCTTTGTTGCAAGTAGTTTAAGGTTTTTTATTTTTTTCTTTAAAAAAAAAAAGTTGAGAAAAACCGATGTTGTAAACACTTTAGTTGGCCTTTCTACGGAAAGAACAACCTTCAGTCAAACGGGCACGACCACCAGTAGGTTGGCACAAAACGGTACCGCAAGAAGCACAAAGGACAACGGTTTGAGCGTGACTGAAAACAGTGCTGATGTTCAAACAACCTACAGCAAAAAAAAAAAAACATGTCAGCCATTGTATACAAAAAAAGGTGGCAATGACACCACCACATATATTTAAATATAAAAAAAGAAACTTACCAGGACACTTGACATCCATGAAGAAAGAGTTAGGAGACTGCACAAGTCTCTTGAGCTTGTGAGAGCGCTTCTCGTGTTCAACGGAAGGGTTAAGAAGATCGACGGCCAACTGGTTTAGAAAGAAAAATTAATAAGCTTAAACCTAATCAGCTAAATGAAGAAAGAATAGAAGCTTGGTGAACATGATTTTGTATACATGACATTCTCGTGTTTTAATTGATGAATTGAATTGAGTTGCATATATATGTAAAAAAAGGTGAAGCGTTGTTATTGTCCGCGTAATTTACTATTCTTCTAGAACTCGGTTTAGGTGCATAAACCAAAGGTTACTGACTTGTCTAAATACTGCGGTTACGAATCAAAAAAAAATCCAATGAAACATTTCCTCATGTTGAAGCTTCTGTGTTGTTTACATATAAAAAAAATAAAAGGGTTGTACATCCATCCATCCATCAATCCAGTCTGATTCATCCGTGTATACAAATCATTTTTCACCTTCTTCTATCATTCTTCTGCTACAAAAAAAAACACTTACAGTCATATTACTGTGTCGAAGGCTTGGTAAAAAGGGAAGGTTTATATGTTAACCTAGCCGTGTCCAAAGATATTCTCATCGTCCCAGTCACAATCCTTTCCTTTTTTAACCCCCGTTCAAACTCTTTTTTTTTTTTTTTTTTAGCTTCCGGGAGATCCCCTTTCCATCAAGGTTAACTCCCACACAATGTAGTACGTTGTATTTATCGTTTTTTTTTAAAATGTGTGAAAAAAAAGACAGTTCCATATCTTTAATATGAATTGGTATTTTAAAGAAGCAATTGTCTTCTTCCTCATAATTTGAGAAACGGGATCTGCGCAGTCGTTGAATCCCGCAGCATTTAAACGTGAACTGCGGTTTTTGCGTAATGTTTAGACTGGTTTATAGATTCACGGGTAAAATTATCTAGCTAACCCATTTCTGTTAAAAACGGAATTTACTGATAGCAATGAAAAAGGGTCTGTAATAGCTGGATGAATAAAAGGTCTCATCCTGTGGGGGGGTAATCCTTTGGAATACGCGTTTTATTTTTTATGAGAAGGGCTCAATTTTTACTATGCATTCAGCTTTCTTATTCATCTGACATTTTCAATTATTCTGCCGCAGTACTCATTCTTTTTTGTATCTAAGGTTAGCCTAAAGGCTGACAAATCTAAAAAAAAATTGTAACTCCTGTTTGCATGAATACGGGCTACTGTCATTCTGTTTTTGAAAAAAAAAAAAATTAAATGTAGCTCTCCAATTACAATATCCAAGACATCATAAAAAAAGCCTGATATGTCAAAGATTGAAAACCTTTTATCAAAACTAAACATGTAAGGATTTTGCACTTTTAGCAATATCCAGGCACGTCTAAATGCAAAGGTGATAAATAACTAGAGAATTAACATCAGCACTTATGAGTCTTTTCTCTCACATCTCCTTATTTTGTGTTCCTTCTTCTAAAGCTTCCATAAGGACCGCCCTAATTACCTATAGGCTTATCGTACCTTGGGAAAGGAGCTCCCCTTGTATGCATAAGCCAACTATCCATTGATCTTGACAAGAAAAAAAAGCTCATTATCTTAACCCTTGTCCTTTTACTTTTCTTTTTCCTTAATGGCGACACATTTAATTTCTCTTGAGTTCATTACTCAACGAATTACTTGGAAGCTGGTGGAGCATGCCATTCTTTTTAATGAGCACCATTTTGCAAAGGCCTGTGCCGTTCCATGTTCGAATGATGGAGTAAATGCTTATATAAAGTCAAATATCTCCTTGGTACTTATAGGCTTGGGTTTATATGCCTTAGTGTTGTTCGGATCATCAATGCAAAAGACCTCGTTTAAGATCAACTTCACTTGTGCGCCAGTCCCTAAAAGTTAAAAAAAACAAAAAGTCGTATTTTCTTTCAGCGTCCTCAACGTACTTGATTCAAATCTCTTTCTTTTTCTTTTTTGCCTTCTTTAACTAAGTTTAATTGCTGAGGTTCTCGGTATTTTATGTATGTTATAGGAATCACCAAAGATTCGTTGTTTCAAAGAACAACTGGTTCCCTTTGGGGAGGTATTATAGTATAATTGGACAATGCCCTAGTTTTTCAGTATAAGACACGAATTGAGGGGAAAATGCGCAACATTGGGAAGGGGGTATTCTTACAAGTTTTACTACTGGAGGTGGTAAGTGCAGTAAAAAAGACGCAACATGAGGTGGCGCAGATTGACCTCAATGTCGTGGATTTTTGCTACATATCGCGGGGTCTTACTACTGTGTACGCTACTGTGATACCTTCTTTTGCATTATTTGATATTCTCGTCCGTATGTTCCTCATAAAAATACATGCAGAGGACTTGCTGCTCAAGGTTGACAAGAAGGGACATAATGTTGAAAGATAGTTCAAATTGTTTAATTGGCAGGGCACCTTTTTTAATTTTCAAACCCAGATTACTCCTAAAAGGTTTTCGATTGTCAATAAAACGACATCCTTATTTTTCGACTCAAAGTAAAGTCCCTCCATATTGTCTTTTTGTTAAGCAAGTATTTGATACAAAACATGCCAAATTTTTTCTCGATCTTTTGAATATAGATTTGTGCTTAACTAATATGTAAACATTATACATGCCCTAAGAGTGACTGATTTTTAGTTTTTTTCCAACATGTCATAAAAGTTTATAATGAACCATCTTTTAATTTTACATGGTTGGATAGAGCGTTTAATTCTGCGTAAAATTCACTTAGAAATAGCATAGTGAAAAATGATTGTTCCTTATGTAATTTTTTTGATTTTTTGATTTTTGAAGAAAAGCAAAGGGGTACACCTTACCAAAATGGCCCTTTTTTACAATTTTTGGAAAACATCAGTTTTATGTTCCCATATCATTCTTTTAATGATTTCTATCATTTTTTTGGCTTGAAAGGGTGTTCAAAAATGACATTTTGACTGTGTAACACATCATGCAATCATTTTTTGCAGCTCTTTTTTTATTGGCCCCCCCCCCACCTCCTTTAACCTGTATAATGTAAATAGACTCAAATCGCACAAACATAGAGTTTGCTAAAATAAGAAAAAAAAAGAAAAGCTCGTTGTTTTACTTTTATAAAAATTGTTTCTTGTTTTGTTGGGGGGAAAGAGAGAGATAATTTTCATATGAACAAGGGTTGAAATGGTATGGCGGAAATTCAAATTTTATCACGCCACACATTTCAATGTAACCCATTTCCCAGATATAAAAATTAGCTTTCTGTCACTCTCCCGTTCCCTCCCCTTATTTTTTCTTCTTGTATATAAAAAAGAAATGCCTTCTTCCTTGTCTGCAAAATATTCCATTTTCCAAAGTGACAATGCTCTTGTAAATATATAACATTCTAATTAACAAAGCAACAAAGGAACTAACACAATCAAAGCGTGCCAGTGGTCCAATTACAGATGATGCCCCTATGCGTTTAAGAATGGAAAGATACGTCCGAGATCTCCAAGATCGTATTTGTAAAGGTATCGAAGAGGTGGATGGAAAAGGTAAGTTTGTACGTTCTGTTTGGGAGCGACCTGAATACGGTGGAGAAGGCATCACCTGTGTCATGTCTGATGGAGATGTGATGGAAAAGGCTGGCGTCGCCGTCTCTGTCATCTATTCCGAACTCTCACCTGAAGCCGTTCGACAAATGCGTGAAGACCGTGGTAAAGATATCAATGTGGAAGGCACTGTTCCCTTCTTCGTGACAGGCATCTCGCTCGTCATGCATGCCAAAAACCCTCATGCTCCTACCGTCCATTTAAATTATCGTTACTTTGAAGTCATGAATCCAGATGGCACACCCAATATATGGTGGTTCGGTGGTGGGGCCGATTTGACACCTGTCTATCTCTATGAAGAAGATGCCATCTTGTTTCATACAATGTACAAGGAAGGATGTGATAAATTCGACAAGTCTTATTATCCCAAGATGAAGAAGGATTGTGACAAGTACTTTCTAAACGTCCATCGTGGTGAGGCTCGTGGTGTTGGTGGTATATTCTATGATGATTTCAATTCTAAACCTGCTGAAGAGATCTTTGAATTTGTACAAGAATTGGGAAACCGTTTCTTACCATCCTACGTGCCTATCTTACAGAGACGCAAGGATATGGAGTATACAGATGAAATGCAACGTTGGCAGCAAATTCGTCGAGGCCGCTATGTTGAATTTAATTTGGTTTGGGATCGTGGCACCAAATTTGGTCTTGCTACACCTTGTGCCCGTGTCGAATCCATCTTGATGACCCTTCCTCTCACTGCTCGATGGGAATACATGCACGAACCTGAGGCTGGCTCTAGGGAGGCTGCATTGGAAGAAGTCCTCAAAAATCCCAAAGATTGGGCATCTCTTAAAAATTAACATGTCTCTCTCTCTCTCTCTCTCTCTCTCTCTCTCTCTCTCTCTCTCTCTCTCTCTCTCTCTCTCTCTCTCTCTCTCTCTCTCTCTCTCTCTCTCTTTCAAACCATGTAAATAAAAATATATCAAATGCTTACCATCCTTTTTTTTTAAAATTAATTAATAATATACACAATTTTTTTTTATTTTATTTTTAAATCAGTTCCAAGTTAACTCTACCCAATAAAGGGTCTAAACTAGAGACTCGGACTCTAACGATTTCTCCTACTTGAACCTCCCGATTCAATCTAATGATACGTCCACGAATACCCAATTCTAATAAGGTACCTGTTGCCATTTCCATTACCCCACCTAAATCAGTGGAGGCCGTTCTACTAGGCATATTTACAATACAGTTCCATTCCATTGTATCCGTGAACCCATCTGCTCTCATACGATCCAACAAACTAATCACCCAAAATTGTATACTCTGTTGTTGCAAAATTGACAGTTGTTTCTCACGCGTCTCGATTCCCTTGGCCAAGGCATTCAGTCGTGGTAATGAGAAAGGCGCCTTCTTTTTACCAAGCAGATGTGACTTAATTTGCCAATGCACGACCACATCCAGGAACCGACGTAAAGGAGAAGTGGCCCGTGTGTAACCATCCGTAATACCCATCACGACATGAGGTAAACCTGGTTTGGTGGTGACTGTACTAGGAGGTAGGATGGACATATAATTTACCATATCTTGCATCTTCACCATACCAGTATCGGGATCACGACAGGCCATGAGTTCCTCGCGTAATTTGAGATCGGCGGTAGAAGAGGAAGGATTCCAGGATTGTGTACGGAAGGGAATATGTATATTGTTCTCATGCGAAAACTTACTTGCAATGCGACCGCCCATAATCATTGTTTCGGCTACCATTTGACGTGCAGGAGAGTAACCAGATTTATCTAATCTCACTCGAATGGCCGGTAAACTGGACGCGTAACTTGAAGAGCTGAACTGGATTTGAGGTAAATCCAACGGACTTGGTAAGAGTTCAATCACAGGGCTGGCCTTACTGAATGTAATCGCGCCATTCTTTCTACGTTTGGCTGCATGTTGATTTGACAGTTCGAAGATACCAAGTAAATCCTTTTTACAGTCCTCTTTTACGGTTGATTCTCTTTGAATTGTATGGTTATCTTGGGCTAAAAATGAGCCACTGGAGGGATGAGAAAATGTTTTGGAAAGATCGACGAGTGGATCAAATTGCTTGGGTGCTTTGTCTTGAAGTAACTTATCCAGATCATCATAATACACTTTGACAACGTTCTTTACAAGACTGGGTCGAATTTTGTAATCTACCAAGTTACCTTTGCCGTCTAATTTGGTACTGAATGTCAATGCATATTGGGATCCATCTTTGTTTGTATGTGCGGTTGCTCCCAAACTGAATTTTTGGGAGGAGAGCTCTTCGGGTAACATGGGGAAATGACGTTCTGGTAAATAAAGAGTTTGGGTCTTTCGATGCATCAAATCCGTTAATTCATGTGTGGGAGATATGTAGGTTGTAGGGTCTGCGATATGTACATGCAACCAAGCTGAGTCTTCGCCTGGGACATGTTCAATCGACACACCATCATCAATTTCTTTAGCTGAAGGATCATCGATTGTGTACACACGCAAATTTCCAAAATCATGACGAATCGACTGATAAGGGTCATCATTCATAAAATCTTGGCTCTTTCCAGTTAAAAATGCTGCTGTGAATTCGTTCATCCTCTTCTCACTTTGTTTGGCTTCTTTGGACCAAATGAATTCGCCGGCGACGGCTGCATTTTCAACTAATCCGGTATTATCCCATGGTTTGAACATGCCCACTTCCTTTAAGAATCGGATGGCTATGGATCGGTCAAAGAACAAAGTGTCATAAGTTTTAAATGCCTTTAAAATGTTGGGCACAAATACTTCATAAGGTGAATCTAAAATGACCTTGGGTGATTCGATCCAATCTGCAACAAAATTGATAAATTTAGCATCCGATTCCGTGAATGCATCAGTAAAGTTCTTTGATATGTCAAGAGCGGTTTGTGAAAGCGTTCCAAGAATTGGGTCTGAGTGGGTATTATAAAACGTGATAACTGCTTTTGCTCGGGATATAAACCCCGTATAGGACTCATCCCGGTTCCGGATAGAGCTAATGATGCTTGAAATGTTGGCGCACTCTTCCTCTGGTCTAAGCAGCCAGGAATCTGATCCTCGCACATCACGGGTAGGAATATAGTGGATATTGTCTGATACCATATATAAAAAGGTAACGTGACGCTGTAAAGGAGTTGGGGGATCGTTAGCAGAACGCATAAATGCAAACGAAGCTAAATCATTCAAAGCTACTGGTGATCCATTCTTTTTCTGAATAAAATGTTTGTACATGGATTCAAATTGTTGATGGGAAGTTGCCTTTGTTAAATGCAGAGTACGTTGATAATGCTGTATAGCTCTGCCGTATGCCACCGGAATTGTCTTTAAAAGTCCATTCGAATCTACGTCCCTCAAATTGACAGGCTCGGTTATTGTCTGTGATACTTGTTGTGAACTGGCAAAGTCTTTCATGCAAAAGGCGACACTGTCACTTCTTACTTCAAAAGTCTTTCCATTGCGAAGTAATACAGTCAATTGCTGAAGTCCACCACTTGATCGCTTTTGTCCCACTACCATGCCGCTATACTGTCCATTCCTAGTAAACATTGGTAAATATATAAGCGAACAGGAAATGCTTAACACACATACCTGAATGCTTCTACATAGTCGCCAATGTGAATGGCTGGTAATCGAAAGGATTTTTCACCAAGATTCAAAATGGTCTCGGGATCGACTATTTCAACGGCACCCTTGTTTATCTTGCTAGATAAAATAGCAGGGGAAATCACTACCTTTCTTGCTGCTGTGAGTGTCTGTTTCTGTCTTACAGCAAAAAGAGACAGCTGAGAACATTGCACAAAAGCTCGGGAACGTTGCCGAGCTAACCGCAACATGGAAGAGTAAAATAATGAAAAGGATACTCTTTTTTTTTTTTCTTCGGATGGGGTTTTTCTTTTTTCTTTATGGCTGTGACTATTATTTAGATAGTTTTTGGGAAACATTATTTCGTCATGGATACGTAAAAAGATATACGAGTTTAAAATGATATCTTTATTTCATACACTGATTTCATTTTTTTCTCCTGTTGCTGGGAACCAAAGAAGAAAAAAAGAAAGGTATAGCATTATTGGGGATGGTAGTCCCAATAGAAAAATTTACAAAATTTGTGTGTGGAATATTTAAGCACGAAGAAGAGTCTTTCCTTGAGTGGTAACCTCACCATCGGCTTCGACACCGTTGATATGGGGGCTTCCGAAAGATAAGGAGTTAACAGAGTCATCAGGAACTTCGACGGAGAAACCCTTGATGGCAGCGTTGTATCTGTGGTTGATAGTTCCACCGGAGGCCTCAACCTTCTTGATTTCTTCTTCGATAACTTCATCGGGAGTATCACCCTTGAAAGTAACGATGTAGGTAGATGCTAGAACACCCCCCACGTATTAGTAACTAGCTCTCCCAGACTCTTTAATCCCATTTTACTTACCAGACATATTGATTAGTTTTGTTTTTTTAAAAATTAAAAAAGATAAAGAAGAAAAGAATTCTGTTATTTTTTTCGAGCTTTTAAACTTATTTCAAGCAAACTTGGCGGACGTTGCTTTATTCGATTTTCGTGAACCTTTTTTTTAAAATCCAGTTGATCACGAGCTTGCCCAGCCAATCGTATTCTTGGCTAACAAAAGTCAACATCATCCTAAAGTAAAACGACGTAACTGTATACTTATGCAATTATCATGCCAGCTGACTAGTACCTCGGCCCTTGGTTCTTTTCTGTTGATCTTTAAATAATCGTTTATACCTACAGTAAATAAAAGATAAAAAGTGCTAGTATCTTTTAAGACTTGAAAAAATCATCATATTCATCGAACCTAACCATCGCCAGGGCTCAGGAGCGCTAAATAGCTTGGGGGCCTTTATTTACATAAACCCCCATTGCATTATGTTAGTACACATGACACCGGTAACTTGTAAAACGCGAAGACAAATACTTTGAGGCTTTCTTATTTTTCATTTAGTAGAACAAAGATATTAAACGCCTCTCATCTCATAAAGTAAAACCTTGTGTGAAAAAAATAAAATAAAAAAAAATATGCGCTAACGTTGTAATCATCGGACACTCTGTACTCTACTTTTCGGTACGACACTAGACCGCATGAAATATCCAGTTTGGACGTTAACCCCATTCTTAAGAAAAATTCTGCCATAGAGTACATCTTCTACATGTTTATCGACGCTATCTTGTTGGATTTATAACCTTTTTGTAAAAGGAAACATGCGTTATTGAAGCAACCGCAGACTTTAGCGCTATATGTATAAATAAACGGTGTAACCCAAACTTTAATCTTTTTGATGTAATAATCCGGACAATTTTCAAAAGTAGACACACGCACGCATGATTCCAGACAAAAATAAAAAACAGGTACTTCTATTTGTTTCTTTTATAAAAAAAGATATTTTTGACGCGATAACGTGTTATTGTCTTTGTGTTAAAATAAAGTACGACGTGTTTTAAATAATTTATAAAATTTCGGCGACAACTTTTCATCTGGCAATTATGCTTGGTGAGAAGAATATGACTATTGCATTTATATTTTACTAGCGATTGTCTTGAATAATGCGTATGCGCTTCCGATATACTAATGTTTACCGAAAATAGTGTTACAGATTTCATAGCTGCATGTTTCACTTTCATTTTTAAAAAAAAATTGCATAATTCTGTCCAGTTGTTACGATTCAAAACACAATTTTGTTTTATTTTAAAAAAAAATGGGGAAGAAACTTTACGTTGAATGTTTATTCGGGGTAGTGAGCCTCTTTATATTTTACAAAAAAATTAAAAGCTAGCGGATACGAGTTCTATTTAGCTTCTTCCTCCAGTATACGTGCTTCTTCCCATAGCGTCTTTCCGGAACAAGCGCATACTAGTTTAGTGTTCTCGAACGCACCAGCACTACGAGCAACAATACCACAGAGAATACCATTGCCGCTGTTACCATCATCCGTTGTGTCTTTTAAATCATCCTCATTTTCTGTTACAACAATACTTCTGCCAATAATATCCCAAACTTTAACTCTGGTGCTCTCAATGACAAGATCGCCCCAACCGTTTTCATCTACAATAACATTGCCAAGATCACCAATATGACCATCATGAATACCATCACCGTGGGATACATTTGTGGGGTTATAATGATCACCAGTTGATTTCCAACCTTCTGAAATATCACCAGTTTCGTGAATATGAATGCCGTGCTTACCGGGAGAAAGTCCCTGAATTGTCAAGTCGATCAAGCAAGTATCTTGGTCGACCTGGACAAATCTTGCCAAACCAGATTTTCCTGAAGGCAAAATAACAGTAGGGTCGGTACCATAACAATCAAAGATACAGACAGCGGCACCAGAATGGCCTTGTCCGTCGGGTACGCCTTGTCCACGTACGATCACAGTACGACCAGTATCCTTCAATTGTCTAGAAATAAATGATGGTGGTGCTATCTCCTGAATTATTACTCAAAATTATATCCTATCAGCAAGATCCAAAAAAATTACCTGGTCCCTCTACAACCACTTTCTTTTCTGCAAGGTCAACGTCAAATGAATTTACGCCTATGTATACATAGTCAGTCAACAGTTTTCCTTTCCCTTTTTTTGACCAGAATAAATCGGGTCTTGCTTATTTTACCTTCGATACCCTTCAATACTTTTGTGACATCTTGAACACACGACTACGGATAAAAGCGTTAATGTTTTGTCGAGATTACCATACAAGATTACTAATACCTCGCATGTCATTTCGACCGCGAATTCTGTCTGTTGTAATAATTATGTCAATATATTATTCATACTCATTTGAAAATAATTACTTTAAATGATTTAGTTGACATTTGAAGATGTTGTGTTGTTTTAGTTACAAGGGAAAAGCTGACATTGGTTTTTTCTTCGATTGTCCAAAATGCTTACAAATTATTATTGAGAGCCCGAAAAATAGATGTCAAGCCTCAAATGGAATGCGTTTGATTTTTATTATGCCGCTATTCTCTCTCACACAAATATTTCTCTCGATTTCTCTCTCTCATAAATATTTCTCCCTCAATTTCTCTCTCATACAAATACTTCTCCCCCAATTCCTCTTACATCTAAGTGAATTTTTAAAGCTTTGAGGCGATGCTGATTCTTCTTAGAAGTTGTTGTAAAACTTGTCTAAAGCAATTTTGATTTCCTTAATCCTATCCTTTTATATGGTTGGGCCATATCAATTCCCGTACTCATTTTCAGATGTCATCTAGACAACATTTACACTTCAAAGAAAGCAGAAATGATCCATGATTAATAATAATCTAGAAGAGCTCAAATTGTTGAAAAAACGAGGATAAAACATATTGAAATATGTCAAGGAACCATTTACTTTACACATATAACTCTTTTTCTTTTATATTGACGGAAACTTATGTTAAAGAAATATGGAGAAACATATTTGTTTTAATTTATCAATTCGATGGATACAAAAAGATGATATCAACTATACAATGTAGTATGTAATCCGATGGATAAAAATAGTAAAATTAATGGCTATAATCGGTTTTAAAAAAGTTATGACTGCAAATGGATTGTTGACAATTTTCTTGACATATTGTTCGCTTTTTTAATAGAAGTTGCCATGATTTCGGCAAGCTCTTTTAAAAGTCTATTTAAAGAATAATTGCTGATAATGGTGTCATTTCCCTCTTTGGCTAAATCGATAATATCAGCTACTATTTCTTTTGGGGGCGAATCGTAATCATACAAGGTCCAAATTTTGTACGGGCGGTGTGCGATGTCCACGGCAAAGTTCGAAAACGAGCAACACAGTGTGTAAGTTGATAAGCAATGAAACTTAGAGCGCACTTGCCGTAGTTGTGGGAACTAGTGCGATTGCTCCACATTCTCGCAGGATTCATCTTCAATTAGCTGTTTCGCATGTTTTAGCGATTCAACATTGATATACATTTTGGTTCTTGTGGTAGGGGCAAAGATAGGTGTTTCTGGTCCCATGTTTACAAATTCTTTTGATTTAATTGAATCACTGTCTAGTCTCACGCTGGAAGTGACCAATAAGTTTGAGACAAAGGTTCCAATTTTTAGTTTCCTGATATTATCTTCGATGACACTCACGGGTTTAATCCATCCATACGCAATCTCTTCTGTTGGAAATGAGCTTTGGTCTTGACTTACAGACAAGCAACGCTCATAGTGAGTATCTGTTGCTTTTAGTCGTCCATATGGTTCGACAGCATTGATAAGCATTACCGATGCTTGATCTATGAGAATTGCGTCTGCAAACAACTTTGATGTTGCAAATCGCAACTGAGGAAAAATAGTCCAGTCACGGTTGATGTTTTTGAGGAAATGTCTAGACCTCCGTATTTTTTTCAAACGTATTTTTTTTATACCACTTACAGGAATTCTGGCCAGAAGACCAGCAGGCCAGTATGTTTGCATCTATTTAAAATACATCCCTGCTATTCACAGTTGGTGAGTTCCAGAAACTCAAGAACTCTGCCTAGGAGGTCGCTCTCCTATAGCAAAGACTAGCCGCAGCCGCAATATCACAATATATATCTTTTCTAATTTAGCTTTTTTTCAAAGAAACAAGAGTCACTACAGAACAAACCTTTTTACGTGATCGGTTACTTTCATACAATAAAAGAAGCATGTTAAGGGAAAAGAAAAGGGGAAGAATAAAGTGTGTGAACCAGCTTTATTTATAGATAAACAAGCTTATGTCAGGATGATTTCATTTGTCTATTTTATCATCCATAACGTTTGAGCCTTTACTTAAAATAAAAACATTGGCAAAACCCCCCAAGCAAATCAAAACTTGGTAGTTGTCTATCTGCGTTCCAGTAGTAGCTTGTAATGACAGTGAAGCAGATTTTATGGAATACAGAAATCAATCATCCTATGAAGTTTAGACGATATGGCATGTCAATTAACGTGTAGACCTTCACATAATTCTAAAAAAACGTTTGAAAAAAAAAATACATTTGAAAAAAATACGGAGTTCTAGACATTTCCAATCCACCGTCTTCTTTGTGAACTAATCTTATAACTATTTTTTTTTTTAAACAAATGCCAAGTTTATCTTTTAAATTATCAATCTATTTTTTTACCTTCTTCGATGTGAACTTCTATACACATTACATGAACCTTAAATTTATGAACAGGCAAGTCCTTTATTTTGAAGGATAGTTCACAAATTTCGCACGCAACACTATATTCGTTCATGATGGTGCTGAAAAAAACAAAAAACAAAAATATTTCTCTCTCGATTCCTTTCCGATTCCTCTCTCAAATGTCATATCTTAGTAGCAAACATATTTCATTATGGATTTCTTGAAATAGATAGCTAATAATGGTTTATTGCGGATCAAAAAAAAATTATATATTAAGTTCTATCGAAAACTTTTGAAATTAAATGTTATATCGCAAGCAACAAGTTTTAATTTTGTGAGCAAGGTTCTGTGGCAAATATTTCTGATTGTTTAGTTATATCTGAGGGTTTCAAGCAGCCGGATCTTTGAATACAACTGTTCCAAAAGAAAATGTGACACCATATACTAGATTCTTCACATGGATTCATATAGCCCACAGGTTTGTTGCGGTATAGTAACTGTGGTATCATTTATATTTGATCGAGAAACTTTTATGACATAATGATCTTCATTATAACTATGTAAATCTTAAAAGTGCATAAAGCTAATAGCGTAAGTTTTCTAGTTCGCCCTGGATATTGTACATTTGTTTTTCGTTGAAGTGAAGCGTAACTCTACTGGATCTGAGGCTAAAAAAAATTTTACTTGAGTGGGGCCCAATTATTAATTTTATTTACCTTTTTTCTCTCCTTCATCTCGAGATCAAATTAAACGCGTTTCATCATGGCTGCCAAAAGACCTTCCGATGCTGAATTAACTCAAAAAGTAGGCGATAAGCAACGGGTAGTTGTGAACGTCGATATTAATAGTTGTTAAAAAATAGTATAACCAATACAAGAATGAATTACAACAATTAGCCCAGAAAATTGGTGAATTAGAGTCGGAAGTCGAGGAACACAAGTAGGGGGGGACATTAGCATCCTTAATAGGAAACGGATGAACTGACATGTACAAATAGGCTTGTTATCGATAGTATTTCACCACTCGAACCTGGACGTAAATGCTTCCGTATGGTAGGAGGTGTTTTAGTTGAAAGAACAATCAATGAAGTTTTGCCTGCTTTAGAGACCAATTTTAATGGTGTAAGTTACTTCTATGAACTAGAAAAGTACTGGAATTTAACATATTGAATAGATTCAGCAAGTCATCGAATCCTTATTACAATCTTACAAGCGTAAAGAAGAGGAATTTGTTGAATTCCAAAAGAAGTATAATATCCAAGTTGTATCCAAACAGCAACAATAAAAAAGTATGAGATATATTACTAAAAAACGAGGATAGCGTTAATATTTGGCATGGTAAAAGGAGTGTAAAACAGTACGAATGCAGTTGATAAATTTTTGTACACTTCCTGATTGTGAAAAAAGTCCAGGATAGCACTCGAATAATAAGGGTAAAAAAAAATCAACGTTCCTCCACCACTATTTTTTATATTGCACTTTTCGATGATAACTCTTCAGCATCAAAGAAAAGATTCCAGTCTAAAGCACTGATATAAGGGACGATTATCCAATTATTACGAATTTGGCAAGGATTTAAGCGGCAATTATATTACTCTAAGTTTTTAAACTGGTCACACATTTGGGTCTTTTTTATATCAAAGACTAGTTATTGCCGAATATATCATGTGTAGTCATTGAATTTCAATATTTTTTATGTCATATTGTTTGGACCCTTAATGACTAAACTTAAAAAGTCATTGGGACCCTTAACTTTGTCTAACGCACTACAAGCCAATGATGTACAACACGTATTGAAGTAATGGAAGATAGTGTTAATAAATTTCTACACTTCCTATAAGGTAGATCAAGCCTGAGTAAGGGTTTTATGTGAATTGTTAACATCCAGAACTTAGCGCTCCAGTGCTGTCCACATGCTACTGATAAAATGACACATTTGATTGGTGCTAAAATAATGATTTATATGCAGCCATCCTAAAATTGCTATCGAAATGTATCAGCTACAAACAGATATATTTTATAGAATACTAGAACTATTATTAATCCTCGTAAAATGCTATAAATGCGATCGATAACTTTTCTAGTGGGTCCCCATCTAGGTTACCATAATGCAGACTCCAAAAGGTATAAACAGCATATAAGGTATTTTGGTGATAGTAGAAAGTAACGATACATTTAATATCTTTGTAGAAAGAAGACGAATCTTGCACATAACAAGAATAAGATTATTATTACAAATTGACACCCGAGGTTTGATTTATTTTCATTTCAGTGGTACAATCCACAAAGCAGTCAAAAGCACCTTAAAATTTAGATCATGTGTCTGGGTAAATACGTAAATCTCGTCAGTAAAGTAGAGAGGGGAATTTTTGTTCTTTTTTAACTTTTGCGCACAACATATACACACACACATATATCCACCTTTTCTTGATATAAATAAAAACAGAATATAAATCTTAAAACATCAAATGAACATTGGAGATACAAATAGTAACGAAATTCTGTTTCTAAACTTTAACCAAGACTTTAGTTGTGTTTCTATTGGTACTGAAAAAGGCTACAGAATTTATAACTGTGATCCTTTTGGCAAATGCTATTCGAAACGTAAATTCTCTCAATTTTGATCTTTTTCAAGGACTAACCTGTATGTTAATAGTCGCTGGAGGAACTGGAATTGTGGAGATGTTATTTTGTACATCGCTTGTCGCACTTGTTGGGGCTGGTGAACAGCCAGCATTTTCACCAAGACAATTACAAATCATCAATACAAAGGTATGTGCTGGATAGTTGAACCTACAAAAAACCCTAACAAAATTACTAGAGACAAACGACAATTTGTGAGCTATCATTTCCTACTGCTATTCTCGCAGTCAAAATGAATAGAAGAAGATTAATTGTTGTGTTGGAAGAGCAGATCTTTTTATATGATATCAGCAATATGAAGCTTCTTCATACCATTGACACAAATCCTAACCCTCAAGGTAATCGATAAATTAGAATATGATATCAATCGAAGCTAACACATTCACTTAAAAGCTATTTGTGCCTTATCTCCTTCGAGTGAAAATTGCTTCATCGCTTATCCTGCGCGCTCTTCTACATCACCTTTTTCACCCAATAATCAATCTAACAACACATTTTATGTGTCAGGTGATGTCGAATTATTTGATGCGCTTGGTTCCCAAACTACCAATATCGTTCAAGCGCATAAGAGTCCTGTCAGCTGTATCTCTATGAATGCCGAAGGTACTTTATTGGCAACGGCCAGTGAGAAAGTAAGTGTATATGCCTCAAACGTTAATGGATATTTACTTGTTTATGCAACAGGGAACTGTTATTCGAATTTTCAATACCTCCAACGCTGAAAAAGTGTACCAGTTTAGACGTGGATCATACCCAGCAAAAATTTATTCCATGTCATTTAACATGGTGAGCTCACTTTTATGTGTATCAAGTGCAACTGAGACTGTTCACATCTTCAAATTAGCGGCAAGCGGTAGTCCTGGACTTGGTAATAACAATAATAATAATAATAATGGTTATGGTAACAATGGCATGTACGCCAATGATCAACAAGAAAAGGAACCAAGGGGTAGAAGTTCAAGCGTTGGGTAAATATACTATTAAGCATCACTATAAAAATTACTAAACATATCCCAAAGTCAAATTCTTCGACGATCATCAATGCACCTTGGACGAAATTTAGCTGAAAGTATGGGGTCGTATTTACCTGATGTTTTGACTGAAATTTGGGAACCTACTCGAGATTTTGCCTGGCTCAAGTTACCAAGTGCAGGTGTAAGAAGTCTAGTTGCTCTCAGCAGGTAAGTTTTTAAAAGGATGGGCATTTGGTGATGTGTTGTAAACCTATCCTTCTGTAGTACTACACCCCAGGTGATGGTGGTTACCTCGGAAGGATTTTTTTATCAATACAATATTGATCTGGAAAGCGGTGGAGAATGTGTACTTCTCAAGCAGTATAGGTAAACTACCTGGATATCCTTGTTGTGTTCTCGTTTTCTCATCTTTTTTTTTTTTTTTTTTTTTTTTTTTTTTTTTTTTTTTTTTTAGCTTGTTAGAACCGACAGATGATAATATTGGTGTAGACCAGTGAGCATTATACTCATTTTTTATCAATTTTGATATGATACCTATTTTTCCCTATGAAATGTATGAAAACTATGTAATAAAGTTATTGTTCAGACATGCCCTCTATAAATGTTGTTTATCGCTACAGACTTTTGCAATGTTTCCGAAGGGCCTAACGTGTCAAATAAAAATACTACCGTCATATCATCACTGATGCTTTGCTAGAAAGTTCAATCAAAGAAACAAATAATCATCAGTGTTGTACTTTTTGGTATACTAGCTTTACTCTATGTCTTACACTTGTTAGTTGAAGGATTAGCAATTAGTTTCGTACAATATCATTTAGTGTGATTCAGGACCGGTAAATGTGGTAGCATTGATAAAAAAAAAGTATGTTGAAAGATCGCTTTTCTCGTTTTACAGCCGGATAACTCCAAGATTTCCTATCCTTTGTTTTCCGAATAAACTCTGATGCATTTTGTATAATAATAAATATCTATAGTTGAGCATCCGTTTATTTGTCGTACTTTTATATCGAATTACCTAACCTATAAAATAAAATTTATTGCATATACCAAAACAATATAACAAAAAAAAATACAATTTTCGATAATGGAGGAAAAGCAAAAATGAAAGGTAGCATACCATGCTTCCAAGGAAGTTGATGGGATGCTACCGGTGGATGTTAGTGCCTTCTATCAGAATTGAACTGATGACCTTCTGCTTACTAGGCAGACGCTCTGCCAACTGAGCCAAGAAGGCTTCCATGCCTGAAAAGGTGAAAAGTAGGGTTTTTCTTCCAATAAAACACTTCTTGGTCACGTGACGACCCGAGATTTGGGTTTTTTTTCAGACAATTTTAAAGGAACAAAACAAAAAGACATAGGTTACTTTTGAAGCCATTTTATATACAGCGGTTCATAAAAAAACAATAAAATAGGTTAATGGAAGGTAAAGAAGGAGGAGTTTTTGTTTCAACACGGAATTTTTATAGTTTGAGTTTCAATATGATGATGGTGATTAAAAAAGTAAGTATGATGGAGCAATTACTTATAAAATGAATACTTTTTACAACATTATACTTCTTTTAAATTCTATGATATATAAGGGTTAAGGCAGAAGCCATATCACAACCCTTGTTTTTAAATTATTAAAGGATAGATGATGAAATAAGGAGGTGTGATTATATAAAATTATTTCTAAATTTAGAAATCATTGACGCGATTTTAAAAAACAAATCTATTCTGACCAATTATAAACACTACACGTGATAATCACGTGATTTGTATTTATTATTTAAATTATATAATTTTTACAAAACTAAAAATCAAGAAGTCCTTGATGGTCTAGTGGCTAGGATTCGTCGCTCTCACCGACGCGGCCGGGGTTCAATTCCCCGTCAGGGAATTCATTTTTATATTTTTTGCGATTATAGCGGGGTTTTAAAACTCGTCCTGCTCTTCAAATAAAGCTGGCACCTGTGATGGTGAGGTCAATTTGCTGTTCATAAGTGTATGGCAGTAAAAATGAGCTTGATAAAAGACATGCAGTGAGCAGTTTCCCATTGCTGCCGCTATAATATTATAATATTATGCCCCTATTCTTGCTAAATATACGCGCATGCTTTAATGCTTTATCGTAAAGCAATTAAATGTCATTGAAAGTCAAGGGTGCCGAAAAAAAAAACCTGTTTGTGTTCTTTCTCTAAAGATAAAGTTGCCAGTAGCATGATAAAGCGGTCACTGAATAATAACTGAGTTGAGTTTAATTTTGTTCGTCCCACACTTTTCTATTTCCCCATTCCTTTTTGCATATACATTATTTTTCACACACCATTATGTCACATTTTCGCTGCCCAAGCTCTTCTCTTGTTGAAGAAGCAGGATTATATGCTTATCGACCTATCAAGGGGTTAGATGAAAGCTTACTTTATAAAGAAGACGAAGAAGAGGGAACAGCGATATATAATAAACTTGACGCTAATAAGCGTTGCTGGATTTGCTTTGGAGAAGACACAGATTCCGAAGGAAGATGGGTGAATGCTTGTAATTGCTCATTAATCTCTCATGAGCAGTGCTTACTAGACTGGATTGCAGAAAACCAGAAAATGACACCTTTAAAAAAAGTAACATGTCCTCAATGCTCGTGCTCATATTTATTGTCAGAAAAGCATAGCTTACCTCTTGTTATCATGAGTATGTTCGATGGGTTGGTACAGACAGCAGCACCATACATAACCGTATTAGGTCTTGGGTGTTCCTTATTAATTACTTCTACTACCTTTGGCGCTTATACGGTTTTAACTTTGTTCGGAACTAGACAAGGTGAGTTATTGATTGGGAATCCTGCGTTATGGACATGGCGAACTTGGCTTGGTCTACCTTCAATTCCATTGGCATTGATAGCTTCTAGATTAAAATGGGCCGATAATGTTTTACCTGCCGCTGCTTTGTTGTTACTTCGATTAACTGGCATTTCTTACCCATTGAGAGTCACGTGGCCACCTTCTCCAGCAGTCATGTTTGGCCTTTTGCCGTGGGTAAGGTAATATACGTAAAACTGTATTAGAACGTAGAGTCATTTTTTTCGTATTAAATTCTAGTTATCTACCTCTAGATTACTTTATAGCAATATTTATGCACTAGTTCAGCGTAGATTATTGCGCATATCACAACAAAGAAGAAGGACACTGGATGGAATTGATATACATGAAAGAAGTAATGAACAAGATGACCAGGTACTATTTGGAAGAGAGGGTAGAGACATAAGCGTCACTGTAATTGGCGCGCTACTATGGCCAACTATAAGTAGTATTGTGGGAAGGTAAGCTAATCAATTATATCAAGGTCAATTTTCTCACTTTTTGTTTATCTGAAGCTATCTGAGCCATTCTAAATTCGTGCGACGTTATTTTCCAGAACCATTTCAAAGAAATGTTTTAGGTGGTTGTTTATTTGTTCTCGCAAAGGTAACGTAACGAGCATGTAACCATAAAAAAAGTGGTACAAATTTTTTATATCTATTATTAGGACGTGGCAAACCTGGTTTATAGATATGAGAGAATAAGACAAAGAAGATCACGCCGTGTTGTTAATTTTCACGATATCAAAAGACGATCAAAATAAGCAGTTGTACGCAGGTTTATACGGCAGTTTTGAAACGATACTTTTATCGAATTAAGTTTTGTTATTATAATTGAATAAAATATCCCCTTTTTGATACTATAAACAGTGGCACATATGTGAAAATAAGTTCGAACAGGTGATGTTCAGGAACCCACTTATTTTTTTACTTGAATTCCAAACGAACAACGATGAGAATTTCTAATTCAAAAACATTATTCTTCAGGCTAGACAATAACCAAAAAGTGTTTTGCTTGTAACATACCAGGTTCTTTTTTTAGATAACTGGTTCTTGAACACCGTATTCAATAAGAAATACTCAAAAATGTTGTCAATAAAAAAAAATTACTGTTAATCTAAGGATGACTTATAATGTTGAGTTGAACATAGTTTCAATTTATTTGCATACACCGCTACAAGAGAGCCATATAATGCTAACATACATGCCTGAAACATTATTTACCAACCATTTACTATAACTAATATTGTGAAGGCAAACAGACAACAACAACAACAACAACAACAATCCTTTTGGCTATCCGTAAATATGCTTCTTTCAATAAAAGTCCAAACAAATTTGATATGTTGCAACAGACGTAAGAGAGCTTTGACGATAGAATAAGCACTATCAGCAATGGTAGAAAAGGAGCATTCATTTCATCTATAGATCAATTGTATTCGTGTGGAGACTCACCTTGCCAATATAGCTTTGGAAAATATATCGAGGTCTTCTATCTTTTATTTTGGCATAAAAGGAGATATCTTCCTTAAAAAATAGTAAGTTTTTTATGGTATACACCATTGTCTATGACATCCGTAGGTAACTTAATCCTATGAATTTATTTTCAGCTATGATTTATACCTATCCAAAAAGGGTAAAGCAATATATGCATGTAACCACGACATCAATTTTATCATTTTAAAACATGATTATATAATCTAAATTTGCGTGACTTGTAACAAGGAACAGGGTCCATTTTTTTGTTTTTACCCTTTTACCCAAATTAAATACTTGATTCCACATTGTTTTTTGTTTCTAATTTGAAAGTAGCATGCGCCTAATTGTTCGCCAAGATTACGAGGAGGTTTCTGCTTATTCAGGTTTATATAGAGCTTAAGCAATAAAGTTATTTTTATTTAAAATTGACCTTAAATTTTTTACCATTGAAAGCATATTATGTAAAAGAAAGAATCAACCAATTTAAACCGACTGCCGAAAGACCATTTGTCCTAGGACTACCTACAGGATCCTCACCTATTGGTGTTTACCATAAATTAGTAGAATTCTATAAAGCAGGAGAATTGAGTTTTCAACATGTAGTAACATTTAATATGGATGAATATGTTGGTTTACCAAGGTACTTTTCCAATACCTTCTGCTCTATACGTAAAGACTAATGTATTTTATGTAGAAACCATCCGCAGTCATATCACTCATTTATGTGGAACCATTTATTCAAGCATGTTAATATTAAACAAGAGAATGTGCATATATTAGACGGTAACTCAGAAGACCTTGACGATGAATGTTCTAAATTTGAGGCCGATATTGTTAAGTTGGGTGGCATTGAATTATTTTTAGGCGGTAAAGTAAAAAATAAAATAAAATGGTGCATAATTTTTTCTAAAATAGATTTTCGCTTAGGCATTGGACCAGATGGACATATTGCTTTCAACGAACCCGGTTCTTCTTTAACCTCAAGAACAAGGGTTAAGACATTAGCATACGAGACAATTATAGCTAACGCTAGGTTCTTTGGTGGAGACTTAACTCGGGTACCTAAACTTGCCCTGACGGTGGGTGTAGCGTAAGTGACCTACATACATAAATCAAACGAATGACTAAATAGCGAAATAGAACGGTAATGGACGCTAAGGAGGTTTGTATAGTAATTACAGGCGCTCATAAAAGTTTGGCCTTATCAAAATGTTTAGAAGAAGGGGTAAATCACATGTGGACCGTGTCGGCGATACAAATGCATCCTAAAGGATTGATTATTTGTGATGAGGATGCAACATTGGAACTCCACGTTAAGGTAGTAACAAATTAGAACGATAGAAGTAAATAAAGACTATCTTTTCATTGGTAATAACAGCTTTTTTTTTTGTCCAGACCGTACGCTATTTCAAATCAATTGAACATGTACACCAATCAATTATAGGTCCACATAATCTTGGATTACAAGGTAATTTGTTAAGGAACATGGTTGATTCAAATCAAGCTGCAAAACGAAGAAGAAGATTAATGCTTCAGAGTTTGTTGAACGATCAAGATGAAGAGAGTCATAGTTATTTTTCTTCTGATGAAGATGCTCAAAAGAAAAGACATAAAAAATAAACAATAAATAAATAAATAAAAAAAAAAAAAAAAAATGGCCGAAAATGGTTAAGAAAAAATAATTGGGACTGTTTGGAAAAAAGATTTTTTTCAGAGGCCCCCCCCTGGCTTTGATTTTAATTTTTTGTATAAAAAGAAATGAAAATTTCTCAATTTTTTCAAATTTTCAGATTACTCCCCTCTCCTTTTTCTTTATCTAAAAGTATTCAAAATGGCCACTGCTGAGCAAAACTCCAACAAGTTCATCATCGTAAGTTAACCTTAATTAATAAGAAAGAAAGTATTGTATACTGATACACTATTCTCTTTCTAGGATTTCCTCATGGGTGGTGTTTCCGCTGCTGTCTCCAAGACTGCTGCTGCCCCCATTGAACGTATCAAGCTCTTGATCCAAAACCAAGATGAGATGATCAAGCAAGGTCGTCTTGCTTCTCCTTACAAGGGTATCAGCGATTGTTTCTCTCGTACCTTGAAGGACGAAGGTGCCATCTCTTTCTGGAGAGGTAACACCGCTAACGTCATCCGTTACTTCCCTACTCAAGCTCTTAACTTTGCCTTCAAGGATAAGTTCAAGCGTATGTTCAACAAGGATAAGAACAGAGATGGTTATTGGGCTTGGTTCGCTGGTAACTTGGCTTCCGGTGGTGCTGCTGGTGCCGCTTCTCTTTTCTTCGTTTACTCTTTAGATTATGCTCGTACTCGTCTTGCTAACGATGCCAAGTCTGCCAAGGGTGGAGGAGAGCGTCAATTCAAGGGTCTCGTTGATGTCTACAAGCAAACCTTGAAGTCTGATGGTATTGCCGGTCTTTACCGTGGTTTCAACATCTCTTGTGTTGGTATCATCGTCTACCGTGGTCTTTACTTCGGTCTTTACGATTCTCTTAAGCCTTTGCTTCCCGAGAACCTCCAAAAGTCTTTCTTGGCTACTTTCGCTTTGGGTTGGGCTGTTACCACCGGTTCCGGTCTTGGTATGTATTTTATATTTATTATTATTTTATTATTCAGGGGTGGTTTATTAACAATTCTCGCTTACTATTTTAGCTTCTTACCCCATTGATACCATTCGTCGTCGTATGATGATGACCTCTGGTTCCGCTGTCAAGTATGACTCTTCTCTCCACGCTTTCCGTGAGATCGTTGCCAAGGAAGGTACTAAGTCTCTCTTCAAGGGTGCTGGTGCTAACATTCTCCGTGCTATTGCCGGTGCTGGTGTCTTGTCTGGTTATGATTACCTCCAAGTCTGGATGTTCGGTGAGAAGTTCTAAATTGTTTAAAAACTCTTTTAGACCCACTCTCTTACTCTCATCCCCATTGTAATATTATATATTTAAAGCAACCTTTTTTTATAAACATTAATATTCCTTTTCATGTTTACAAATAAAACCTAAAAAAAGGCCTTAGAGCCTTTGTATTTAAGAAAAAATACCAAAATTAACCTAGTTTTCCGTACCTATTTTTTTTTTTTTTATCTCTACCCCCCACGTTCCAACATTTATTTAAAGATTTGATCCCGAAACTTATCAAATCAATCACAAATGGTTAAAACGAGAACCCGTTCTTAGCAATTAAGATCGTGATTTTTTTACTCCACATTATTGTGCACAAACAAATTTTAAATGGAGAATCAAAACAAACGGTAAATCACAAATAGACGGGTGCTCTTTCCGGTGTTTCCCATTACCCTGATAACCTCGGGTCGAAATAAGAATTTTTATTCTTTATTTCAAGAGAGAAAAAAAATAAAAGAAAAGGCTGGATGAATATTCAACTCTTTGCTCGAAAGGAGTGTGACACTTTAACCAATTAAAACTTTTTTCAAACCCAAAATTGGATTAAAACATTTCCTTGATAAAAATTTCGATTAGCTCAATATTTGTTTTGAGCTAAAACATAATGTTTTCTTTCTCCCCGGCAGATATCAGAATAATCATTCATGGTTTGAAACCATTCTTCGTTTCAAGATATGATCCCATTAACAGATCAAAGCTCGAAAATCCCCGATTTATTGGTGTAACGCCAATTGCATTTTTTCTTACTTATACACACTATGTATTAAGACACACAAGTGTTCATACGACTGTTTACTCCACTCCACTCCATGCAAATTGTTATATGCTCTTAAAGTATTGTTTCAGTAACCAATGCTAAATTAAAGATATAATTTAAAGTTTATCAGATTTAAGGTTGATAATTCTTGTATCCCCCTAAAATAGCTTTCGGAGTGTGGTTCATTTTTATCGTGACTAAAGGCAGATATTTTCGGATTTATGCAATGTAAGGATGAGGCTCAAATATCTCGGTAACAACAATACTAGCCCCTTACAAAGCATTGTTTAAATATCTGCCTTAACTTTTATGAAATGTTAATTTTTTATTTGCCTTAGCCATCGAGTAGATCCTAATACACAACCAAATCTGAACCCTTCAAAATGGGGTTTCTTGGTCCAACAGAATGGATTAATAAATGTCACAGATTTTTTTTCAGAACATGCCCTTTATATCGGTTTTATTTACACTTTTATCGAACGCGCTTTCACTTTGCATCTTTGCATGAATGAGGCTCCTATTGATAATTTTCAATATAAAGTGACACACAATCAGGTGAATTAGTATTATATCTTAAAATGTCAGCGCTAGTTTGATTCGTATTATTTGTCTGTATAATAATTTCTTGGTTTATGTGTTTTTATGTCCCGTTGGACTTGCTTGTGCAAGACCTAGGATGTGGCCTATGTATTTTAGAAAGGCCGTTCATATTATTATAGGATATCAGAACGTTTGGTAAACATGTCACACTTATAGAAAACGCTATGGTTTATACACAGCACTTTTTCCAATTAGTTATTATGTCTTCTGTTACTATAAACAAGATGGGCCCTCGCTATTTAATAAACTTTATGGTGAATGGACACCAAATACGGGTCTCTTAGGGACAGCCAGGGTGCGCACAGTCGTAATGTTGGGATTATGATACTTTAATAGACACCAAGAGGTCAATATAACTTAACAACATAAAATATATACACATTTATCACAACTAACATAGTTTGAACCAGTATATGTATTTTAAAGCTAACTTTCAGCTTCTCGTTTGGACTTAACATTAATATTTCTGCGTAAGATTTAATTCAAACGAGCTCAAAGGCGAAAGAGTGATAATAGAATTGTCAAAATAAGTATAAATCGTTTGATGTACATTTATTTGTAATTTTTACATTGTTTTTGATTGTATATCCTTGTTCCCATGTCTACAGAACATCCAAACTATAGATCTTACGTTGCGACTACGTGCACTTTGGCTGACCCTAAGAAAAGCGTAATTACTATAGTTTTTTGGGGTACTAAAAAGTCATCGGGCTTATGCTTCGATATACTTTTGAAAAAGAGCAACGGTCTTTACTTTTTTGGTTAAATTGTGTACTGGTGTCCCAAAATTATTTAACTTTTTAACCCGTTTGTTAAAGGGACAGGAGGCATAATTGGCTAAATAGACTATAATATACGTTGTGTCTCTCAAATACGTCCCAAAAGCCACAACGCCGGAAGGAGGCTTCTTAATATACGTATTATATTTTAGAAAAGTATACTCATATAATGTTGCAACCAATGATAGTATGGCTTGCTGTTACACAGGATAGGATCTTTCTTATAAAAACTCTTCTTATTTTTTTATTTGAATAAATATTCTTTAGTTTCGTCCGCCTAAATTTGGGATTTATCTTGTAATTATTACTAAGTAGTATTTCCTCCGCTTTTTGTTGCTGTTTGTTGTTCATTGTAATTATACAATCACTACATCTTCTTACATAAACCCGTCATAAACTCTTTACTGTTTTACATCTAAGAACTATATTCTCTCCTCATCTCTTACTGTATCATTATCGATTTACATTTATTTGTCTTATCCATATATTTTTTCGTCTAAGATTATTACGGAAATATTCTTAATAAATAATAAAACTAAGTTGACAACTAAAAGTCTGGTGCTCACTATCACAATTGTTATATAATAATAATTGTCCCTTTTTAAATCTAAATCCGTACTAGCGCTATATCAATAGAAGACACTTTTTTTTTCCCTATTATACCTACATGTGTAATCAGTGTAAACCTCGCATTTAATTGTTAAATATTTTTGACATTGGTATTTCATAAGCATTAAAAAATTGTAAGTTTTCTATGTCCCATAAATTATATGATAGTTATCAGCTAACTAGACCTCTGAAGACTTCCATCAAGTAGCAATTTGCGTTACAGTCACACTTTGAACATTTTGTTTCTTAAAAGTTCGAAACAATACCCGAAAGCTATGATAGAATTATCTACCTAGTAATCAAAATATATCTGGTCTTTAGTAGATACGATACATTAAAAAAACAACAACAATAAAAAACCTAAAGCTAGTGCATCCGGAACAGAGCTTAAACTAAAAAAAAAAATACAAAACTGTAAAACCATAAACAGTAAGCATATGTAGTAATAACAGTTGGACGAAGACAGAAATAGTTATTGGAGATAATTTGCAATCATTTATTAATATATTGTAAGTGACTATCGAGGAGGAGGCTGCGTACCAGGGCGAGGTGTAGGAATAGGATTGAAAAGAGGAGGTCTTCTAATAAAGTTATTCATTGAATAAGAGCTTTGTTTTGGTAACGATGAAAGGAAACTTTTTAAATAACTCCGTAGCGATACTATTTATATTCATATGTTGGCAACATATATCCGTAGATTTTTATAGGACTAAAGTCTTCACAATGGAGCATTTTTAAATTGGTATATTTCCATGAAACAATACGACATTATGCTTTAATTGAAAATGTAGCATATTATTAAATGCGTTGCTTACAGTGGAAACATTTTTTTTACAATGGTTTATAGTGTAATGAATTTTAATTACTGAACACACAATTTGAATACCAATTGACGATATAAGCATCTAGATTGGAAAAGAACTCTTATATTGCCGAAACCCCACCAAGGAAATCGACAAGTACATTACATTAATATATCATCTGGCGTCTGTAGTGATAATTGATAATCTTTAAGTTTGTTATGTTTTATGGTTGATATGACTAATAATAATAGTCTATTGTGATAGAATTAATTATCAAGTATATCATGCTCTTTGGTATATTTACTATTAAAAATCAATGACAGATCTGAATATAAAAAATATTTTGTGGTGCTCATATAAGTCTCATTTTATTGAAATAAGTTTATTTACTGAGTTTTGATTAACAAGAAGGCGATTAGTCTTAAATGAATCCGACAGAAGAAAAAAATAATTATAGCTAAGTATATAAACGACACACATTTTAGTATTCATGTCTGTCGTATTTATCCCAAGATATACTGCTTTAAGGTATAACATCATTCATTGATAACTACTACCTCTTCGATATTGGGCTCCTAATGATATCATACAAGCTATTGTATTCCAGACTTTACTTACTATACACCTCCCACTTAATATACACGCATCATACTACGTACTGACACACGCAAAATTAAGAAAGTATAACAAAATTTTTTTATTTATTTTTTATGATTATGTTCTAAGGATTATTCATAGATAGTAGGAAGACCACCTGGGCGAGGCTTAGGGGCGGGTTTCTCGGGTTTGCGTCCTTGGATACGGTTCATTTGATGATTTGATGATTTGATGATATTGATAAAAAAAAAAAAAAAAAAAAAACTCGAAGTTGCTCGATGGTATTTATATAAATATTTTGACAACATATAATGCTTACCTTGTAAACCAGTATAATGATCCACTTTCTACCACTAAATTTATTTTACTGAACACAAAACAGACGCTAATTATGGAATAGGATGTCAGTGTAAATGTGTGAGATGTCGTGTACAGATGATTTGCTTGACAATGAATTCATATTCCACACATGTGTAAGTGGCAACTTTCTTATTCATACTTTATTGAGGACATAATTGATTTCACTTGTACATTGTTGCTAGTACAATTCTAAAGACATAAGAATCAGTCAGCGAAAACAATGAAACTAAGTGTTTGATTATGTATGGTATTTAATATTTATATTCATTGGGGCGAATAAATTTGTTGAAGATAACATACATATGGGTCTTTTTAACATTTATTACGTTTGCTGACAACTTACAGTAATGTGATACCAAAAAGGGACCATTTTGCATAACATGTATAAGTGACTTTCGAATTTTAAGTTGAGATAATGTTATAGTTTCTTTTAAAGGTAGTGGGTTGCTTTGTTTCCATAAGCTCAAGATCGCTAATTTTTGAACTGAATTCTGAACTGAGGTTATCGTCAAACCTATGATCTTATTGAGAGAAATGCTTATCAAATGATGATAACGTTCCCAAAATATTCAAGTGAGTTATGTGCAAATGCTACTATTTAAGTGTCACAAGCTGTCAATTCAACAAAATGCGTAACAAGATTGAGTGGATTTAGTAATTAATGGGTACTTATTTTTAAGAGTGGTCCATCCATCAAGAGAAGATGCTTTAAGTTTATGTATTTGATTTATAGACGATGATGAACGCTGCCGTGGTGTGACTTGACTACTTGAGAACTAAGTAAACATATCGTCTCCCACTTATAACTGGGTACTTTTGACGCCTGAAATAAAATTTAGTCTGCCCAAAATGACTTCTGGAAACAATTGCGTATACAATTAATGCGCTTTAAATTTTTTCCAGCATGAGTAAGCCCAACACATTCATAAAGACAAAGGTCAATTCTGAGTGATAACTAATGCGAGAACAAGGGCCAATGCCAATCCAGCGGAAATGAAAATACAGTGACGCCATAATAAAGAAAATGGCGTAAGTTTTTTTTTTTCATCCTTAGCATATATTTATGCTACTGTTAGCTACACAACTATGCTTTAAAGTTAATTTTAATAAGTTGTCATTATTCTGCCTCAGTTTACTCAAAGAAAGACTCATCTTTTCTATCGGGTTCGAGGCCATTACGTATAATTAGACGGATCCGTCGATTTAGCGGCAAAGCTAACCCTACCAGAATTCTGCAATTTTGACATGCCGGTAATATCGGTTTGAAGTCCAGAATTAGAGCATTTTCATTACAGTGTACATACAAAACTCTCAATTTCTTCAAAAACTTAAATAGAGTTACCCAAAATATCAGAACAATAGTTGTGTGGCGTATCCTTGGGACGTAAGCTCACAAAATAAAGTATATTAAGCAAATGCGGGATTGAGAAAACTATCTGGATATTCGGGTTTCGGCTGCTACGTCAAATAAGACTATATCAATGGTTTGTTGGGAAATATATTCAAATCAACGGGGTTGATACTCATCTTTCAAAAATATTTATTTGAAGTCTATGAAAATAAAATGGAGAAAATGCTTCATTTTACAACGTTCTGAATGACATTCGTTGGCATGGAGTTTAAAACGAGCGTGAGAGAATTCCAAACTGAGTAAATAATGCACTCAGGAACATTTTTTCGTCTTTACATGATATACAAGTGCACATGTATCCATTTGAAATAAACCAGATCCGATAAAAGATATTGCGAGTACTATATACAGATGAGCGCTTACGTCTTTTTATAACTATAGAGTGTTAGAGTATGATACGAAGTCCAGTAAAATCACGAATAAAATCCAGACCGTGTAACCAGCACATTGACGTGGATAACTTGGTAAATTAACACTTTCTTGGTAAATGTTTTAAGCGGCACAATGCTTTTGCTTTTTCTAAAAGACAAGTCATAAGATACCGATGTTTCTAATTATCTTGGATGATATTTTCTATTTGTTTTATCGCACGAATATGTTCTTTTAAAAAGTGAGGAGACATAAAAATGGGGAACCCGTTCACACATTATTGTTTTTGGGAGCACAATTATAGCCAATTTGTTTGTTAGCACTATTTTAAAACGACTTTGTGTGCAATTTACGGACTGGTGCTATGATGATTTATAATGGTAAAAGAGGAATTGTGAGAATTATTTGCTAAAATTCTCGTATTCCCCCCAAAATTTCAATTTTTCTCGAAGTAGCTATCGTATTACATACAAAACGTTGTATCTGTGCACCACTCAAGTAAAATCGTGGCTACTTATATAGTCCTTTAATTCCCATAAATGTCAAAAATGTCACCTACAATTAAGATGACATGGAGAATCGGAGCTAGTAATAAATAAAAAATTTCATACAATAAACGGAAGAGCAATGCGGGGTTGTGCGTTATTCATTTGAAGTGCAAACATAACGTAATTGAGACACTGCCCCGACTTCGATTACATCGGATAGCCAATTAAAAATCGAACAAATCGAATATAAATATTCCTTTTATTTCCATCGTTTTCCGGATTATCTTTTTTTTTAAACTTTCTACATAATCGAATATGCCCAATACAGTTCCTGAAGCCTGTTCTGACATTATTATTGCCGGTAAGCCAACTCATCCCAATGACTTCAAGGTTGTTTGCCAAGGTTCTCCCGAATCATTCTCAAGCAAGCTTTGTGCCGAGCGTGCATTCTCCAAGGGTTCTGTTATTGCACCTTTAGAAGGTTTGACACCCAATGCCAAGCGTTATTCCACTGTTCAAATCTCAGAGACAAAACATATTGAACTCAACAGTGATCTTGTTTTCATGAACCACTCTTGTGATCCCTCTACTCTTATGGATGTCGATCGTATGGTTGTCACTGCAACTAGAGATATTGCTGCTGGTGATGAGTTGACTTTCTTCTATCCTTCTACCGAGTGGGATATGGGTAATATTTGTATTACGTAATTAATACAGTCTAGTAGCTAACGACAACGCACTTTTATTTTTAATAGCTCAACCTTTCTCATGCTGGTGCGGTTCATCAAAGGTAAGAGTCAACAACAGTGAAAACAAAAAGGGCATGGTATTGATGTAAAAAAAAAAAAATTATTAGTGTATTGAAACCGTCCAAGGTGCCCAATATCTCTCCACTGATACCTTAAATCAATTCAAATTGAGTAATCACATTCAAAACTTCATCAAGCAACGTGATGCTTAAACCTTTCTTCTGTAACTAAACTTGTATTATAATAAATAAACCAAATTAATGAAAAAACATATGTGATTCTTGGATTTACAATATGTTGGACGAAAACTTAACATATTTTTTTGGCATTTAAGAGTTACTAAGCAAAAAAATAAAACAAGAACCTACTGGTAGTTTTATGAACTAACGAGGAACTGTATTTTTATCTGCAATGAATGAAATAATAAAATAAAAAAACTCAGCGAAGTTTAGGCTTCAAAGATGCAACACCAAGTAAATATTTAAAACAGAAGATTTTATTAACATGGCAAAAAGATGTTGATCTAAATAGCAAAAAAAGAAGTAATAATAAAAGAGAAAACTCGATTTTTTTTTTTTTTTTGGTTTTTGTGTTTTTTATACAAAAGCGAAACCAGTTGAACATTCACTGATTGCTTTGAAAAGATTAGTACGTAAATTCTCGTAAGAATCATACTGTGGGAGATCTACTTGGTTGAAACTATTTTTTTAAAGAGTTAGTATGCATTATAATGTAGTAATCGATAAAAGAAATATGTTACCATGTATGTGCAGATGGAAGACGGTTTTCACCACCGAAATCCTTATGAATTTGGAATTTTTGGACTCCACTTGAGCCTTGAAGTTGGCTAAAGCCTTCTAAAGGCACCTTTGAGGTACCCGTTGCAAATTGTAAGAGCTTAGCACGTTCTTCTTGATCGAAACTTCGAACGGCACGCCAGAACCATTGGATAGGAGGCGATGAGGCTGTGTAGCCTTGATATTCTGTGTTGTTTTTCCAGTCATCAATATCGATATCCGGTAAACCTGAAATCAAAAGCTCGAGTTCTTGTTCGTTAAAAATTTGAATCAATGGTGCAGGAATGACATCGTGGAAACCTTGAACAAAGGCATTAATTTGGTCCTTGATAGCTGTAGTTAACTTTTGTTCGGTTACTAATGCAACATATTCATGTTTATTGGCTTCGGTCACAGGAATATTTCGACCATCAGGCTTCAAATCCACAGTTTCTTTCGTACCAAAAAAGTCAGTTTCCATACTGAATGTTAAATCGATAATATCAGTGATATCATTCTCCAACATCCACACCAAACTCTTGTAGTATTCAGGATCTAAAGCTTCCACATCACGATAATCAACAGTACGTCCCAAGATATGTTTATAGAATGAACGGGTAAAGTAAGCATCCAAGAGACGGCCATCATAAATGGCTTTACCAATAACACGACCAACAAACTTGAAAAAGCTTAAATGATCAGGGTTTACAGCCGAATCTCGATTGGGTTGGTAAGTCAACTTGTCAGCAGCGGATGTAATAAATAAGGCATAGTTGGGATCGAACATTTGTCTAGCCAATACAGAGAACCATTCACGTGTAACACCTCCAGCATCAACACCTTCTTCGTCATAGAATCGAACAGCAAGTTTACCATTCTTGATTTCTTCACCGGTACGACCTTGAAGTTGATGGTAGGAATCTTCAAATACATATTGGCGACGAACATTGAGTTGTAGCATGGCATAGTTTTCACGGGGCGTGACACGCTTGTGAAGTTGCTGAACAAAGTAATTACGCTTGTTATCGAATTCGAGCATCTTGGGATTACGAACCAGTAAGGCAAATGATCCACTCATGAGAGTTGGATTATTACGAACCATGATATTCAAGACTTTTTTATGTTTTTCGGTAAACACAAAGAAAAATGTTTCGGGAGAGGCAGTAGACAATGTTAAGTGCTGATCAATGGCAGGTGTTGCAACCTTGTCATAATTGCTTTGACCCTTTTCAGCTGTACATTTCGAGACCACCATGAATGATTCAATCAAGGGCAAAAGAACAGTAGCCACATTGATCAATTCTTCCTTTTCACGAATGACAGACAAACACTTACCAAGTGTATCCCAGAGAGGTAAAAAGTTCAAATCATCATAGATTTGAAGAAGACGTTTTTCATTATTCTTTTGCGTCAATTCAGCTGATGTTTTATCAGCACCTGATTCACTGGCTGAACTCTTTCGAGAGAACATGTAATCCAAAGTTTTCAAAACACGTAAAAGCTTAGCTTGGAATGAAGTGGCAGCAGCAAAAGGAGCGAGAATAGTGCTGTTGATTTCAGTGCCTGCCTTGGTTGTATCCAATACTTCTAACAGGCTCTCGAGATCTTTCAAAATTTGGGTACCAGATTGTTTGGCATCTTCAACGAGTTCATTAACAATGGTTTGTTGAGCACCTTCTAATGCTGATAAATGGGAGATGGCGTTCAAGGTATATTGGAAAGTTTTACTAGAGCATTCACCATTGGTAAGCACATGTACAACCAACTTGAGATAGTAGTCAGGAATGGTTGGGGGTTTAGGCATAGGTCTCTCAGAAAGACTGGGATCATTTTGCTTGTTTTCAACCTTTTCTTGATACTTCTTAACCAAAATGGGGAAAGGACGGCACATGGTAGATAGTAAATCCATAAGTTGTTCCATCAAAGTAATATTGTTGATAAAAACAGGGCGATCCAAAAGACTCATTAAGACCAAAATAGGGTACTTGTTCCAATTATTGGGTACCTTCTCCTTGCTCTTACCCTTTTTACTCGATGAGATTCGCTTCAAGCCAACTAAGGATTCACTTTCAGTCAAGAAATAGGTCATGGATTGCTCATTACAAGAGACGATATATGTCAAAGCTTCTAAACAACGTTGCGTGATAAAATTTGGCACGTTATCGGAGGCGCCCGTAGAGGCAGAGTTCTTGCTAGCCTTGGCCTGAGAAGCCTTACCACCCTTACCAGAAGAGAGTAACGCGAAACTGTTATCGACCGAGACCAAATCATTATTGCCATCATAAAGTACACACACAAGATATGACAAGAGGTCACCACGTGTTTTGCTATTTTCACACAAGTTCAATAGCAATCTGTTCAAGAGGGATTTCGAAATAGTTTGAGGAACAAATAATAATCTAACCAAGGTACCAAGTTGCGATTTTTCAACAAGTTGTGCTGCACCATCACGACGACGAGGCTTAGCCTTCTTTTTGGCAGAGCCAGAGGCTTTGCTATCATCTTCTGCAGGAGCAGGTCTTCTACGAGACGCAAGCATGCTACTAACTGTTTAATAAAAATGACATTAGGATTATTGTTATTTTTTTTTGTCATATTTAATATATTACGTGTTGGCATAACATCAGGTCTGATGGTTGTATTGATAGGTGTGGCAGTAACAGCAGGTAAAGTAGAAGGTGCTTGACGATTTTGACGATCACGTCTTTCACGTTCAATAGCTTCTTGATGCAAGACCTCTTCACGAATATCTGGAGGTAAAGCGTCCAAGAATTCAGGACTAATCGAATTATCTTCAGCAGGTTGTACAGGAGCCGGGCGGTTTCGCAAATGTTGATTTAAGACTTCTTCTCGTAAATCGTCAGGAAGGGCTTCTAAAAATTCAACATCAATACCTGTTCCCGAGATATCTACAGGCAAACCATGAATGGTCACTGTGGTACGTTCACCATCTGTGGCAGGGGTCTCCGATGCATCCGTTGTTTCCGCTACAGCAGGAGCATTTACGTTAGCCTCCTCAGTAGTCGTAGCATTCGCCTCATTGCTTGAACTTTCGGCCGTTGAAGGTGCGTTCACAGGATCTTGTTGTTGAGGTGTAGGGATGGGAGTGTTAGCTGCAGCTTCTTGGGCAGCTTCTTGAGCAGCCTTGCGCTTTTCCTTATCAACACGCCATCTTTCTTCCTCGGCTTTACGACGATCCTCTTCGTCCTTACGTCGTTGTTCTTGTCGCTTCTTTTCTTCTTCGACACGAGCTTTCTTATCATCCTCGATAGCAATAGGGATCAATATATTCAAAAGTTCGTTCACAATCTTCAACGCCTTTTCAGTAAGATTAGCGCCATACATCATACGAGCTTCTTGATTCCATCGCTCTCCAGAAGACATGGGTTGGAAATCATGTAAAATCGCTAAGCTTTCTTGTACTTGCTCATCAGCACCAGCAGTACCGGATGTAGCAGAAGTATGATGACCATGGCCAACACCGCCGCCTAAATGAGGTACACGATCAAATTCAAATGTTCGTAATACGCCACCGGGACCGGCTTGTACATCCACACGCAAGGGCCCAGCTTGATTAGTGGAGGGAGCTTGAGTCAAAAGATCTTCAAGCATACGAACAGCGCTACCACCAATGATATCCTCAAAATCTTGCCAGTTACTGAGTCCAGATCCATGAGCTCTACGAGAAAATGCTTCGTCCATCATACTACGGGCTGCATTACCACCGGCTGGTTGAGTACCAACACTATTAGACAACAAGGGATGGGTGATAATATCTTCTTGACCTTGAGCATTCGCCTGGTTTCGGAATGATCTACCCACTAATTGATTTTTTTTTCGTTAGTGATCAAAAGCTAAATCATTTTGGAAAGAAATAAAATTACCTCCTTCGAGCAACGAACGTCTTCCGTTAGGGAAACGTCGTCTGAAACCAGCAGGAATGATGGAGCGAGGTCGTTCGAATTCATCACCTTCCATTACCAAATCATCATGCAAGTCAGTAGGTAAGAATGGAGTGTCAAGATCTTCAGCATCAAGTAACATACCATCTGTGATATCAGTTTCAGATTCGTTATCAATGTTATCCGAAGTATCATCGAAATCAGACAAGGCATCCATTTCATCCTCCTATTTACATCGCATCAGTACCCCAACTTTTTCGTGATTTTTTTCTATTTTTTATTACCTCTTCATAAGGATCGGATGAATGTCGGATATGGTTTGGTCCATCGCGATCATTGCCAGTGTCAATCACATTTTCAGCATGTACAATGCCCGGTGTCTCTTCAATATCATCCAATTGCCACATTTCTCGGCCATTCTCATCCTCGTCATCTTCATCATCATCATCAAGAAGTTGTGCTTCAGCATCGATATCATCTGGATTATCATCATCTTCATCCATCTCATCAGAATCATAACCGCGACCATGCAACATGGCTTCCATTTCTTCTTCCACTTCTCCATCTTCGTCATCACCTTCACTCATATCTGAAAGATCACTTCCACTATCTTCATCGAAACTGCAAGTAAAATAGAACAGTTTAGTTTCATACAATAAAATAATATAAAAAAAAAAGAGAAACTTACTCTTCTTCTTCATCGGCAGATGATCCAAACATATCGCTATATTCACCACTATTATATTCTTCTTCATCAATGACACTACCGGCATCAAACATACCAAGAGCAGAATTTCTATAATCCGGAGCTTCATTATTTTCATCAGCAGGCGTGCTAGGTACATGTAAACCTTCTTCCGTCGTATCCATCTTATCCTGATCTTCCTTATCCGTATCAGCAGCATCGTCTGTTTTGATAGCCAACTTGGTCAATTGTTCCAAAGGTCGCAACATGGCATTTAAAATCGTCTTCGAATGAGGATAATTAATATCGATATCACTAATAGCCGTTGTCAAGACAGCGACAAAGTCCTTATCCAACATAATCTTACTATTGCTCAGTGCAACATCTTCCTTTGTAGCTCCGGCCGTCGCTTGGGTGTTATGATTGTGACCAAAGGATCGAGGAATGGATGATCCTACATTGGGTCGAGCATTCAGGATACGATGACAAAGATCAGCCAAGGCGAGATACTTCGAGTATTTAACAGAGGCTGTCTCATTAGACGCAATGGCTTCCTTTAAAGATCGAACAATAGATTCTAGCACATACTTTCGAACCTGAATCAATTCATTCTTCTGCTGCGCTGTCATATCTGTACTTGAGGAAGCATCATACGACATAGCTACCAATGTAGAAGCAGTCCAGGTTGAGAGACCTTGCTGTTTACGAGATTCTTCAGAAGATGGATTGATATGATTATAAGGTAATAAATCATTGATCAGCATAGACACAAACGAACGATGTTTGCCGTCTGCTGTCGTTGTGCGATGTCCATTTTCTTTTTTACAAAAGTTAAAGATATCATACTTGCATGATGCATAAGAGGAAATGAGTTCCACAAGACATTGAAGTAAAAATCCTGTATATACAAATTTGATGTTTTCTTCCTTCTTTTGTTCCTCTGTGAATTCGGTCCTCTTGACAGCACTCGCAATGGTTTCCGATCGTACTGTCATGATCTCATTCAACAAGTAATATACAACCACTTCAGATGATGATGTCTTTTGTTTCACGGATTCCTCTTCAGCTTTCGTTTCTTTTTCATCTTCTTGCTTTCTTAATTTCACTTGACGATTGATTTCAAATTCATCGTACCGCGCTAAACGACACATATCCGTTGCCACCTCTACAAAGACAGCAGGCTCACGAAGTGCCACATGAGCATTACTACGCACAAAGGAACCAATATCCATATTACGAGGTCGAGGGTTGGTAAACCAATTGGTAATAATATCCTTCATCGTACTTTGTAAAATCACTTTGCTTTCAACAATATGTCGCAAAATTAAAATAATAAAGGCTTGCTGTCCTTGCAATCCTTCCAAACTTGATCTGGGTTTTGAAAAAAGCAAAGGTACTCCACCAATACCGACAAAATGAAGTGCAGATTCATAATTCTTGGTTAACCGAACAATCATACGCAAGATGGCATAGATATCGTCTCGAGATAATTTCGATTTTCTTAATAGCGAAACACAGCATTGTAATAGTTTCGCTCTTTGCTCTGTTGTGATGCCGGTCACCTTCATACCATTGGATGGTTCATCGACATCTTCCATACGGTGATTTCCATCATTTGCTTCGTTCCTTTCCTCCTCCTCTTCGTCTTCATCTTTTTCCGAGGATGAGTCAGCAATCGATCCACGACGGTTAGAAGTCGTTAGCTTGACTTTCTTGGGTTCATCGGCTTGTGCAATAAACGCCTCCAAAACCAAAAAGATGGTAGCGGACCAAGCGGGTAATGAATCCTCTTCACCTAGGTTTTCAAAATTTAACATGTCAAACAGGAACGCAAATCGGTCGGACAATTGTTGCATTGCTGTTTGCATGGGTTGCTCTCGAAGTAACAAAGCTAATAATCGAAGCTTACTACTGAGCAATACAGATTTACTTGCATCATGACGAATATCTCCAATTTGATCCACCAATAATGTTATGATCTTGACAGATGCCTTGGTTGTCATTGTCTTCTTTGCCGTACTCTCTTCATCTTCACAAAATTTACCCAAGATCACAAGTAAATCACGTACATCAAACACAAGATCGTCACGTTGTTCGGCTAACTTCAAAAGTGACGTGGGCAAGGATTCACATAATTCACTACGCACCTTCTTTAGTTCTTTCACATTATCAGAATTACTCGTCGTGCTCGGCCCACCATTGCTATTTTCTCCATGGTTGAAATCCAATAGAGCAGATGCATTGGATAAATGGTTTAATCCTGTAGCAGACGACATAGCCATATTATATTCATTATTGAGAGATTCCACAAAATTTCCAATCACTTCATCCATATTACTATTCGAATCATTATCATCCTCCTCCTCATCATCATCGTCATCATCATCCTCTTCTTCATCATGACTATGTTCCTCCTCATTTCCTTCACCCTGTCTTTCTTCCTCATCATCGTCACGACGATGAGCATTCTCCCCTTCCGTTGGCGTTGTATTTTCATTCGACACGGGTGTAGGAGACGGTGCCACAGGTGTGGTTGTAGCAGGCGTATTGAACATCGGACTAGGATGACTGAATAAATAATCCACAGCTCGCGATACTTGATTATTACATCGAACCAAAGCTTGTTCTGCCGAAGTTCTTTCAAAACCCATATCCACCAAAGTTTGAATATTGCGTTCTGCAGCCACCACAGGGGGTCGAAGTAAAGTAAATGGTGAGGTCATTAGAGGTGCTGTAAAATTACCGAATGGATCCCCCCCTCCAGTACCATTGGCCGCACCAGATCGACCCAGGGAAGGTGTCAAGAATTCTCCTTCTCCCTTCATCATTTGTTGAAAGATCTTGATTAATGCTTGATTCACGGCTTTTGAAAATAAGTGCAGTTGAGAACAACACAAGTATTCTTTTAAAGGAACCAGCTTGAGTTCTAATGCAACAATCCATTCATATGGATCAAAATAATCGGCGGCCTTTTTATCCTTTTGGGTCAATGTGGCTGTATAAGATGAATCTCGTAATGCTTTAGGATTACTGATATGAAGCAGAACGTTCAAAAGACTTTCGATACTGTTATTAATACGATTCAACAGTTCCGTTTCTTTCTTCTCTTCCTTTTCTTTTTCTTCCCCGTACAATCCGGATGCCACATCCCACATGGCTTTCAAGTCGGATAACAATAAATCAACACCACCTTGACGTTCAAAAGCAATGGCCAGTGGAGTTTGAAGCGAGGCTTGTGTACGTTCGTCTCGTAATAAGAGCGAAGTCATGGTATAGACAGAGGTTAAATAATCATATTTACAAGCGGCATTTGACTCGAGAATGGGAGACCAGGTGATATTCTCCTTTAATAAATCAGCCATATATTCAGCCAGTTTCATCGTTTGCGGTTTTTGAAGTGCACTACCCGTGCGACGGCTAACGGAGACCTTGATCAAGCCTTGAAAGATGGGCATCAATAACTGAGGTACTTCTGTCAAGAGTAATTTGAAATGCTTGATATTGACCATACGAGGATCTTTAGCAGGCGGGATTTTTTCCGAAGGTTGGCTCGAAGATGCTTCAGTAGGATTGACTTCGGGCGAAGTAGCACTGTAGATACCTAAGGGATGTTCTGTGATACTGGTAGGGTTCTTTTTTAAGGAAGAAGAAGATACGATGGAGGTAGATTTACAAGCATACCAGGAAGGAGGTAATGCTTCCTTCAATAACAAATTCTCCCAGACCATGACACGATGTAAATGACCCAATAATTGAATGATATTATCGTTCTTGTCCGATTCTGACAAGAACTCAGTCACCAATGAAGCACCATTCTTACCATGACTCAGGACAGACGAACAGCAAATGTTGGACAAAAGTCCCACATAGCCATGTAATTCAATCAATTGACGTCGCATTTGATTACCTCTCTGAATCTTGTCCTTTTCATTTTCATGTACATCCACAAATTCAATCAACATGCTTTTTGAGTAATCCCTTTTTTCCTCTTCGTTTGTGATAAATCGAATCGATTCTTTCACTTTGGTCGCAATGGCCATCACGGTCGGTAAAGGGCTGACTTCACTAATCATTCGAAACAGGTATGAAAGTGAATCGGATGCAATCGTCACAGAGAAATTGGCTGGTAACAATGGAAGCGAGTAATAATTTAGTAACATTTCGGGACATCCTTCTTCAACAAATTCCTTGATGTTGGACTGGTTTTGGAATAGTCCTTCAAGGAATCTTGATACTAAATCAATAAACGAAACAAGTAAACACTCCACCTTTTCAGGCTTTTCTTCTTCATCCGCCGCTGCCGTTGTAGTAGTAGCAGTAGTAGCAGTAGTAGTATCCACAGCAGCCACGGGAGATGTACTACTGGTAGCCTCCATAGTCTGTTCGGTATCCGTGTCTTCAGAAGAACGCACTTGCAATAAATGACTATCGTTGCTTGATTTACCTACACCGTTGGGATCGGAACCCATTTCCAATACTTTTTTGATCATGGCAGTAACGCATTGAAAAACGGCGGTTTTTAAGGAAGGATGGTGACGAATTAATTCATCCATGGTAGATCCTAGCCCAGTGGCACTATCGACATCCATAGGATTTCTCAAGAAATCATGCGAGGTCATGAGATCAAAGAAATGAGGTAAAGGTTTTTCGGTATTGAACATATCAAGACCTTGAGCGTTTAAACACATGGCGCCAAAGGCATTTACAGCGGCCATCAGAACTTCATTATTGGGATTTTCATAGATCGAGATGGTATGTAAGAAACTTTGAGGTAGTTTAGCTTCTTGTAGGATGGGAAGTGAGGTAGGTTCATTATGGATAAAAGTGGTACTGACATTGATGGCCAATGCAAAGATACTATTTCCGAATAATTTGGGACTTTCCATGATGATTTTGAGAGATTGAGGTAAAGAAGAATCAATCAGGTTTCGAAGACCATCCGCTGTTCCGGAAGAATCCATCATGCGTAATAAAAATTTCAACATGGCCTTGATGGTTGAAAGTCGATCATGGGGGAGAAGTGAATCTTCTTCATTTTCAGATTGCTTTGAGCATGTCTCTACTTCCATCTTGATACGGTTTAATAATGTGTCTAGCCCACTGGCATTACAAAAGGCAGAAAAGGAGGTGGCAAATGAATTTACAATGGTATCAATTAAACCAACTACTTTGGCAATATTCTTAAGTTGTGTGTAATGATGGTTTCCGACAATCTGTACAAGGGTTGGAATCACACCAGCAGACATCAACATCTGTCCACCTGGTTGGGTTTGTAACAGGTAAGAAACAAACGTGAATAAGGCATCCAAAAATGATTGTGGGTACGCATCATTCGAATTCGTCTTTCGCAATATTTGCATCATTGTACCATGATTTGCCGATGCATTCACTGCTGTCAATACTTCGGAAAGCTTATTCCGATGTCTTGTAATAGCATCCAACGCATACAATACAAATGTTTGAATATCCTATTTTTTATTGGCGTCAATTTTACTTATTAACATCCTTCCCCCTTTAAAATAAAATTACTTACATAGTCTACTTGCTTCTCAGGTGAAATAAGATCTGCTAATTGCGAAATCAAATAAGGCTCATAGATAAAGACCTTATTTTGAGCTGTAGTTTCAGATACAGCGTGAGCTATGATTACAAAACAATATATATATTAGCATTTACTCGGGCCAGAGACACATAAAAGAGAGAGAGGGGGTCTACTTACACATGATACAAATAGCCAAGATACGAATACCAAGTAACTTTCTTCTCACATCGGGTTGACTCATATGCTTTGCTATACGAATCCTGTTGGCCAATTCGAATTGATATTCCTTGGGAATATGATGTTCTTTTACCAATTTGAGGAATATATCTATATCATCTTTCTGGAGGTCCTCCTCTGTAACTACATAAGTAACTACTTGATGACCTTCTGTTGTTGATGTAGTGGAAACCTCGGTAGATGGGGGCGTGGTAATTGTGTTCGCCGCTGTTTCTGTTTCTGCTTCTGCTGCTTCTGCTGCTGTTGCTATTGCTGTTGTCGTTTTTGTTGTTGTTGTTGTTGTTGTTGTTGTAGTGGATGAGGTACGATAGAACTGAATATTCAAAGTCATCATTTTAGGTGTAACCTCTAAATCTTGTGCAATGGCGAGCAAGTCAACGGGCACATTATTCCAGCCTCGAGCCAATTCAACAATCTTATCCTGTGGAACGACAAAGGATGAACGAATAGCTCTTGGGTTATTGATTCTTTGTGCAGGTCGAATCATGAAGTGAAGTACTTGTCGCAATACATCAATATCAAACGTATTTAACAGCATTGATAAATGCTACATAGAAAAAAGAGGTTAAGATTTTTTTGTCTTTCATGTTGTAAAACAATTAAGTTACCTCGTAAGAGTTGTAAATGTTTCGGTTTGTACAGTTTTCAAACAAAGTGCGTGAGAGATCAATAATGGATAAAATAAGGTTCTTGGTGTCTCTGTCAAAAGGCTTTGCTTGAATCTCTTTCAGATTATACTCATTGCAAATAGAGAGTAAAATAGCATCAAATCGGTCTAACACTGTAACCCAATGAAATAAATCGCCTCTTGCAAAGGACCAATTAGTTAATTCTCGAACAATGTGTGGAATCTGATCCTGTGCATCTGTCTCGAGCCGCTTGATCAAATCACTCAGCTGACGTGGCTAATAAAATGTACGTAATGGCTTCAGTTACCTCTCCCTTTCTCTCTTTTTTTCTTTTTTTTTCTTACCAATGGAGCAAGTTTTTTGGAAGGTGTCTTCTTGATCTTCATAGATCGCAGTTAGAATGTAATGAAGAAGAGTAAAAAAAAAAAAGTTCTAAATTGTTGTTAATACACTTTTTTAAAAAGAAAGCTTAAACTCTATCAACTTACTCGATGACTTTTTTTGTATGTAAAAAAAATTGGTGTCTTTTGACGACTATAGTCTCTCTCTCTTTTTGATAACAAGAAAATAGATATATATATATATACGGTCTCTTTCTTTATGTGCTGTTATTAATTTATGTTCTGAACAGCTACTTTCTCTTCTTTTTTTTAATAAGAATGCAGAGTGAAAAAAAAAGAGCGATAAACTAAAAGAAAAAAATAGGTCGTTTTTTAGCTTGCTGCGCTGCGGCACTGTGTGTGTGCAGATAAAGCGCGGAACTTCAAAAGGACGGGTCCCTCCACGTCATGAACTTGTTAACACATTTATTTCATCATGCACACTAATAAAGTAATAGCCGGGATCTTCATCAATCAGGGTGATATACTCTGGGGTCTGTAATATGCAGCCGCTTTGTAAAACAGCTGATCCTTCCCCCCCTTTTCCCTTCGCCGCCGCCCCCACCAATATACATTTTTAAACTTGTGTTGTAACGGAATTCTAATTACCTATCGGCTTAATAAATCGAACTATCTATGCACCTTCTTGACTGTAATATACACTTTAACTAACATGGAAAGTAATAATAAACGTAGGAATTAGGATGTAGGAGTACTTGCATTTTATTTGTTTCCAAAACTGAATAATTTTTATATAGTTCTTGAAGCACTTTGATGATTAAGTGGATTGGTTAATATTACTGGTCGATGACTTCTGGTGTTTCTTACTGGCTGTTAAACCTACTTGAGCCTTCAGTCATGTCTCTCACCTGCGCTGTCCACCCATTCCTCCCAGTAACAATCCGATACTGAAGAAATTAAGGTCCTAATGATGAGCTCGTAAGGTATCGAATTACGATTTGGGATATCTTATCATCCTTAGGAACAAGGGCGTAACCGGAAGAAGTAACTTTCAAGTATAAAGAACATTGGGACGTGTGGTTTCCAGCATCATTATATGACACGAAGAGAATCGAACGAGATCATAGCCACACCTACGTCTTTTCTAGATACATTAGTGTAGGACTTCCATTGGCATGCCATATTCTTAACTTTTTCATAAATATGTGCTTAACTATCAGTACATGCTACTACTAAAACGCTGATAGACAATTAACTAATTCATTATTGCTTAAATGTAAGTCTGGGGGTTTCTTGTAAAAGTTTCTTATTTTAAGTAAATACCCAAACATTATAATCCTGACATAAGCCATCTCTTGTTTATCATTCAATAAATAACTTGTTCGCACACTTCTCTCTTCTCTTCCCCTTTTCCTTTCTTTTAACATACTTTTTTCTTTAGGCATAAGAGTAAGCAGTATTGTAAAAATGTCAGTTAATGACAGCTTTTGTTTATTCAAGAAACGCTAGATTATTACCTCTCTTTTTTTTCGGAACGGAAAAGATACATTGCAATTTTTGCGATATCTCGGCTACGGCTAGTCTTTGCTATACGATGGCGACCTCCCAGATTCGGGTTCTCAAGTTTTGGCTGCGATTGCTGTAATTCATATAATAAGAGTATGTATATACATATGATGTGACTCTTAAAAACACGTAGAATGTCTCGAAAAGGACATTGTCACATTCTGCGTTGTTTTTTCTGGCTTTTAGTAGAAATCCTAACGATGTAATTGATGTTGAAAACGTTGATGTTAAAAAAATTGAACATGTTGACAAGCTGCCGGTGTTCTGATTTCGAACAGAATCGGTACGGTCCAAACGAATACAAAGGAAAGGAAGAGTGTCATGACGTACAAACTCTTGTGTTTGGACGCCACATTGACGTGCAGTTTGTGTACCCTCAACTCCGACGAACTCTGTGCAACCGAACCGGGCTTACAAAAACTTGGCCGAGTTCAATGTTTGAAAAAAAAAAAATTTGAACACGATGTTATCGACAACAACAACAACTTCATCAAACGAAACAATATTGACTGATTGGTTGTTTCAGTCTCTTTCTTTGTACTGACACAACCACCACCATTCCTATTGCGGATTGAACCAAAGTTAGTTCGTCACTCGCGCAAGAGTTTCGAACACTAAATGACAACGTCAAACGTCATAGGTATGAAAGACATTGTAAAAGATACATCTGTATTTCATCTGTTTCCAGTTTAACAGAATTTTCTTTCCATCTGTTTTTCTATTGTACTATCTTAAAAATGAATGTATCAAGAGACTAAGCGATTTGCATGTTTTTCTATGCCAAATACTTTGATGAAAATGTTCAAAAATACAGTATTTACCTAATTATCAAAAGTCAATCAAAAATTTGATTCACGCAGGATATGAAATAGCGGGTTATACTCGCAAGTCCCCTGGTGATGAAGACGAGAATGGTGGAATTTTTGAAAGACGGGAACAATCTGAAAAAATTGATTGTTCCAGGTACCATTGCTGAAACGATGCTAAAAACTCTGCGCCGTTTCAACGAAGTAATCGTATGCTGGAATATATTGAAGTCTTACGTTCTGCTTAGGGTAGTGCAGTTGAGAATGAAGCACTAGTTGGCTTTTTTATGTTATTGTAAACTGCAAAAATGTAATTCTAGATTTTTACTGACAGCACTACCATTTTTATGTTATAGTGAAGAGATTTATGACGACGTAGGCGATACTTTGTCTGAATCTGAAGCATACCTCAACAGTAATTTGATAAAGCCTTGTTTGCAGGTATGCTTCGTAATAAGAAGTGTGACATTACTTATGTACCCAAAGAAATTGAATTGATTTCTCTGACTGAGCAACTAAGCAAACAAGGATTACTTGACAGTCGTTTCAAATACCATGGCAGATGGCAAAGTAAGAATTAATGCTGATAAGCAAGAACTTTTGCTTCTTGAGGTTTCTTCCGCTCTGGGTCAAGCAACTCAAGACAAGATTGGCTTTGATCATATCAAAGCTATGTTTGGGCTTCTTGCCATATTGAAGACTCTCGCCTGCAAGTATAGTCACGGATGATGAATAAGGCCGCACACCCCATGGAATATATTTTAACCGAAAATTACACCCAAACTCCACGCAAGACTAAAATCCTGTATTTGAATAAATGACTCCCATTACTTTCTAATAACTGAAGGTTTTTAAAATAAAAAGTGGCTGAGAATCTTGTTCACTACACATCCCTTGACTGTATCACAATGAAGCATCACTTATCTAAGTCCTGCGGTGCCCATTAAAATGTCCTACTGTGAATAGGGACAAAAAAAAACGTTTGAATGTAAACATCCATCATGGCAAAGGATTCCTTTATTTCGTATAGTATGCCGATTGGAGACAGTTCTTACCCAAAAAGTGCAAAGGAACAGCCGAACCCTCTCGTTTCAAGCGTTGTCATTCAATACAGTCATACTTTATTCTGTACAGATTTAAAGCAGTCCATGAGTGGAGTTGGAGCGGGAAGAAAAAGAGTTTTCCTGTAGACAAGCTGTAAGTGGGGTACCAGGGTAAATCTTTTTTTTTTTAGATTCTTCTTATTCTGTTATTTTAAGTGCAATAATCATGTCAGATCAACCTTCAGAATTCACATTCAACAAGCACAGCGACAAGAAACCCAGCGCTAAACCCGTACAACATCGTTGCAATGGACACCTTGAAGACGTCTTAGACGGCATGTCTCAATGGCCCATGGATGTCGCCAAACCCTTTAGCTTATTCCTGTCCTGTTTAAAGTCTCAACCAGGTAAGCATATATATATATATCCTTTTACTCCCATATTAATCCTTTTGTTCGCTCAACCCTTTCCTTTGCACAGGTCAAGAACCAAGTCGATACAACACCACAAATTAAAATCCCGCCACATAAAGCGGGTTTAGATCTCCCACTTTTTTCATAAATTGTATTTTATCCCCTTCTTTCTCTTGCTTTTTATAAAGATATATAAAATTTTATACAAAGAATGCGTTGTACATCCAACACTTTATGCACAAATGATATTAAAGAAACTATTCGACTCTACGTGACAACCACTTCTTTTGTCTTGGTCAAGGATGAACATATTTTAGAAATCCATTTCGATGGACACAAAATGACACGAAGAGGTCTCTTTTATATAAGAAACTAACAAATGACCTTGTACTCATGCACATGTATAGACTCTTTTAAGCCCGTAAATATCGTTCAAAGCTATGATATTCACGGCGTTCTTGGTTTTGTAGAAGGTTTCAAAGGTAAGCATTCCCCTTCTTTCCCTTTCTCCTTTTAATTATTCACCCCACACACGCACACATAGAAAAATACATGGTCATCATATCGTCCGTTCAACTTCGAGGTCATTTATTCGGTAACCCAGTTTATGTCATTGAACGTGTCAGTTGCTTAAGTTTCGATTCATTCAAAGCATGCCAAAAACTCGATAAAAAGGTAAAAGAAATTCATCCCCTACTGCATTAATATTTTTTTTAACTCCTCTCGTCAGACCGTGGAGGAGGAAGAGGACGAAGACAATGAATCACAACGCATCATTCCAAAAAGACCTACCTCCAGACCCGTCGTTCTAACACAATCCAATTCTTTTCTCACTCGCATCAAACAAACCTTCACAAAAAATAAGTCGCAGGAAGCATTAGCTGAACCCAAGGAAGAACTCTTGATCGATCAACTCACATCAGACATCATCAAAAAAGATAGCGAGCCACTCATCGCCTCTTCTTCTACTTCTTCTTCTACTTCTTCTTCATCTTCTTCAGAAGAAGAGGAAGAGGACACAGAGGATGAAGCCTTGGAAAAACGTCTCGTACGACAAGTCACGGAAATGTTTAGCAGATCCATGTTTATCTATTCAAACACATGCGGTACAGAAACTACACCTTTTTTTATTTACCTCCCCATCATCCTATTCACTCCTGTTATATAGATATCACCAATAGCTTCCAAAGATCTCACGAAAAGAGCAAATCAGATCCACTCTACGACGATCCCTCCGTACCTTTATGGAAAAAAGTCGATAAACGTTTCTGGTGGAATGAACACCTCACGCGTGACTTTATCACTCAAAAGGTATTATACCTCTATCATTTCAATACACACATACACACACTATAACGCCCCCTTTTTTGGTGTAATATTAGATGGATGAATGGATCGTTCCTGTAATGCAAGGGACGTTACAAATTGAGCCATGTAACATTGAAGGTTACGCATTTGATTTCGTATTGATATCAAGACGAAGCAGAGAAAGAGCAGGTAATCATCCCCTGTCTTATTATTGCGCTTTATTCCAAAATTAAACCCCCTTTGACAAAGGTATGCGGTATCAAAGAAGAGGTATCAATGAAGATGGCCAAGTAGCCAATTTTGTCGAAACAGAACAAGTCGTTTTATTCAAGGTACACATACACACACACACACACACACAATTTTTTTTTTTTTTTTTTTTTTTTTTTTTTTTTTTTTTTTTTTTTTTACTTTTTAGCTCATCAGTGTATCTTTTATAGCGTGACGATTCGAATCATGTTGCATCATTTGTACAAACACGTGGATCAAGTAAGTACGTGTATATGGATACAACTAGGGAAAAAACAACTTACCAACACACACAAAAAAAGTCCCGTTGTTCTGGAGTCAATCGCCTTATAGTCTACATCCAGTTCCTTCTCTCGAACGAGGAGAAGACGAAAACGAATCTGCCTTTCATAAACATTTCGATATTCAAGAAAAATTATATGGCAGACAGATCGTGGTTAATCTCACCGAATTATCAGGCAGAGAAGCCATTGTTGGATCAGAATATCGTAAACACGTCGAGAACCTAGCCGATCCCAATATCAAGTAAAGTGTCTCAACCCCCAGAAAAAAAAAAAAAAAGAGAGAGAGAAAGAGCAATTATATACTTACCCCACCAAAACTTAGGTACGTCGAGTTTGATTTTCATCGAGAGACAAAAGGGATGCGATTCGAAAATATAAGTAAACTTAGCAAGAGTTTACATGACGATCTATCGAAAATACAGTAAAATCAAATCTCAACCCCCACATCCCCCACAAACCCATACTTATTTTTTTTTTCTTACAGATATTTCTGGGAAGCAAACGGGAATAATAAGGAAAATGTCTATTGCGAACAATCCGGCACCTTTAGAACTGTAATTTCATTGCACCTCACCCCCTCCCCCTTTTTTTTTATGATTGCGTACTCATCTATTTTTTGTTAGAACTGCATGGATTGTCTGGATAGAACAAATGTAGTACAGGTAAAAAAAAAAAAAAAAATTAAATTCGCAATTGTTTAGACCCGTCATCTTAACTTTAAACTTTACAAAGAGTGCATTCGGTCGTAGTGTGCTGAATTTACAACTCATGCGTTTTGGGATTTCAGAGTATCCGGAACAAGGCATCAAATTCTACGATGAGTTTGAAAGAATATTTAACAATGGTAAATCCCAATTTTTTTTATCTCCTTTACCTTTTTTTCACTCATCCTCCATTAACTCTTCCTAGTCTGGGCAAATAACGGTGACATGATTTCTAGAATGTATGCAGGTACTAGTGCTTTAAAAGGTGACTTTACCAGGTATGTACATATTTTTTAGGCATCGCATTACAACTACAAAAAAAATTCTCATTTATTTAAAGAACTGGTAAACGAAATATCACGGGCATGATGAACGATGCTTCCAATTCATTAGCAAGAATGTACTTTAATACTATCAAGGACTTTTGGAGACAAGCCACCGTGGATTTCATCCTGGGATATCATAAAACAGAAATCTTTCGTCATGTACCTCAAAGTACCAACATGTCTGCCGAACCAGGCATCGAAAGACGATGGGCCAAAATTCGTACTGACGCCAGTAAGTTTCCCCCCAACCCTCCCCCCCTCTTTTTTTTTTTTTAAAAAAAAAAAAAAAATTAATTCCAACGCGTATATTTCTAGTTGAAATCAGTAGTGAAATCGTCATTGCCGATGATGAAACCAAAATCGCTGGTTGGACACTCTTATCACCTACGCAGGACAACACAAACAGCAAGAAATCCGGCAAGGAGTTTGAAGAAAAAGTCGTCTTATTGACGGAAAAGGCACTTTATATTTGCAGTTACAATTACAGTCTCGAAAAAGTCATTCAATTCAAACGACTGGATTTACATACGATCACATCCATTCAAGTAGGAGAATACATTCTATCCTCACTCACTCCCGCTTCGCGCTCCCCCGACCAAAATTATGGCATCATCCTATCGCATCTGATCGAGGGAGAATCTGTGCGTTGGAACACGGGTAGTATTCGAAATCAAAGTTTAGGCGATCTGAATATTCAACACGACGAAGAGGAAGACGAGGTCTTGATCAACAACGAGATTTCGGCTATCACCTTTAAAGCAGTGCGTTATAATATCTTGGGTGAATTGGATGGGAAAGTTCAGAGCTGTAAACAACAAATACAAGACATGGTACAATCCATCACAAAAGCCTCGGGTCATCTCGAAAAGGACTTCATCATTCAAAAACCCATCATCAGGTAATTGTTCATCCCCTTTCTTTCCCCCTACCATTATTTTTTTGACTCTTTTCTTTATAGTCTGGAACAAGCAGAAAAGACAGATGGCATTTTCAAAAAGATGGGACACAAGATTAAACAAGCTATTTGGATCTAACCTTTCATGCCAATCCCACTCCCGGATGGGTCTAATAATAAAAACTCGGGTAGCAACTCTCCCATGTTGCCACAGTAACACTTGACTTGTCGCTATGGAAACGATTTTTTTTTTTTTTTTTTTTTTTTTTTTTTTTTTTTACATTTGAAGAAGAAAAGACAAAAAAAAAAAAAGGATTGTTCGGGGCCCAACAGGTTCTATCGGACATTGTACCTCAATTATGGTCTGATAAATATTGAGTTTTTTTGCAAGAGAAGAGGGGGTATATAATTTGAATATGGGGAGCAAAGCCTTTCTCTTCTTCATCCTTTATTTTTCTTCTTCTTTTATTTATCCCCACCTAATATATACACTCCTTTCTATATACACTATGAATGACACATATTTCTTTCCTGCATACAGTGAAAAGATGAATGATTATGATGCATATTTATTGCAACCTATAGGTAAAAACATTGTTACAAAGAAAGAAAAAAAAAACAATGAATTCATCATTTGCACATAGACTATCAGTACATGACTACGAATCTTTTGCAACCGGTTGTAGTCGCATCACAAACGGAAAGGGTTGACAAGTATCTACCGGAATTCCATCAATACTCTAAAGAGACATATGAAAAGAAACGAAACAAGAAGGAGATGGTCTCCCGACGCCGGGTTCATATCCAATCCGAACAACGACGTCGAGCACAAATTAAGGACGGTTTCGATGCCCTTCGAGAACATTTGCCTGCTTGCGTCGGTAAAAAGATGAGTAAAGTGGCTTTACTACACTCCACAGTACAACATTTACAGCATTTCGAAAAGAGTCAACGTACAATCAAATTAGAATTACAACGTTTAATTGAGGATAATGAAAAATTGAAAGCTCAATTAAACATGATTCAAACCCCTTCTCTCCCCCCCTTTTTGTGACTATAAATAACACCCACACTGCCCTTTCTCTCTCTTTTTTTTTTTTTTGTGTTTTCTTTTTTTCTTTTTTTCTTTTTATATTATAAAATACCTATTTTTATACACCTCACCCCCAATTTCTTTTTTTAAACTTTCTTCTTCTTAACAATAGATGGGTCGTAAAAAGATCAAGATTCAACCCATTCAAGATGAACGAAATAAGCAAGTAAAGTAAATGATGAATCACACTTTCCCATCTTTTTCCCTTCATTATTTTCTTATATATTTTCCTTTTCAAAAAAAAAAAAAAAAAAAAAAAAAAGGTCACGTTCCTGAAACGTAAGCACGGTTTAATGAAGAAGGCTTATGAATTAAGTGTCTTATGTAACTGTGAAATTGCACTGCTCATATTCAACACCAGCGGGAAATTGGTTCAATATGCAAGTACTGACATTGACCATATTCTAATGAAATACACAGAGGTAAACTCTTCTTTTACTGTCTCCAATTATATGTTCTCATTCCATGTATAGTATAACGATCCACACGAGAGTAAATCAAATCAGGACGTAAGACATCTCAATAAACCCGTAGTGCTATTTTCTAACTTCTCTCTAGTTTATCGATTCAACAGATGGAGAACAGTGGGAAGAAGGCGAGGAAAATATAGAACACGAGATAGATCATAATGAAACTAGAATGTCGGATACAACAAAGACTATTGTACCACCACCACCACCAGCAAAACCACAACAACAACAGCAAGCACTTCCATTACCACCACCACCTCCTCCTCCTCCATTACCACCCACCGTCATGATGTACCACCATCAACCACCACCAACGGCTCCTTCACGCTATCCTGTCAATTACGGACCTCCTCCACCAACGCAAGCTTCAATGGGCTATTATGATGTATATGGACACCCACCTCATCCGATGTACATGCAGGTAATATATATATTTATGTGCCCATTGATTTAGCTGTTATTGATCTTGTATAATAGGGTCAAATGGCACCAAATTATGCACCCATGATGCCTCCTTCATCAACGCACCATCTTGTTCCATACAGTGGACAACACATGAATTCACCTACTCCCAGCCCATACTATCACCACCCTGCCCCTCCACCACCACCACCGCAGCAACAACAACAGCAACAACAGCAACAGCAACAGCAACAACAACAGCAACAGCAACAGCAGCAGCAACAGCAGCAACAGGGGAGACCAAAGCAACGGTCTCCAAGTGTCAAAAGACCAATGAATTTAAGGGTAGAAATCCCCAACGACGACGAGGAAGAAAAGGATAGGGGAAAGGGAACACCTGGGGTTGTATCTGCTTTACCATCTCAATTCGCACATAATTTACCTTCTCCCTCTACATTCTATCCCGAATTTTATCAGCAAAATGAATTGCCCAGTCCCTTGAATTTCTCTTCAACACCCATTTCAGGTGCTACTTCCTTTCATTGGCCTGCGTCCAGGGGGTCCATGAGTGGTCCTACAGCAGCAGGGAATGAATACAGGCCATCTCCTTTAGCGAAAATGTAAGTACTCTTTTATATATCTTCAATTTTCCTCTCTCTCTCTCACACACATACTGATTTATTCTTATCCTAGAAAACACGAAAAGAGAAAACGCTCAAGCTCTTCTGATGAAGACGCTTAAAATACCCACACACACACACACACACACACGATGAAAATAATAAAAAGCTTTTTTTTTTTTAAAAAAATTTTAATTACATGTACATTTTTTTAGATTTGGTTTAAAAAGTCCTGAAGTCGTTGATCATCCCATACATCCATGCCACCACCAGACTGTTCTTCCTGTGGTTCTCGTGAAAAGGATGGCTTCATATACTGATCATTAAGATATGGGGTATGAGAATCAGGCAGTGAAGAAGCATACATCGGCGGTGAATACGGTTGAAAGGACCTCCGTGTATCTGCCAAATTTAAATTGGCCACGCGTCGATGAATAGGTGAACCTCGCTTCAGTCCTTCATATTCATTCTTTAATCGTCTTAACAATTCCGCTTTACGCCCCGTAGCAGATAACCCTCGCTCTCGTAACATCTCTTTCAATTCAGCTACCGTGATATCATCAAAATTCACTCGCTCCAACTTCTCGTCCAATTGTCGTCTCTGGGCCTCTGTTATGCCTCCCTTAGGATGATGATGATGTAGCGTTTGTGCAGGTGGTAACACACGTGGAATCTTGACAGGTAAAGGCCGTTTGCTTGGCATCGTGTGCTTTAACTGAAATTGGTTATACATTCCTTTGTTCACAAAAGGTTTCGTGTGAGGCGGTACAGAAGAGGATCGCCTTAACGACGTATATTGCTGCTGCGGTTGCTGCTGCTGCGGTTGTGGTTGTGGTTGTGGTTGCTGCTGTGGTTGTGGTGGAGATACTACGAGATTCGAATCATTGGATGAAGAAGATCCCGGTGAATGAGAAATAAACTCATAATTGTTTGTCTATCCAGTATGTTTAGTGTCAATTATGTACACCAAAAAAAGTCTAAATAAGGTTACCATGTCAAATTGGGGTGAAGGTAGCGGATTGTTATTTAAAAAGGCTTGGCTTGCCAAGGCATCGGCGCTATAGGGAAACCCATTGTTCGTGTACGGTAATCCTATGCCGTACGGTAATCCATTGTTTGAACTGTACGGTAATCCATTGTCTGAGCCATAGTGTGATCCACTGTCTGAGCCGTACTGAAATCCACTATCTGAGCCGTACTGTAGTCCACTATCTGAACCATACGGCAATCCGCTGTCTGAACCATAATGCAGATGGTACGGTTCAGCTTCTACTTGTATATCAGGTACGAAAGAACTAGTCAATAGGTTCATGGGTGCTTCCTGTGTAGGTGAATAATTCATCTTTTTTAATTGTTTGTAAATAAAAGAAAAAGAGGATAATTTTTTTTTTAAAAAAAAATATCTTAATTCAAGGTTTATAGCTTTTCAAACCACGCTCCTGTTTCAGAAAAAGGCAAAAAAATAAAGGATAAATTACCCACTCCTATTCTAGTCATCTTGTCCGTCTTTTTTTTTCTATCTCTTTTTTAATTAACATTTAGCCTCTAAATCTACCCGAAATTAACAAACAAAAAGGCTTTTAAAGCATAAACAAATAAAAAAAAACCATTAAAGTCTATTGTTTTTCCAACTCAATTGACGTAATGGTTACCCATAGCTCAGGTTTCACCACGCACCCAAAAGCAAAGAAATAAACTCTGACCAAGAATAAACCCGTTCTCCGTCTCCGGGTTGTCCCACCCTCCTATATCTTATGTCACCCCCCCCCCCCCTCACTAACCTCCTGACTCTCATTGTTCTCAAAAAGATCGACCTACGCCCCCCAAGAGCTAAAAGTATATCCCACCCACCCGTGTACACGGACTTTGAAAGGTTGTTGTACGAAAGCACCTGATTTTGCATGAAAAAAGCATGTTTTTCTTCTCAGCCTTTTTGCTGAGCTACATTATCGTGTTTGAAGATCACTGGTTTTTTTTTTTTTCTTTTTTTTTTTTTTTTTTTTTACTTTGCAAATATTTTCCTATTTGAAGCAATAAATCCGTGAGAAACGTTTCCCACATGGTTTTTTCCTTCACTCATTGTAGGATGATTTTTACTTTTTTGACAGCGCTGTATATCTTTTTGTTACATCAGGAGGATGAGATATTGATTGCCTCTTATTAGCTATAAAAGAAGAGACTGTGTATCCCCCCAATCCTTCAAACAAGTTTTAATCATTTACTGAAACTCCTGATAAATAATTTTATTATAGTGCAGCTAATATATCAGTGAAAGCAATCACAATGTTCAGACACACTGAGTGTGCGATTTAGAAAACCTTTGCCCAGTGCACCCGAGGGTGTTTATATCGACACTGAAAAATTAGAAAGCTCACAAAAAAAAAAACAATGCAAAATGGGTCCGATCAGCTAAAAAAAAAAATACAGTGCAAATTTATTAGAAAAGAATAAGTCATCATTTATCCGTATATAAATGGTATCGATCAGGTTCATGGAGAATTCTCTTCTTCATAACCACGATGGGTTCGTTAGGCCTAGTGTTGTAACAAATCTCATAGTCTTCTTTTTCTAGCATTTTTTTGTACTTTTTGACGTTTTCTTCCTTGTACTCTACATAAAAAAATATGCAGATAGCCAAGTCTCTGGAGATGTCCATGATTGAAAAGTAAAAGCTAATTGACAACTGTTAAAAAATGGGATGTGTAATAAACTATAAATATCACCTACCAGGTTCAAGTGACCAAAGTAAAATAAGGGACTCCAAAATAAAAATTCCCTTAAAAAGATACTTGGCAGTAGTCACATTTTGCTACTGCCATTCGCCCAATGTCGCCACACCAAGGTCTTTTTAGAGGTACGTGGTTTATCTTCTCACATATTTTGAGATGATAATGCGGATTTATATGACTTGAGAGTCTAGCCTGGAAGATCCTCATAGTATAGCAAAAACTAGCCTCAGTCTTAAGCTTGCAAAAATTGCAAAAAAAAAAAATTTCCTGCTTTAAAAAAAAAAAGATCTATAACACTTCATACTACTGACTTGCTTGGGGTTTTTGCAAATATTTCGACTCTTCGTAAAGGCCCAAATATTATGGATGATAAAATTAGCAAATGAAATCATCCTGACATAAGCTTGTTTATCATTTTTTTTTTTTTTTTTTTTTTTTTTTTTTTACAAATAAATGTCGCCCACACACTTTTTGATTAATCATCTTGTAAGTAAGACTTCTTCACACACTTTTGTAGGGCGAGACCTTAACGTGGACCAAAATATATACCTGTGATTTTGAAGGTTAGCGCCAATTTATTAGAAAACTTTGGTTGCAGATGCAGAGATCAAAATAAAGAACACCAAAAATAAAATATATCAATAATTGATAGTCTTTCAACCCATCTTTAGAGGGTAATTAATTTAATATGGCTGGTTATAAATGGTAGGAAATAGGTATTTTACGAATCCTTTCTTTAGTTACAATAATTGGCTGTTTTGGATCTAGGTATGTTATAGCAAATTTTTACATCGCCTAGCCTTTTTTATTTCTTTGGTATTTTTTTTTTAGCATTTTCTTCAGTGTATTTTGCATAATCATTCATGCACATTGCTAATTTCCTAGATATTTCCATTAGTGTGGTGTATATAGCAAAAAGAGAGAAGAAACATTGCAAGACTACCACAGCCCTTTTTTATTAGACTACACCGGGAGAGTATACTTTACAGCATCATTCAATGAAATTAGGGAGATCATTAGAAATAATCAACTCCTGTTGCTATACGTTTTTTCTTGTTCCTAAGTTTTGGTAAAATATTAATTTCTAGATTAAAGAATTAACACTTTAACAGACTAAATTCAATTATGGTTATTGGACAAAAGTCGACCGAGTATAAACGAAGAGCAGTGCTTTTAAAGACGAGGATATATGTATCATTCTATTCCATCTTTTATTATAAATGAAGATCAAATAACTTGGATATGAAGGGTTTATAAACGGGCAGTTTTTACTTTGCATACGCTGTTGTTTTATTATAAAATACAAAAGAAATCTAGCATTTCAAACGTCTGTTGTTCAAAAGTGTACATAAATTGCATAAAAAAAAAAAGGGGGGGGGGGCGGGTATACTTTTGTTAAACAGCCAGCTTACTCGAATCATATTAAATACTCTTAATTATGAAGGGTAACAACTGTAAAGTTTCCCCCCCGTCCCCGTCCGTTAAAATAAACAAACTGGGTAAACATCTTTCCCCCAATATATCGAAGCCTAATAAATCCGTTTTTTAAAACTTTTAACAAAATTTAGAGCATATGCTTATCATGCGCATATTTATCAATAATGACAATCAGGCTTATGCTCCTCTTATTTCACAAAACTCCTTTCGTTCAATAGAAAATTACAATGGACGCGCAGTGTCTGGCTTTCCCCACGTCAATATTTTACATTATGACAGCTTGTGCCACTTTTTTTTTTTACCTAACCCCTTAAAATACAATGGTCCTACGTCATCGCTCGAAGGGTGCGTCTTTAGGGAACGTTGATTTTTAACGGACTTCTTTTTGACGTCCTACTAAATAAAAAACGCGCGTACTTTTTATCATCCATTGCCCTTTTATCACCTTTTTTTCTTATTTCTTTTTTGATATCAAAAAAATAATGCCTAAAATTAACGTTACCGTAAAGTGGAGTGGTAAAAAGTTTGACGATATTGAGTTGGGTAAGCCCCCCCCCCCTTTATAAAGTAATCACCTCTTGCATCTAATCCAACTAATGCATAATTCATGGTCAGATACCGATGAGTCACCTGAGCTTTTCAAAACTCAAATCTATTCACAAACAGGTGTCCCCCCTGAGCGTCAAAAAATTATGGTCAAAGGTGGCATCTTGAAGGTAATAACTTTTTTTTTTTTTAAGCATTCTTCTTTTTTTTTTTTGCACTTCTTTATTCATCATCTCTCATGTAGGATACTACCGATCTCAATAAATTAGGTTTGAAAGAGGTACATTGTTAAGAAATAAACTTGCGCGAAGGGGGATGTGAACAAAGGTACTAACACATTACTTTTAGGGTCATAGTTTTATGATGATGGGTACTGCGGGTGAGCTTCCTAAAGCTCCTCCTAAACCTGTTCAATTTTTGGAAGACATGACAGATGCCGAAGTGATGAATGCCGTAAGTTATATATGTAGATAGAAAGTAGGGACCATAGTAACCCCCTTTTTTGTCTTTTTTTTTTTTAAAAAAAAACATAGTTGGATATTCCTCCTGGATTAGAAAACCTCGGCAATACATGTTATATGGTACAGTCAAAACACGTAAAAAGAGAGAGAGAGACCATGATGAAACTAAAAAAACAGAAACATAGAATGCTACTTTACAATGTATGCGTGCTATGCCCGAATTAAAAACGGCTTTAGACAAGTATCAAGGTGGATTAAACGGAGTGGATAACCGCGGTAATTTGGTAGCAAGTCTTCGTGATCTCTTTGGCAACCTTTCTAAAGTATCAGACGGTTTCCCTCCCTTGATCTTTTGGCAGATGCTTCGTCAATCTTTCCCCCAATTCTCTCAAGTTGGTCAGGGTGGTGTCCCCATGCAACAAGACGCGGAAGAATGCTGGAGTGAACTCATCTCCGTTCTCAAGGCGAAATTACCCAAGGAGGAAGGTGACAAGAATTTTATCGAACGTTACATGACGGGTGAATTACAAACAGAAACCATCTGTGAAGAAGCTCCCGAAGAAGAAAAGGTCGTCTCCGCTCATGAACCTTTCAACAAATTAAGTTGTCATATCTCCATCAATACCAATTACATGATCAACGGTATCTTGGAGTCTCTCAATGAAGAATTAGAAAAGAATTCACCTACTTTAAATCGCACAGCCAAATACCAACGTAAATCACGCATCACACGTCTTCCCCAATATTTACCCATCCAGTTCGTTCGTTTCTTTTGGAAACCCCAAGAACAAGTCAAGGCCAAGATCTTGCGTAAGGTCAAATTCCCTCTCGAATTCGATGCTACGGAAATCTGTACACCCGAACTCCAAAACAAATTCTCTAAAGCTAAATTGAAGATGAAGCAAGTGGAGGATAAAAAGGTGCAAAAAGAAAGAGATGAAAAGCGTAGAAAGATGAATAGTGATATTGGTAAAACAGAAGTCTCATCCACATCACCATCATCATCATCATCATCAGCAGCAGCAGCAGTTACTCCTATGGATACAACAGAGGATAAGGTTGACTGGACTGATTATTTAGATCCTGAACTTGTAAAGGATATCGGATGTAACCCTACTGGACAATACGAACTTGTGGCTGTATTGACACATGTGGGTAGATCGGCTGATTCCGGTCATTATATTGCATGGGTTAAAAAGAGTGCGGATGAATGGCACAAGTTTGATGATGATAAAGTCTCAGTTCTTCGTGATGCTGATATTGAACGTCTGGATGGTGGAGGTGACTGGCACACTGCCTATATTGTCTTGTACAAGGCTAAACAACTTGAATAAAAAAAAATATATACATATATTATTATTATTACTATTTATTTTGATTTTTTCTTTTTTTAAAAGTAAACTTGAACAGCCTGTTCAACAGAGGATTCATTAGGACAATAAGGACATTTGAATTTGCTAGAAGAAGAGCGACCATTTCTTGATAATCTTATTAAACTCTCTTTACAGATAACATGGCCACAGGGCATCATCATGGGTGGGTTTTCTTCAGTTGCTTGTTCTTTCGATACAGGACATGCAAACACAGAATGATAGCGTAAATCCTCTTCCAATGGGATCTCTACAGGCAATTCGTTCTGTGCACTCCACTCTGCTTTTTTATTAGCCATGATTGTGTACAATTTCATAATCACGGGTAAAGCCGTAGTTCCCACATACACACTATATATATATATACACATACATAACTTAGACTTCTTGTATCTATATATATATAAAAAGTAGAGAGAGAATCTTACCTGGTATAAAGGGGGCTCTCAGCACTCATCTTTAGCAAGGAACAAAAATCCCTTTGAAACTCTAGCCTGATATCTGTCCAATGTGATCTTGAGTCAAGATATTCGTACTTAGTTCCTGGTAATTTTGAAATGAATGCAAGTGCGCCAAATAGTTTTTGTATTTCTAAAAACAGATTTTTTTTTTTTTAAATGAGTTATTTAACGCTGATGACTTTCTCTGTATGATACGCACCATCATTATACTTTTCACCAAACTTATTCAGATAGGTTCTTCCGTACTCCATCGCATCTAAATTTTTACCCATCAAAAAAATTTGAATATATCTCAAACGATGTAAATTGAACTCTAGCGAGCTTCCCAATTTCATTAATCCGTCATGGTGTGATTCTGCCCATCTATTAGAGAGATAAATACATATGAATACAATGCAAAAAAAAATAATCGGCAATTTTTTTTTTTTTTTTTTTTACTTGATAGCCAGAGTTACATCGTCTTCTTCTTCTAATTGACGTAGTATATTATACATTTGCTCAAATTCAGACTTTAAGTGTTCCACCATGTCGCGCAATTCATCATCAATGGGAATGTGTGCTTCATTCATAAACTCCTCACACAAGTCAAATTGTCCCTTTCGAATAAAGTGTAAAGCCAACGCTCTCGCAATCAAGTCCTTTTTGCCTGCAAATGCCTCCGGATGATAGATCACTGATATATCCTGCTTAAATTTCTATTTTTTTTTTTTTTTTTTAGCATAAATAAAAATTCACTCTTTATAAAAAAAAAAAATCATTTTTACCCTGTCCAACTCCTTGTTCAATTTCGATAAACTGCTTTGATATTCTTTCTGTGGCTTTTGAAATTGTAGATTTTTCGCCTTGTCTTGTATCTGTAATAAACTTTGTTGTGGTGAAAAATCTATCAAAAAAAAATAAGTTTGTCTAAATTCCCTCCGATTTTTTTCTTTCTTTTACTTTGCGAAAGCGCTTCCTTTTGTGCTTGTAACATGGCTTTAAACGCAAACAATTTTTCAAGTTGCGTATCTTGCATTGCGGCTTGCTTCTTTTGTAAATCAAGGCAGGTGTTCAGGATCGTATTCATTGTATATATAAAAAATAAAATAAAAAAACTTGATAGGGAAAGGGAAAAAAAAAAAAAATGTATGTGTGAGTGTGTGTTGAAAAATGTGTGGGTCGACTCCATTTATGATATAACTCCGACTCACGTGTGTTATTTCACTCTCTCTCTATCTCTCTCTTAGTATGTGGTCATAACATAAATTAGCTACATCCACCTAAAGTGACGCGTTGCAAAAAAAAAAAAAAAAAAAAAAAAAAAAAATCTACTCTCAAAATAATGCATGCTGTTGAGAAAGAAGAAGAAAAAGAAAAAAATAAAAAAAAAGGGTGTTTACATGACGCCCTTCAAATGCACCGTTTAAGCAACTACGCCACAAAAGCCATCGTTGGAAGGGTCAGAGATCATCCTCTCCCCCCCCCCCCTCTTTTGCTCGTTTAAACAAAGACTCGAACAATGGACCCTTTCTTTTATTTAATAGACACACGCCAACTATTAAGTGACTTTTTATTTTTATTTTTCTAACTGGATGGCTCGACTTTGTTTACTAAAAGATTTACCAAGTTTCAAAAGAGACACCCCTAGTGTACCTTTTGCGTGACAATTGATTCAAGTAAAAATCCAATGTATGGGTTTACATACACTTTGTCTCATCCCCTAGTTTATAATGATGTGCTTGGGGGAGTCATGTTTTAAAAAAAAAAGAAATTCTCCGAAGTAAAACATCTTGGATTATTTTACTTACTTTACAGTGTTTTTCTATTTATTTTTTTACATAAGGAGTCATCCCATATGTACCTTTATAAGAATACAAACCCAAGCCAGGCCTTATCTTATTTACTAGACTATGCATACATAAATCAATATAACAAAATACTGTCTCTATTCTCTCTTGTCTTGTCTCTTTCAAACATTTATTAAAAAAGAAATGTCTCTGAAATGTCGTATCCACCCACTTTCAAGCTACCAGGGTTTCTTAATGAAAAACCTCTTTTCTCTCTCTCTCTCTTTTTCTCTCCCCCCGAGACTTTCAGTTTTATTTTTTTTAATTTTTGTTTAATAAAACTTTCCTACTTGACAATTAACCTTTTCTGCTTTTCAACCCTTCTTTTTTTTTATTTTAATTACTTTTCTTTTACATTTTTTTTTTTTTAAAAAAAACAAACAAACAAACAAACAAACAATGTGCTTCCCTACTTTAACAGCAGTAGGATCTCTCTTCCTACTCTTCAGTTTCATCATAGAGCTATTTATTCTCATTGGTAATTTACCAAGTACTTTCCTACCAGGCATTTACTTTGCCAAAGCATTCAGTAGATCTCAAAATCTATCTTATTCCTTTGGTCTATGGTAAAAAAAAAACCCTTTTTTTTTTGTGTATGTCTATCCTTATTTCTTTTTTTTTCTAATTCAACCCTATCGCAGGAATTATTGTCAAGGCGATGGCAGTGGTGTCGTGTCAAGTTGTAGCTCTTCCAGTGCCGCCTATAACTGGGCAAAAACTCCCAACATCTCCAACATTGCCCCCACCGCCGCCCACAGCTATGTAGCCTCCGGTCTCTTCTTGGGTATGTTCATCCTTTTCTTTATTGGCTGTGGCTTCAGTTTTGTCTTTTGGTGCTTCAGTCTGCCCATCTGTTGCGTCAAGCGTCGCGGTCTGGGTTACTCCATGTCGACTCTCGTCTTGACCACCTTTTGTGTCATGCTCACTGCCTTTATCCTCTCCCTCGTCGTCATCTTCTTGGGTATCAAGGCTGTAACCGGACAGGATGGTTGGGGTGCAGAGGTGGGTAATTCGCTCTGGTTGACCATTTCCGCTCTCGTATCGCTCATGATCTCCTTCCTCTGCTACACGGGAGGTACCACCTGTGGTCGTCCCGGAAAAAAGAGAAGAAACAAGAACGCTATCGATCCTAATTTCAAGGACGGTAATCCTAATTCCTCTCAACCCTTGTATATGGCTTCTCCCGTCTTTGTTCCTCAACATGGTGCTCAAACCAACGGCGGACAAGGCATGTTACAACAGCCTTATTCGCCAAATACAACAGGCGCTGTTCATCAACAAAATTATGATACACAGGGTCATGTAGGTCATACTGGAAACACCCCACATACTCCCAATCAATCCCATGATCCTAATTCTGTATCCGTTCCCATGCATGGTTACCAAACACCTACACTTGAGCCTGCTAATACAGCTCCTCCCCATTAAATCTCTCTCTCTCTTTTTTTTTTTTTAAACAAACAAAAAAAAAAACCTAATGAATTAATCTAATCCCTTTTGCTCACCTCTCTCTTTTTTTTTACTTCTTAATAATCTCTATACTTAATAAAACAAAAAAATTATAATATACACTCTTGTACACTCTAATGTAGATCAAAACATGGGTTTCACTCATAAAGCAACAACCCGTGTAACACATCAATGCTAAAAAAACAAAGTCACATTTAAACTCTGTCTCTCTCTCTCGGTAAAAAAAAAAAAAAAAAGATTTTTTTTTTTTCGTTTTTTTGACACAATCACCCAAAAAAAAAACATGTCTGCACAACAAAAAAAGCTGGAACTTTTATTAAATTGGTTCGACGAAAACAAGATCGAATGGGATAAAGAAGCTTTAGAGATTAGAGAATCCAACGGATCCTTTGGTGTATTTGCCAAGAAAAACATGAAGAAGGACAAGCCAGGTATATATATAAAAAAAAAAAAAACTCACACCCCCCCCCCTCATAATTTTTTTTTTTTTCTCTGTTAGTCGTCAAGATTCCCAAAAGTTGTATTCTCTCCATCAAAACAACAGGTATTTCAAATATCCTAGACGAAGCTAACCTCGAAGGAGGTTGTCCACTCGCCTTAGCCGTCCTTTACGAAATCGCACAAAAGGAAAATTCCCCCTGGTACGGTTATCTTCAAGCTTTACCCGATCAAGGCGAGGATTTACCCATCTTTTGGGAAGAAGAAGAAAAGGAATTATTTAACGGTACAGAAATGGAATCCGCCGTACACAATGATTTGGTATGATTCCTTTATATGTACTCTCCCTTTTTAAAAAAAAAAGACCCCCCACCCACTCACACGCACACTCTCTTTCTTTAAAAAAAAAAAAAGGGTGATTTGGAAGATGATTATGAAGAATTAATTGAACCACTTTTGGAAGACTACCCTTATATCTTTGATCGTGGAACAAATCCCGATAATGATCCTTATTCCTTTGACAAATTCATCAAAATATCCACCTTGATCTCTTCTCGTGCATTCGAAGTAGACGCCTTTCACGAAAACGCTCTTGTCCCCTTTGCAGATATCTTCAACCACAAGGGAGAAGGCGAACACGTCCATTTCGAAACTGAGTTCGAAGTCTGTGATTCATGTGGTGCCCTTGAATACTGTGAACATCAATACCTCGATTTCCTCGAAGATGACGATCACAGTGACGCTGAAGATCACAGCGAGCATGAAGGCGAATGGGAGGACGCCGAGGATCTCGGAGACGACAGTGAAGAAGAATTAAGAGACGAGATGGGTTTGGACACCGAGTTACCCGATCTTGATCAATTAGAAGCTTCAGGCGTCAATTTTTGGGACGCTGCTGAAGAAGAAGAGGAAGAAAAGAAAGATACCTGTGATATGGTGTTGGATCGTGACGTCAAAAAGGGTGAGGAAATCTTTAACACCTATGGTGATCATCCCAATATCGCTCTTTTAAGTAAATATGGTTTCTGTTACGATGGTAACAAGAACGATTACGTTTCCATTGGTGAGGACTCCATCGTCGATTGCTGTCTTGCCATCACCGCTGAAATCTTGAAGGCTAAAATGCCTAAAGCTTCTGCCGAAGAGGTCGAAAAGGCCGCTGTTGAACTCACTCGACCTCGTTGGGAATTTTTCTTAAAGAACGAAAAGACCTTATGTCCTTCCGCTGAAGGCGAAGAGGAAGAGGAAGAGGATGATTTCGATAATGGCTGTCAAGAAGATTGTTGCGCCTCCGATGATGAAGGTCATCACCATGAAGGTCACAGTCATGAAGGTCACAGTCATGAAGGTCATGCCCATGGCGATGACGATGAGGACGAAGAAGAAGAACACGAGCATGATGAAGAGGGTGGATGTTGTGGAGGTGAAGATGAAGGACAAGGCGGAAAGGGTCGTCCTTACTTTATCAACTCGGAAGGTCTCTTTGAAGATAAACTCATGTGTTTACTTCACGTCATGTTTGTTGGTGAATCCACTTTTGCAAAGTTCGAAAAGGATATGGACAATGCCATGGCTTACTTTGATGAACTTGCCAATAGTCAAGGTGAAAACAAATCCAAGGCTGTGGTGGAGGTGAAGCGTACCATTTATCAAGTCTGTCGCGCACTTTGTGAATTCAGACGTTTAGAATACCTTGAGGACGGTGAATGGAAGCCTATCGAAAAGGACATCGAGGAACGCAAGAAGGTCGCCGATCATTCTAGAAAGTACTATGCTTTAACATGTCGTATTGCTGAAAAGAAAATCATTGAAAAGGCCATTCAATATTACGGCGATTTGGTAGAGGAATACTCTACTATCGCTGCTGCTCCTGTCGCTAACAAGAAGAAGCCTATCAAGAAGACGAACAAGAAGCAAAAATTGTAGATATATTTACCCACACACACACACACGCAAACAATCATAGCATATCATCAAAAAATATGTAAAAAAAAAAAAAAAAAAAAAAATTAGACAGATTTATATTATATAAAAAACTATTTTTATATAAAATACGACTTATTAGAATTCTTTTTTAAATATCCAAGTATAAAACATGGCCAAGGCATTTTGAGGTTGGTAATAAGGGACTTCGTGTCCTGCATTGTACACTCGAATAAAGGTCAATCTATTTGTACCCTTCATCTGTCCCACTTCTCTACCACGGTAAATCCATGGCTTTAAACTTTGTTTGTTATATTCGCTGCTTCCGTTGAACCGGAGTTGCTCCATTGTCTCATAATTTCCGTACTACAAACAAAAAAAAAAAGTCAAAAATCATGTCCCCCCCCCCCCCTTAAAAAAAAAACTATCATTTCTTACCCAATTGCATAAATAATCCGCATCACCTACATAATTTAAAACTCGAACACCATTGTTCAACAATGAAGCAAGAGCGGGTGATGAATCTCGCGCTCTGAAAAAAAAAACACAAGGAATGATTTAGCTTCTCTGGGGAGGAAACACACGCGCTCATTGAAAACTCACCCTTCTCCTGATCTACTCATGGCATCATACTATATTGGGAGATGTCAAACAAAATAATCTCTCTGTAAAAAAAAAAAAACTTACAGGCCTTTCAGCACATTGCTCGAACTTTAAAGACTCAACACCAATCGCTTGTTGGAACTCGGGGTTATTTAAAATACGCACATAATCCTCAGGTGGATCAATCTCTCTGGATCCCTTTCGAACATCGTAATAGTTGAGCCCAGATGTCTGGAACAATAAATCAATGTTTTCTGTACAATATCTATCCGCTGCTACACACGCATATTGCTCATCTGTCTCGTAACACCTTTCAACTTAATTATACCCTCGTTAATTCATCTTTATTACTTTACTTTTTTTTTTTAAAAAAAAAACTTACTTAATTTTGCACACGTCGGGTAATTACCCTTCATTTGTTCACAAACATCCGATGATACAAGTGGTCCATCTAAAAGGTTTATAAGCGTTATGTATGACACATTACAATCAATTTCATCACTTACAGCTAGAATCGCATGCCATACCAGCAGCATGTTTACTTAAAAATATATCAAAAATGTCAATTCAAAAAAAAAAAAAAAAAAAAAAAAATTACAAAACATGCGAGCTTTACAATTGAATAAGCGGATTGATCCATCCATTTCCAATCCCCACAGAATCAATCGGAATTTCCTTCCCACGAGGGTTTACAACACCTTGTAGCAACTGATTTTGCTTCACAATGTAATCTGCATAATGAGGTATATATCGGCCCGCAAAAGATTCTCCAAACAAATGAAAGGGAACCTCACGATACTTTGGAAAGACCTCATAGAATAATTGTAACGCTTCATAAAATTGGGTCGCACCTTGCTCCACATTAAATTGTAATGGGTCACCGTAAGAATATCCAACTCCATTTGGCTAGAAAAAAAAAAATCCATCCTTTTACTTTTTAACCTTCTTTTTTTTTTTTTCGATTCGCGCGCGTACGTACGTACACACACACACTTTTTTTTTTTTTTTTCAAAACTAACCTGATCAATAAAAAGCATATTTGAAAAATGCGTCCAGGTATTGGCGTTATAACCAATCTCCGTACCATCACCATGGCTCCGACAAGGTCCATTCTCTTGCCACAATCCACTTTTAATAACCTAATTAATAAGCCGTTTTTCTCCACCCCCCACACCTTTTTTAAAGGTAGATTCCCCCCCCCCCCTTACATCATACTGGAACAACCAGGTCCACCATTCAACCATGCTGTCAAGGGCCTGGCATCTGGATTACTCTTGCTTTCAAAAAACCAGAAAAAATAATGGTTATTCGGTCCCATATCCAAATACCCAGAATACTACCCCCATGATTGTTAAAAAAAAAAAGTTGTATTACACAAAAAAGGTTTATAAGTATTTCTACCTGTGTCACATTGGGGTCGCATAAATTTGGGTTCACAAATCGGACACTGTAATTAGGATGATTTGAACTTTGAATGACCTTGTAATCAATAGGTTCGTACGTACTGGCTGCATTTCCTCCATGAACAATGCATGCAACTGCTACAAAGAAAAACTTCAACTTCATTTTTCTTTTAAAGAAATCCCCCGATAGAAAGAGAAAAGAGAATAGTAAAGCAAAAACTTACCCATCTTTTTTTTTTTTTTGTATTTTTCCTTTTGTCTATATTACCGATACTGAGAGTCGTTTAAAAAAAAAAGTTAAGCTTTTTGGTTTGATTGAAAATGTATTTTTTTTTTAAATGTCAGTTACGGGAATAAAAAAAAAACTTCTTTTTTTTTTTGGGTGTAGACACGATCCGTTTCGCATGTGTTTCGATTTTTTATTCAAGAACTTCTAATAAAGGTAAAGTGCCCTTTTATTAGAAGAACGTTTCTTTTTTAAAAAAAAAAAAAAAAAATTGATATGCACACATCGATGCCCACGTAAAACCATTTGTCAAGTCTCGGTTCTTTTTTTTCCTCCTTCTAGAAAAAAAAAAAAAACAAGAGAGAGAGAAAATTCGGTATGAAAAGAACCCCTTTAGGAAAAATCGTTTCTCTTTTTCCAAAAGACAATAAAAGAATAAAAAATGATTCCCCCATTGGACTCGATGATTATGCCAATGACAGGTAATGTTTGTTTGCCATGAGTTACACACGCATTCCTTTTTTTGAAAAAAAAAAAATATGTCATTCCGTCATCAGAGAGGCGGGGGAACGATGCTCTTGTCCAATCAGAATAACTATGTTTATGATATCATATAAGATCTGACGTCGGTTTGGTACAACACGAAAATACATGCAGGTGTAAAAAAAAAAAAGGGGGGGGGGGGAATTCGATGTTTATATAGGAAAACGTGGGTCGATCCTGTTCCCCCTGCGTGAGAATTTCATCCCCCCTTTGACGTAAATAATGATATAGAGTGGGGGGGGGGGACTGTAAACAGTAAAACTCCCTTTTGGATCATTTAACTATATCCAGAAAATAAACATTAAGTCACAATTTTTTTTTATTATTATTATTTGCAATAGTTCAGGAACAAGAAAAAAAAAAGCTTAATGCAAAAAAGTAATCCCCCCAACAGACAAACATAAAGGGAAGAGTCTGTCTAAATTAAAAAAGGTGGAGAAGCAAAAAAAGAAGAGGCGATTCAAAAAAAGAACCTTTCTCTTAAATTCTCTCTCGCTCTCTCGCTCTCTCTGCTGCTCACTCTCGAATGTGTAACATGACGTAGAAAAAGGCTAACTCTTTTTTTTTCTTTTACTTTCTTCTGTTTGATCAAGTTTCATTCAAGCACAAAAAAAATCGTCTCCGCTAAAAGGATCTCATTAAAAACCAATCGGAAAAAAATTTTCAATGGCCGGTTGTTTGTATATAAAGATCCACGAAAAATGGTAATAAACTAAAGTAAAAAAAAAAAATATTATTCCTATTTCTTATTAAATCAAAAAAATCATTTTTTTTACTGTCCCAAATGAGTAATAAAAATATCGATGAAAGTGTCAGAGGCACTGTGAATCGCAGTCAATCTTATACCACACCAAGTCAAAGACCTGCTGCAGTCTCTCGTTCAGCAAGTCGTGCCCATTTTGATGATTCCGAAAGAATGCCCAATCACATCCCTAATAGTAATAGCAGACCAGAATACAATGAAGGAAGTCGTGTCAACTCTTCCGTTCATGTCACTTCTACACCCAGACCCAAGATCTCCAGTAGAGCTACCTCCTTTGCTACTGCTGCCAAAAGAAGATCCATGGTCAGAACAATTTCCTCTCTCTCTGTCTACAGTAACTTTGCAGGTGAACGTTTAGATGACAGCTACCCAAGACCTACCCTTGGAAATATGATTGATGAGGAAAAGAGAAAGAGCTATCCTGCTTCCCGCAAATCTTCCATGAATAAGCACGAAGAGTCGACCGTGGGTGAAGAAATGATTGAAGATGCTTCAGATATCGCTCCCAAAGCCTCTGTTGGTAAAGCCATGTTCATGTTCTTGAAGGCATTCATTGGTTCGGGTGTTTTGTTTTTACCTAAAGCGTAAGTTTTATTATTATTATTATTATTATTTTACTTTTAGGCGAAAAAAATCACTAAACTGCGTCTATTTTAGATTCCAAAATGGTGGTTTGGCTTTATCCATTGTGCTAATGATTGTCATTGCACTTATCTGTCTATTTGCATTTTTACGATTGGTAAGCACGCAACACATTATTGGTGGTTCTTATGGTGATATGGGTGGTTTACTCTATGGTAAAGCTACCCGTTACATTGTCCTGTTTTTCATTGTCATCTCTCAAATCGGTTTCGTATGCTCTTACTTTATTTTCGTCTCGGGTAACTTGGTGAGTGTCGTTGATGTCCTCTCTAACTGTACAGCCGGTATCGAACAAAAGTACTATGTTTGGATGCCACTCGTTATCTTGATCCCTCTTTCCCTCATCCGTCATATCGCCAAATTATCCTTCACTGCCATCATTGCTGATCTCTTTATCTTGTTTGGTTTGGTTTGTATCATTTATTTTACGGCTGTCGAATTAAGTGTCAATGGTGTCGGTCCCAATGTCGCTGCTGTCAATCCTGTCAGTTTTGGTATGATGATTGGTACAGCCACTTTCTCCTTTGAAGGCATTGGTCTGAGTAAGTAATTATTACCCCCCTTTTAGCCACTAGTCGATAAGAAATGCATGCTAATTTTTTTTTTCTTAACTCAGTTATTCCTATTGTTGAGTCTATGGAACGTCCCGAAAGATTCCCATTCGTCCTCTGTTTGGGTATGTTAATTGTCTGTGTTATCTATATCTTGATCGGTTCTATCTCTTACTTGGCCTATGGTGACGCTATTCAATCCGCTGTCATTTACAATTTCCCTCCTGCCAATAAGCTCACTATCTCTGTTGAACTGTTGTACTCCCTTGCCATTTGTTTGACCGCCCCTTTAATGCTTTTCCCTGCCTTGAAGATTATCGAAAACGGTCTCTTCCACAAGTTCAGATCAGGTAGAGATAGTTTTGCTGTTAAATGGTCCAAGAATCTCTACAGAACTCTTCTCTGTGTCCTTTGTGCTGTTGTCGCTTATGGTATTGGAGGTGAAAACTTGGATAAGTTTGTATCGCTTGTTGGCTCTGTCGCTTGTGTACCCCTTTGCTTTATCTTCCCCGGTATGTTTCATATGAAGGTCACAAAGAAGAAGAGCGAAATCATTCCGGATATCGCTCTCATTGTCTTTGGTGCAGGTATCTTGGTTTACACCTTGTATGTCTCTATTGATTCCTTCATCAACCCTATTTCTGCTGGTGAGCCCCTTACCCCTTATTGTCCTGCCAACTAAAAAAAAAAAAAAAAGAGTAGGCTTCCTTTTTTTTTTTTTTTGTACATAACTTATTTATTATAATTTTCCACACACACACCCCTCCCTTTTGTTACTTGTAAATATACCAAATCAAACAATTTTCTTTCTCTTAAAAAATTACTGCATTAAAAAAAAAATTATATTTCACTTTTGGGAAATTTCTAAATAATTCTTCTTGTCCTTTTTTTTTTTTGTTGAAATTTCTCATCTGTAAACACGCGTGCTTACCCAAAAGAAAAAAAAAAAAAAAAAAAACTCCAACAATTATTAGATGTACATTTATAAAAAAAATTAAATTAATTTGGTGGTTTAAAATTATTTAGACTTTTTGGTTTCCACCTTCTTGGAAGCAGCAACAGCTTCAGCAAGTTCGGCTTGATCAGCTCTCTTGTTAAGATAATAATGGGCAACTTGTAACCCAATAATACCAGTAATCGCTAAAGTCATGATACAATGCGCAGCAGCAATATTCTTCAAGTTCAATGCCAATTCAGATACAACTTTTGTCTCGCCAATGTTCTTAATAGCTTAAGTTCATCCACACACACACAATAAAAAAAAAAACCCCCCACCCAGTTAGTTCTCTCACATCAAATCATGACTTTTTTTTTTTTTGTTCTACTTTACCAGGCTTAACAGAGGTAGCATAAGTTGAAAGAGCAAACAACATCAACACTAGCAAACATACGTTTAGCATCCCTCAACTCCATAACACACATACACGAACTTACCTAAAGAAGCTCCGTCAAATAAAATGTTGCCATCCGTCATGTTGGCTAAACCTGCAGCAAAACCAACAGCGGCAATCATTAAATTGGCAAAAGGAATATATTTAATAATGTCGGGCGCATCAGCTTGATTGATGTAATATTGCTATATTTTAAAATGTTAAAAAGAAAAAAAACCACCCCCTCCATGATGACATTCTCTCTCTTTTTCTTTTTTTTTATTAAAAAAAAAAAGCAACTTACTGTGGCTCTGGCAATGGCATTAGGATGTTCAGATAAATCGGCCCAAAGAAAGTAATAATCAAAGGACCAGTCAGACCAAAAAGTCTACATGTTTTTTTTAATATAAGTCTTTCTCCCCCCCCCCCCTTTTTTTTATTTTCTTCATGTCAACTTACACCGAAAGCGAAAAAACTTGAACAGAGGATTAACACCACTTTCATCGATTGCATGTGTTCTCTAGGCATGGTTTATATTTCTTTTTTCGCACGGAATAAAACACAAAAAAAGGCGTTCATTAGGGAGAGTTGGGGGGCAATTTAGTCTAAACAAGCCACCTCCACACAGCGGGGATTTGAATCATCATGCAATTTAAGTTTTCCAGTTAATCAAATCTCTTTGTGATGGGGGAAAACTACACTTTTTTTGCACAGATCAAAAAGGTTATTTTATCATTTTACATTTTCTGTATTTCATCCCTATATCTTATTTCTATACAATTTTCTGTTTTTTTTTTTTTGCACAAATCAAATTGCATTGAAAATATAAATGTTGTTGCTTTTAGCTAAAGAAAAGGTTTCTACTGCCGACTCTCCCTTGTTTGGTCGGTAGGTTACCCAGGAATCCATATGTTTATTTCCAGACTTTCAAATTGGTCCCACACCTTAATCTTTTGGGGGGGGGGGTGTTGTCATCCTCCCGGCGCCCCCCAAGTCGTCCCGTGTCAGTGATGAACGGCCATGAAACAGCCATTCTTAATGTCAGACACTTGGTGGTAGTAACACATCAAATGGGAGAAAACTTTACACCCATTCTAGCGTCGACAAACGATAAAGTTCATCTTCTTGATTCTTGTTTTAGAACCTGATATTCCAACAAACTTTCTGTGTGATAATCGACACATATTTTTATTGGGATTTGTCAAAAAAGGGGGGAATTTGGGGTTTTCTTTAAACAGCATCTTTTTCCCAAGGTTTCTTTTTTCCTAACCATTTGAGTCTATGCGATTTCGTGATAGACTTGTACTCAACCCCCCCTACCCTGGGTTGTCTTTTTATCGCACAACGGAAACCTGTCACTGTAGAATTGCACCCCCCCCCCCCTTTTTCACAGTATGGATTATAAAAGAAAGAGAAAAAAGAAAAGAAAAAAAAAAGGTGTCTTATTTATAAACAAGATGAGTTTATTTGCTTATTTAATCAAAAACAATAAACAAAAGAGCTGGTTTATGTCAGCATGATTTATATTGGGTTTATTGAATTCACCCCCCCTCTTCCTCATGTTTTTGGGTCTTTTTAACTGTGATAGAAACATTTGTAAATAAATTTCCTAGGCTTATATACAAAAGCAATTCTGAACTTGGTTAAGCTTCAGTAGTAGCAGCATGAAAATAAGATACTCAAAAAAAAGATTAATAACAAACATCACGTGACTCTTAAAATACGCAGATAAAATATAAGAAAAAAGTGATATCGCTATTAGATTGTTCATAGAATACACAGGTGTAAAAAGACTTCAATTTGCTATCCGTGTAACGGGGTAAAAACTTCTTCGAGATAAAAAAAAAAAAAAAGAATAAACCCTTCCCATGAAAGTTTCAGAAAAACAGCTCAAATTTCATGGGGGAAAGGTCTTATTCAAGTACAAAAGGGGGGGAGGGGAGGAGAGAGGACGGTCGGACCCTTAAAAAACGAGATACGTCATTTGATGGGGAGGGTTGTATTTTTTTTTTTTTTTTTTTTTATTTTAAACCCTGGGGGTCCAACCAAAATCTTTTGTGACAAAAAAAAAATTTACAGTTTTTATATATATATTTATACATAAAAAAAGCAGAGCCAATCCTTTTTCTTTGTGTTTGTTTTTTTTTTATTGCAGCCAATCCCTTTTTTTGCTTTTAGACTCCATTTTTTGGTTCGCGCCACACATTTTATTGGTCCAAGCTCATGACAGATACAACTTCACAGCCACATCATTTACTTCATCCTCATGAAGTTTACTCTAACCCGTCCACTACCGCTTATCAATCAGCTCCCGCTGTAGATATCGGACAACAACACCCTGTTGACCCCAGACAACAACATCATTTGTATCAACAACAACCACCACCATCATCATCATCATCATCACAGCAACAACAATCACAACCTCAACAAAGTGCATATCCTATGGTTAGAACTTTATAAATCATTTCTATCTTACAAAAAAAAGGCTAATATTTATCTTTTTTTTTTTTTCCTTCTCCTCCTTTCCTCCCCCTCCCCCGTACACACACACACCTATAGCAACCAATTGTTCACTCTCCTCCTCCTCCTCATCATCAACAACTAGGTTACCGTCCTATGGAACAACATACGGGTCCCGCTCCTCCTCCCTCTTCACAACAACCATCTTCTTCTGACCAAGCTCCAAGCGAAGAACCATTGTACGTCAATGCCAAACAGTACCATCGTATCTTGAAACGTAGAGCTGCCAGAGCAAAGCTGGAAGAACTGAATAAACTCTCCAAGGCAAGAAAGCCTTATCTTCATGAAAGTAGACACAAGCATGCCATGAGAAGACCACGTGGTCCAGGTGGAAGATTTCTAAGTTAGTACTAAAAAAAAGTTGTGTGTCAAAAAAAAAAAAAAAAAACTCATCCCCCCCCCCCCTCTAATCCGTAGCTGCTAAAGAAGTGGAAGAATTAGAAAGAACAGGAAAGATGCCTGGTCAACAGACGGACGAAGAAAAATTATCTGTACATACGAAAGAACAAACTGACGAAAAGATTTCATTACCACCACCACAACAACAACAACAATGGCCCAATGCACCTGAATTAAACAGCTATCATGGTGGATACGAACATTAAAAAAAGGGATTTTTAAATGATGTATATATATATAAAAAAAAAACCTCTTCTTCTTGCATAATTAATATTAAAAAAAAAAAAGACACATAACAATTTTACTTCATGCAACCCGCTAAAAAAAAAAAAAACTGTGTTTGAAAATGAAATCCCAATCCTATATAAACATGGCCTGTGCTGCTTACCTATTGTTGTTACCCATCGGACCTAAACTTTCCCCCCCTTAAACATGCCATCTTTTTAAACCCCCAAGAGATCCTTGCCACGATTTAATAATCATATGAAAAATGCAACCCACCCTTTTTTAAAACCCCTATTTTTGAAATTTATCTTTTTCTTATCCCCGTACCTTTTTTTTTTTTCTTTTCTTACTTATATGAACATGGAATCACATTCTACTACTACTGATATCAACTCAGATAGCCCTTCACTCATTGCACAATGGTATTTACTCCCCCTCCAAAATTCCCGTTCTCTCAGTATATTAACATGTTGAAATATTTTAAACAAGGTTTCACGCCATCGATAGTCCCATTATAGATCCCATTGCACTTCGAAAGGCAAAAAGAGAGAAATCTTTAACCCACATGACCGTTCGTTCTTCTTCTACAACAAGTCCACCAAGATCTCCTCCCAAAAACTGGGTACCTTTCTCCAGGCGTGACAACACTGCCTTGGAAAAAGCATTCAAGGTAAAGAGTCATCTTTTTTTTTTTCTTCAGCTCAAAACCTTATAAACAAACCCCCCTAACCATATGAAAAAGAGTCCATATGCTTCCACAGCAGTGGTATCTGTCAACGAAGATCATTTGTTCGAGGTCGATATTTCTAAAAGAGAAATCAGTCCCGTTTACTGGGAAGGCCCCGTTTATGAAGTCCGACGCGCCACTTGGTTTTATGCAGGTGAAGGCTTTAAATGGTTACCTTGTGAGGAAAATATGTCGAGACAAATCGAGAAAGGTTACCAGTAAGTCCCCCCAAAAAAAAAAACCTATACGCATCCTCCTCAATTGTTTTTTTTTTTTTTTTTACTTATAAACCCCCCCCCCCCCCCCTCAAAAGGAAATATAAACCCTATGTAGAGCCAATCATCGTCACTGAGGAAGTCCAGATGGATCTAGGGGAAATAGGTCCATCTTCTTTTATCAGCAGTAACAACAACGGAGAGAAAGAAAAGGACATGACCGACACTGAAAAACAGGTAGAAGAAATCATCCAACAAAAAGAGTATTTGTTAGGCCCCTATCTTGGTCAATATGTCATTTATACAGACCCTGTTTATGCTTGGTTATTTCAGTAAGTGTTTTTTTTCCTTCTGTCAAAAAACTCGCATCTTTTTTTTTTTTTAAAAAATAGACTTTTTTTTTTTTTTCTGCAGTGATACACCCGGTGCCAAAATCGCTCAAACATTCATGACAACAATCACAAATAATCAAAACTTGGGCGGTACAAAGCTAATTCGAGGTTATCCAGAGGTCGAAAATGAAAAAAGAAAGAAAACAGAAGCAGAAGCCTTAAAAAAAAAAGAACAAGGAGACTCATCTCAAGAAACCATGACCACCGAGACACAAGACACCACGAAGCAACCTAAACAACATCTATCCACCGATAACGGTGTGGATCTATCCCGTAAAATTAAGGACTTGGCTCCACACAAAAAGATGGAATTAGATGATATACAAATGACTCAACAACAGGCTGAGGATTATGAGAATGAAGAAAGTGAAGAAGAGGTTAGACACATTGATCAAATCATATTTGTCATTCATGGTATTGGTCAACAAATGTCTGAGCGCATGGGTCAAAACTTTGTACACGGTAAATGATTAAAATATATATATATATATATTTCTACCCCCCATCCATTGACACCTCCCCTTTTTTCTTTTCTTTTCTGTTGCTTAGATGTCAACGTCCTAAGAAAAACAATGAAATCTACTTGGCCTATCGCTGTCTCAGGAACAGGCCCACTCAACCGTGCTCATGGTATTCAAGTCTTACCAATTCTATGGAGACAAGGTATCTTATTCGGAAATGATCCTACAGATGATAAGAGTACCCTTGAATCCGATATGGGCTTACCTGATGCTGATGACGGTTGTCCAACCATTGACGAAATTACCTTGGATGGTGCACCCAATATTCGTACTCTCGTCTCAGATGTCTTTTTAGACAGTAAGTAAGAAAAAATTATCCTTCTCCCCCCTCAAACTGACCTTTTTTTCTTTTTTAAAAAAAAAAAAAAAGTTCCTCTGTATTTAACAAGTAGATATCACAGTCAAATGATTCATATCGTGACAAAGGAAGTCAATCGTGTTTACAAGTTGTTTATCCAAAAAAACCCAGAGTTCTTGCCAAATAATGGACAAGTATCAATTTTGGCCCATTCACTTGGAGTAAGCCCCAATTTATTCTTGTTTAATCTAAAAAAATAATTGACATTTTTGTAATTAGTCCCTGTTAGCATTGGACATTTTGAGCGCTCAACCATTTACAGGAGCCCAATTATCCAACGTAAAAAACGCAGCCATCATCACCGAAAAGAAGACAGATACGCTCGATTTCCCAGTGAAAAATTATTTTGCCATCGGTTCTCCACAGGGTATGATCATGATCTTGAGAGGACATAAAATGGTATCACGTAAAACATTGGCATCCACCCCTATAGACCATCACACCTACAGTGAGAAGGCAGCTCCCGTCTCCTTTATTTATCCTGCCGCAGACAACATTTACAACATCTTTCATAAATCAGATCCCGTTGCCTATCGTCTGGAACCGTTGGTCGTACGTCATTATGGATCGAAATTAAAACCGTTTCCCATACCTTATATCAAGGGTGGGCTCAAAAGTGTACTCGATCATGGATATAACGTCACCCATGATTTTGCCAATCGCGCCGGGGCCATGTTTGAATCCATCAGGACAGGATTCACAGGTAGTTTATTCATGCGTGGTCTAGGATTCTCAAAACCCGTGATGGAAGGTACACCTGCAGAAACAGAGTTACCATCCCGTTCGCTTTCGGATCCAGCCTTGCTCGCTTCCCGTGCAGAAGCCAAAAGTGCCGCTAAACTCAAGGCCCTTAATCCGAACGGTCGTCTTGATTTTTATCTACAGGAAGGTTTACTGGAAAACACATACATTAGTGCTCTTAGTGCTCATATGTCCTACTGGCAAGACGTCGACGTCGCTGGTTTCCTCATTAGAGAAGTCTATAAAAATCAGCAACTAGAACAAGAGGCACAAAAAACTTGAATACAAAAACTGTGATTGTTTAAAAACACACACACACACACACTTTATTTTCTATTACTACTACTACTATACATAAACTTCTTCCCACACCCCCCCCCACCTTTTCTTATACAAGTTCTTCTTCCTTTTTACTAGTCAATGGTTGAGGGTTTTCAGGATCATACATTTTTGGTAAATTCAAACCAACACGATTAGCTGAAAGTTCAATACGTCGTTTTTGTTCCATAATAATAGCTGAATATAACGCACGTAATTCCTATACACACATAACAAAGTGTCAATTTTTTCCCTGTCAAAAACACCCCCCCTCCCTCCCCTTTTTATTTCTTTTTTTACCTTGTGCTTTCTGGAACTTGTCAAAAAGGTCAACACATTTTCCGCATTGTTATTCAAAGCAGCTACCTTGGAAGCATCCTCAATCGTTTGATTCTTACGATAAATAGCCTTTAATTCTGCTGCAAATGTTGGGTTATTGGCACCTTTGGTATACTATATACAAGGGTATTAGATCTCTCTTTCGTTTTTTCTTTCTCTCTTTCTTTTGTTTCCCCCCCCCCCGCCTATTCTCCACTTTTTTAGGGGCTTTTTACCTGTTGATTCACCTCTCTTAACAATTGACGGTAAACAACTAAATTTCTAGACATGGACATTTCTTATTTTTTTAATTATACGTTGAAACAAAGGTCCTCTTTTTCTCTCTTTCAAAAAAAAAATAGAGTCTGAAAAAAATTCCCAAAAAAAGGAGTTTAGATCTCTCTCGGAAAATCATTTAACAGCCAAATGGGGGTCATCTGAAATGCTCCCCCGCCCCCGAAAGTTGTATCGTTTCCATAGTCATCATCTCTATACGCGTGACTTGTTCTGAAGGGCTAATGTGCATGAACTAGCTAGATTTTTTTTTATATATTTCGTCATATCATCATGACCTTTCTCTCTTTCTTTTTCTTGCAGCGAAAAAAAAAAAAGGAAATAGTCCTCTCCCCCACACACCTCCTGAATCTTTTTTTTATTTTACTAATCTCACGTTTAATCACAGTGAACAATGTACTTTTTATAAAAAAAAAAACAAACCTAGAATGGGGATATCATACAAAGATAGTTTGTAATACAAGCAGAACCTTAAATTTGATAGGAACGATTACACTTGAAGTAGCATGATATTCTTCCTCATCAAGAAAAAAAAAAAAACGTCATATACCTCAGAACCTCTTTCTATTCTTGTTATTCCATCTCATCGATAAAATCAAAAAAAGATAAGACTCTCCCCCCCCCCACACATACAAAATGCACTTTTGGGAAGTGTGGCTGACATTGAATGAAACCTAACAACGCCCAAACACAAAAGTTTTCTTTCCTCCTCCCCTTTTTTATGAAATCATATAAATAAGGGGGGGGGGGGATGAGAAAGGTGACATATTTTCTTTTTCTTTCTCTTTATCATTTTTTTTTTCTGCTTTTCTCATCATGTCTGAGGCTTCAGACTCTAAAAGACCGCGTAATGCCGCACCTATCCCTTTTGGTGGTAGACATCATAATATATCACCTCCCTATGATGAGTTCGTAGGATCTCTACCGACAGCTTCACCGTCCATGTACAGCGAGTTTAATGTCGTATTAGACGATGGAACACTTCAAAAAAGAACAGTCTCTTTATCTACTTTACCCGATGATCTGGGTGAAGTGTCGGGTGTGGAAGATAACGATGAAGATGACGAAGATCCACCCGATATCCATGATAATCCCGATGAAAAGCTTAAACGAACCAGGTAAAAAAAAGAACAAAACACACTCTTTTATATATATATATATATGCTAATGTGATCCTCCCCTTTAAGTCAGGAAACACTGGATACAACACCACTTTTACAAGATCAAAAGAAGAAATCGTATGCAAGTATAGCATCATTGCAGCATTATGATATCGATTCTACCACATCCAATGAAGAAACAGATTCAGATAACTCTTCTCCACACCCCTTTAAAAGAAACCGTTATAAAAAACTACCCGACCCACAACACCCGTCTTCATTAAAAATGAAACCTTCCCTTTGGAGTCGATTGAAATCATCGGTTGAATTAACACCTCAACATCGTCTGGTACTCAAGTGTAGCTTTGCTTATATCCTCGGTTGTCTCTTCACGTTTGTCCCTCAACTCAACGCTCTCATCGGTTACAACCATGTCTCCAGTCATCTTGTAGCCACCGCCACCGTCTTCTTCAACCCTGCCAAATCCTTGGGGGGTATGGTCGAAGCCGCTCTTTACGGTTGGGGTTATACCCTTTTCGCTCTTCTCGTCTGTATCGGTTCTATGGCCACCACAGATTATTTCGTAGACAAGGATTTATTCACCGTAGCTCATGTTATCTCTTTGGGTTTTTGGCTCGCTGGATCCACTTTTACTGTCGCCTTTTTGAAAGCTCATTGGAATAAACCTCCCGTGGCTACAGGTAAAAAAAAAAATAAACAAACAAACAAAAACAGAGTTTTCTTTATTTATTACCGCTTTTTTTTATATATATTTATCTCTTCTTATGTCCTAGCATCCAGCTTATGTTTCATCATTATTTTTATCATTGTGGTGCGTGAAGGTTCTGCCAATCGAGGTGATTTCGATACTACGCGCATACAACAAATCACCACCGCCGTTGCCACAGGCACACTGATCACTGTCTCCTGTTGCGTCTTGTTTTGGCCCATCTCCGCCAGTAAAAAGCTAAAGTAAAGTAAAACTCCCCCTTATAAAAAAATCATGCTGTTTCCAACATCAAACTCCTCCTCCCTAAAAAAAACCAACATTCCTTTTTTTTTTATTAGAAAAGATCTTGAAGCAACACTCATGTCGTACAAGGTACTTTTGAAACTCTTGACCAAAACTTTTTTACTGGATGATGATCTTCCCGAATTCACCGCCAATAACTCCTTACAAACCGCCATTGATTCACATCGTGCTAGTTTTGTTTCATTACAAAAATCCCTCAGTGAAGCTAAACTCGAGGTCTTTTGGAGTGACGAAATTCGGGGTTGTACTCATGAATATGATGCACTTGTCAAAAGTATGCAACGTTTAGCTCAATCGGTCGGTGGTCTTCGAAGTAGTTGTGGACTTCAATTTGAGTTACTCCAACAAGACCTTCCCTCCAGAAAATCAAGAGGTCACGTCCAAAAAAACAAAAAGAAAGAAACCTGGAACATTCGAGCCGATCATCATCGTCTCAAACTCGAAGGGGAAATGAAACGTCAAAGACAACATCATCAGGCAGACGAAGACCCTTACGCTCAATTACCCAATCATCATAGTCATGGGGACAACGATCCTAAGGATGGCACACTGATCGAGTTTATTCATACCATTCGACAACCCTTAAAATCACTCGCCTACACCTGCAAACAAACCATCTTACATCTCCAAGTTGGTTTCTCCGATAAACCACGCACCGGTCCCGCAGATGAAACTCTCAAGGCAAACCTCATCAAGGCCATCGCTCTCTTTGAGGTATCACAACGTCAAGCCGTCAAAAGACTGAACCGTCATCGTCGTCAAGTTCATTCTACAGAAGGTTACGCTCCCAAAGAAGATGTCTTTCTCGTTTATTTTTTCGTCTTTAATATGATTGAATTCGCTAGAGAACTCATTTGTCTCGTAGAATCCGTACAAGCCCTCTCCCTTGCCAAAGAGAAAAGGCAATCTGTCTTGGCCCTTTTCACCCACGCCTTCTTTTTAAAACCTTGGTCACATCTTCAAGCAAACTCAACAACAACAAAGGCCAACACATTTGTACCCAATGAAAGGCACAAGATGGATACCTTACATACTCCCGTCCCAAAGACAAAATGGAGACAAATCGTTCTCAAGCTTTGGAGAACATTCTCCCTTTTTAAACTTCAAAAAATGCGTTATGCTACCAAGGCAACACTTGCCGTCGTTATCTTGGCCATACCCGCTTTTCTTCAATCAACAGGTCTTTGGTTTCGTAATTGGCGTATGGAATGGGCCTTGATTACCGTAAGTAAACATGTACCCCCCTCTCCTCCTCCTCATTTAAATTTTATTTTTTTAACTGTCTACAGTTGATGGTTGTGATGACACCCACAGTGGGTGGTACAAATCTAGTAGCCATCTACCGTATTTACTCAACCACCCTAGGTTGTTTTGTAGCCATGTGTCTCTATTTACTCTTTCCCGATAATATGTATCTTCTCATCCTCTGTACCTGGCTTTTCTCCATTCCTAACTTTTGGATTATCTTACATCACAAACACGGTAAATTCGGTCAATTCACCTTACTCGCCTACAATCTCGTCATGCTCAACAAGTACAATGACAGAGAAACCCATCGCATCGAAGTCACTCATTTAGCCTTACAACGTTGTCTCTCCATTTTCGCTGGCGTCATCTTTGGTCTCTTCGCCACCGCCTATGTCTGGCCCTATGAAGCCCGTGTGGAATTACGTAAAGGTCTATCGGATTTCTTACTTCGTTTAGCTTGGCTCTACCAAAAGCTCGTGTCCGTCTATTCCGAACGTCCAGATTCAGACCTCATGATTCCCAATGATGACTCGCAGGTAGATCGTACACGATCGAAACGACAACAAACAAGTCAAGTCTTGATGGACATCGAATTAGGCCTTCAACGCACCTTACTTGAACTCTCCGATCTTTTAAAACAAACTCCCAATGAACCCAGACTGAAAGGTGCTTTCCCCGTAGATACCTATAGTAAAATACTCGCTTCCTGTCAAAATATCACCGATAAATTCGCTTCCATGCGTACCGTCATTCTCAAGGACGCTTGGTTTGAAGACGTTCAAGCAGATTTCATTGTACCCGTCAGTCAAGAACGCAAAGAAATGGTCGGTAACGTCTTGCTTTATTTTTATATACTCGCTTCCGCCATGCATCTCAAAACTCCTTTACCCCCTTATTTACCACCGGCTCGCAAGGCTTGGGAATCTCTCATCCTACGTTTACGTCAATTACCCGTCGTTCAATCCAAGCAGTTACTCGAAAAGGATCATGTCTATTTGTTTTATTATGCCTATGTCACCGTCTTGGAAGACATCATTCGTGAATTGGATAAGGTAACGGGCACAAAAAAACATGATAAAGTTGAGGGGATGGATACTCATTTTTCTTTTTTCCATATATATATATATATATTTTATAGCTTGGAGGAAACATGACTTTATTGTTCGGAGCCATTGTTCCTGAAGATCAATGGGAGAGTTTATTTGAAGTATGGGATGTCGAACATCACACTAAAGCAGTAGCCCTGTGAACGGATGCATAAACAATAAAAATTGTAAATTTTTTTGAAAAAAAAAAAAAAAAAAAAAAGGGGGGAGGTCTACTAGTAATACAAAATGATGAGGGGGGTGGTGATAAAAAGTATATTTTTAATCTTGTATTGAAGCAAAACTATCTTCACGGGGAGGCTCTAATTTCAACGCAGCCATCAAATCTGTCGTTGTCGTTGTCGTTGTGGAGGGTGTCTCTGGATTGAATTCAGGTTCACGTACCATATAATAAATACACACTTTTTCTTTATCACTCAAATTCTTTTCCGCCCTGACTTCAAATCCAAATTTCTGGAACCACCCAAGACATGTATTACCCCACACTTCTGCAAATACCGGTAATTGAACTTGGTCCGCTTTTTTTAACACATACTTTAATAAATGACTACCCACACCGTGTTTCCTTTCCGCTGGTAAAACGCCAATAAAATTCACCGAAAGATGATCTCGTCCCGCCATCATACGTTTCTTCATTTTTGAAAGGTGACGATGATGAATCAACGTCGCACGCTTTTACCATACAAAACAAAAAAAAATGTTAATTTAGTTTTTTTTTTTTTTCTTACAACTTCATCCCCTCAACATACCATCGTCGCTAATCCACCTAAACTCCCCCAAAGTCGTTTTTTACTCATCACATTACCCACAGAAAGAATATCACTATGTCCCTCAGACCAAAGTAAGACCCCTTTACATCCATTCAACTGAATCGCAAATTCTCGACTTTCACTGGCTGCCGTTCGAATTAACGCCTTGAAAATATCTTGATACATCTCAAATTTTTTTCCCTTGTCCTTGATCGCTCCCGTAATCCAATTCAAAAGAATATTATCAGCATAAGCTTCACTTAATGTATAAGCTGCTTCCTTATCCGCCTCTAATTTTTTTTTTCTTTTATTTTAGACCCTCTTTTTTTTTTTATTGGCTACAAAAAACCACTTACTCTTGATAATCGGTCGAATGCTCACATAAGGCTCTTGTGTATCCACCGTGAGTCGTCGACTCAGTCGTTTTTCTTGATTCTTGATGACTTCAAGTTTTCGAGATGACATGCTAAAGAGTAAAAAAAAAAAAAAAAAAAAAACACTTTTGGAAAGATTTGCGAAACCCAAACTAAAAACTAAATTTTTTTTTTTTACTCCCGCTACTCCGCTTATTCTTTTGGGACCGGAGTTAGCTCCAAACGCGGCATAAAACAAACTGATCAACTCACTGTCCATGTTGGGGCAGGGGGACAGTTTCTGCGTGTAAAAATCAAATGAGGTTTCAGGCTGTAACTTGAATTATATATATATGTGTGTGTATGAGGTACTTTCTGTTAAATTAAAAAAAAAAAGGGGGTGGTTGCTTCACAGTTAAATTCGAATATCGGATACTTGTCTTAATTTAATCCTCTAATAGCTATAAACTAACTTATCCTGCGCTTTATTCTAAAGAAAAAAAAAAAAGACCAAAAAATATATATGAAGACGGAAAGAACTTAATGTTTTATTTCAATGTGCGGAATTTTACTAAATATAGTGTCGTACAAGACGCAACTCAGTTCAAATTCTTCACTGCACCGACCCTTTGGGTAAAACAAACTCTGCGCATTAAAACAAGAGATGATCCTTTTGTTTGCGTGTAACAAACACTGGAAGGGAAGCTGTCAGATAAATAAATCAGTGTCGATGTTTTAAAATTATCTTTTTGGGCGCTTTTTTCCCCCCTCTTTTTTTTTCTTCTTTTCCATACCTCACTCTTTCAAATTATTATGGAAGTTCGATACACAATGAAAGGTAAAATAAAATAAAAAAAATACACGTCAAACGGACGCGTCTAGTCATTTCAAAATAACCATTTTACAACCTCTTAGACTTTCCTGAACCAGGTGATAAGGATCTTGCCAACGGAATCAGCTATATGAACAAATCTGATTTTAAAAACGCCCTCAAACACTTTGAAAAGTCTGCTACTTACAACAACGAATACGGTCTACTCTTCTTTGGCATCTTTCTTTTACTCGGCTTTGGTCTCTCCAAACGCGATCCCGCAAAAGCACTTGACACCTTTAAAAAAGTCGCTCATCTCTTTTCCAATCGCGTCGCTCATTATCTCATCGGTATCCTCTACTACGAAGGCGACAAGGACGTCCCCCAGAACATACAGTCCGCATACCACTGGATTCTCAACGCAGCCAAACTTGGATGGATTGATGCCATGTCTCAAATGGGTTTTGCTTACTGCTCAGGTGCCTTTGGTAAAGAGGATAAGAAAAAAGGCGTCCATTGGCTCGAAAAGGTCGTCCACAATGACTCTCGGGATACCGTTCTTTATTTATTTGGAAACAAGGAATTTCAAATCGACATGACCCACCAGGATGACATCGTTCTCTCCTCGGTCAAGGGAGTCACTGCAGCGAGCATCATTTCACCCGTTCAATGTGCCGCTCAATGCTTTGCTGCAAACCCATTCTCTTCCAATGGCATCATCTACCGTGCCATCTTCTGGGATACCATGACCAACAGACAAAACACAAGTCTCGCTACTTCACAACTCATCTTGGGAACAGTGTACATGGAGGACGATGGAATCTCAACCGATAAAAAAAAAAAGGCAATCGCTTTACTCAAGAAATCCGGTGAAAACGGAAACGCAAAGGCATGTCTCACCATCGGTCATCTGTACGAAATGGGTAACGGCGTTGACCAGGATTATTCAGAGGCCATGGCTTGGTACCTAAAGTCCAAAGACATCGAAGGCGAGGTCGACGCATTGCAATCCATTGGTAGACTCTATTTCACAGGACATGGCGTCAAACAAGATTTCATGTTGGCTTTAAGCTATTTCAATACCTATAACTTGCACGCCGAGGATAGAGAGGTGTATTACATGATGGCTGAAATATACAAAATAGGCAAGGATTATAAGCAATCTTTTCTTTTCTTTTCAAAAGCAGCCGATCTCGGTCATGCCGCTTCTGCTACGCGTCTCGGTCTCTTCTATCGTATCGGTTTCGGGGTCGAGAAAAGCGAGACAAAATCATTTGCTTGGATGCAGAAAGCCGCTGCCTTGAATTGTCCCATGGCTCAATTCACACTGGGTCAAATGCATTATGATGGTTACAAAGGCAAGTCCGATCATGTCAAAGCATTAGACTATTTTGAAAAATCCCTTAAAAATGGATTCGCTCCTGCTGCTTTCATGGTCGAGCAACTAAAGTTTCAGAAATCTCTACGGGATTTACATATCTAAGTAAAAAAAAAAATTACAATCCAATCAACAACTTATGAAATCGCTATCAATAAATAAATAGGTGATATTAGTTAAAATAATCACACGTATTGACAGCTTCAGATTTTATTTTATTTTATTCTTATTATGATGATCGATGCATCTGATAATGAAAAATAACCCAATTTATCTAATTTGGACGTCAGGCTTGACATATGTGTTTCCCATAGATGGCTTCACCGATATAATCTCAGGGGCGTCAGGGCTCTTAATCACATTCTTATTATTGCTTCTTTGTACATCTTGCAAAGGGTTTGTCTCGCTCAATAACGGTGAGCCGTTCACCTTGGTTGCATTGGTAGAACTTACCCTATCCGAAGTCTTGGGAGAGCTCGAGGCAGATACTTCCCGGTATTCCTGATCAATTTTATCCCAATCAACATGAATCTGTTCATCATCAATCATGTCATTTTTTTGCTGATCATGTCTAGCCTTCTTTTGACGGCGAAGATAGAATATACCAAAAATAATAAGAGCAAGGACCTGAGAAAAAAAAAAAAAGTCGGTTATAAAATTTTACTTCTTTTGTACTAAATAAAACGGATGGTTAAAACTTACCAAGATAACACAGCCAGCTGCAATACCCCCAATAGCACCTTTGCTTAAACCATTACTTTCGATTTCGGTGGGACTTTCAGCAGGCGTGCTCTTTGGAAATGCTTCATCGACATCATCCGTATGACGATCGCTTGTGATATTGGTATTATTCATGTCCTTGGGTACATTCGCATTGTAAATGGAAGTGTAAGTAACATTTGATGCATTCGCTACATTTATTCCAAGCATAGATGGGATGAGATTACCCTCAGGCCCTCTACCAAATAAGATAAATAAAGTAGAGTTTACCACCAGAGCTAATATTTTTTTTTTTTTTTTTGTATATTAGCATATCAAAATATAGATCTACTATTTTTCGCAATAAAATACCTGAATGTGAGAACCTAGGACCACTTACAGAGGTGGGGAAATTCAGGTTTTGCTTGGTCCATTTGTTGCTGGATAAACTTAAAGTATAACAGTAATCAGTTGAAGCTACAAAATAGAAAGGAGCTATCAGTATATTTTTCCAGTTACCCAGTTTTTTTTTTTTTTTGGTACATATTTAAAAAGTGTACCTTTGGCACCATCATTACTTCCACCGTATAAAATTATATCATTTGAATTTGGTACTATTCGTAAAAAATTTAAAAGGTTATTTCACAAGATTCTAACTTTTTTTTTTTTTGCATTGTTTAGCCGTAAACACATACATAAGTTGGTCGAATGAAACATTCTCTCAGTGGGAAATTCACCGCCATATTTCTCTTCAGCCCAGCCACCAGATTTGGTGTTAAAGGTATACCCTGTATGAAAGGGAACTCGAGTGGGAGAACCGTTACTAAAAGGAGAGTAATAACTTCCACCAAAAAAATACACCTTGCCGGTACTAGGATCAATGGTAGCAGATTGAGAATTGGGATAATAATCGGCAGGCACATTTGTCTGAGGAGTAAATCCGGACCAATTCTAATAATTATTTTGATGCGAATTAGAAACTTGGACTTACTAAAAAAAAAAAAAAAAAAAAAAAAAGGCACCGCATTATCATAACGCAACAAACTCACCTTTAAACCGGGTGAATACTTCACAATAGAACGAAAACCTACAAAGGACTGGCCGTCAGATGTATAATTCATTATTTGCCCTGAAGTTGAGACTTCTGGTACGGTCGTATTGGCAACCCTAAATATCACAAAACTTAGTATTTCTTTTTTTTTTAAAATAATTCAAATGCCTATACGGACTGTTCTAGACCACCGTAAAAACCTATCGTATTGTCGGGAAGATTGACTGCTGTTGAATGGAATCTAATCATTCATATCAAAAAAATAAATGGCACAGTTAATGTACGATTCCAAAAACACACAAGTGATTCATGCAATTACATACATCTGTCTTGTTCCTCTTCCTTCTTCAACATACGATATACTTTTCTCCCAAGTGTTTGTAACGGTGTCGTAAATAATGGTCTGGTTTGAGAGTTTCTGATTGAACGCCGTATGATAGCCACTCACGATCATCAATTTTTTTTCGTCAGGTAAAACAATAGATATAGGGGCTCGTCGATTTTCAAATGAGAAACTAGTAGCAGGAACAATCACTTTCCACTGGTCATTTAATGTATTAATTTCTTTTCCAAGAAATTGAGCAACATCAAGAGAGTAAAGGTTTTGATCAATCTTATAACCTCCACTGAAATCACTATTCGTATCTCCTCCAACACAATAAATTTGTCCACCAACATATCCACAGGCTAATAGAATTAGTATAGGAAAGCTCCAAGAAAATTATTATTGCCATTCATTACTGTTATTTACATGGAAAAGATCGGCCAAGAATGGTCTCTGAAGATACATTAGAACCAAAACTTAGCAATGCCAATAAAACCGAAATCATGGATTTATGTTTTATAATCCCAACACTTCTCGCCATTTTTTTTTTTTTATTATTATTAGGAATCAAAATGAAAAAGGAAAATAAAGAAGGATCTTTTTCGTTTTCTGCTGTGTTTGTATTTGGGGAAAGGTCCATCGTTTTTGTGTCAGGTTGCACATGCTGTTTAAATATGGGAAATAATTTGGCAAAGTCAATCCCGAACAATTGGTACAACTTTTTTTTTTTTTTTTATTTATTTATTTCGAATCACTCTCTTACGTTTAGAAATTGCGAGTTTAACTTCGTCTCTATCCGCAAATAAGTAACTTCTGTGTCCTTCTTCTTTTAGCCCGTTACTATAAGGGATCTGCACAATCGTGTCACAACCAAATTTACTCAGCATTTCTGCACATCACTGTATGTTTGTGTCACAATCTCTAAAGAGGATACGCGAACGTTGTGTTTTGTTGTGTATTTTATCATTACATAAAAAAAAAAATGTCATCAATAAATACAAAACTCAAATTAGATTGTGAACTATTCCGGTTGGGTTGCTGCGGATATTTTATCTTTTACCTTTGTCTTTCATAATATTGTGCAAGTATATATACCAACCACATGCTCCTTTATAGTTGTAATCAGTGACTATATACTATATATGGATTTTACCCGCAACCATAAGCCAATTCCTTTGGAAATCTGGGAAATAGTGTGCCATAGAACATTGCTTGCTGAAAATCCCAATTCCTTAAACACGGCCAATTTTAGTTTTTATCTTATTGGTTATTAATTCATCGTTATTTTTTTTTTTTTTTTTATCATATGCATAGTTAACCACAACCGATCTTTGTAACATTTTCACTTTTAAAAGTGCACTAGGATGCCAACATTCGTATACGTACTTATTAAAATGTTCAAAAATTATAATAGTAATATAGATACCATACTTATTGGTATTTTCATCAATGATTCGAGTACTAATACAAATGCTAAACTGACTTGAACTTAGTTAAGCAAAAGTGTCATTTCATGTATTTCATATACTTCAGCCAAATGTGCATTTAGTGAAAGAACCCATGACTTACATTTGTGTAGGATATATGCTTACATAAGAAGTCTATTGCATTCAATGCAACTTCACGTACGGGATCAATATTTATGTTCCATGACGTTGACTATTATTATAAGCTTAATCAGTAACGAGCGAATGATTTTAAATTAAAGATGAATAGTCTCAGTAATTTGAATCGTCAAAGAAGCTTTTGACACATAATCATACAAAAAGAGAATTTATACGTATTGAACTATTATCTTTTTTTCTAACATAATAGGTTGTTAGCAATAACACATTTTCTGGAAAATAAATAATAAAGAGCACGTTGTTTATCTACAAAAACACGCATTGGGAATTCCTTATACATATTTGGCTCTTATAAAAAAAAAAACGAAAAAAAAAAAAAAAATAGAACAAAAGGAATAACGATGGAAACATTCATCTTGTGCTTTCTTTAAATAACATTGGGGCTTTGATTGACATAACAAGCTATTCTAAATATAGCTCGTACTACTACTACAAAAAAAAAAAAAAAAAAAAAAAAAAAAACCAGAACGAATACTACTCACGAATTCGGTTTGTTTCTATTTGATGACAGTTATCGCAAAAAGAGTCGCCTTTTATTTGCATTTAGAATTCCTGACTGCAACTTTGGATAATATCTCCATGCAGTTTCTAAGCCATTGATATCACAAACCACTGATTTTTATTTCACATGTAACATATGAACTAAGTCCGATATATATCAGGTAGTACCTAAAAATTTAAAATTTTATTCGAAAAGTTCAACATACTTTCCTTTTTATCTCGAATCGAAAAATAAAATCAAAAAATGGGGCCCTACTTGCTTTCAATAGTGGCAATAGCTTTATCAAGCTTTACAGCTATTACTGTAGGCGAGAGCACTATCTTATCCAGATCTTTCGCATGTAAAATACAAATATACAAAACATGCTGCCGCGTCTAAGCACGAACAGTCGGTTAACTTTATTTCTTGTTCTTTAGCCTGTAGTTATGTTGGTGGGAAAATATATTGCTTTGGAGGAGACGTCTCTTATTCTCTCACCTCCAACTTTGAAATAGACACCAATATATACTCTCTCAATATTGCACAGTTTGTCGGAAAAGGAACAGAGACAATGAATAGCCAGTGGAACATGATCACCCCTGGGGACGCTTTTGACCCGGAACCAAGGAGAATCCCCACTGCTATTTCTTTACCAGATGGAAAGACATTTTTAATTCAAGGTGGTGAAAATATGCTCTATAAGAAATTCGCCAATAAAACAATAGCATTTGATACCAGCACAAATAAATGGTTAAAAAAACAACCCTATACTGAAGGTGATAGTGGAACCAGACAGATGTATGTGTTTTACATTATCTAATAATCTTGATCTAACGAATGTACCATATAGCTATGACTCTACAGCTGTCATTTTACCAAATAATATGGTAGGATTTTACGGTGGTCTAGAACAGTCAGTAATAAATTATTTCAATCAAATTCCATCTAATCTTTAATTATTTATTTAGAAGCGCAAATACCTCAGTAATTTTAAAAACCCCCACTGGAGCCACAATGAACTACGATTCAAGAAATGGGTCTTATATTGGATTTAGTAGTATCAAAATGTACTCACCAACTTCCAATGTATGTATTTTCTTACAAGTGATGTCTAGCCTTAATATAACACCTACACTATTTAGACTTGGGCAGATTTATCCCCTCAGTTAAATGTACCGTTGGATTTTTACCCAAACACACAATCCGCAACAATCAATCCTGGTTCTGGCAAAATTTACTATTTTGGAGGTCTTTTTTACACTCCCGCAAATGATGGTGTGGCTGCCAAAATTCCGCTCAGCTGGGGTTACACTTTTAACACTGTCTCTAGTTCTTGGACAAATGAAACTTTTGGGGGCTCAGTACCCAGCGAAAGAATTTACCATTCAACTAACTTATGTAAGAATTTTTTTTTTTTAAAAAAAATCATACGTTGATAATGATTAACAGCTTTTATTTTTGGTACTTAGTACCAAACTCACAGGACATTATCTTATACGGAGGAACAGAAAGTGGCGACAAAGGTATGTTTCGGTATCCGTTATACACATACAATTACTGACGTGTAAAATTCGATAGCATCCACGGATTATTGTTTCACCTTGAACTTGTCCAACAATGAATGGACTAAGCATGTCAACGTGAATGTTCCTTCTAACTTACATGGACCAAGATTCACTCATTCAGGTAAGTAACTTTAGACCGCCTTATGACAAAGTTTTAATATATCTTCAAATTTATAGCGGTGTTGGTTGATTCAACACTATTCATTTTATTTGGTAGAGGAATCGACGGTACATTCAGTCCTTCTTTAATTACTATTGATGTATCAGATGCTACGAATATCGCCTATAAATCTAGTTATAGCCTCTCTAATAGCACCCTAAATAGCGCTACTAATAATACTACTACTACTAATACTACAAATAATACTACCGAAAATAATCCAAATGCAGGAGAAAAGGATAAAAATGCTAAAAGCCTTGATAATCCACCCCGAGGCTTAAGTTCAGGTGCTACTGGAGGTATATCAGCCGGCTGTGCTATCCTTGTAAGTTGAAACCGTTGATTTTGTTCAATCGAATGTAATAATTTATACACGTTTTTAACTTTCTTTTAGCTTGGTATCATTTTATTCATATTTTATCGTCGTCGTCAAAAAAAAATTGAAAAACGTCAAACCATGGATTCACAAAATGACAACCGACATCATTTACAAGAATTACTACACGTCGATTGGGACAAGATTGACAACCAGTACAAAGAACTTCCAACCACAGCACCTTCCCCTGAATCGCCACAAGTAGCTTCGATCAATTCAAAAAACACGAAAATCGCAAACATTTCAACAACCATCGAATCGCCTTCTACTGTCCAAAAACATTATACCACTCAGCTTCTAGGCAACAGCACGGGCAGATCATCTGGTCATCATGCTAACAGCAGTGTAGATATCAATATTGATATTCGCGTTAAGCACTCGGTGGCAGCAGAGAATGCTATCGTAAAACCTGATGTAAATTAAAACAAACAAACAAAAAACATTCGTATGTGATCAAGATTAGTTTTACAGAGGCCTTGTTACAGAAAATAGCTTTGCGCCGAAAGGTTTATTTATTAAAAAAAAAAAAAAAAAAAAAAAAAAAAAACAAGAAACAATTCCTATGATTACATTTAAAACACGAGATTTTTTTACATCAAGTGTCATTGGTTTTAAGATTTTATGTTGATTTTTATTCCATCGAATGGACATGTATTCATTATGTTATATATCATCGTCATTGCTTGCTACGAATAAATTTCAATGTACACAAGCTTATGTATTTGATATTTTACACATTAAGTTTCGACATTATTCTGTATTGTGTTAAAAGAACCATGTCTGTATTTTGGCATTTCAAACTTATTTAATGTACGCAATTTATGTACTTGTTATGTATATTATAGAGGCTGCATACTTGACTTATAGGATACAGAAAACAAACTTAGAGGTAGATCGCTTATTTCAGTTAATATCATTATGCTCTTTTTTTCAAATAGCAATAAAGACGTGCATTATCCTTTTTAATTTTTCACTCTTTGTAATATGAAGCAACACTCACAGACGTGTATTTGAGAGAAGAAAAAAAAAATGCTTTTGGTTGCTTGATACGGGTTTGCATTAAAAGCAATGTTTTCTGGAATCCGGATATATTAGCGGTCAAGGACGTGTTTCATATTATGCGAAAAGTTTGGAGTCACAATGATAGACTTTCAGTTTTTACCAGATTCCAACAAAATACTACAACACAAAGCTCCACAAGCAAATGTGATTACTCCCCACCCGGTGAGCGAGTTTAAAGTTGTTTGATTTGTTTTTATATGAATTTCCATTTTATTTTGTCCAAAAAAGGTAGGCTAACATCTGTAAAAGAATTCTGATTCGTCCAAAAAAAAAAAAACTCCCATTGTTCCAATTTAATCCCACTGTTATAATTAATTCAGTTACAAGGCCACATAAAACTATTATCAATACACATAACTTACAACTAGTTTATCGTCCAACTCGTTCTTTGGCGATATCTGTTGATTTTGCCGTTTTTGTTCCGCTAATTGTTTACTCAGTTTTCCTCCCTCTTTCACTCCACGGTTTTCAGCCTAAATTGATATCAGTGGCTGATTTTAATTTAAATTCAAATACATTTTACCTGTAATCTTCTTTGTTCTGCAGCGCTGAGCATGGCCTCTCTGGAATGTCCTCCGCCAGCAGAAGCTCCTCCCAAAGCCTGACCACCTGAATTGCTTTTCTTTGTAGGTGTTAATTGATGTCCTTCGACTTCATGGCTTTCTGAACCGCAACAATTTCCCTACAATTAACGGCATTCAAATTAGTCTGGCTTCATCTGATTTTCCCATCCATGCTACCATTGGTTTACTATTTTGTGTAAGAAAAGAAGAAAAAATGCAACGATCGTTTTTTCTATTTCTTCTTTTTTTTTTGGGATGCAGTGACTGTTTTGAACAGCATTTTTCAGAATGGTCAGCCCGTTTAAGCCCAATTGTTTGTGTTTTGTTGTATCGGGATACTAACAGCCCTTAGACTTAACAAAGAACTCTATATAATACCAACAATAGATCCTTAAAGAAATCGCTCCTCTACTATCTGGTATAAAGCTAGATCTGACTTGTGAGAGATATCGACGAAGCGTATCCAATTTATCGGTAAGTCGGGTTATACAATATTTACGCAAAGTATTGGAAACACTCAATGCCTAAGCACTAACAGCTATACTTACTGGTGTTATCATATTGACCCTGAGCTAAATCCTTTCAAGCAATTTTGGGTTATTTTAATTAGTGTTAATCAAAACGAGAGAAACGCGTAGGGACTGAGACTTTTTATTTCATGAGTTACTAAACTGGTCGCGTTTAAGCCTTATTTTAACAGAAAATCTCCATTAAAAAATTCACAAAATGTACGCAAAAAGTGGTTTCAATTGTATATTTTTTATTACTCTTCATCAGGTTCAAAAATTAAACGGTAGTTTTCCAAAATAGTTTGAATTACTCTTGCGTGCCAATGGGTATCAGTAAGTCTTTGATTGTCCTCAGCAGAAGAGATTGATACTTTGTTATCTCCACCCAACAGAGTTATGCCAAATATCGTGGACAAGTTAACACTTGTCATTTTATTAAAATCTTGATTTTGCTGAACCCTAAATAGATTGTTTCAAATTAATAGGTTACACAGATTAATTTTACATTTAGAACACCTTACTTGTCAAGATGTCGCATGATATATTTTAAAGTTGCATAATGTGCATCTGGTAGATCGTTGATAATTGTATGTAATCCTAATACTCTCATACGATCATTTTCAATTTCTATAAATTCAATGTTATTGTGTGCCCTTTGATATATTTGGATATATGCACTTACTGGCTGCATTCATGAAATGTTGGTAAGATGATTGGGGAAACAATGGATCAGGTAGTTCGCGGAACCAAAGTTTTAACAGACTTGTAATATTGTTCACATCGGATCCATTTTCTTCTGTGGATAGATCTACAGATGCGCAACTTCTATCAAATATACCCTTCAATCTTTGGATTTGGGTGCTCGTTCCTGAAATACGATACAACCCGACCGTCTTTAACCCTGACGCCTCAATAGCCTCTGCACATTTTACTACTACCATTGGAACTTCTTGTCCATCCCGTTGCATCAACTTTGTAAGATCAACACCAAATACTGGATAAGGCTTTAAAACGTTCAACGCAACGGAAGACTATTTCTTATGTTAGATACTTAGCTCGACCAATTGTAAATATGTACGTACCATAGGGTATTCCTTATAGGGTATATCGTCTTTCTTTAAAGTTTGAGCGCGACCACTGTAATCCTTTACAAGGTCAGCCGTGTCAGCAATAAAATCAATTTTTTCGGTTAGTGATCTTAGACCCCTTCCTTCATCATTATCCAATGCATAACCGTCTTTTGTTAGAGATTCTTCAAAGATATAAGCATATCTAGCCAGTTGGTATCGAACTGCTGTACAACATTCATCATCCACACTTTTTAAAGTTTTTATGTCTGAAGGTAATTGCGATGTAAAGTAATCATTTCTTGTTGCGTTTGTTGTTGTTAACTGATTTTTGTATCCTGTCAATGCACCATTTGCTTTTAAACAAGATTCATCTACTTGGCGCTTTAATTGAGCAGGTGTTTTACTGCTTTTAAATAAACCCTTTTTAGGGATTTGTTCTGAGTCGCTGCTACTTCTTGCTAAAATGGCTCTTTCCCAATCCTCACTTAGCATGTCATATTTTTGTTTGCTCTAAATAAAAAAAAAAACCATGAATAAGACCATTTAATTGATATTCGTGTGCAATTATACCTTTTCTAAAGACAACTCAGAATCTAGTTTATTTCGTTCATGACGAACACCAATTTCTTTAACTTGTTTTCTGCTCTTTTCAGTATCTTTGCTCATAATTTGAACATCGTCAGCAACTTCCGCAATATCCGCAGAGAACTTGACCCGTTGGTCTCCAATTGTTTCGTGAACCTTTAAAAACGAAGTCCAAATCAAGCCATAGGTACTATACAAAATTAGCATCTTGACTTGGGTCTAACTATCAGTAAAATATCTACCTTGGCTTGGCATGAGATTTATCATAGGATTCTGTCATTGTCTGTGCTAGTTTGATCATTTGCTTTCCATATTCTTCCTCAATAGCAGCACGTTTTTTTAAAAATATAGCAACGTCCTACCACACAATAGAAATTGAGTACCAAAATAGAATGCAATTAATGTGATATTTACTTTTGCTGCATGCAAGTCTTGTTTCACCTTGTCTAATAAACATTGAAACCCACCCTAAAAACAAAAATCAACACTTGTTATAGTAAGCCAAAACATTTAGAAGATTGCTGGCCTACATCTAGATCTCCTAATTTTGAAATTGTGTCCAGTTCCTCATTTTCTTGTACAGCTCTGAAAGAAACTGGAGAAGCTGGATTCGTCTGAAAGTTCTCTCCATCATCTATTGAGTCTGTCTCGATCTTGTACCCGTCCGAAGAAAGCATTTTAAGATTGATGAGGGTTGATGTAGGGGAAAAAGAGAGAGGGAAAAAAAGGAGCAAAAAAAAAAAAGTAAAAATCTTTAATTAGGGTGTGGACAATTTTAAAACACACGTGCGATACTCAGTGATACAAAAATCAATTTATAGTGTGTGATCATGCAAAAACTTTTCATACATGTCCAATTTTCCCTGCAAAATTTGATCCTCTGCTCTTTCACATATTGTTACAATCACCGATTGAATGTGGCCATCATTTATACTTGTAGAGTCCAGATCCTTTCTTAATGCAGCCGTACCAGCCTCGCTAAATACAAACGAATTTAAAAATCATTACACAAAAAGGGACTAAATAAATTGTAATTTACCGAAATAAATTCTCCAAATCAGCACCAGAACAAAACTCGGTCTCTTCTGCTAATTTCCTTGGATCAATATCATCGGATACTGATATCTTTTTCATTAATGTCTTGATAATGTCGACACGATCTTCTAAAGTGGGTAATCCAACAAATACTAACTGGTCTAAACGTCCTGGTCTCAAAATAGCATCATCTATTTGATCTGGTCTATTTGTACATCCAATTACGACAACACCTTGTCTTCCCTCAACACCATCCATTTCATTCAAAAGTGTACTCAGCACTCTTTCATTAACTCCTCCACTACTTTCTCCAGAATCGAATCCTCGTTTTGTTCCAATAGCATCCATTTCATCTATGAATACAATACAGGGTGAAATTCTTTTAGCTGTTGCAAAAATCTTTCGAAGCTTATTTTCGGTTTCTCCCAGATATTTCGAGAATATTTCAGGCCCTTTAATCGAAATAATATTCATCATGGATTCGGATACTAGTGCTTGAACAAGTGCTGTTTTACCACACCCAGAAGGTCCATATAGTAACAAACCGGAAGGTGGTTTAATACCCAATTTCGTAAATACTTCTGGCTTCAATAGCGGTAATAATATAGCCTGTTTCATTCTATCCTTAATAACTTTATATCCTCCCATATCGTCCCAATCCCGTTTAGGTAATGTAGATTCGACCTCGGATCGTTGAGAGGGTCTATAGGTATCCAAAGCGTGTTCAAAATCCGACCATTGTATAAACCTCGTTGATAGCGTGAGTCGTTCTAAATGATCTACAAGATCAGGTTTTGCTCGTCGTGCTTTTAACTCTGCTTGACGTAAGAGCAGCTTCAAATCTCGTATCACATAACCTGATGTTCTCTGCTGCAAATATTAGCTTTAGCTAGAAAGGAGCTAGAGCAAAGACCTACCATACTAATCTGAGTGGCATAATAATCAATCACATCCACGGTGTTCTCTATAGGCTGCAAATCAAAGTTCCTTAAAAGAGAAAGCAATAATACTTTTCTTTGGGGTCTAAACATAAAACAGGTGTTCAGGTTCGGTATTCAATACATAATAATATATTTGCTATCACTTACAACGAGGGTATAGGAAGTGTCATATGTTGTCTAAATATATCAGTCTTCCGTAAGGGTTCGGGCATGGATTTAAGATCACACCCTAAGCCCACTATGCATACTGGATCTGCATCACTTATTCTACTCATCTCCTTTGAGAAGATGTCTAATATCTTTCTCGTCTTATCTCCTGCGGAACCAAGAGAGTCCAGATCTCGAATCACAACAATCGACGGTGAATGTAAAATGGCTTGCGTTACTAAGAGACTGAATGGATTATATTTTCCAAACTCTTCAAGGTCATATTCATCCGCATCGAAAGATAACAATTCATGACTTGATATTTCATATACATTACTTGCAAGAGCTTGTCCGACACGTCTCACTAACCGTGTTTTCCCGACCCCTGATACACCATGAATCAAAATGGACTTTGCAACTGGAATGCCCAACTTTCTATATGCTTCTGAATTCAGAAATGAACTTTCTGAAAGTATTATGTAAATAAACAACTGATAAGAAATAGTGTCCCAATAAGAAATCCTTACCGATCATATCTGCTAAACTTGTCAAGTAAATGTCTGTCTTCTCTTCTACCGAAAACGGAGCGACATGTCCGATATTTTTAATTTCAATAATTGTATTTAAACGATGGATTTTACAGTGTGGTTGATCCATAGTGACAATTTTACAGTTTATTTCTTTTCCACCGATGTTCCAATAGATCTTATCTCCTGTTGACACCTAGCTAACACATGAGTAATGGTTTTCTATGCAAGTCATTCAACTTACAACAAGTCCTGCCAATCGTCGTCGAATCGAGTCCATATAACGTGTCGATAAAGGTGTACCCAACGAATTGTAAAGCTCTAATTCTACATTTT